GCGCATAGTCGAGTTCTGCGCATAGTCGAGTTCTGCGCATAGTCGAGTTCTGCGCATAGTCGATATTGAGTATAGTTCAAGTTTGACCCGGACGGGTCCATAACTGACTGATTGGCCAACGCTGGGTTTGCTCGATCCGGTGGATGGTGTAACAGGGGCCTTGTTGGAGCCACTTTGCTGGAGCGGATGGGAAGTCGTTCGATTCGGGATAACCCTGCTGTGTCGCAATCTCCCACAGTCTCTGTGCGGTTTGCCATTCGAAATAGGCGAGTCCCGTTCCCCATCCTCGTCAGGCAGGATTCGAGTCGAAGTGTGATCTTGTCGCTGTTCCTCGCTTCAAACGTGATCAGCTCTTCCAGTGTCTCGACAGACTGACAGGTGAGGCCACGTCCTACTCATTGGGGCTCGACATATTGCAGTGTTCTGCGTTGGGTTGTGTTCGAAATGGCTCTATCCCTGTGAATCCGTGGTGTCTCGGTGGGGCTTTTCCAACCATTGTCTTTACGCGGATCACCCACACAGGAGTCCTGGAGTTTTGCTGGGCGTTGTATCGCGGCTGGGAAGCAAGTGCATCTGTACCAAAGTCGGTCCCTGATGATATCTCCTCTTGTTCCTCGTCACCACCCTCTCAGGGCGCACACGTATGGATCGACTTGGATGTCAGGGGAAAGTGGTTGATTTGGGGGGCAAAGTGTCCCAAGCCCTGGATAGTTGGATTCCGTCAATTGTATCCCCCTCTTCCCTCTGTGCGAAGCACCATCTTGAAATATTGTTGTGATGATTCGCGTAATGGTTGGGAGTACCTAGGGCTCATCAACTGACAGGAGAAACAAGGCTCTCAGAGAAGTTTTTGTGCGCATAGTTTCGAATGCTACCTCATCCGTAGCAACTCGGGAGTACATATGGAAGCATAAGTTTCCACAGACTATCACCACTTGGCCACATCACACCACGCGCTTGTGACAAAGTGTGCATTTGTCTCATTGAGGACGCTGTAGAAAGGGGCGCAGGCCGCGCAGTACTCTTAGTCCGCTCTCCCTTGACGTTGAATCATCAGTTTGGCGGGATGAACGATGGCAGCAACGCCGTCTTTGTGAGCAGAAACATTGGCGGTCAAGTGTCGGTACTGATGTACCACGACACGCCGGACATGATTGAATTCAGGCAATGCGTCAGCCGCTTGGGATTGGTGGTCACAACCACTAAGGATGACCTACCTTATATAATAGTTCTTATTCAGCAGCAGGATCTAGGCGAAAATGCTGCGGTATGCGGTTGGACCTCGTCACTTACCTTTGCCCCTCTTGCTCGACTTATCCTAGGATTGAAGCGAGATTCCGAGATATGTCAGGGCGGCGAAACATGCCATAGTGCTGTCCGGCCAGATTGCGCACCTGGAGAATCAGTCCCAGACAAGGTGAATGTTCTGAGATTGAATCAGGAAGTTGCCCTATTTCTTTTCTTGCCAGAATCCGGCTGGACGAAGAGCACTTTGCGTTGCAGGCGCGTGAATAAGCTTTCTTTTCACTGAGTCAGGGAGACTTGCCAATCCTCCCGGTCCATGGAGGAGACCGCATGCTGGTTTGCTTCACATTAAACCAAGGACAGTCACTGTTTTACTTCCCTGAGCATGAAATAAATGGTCCCATCTGCCAACCCGTAGTTCCATTTTGGATCTAGCGTGAATTTATCAACATCTCGGAAGCCGAATTTCTGATACAAAGTGTGTGCGGCAGGGGACGACTCGAGGTAGGCAGGAAGATGGAGCTCGTCGGCGACATCCAGGCCCCATTTGATCAGCATGCCTCCTGCACCACGTCCCTGGTATTTTGGATCCGTCTGGAGTATGTCGAGTACTGGTTTGTCCTCTTAGTGTGAAGAGACATAAGCCGGTATGGTCAGTGACAATTCAACTTACAGCAGTATCTCTTCTCTCCCATCAATTCGTTTCGTTTTCTATGGATCCCCCCGAAGAACTCCTCACAGGCTTCCACGTTGCATCCAGGACCAAATTTTCGGGACCGAGCCGGCACTCTGGGTTCCTTGATGATGTTCCACTTCGCAAAGGCAGCGATCTCACCAGTCTCGGTATCTACCGCCTTCACCCATCGAACAGTTGGATCTTCATGGAGTTGCTTGATGAGCCCCTCTGCACGCTCGTTCTTTGCTTCCGGTGGAAACGGTCCTGGGAACAGGATAGGCGTAAGGGCGTTGGAAGCATAGGCGAGATGTTCGATCTCAACGATGCGAGGGGCGTCGGCCTCATCGGCCGGCTGAAGAACCAGAGGCATTTAGACGGAGGAAGCTGTGTCTGTTGAAGGAGGCGTATAGAGGAAAAGAGAGGACACAGGACGCTTTCATCCCCACATTGTGACATATATGATTAATATTCGACAAAGTGATGGGGATCAAAGCCTGCTGCCTAATCCCCTTGAATTAGGGACAAGGTCAATGCTACCTCACCACGCCCACTTACCTGCATTGCTCTTTTACAGTTGCCCTGACAGTATTAGCAGGATTGTGAATGAGTCAGGAAATGCCCCGCGGAAATGTTGGAATTTGCCGACGCCGAAAGCAACTGCGCCAACCGCCAACTTGGCAACCACTTCAACCTACCTGTTCCAGTTCAACACTCCGACCATTTACTAATGCATTCCTTGCTTGTGCTTGCTTCTGTTGAAGACGAGAATACCCTTTGCCATGCCATTGGCTTCTGCCCGTACTGCCGCAGAATACCTCCCTAGCTAGGTACCTAGGTAGGTAGACTCCAGCCACTGTGAGGTCCACCGTACCAGAAAGAGAAGTTACACATGTCATCACGCCCACGAGGCCAAGCCCGTTCCTAGGAGACTGTTACGAGCATGGAGTGACTCGGCATCAATTCCCCGAGAACGCCGGCATGACATGGTGCGAAATACGTGCCTTCACCGTCCTGAAAATACGAGAGGATGCATTTGCCTAAGAGAATCATTGCTAGCGGCGAGAGCCTCTGTTCTGTGGATGATGTCGTGAAGCACGAGTCGGAAGCTGAGGAGCATGCCCTCAGATTCTCCGTATAAAAGGGAGGACTTCCTTCGCTGTGAGCAATGACCTTGGCTGAACAGATCGGCATTCAAACATTTTCCTCCAGGAACAGTGTATCCAATATCATTGAACTCGGCAGGCCCTTGAACGACAGAGAACAATGTCTACCATTAAATTACCCAGCACAATGCGTGCCCTTTTGCACGACCAGAAAAAGCAGACTCTAAGCATTGCCTCGACTCCTCTGCCGAGTCCATCCTCGACCCAATACCTCATCAAACCACACGCCGTAGCCCTCACAACTGGCGAACTCCTCTGGCCTCGCCCGGGTATCTCAACGCCCGGCGTAGAGTTCGTCGCTCAGGTTGTCGCAACTCCGTCCTCGAGCTCCAAGTTCAAGCCAGGAGACGCGGTCTACGGGCGGGTCACTTCCCCCCAGCCAGGAGCTGCAAGGGAATACTCAGTCTCGGACGACAACGAACTTTCTCTTCGGCCAAAGAATCTGTCCATCAACGAGGCAGCCACCGTGCCAGTGAGCGCCTTGACTGCGTGGCAAGCATTGTTTGAGCAATTTAAACTCTGCCCTCCTCCAGCCCTCGACTCTGCTGCAAGGTCGCCCGCACCCACTCAACAGGCTCAGCAGCAGCGCATCCTCATCACCAACGCCTCCGGTGGCGTCGGAATCTGGGCAGTCCAGCTCGCCAAACTCATCGGCCTCTACGTGATCGGCACCACGGGGCCTAACAACATCGACTTCGTCCGCTCTCTGGGCGCCGACGAGGTCCTCGACTACCGCACCACGAACATCCGCTCATGGGTCGAGCAAGACCCGTCCGGCACGCGCAAGGTGGATTTCGTCCTGGACTGCATCGGCCAATCCTCGCTCGAACAAGCATGGCACGCGGTCAAGCCAGGTGGCCAGGTCCTGACCATCGCGCCACCAGCGGACATGCAGTGGAAGTTCACCCTGGATCGTCCCGAAGGCGTTGACGATAGCATCACGGGCAAGTTCTTCATCATGCATCCCGATGGGGAGCAGCTGGGCAAGATCACCGCGCTGGCGGAACGGGGCAAAGTCAGGGCCGTGGTGGATAGCGTGTTCAAGCTGGACGAGTATGAGAAGGCGTTTGAACGGTTGGCCAGTGGCAGGACCAGAGGAAAGGTCGTGTTGAGGATCGATGATGAGGTGTAGTGTACATGTTTTTTAGGTAAGATTGTTCGGAGCGTAGATGACAGGTTGTAAAATGTGCTTGGATCGAGAAGATGTACTTGATAATGTCATATTCTTTTCGCTATTGAAGGCTCGCTAAATAGAAACCTCCTGATTCCATGCCACTTTATAATCCAGTTATATACTGCGTTTATATATGCGCATGTGTATGCAAGCTAGTTTATTCGTAAAAGACCAGAGATCTCACTTCTATGCTCTGTCTGCCCGGCGCGTCTGCGGGTGTCTGTGGATCCACAAAGGCGGTATGCGGCGTGTATGCAGCAATGCCCTTCTTGCCACCGTTGACCTCAGAGTACGAATCGAAACACTTGATGAACATGACCTCCTCGGGCGTCATATCCTTCATGTAGAAGAACCGATGTTTATCATTCGGCCGGACCGCAAAGGTCTCACCTTTGACCTCGTACCCGGCGGTGGATGAGGCCGAGGAAGGGTCGGGGAGGACTTCCTTACCCCGATCGTCCTCGTCGTGGACTCCATTGGTGGTGCCATTGGTTTCGCGTTTCGGGTAGAGGAGATCAACCTTGACCATGTCGGAGGGCTCGGTTGTTCGGTAGTCGATGACTGCGAGGGGGAAGTCAGAGGCTGGGTTTGCTATCGGGCGCCAGATGTTGATGATCTGGTAGCGGCCCTTGAGTAGCTCCTCAGCCTCTTCTGCGGGTAAATGTCTGCGCACCCGCACGGCGGCGGCGTTGGGCGTCTGATCGACGTGCACTTGCTGCACGGGTTGGCGAGGGGAAGCCTTCTCTCTCCTTCTGATAGTATGGTCGAAGAAGACCACTTTTTTCACGCCGGGCAATTTCTCTCGCAGCAGAGCCTCGACCTCGGAATAATATCCTTCTCGGACTTTTGCGTCGTCGGTGAAAGCCTTCTCCTGCGCAGGAGAATTGTACACAGCGAAGCCGGAGGTGTCGACAGAGAACTTGGATTCTTGTCCGCGAATGTTTTCCACCGCCCGGTCGTGATCGGTCAGTTTGAACGAGTACCCGGGACCGTCCACCTTGCTCCACGGCTTCACGAAGGGGACGTCGCTGTCGACATACGACGAGGGGTCGATATATTTGAAACGACCTTCCGTCATGTTGGCGGCGGCTCGAGGAACGCTGGAGCTAAGGAAACGAGGATGAGGAGAGGCGAGAGATCGACTGGGAGAAGCCGCAGCGTGCGACAGGTTCCTCACAACCGAGGAAGATGCCCTCAGGGTTCTAAAAGAAGTGGCTGCTTGCATCAAGGAAAGATGTATGTCAGTGGCGAGTTATGTGTTTCTGAATCAATGTCTTGATCAGATCAGATATGCTCTTGGATTGGGGAATGTACCTCGAGAGTGAAGCGAGTCGGTATATTTATCTGAACTGGTCAATCTTGAAATTGTCAGCGGAAGAACATCGAAGACAAGATGACGTTGAAAAGTGTATATCGATTGGGCTCGGTAGATATCCCTGTCCCCAGGAATCTATTCAATGGAAATTTTCTTTAAAAGCTGCGATGACGCGAGCGCAATGAGTGCGTTCTTTTGCCTCTATGAATATTGTCTTGATTTCAAAGGCAGCGACAAGGGTTCCGGAGATGGTTCCGGAGATAGCTCGCCGAGGATCGGGAAGAATCCCCGATTGGAAGGTGACTAAGCTGCACGTCATTTCTGGGCAGCTGCCACCCGCTGGCCACCCGCTGCCTTGTGATTGGCTGTCATTGTTCACCCCGCCATCTGCGCCAATATCGCGCGTAAACGCGTGTGAATTTCTCGCTCCCCCCTTGTCGCGTCCTCCTCGAGGCAGAGGCAGCTGTGGACCCCTTTCGTACTGAAGGAGATCCCAGGCGCAGGCAGTTGGAGTGACAGATACCTTCACTGTTGCTTGATAAATTCCTTGAGGCCATGTCTACCTGCTAGCCATCCTTCGTCTTGTCCTCTGGCTCCCCCTTTTTCCATCCAGCGACAAATCAGTCAAAAATGGCGGACAGGGAGATCTACTCTGCCACCTACAGCAATGTATGGACCCTTCCTTGCTACTTCTTTGTTCTGCGCTAACATGTGACTGCAGGTTCCCGTCTATGAGCTCAAGGTCGCCGGCGACCATGTCATGCGCCGCCGGTCCGACAACTGGGTCAACGCTACGCACATTCTGAAGATTGCCGGCTTTGACAAGCCAGCTCGGACAAGGATTCTTGAACGTGAGGTGCAAAAGGGCGTGCATGAGAAGATTCAAGGCGGGTATGGAAAATATCAAGGCACATGGGTTCCTTTGAACGAAGGCCGCGCGCTGGCTGAGAAGCATGGTGTTCTTGATCGCACTGCCAAAATATTCGACTTCGTGCCGGGGGATCGCAGCCCTCCTCCTGCTCCCAAGCATACCACCGCCGTATCAAATCGTCCAAAGCAACCGAAACAGCCGGTCGTTCCACGAAAAGTACCCCCGCAGCCACGTAAGTATATAGCCATGCCCTTCCAGTGAAGACTATTTGCTGACTCTTCGTAGCCCAGCATTACGCACCAGTGGACGGCTACGAAAGTGCCAGTGTCCATTATAATGGGACAGAAAGTCGAGAACATTCCCCAGAGACCGCTTCATTCATGGCAGAAGACGATTTCCTTCCGCTGTCCCAAAACTCCACAGCATCGAGAAAACGAAAGCGAGACTTTGAGGAACTGGCTCCCACTGCCTCAGACCTCGAGCATACCCTGTACGGCGACGAGTTGCTGGATTACTTTGTTACTGCTGGTGATGACCCTGCTGCCTCCAATATCCTACCCCCAGAACCGCCTGCAAACTTCGACGTTGACAGACCGATTGACAATCTGGGAAACAATGCTCTGCACTGGGCTTGCGCTATGGGTGACGTCGTCGTTGCACGGGACCTCCTGGCACGCGGTGCAAACCCTGCTGCTCAAAATAAGAGCTCACTTGAAACTCCCTTGATCAGGGCTGTCTTGTTCACCAACAATTACGACAAGAAGACCTTCCCAAAAATCGTGCAGGCTTTAGCGGGAACGATCGTTGAGCGGGACGCTTATGGTGCAACTGTCTTCCACCATATCGCCGAGTCAGCGCGCTCCCGGGGCAAATGGAGTTGTGCTCGGTACTATTGCGAAGTCTTGATCAACAAAATGCAGGAAATGGGCTCAAACTATGTTCAGGCGCTCCTTACCTCCATTGACCACAATCACGACACTGCAGCACTATGTGCCATCCGCAACGGATGTGTCAAAGTCGCAACATTCCTCCTCAACCATTGTCCCGAAGCAGGAGACATTCCGAATCTGAAGGGAGAAACTGCCAATGAGTACCTCCGAGCTCTTCGAGAGAAGAAGGAAAGCCTCCAGCAGCCAGGCTCATCTCCCCCGCGGGCTGGAGAGTCCTTCGCGTCGAAACAATCTCGTCGTAAGCGACAGAAGGAAGCCTTGTCCCGTGCCGCGTCATTGGTGCTCGATAAGATCGTGCCTCTGATGGACGCAGGGAGCTTCAAATTAGCCGACATGTACGATTTGCAGATGTCGGAGAAGGACACGGAAATCACGGAAGCCAAACACGCACTGACCGAGCTCGAGAACCAGCGCCATAAGATTCGGCAAGAGACCTTCTCGCTGATGGCCAAGGTCGAGGATGTGTCCAAGATCCCCACATTGAAACAGGAGTATGAAGCATGCCTGCGCGAAGTGGAGACTCTTCTCGAACAGAAAGAGCACGCCACCCTGCAGAATGAACTGTGGCAGCAGGACCAGCAGACGAGTCCGGAAGCGTTCCGTTTCCCGAACACGTCGTCACTATCGCCTGATGAAATCCGCGCGGTGGTCCCCTGGGCGATTGAGCTCAACAATCAACAGAACCTACGCCGGCAGTGGGTCAAGGACATTGCCAAACTGATGAGTGAGGCGGGCGCAGGCGAAAAGGTGGGCAAACACAGAAAACTCGTGGCGATTGCTACGGGCCTCAAGGAGGATGAGCTGGACGGCATGTCGGTGGAGTTGTTGGAAAGTCTGCAGGGAAATCAGGCTGGGAAAACACCGCAGACGCCTCCCTCTCAAGCTCAGGCTCCGGACGAGGCACAGGCTTGAATTGATCACCCGAGATGATGAATGAGATTAGCAAGGTTTTGAATGAAGCACAATGAGATGATCTGCTATGCATGCATAGAGTGTTCCCACCCTCTCTTTTCTTATTTGTCTTGTCCATTGCTGTATATTCACGCCCTGCTGGTCCTTGTGGTATCCCCCGTCCGTATCTTGACCATCCGCCCCCAAACGACGCTGGGATTTTCCCCCTTTCAAACGAGGTCCTGAAACCCCCCAAAACAGGCCGCACGTTTGTCCCTGTTCGCGATACCGATTGTGCGAGGTCGTCCGCCTTTCTCATACGCTCACGGTTGTATAGTTTGTCTCGGAATCGATTCGTGAAGGTAAGAAGCAGATAGAGATTTATGGGGGTCAAAAACAGGCCGTTCACCGCGTAGGTTCACATCGCTGGATGAGACGGGTAGGCGGCCCGGGCATATTGATCATGACATCGACGACAAAGGATCGGCGTTCTCCAGCCTGCAAACCGCAGGAAGAGAAGGAGAATTTGGGGGGCCCAAAAGACAGGCCGTTCACTGCGTGGGTTCACATCGCTGGATGGGACGGGTAGGCGGCGTGGAGATATCGACTGATGATTTGTCAACGATAGCGACAGCGACGAGCAGCTGTTCAACGGCCTGTAGAAAAGGGGAGATTTGAGATTTGGAGGCCAAAAAACAGGCCGTTCTGCCTGCGTCGGGCGGGGCAGATGGCGCTGGTAGGCGACATGGGGACATCAGCTGTGTCATGGTCTGTATAGAGGTGAAACTACGCTGAGGGTACAAGAAAGGCACGAAGGGGGTTACGGAATATAGACAGCAAGTACAAAGCTCAGTAAAATCTCATTTTGCTATGAAGAGAGGAGTAGAAAGTGTTCAATGTTGAACCTATTTGAAGCTCTTTGCTCAAGCCCCATATTCTCCTCTGCCATTTTGGCGCGTGTGTGCATGTCAACTTTTTGAAAGCTCTCTGGTTCAAGCGCATATCTCCATTTCTGTTCCATCTCAGCTCATTTTCAGCTTCCATTTGATTCTCTGTTCTTGGTCTCACTCTTTTGTGAGATCCTCTTGTTTGCATGCCTCCCTTTCAATGTTTCCCAGCCATGCTCAGCTATGTGTGTGTGTGTGTCTTGACGATGAATGTTTGATGTGATTGTGACTTGTGAGTGATGTGAGAGGACGTATGTTCAATGCTCCATGTATGCTCCGTATTCCATGCCCTGTGTTATGCACATGTGGATTTCTGACTTCGCCTCAAAACGCCGCAAACGCCGTGCTTTTGCTAGTACTGTCCTTCTTCATGTGTCTCTGGGATGGTCGGGATGGAGTGTCCAACGTAGCCGTTGGGGGACTGGTAGAATTGTGGAGGATGAGGAGCAGCATTGGCAGGACCGGCAGCAAAGCCATTGTTGTACTGGTTATGATCCATGTTGTGAGTCGGAGTCGGGGAGAAGATTCCTGCTGGCAGCATGTGGTTCATGTTTCCGTAGCTGGGAGGGGTCATGTTGCCGAAGCCATAGGCGGAAGTTTGATGTTGCGGAGTGCCGTACATGGGCTGTGGCATGCCCTGATGGTTGTACTGGATGGTGGCAGGTGGAGTGAACTGATGCGCAGGCATGCCATGAGGGCCAACGGCTTGTTGACCATGGGCGCGGTTGTAGACTTGTGGAGTGTAGTTCATGTTGTTTTGGTAGCTGGCGTTGCGGTTGCCATACTCGCGTCTGGGTCGGTTGTTCTGTTGCTGAACTCCCATGTTTGGAGCCATGAGACGGCCAGAGGGGCGACGGGCAGAGTATTCCTTCTGTTCAACGCGGAGTTTGAGGCCATGCAAATAACGCTGTAAAAGAGAGAGTGTTAGTTTGTGGTGTGAATTGGGAAGAGTGAAGGATGGACTTACTTCAGCACTAGCAGCACGGTCGGCTTCGTGAGCATGGGCGAATTCGACGAATGCGAAGATGTTCACTGCATCGTTCTCTGTCTTGTGTGTGAGAGGGGCTTCTGGAAGCGGTGAATTTGGCACTGATGGGACTCACCATAAGTCTTCTTGATGATGTTGACTTGGACAATGACGCCAAACTCAGCAAAGAGCTCCTCAAGATGAGCACGAGTTGTTCCTTCTGGCAAGTTTCCAACGTAAATGGACTTCTGATCAATTGACGAGCGAGGGTTTGCGAAGCCAGTCACAACAGGGGCACCGTCAGGTCCGGGGCGGATGCGTGGTTCGAGAGAAGGCGCCATGTAAAGCTGGTAGCCATTGGTGTGATTTTGAAACAACTGGTTAGGGGTCAGGCAGCCACTCATCAGTCACAAATGGGTCGGGCACATACCTTGAGAGCGTCACGGCAGTCGAGGTAGAACGCGAACTTGACATACATGCCGTTTCCTGAGCCGCCATGGCGTTTATTTGCCATGGTGGTTGGCGTGACTGACTCGAGAGTTCCATAGCGTTCGAGGAGTCCACGAGTTTCCGCTTCAGTGATCATGGTGCCATCAGTCTTGCTGAGTATCACAGCGCCTTGAAGTCATTGTCAGCTTCTGATCGATGCAGGTACGTGCGGTGCTGGACTCACGCTCTGCCCTCGCCTGTTCGATCCGAATCTTTCTGCCATCCATGATGAGACCATATGCGCCAGAGACAGCTGCATTGGCATCCTCGTCTTTCTGTCACAACAGTTAGCAACGGCGATGATGATACGGGGGTTCTTCTGTAGTGCTTACCTGGAACTGGATGAAGGCAAACGGATGCAGGTTTTTGTCACGTCGGATCTTGACGTGATTTGGGCCATAGGTGTCAAACGTCTGATGACATGAGACTTCAAGCTGGTCCTCAGAGCGGAACTTGGAAAGACTGAATTGAATTAGAACGGGCATGTACCAGGCTGATATCTGTAGACTTACTTTGCGACAAAAATGGCTGCTGTTGGTGGATAGAGACCTTGCGCATTCGCAGGGGTCGGGACTTGGTTGACACGGTCTGGTCGCGGAGCGAAACCGTTGTACCCAGCAGGGGTACGCAGGTTGTTGATGATTCGGCGGGCGACGGTGTTCATGGGGACGCTGCTGTTTGTAACAGAGCTCTGAGCACCAAACACATCATCTTCAGCACTTGGCTGAATGGCTGGCTGGTCTGCGACGGTGGTGTTTGCATCTTTCAAAGATGCTGGTAGAGATGTTGAGCCTGAAAGATTGAAACGGTCAGTTTTCATCAAAACAACGTTTAAGAGGGACGAGGTCATCGTGAAAAAGAAGGATCAAGGTCAGAAGAGTACGAACCTTGAGCGGCTTGGGCTTCTTCGACGCGGCTCTGCTCGCCGTCGAGCTTCTCGGTTGCCGCATCCTCCGAGATCCCCACGATCTCGGGGTTTGGCGTGGATGAGGAGGATCGAGGGAAGGTGATGGGAAGGAGAGGGAGGGTGGGCAGTGCCCGGCGAGGAGAGGTAGGAGAAGAGGCGAGACGGGACGTCATCTTGCAGGCTTATCTGTTTCAGTAGCGAGTCGATGTCAGTAAAGTCCAAGATCAAGTTTATAGACTGGGAGAAGATGTACTCACCCTGCAAACGGTTTCGCTTCTCTAACTAAAGAGAAGAAAAGGTAAACGAAGGGATAAATGTGGGGATATAAAGAGGCAACAATTCAAAGCGAGTTGTGTTGAGAGCGCGAGGGGTCATGAGGGTTGCTGGGCCTTGGCGTTCATCAGCGGTCACTCCGATTCTGAATTCACTTTCTGAAGCTCACGGAGACGGCCTGTTTTTGGCCTCTCCATGTCCTCGCTTTCAGACCGCGCTCCAGACTTACCCTTGGATCTGCACCGAAGTGCCAGATGCTATTCATGACGATGGCCTCTCAACTACCTCCAGGCTGGAGGGTGTTTGCTGGGCTGAGGGCGCGCCTTGGGCACCATGTTGCTCGAGAGCTCAACTTGATGACTTGTCAGCAACTCCATCTGACTTCCTCTGTTTGGGGTCACTTTACTCATGGCGCTCAGTGACGATCTGTGTCTACGCATGTCAGTAACCTTTGTCATTTGAGGTGAGCAAGGGCTTTCTTACAGTGTGAGAGATGAACGATGATCAAAGCAGGCTGTTGATGATGGTGATGAGGTTGACAAGGAGAATGTGTGAAGAAAAGAAAACAACAAGGAAGAGAGTGGCAGAAATTCACAATAAAGACCTCATGAGGCCTCGCTGCTTTACGCTAACGCCATTAGGAAATGCCAGTCTTGTCGAAACTGGGGCTTCGCTGGCTTGGCTGGAGCAGGAGGTCCAGATTGACTACAGCTAGGGCCGGAGTTTTTCCGGCCGATCCCGACACCAGCAGTGGACTATTGGCGGGCCAGATTGTGAGGGAAAGGGCTTGGAGCACGTGCAGGCCCATGACGTTGAGCAGCAATTGCGCGTGGAAAGCTCACAAGAGGACAACTGGGACAAGACCAGGGGCTCGCCATCCGATGGAATAAAGGCTCTTGTTGCAGAGCATAGCAACGATGTTCATGCCTACGGTCAGGCGCTGTGCGCCGGGCTTCTGGAAGAAGACAGGCCAGGAACTGGGAAGAGCGACAAAATTTGGTATGTGGTCCGTCCCATGGCTCATTGAGGGCGTGCACAGCCTTGCTGAGCTGCAAGATGTCTTGAGCAGCAGTGTTAGATGTGGTGGAAAATGATAGCAGCGACTCTTGGAAAGGCATGAGCTAACTTCTCTCGATGCTCAGCACTCAATCTCGAAGGCCTGCATTTACCTCTTGCCCCATATCCTATCTTCGACTTTGCAAATCCCGAAACCATTAGTACACTGAAGACAATGACCGACCAGTCCGTTGGCGGCTTCTCAACAGCACAACTCACACAGAAGCCTCGTGATGTATCTACAGACCCTCCCACTCCTGCGCACGTCCTTTTCCACGGCAACATCTCCACGAAGCTCCCCACGGAACGACCAGACATTCAAAGGACAGGCTACGCAGCATGGAGAAATGAAGACCGAGGGCGGACACTCTTCGGCGAGTTGTTTTGGAACGTCGACACCTACATGTACCTGGCGCTGCGGGTAAAGAGCGACGGCAGGAAATACTTTGTCAACATACAGACGGACTCGATCGTTGAGTCGGACATACATCAGCATCGATTGTATACTAAATATCACAAGGGTGCAGAGGGGCCTGACGACCCTGGGCAGTGGGAGACCGTTTGGATCAAACTGCACGAGTTTGTACGCACGAACCACGGAATTGTCACAGAGCCACAGTCAGAGATGTTGCGACAAAAGGTGAAGAGCTTCGGCATCGGTTTGATTGACCGGCAGCCAGGCCCGTTTGAACTTGGTATCGCTGCAATGTGGGCTACGAACCTCAACGAGAGGGGTCAGGTCGATGGGCGGACAGGCTGGGAAGAGGGCGACCAGGGAAGCGCCAGATTAAGTGAAGTGACACTAGAAAAGCTGGCGCAGAAAGCCGAAGAGAAGAAGGCAATGCCAGAGCAGAGGAAAAGCTTTCGCGAAAGAGTGCCACATTTTGGGAAAGTTGGTTCAGGAGACACAAAGGCGTTCAGATAAATCAAGACAGCCAAATAGATGTCGGGACGATTGTATTTGCGGTCGGAATGTGAAAGATACTGCATGTTGCCTCTACCTCAGGTCTTGTAGAGTCTCTTGTAGAGACTTCCCAGTCAAGATTTTGAATGCCTCGAGGTATCTTGCATGAGTGGCCTGGACCACATCATCAGGCATCTCCACACCCTGTTTGTTTTTGAGACCATTATCCGTCAACCAATCCCGCAGTGGCTGCTTGTCAAAACTCTCCTGGCTCTGGCCGAGCTTGTAGGAGGATTTCGACCAAAACCTTGAGCTGTCTGGGGTAAGCACCTCATCAACAAGCACAACCTCGTCTGTTTCCTCGTCCAAACCAAACTCAAATTTCGTGTCCGCTATGATGATCCCCTTTTCTCTTGCATAGTCTCGTGCTGCCTTGTAAATGCGAAGCGACAGTTCTTCTATTCTTTTTGCATACTTCTCGCCGACAATCTGTACAGCTTGTTCCGTTGAGATGTTCTCGTCATGCTTACCCAGCTCAGCCTTGGTGCTGGGAGTGTAGATGGGTTCAGGAAACTCTTGGGATTCTTGTAGGCCTTCGGGCATCTTCTTCCCATTTACTTCACCGGTTTTTTTGTAGGAGGACCAGGCGGAGCCTGTAATGTAGCCACGGACTATGGCCTCCAACGGGAACACCTTGAGCTTGCGCACAAGCATACTCCGACCCTTTAATTGAGCGGCAATGTCCTTCGGGATTATAGTCGGCAGGTCGAGGGAAATGAAATGGGTCTTGAGGTCAGGGATCTGTTTCCGGAGGTATTGGAACCAGTGTACGGTCATCAGCGTCAGGACGAGTCCTTTTTCTGGCACGCCCTAGATTTGCAAACCTCATTAGAGAGCTTGCAGTATGGAATTGGACCAAGAGAAGCATACATTCTTCATGATAACATCAAAGGCCGAGATTCTGTCCGTCGTCACAAAGAGCAGGGATTTTGAGTCGACATCGTACAGCTCCCGGACTTTACCTGAGGCCAATAGTGGCAGGATATCTCCCAGATCTGACTTGACAAAAGCCATCTTGAAAACCTCTATAGGTTGGTCTGCACAATGTCTCCTGTGCGCAGGTGGTTATGGTACACAAACAAACCGAAGGAAAAATGCGAAGCAAAGGAAGCAAACGTGCCAAACACACCAAAGTTTTCGCCGAAGTCCCACCAACCAAGATATGCGGCTCGGCGGCTCGGTGACACGCTGGGCGCCAAAACGACGCGCCTTTCCCGGTTTATTCAGATTCTAGCACGCCTCCCACGAGTAGCTGTGGTTCTCGAACAGAGCAATGCACTCGGCGGATGCACCTCAGCCTGCTAACTGCTCCGCTGCATTGCATATCTCTCTCTGACCTCGAGTCAGCCGCAATATGAGCCGGTATTTGACCCCAGCAAAGATTACGGTGCTGGTGCTCGTTCTGCTCTATACAGAGGATGTAGTTCCGACCAAAGAAGCCACAGCCGTGTTATCTTTCATCCTCTCTCAGATTGTTCCGTCAACCAAGCATTCTCCATTGTTCCGGGACAGCACAGATTTCGAGCATGCTCTTCCAATAGCTGAATTCGAAGCCACATTGTCGTCCCGTCCGTCTGCAAGACCCGGCAGGACTCTATTTGATTTACTGCTGAAGAGACTATGGGCGATTGATTGCTCTCATGCGCTCGACGCCTTCATCACATATCTCCCTTCGCTTCTGACAAAGTCCCGAGAGCAGCTCCTAAGGGACCGCGAAAGTGGAGAAGAATCTGAGGAAATCCCTGGACGCATTCTCAGAACATCCCCCTTGGGCGCTTTCATTCGTCGCTGTCATTTGGAATATACCAGACTGCAGTTCCAGGACAGCATCACTCTCTGGCAGGATTTCATTTCTTACAGACTCCCGACTCGCGAGGCGTATGAGAAGAAGAACCACGCGGGCAGCAGAAATGCCCTTGACTCGAACCTCGCAGATCTGGGACTCGATTCGTCGCACCCTTTGGCCCAGTTGATGTACGGAAGGCTTGCTGAAGACGAGCAAAAGTATCATGGCGCATACAGCATGTACGATGTCGAAAAATTGATGGAATTTCAAGTCTCTGAAATCCAGCGTGTCGGCGGGAGACTACCTGACGGCATGAAATTGAAGCTTCAACAAATGTCCAAAGCTGGTACTGTCATCCCAAAATTGGGGAATTATCTCAACTTCCTTGATGCATGGCGGGCTGGGGACTATTACTCTGCCTTTGACAATTTGCACAGATACTTTGATTACGCCATGCAGACACGAGAGAGAGCAATATATCAATACGCACTGCTCAACCTTGCTATTCTTCAAGCAGACTTCGGGTGTCACGCTGAAGCACTTTCTGCGATGCAGGAGGCCATCGCCACCGCTCGAGAAAACAAAGACACCACATGCCTCAATTTCTGCATGAGCTGGGTATACCATTTCGGGCGATCTTTCCCCGGCGGAATGGACGCCATACGCGATAATGGCATTCTTGGCAGCGAAGTCGAGGGCCTTGCATTTCTCAAATCACGGGCTAAAGATGCGGAGATGTGGAGTCTCTTGGGCACGACACTGTTGAGTGAGGCGAAGCTTGGTATGCAGTACGGAGACAGCCTTGCCGGCGTATTTGAAAACATTGCCAAAGCATCGTATCTTAGCGTCGTACGGTCAACCCAGAGCACCACAGGGCCGATGCTACTCATCAAAGGTGCCGCATTCAGCAGAATTGGCCTTGGTCATCTTAGCTGGTTCTGTGGACAAGTCTTTATGCAGTGCCATTCCAAGGACGCTCCGATCGAAGATCTGTTCAAAAACTATTGTCGGATCGCCGGGCTTTTGGTCCAACGTGGCAGATATGCCGAAGCTGAACAAATGCTGGACAATATTCCGTCGCATGTGCATCGGCGAATGAAGTTCCAAAATTCCCTGAACTTCTACTCCAGCTTGTTGAGGGTTCGCAGGCTGATACATCGGGACGATCTCGATGCTGCCGAGCACTTGCTCGATCGACTGAGCGGACAAGGGGCACCGGATGTGAAAGTTGCATTTTCGCTGTCACTGCTTGAGATTGAGCTGCTCATCCGTCGAGGTAGTCTCGACCAGGCTCTTGAAAAGGTTGAAGATTTGGCACAGGGAGCGGATCAAAGCCATGAAGTCAACGACATCGCCGTGCAGACCCGGCTGCTGAACCTCAAAGCACGAATCTTGATCGAGAGCCGACACTCGCTCAAGGCCTTCTCGCTTGTCATGCGCGCAGCACAGATCTCGTATCGAGGAAGAATCCTTCCCTCGTTATGGACCTCGATCTGTCTCCTTGCCACAATTCTCAACGACCTCCGCGAGTTCTCCGCCACTGCCGACTTTCTGCAGTCGGCAATGCCTCAAGTCTTGGAATGTCACGACTGCGAACTGGCCGCCCACTGCTACTCCGCGCTCGCAGATGCAAACATGGGTCTCGCGGGTGCATCATCGGGACCAGACAAGTCTTCTGCGACCAAGCAAAAGGAGCTCATTAACAAGGCAATGGAGAATATCGACCATGCGCATGCCCAATATAGGTACATTGAAGATTTACAGGGCCAGCTGGAGATGTTGAAGAAGAAGGCAACGATTATGCACTGGAGAGGGGATTTGGTGTTGGCAAATGATACGGCGACGCAGTATTTGGGACTGAAGAAGGAATACAACGCCCAGAATGTCTAAAGATTGCCGGTTAATTGTCGCAGTAAACACTGAAATTCTCGAGTATTGAACTGTACGGGATAATGGGTTGTGGTCTTGTTCTGCCCCCGTTAGGTTACCACTTCGCTTCCCCTGTATGCCTTATGTACAAATCAGGTCCACCATGACCAACCTAGTCTTTTGATACCAGTCCAGCGTACTCTGGTGTGCAAAATTTTTTAGGTCTGCTTGTCCTTCTTGTGGTAGTTGACCTGATCGTTCCAGAAGAGAGTCTTGTCACCATCTCCCCAAAAGAAGTTTCTGGTCCGGATATTCTGGTAAGGGTATTCAACACGCTCTTCTAGAGGGGGCATATGTGACCAATGCTCCCAATGTTCGTTCCACAGGTTGTAGGCGTTGATACTTGCTATGATCAGGCACGGAATTACGACGCTGTATGGGTGGTGGGTGGTTAGAAACCAAGTCTCTTCATGGTGAGTGGTATCTGGGGGTTTCATACTAGATTGAGAGTCGACGCCAGAGATCTACACCACGTTAGCATTCTCTGAGGGACTGGCGGGTTTCGGATAGGACAGCGCACCACTCGTCGCAGCAGCATGAGCCTTTACAGCAGCTCGTTCTCGGTTGAAGGCATTGTCTGCCGTTCCAACCAGTTTGCTTGTTCCTTGACCAGGTGGGCTCGGGACACCACTGCTCGCGAGGCGTCGCTGGAAGGTCGATCGGAAGAGGGGTCGAAAAGCAGGCGAGCGCAAATGCTGCTGCACAAGGCGCAGACCAACACGCTGGAAGGACATTTTTGCACGGCAAATGAGTGGAGAGGAGGTTGTCGCTGGCGTTGACTGGAAGGTGGAAGAATGCAACTTGAAGTGAGGTCGGGCGCAGGAGCTCTGCGGGAGCTTGGCAAGCCCAATGACGATGGCCTGAGCGCAGCTGTCATTTGAAACGATGAAAACCCGGTATCTGGGCCAAAATCGTGCCAAATCGTGGAACAGGTGATCTGATTACGCCGTCATGACAAATGCGCTTTCCCACATCGAGCCCCCGTTTGTGAGCTCAATCCGAGCTCCCTCGAACTTCAATCCTTTCTTCAACTGAGCACCAGCACTGTTCGACCATCTCCACTCCTTCCAACTCGCTCTGCAGCTCCAGTCCAGCTGGCTCTGGTCGGCCTGTAAAACCTCTTGCCTTTACAGACCTACCATTGCCCATCATGTCGACAACCATGCTGCGCACCAGCGCCGTCCGTTCGATCCCGCGTTCCTTCACCTCCCTCCAAGCTACCACGCCACGAACAAGCGTCCTGAACAGGACTCTGAAAGCCTCGTTGCGAACCTCTGCTCGTCCCATGCGGACCTCCCGTATCCTCGCTGTCACCGCGTTCCAGCCAGTCCCGAGAGCCTTGGTGCGCTACGCCCACAACGCACACGCTTATGACACCGCAAAGGCAGAGAAGGCACTCCATGACAAGGTTTTGCAACCAATCCCACAAGCAGTTTCCAGTGAATCGACCTCTCGACAAGTGGCTGGCGAACTTTCAAGACCGACAGCCGACGATGAGGATGTGGACATGATGGCCGGTATTCGCAGTGACTTTGTGGGTTCTCGGCGTGCAAGGAAGGCCTCAAGTTTCCTTTGCTAACTTCAAGGCAAACAGAACACGATCAAAGAGACATTTAGTTTGCAAGATGTGCCTCGTGAGGCTCTTTATGTCGGGCTGGCGGGTGTGATTCCTTATCTGGCTACGTCTCTGACTACCGTCTACCTTTCGTTCGACATTCAATATGCGGCCACCCATGGCCAGGGATTTTTCATGTCTGGCGAGACAGCCGAGACTCTGCTTCACATCATTGAGCCAATTCAGCTCGGCTACGGTGCCTCGGTCAGTTTTCACGGACAATTCTAAATTTTCCATAACTGACCCTGCAATTCAGATCATCTCCTTCCTTGGTGCCATCCACTGGGGTCTTGAATGGGCTGGCTACGGTGGTTACAAAGGCTATCCCAGATACTCGATGGGTATCGTTGCGACTGCTGTTGCATGGCCGACACTCCTTCTCCCTGCCGAGGTTGGCTTGATTGCCCAGTTCCTGGCCTTCACCTTCTTGTATTACAACGATGCAAGAGCTTCCAACCGAGGCTGGGCTCCTCCGTGGTACGGAGTCTACCGATTCGTTCTCACTTTCATCGTCGGCGCCAGTATTGTCGCTTCGTTGATCGGACGTGGCCAGATCGCTGATTTGGTCACTCGACCTCCGGGACCTGCCGACAGAATGAGAGCGCTCCGAGCCAAACAGATGGAAGAACTTGGACCTGAGCCAGTGGGCGGCGACGAGGACGAAGAGGAAGAAGAAGGCGGTGAGGAGGAAGAGGAGTAGAGGAATTCCAGAAAGCCGTGCGTCTAAAGTGGAGAAGTGGTGCAACATCTGCTGATTGTTTGCAGGGAGCAGTCATTGTACATATCAAGGCCAGGGCAGGCAAATCAAACATTCCATTTGTTCCAGAAAGCGTGTCTTCCTGGGCAGTTCGCAATGATCGATCTATCGAAGCCCTCAGGATGCAAATGCCACGCAGACCCACAGCGATTGGCACGCCATGTCTCCGTATGGACTGTCCAAACCTCGCTTCGGTGATTCCTTGGCTGGCCAGTTTTGATGTTATTTCGGTGATCGCATGCTCAGGGACCAGGGACCAGCTGCCACATGCATTTTCCGGATCGTCGTCTCGGTGTTGCATCATCGCCTCCCGCAAGCACATGGATCCCCGCACTCCAGTTGCACTCCAGTTGCACTCAAGTTGCTCCCCAGTTTGACGCAACAAATTGTTCCTTTTCCACGCTTCACTGTTGTTGTTACTATCTGCACGCTCTGTCGCTAGTTCATGGCTTCTTGACACCTGTGTGAGCTATTGTCTTCCATGTTATCCAGACTCAGGCAACATTTGACTCATTTCGGTTCTCCATCAAGCTCTCCTCTTCCATCCAACATGGTACTCCTGCCCCACGAATCTACCTGTTGCGATCCATGTTACCTACTGACCAGGGCTGAGCTAGGGTGATAAATCAAACAAGACGTTCGTTGGCGCAATCGACAATGGCACCACCAGCACACGATTCCTCATCTTCGACCCTGCAGGCAACCCGGTTGCCGACCATCAGATCGAGTTCGAGCAGCATTATCCGCATTCTGGGTAAGTTCTTGCATAGGTCAAACGCAGACCTGCATGTTTTCAGAATGGTACCCGTTCTATAACCTTTGTCTCTCTTACACCTGTCAAGCTGGCACGAACACGACCCTGAGGAACTCGTCTCCTCGGTCTTGACCTGCATCGACGAAGCCTGCGCCTCCTTCACCTCCCAGGGCTACTCCCTCTCGGACATCAAAGCCGTGGGAATCACAAACCAACGCGAGACGACCGTGGTATGGGACGTCAAGACGGGGGAACCACTCCACAATGCGATCGTATGGACAGACACGCGCAGCGCGCACATTGTGCGCGAACTGAAGCAGAAAAAAGGAGCGGACGAGCTTCAGGAGTTGTGCGGGTTACCGCTGTCAACATACCCGAGTTCGACGAAACTGCTCTGGATGTTGAGTCACGTTGATAAAGTGAAGAAGGCGTACGGCGAAGGGAGACTGGCTTTTGGCACGGTGGATACGTGGCTTGTGTACAAGCTGAACGGCGGCGTGGAGGGAGGGAAGAATGTATATGTGACGGACGCCACCAACGCGAGCAGGACCATGTGGATGAACATCCACAACCTGTCGTACGACGACAAACTGATTTCGTTTTTTGACCTCGACGTCAAAACGCCGAAACTGCATTTACCGAAAATTGTTCCTTCGTCGGATCCCGAAGCGTACGGCACTCTTGCAGTTGACTGCAAACTCAAGGGAACGAAAATCACGGGATGCTTGGGCGACCAGTCCGCCGCGTTGGTCGGGCAATGCGGCTTCTCGCCCGGTCGCGCGAAGGATACCTATGGGACCGGCTGTTTCTTGTTGTACAACGTGGGCGAAAAGCCGGTGATATCCACGCACGGACTCCTCGCGACGGTCGCGTACGATTTTTCGCCTCAGGGGATCAAGCCCGTCTACGCGCTCGAGGGTTCCATCGCGGTAGCTGGCTCGTCGGTGAAATTTCTGGTCAACAAGCTCGGCTTTGGCACCGAGTCGGCCCACATCTCGGACCTGGCGGGCACGGTCAAGGACAACGGCGGGTGCGTCTTTGTGACGGCCTTCTCGGGCCTGTTTGCCCCCTATTGGTACGACGACGTCAAAGGCACCATTTTCGGGTTGACGGGGTATTCGGAGAAGGGACACATCGCGCGCGCGACCCTCGAGGCGACGTGTTTCCAAACCAAGGCGATTCTGGATGCCATGGAGAAGGACGCCGGCGTGCATCTCAAGGAGTTGGCCGTCGATGGCGGCATGAGCAATAGTGATTTGTGCATGCAGGTCAGTATACCTACCTATACAAAACCCATATTTTCCGAAGTGGCCCCCCATTTTCAATTTTATGACTGACTGACTGACTACCTGGGGGGTGAGGACAGACTCAGTCGGATATAATCCAAATCCCCGTCGACCGGCCGCAGATGCGTGAGACCACGGCCCTGGGCGCGGCCATCGCTGCCGGGTTTGCTGTCAAAGTGTGGTCTTCCTTTGACGAGTTGAAGGAGATTAATAGCGAAGGCAGGCAGATCTTTGAGCCGAAGATTTCAAAGAAGGAGAGTGACAGGTTGTATAGGAAGTGGAATAGGGCGGTGGAGATGTGTCGGGGGTGGACGGAGGAGGGGGACGATGAGGATGAGGAATAAAGGCGGCATTCAATATGTTATATGGATTTTTGAATTTTGTGGCTTTTCTTCCTGACGATGGTTTCATGATGATGCGACGACCTCATTCCTCTTTGTACCTTGGTCGGCTTCATACTCTTCAATCCTCGCCTCCCAGTCCTTCCGCATCGCCTCCATCTTGTTCCACACCTCAGCTCCTTCAACTACAAAAGCCTCGACGTCTTCTTTGGTCGCATCGCTAAACCCGGTTTTTCTCCCCAGGCTCCCTCCCCACCATTTATCCTTGAAGGGCTTGCCGCTCCCGTTGATTCCCCAGCCGGGCACGTCCGTGACTCGCACGTAGGAACGGCCTAGCCGGTCAGTCGACGCACCCCATTTACATGGTCCGCCGTTTTCGTCGCCGGTGGCTTGGGTAGCTTTCTCTGTGATGTCCGCTAGGGACGCAAGCGCGAGCCACGTCGCCGAAGCCGCGCCGAGGTAGCTTGTCACGTTGGCCCAGGGCGAGCCGCACCAGCGGGACAGGTAGATGCCCAGTCGGTAGCATTCGTGCACGATCCAGTACAGGCTGATGATCGTGGTGGTGCAGATGCCCGGGTGCGACACGTGGAAGGTCGGCTCGGATTGATCTGGTCGCTCCCGTGCGGACACCTCCATGGTTCGCGAAGAAGAAGGTGTCGTGTATTCTTTGACTTGTTTGGCGGTTGCGGGCTGGTTGACCGCGCTCAGCGCCAGCAAGTCTCCCATGCGCTTGGTGTGTTCGTATGCGGCGGCGGATTTCAGCCCTTGGTGGTCGTCAGGGTTATAGTGCTGTGCTACCGCCTCGATGGAAGTCGACCAGATGATCTTGCCGCCGTCTTTCGGTGCGCATGCTCGGAATAGTGGCATGAGCCAGTGCACCAGCATGTAATGCCCGAATACATTGGCGCAGAAGACCTCTCCTAAAATCGGTTCCTCACCGGCCAAAGTCCCTGTGGGAAACTGTGGTTTTGTCACCAGTCCAACCAGACCCAGCTTGAAAGTCGGCCATGTCGTGGCCTGTCTGATCCCCGTCAAGACCGTCCACAGCGTCAACGGCCAATCGAGGCCTGACCATCCTCCTATACCAGCATTGAGGACTATGGCGTTGATGTGAGGGAGGTCTGAGGCGAGGAGTTTGCGGCTGAGGGCGCGGACGGAGAGCAGGCTCGTCAACTCGACGTTCTCGGATCGGAAGTAAATCTTGAGATTGGGAGTGCCATGTCTGGCGAGGTGTTTCTCGAGGGTCGAAAGAGTCTCGGCGCCCTTTTTGGCACTTCGAGTGGTGAAAATGATGGTCAGAGTGCCATGGTCGCGGCCGTGAGACGCAAGATACTCGTCAATGAGACGACAGCAGGTACCTAGACCGAGGCCGCTTAAGCGAGGGTGCGCAGTCGTGTCAGAATCTGACCCGATTGAATGGATTCGTTTGGACGGGATGCATGCTTACCTGTTCGCACCAGTCACCAGGACATATTTATCGTTGCTTGTCATTGATCTTGGTCTGTTTATTTACTAGCGAGGAACCATCCATTGCGGGAGGCCTCTTTGTGTGGCATTGAGTGCGAGACGGTTTGAAGTCAAGGCCACCCAAAGGCCACCAGGGGCACAATGATGCCGTGGCGCGACTCGGATCGCAGCCAGTGGCTTACATAATTTCAACATCGACGAAAACCGCTTTGGAATTTCTACAAGAAACAGCTTGAGGAGCGCCAGTGCTCCAGAGAATCCAATTCATAATAAATTACACCCTGTTCCAGCAACCCTAGGCCTCGTTGTCGCCTGGTTCTCGGCCATAGCTAAACACCATGCCTCATTCTTTTTTGTGCCGGAGACCAGCCTCCCAAGTGGCAGAGCGATCCACCCCCCATCCATACGAGCTGCTGTCTTTGGTTGACGTCCGACGCATGTCTCGTTTATACTTGGTCGTGTACGCTCCTCCTGGGGTGGCACGGTGCAGAACCGCCGTGTTGTCCCACATGACCATGTCGCCATTGTTTTCCCACTCCACAGTCAGCAAGTATTTGTCCTGCGAGACGTGGTCTAGCAACTCGTTCACCAGCGGTCTGCTCTGTTCAATCGTCTCCCCGTCGAAATGATGCGCATACGTTGTGATGTACAGGTTCATGCGCCCTGATTCTTCGTGCATCTGAGCCAGCTTATGCCGCGCAAAGGGAAAATCCGCGGGTTCGAAATCCGCAAAAGTGTCTGGTGCAGCCAGTTTGCGGTTGTGGTAGAGCGAGTTGTTGCAGACCAGCGGATCGATACGTCGTTTCATCTCCTCTGAGAGATCGTCATATGCGGTTCGGGAATCGAGGTACTGCGTTGCACCTCCGGTACCCTTTGGAGGAAGCTCGACGGCGCGGAGGATCGAATAGTGTGCGCGGCGTGGATTGTAGGCCATGTCTGCGTGCCAAAGGCAATTGCCCTTGTTCGCCCCGACGCGTGCGGGCTCCAGCTCCGTGAGCACATTACCGTTTTCGTCCAGATTGGAGACGTCGAAGATCTCGGGCTGGCCTGGAAATCGCATTCTGCGGCCAGCCTTCATGTGTGCCTTGACATCATACATTTCGCCGAAGTTGGCGGTGAATTCAATCTGCTGTTCGTTGTTGATGTGTGCCCCGCGGAACACGAGGACACCATACTTGTTGATCGCCTCTCGTATCTCGGCCGCGGTCTCTTTCGAGATGGTCTTGGAGAAGTCAACGCCGTGGACTTCTGCACCAAAGGTCCGGGCGAGAGGGGTGAAGGTCAGCGTAGCCTCGTGCTCGCGAGTAATCATCGTGCACTGATGTGGCGAATCTCAAGGGGAATTGGTAACGATTCACGAATAGCAAGACTGATGCCCTTCTTGAGGTGATAGATCATGAAAGTGCCCCGCCTGATCAGGGCTACATATTCGGACACCACGCAGCCCTACGTCCTATCTTTTCTGTTATATCGACCCAACCCTGCTCAGGCGGGGTCTATACTCCATGCTGGAGACCTCGGCCCGCAGGGCTGCACTGGGAAAACACAGAAAATAAGTCAGGATAAGCCTCGGGACTATGAAAGGTTTGAGGAGGTTTAATGCTGCCAGAATCGCGGGGCCCCGCGGGTATCGAAATCCGTGGAGAATGCTCCCGACAGGGCACATTGATTGGCTTTTTTCAGGTTGTTCCTCGTCGCCGGGAGTATTCATGGAGCGGTCTTGCCGGGCCGGTCGACGCGACATCTAAGCCACCTTGCGAGGACACTGCTCTATCGTCAGCCGAATCTCGACCCGATGTATAGTCGAAGCATTCGTGACGCAATGACTAAGTTGGAACAAGCTGATATACCCATGGAACCCCTCGCCCTCTGCTCATATGCTAACATGCTGCTCTAGTCCTCGATTCTTATCATCACTCCATGTTGAGTGGTCGGAGACACAACTGCCTCGGAATTTCCTAATTCGGCATGAGTTTCAAGACAGGCCAGACGAAACTCAGGAGACCCAGCCTCGCTCCCCATGCCGGTGCCAGTCTATGTTTTGGCAAACATGACTCCTAACGCCTGAATGTTGAACGCCGTCCATGAACCCAAAGCCAGCACTCTCAGCTTCCGCCCATAGTACTATATCCATTCCCACCCGGCCAAAGACGTATCTGACCTTCCTTGCTTTGAAAGTTGAAGTTGAAGTAGTCTCGAAGTCGTCTCCTAGGAGAATCGGATCCGGCTTCTGCATCATCACCATTGCCAAGTGGATCTCGCATAGGTACCAGATGACCGACAAAAGGAATCCAACAACACAATCTGGCCAGCAGCAGGGCTAAGCCATGGACGACCACGCTGCTCACTACTAGAAACCAGACGACGACCCGCATGGCTTCTTGGAGGTACTGTATATCCCCGCGTGGTGTACCTTTGTCGTCCAGAACCAACTCCTCAAGGAACTCCACGGCGATGAGCAGATAGAAAATAGCCGAGACCCCGATAGGTCCGAAGAATCCGACAAACAGGGCCTGGAAGAGGGTTCCGATCTCGGTCACTTTGTGCTTCATGACCAAGATTGCTGGTAAGCGCCGGAAGCACAGGATGACAATGCCCAATGCCAACAATCTCCCAAGGGAGACGACGCCGTTTGTGGCGAACAATGCCCACGGCGCGACTGCACCGTACCAGATGAAAATGGAAATGTTGAGCAACTGATCGGCAGCGGACCAGAAGATCTCGCTGCAAGCGTCCTGCTCGAATCTGCTCGGTAAGTTACAGCTCAAGAAGGTTGCACAAATTTCACTCCGAACTTACTGGTCGTCCCACGCAAATGTACACCCGGCTATGAAACAAGCAAGGATATCGTCGGTTCCCAGGATTCCACATGTTCCTAGGACGAACAGAGATAACGCAATAACATAGATCAAGGAGCTTTCTTCCTCAACGAACCCGCGTCTTCTAGCGGAAAAGAACAACTTCCGTGCAGCGTACCCGACACCGACGCCATAGACGACGCTGAAAATGATGACGTGGCCCCAAGTACCACCAATCCAGGAGGTGAGCATGGGCAGCTGAATACCTTGACCCTCGGAATACTTGATCCAGTACAACGAAAAGAAGAGAAACGGATAACCGAGGCCATCGTTCAACCCTGCTTCAGCCGTGATGAGTCTCTGCAATGGCTTTGGGGTATTGATCTCAGCAAATCGGCCTTTGATGACAGCATTGGAGAGGACTGGATCAGTCGGCGCAACACAGGCTCCAATCGCCAGGGCGGGGATGAAGCCCAGACGCGGCACCATCATCCATATGATAAGGCCAGCGCTAAGCCACATCAACGTCAGGGTCGGGCCCAGCAGGTAGAAAATAGAGCGCCATGCCCGGGAGAGGTAGCGCGAAGGGAGCTGGATGCCCGTGAGGACCAGCTGGACCGCCAAAACAAGCCGGGAGAATTCAAGGGTGATTGAATCTATGTTCTTGCCCTGTCCGCACCCATATTCGTCTGGACGGAGGAAGCCCGCGACATGTGAGAGGACTGCGCCGGCAATCAAAGCAATCACTGTGTTCCCGTGAGCTCTAAGTTGCGACGGAAACCCGGGGGGAAGCGAGTTTGAGAGAGAGGCTCACATGCTTCGGAGAGCAGGAATTTCTGCTTCCATGCATCCGATACTAACCCAAAAACCAAGAGAAAGCCGCCAAATGCAGCGCACACGACGTTGAAGTTTGAGAGAACTAGACCATCCATGTTCGACATGGGGATTCTGGGAAAACTTTGGGTTAACGGAAAGGAAGGAGAGAGAGAGAATCGCAGCAATATCCCGCCCCAGCTGGTTGATTAAAACCCAACGCCCCTCTGCGTTTGAGAATATGTGCCACTCATCATACTTAAAGAGCCTCTGACGGGCAGCAGTTGGTCCCCCACACTAATCTTATAAGTTACTGTAGGTATGCAGATGACGAAGGCACCTGACGGGTTCATGCGGCTAAGTATGATCAGCATTTTTTTGCAAGAGATCATCATCGTTCACGCTGAGCTGGGAAATGGCTCAATCATTGCTCAGATTAGACGATAGGTAGACAGTTATTACTGATTAGGCATAGCCATACATGAGCTAATCTTTTAAACCATTCCGTTGTCACCTCGTGTGATGGTTGCAATTTGTCAAACAAGGGGGCGCGGGCACTTTCGGGAACGGACTTGTATTGTAGCCTTGTCCTGACAGCCTGGATACCTAGGTACCTAGGTACCTAGGTATATCCCGCACACAGAGAGTGTCATTCGCGCCCCCCGTTCCCACATTTTAGGAGAGACGGATCTGAAGGATTACAGTGGGGATTGACGGCCCCCCCTTTTTTTTTGGCGCTGCCGTTGTTAGGTCCTGGCAAGTCACGACCCACCTACGCTTGCCGTGGGCCGTGGCTACCTACCTAAGTAGGTAGTATGGTCTAACACCATTGAATCCTTTGGGTGGCCCCATGAATGGTGTATTCAGGCTAGCGGTGGAGAATATAACCACGAGGGAACATCACGAGAATACACGAGATATTGGGGGTAGTGGTTCAATGCCATTTGGTCAAGCTGTATGTTTTGCCTCTGGGTCTCGCAAAGGGCTTCATTGCGCCGAGACACATTCTAGGTATGTACATACTCTCACACGCGCAGGGGGGTATCATTCAGTCGCAGACGTCATTCAGTCCAAGTCATTTTTATCACATAGCCCCTGGGTTGGGTAGCCCACGAGAAGCAGACGTGGGGAGATGCTGCCAGCCAATCCATAATCCATCATCCATCATCGTAGGTGTGCGCCAAGTTGACAAGGCTGCTTGTCACAAAACGCCCACAGCACCGTCGCTGTTTATTCACCCATAATTTCCCGGATATCCGTACGAGTGCCCAAGTCCTGGAGGCCCAACTGTTGTCTGACCTTGATTCTCTGACCGAAGCTACTCGTGCAGCAACTTCTGCAGCCCGGCTTTCTTGTACTCGACCGCTTTATCTACCCATTGACAGAGTTCGTTCGCGGAGATCCTCAGGCGGGGTTCTTGCAGCAGCTCGTGGGCTTGCGGTAGAGGCAAACCGAGGTCATGCAGGGATAGGCTCAGCGCGTCGGATATCGAGCATACGGAGCCTGTCGAAGAGCGGATTTCCTGAGCCAAAGTCAGAGAACGGGCGCAATTACGGCGCGTGAGATGGGGAGAAACATACCCGGGTTTCCTCGCTCGCAGCGGTGTAAATGCCGAGGTCATTGAATTGAGCTCGAAGAACCGTGACCCGAATACCTTGTGCGCTCGGGTAGTCGATATCGAAGCCCAGAGCGGTCAAGATCTCTCCGTTCGTACAATCGATGTACTCCTTAAGTTTCTCCTTCTCCTGTTCCTGTTTTGCCGAGTAGGCCGTCTCAACCACCAGCGTAGGATGGGTTCGAGTCCCACCAAGAAGGTCGAGTCGGAGATCCGGCTCACGAGTAACAACTTGGTCGCGCAACCGGTAGTAGAGATCGCCCGCTCCAAACGAATGGAGATTTTCCAAAAAATCTGTGACACCCCGATTTGCTGTTGCGACACTCTCGGCTGCGAACTTAAGCTTAAGGACCTTTTCCAAAATTCGGTGTGCAATGGTCTCGTGGACAAGTGTAGGCATTCTGACCATTAGAAGCTGTTCTGAAGGATAATAGCTGAACCTATTATCCAAGGTTAATTTACATAGCGACCGAGAAGATAGCGGCTTACCTGAATTTCCAACCAGCACTCTCCATCAGCTCCTTTAGGTACTCGAAGTCATCCTCGGGAAGAGAGAACTTGGCAGTTGTGTCCGATGATGGTCCAAGAGAGCACGAATCGACAAATTCGACGATAGGTCTCAAAGACGGCGGAAGGGAGTCGAACGTGCCCGGTAGACGTGACGCCGAGGCCAGAAACGAGGAGGCATCGTGGTTGAACATTGAACGCTCCGCATTATGGCTGTCGCGAGACAGTTTTTGACTGATACAGCGGCGCTGTTGATCAGAGTCCATGATTTAATGATTCACAGTTTTGCAATCATAGTGGTGTTATTAGAAAGGTCGGATTGTGGTGGACATTCATTCTGTTCAGACAAAACAAAATGTTTACATGGGCAAAACTTCGGTTAATCTTCTAACACAGTCACTCACAGTGTCTCTCCGGTGGAGTAGAAGATGTAGATTTCTCTACGGGGGAACATACAATATGTCGTCCTAATGTGAATGACACTTCTCGCATTGTGCTCACTGGCGCACAAGGGCCGGGATCTGAAAGGCGTTACAAAGCAGGCCGAGGGAAGTTGTGGAAGTGATGTGATGTCAGGCTCCGGTAAGACGGAACGTCCAAACACACGCTACAACCCGTGAAGCCTCCGGCAGATCCGCTCGCATGCGCTAGTTCTAGATCGCCTCCTGCGGGTCACCAATCGCCGAACGGATCCGGTCATGGGATCTCGAGCGAGTCAATTCTCAGTCTTCTGAACCAGAAGCAAGGGAATGAGAAGGCTCTAGCCTGTCTCTGACCTCGACGGTCCGCGCTAGCTGGAAGGGTCAAGATGTAAGCCTTCTGGTGGTACTGAACTGACCGTCACCTTGTTCATCCTTGGAATGACTCTGGGGGCTACTGAATGGTACTGCTATTCTACGACGCTCTCCTTCTATGGTCGCTGTATCCTGAAAGACCCAAATAGGCGGCTACCTGCTTTCGTGTCCAGCGACATAGAGCCTCCCGGTCTACTAAGACTCAGCGAACATGCACGCAAGAACACAGTCCACTCGGCATAGCCGGAGTCGCATACATCCATACGAGAGTGAAGACAACGAGACACTCCTCGAAGACTCTGAGTCGAATGAAGACAGCTATCTTCCCAAAAATGCAATTGCGCCAGACCCCCATGCCGCCTTGCCTGTCTATGGCACGATTCACGGGTGAGTCTGACGCAAGCGCTTTCAGGTCCAAGTCAGAGCGTATGGCTTAATCTGGGCCTGATTTCTAAATGATGTGCTTGATACTAAATTGGACTGACGGATGACAGAATTCGGAGGCTCGTAATTGCTAGCATTGGTGAGTGAGACTGTCAACCGCACCCATATTGAGATGGAGATGCTAAAATTCCACGCAGATGATCCGTACACTTTGGAGCAGTTGAAAGAACCAACGATGAATGAGTTGATTGTGAAGCCCCTTGTGAGTAGGATTTACGATCCAAAAGATGTCTCGATAGGTAAGAAAGTACCGCCTTTGCAATCCCTTTAGAACCGGGACGCGTGACTTGAAGGAAAACCATTTCGAATCTTCAGTGCCATGTTGCTCCTTCTACACGAATAAAAGTTGACTGTGCGCGCAAGTATATTGCCTACTTGTGAACCGCATGCAGTTTCTCCGTGAGCAATCCTCGCAAGGGCTCAACCAATCTGTCAGTGCGAGCCGCGCCATTATCTGTGAGCAGGTAGCCACACAGCTCCTCCGCCGCTTTGACGACGATCATCCCGGGCCTGAAGGACTTCTTCTCTTAGCCAACATTCTTGTGGCGGGCTTTGAGCCCTTTCAGAATGCGCCAGAGTGTGTGTTGCGCAAAAAGCCTCTCCCGGGTCACTGGCCGGTCCAAAAGCGAGGAGGCTACGAACGAAAACTGACAACCCTGGAGATCGCCATAGTCTCCACGAGCAAGCTTTTCCTCAGCTCCCCAGCGGCTCAGAAGGTGGTCGACGCCGTATATCGAGGGCAGATTGTGTACACTCCTCTCTCGTTCGTCGACATCTTACCAGATCACTACAAGCATCGGCCAATCTCACTCTACGATCCCCGTCAGGCATCTATTCTCAATCAATACCGTCTGATCGTCCCCCGCATTCGCTTCATACTCGAAGTTGCCCAATTTGCTGTCCTATTGACGCTGTACATACTCACCTTGGCCTTCTATAACCAGTCGCGTTTGACTGTCTATGAGGTGGCGTTCTGTGTTTACACCACGGGGTGGATATTGGAAGAGTTTGCCGCTATTATCGAACATGGATGGCAAGTCCACACGCAGAACCTCTGGTCATTTCTGGATATCACTTTCATAATCATCTATACGGTGTACTTCATCGTTCGGATGTACGCCTTGAGCACTGGGAAGCTCGAACCGGGACTAGGCCTCAATATCCTCGCAATTGCCACCCCTGTCCTCCTCCCACGCCTGGCATTCAACCTGATGCCCGACAATATGTTGTTTATTAGTCTTCGCGCCATGCTGAAAGACTTCATCGTTTTGACATTGCTGGCGCTCTGGTGCTTTGCAGGATTCTTTGTCTCCTTGAAGTGGCTCACTTACCTTGACGAATCGACTAAACCGCGCGACATACTCAACTCCGAGACCGTCTCGAAATGGATGCTTTGGATTTGGTTCGGACTCGATGGCACTGGAATTGAGCGTTCCGTCGACTTCCACCGAATACTCGGACCGACCGTGATGATCGTCTTTGCATTTCTGGGAAACACTCTTTTTCTGACAGTCCTGGTGGCGATGTTGACCAACACATTTTCCAAGATCGTGGCAAATGAAAGTGCAGAGATCCAGTTCCGGCGCGCGGTCCTCACATTTGAAGGTGTCAAGAGTGATGCAATCTTCGCTTATCGCCCGCCGTTCAATGTACTAGCTCTTATCCTCCTTCTTCCAATGAAGCTCATTCTCTCACCACGACGCTTCCATCAAGTCAACGTTTTTGCAATCCGACTGCTCAACGCTCCCATCCTGCTTGTCATAGCTGCATGCGAGCGACCATGGCTCTGGCGGGCAGCCAACGACCATTCCCAAGGATCGCCGAAACATGGCAATCTTACAGAATGGATCTTTTCAGGGTTCTCGCCCCACGGAGATATCCAGGCGGTATTTGATATAAGAAATCCGCAGGCGACTGTCGAGCATTATCACGGCTTCAACGTATTCGATCCACATGTGCGACGAGACGAACTTTCTCCGAGGCAATGAGGAGGTCTGGGAGTCCTATAATTCTGCAGAAGAAGGTGCTCAAACGAAGAAGCCTTCACATCATCTCGAAGAAGCTTGTGTCGTATCCAGTTGGGAGACACGAGCCCCGATTTCTATCTCTAGTATTGCTCAGTTTTTGACACCGAGTGTAGGGTTGTCCTCCCTGATTCTTCAGAGGGAGACTATCAGCTCTGACGCTAGACCAATTTAGGCCTGGAGGTTAACGCGGGAAAGTCCGTCCCGCGCTAGTCCCGTCTTGAAGTGTATCGCCAGGCCGCACTTTTGTTCTTGCCCTGCTTTCTTCTTACCACATCTACCCCGTCCTTCATTTCGATTCACCTTCACATGCAATAAGAGAAGCTCATCTGTGATGCATCAAGTCCTGTTTTTCAGTTATTGGCGATGGATGAGCAATTCATTCCAGCGGGGTTTCTTGTCCTGTCCGAGGGGCCGTTGACTGTGGACCTTCCCTGTGACCGAATGACAACAAATGCAATGCGGACAAAGCACAATCATTCTCCAACCCCGTCCCAGCTAGGTGCCACATGCTCGTAAGCCTGTGGATCAAAGACATAGTCATCCTTTGTGACTTCCAGTCCAGCATGAATGAATTAGGAGACTGTTGTCGGGGCAGTGCTGTGGGAGGGTCGTCGTTCTCGAACCAATCACACACATCTCACCGGTAAGACGGAACGCGAGGACAGCAAGATTCACCGCTATCCCACGCCATGCGGCGCCTAAATATTCCCTTCTCCACCACCTAAGCGAAGGTGGTGTCTTTACCTGGCTCACCTAGTCCCCTCCCAACAGCCCTTACTCCAACAAGGAGGATGGGCGTGAAGGCACCTCATGTGGGAGATTTGTCCGTCAATCTCGACCCACCCTCCATTCCTACTCCGTAAAGTGCGATAAGTGCGTACCCGTGAAAGATATGAGAGGTAATATTCTTTACTAAGATCGAAACTCAGGTCTGCAAGCACTCGACTCTGCACGCGGAAGCCGCACCCTAGACAGCTCAAGACTGTTAGCATGGTCATTCCCGGAAACGGCCATCTGTCGACTCCGTCATCGGCAGAGGTTGAAGGAAAGTCAAGCAAACCCCTAGTAATGACGCTGGAGCATTTGATGGCCTTGATGAAGCACTAGGTTGTCTCCCTATATCGTGAAGTCTCGAAAAAATGTCGAAGCTATTCAGCGCTCTGAAAATGGTTGTTCTACAGTCACCCCATCTCCGCACAGTCCGTGTAGCACTATATCCCTCTGCACCGTTGAACGACCCATGTGGCATGTTCACTCGTACGACACTCCAGACGCAGAGCCAGCGCTAGATAGCTCTATTGTTGATTCCCAGTTTGGCTGAGGACGCCCAAGGTGAAGCTTGTCTAATTGGCTTGGTGGTCATCATCAAAGACCCCGGATGGACTCTTTCGCAACTCCATCAGGTACAGGGAAGAGAGCCACCAACTCACTCTACAAGCTCCAACCACGGGTATGACAACCCACCGCATCTGGACCGAGCTACCATGTCTGCTACTGTGGACATCCAACCCAGACTGCTCAGACCCAGCTTCGCAAATGACCGCTCTTAAAAAGCCTCAGACTAATCCTGTTCTGGTCTCAGCTCCAGCCATGACCAGATATTTCTTTTCTATTACATATCATCCATACCTTGCATCTGTTTTTCACACCAGCCCAGCTTTCCCACAAGATAGCGAGGAGTCCAGACAAGCTGCACGCCCGCATTGTCTCTGCACGAAGAAATTGACACGAGAGAAACGGAACAAACCCTGAATCGCCATATCCAGACGTTCATTCCGTTGGGTCATACTCGAGGGATGGCTTTGAAATCTGATTCTATTGAATGCCGGAGCGGGCAAACGCACACCGAAACTGCAACTGCAAAAGAAGACACGCATGCATGCGAGCCCGTTAAGCGTCCGGTCTATCAGCTCAGCCAGCGCGGCTACGACAATCTTTTGATATTCTTGACAACGCTCTTCATCTTTGAAGAGACCGGTATCCCTTATGTCCTTCGAACGGACTGTGCCGTTGACTCCGACACTCCAAAGCGACTTCGTCTACGTCTTCTCCTGTTCTCATCAGTCAATGAAAGCTTCCTCATGGCGCTGTTGTTCTTCGCATATGGTCAACTTGATCAGCGAACCTCCTCGGCTGCAACTCCTTCTGGAAAAATGTCTACATGGGGTTTTTCAGCGGGCTTAAAGAGACTCGTACCAGCAATAGCGTCCAAGCTTCTCCTCGAGATGATTCGGTTGTCAGTGCCATCCACCGTCGAAGAAGCACGGGTTCAGACATCAACGGTGAATCCCATCGTCTTTTTCCCTATCCTGCTTTTGGCCTTTGATTTCACTACGTCGACTCTCGTGGAACAGCTTGGCAGCTCCAGGCTGGCCGTATACTTGGAGCAGTTTCAAGGGGAACGAAAATTTGTGGTCCCGGTATATTGGCTATTACTTGCGGAGGTGGATTTCTTCGTCCGCACCCTGTTTCCGACCAGCGTTATGTCGACATCAGCTTTCCGACCGACAGATGTCCCGAAATACTTCTTTGCCTACATCTGGGGCCGTCTGTCCGTCTCAACGCGGGACGTCTACATCCTCGCCATTACCCCGGGCTTGCAGCTACCAATCATCTCCATGGCGCTCAGTGTGCTGTTCAGCAATCTCGCCTTGCTGGACTTACTGGGTGCGGCGATCCCCAACCTCACGAAAAACGACGTCGTCTCTGAAAGCGTCGAGAGCGCGCTCCGCAAGATGGGCGGGGGTCTCACTTACCACGCGGCCATGTATAGTGTCTGGAAAACTCTCAGCTTCGCGAGCATTGCGCCCACGCTCCTAGCCACGTTTGTCGAGCACACGGATCAGGACTTCTCCGTCACCATCCCAGTTGTGGGCAGGAGGTCGCTGAAGAAATACGCGTACGCTGCATTCCTGCTGTACATGCCTCTCAGCAGGCTCGTTCAAGTGGGAGTGGACGCGATCAGCGTGCGGGTGTTGGGAGGAATTGAAGTGGTGCGCCTTCTTGAGACACACAGCTCCATCGGCTCAGGGCTGGTGGTGGCATTCTTTGGGACCCTGAACACAATCCTGTCGTGGATGGTTGCATGCATTGTGGTAGAATGCATCCCACATGCAAGCCAGATTCTGTGAGATGACTACGCATGTGGAGTAGAGTACACCCGAAGGGTTTCCCCTTGAGAACAGAAACCATCAATATGGCCTTTTAGTGAAGCAACTCCAGATGCTACGCGCAATGAATATATACATTGTTTGCAAAATGAATTTCGTAAGGCTCCGTTACACAGCGAGAACATTACATACCTCAAACTGGGAATATTCACCCGTGTCCCGCAAAGCAGAATCAGTGTGAGCTTTGCACCGTCTAGTACTCTATTCACGAAACACAGAAACGCAACAACAAGACAAGCATCGGTAACTGCTTTCACGGACCCGCAAGGTGCTCTGAGACGGACTTTTCCCAAGTGCGTGAACGGCCCCGATATCCTTGTTCGCCGCCGATTGAGATGTTGCCTGTTGTTACCCGCGAGTTTCATCGGTCCTGGCCTGGTTACCTGGAACCCTTGACCCACCAGGCGTTGGGGCCTAAACATCCCCAAAGAGCAGTGGTCGACAGACAAAAGCACTTGCAAGTTTGTTTCGTCCGTGACGTCTTGTCCTCCGCAAGGGCAAGTCCAGACACGCCTGCAATGGAGGGACCGGTAAAAGTGTCACAAAGTACGCAATGTACGGAGCTTTGAGCGCGAGTACGAGATAGCCTACACGGGGCGACGGCTTTATTCTCACCGTCAACGCCCATGCGAGAGGATCGGGAGATAGCCATATCAGACAGGAGGGCCTTCCGGTAAGACGGAACGATGACCTGTTGTCCTCCCCCCACCCCCACGACCCTCTCTCTCTCTCTCTGCGTCTCTTCCTTTTTCGTCCCTGCAGGTGCATGCTTCCACCCCAAACGCGTCTCTAGGTACCTACGCCCGTTCCGCCTAGGCTTCGGCTTTCCCGAGAAACGGGACATGGGTTATTATTATTGCTTGTCAACTGTCGCCATAACCTTAGACACCAGCGATGGAACTATGGGTATGAGTATGAGTAGTATGTCGGGGATCAAGTGTGTGTTTTTTGCAAAGGATTTTTGTCTATTCTATATAGTATCCCTTTACTAGCTCCGGCGTACGGGAAGCGAGACAAAATAATGAGCAGCCCCTGTCTGCTGCTGCTGCCGCTGCTGCTTGTCAAAGCTCCTTGATGAAGCCGACTTCGACGAGCTTGTCCACGGGGATATTCAGGGCCTGGACCTTTGTGCGCGTGTTCTCCCGGACCCACAGGAACGCTTCCAGCACGGCTCGCCTGACGATGTTGGTGCGAGACTTGACGCGCAGCTGCTCCTTGCCCACGATGTAGACGACCTGCTTGGCGAACGCGTGCTGGAGCTCCGACTGCTCGAGCGAGGCGGCATGTTCGGGGCTCAGGGCCTTCTCGCCCAGCACGACCTGCTTCGTGTCGCCGCCGTTCCCGTCCCCGTTCATGCCGCGTCGATGATGATGGCCGGCATGCGAAGTCTCGAATCCTCCCTCACGAGCCAGGAAATCGCGGACTTGGTCGTGCAGCAGCAGGCCCAGATTCTGGCTGACCACCTCGTCGTTGTACCCGTGGCGGATGATGACGCGGTAGCAGTTCGGCATGGGCTTCTTGCCGTCGCCGGCCCCATTGGCCATGAAGCACCGGTTGATCTGGAAGCGTTCTTCGGCCGGCAGCGTCGGGATCTCCAGGGGTCTCAGGTGGAAAAAGATGATGACGTCCGGCGCCGCGTGGAACTTCTGCAGGAAGTGGATAAACGCCGTCGGGGTCGTCGACTGCGCCCCGGACTTGTCGAAGAAGACGCCGATGCCGTTGATGCGGGTGATCTCCTCGTCGCCAAAGGCGGGACTGAGTCGCAGTTTGCGGCTGTATTCACTCGTGCTCTCGGTGGGTCTGAAGATGTCGGACGTGGGCACCCGTTCAAATCCCTCCGCTTTCCACTGTTCCTCCTTTCCAAACCTCCAAAGAACGAAAAAGCAAACCAGCACCACGGAGAGGGCCAAAGTGAACCACGCGCCGCTGGGGACTTTGGTGAGAGCCGAAGAAAGGAAAAGGCCATCCCAGAGCGCGAATACGAGCCACACGGGCGCCACGACGTACAGCGGATAGCGCCAGACGATCAAAGCCACCACGGCCACCATGTTGGTGGTCAGGAACGTGACCAGAATGACGCAGACCCCGTAGGCGTGGCCCAGATTGGTGGTGTTTGTGTAGACACCGGTGATGATGACGGTTCCGATCATCAGCAGCCAGTTCGCGATGGGCATGTAGATTTGCCCGTGGAAAATCCTCGACACGTGGACCACCTTGAGCTGGGGGAAGTAGGAGAGTTTCATGATCTGAGTCAACAGTTGAAACGTCGCAGTGATCGTGGCCTGGCTTGCAACAATCGCGGCAAGGATAGCAATGATCAACGACGGCCAGATGCAGCCCGGAGGCACGGTTTTGAAGAATGGATTGTTGTATGCGTCGGGGAGATCGGCCAGATAGGCTGCTTGTCCGATATAGCTCAATAGGAGACAAGGGTATGCAAAGTATAGCCAAGACAGCCGTACGGCGGGTGCGCTGAAAGCTCCCAGGTCGGCGTAGAGAGTCTCGCATCCAGTGAAGGCGAGGAGGATTCCCCCTAGGTTGATCCAGCCTTCTCTTCCGTTCCTGACGAGGTAGTGCCCAGCAAAATAGGGGGAGAAGGCCTTGAGGACAGAGGCGTCGTGTTTGGCCAGGTTGTAAATCCCAAAGACCGCGTTGAAGCTAAGCCAAACTATGACGATAGGAGCAAAGGTGGTTGCGAGCTTGGTTATTCCAAAAGGCTGTAGTAGGAAGAGGACGATGAGGATGGCGCACGAAGATCCAATCACAGTGGCCTTGCTGATATCTGGAGACACGACTTCGATTCCCTGGATCGCGCCGAGGACAGATTGTGCCGGCGTGAGCACTCCGTCCGACATGACGAGGGCAACACCGAAAACGCCCAGCACTTTGAGGACCCATTGGACGGTGGAGGAACGCTCCATGAGGTTGCGCGCCGTGCGTGCTGGCTTGCGAAGGTCTCCAGTGATGTGTCGCTCCATCCTGATCATTTGTGCTTCACGAGGATGGCGGCGGACAATGTTGGCGTATCGAGTTAACAGGGAGAACAGGGCAAAGGTGCCACCCTCTCCTTCGTCGTCGGCTCGAAGGACGATAAAGCAGTACTTGATGGTGACCATGATCGTGAGGGCCCAGATAATCCAAGAGCATGCGCCAATCAAGTCCTCGCGGCTTGGGGGAGACGAGAAGGTCGACGAGTACACATACAACGGACTGGTACCGATGTCGCCGTAGATGACTCCAACGGACTGATAGGCCAGCCATAGAAGTTTCCATCCGTGGAAAACCTAGGTAAATTAGCATCACAGGATGCCTCTGGGCTCAACGGACTTGGAATACCTGTCTTCTTTTGATATCTCGGGAATCCACGCTGCCGGTCTCGGAGTCAACCTCAATGTCTTTGATGGACTCCTTTGTCTTGTCCACAGGGCGGACAGCAGCTACTCCAAACGCCGAAGCCTCGCGACTCCTGAGAGTGTACACTCCTCCGCCGTCACCCTCGACAATGCCCTGCGAGCGGGCAGAGCCCATTGCCTCGGACGGCTGGGTTCCAGATTCGTTCATGGCCAGGGGGTCCAATTGCACGAGAAGAAATCTCGATAATGGGGGGTGCGCCCCAGAACAGCGGATTCTCAAGGTCTCTCTGTCTCTCTATGTGAGCTGGCGAGCACAAAAGATGAGAAGGTAGGAAGGGAAGGCAGAAGTCGAACGCGACCTGGGCACGGATCAGATATACCTGTCAAGCACTCGGGGTACAGTCGTCTGCCCTGTTTAGGCGGAAAGAAGCGAGCATTGCCACGCCACCAATGGTCACATATCTGCACTCCACCCCATCAAAGGCAGGGAGACACCGAGTGGAAAATTTTCTTTGCCGAGTAAGATGAGGAGATGGTCTTGTTGGAAAGACCCTGGATTGCCTGACTGGGGCTGCAGTATCAATACCGACACGATCAAATGTGTCACGGACCACTCAGTTCGACCTGTGGAGGCTTGAGAGCTCGTGCTGGAAGCAGGGGGTGGTATGGGTTCCAATCTAGGCATTTCCTTGCTGGTGGAGACCGGTTCGCACCCCCAACATTGGAGCTGATAACCAAGATCGAAAGCGCAAAGCAAACACCAGCGGAGCTGACAGGTTCGTGGGATGCAGAGGCAAAATGCCTCATACCAATTTTAGCAAGCCCTCCTTTGCCCTCCCCTACACTTGGTGGGATGGCTCTACAATGGCAAAGGCTCATCCAGCCGCTGTGTGTGGGTCGAGACCAGTTGGTGTCCCACGTGTGGTCCAGTCTTTGCAGCTACAATACCCTAGTCCTATCAATGTGGTATTCACGATAAGAGTCCTCTAGGTAGACATGGACTAGATCTAGCCTTAGCGAGATCCATTGTGCTGCAATATACACGAAGGCTTGAGTTGTCACTCTGGAGACTCCCTCACATGTGTCTTGATGAGAGCTGGAGGCGTTGCAGGGATCTCCAGGTTTTCTTTTTTACGCACAACACGTGGGCAGTTTCAAAGGCTTTAGCACCAATTCAACTGCCACATCTCAACGAGTGATGGTGAAAACGATACTACAAAACCTTTGATAGACACACGACACTTCTGGCGAGGGTTACTAACCTACGAAAACAAGGGAGATCAATGTTCAAGTAACACCTGGCAACTAAAGAAGTGATCGTTTGTTTCAAGGCTGCAAGACTCTCCTCAGCAGAGTCAGCCATCTTGCTACAACTCACAGCCCAAATCTTTAGCATGTAATTCAACATATGAAGTGCATCCTCCAAAGTCTCCGACATGACAGTGACCACTGGGTACGTACCTATGATCGCAAGCCAGGATCCGTAAGGTATCATTCACCATGAAAGGCTGCGTATGCGTGGAAAATAGATCTTGACGGATAGACTTGGTACTGTGTCGTCTGGATTATGCCTTGATTCGCCTCAGTATGTGCGTTCTCACTGCCACAGAACTGTATTCTTCTCTGTGGCCAGGTCCTGCTCTTCGATGTCACAACTCTTCAACGTGGATTCGCTGAGGACTCGGTGTTTGCACATTTACCGTGCTTGCGTATGGCGTCGATGGCGTATTTCATCGCATATCTGGGGAGGTGGTCTGAACGTTTTCAAGCAGACAGTTGAAACAATGACAATCATTGCAATGACGATCAAGAGAGACACCATGACGATAGTCCCGCTCCCAGGAGACTTGGATTGATCACTTGTCATATCATCGGCAGCTCTCGTAGTAGAGAGGCAAGCAGAAGCATGTCAAAGATGAATTGTAATAGTGGTTTGTTGGTTTTTCTTGGAGTGACCGCATCCATCTCTCGTGAAAGACTCGGATGCCAGAAGGGCAGGCAACCCTCAAGCAGGGTACCTGCTGCCCAACGGCTAGTCTTCGCATAAATGCCGCATACAGAAGACACCACAGCATGTGTCATTCTTCTCCCATCCGTCGTCAGGTGTGCTGCAAGCGCGGGAACGATCTCGTCACTAGGTTCATCCTCAAGCTTTTGCAAAGCACTTGCAGGACCGCGAGTGTGTATCCACAAAGTGGCCCACACAGGATCTGCAAGGTTCCCAAAGTGGTAAGAGGACCCTGGGCAGCGACCAATGAACATGGACAATCTTTGCTCACGGTTAGACGGAACAGAAGATACAGAATGCCAAGGTAAGGAAAGGGGCCGAGAGGGGCAGCGCTTTCTCTCACATGCCCGTAAGCTGCCCTTGACAAAGGACGCTCTTTTCTCCTTCTTTCATTCCCTCTCCTCGAGATTGGGCCATGTCAGCATCCTTGTTCATCTCCACTTACGCTTCATGGGATTGTGTGGAGTACTTGTTGGGTGCTCGGTATCTCAGGAGCAGCACGCTCAGAACAGTACGAATGTTTCAGCAGCTGCGCTCCAAAAATCTCAGTCTAGGCTGGACAACTCACTTGCAATGTTCTAGATCGGCTAACTTCCTGGCGGATCTCTTCTTCACCCTGCCTGTGAGAGTCTGTGCAGAAGCTCAGCCACGCCACATGCGCATAAGGTCCATGAGAGATTTTTCCATCTGGCCCCTAAAGTTGCAGTATCTCTGCGCTTGACGGGACGGTACCCGTTCGATACTCTGGTAAGGCTTCTCCTGCGAGGCAGCATGGATGCCGGCAGCTAGGCTATTGGTCTCCCCCAAACTGTCCTGGGCAGGATTATTCCCTGGCAGTCAACACAATTCTACTTGTTTCAAAAGCTCAGTATGTCAGTCTCGGACGACAGCTACTGTGTGATTAAAGCTCTCTCATCCCAGTAACACGGCGGTGAAACCCTAACTCACTGACAGTTACTATGATGCCGTCACGCTCCATATCAATTTCTCGTCGTTAAGCGAACCACGCCTGATTCTTCACGTGAAGAACCCCCGATTCCACCAGCAGCTTGGTGTATTGTTTGTGGGCCCAGACCAAGGGCTCCGGCACGATCTTGACCTCCGAAGAACCTTCTCCTCTGTCGATTCCCGTGCCCGCGAAGAAGACGGACTTGAATATAAAGTCCACGTGCCCCTTGTCAAAGTCCGGCACAACCTGGATCTCGAGCAGGCCGTCCATGTCGCGGGGCATGTCAGGCCGAGTGAGCGGCGATTTGCCCCCACGCAGCAGGACCGACTGCGGCGTCTTGTCCAGTACGACAAGGTGGTCGGTGAATGCCGTGCCGACTCCTACGTGCTCTGCTGCAGAGCCTGCTTCGACCAGAGCTGCGACTGGGTTTCGGGCAAAGTGCCGTAGCGCTGGCGGAGGTGCCATCTCTGGAACGCGTAGCCTGGACGTGCACGATACGATCAGTTCTCTCTTCTTTCCCTTACTTCTTTCTGACTTCGCAGCGTCGACGACCACTTACCGAATCCTCCCCAGATACCTTGATTAAAGGCCTCGATCATTGCCGTGCCACCTCTGCGAGCATCTTCAACCAGTTCCGGTCGGATCTGGCTCAATGGATACCGTCGGACGCAGACATCTCGCATTTCCGCCCCGGGCGACGGAGTCGGATTGTACTTGGCGAAGGAGGTGTTGCGGAACAGTTCGTCGGTTGTGGGGAGGTCTGCAATGCTGCAGTTCCTTGTCCACAAGAAGAAGGCCGGGACTGTGGTCAGGGCGCCCGCGCCTGCCGTGAGGACGGATCGAAACATGACCCCGACGCCGCCCCGAGTCTGCGCGATATAGGGTCCAAGAGGAGCTGACAAGGTCGGAGTCGTCAGCCGTTATGAACCACTGGCACAAGGTATTTCCCGCGAATGAAGTATTGATAAATGAGATGTGGACTTACGTCGAAGTGGTTTCTGAAGGATCTCAAAGCATCGTGATGAGCAGGTTGGGAATTTACCTCGGTCAGGGCCTTATAACCATACAGGTAGGTAGATTGTTGACGCTCGAGGACAGCGCTCTGTTCTGCAAGACAGATCGATCGTCCAGCGGTATTGGAAGACAAGGAAGCAGATGCAAAAGTTTATAGTGGCTATCTGCACAGAGACTTGTCCGTTGGCGTGGATCTTAGTTGCCCGGAGTCCATTGATGTAGGGAGTAGGGGCAGAAGGATGCGTCCATGGTAATAGTACTGCTGCCATCTGTCAACTAGATCTGGGCAAAGCATACTGTAGAAATAGCAGTCCCGGAGGCCCTCGGGGTGATTCTGTTCGGTCCGAGACTGTGCGAAAACCTTGGAGGGAGGGAGGAAGCTTCTCCTCGACAACACTTTCTTCTCGCAAAATGACACGAGAGAGATAGAGAGATCTGCTTAGCTTCTTATTCAGCGACCCGGCAACGACAATCTGACACGAAGGCCGGGGTGGGGTGTTCTGTCACCCGCCAAAAAATCCCCGTGGGCCGACCCCAAACGTTAGGAGAAGTTAATGGTAAGCAAACGAGGGGGGTGGCTAGAACTTCCTGGAGGCGCTCAAAGGAAAAACGAGATCTCGAGTAACCCGAGCCCGCAAGATATCTCCAATGGAACAATAGAGGGACGAAAGAAAAAAAACGGGGGAGAATTGGACCGAAGACGGATCGAAGACGGGCCGATGTTGTTTGACTTGCCTTGGACCAATGATGTTGGTGGTTCCCCTGCATTGGTACCTAGTGGACGAGCACCGAGTATGACCTCTACTGAGTTAAGCGAGGTAGGATAGTGAGTGTGTCGCCAGTTTCCAGGAGACGGGCGTGGGACGTTGAGGTTTATACGAGGTATACGAGTCGATGTGGTAGGAGGGGTGGGGGGCCGAGATGGGTTCAGGAACCGAAGAGGTGTACGAAAGAGGAACCCTCTGACTACTACTAAACGGGAGTGCTCGGTTGCCAAATTAGCCATTTAGATCACTTGATACATGTACACATGTGTGTATATCACATCGTGGTATGTCATTCTCGTTCTGAACACCGCATGCATTCCTCTCTTCGACCACTGCGAAGTACCTTGTGAGCCTCAACATGGGCTCTTTTACAATCTCCCCAGAGAAGTCCAACAAAACAGCTCACAAACACGGCCGAGCTCATCTGTAAATACATTCTTGAGTGCAACATACCTCGGTATGTATAGCTTTTTTCTCCATCTATGCCGTGCCTCACAACCCCATTGCGGGCTGGGGACCCTGGGTTATGGCTCTCGGCAGCAGAAAAAGTTTGAAAAGTCCTATTGATATCCCTAGAAGTGGATTCGAGCGACTCCGATGATCTGGCCACCGACCCCCTCTTGCACAATCAGCACTCGTTCCAGGCCATTGCTCAGATCGTGCGGCGGCAGCTGGACCACTCCCCTGCCGCCTCTCCATTCACCGAGGGCGGTGACGCTTTTGACGACGTTGCGGTGGGCGAGCGTCTTGCCGGCGTTCTCGCCGCGAGGGATCTCCACCTCGCGCAGGGCAGGGTCGTAGACGACCTCGAGCACTCTGCCCCGGCGACCCGTGGCCGCGGCTGCGGCGGTGGCTTCTCTGATCAAGATGCCCCCCTCAACCTTGGAGAACAGCAGCCACGGCCAGTCCTGGCTCGCGAGGGTGCCGCCGTCCTTGATCAGCTTCTCGAGCTTGCGCGTCGAGTTGCCCGCGCCCTCGGACAGGCCGTTCACCACCACCTGCGGAGTGTACACTCTCGACGTGCCGCCGGCTTGTGCGTATTCGCGCTGGTGCGCGTCGGCCTCGCGGATCCCAAACGGGTCCGGCCACCCCAGGTGGTCCCAGTACGTGACGTGGTAGTCGAGGACGAGGATGTTGGGGTCCGCCAGGGTCAGCAGCGACAGAAGCAGCGTGTTGGTCGGCGGACAAGAGTTGCATCCTTGCGATTGAAATGCTTCGACCACGATCGGCCGCTGCGGTCGAGGCTTGTGGATGTGGATCGCGCACTCGCAGTCCTCTGGGTGAGGGTCGAACAGCGCGTACGGTGGCGGCGGTGGTCCTTCCTCCTGCGCAGGATCTACAGGCGGTGCTGCGTCCCATCGTGTCCTGGGAGCCTGCCGTGTCTGCAGGGTTGGTTGTTGTGGCTGCTCGTCTTCATCATTGTCGCCGTCGAAGCAGCATGAGAACCATTTCATAGGGTTCATTGACCCTCTAGGATTGTTGGAAGAGGACATTATTTGTAGGTCGTTGGGGGAGGGAGGTGCAAACTGCCGACGTGGGATAGTGAGGAGAGCGCAGGAATAGGGTGCAAGTTATGTACTTTTCATATAAAGAGAAAAGTTGAAAAGGTTCATGCACCCTATGGCACAGCCGTCATGAGATGTTCCATTGTTGTTCCTGAACACCAATCCGTTTTGCAAGAGATCAGCCCCAGGACATACAAGACCGCACTGCTCAATGACGATGGCTTGGAGTGATTTGACATTATGTATGTATAAGCCACATTGACGTCCGCTCCGATCGTTCCGTGCCTGTGCAGAGCCATTCAAACCCCTTTGTTAATAACATTCTGGGCGCTGTTTCCTGCGTTTGGTCTCAGAGTAGGTTGGAGAAATTGCGGCAGGGCAAGCTAGCGGGCCCTGCGAGGCTTAGATCTGACAATGTTTCCATCATCAAGATCCACTCAGCAGAGACGATGGCAAGGGATGATCAGCCAATCAGGCCATATTGCGGAGAGCGGGCGAGACAAGCCATTTAGAATCAATGGCGATTGACCATCTGTTTTTGCGATGCCTCGCTCTTCAATCACGCGTCGCAAAATGCTGTGTCTGTGTTTGTCGGAGCGGATTTGAAGCCGAGGAGAGGTATACGAGGTCTAGTCGCCAGATACTCTCTCGCCTTGAACTTGTTGGAGGAAACAGCGAGGATCATACCGTGGACCTGGCATTATAGGTAAGTGGAACTCAGGCCATGAGAACCGGAGAGCAGAAAAGTCGCCCTACGCCTGCGTACTGCGTGTTGCCTTGAAATGTCCCTGAGGCTGGTGCAGCCTCGTCAGTCCAGCGACAACATGCAGATAGCATCCAACTGGCAGGAGAACAGTCTGCACAAAGACACAAACCCTTCGACCCATCTCGGCACACGCAGACACCTGGAGCGCGTAATTTGTATATATGTTCAAACAAGGGCTGCTGTGCCGGTTTCCCGGACTTGGTCCTAGCACATCGCAAGCGACAAGTCGCACGAGCTGTGATGCTGCGTATGGAAATATGTATATATCCTTTTTGATCTGGTGCTCCAGAGATGACAGGGTCCAACTTTATGGGCCCATCCCTCAATATCTCTCCCTTACCGTGCCTGGTGGTTGACGTGGGTGTACGCAGCGAGGAATGAGCGCCAACATTCCAGCCTGGAAATCATCTCGCATTGAGCCGGGAAGCACCGACACTCAGCCCATTGTTCCAAAATCATCTCCATGGATACCAAAGGAATGTCTCTTTTGTTTGAGATCCCATCCGGAAACAGAAAAGTCGGCCAGGTCCTCGATGTCTTCCCATCAACCAACTGACACGAGTTCGGGTCCTCGAAACTTTCTTCAGCGACTGCATGGTGCAGTCACGGCGTCGTCGTCCTTCTCTCCCTTGCCGAGACTCGAGCGTGTTCGCCATGAAGCTCGTCCTCACCTTCCTCTACCATATCCTTTGTTTTCGGCTTGTGCATGCCATTAGTGTACAGGATATCCCCGTGTGCGCAGTAAGTTGGCTGAGGGCCCCGGGCTGGGAGAGATGGCTTGTTGACTCCAGGAACAGCAAAATTGCCTCTCAAATTCGACGTCTTCTCAGACATCATGTGCAGTGATCGATCTCGCCTGCCTCTGTACGAATTCAGCATATGTCAGTTCATTGTCTTGCTGCCTAGATACCCAGTGTACTTCCGATGAGCAAGCACGTAAGTGGAAGTCGATGCGTTGGGAAAAGATTCGATACCTGACCAGTCATCACAGTTGCAATTCAGTTCAACAAGCAGGAATGCGCTTCCGTCAACGAGACCGCCCCCGATTTCGTGGGATGCTCACCAGCAGGACTGTCGAGTGCTCTCGCTAGTATGAGTCTCTCGCAAACCACACCAGCTGCAGGAACTACATCGATTCCACCAGCATCAACGTCCTCTTCGTCGTCGAGCAATCCGAGTCTCACGACACTCTCGGGTGACCCTGTGTCGGAAACAGCGGACGCAACAACCGGAAAGCCAGTAACAGTAACAGCTTTTGTTGGAGCACCACTGATGACTGGCAGCTGCACAGTACCATACTTTGTAATAACAACAGATGCTGCTGGAATGGTGACTGAATATCCCAACGTTGGTTGTTCTGAAGACAGGCCAGAGTGCTGCCCATACGAGTACGGACTCAATGCGGCCATCACAAGGTGTCCCCAGGACTATTTCACCACCGCGAGTGCCTGTTGTCCACTGTGAGTTCTTTCGTTCCCGTTCTTGTCGAATTTGGGAGGCTAATCCGACATTAGTGGATATCAGATTTATTACACCGCTGTTGGACAGAACACCCCATGTTACTCGTCGCCTGCGACGACATTTGTCCCAGCGTCGACTCCGACGGTGGCCGGTCTGACCCTTATCACCAACCACGTCTTCTCCCAGAAATACTCACTCGTGACACCACAGCCGGCGAAAAGCAAGTTCCCGACCGGAGCCAAGATTGCCATTCCCATTTCCATCGGGGTCGTGATCTGTATCATATGTATAGCGACCTTTTTCTGGGTCAGGAGAAGGCGCAAGGTGAGACGGGCCGCAGAGGCGAACCGCACGACTACCTTCCCACCCGAAGAGCCGGTACTCTCTCAAATGTCCATGTCGAGGGCGCCGACCGCACACGAGCTGGACAGCCCAGAGGCCCAAGCAGGTTCTCCAGGTGCTGTGGGAGTAGCAAACGGGTGGCCTATATTCCCGACATCGTCACCGCCAGCATATGATCAAAGCAAAGGAGTTCAGGCAGCTATCCAGAAGCAACCGCCATCGGCCCCACAGGAGTTGCCGGGAAGCACATTTATCCACGAACATCACCCGGTGTTTTCGCCAACCGGCTCTGTGAGCACACCCACAGAAGCAACGCCCAGCTCGCCGCCAGGAACACCTGTGCGAGCTGCTTCAGCAGGAGCAGAGAAGAGGTCACCGGTGCTGTCTAGCCCCACGTCACGTTCAGAGACTCGAAGTCCAGTGTTCGTGTCGCCCTTGGGCTCTCCTAGGCTGCCCAAGACGGGCTGAGAGGGAGAAATCCGTAAAAATCTTTGCATCTTCAACCGGAGTTTTCATTTGGCCTTGTAATCGTGGGATAACATTGGATGCAGCGCTCGAGGCTGGAGTAGAGACGGTATCATAGTCAGAATCAGTGAGAGACGGCATGGTAGCGTGGTAAGAAGAAACAGAAAGTACAATCGAGCCTTGTTGGTTTCGAAGAAAATGGAGTGCATGTGACCCAGTACTATTTTGGTCAGACAAAAACATTATGTGACCAGCCTGCCTCCTACTCACATGAGCCTTCGTCAGACAAGAAGCTGGGCTGGTTTCCTAAACATTCACATGTGGCGCCAGAATATCACTAGAGCAATAAGAAATCACAGGATGGCGGCTTAGTGTTGTGCATGTTTCGATTTGCTAGCAGAGTGTAGAACCATTCGGCCGAGCCACTAGGAAGGAATGTCACCTGTGCCTGTGGCTCGTGGTTTCTGTCTTGCACAATTTGGACGTGCTCACTGCAATACCGTATCAAATAGTGGTTATACTGTACGACCTGAGCATAAACCCTTCCAATTCCACGATAAGAGAGTCATTTTACCCGCTAAATAAATCCACGAAAAGGACACGGCTTGTGAAGGCCTGTGATTAGCCACCATCAATGTCATCTATCACTGACCCGTGAAACCCCTTCCTTCTCTCCTCCTCTCCCACCCGTTCCGGGTGGCAGCAGCACATCGGGAAGTTTGATCCCCAAGCTGCCCTTGGGACCAACTTCTTTATCCTTCTTGGGCTGTGACTTGTTTCCTCGTCCATTATCCCCATTGTCTGTGTCGTCATCCTCACGCAGCTCAACCTCAATCTTTTTCAACTTCTCTCCGCGTAGAATCTTCATGATCTCTTCCCTGTCCAGTGTTTCGTATTCCAGGAGCGCGTCTTTTAAGGCTTCAAGTTCTTTGCGCTTCTCTTTGACAATTCGATCGGCACGTTCTCGGCCGCCTTCCACGATTTGTCGCACCTCGTGTTCGATTTCCTGCTTGGTCTCGCTTGAAAGTTTGTCGTAGTCGGAAGCAAGATCGACGTTTCCCAGTTTGGCCGAGTACCCACACTGCGTGACAAGATAAAACGCGGTCCGAGTGGCTTGCTGAACATCATGCGAGATACCGCTTGTCACCTTGTTGGGACCATAGATCAATTCCTCAGCCGCTCGGCCACCCATCGATACATCGATCGACGCGATGAACTGATCGTAGCCCCTGCTGACCTCGTCCATTTCGGGGAGGAAGTGAGTGACACCAAGCGCTTGGCCACGGGGGATGATGGTCACTTTGTACAACTGGTTGCTGGCGGGAGTAAACAAGTTGACCAACGTGTGGCCAGCCTCGTGGTACGCTGTTTGGATCTTGTCCTTTTCTCGAATCATGCGGGACTTGGCTTCAGCCCCCATCATGATCTTGTCTTTGGCCCACTCAAAGTTCATGGCGGTGATTTTCTTGTACTTGAGTCGTGACGCATGGACCGCAGCTTGGTTGCAAAGATTCTCCAGGTCGGCACCAGACATACCACTTGTAGCACGTGCAAGGTTGGTGGCGTCCACATCGGCAGCAATGGGCATATTCCTCATGTGATGCTTCAAGATCTGGATTCGCCCGCGAACATCAGGTAGGGGCACGTTGACATGTCGATCAAATCGACCAGGTCGAATGAGCGCCTTGTCCAAAGACTCGGGATAGTTGGTCGCTGCGATGAGAATGACACCGGTGCTTGGACTGAATCCATCCAACTCGGTCAAGAGCTGATTGAGTGTCTGTTTCGCATAGGCAGGATCACGTGCGTTCCTTTTGCCGCCAACAGCGTCGAGTTCGTCGATGAAGATGATCGAGGGCGCCTTGTTCCGCGCCTGAGTGAAGAGGTCCCGCACGCGTTTGGCACCGACACCGACATACAGTTCGTCAAACTCGGAGCCGGACATGTAGAAAACAGGTACGCCAGCCTCACCGGCAACAGCCCGAGCAAGCATGGTTTTGCCAGTACCAGGTGGACCCACCAAAAGAACACCCTTCGGAGGCTTGCCTCCTAGTTGATTGAACTTGTCTGGGTTCTTTAGGAATTCGACCAGCTCTTGGAGTTCCTCTTTGGCCTCATCGCAGCCATGCACATCGCTGAAACGGACGGTCTGATGCTGGGGTTGTACCTCGTTGTTTTGGCCGACCCTCGTCCGAAAACTCCCAGTCATTTCCACAACCATGGTCAGGACTACCAGGAGGAAATAGCCAGACAAGCCAACCCACAGGAACGTTCGGACCCACTTCAGAATGGTAGCGCCCCATGATTCTTCCACCACCACGTAAAGCGGCGCTTCTTTCGCCCCGGTACCGGATTTGTTGCTAGGCATTATCACTTGCCCACCGTAATTCTGTCCGGCGACCGCCTGACCGACGGCTCGTAACTTGTCAGCACCCAACCCGTTACCTTGTGAGCCTGCGGCGTTTGAGCCGGGCGTGCCTGGAGCAGGAACCGAGCCGGTCATCTGCAAAGCCTTGAGGTAGGCCGCATCGGCGGCTGGGTTGGTGGCATATCGACCCGACTGATATCTTTCGATAACGAGCTTGGGCATGTTTGCGCGAAGGAGAGCGGAATAGAAAGCGTTCTGGGCAGTGGCACTTGTAGGGTTATTGTTCGCAGTGCGTTCGGCGTGGGCCAGCATGTTTTGGTTGGCGAGTGGGGAAGTCGTCGAGAAATGTCGATATTGCTTACTCGAGCTTGAATTGTTCCCTCGGCGAGGAGGACCAAACACTAATGAAGTCATTGAAGGTTGTGTTAAAGGCCCTTTTCTTGTGCTCTTTCCAGATACCGCCCTTGTTGAGGCATTGGTGACATTAGTAGACAGATCTCGGCGCAGGAATGATATGGGATTCAGGCGAGGGGCAACGGTTGAGGAGATAGTTCGAGACATCCAGGGCGGTGTTCTGCGAGAATTTAGATTGAGAGAGTGCGGTCGGAGACTATTGGGCGGAAGGGAGGCGAGGAAGTCTGGCAGGACGACGTTTGAAGAAAGCTGCAAGCCAGTTAGCACCATTCAAGTCTCGGAAGCAATCCTTGCCTACCGTTGACTGCCCTGCTATTTGGCTGGTCGAGTGTATTTGCCGCGACCCGGATGCATCTCCTTCACTTCGCAGCCGCGCAAGGCGAATCCGTCGGAGAGTTTGGAGCGGCGAAGTAAAGAGCGAAGGCAGCGTCGTAAAGACATCCGGAGCAATGGCAGACAGGCTCTGAGACAATAGATAAGTCAGCGTCCGGCGATTCTGTATCGTGAGAGGTATACTCACAGGCAACTGGGAGAGGGGAGCCTGGAGGGCCATGATCGGGATTGAGCGGCGGCGGCAGGCCGCTGATGAAACGTGGAAAAGAGACACCCAGTAAGAAGACAAGGACTATGAAGAAAAGGAACCAACTCAAATAAAAGAGACAATCAAAGAAATATTCTTGACTTGCCACGCCCTGGCTCTTGAGATAGTTGGCAGGCAGGCTGGCGGGCGACGATGGTGATGGGGGAAATGGAAGCGCAGAGAGAGGATGAGAAGTAGCGCCCGCTGCAGCTTCCGGTCTGCCCCATTCTTCGCCACTGGCACCCAGGCGAGGAGGAAAGCCACAGCACGTGATACCATTCTCCGAGTGCCAAGCATCCACAGCCACAGGGCCCGGCCTCAGCCTCAGGAGTCACCTCGCCATGTATTTTACTGGAGCGTAGAGACAGGTTTAGCGGACTGGTCATCGATATACCACTAGTACTGCAACGAAAACACCCTGATTCTGGCCATCACTTCCAGATCCTGCGGTAAGGCAAGGAATAGCCAATCTCGATGAACCTGACCAACTTCAACTATGCCAGTCTCTGAGCGGAAATGCTCCCTAACCGAGCGGAATCCTGTACATACAAAGACAGTATGTTGCTAGAGACCGAAGAACCACATATCGCCGAGTTGGGGAGATTGCTGGGTGCAACTATCGTATAGTCAATGCTTCTGCGTCATCCAACATCCTTCGATCGCGCAGACTTCCTCCGGTCGTTGCAAAGTATGTATCATATCCATTCCAGGGCTACACAACAGACGTTGATGCCGCCTTTCTGGAACTGCAGCACAATGGAAGACTCGGAATCTCTTTTTTCGAGGATGGTCTCATGCACTTCACCAAGGTCTTCCAGATTGACCACCCGACTTCCAGAAGGTATATTCATGTCGTTGTCCTTCAATGCGATTATCCCTTTGGATGGTGACTCTATCTCCGCAAGAATATTAATACGCGGCAACTCAATAAACCGAGGCCTGCCAGGACGGAGGTGTAAGATCCCTGTAGAAGAAGTTGATTCTCTTGAGTCGATCCTTTGGTGCCAATCACTAAGTGCGCGGTTTTGTGGTACCGGAGTCCTGACTTCGTTGCTTTCGACAGCGATTTCTGAAATGGGTACATCATTCGACCGACTAGGTGCCGCAGAACCGTCCGCAGATGATGGTAATTCGCTGGCGTCTTGTTCAGGGACAATTGATGAAGCAGATGACCCGGATGTGTGAATGCAAGGACCATTGACCTCGACTCCCTCCGCAACTGTCGAAACGGGCCTGCTCAGCCTTTGCGCCTGGTCAAGTCTCACGTTGTGGATTGTTGACGCGGGTGAGAAAGTGGGAAGATGCTGCAGATTGTGCCTGCTAGTCAGTGGGTAAGGACGCAAAGGACTCCTCGTGGAGATAAGTTGAGTGCATTTACGGTGCATTTCTTGTATGGTTGCCCTCAATGCAGTGATATTCGCGGGACTATATTCCTTGAGGTCTGGAATAGTCCACTGATCGTAAAGACGCCCATGCCATGCTGATACGGCGAAAACCTTGTGTTCGGTAATGAATAGATGGCAGAGAAAACAAGCTGCTTTGCTTGTCCCAATAATCCGAGGCCTAGGCCCCGTGGCTTTGAGGATGTAATGAATGACCATCTGCACTTCTGCGTGTACGTGACAATAAACCTTCTCGCCCGAAAGTGATATAGAGCTTTTTGCTGGTCGGTATGGAGCAATATACTCGAGCCTAATCCTTGAGAAAAGGGGTCTCATTCCTTTTCTGCGAGCTTCTCTGGACAGAGTCTCAGGAATCCTGTAATATGCACCGAGCTTGTCGATTTGCATCATAAATTTATTGTTGAACCACGCACGAGAGTCGAGTTCGGCTTCGTGTAAGGTGGTTCGAAATGGAGTACGACCGTTGTCAGTGGTGATAGAAAAGCACTCATGAACACACTCCTCTAGCTCTTGAGCCGCCTGCAGGTTATCTAAGCGTAGGATATTCTGGAATTTCGCTCTCAGCTTGGTTATTCGGTTCACTAGGCCTACGGCAGTCGCCGTTGTCGCCGTGCTTCGCATCCGGCTCAGAGTGTTCTCGAGTTTTGGACCGGCGTTCATGGCCGCACCGTGATGGTGTGAAGGTTGATATCCAAGAAACAGCCGCATTCGTGAGATGATCCGCACATGGCAGAATGCGAGTACTAATCTTCTGGTTGTCGAAATGCACTCGACCAGCGAGATATCTTTTGAGCAGTGAGAACAACACTACCAGCCAGGGTCACAAAAGTAATATGTGCCTACCAGTTGACGCACAAGACATCAGACAAGCGCAGATTTGTTCCAAGGCAGTCCTGATCTCTTCGCGTATCCCTTCGTTTGCAGCGACACGAAAGATAAGTCCCGGAGGCTCACGAATCTCCTCAACGCACGCAGCCGCCACGCTCTCTACTCCTTCTTGGGCAGCTGATATGAATGCAAGATCATCAGCTAGTCTTTGCTCAGTCTGGTACGGAAGCAAGCGAATTGTCGTTGAAGGGGGCAGACTCTCTTCATGATCAGTAGTTGACCACCAGTCTTTTGAGTCAACCGGAACGCCGCCCGTGGCTCTGGATAGGGCAATGATAGTTCGACGAAAAGCATCCTCTGAGAGACCTTTCCATATAGAGTTGTCTGGGTTGGCGGTGCGTAGAGGCTTTCTGTCCGGCATCATGGAAAGACGATATCATGTTAGAGATTCTTCTTGATTCAGATCCCAACACAGTGTCAGAGTAATGCCATGTGAGGCTGAAAGGCGGTTCCCTATGGTGGATTGAACAGCCAGTGAGGGAGTGCCAACTGGCTCGGCCAATTATCCAAGCGCCACATTCTGATTGCGCATAGGAGTGGACAAAGGTTATCTCAACAAGGCAAAGAATGCTTCAATGATGGCTACTTCATCGAATTGCGGCCTTTGGTGCAATGGAGAAACGACTCGCTCTGTAGTCGATGGCGGTGATTGATATTGCTATTGACGGAAAATAGTTAATCCGGAGGCGGGCTACGCACTCGTGGCACTCCAGGTGCCAGCTCGCCAGGTTACGAGGTACACCGTTGGTCTCCACCAAACGACGGTGCCAACTTTTCGACACTCCAAGCCGCGCAATACCTCGACAGAACTTCAAGGTCTTGGGCTAAGCAACTCTCGTTTTAAACCTAAGGAAACCCTCCGTTCTTTTGCAAAACCTCCCCGACTGCCATTGCCTGACTCGGCTTCCTAGAATTTGCATACTGTGTCCCTGTCGCTCGGGACCTCGCTCAACCCTCAATTCAAACGCCGAAGCAATTCACCGAAACCTGCACTGTCCCATGAGCTGAGACCATTTGCACCTTTGCGAGCATTCCTCCATTCCTCCGCATTTGAGCGTCGCCCAGTCCTTCCACTGTCGCCATGCCATACCGTCGTATATTCAACCTTCGCCAATGGCTCCTCTCGTCCCCGCCCGCAGAATGGGCCCTCAATCAACTCCGCGAGCTCTTGATCGGTGCTCTCCGTCAAGGCCCGGTGCCTAGACACGTTGCGTTTGTCATGGACGGAAACCGACGATATGCAAAGAACAACAAGATGGAAACCGTTGAGGGGCATAATCACGGATTCGAGGCGCTGGCAAAGGTATGGTTAGCCCATGGTTTGAGCTCATATGTTCTAAGTGGATATGAGTTGGACTTCGCGCAGGGGTGATGAACCGACGCTGACAATGCTACGGTGACAGATACTGGAAGTATGCTACAAATCCGGGGTGCATACCGTCACGATATACGCCTTCAGCATCGAAAACTTCAAGCGTAGCAAGTACGAGGTTGACGCTCTGATGTCCATGGCCAAAATCAAACTAAAACAGCTGGTCCAACACGGCGAGCTCCTGGATCGCTATGGCGCGAGGGTACGAATACTGGGCCAACGGGAATTGGTCAAGCCAGATGTCCTGGAGGCCGTGGATCAAGCGGTCGAGATGACGAGCATGAACCAGGGGAACTGTGTCCTGAACGTGTGTTTTCCGTACACCTCGAGAGAAGAAATCACGAGTGCCATTCGAGCCACAGTGGAGGAGTGGACGACGCCGTTACCGGAAGATATCAATGGCAAGGGGAGGAAAAGCCCCTTCAAGGAGGAGAGAATCGCCAGTACGATCTGGTCCGAGCAGTTTTCTCAACAAACAGCAACATCCAACTCACCCGCGACGAGAACCTACCTGTCTCCACCGGGGACGGATCTCCAGTCACCCTCGTCGAGCACAACGAGCCTGTCATCTTACTTACCCGACCAGTCTGACCGCGACCACGACGCCTCGTCGGTATCAACCTCAACAACGCTGCATCACGATGACAATAATACCACATCCCCCTCCCCACCGCTCCGGCCACTAACGACACCACAAAAGTCCACACCACAAAAGTCTCACCAGTACCCATCACCCGAACTAATCACCCCAGCCACCATCACATCCCACACATACACATCCGGCAGCCCGCCCATCGACCTGCTCATCCGCACCTCGGGGGTGTCGCGGCTCAGCGACTTCATGCTCTGGCAGTGCCACGAGTCGACGCAGATTGTGTTTCTGGACGTGCTGTGGCCCGAGTTCGATCTGTGGTCCTTCCTCCCCGTGCTGTGGGAGTGGCAGTGGCGCAGACGGCGCGAGCAGAGGGACGCCCAGGAAAATAATAGAGGCCGGGGGGAAGAGGAGAAGAGGAGACGGAGGAAATCTTCTTCCAGCGCCAACAATAAAGCAGCGAGGAGAGCCACGGATATGGTCCCAGTGCACGCTTCTTGATACAACTTATACGGATGATACCCCTTAGACGCGTGATCATCAAGGTCCCATCCCAAAACGGACCGAGTTATATAGTAACTCTCTGTATGAGTACATAAGGTAGTAATGCTAAACAGGCCCGGTCGCATAGCTGGCTGGCTTGCTGGCTTGCTGATTGACTGACTGTTTTCCAAGCCACGTCCCAAGGTCAGAAGCCTAAACTTTGGTGCGCTGTTATGCTCTCTCTCTCTACCTAATCAGAGTCTGTCCCGTATGGACACCTAGCCGGACTAGACCGGACTGGACTCCCGGGAAAGAGACAAGCGGTAGCATGCTCTCCCACCATAGGTAGTATGGTCCTTCTCTTTCCTGCCTACCTGGGTAGGTACCTAAGTAGGTAGGTAGGGTGGCGTGTTCCCACCAGCATACTCGCCTCTTGACGTAGAAACCTCTTCTGGCGGGAGCAAATAGCGTTTCATCTCCCTACATTCCCACTCCTTCGTTATCTGTATCGCTCACGGCCCGACAAAGAATCTACAAGCCTCAATAATCTCGGGATCCCCATTGGCAAAGTCCCACCCGACAATGCGGCTGTCCTGCGAACAGCACACAATTTGACGGGTGTCGAACTGCAGTTTGAACACGCGAGAGACGGCATTATTTTGGTTGTTTGCCCCGTTCGTGTTGTTACTGCCATCTGCGATGTTGCCGTTGCCGGCGGCATTTTGGTTATTATTCGCGGGAGCTGGAGCTTGAGCTGCGTTTATTTGGGGCGGCTGGGCTTGCTGGAGAGCTACTTGCGGTTGCGCTATAGCTGCTGCGGGGGCCAGTCCTGGTTGAGGGTGAGCAGGAGCAGGAGCAGGAGCTGGATGATGTGGAAGAGGGTTCTGTTGCTGCTGTTGCTGCTGAGCTTGGTTTTGACTACCCGTTGACGTCCCCGTGTTGGCATTGGATGACTGCTGATTCTGCGTTTGCTGAGACCGGGCCTGCATGATAGCGTTCTGCACAATTTGGGAGACAGCTGCCTGAGTGTGCGCCGCAGTGGCCTGTGCTAGACTTTGTGCACTGTTTCCGTTGATTGTAGAGCTGGAGCTAAAGCTGCCAGTGAAATTCAGGCTGTTCCGTGGAGCTCCAGGGCCGGCTGACCCATTCAGCACTCTGCCTATGCTCATGACGTTGGAAAGACCTGCACCAAGACTGGCGATCGACGTCCCCATTGCTTGCTGGACAATGTGAGACGCTGTCGCGACGGCCGGATGAGCTGCGCCAGCAGGTCCGGTGCTGGCGGGAGGCACCAGTTGGAGTGGTGGAGGCGGATGCGACGTCGTGGGCGGAGCCAAGTTCGGAGGTGGATGCATCACTGGTAGCGGGTGGTGCTGTACAGCAGGGTGACCAGCGGCGGCGTTGTGTCGTGAGCGAGAGCGCGTGTTTTCGTTTTCCGACGGCGACTCTTGCCGTAACACTTGTCCAATAACCCAATCTCCCGAGGCATTCTTGCGCCATATAATGATTGTCTCGTCGTATGAGCCCGAGACGATCCGGCCCCATTTGCTGCCACCTCCACCGGGAGGTAATCTGGAACCCAATGCGAGTCGAGAAGTTCCTTCAACACCACTCCTGACGCGTCGATTGTGTCCTCTGTCTTCGACAATATTACCTTGCGCAAGATCTTCGAGGTATTTCCTTTCAGCCGCTCTTGCTTGGGTCGAGTCCTCCTCGTCACTGCCCGGGAGATCACCAAATCCAGCTTGTACGGTCCGCACAAGATTGGTGTGCCCTTTAAGCTCGGCCACCTCGGCGCTGGTATAGGGGTCATATATCCGTACGGTGTTGTCACTACTCCCACTGACGATTCGTTTGCTGTCAAACTGGACGCAAGCGATTCCCTTCTGATGACCCTGTAGCGTTCGGAGCAGCTTTCCATTCTTGGCATTCCAGACTTTGATGAGCCTATCACCCGAGGCAGACACAATGAGATCGCCGTTGATCTGAATGGCGTTGACGGCCGCACTGTGTCCTTCCAGGGTCAGGAGGAGCATATATGGTTTCAGGGCTCGGATCGTGCCGTTGGCGAGTCTGGCCTCTAAGAGAGACGGCTCCATCTCCGCCGTGTTGACGATGTATGACGGTACCCGTGCTTGACTGTCGCGCCCGATCTCAGGGTAGTCTTTGTCCGTCGCGGCCAAGACTTTTCGGTTCCAGATTTTGATGCGTCGATCTTTCGAGCAGGTGACTAAATATCGATGGTCGAATCTCAGATTCAGAACGGACTCTTCGTGTGCGGAGGGGATTTCGTGGATCTTCTGGCCGGTCGAGAACCGCCAGATTATGACGCTGGCGTCACTGCTGCCGGAAATGATGACATCTTCTTTCTCAGTCGGGTCGAATTGAAGACACAGCACCGACTGAGAGTGGCCAGATAGAGGCTTTCCCCTTAACCGACGGGTCTCAAGGTCCCAAACTCGTAGCGTCTTGTCCCGACTGCCGCTCACCAACCATTTCCCATAGAATTGGACGGTGTAGACACACTCGGTATGTGCTTCCTGAGGGTATGAGGGATGAGGGAGCTGGAAGGTAGCATACCGACCTTTGGTCCAGTTCTGTTCAAGCTTCTGGCGCTGCTTGTAAAGATGGATCCAGTTCAGTCTTTCCTCGCCATTGCCATCATGGGTGACGAGTCGTGTCTTGATCGGAGGGTCGAGGGAGCGGCCGCTTCTGCTCCCTGAATGAGCGTCCTCTCCAGGGAGTGCATCCGACAAATAGTCCATCTCATCGCCCGAGTCTGCACTTTGTCTCTTGTTTGGCCGCTGTGGAGAGTTCTGAATGCTGGTGGGAGCGTCTTGCATTTCCTGGTCATCAGTCGATTCGGATTGCATGTCTGTGTCGGCCTCGATCACGCCATGCTGCTCTCGCCACTGAGAGACGTCCGCAGAGACTTTACGTCCTCTCGACTCCAACCAGTCGGAGGTTGCTCGTTTCTTCAGCTGAGGCTGGCCCGGCAACTGTGTTCTTGCCTTTTTAAACTCTTGTCGCATGAGAGCGCTTTCAAACTGTCTGATCTCCTTTGTGTTTAGGCCCCAACCCTCCTTCTTGTACAGGTCCTGCCACAGCATCGCGTCCAAAATGCGCGCCCTCCATGTCTTTGAAGCCAGTGAAGCGATCAGCAGGGTCTCTGCATCCAGGTAGGAGAATATCTGTGAAGTGATCTCTGGAGGCAGTTTCTCCAATGGGTCGATATGCAGGAGCGGCGTCAGCCTCTCAACCACAGCCGCGATATTGGAGGTCCGCAGTGTTCGTAAAACTTCGTATGCAATCTCGGCGCGCGCCTGTTCATTCTGCGCCATGACCCATTCCTGGAAGCGGGCGGCTGTGGCCGCAGACATGCGCCCATGTTCATCTTGACTTGACGCATCCTCCGAAAAGCCCTCGTCGAGACGGAAGGGAGCCATTGTAGGGGAGGGAGGATAGGAGAAGCAGTGTGGTCCGAGGTGTTTTTGGTTGGAAGGATATGTAGGGTTGGCAGTGATCAGGCTGAGGGGTGTATATCGAGTACTGACAGGCACCCGTCAGGTTGTGTTATAGTTGCAGGTGGAGGACCAGGCGGTAGACCAATGTGAGCAGCAACAACTGTAGCAGCAGCAATTCATCTAGCAGTTCCGGTGAAGGAACCAACAATCGTGGTATCGTGGTACAAGGCCTGGGCTCGGCGTGGCGTGTGTTGGCCGAATGTCGCAAGGCCGATATTATTACAGGATTCGGTGAGTCAGGAATGTTGATTGGGCAAGGACGGTGGCAGCATGGCCTTTGAAGCTAGAGACAGACCATGCGTGTAACGACAAGATACAGAGAGAAGGGGAGTTTTGTCTGGTGGTGTCGATGAGGTGCTCGGGTGGTCATGCAGGTTTGCGACGGGCGATCGCAATGTGTTTTGGTGGCAGAGATGATGCAAGCAAACAAGGCTCGAAACAAGGCTCCAAATGTCGGGTGGCGTCTCCAGCGTCGGCGACGTCCGGCGCCCCATGTTATTCCCGGATCAACTTGAACAACACCAAACCTCCCCCACGCCGATCATCTCGCTTCTCAGCCCTCAAATCTTGTTTCGAACCAGAATGATCGGTGCTCCGTCATGGATACCAGGGATGGGGTTTCCGAACTCCATACTAGGCCACCTCCTACGCAGTGCCGAAGTGTCATTCTCAACATGCCAAGTCATTTCCTATACATGTACCAAAAGGGTATCGAAGCAACAGTCCAATGCACAATGTAAAAGACTCCGTGACGACGCCAATACCTCGTCTTTCTGGCAGCTCCCTGTTCGTGCTCATATCCCTGTCATTTGCCCTCATGATTATCGTGGTGGCACCCGTCCACTCGCATCATCACCGGTCCTTCTTGGGTTCCTCGTCCTCGGTCGTTGGAGTCATTCGTTCATCATCAGCCATGTCCCAACTACTTTCTGTCCCGGTCTCTGCTCCTTCGCTCTCACGCTTGCGTCCTCTCTCCCGCATGGCCCCACGGATTCGCTTGCTAACTTCATCAGAATCCAGCGTGGTGAATTTCAAGCTGCCGGCCGAGGCAAGTGCTCCACCTGCCGAACTGCTTCTGCTGCGACTCTTCGGTGTCGTAGGCCGCGACGCAAAGAAGCCAAATCCTCCAATATTGTGGAAGGCTTCGTTCGAGGGCAGAAACCCGAATGGTAACATGGATTTCGAACCAGGTGACTCGGCGGTCCGCTCCTCGAAGGCGCCAGAGGTGGGCGTCGTGGGCTCGGTTGAGTCGATTCTGGGCTCCTCTGGCATTTTCTTGTATTTGGATTGGTACGCCCCTTCCCTATACGCATCGGGCACAATCCGCTTCGCGTCAAAGTCGGGGAAGACCTCGGGTCCCAACTCATTGATCACCTTCGTCACCTTTTCGGACAAGGCCTGGCGGCGCTGTTGGAGCTTCGCGAATCGGCTGGAGGAGCGCGGATTGAGTGCAACAAACAGAGGCGGCAACGACTTCGCCACATCCATGCCTATTTCCCCAATCCTCAGAGCGGCAAACGTGATGAGGATACACAAGATAAAGAAGAGAATGGCAAAAAGCGAGATCGGGACAAAGTCGGGCACATAGGTCCGGGCCACCATCCACCACGGGACCTTGTGGGTATAGTATCCGTCTCTTCGGTTGTAAACCAACCATACGGAAACAATGACGGTATAATAGATGTAGAGCGCTGGAGCAAACGCCATTGCCACGAGCAGTTTCCAAGTAGTGATGACGTCTCGACCCTGTAATTTCACCGTCGATGCCGCAAGAGCTTCCTTAGACTTCTTATACGATATGACTTTGGTGGTAACAAAGACAGGCCAAAACATGGCCAGCCCGGGAAGAGTGCCAATGCCCAGGAAGAAGAGCTCTCCCAGTCGATAGATCAGCGTCCCAAGAATGCGCCACCAGGGATGTTTGGTAGGGTTGCCCCATTCCACCTGATGGTCCCGGACACCAAGTGCCCGAAGTTGGCGATTGTACGCGAGGACATCTTTCTTGAGTTCGACAACGCGTGGGTCATCCTTGTAGGTGGTGTATCCTTTGACCAAACGTCGGTTCAACTCCACCACCAGCGGCAGAGGCAATTTCTTCCCCAACGGGTTGTATAGTCGGCGGGCCGCTTGCACCAACATCAAGGTGTCGTAGTCTGGACTTGATTGGGTCACAGCCACCAAGCCCTGGAAGACTGTTTCGAGGAGAGAACCGACCGCGTTTCTCCGGTCGCCCGCTTTGTACGCTTCAACTTGGTCAGGATGAACTTCGATGGGGTGGCCAAACTCGATGACGGCCCTCGATCGAAATTTGTGCGCGTGGAAATAGTTCATGCCAATCGGGATAATCTTGACACCACATCCGGGATGCCGGGCTTCAGCACCTAGGGCCATAATGGCCACGCCTGCTTTCAGGGGGAGGAGATCGGGTCGGTCATGGCTCCCACCTTCTGGGAAGATACCAATACAGCCACCCGCGTCGAGCTCGTCAAAGACTGCATTGTAGACTTTGGTCTGGTCCACATACGGCGCAACTTTGAATGAGCAGCCCCGGGATTCAATCTCTTGTTCGTTTGTATCGCCGCCAACGGTGCCATTGCCGGTCAACGACTCCAATGCCTCTGGTGACTTAAAGGGCTTTTTGAGGCGAATTTGTGTAGGGGAGATAATCTCGGCGATTTCCGTGCTGGGAGTCTGGCCTCTCACTTTGGGGAGGACAATCAATCCGCCAACCTCGAATTCGCCATTCGTGAAGTCGGTGCCGACGCCTTGAATCAGGGTAGGGTCATTATCCTGGTCTGGAAGAAATATTTTGCCCTTTGCCGGCTTGACTTGGTCCAGGGCTCGGCCCACCGGGATCGCCCCTATCGCTGTTGACAGAGTCCCAATGAACTTGCGTTTGGTCGACTTCTCAGCAATCAGATATGAAATCCTTCTCTTGGCCTCCTGCTTGAGAATCCTCATCAGAATCAGGGAATCGACAAACTGTGCGTGTTAGTATTGTCTCTAGCCATATACACAGTCCTTTTGCATACCTGATTGGCGTGCGGTGCAGCCACAAGGATGACCGGACCTGTTTTGGGGACCTTCCAGGCTCCTCTGGGATGGACCTCTCGAAAGAAGAGATCTATCAGGATGGACAGTGCCCACAGGACCAAATCATAAACCCATGGTATTTGCAGCTGGTTACCCTTCTTCTTGCCTCGCCCTCGCGGGGCAGCCTTGGACAGAGCCTCCTTGGACGATCCTGCTTGGGACGGCATGGTTTTCGGCTATCCGTGTGAGTTTGGAAAGAGGGGACGGATTGAATCAGGGTCGGATTGAGTTGATAGATTCAACGACAGAGTCCGTCGAACGGGGAAGAGGCGAATCGGCCCATGCACGGGAACGCAGGCTGGTTGGGGATCTGAAGTCGTTGGATGGGTTAATTTCAAGGTGAGGGACAAGATAGAACAGGTAGATGTCAAGATGGAGCGAGCAGATAAGGATTCAAGTTTAACGAGCAAGAGCCATTACACAATCGACACTGGATGTCACAGGGAAGCAAACGTGGGAAGTGGAAAAAGGCCAGGTGTTGTTGAGGGCACTTCGGCACCCACCAAGGAGGTTTGTTGTATGGCAAGTTGTTGAGGAAACTACGTGGGGTGAGAAGCTGCGAGAATGATCAGACTGGGGATGGTAATGAAGTCACTGGCACCGCTGGTGCTTGTTTTTGGCAACGATGCCTGATTGTGGTTGGTGGGCGTCACGCTTAAACTGCGCGATCCCCCAATGCCTGGGCGCGTCCCCGGGGGGAGGGGCGTCACCCAAAACTTTTAGGCATCAGTCATTAGGCTCTACTTGCTCTCCAGGCTCTCGGCAAGGCCCCCACCGCATTCCGAACGGAGCCAACCACCGCCTAGGTCCTGAGAACGGCGGGGTCACTACAGGGCTCGAGGGCTACCAACTGCAGAGGCATTGTAGGGCTTCAAGCCTCCCGCCCAAAAACTGTGTAGGTACTCGGCGAACATCGGAAACAAAGAGAGTGGCTACAAGCAATCCAACAGGCACCGCCGACCGTACTTGTACATCTCTCAATTCGTATATGAACTCACTCGTCTCAATTACTTGCAGCGGCTAGTTGTCGCAGACCCTCCCCCTGCCCACAAAACCGGCAGAAAGGAACCTCGTCCGCTCTCCTCAAGCTCGTCTCAATCGTCCCTATCTTTGCCGTCTCTGGTGGCGTCGTGTATCGCAGAAGCCGCCCTACTCATTATTATCCTTCGGCTCTCGTTCGGACTGTGCTTGACAGATCCTCACTCGCTCGAGCGTCTTCTGGGCCTCTTCCTCTATCCGTCTCATGCGCTCTCGCAGGTGAAAGTCACGGTCTTTCCACCGAGACTCCCACAGATCCTCCACTTGATGTCGGGCCTTCTCCAGCATGACCTCGACGTTCTCTTCCAGGTTATTCAGCCTTTTCTTGAGGTCATCAATGATGAAATCCTTAGCCCGTAGCTGCTGTCTCAACACAATGTCCTTTTCGTTCAGTTTCTCGCGAAGCTCCGCCACTTGCTTGTCCTTGAAGAGCAGCGCCTTGCGGTGTGTAGAGTCCAATCTCCGCATCATTCGCGCGTAATGGAGAGAGATGTCGTTCTCGTCGTCCATAGGTAGAGGCGTGTTGCTGTCCTCCGGCGTCTCGCTCATGTCAAGAGGATTCACTCCTCGGGCTGATGATTCGCCATTTCTGAGAGCACTGGTATTCTGGGTCGTGGCTGCCCTGATGAGGACTGGGAACCTTCCGCGGGCGTTTCTCCCTATGTAATCCGGAGATCGCGATTCATGATCGTCAGGCACATCATCTAGAATTGCACCAGCAGATCGGATCTGGAGTGGACGTCCTCGCGATGTGTAGGATCGCTGTCGATGGTGTTGAGGTCGATGGTTGGCCCGCGAAATCTCCCTAGACGTGATCAGCCGAGGAAGGCGTTCTCGGTACGTCCTCCTCAACGGTGAGGACTGTGGCATCTGATCTGCCCCGTCGCGCGTGAGATCTTCTGAGGTCGCCCTCCTTCCGCGGTGGTCTGGGCTCGGTTGAGGAAGGATCTCTGAGTCGTCCCCACTGGAAAGGCTTGGGTCGAGTCCGGTTGTAGAAGCAGTCGTCCTTTCGCTACCGATTGGAGTGGTCAAGGATGAGCGGTGGTTCAATTGATCATGTCCCATTGGTGAGGGCATCTCAAGCTCTGGCAGATCCAGTATGTTGGCTCGCACAGCACCCTCATGGTCGATGGCTGTGAATGCTGACCTTGGAGTGGTCGACCCGTCCTCCAAATTGTCTTCATCGACATTCTGACTATCCACCTCAAGTCGGCTGTCCAAGCTGAGCAAGCTCACCACATCGCTCATTCCGTCCCCTTGAAAGCGCATCGCTTCGCCCGGCCCAGTATAGGGCGGCGGAGCATCAGCTGTAATTCGCGAGCCATCCCGACTGATCCGAAAATACTGGCCGGCGACATTGATGTCGATGCTTCGCGCATCTTCGTGCAGAGTAGTTGTGGTGAACTTGGACTGGGTGGAAACGATCGATGAGGCTCGACTGTGTCTGTTGGCTCGAGCGTTATTCAATTCTCTAGCCCAAGAAGGCATGCCCTGTATGGGCGTCGTGTCTTGACCGTTGCTGGAAGAGATTGTGTTTAGTGGGGGGACTTGGTCATCTGCTTCTCCTGAAGGGTTTGCATCGCCTTCGACCGGAGCTTTGGTCGCTCCCCTAAGAGACGGGATAGCATTTGCGAACCGAAACATAGCTCAAAATGTTAGTGTATAAGCATAGGTCTGCAAGTGTGAGACATGGATTCATATATCATCCAATATTATGACTTCGATGGCCAGCGGTAGGCGGTCAAAGCGAAAGGACTACGCCGGCATCTTGCCAGCGAGGTCTTGCGTACATCATTGCAAGATGAAAGAGGACACCATTGCACGATAATTCAGGTCCTGGAAGGCAAAGTGTCAAGTAGTTTTGTGTCTTATCTCAAACGAGGAGGACGAAGAGGAAGATGATGGGCGCTTTTAAAACCAACAGCCGAGTTCGAGGCCAGGCAGCCTTAAAACCCGGCACAGCCTCAGCCTCAGCCCGATCGTGAGACGCTGCCCTACCCTGTCACTCCTGTCCATTCTACCCGTATTATTTCACCCGAGGGTTGTCTGCTGCACGCTGACGGAAGTGGCTCTCCTCATCACCCAGGCTGCCATGTTTGCTGCATCCTTCCCCAAAAACAAAAGGTCTTTCAAACCAAGCTCTCAACATTACCGGGAGTTTTCAGGGAGACCAGATTTAGTGGAAACTATTTCCAGCCTCAGCAGAGAAATGGTATTTGTACGAGGTGTGCACGACTTATGTACCTGGCAAGGCGGCAAGCCGAGCTCAATTGATCGGTGTCGGCCGATCTTGATATAAAACACCCGTACCATCCGCCCATCAGCCCCGCGGGCTGTATCCTGGTCCGAGGAAGCCTGCTGAGTCCTGTGTAACACCTTGCCATCCTAGCATACATTGGTACTCGTCCCTAGACTGTCATTATCAAAATAGAGGACCTCCATCACATCGATACGTCTTAACATCATACACAGCGCTGATTCAGCAGGCGATAAAAAATTGATCATAGCATGATTCACAATGGGAGGCCGTTCTCGTACAAGGGCGTCCTTCCTCCATCTTTCTGCGCCTCGATCAAGGTCGACCTCGGGGAATACTCTCGACGGTAAACGTCTTGTCGCACCTTATCTCGTTGAGTCCGGCATCATACCGCGTGGAGCTCGTTGAGTCGGCATCGCCCTGTCCACTGTCGCTGCGGCCGACGCCATGGCCCCCGAGGTCGCTCTCTGCCGTCGTGATCATGGATTTACTGATCGGGTACGTATCCAGGTCAAAGTCGAGATCTTCTTTGGCGTCGAATTGGCTGCGGTTGTTGTGTTTGCTGGGCTCCCTCCAGTAAGACGGCTGCTGTCTGCGATGCTCGATGGTTTGGGAATTGGACGGTTTCGTGGCGGGCCGGCTCGTGAGTCTCTGGATGATGGGGAACATCTCCTTCAGGAACACCCAGATTCCTGGGAGGGTCGTCACGTAGATGGACACGGAGGCCTCGCGGAAGTACCAGTTCATATAGACGTAAGAGATCAATGACGGGACCAGACAGTATATCGCCCTCAGAATGGCGGCGACGATCACAAAGCCACCCATGCCGAAAATTATGCCCAGAATAAGCTTTTGCTGGAGGGACAGGCGCGCTGACAGGACTGGAGGGATGCCCATGAGCATGATGAGGATGTCGGTGGAGATGTTGAAGACCGCGTTGACAATTTGATAGTATTGGTAGGTCGAGCATTGGGCTTTTTTTTTAGGCTGCGTCAGCGCGAGGAACCCTAAAGTCGACAGAAACGAGCCAAATACTCACAATTTTGGGGCGGAACAGCCCAATACTGCGAAAGAGGTCTGCAGATAGTAAAGAGGGCAAGTTCATCTCCCACGAAAGCGCAGCACACCCATGCCACGACCGCCCAGAGCAATCTGCGCTGTCGAGTCTTGTCAATCAACTTTGCGTATAAGACCAGCATGGCTAGATATCTCTTGTCAGTCTGCGGCGCTGCTAACGGGGGAGAGCCCATGACAATGGCTGCCCTGTGAAAAAGTCAACAGCCTTCAACTCACCAGCCTTCATGCTCCAAATTGTAAGAAGTTCCGCATGCTCAGACACAAACACCCATTTGCTCCCCCGGATGCGCCCAGCTTTGAGCTCGGGTGTAAGCGCAGCTTCCTCCTCAGGTGTCATCAGGTTGGACCCTGGCCCTTTCAGCATTTCGTTAAAAGCCACAACGAGGATGGTGTAGGCCACGAAGCCGAAGGCGATGAGGGCGTCGTCGATTTCAAGGTGTTTGACGCCCACCCGTTTGATCTTGCCGGCCCTGTTCGAAGCATGTCAGAAGGGTCAGTCTCATGCAACGGTGATCGCAGGCCACTGGTTACGGACAGTCGCAGGACGACGAAGAATGCGCCAACGCCATATAAACTCCATGATTCTGGGACGAACCCAGGATTGGGATTCGTCGACATGGCTGCCGTCTTCCAGAGGACTGCAGTCGCACAAAGATGTCGAAAGATGGACAACGGCGTTGGATGGGAACGAAGGAACAGGGAGATTTCCCTGCGCGCAGGAGATTCGTGAACCCTATCATGTTTGAAGAACGTAACGATTCTGAGGGGCTTTCGATCTTCTAGCGCCGAATTGACCACGAGATATCAGTCCCAAAAAGGGACGTTGCAATGCCATCTCTAGCTCAGACAGTAGGTGGAGCGTTGAAATTCGGCTTGGAGCACCTAGGGTCAACGGTGGGAAACGGGAATAGGGGGTGGCCAACGGTTCGTGCGTCCGCTTTCCGCTCCATCTCAACTGATGCTGGATATGTAACTATGGCCGAGAAGAATCATACCTTTAGAGTGTTTCGGGATGGATGCTGCCGAGAGCCTCCAAGCTCTATGGCTTGGAAGCAAGGAAACAGCATGGCTTGCTGGCCAGATGGTTGTGGCACTAGTACGAAGGAGCTCTGGAAATGTTTCTCGTCAACCCTTGTGTCCGCCACCTGCCAGGCTGCCACATGGCATTATGCAGCTTGTCATTTTTCAGGTACCAGATTCCGCGATAGTCCAATAAATGGAGACCTCGATAGCCATCCCAGGGGGTTCCAGCGGCTCATGGGTACGTGAAGCAGACCGGCGGGGCCTAACTGACGAACAATGGTATCCCAGCACCACCAGATTGAGGGCCCGGTGCAATAGACTGAGAGGGCAACTCTCCGACAGCCAAGGCCACAGACCATGATTCCATTGACACATGAATTGCTCAAGGGAGGAAAGGCTGTGGAATGTTGCGAAGAAAATTTGAACAGACTAGAGCGGAAAAGACCCACGATGTCTTGGCAATCTCCGCCGTCCACTACATCGCGGTGGCCCGGTGGGAGCAGATGCTGCATGGCCCGGGCAGGTGGAGAGCGGACTTTGCCGTCCAACCAGTTCGCTCGACTCTGTGTCGTTCAGACCTCCACCAATGCCCCAAATCGCTAAAGAATCCATCAGTGGCGCGACCAGCATTCTATTACGAGATGGACCGTCTCGAGAAGCATTGCGGAGAAGGCATTACCTCGACAGGTTTCTAGACGCCTTCCATAATGTTACGAATAGCTAAGTCTTACCTGCTCTCTTCATCACTTCTCTTTCTGTTCGTCAATTTCATTCTGTTGCCCTTGTCTCCTTGATCCTTCATTGTCCTGCGTCCGGCGGCTGGTCTCCAAGATGGCCGACAAGAACGAAATCCCCGAGGTCGCAACGGAGTCGAAGGCTTCGGAGTCGGGAAACTTCATCAATGCCTCTGGCCATGCCCAAGAGCTGTCGCGAAATTTCAGTCTTGTGTCTCTCGCCGGCGTCGGGCTCGTGGTTGGCAACGTCTGGCCAGCCATCGGAGGGTCGATCCTGGTGGCTATCTTCAACGGCGGCCCACCAGGTGCGTGCACCTCTTCTGGCAGTTCAATGGCATACGGCTGACTGTTGTATCCAGGTGTGCTGTACGAATTCCTCGTCGTTTCTGTCTTCTACTGGATTGTCGCGGCATGTATTGCCGAACTTGCGTCTGCCATTCCATCTTCCGCTGGCGTCTATCACTGGGCTTCGGTCACTCCAGGAAAGCGATGGGGGCGCGTCGTGGGATTCTTTGCCGGGTGGTGGAATTGCCTTGCCTGGATTCTTGGTGCTGCGTCTATGACATCCATTTTCGTGAGTGAGCTCAAGCTGGGAGGAGAGGGGACAGCATTTGCTAACTAGTGTGGCGCGCAGTCTAACACCGTCGTTCAAATGTGAGAAGGGCTCGGTTCGCGGGGTTGATTGGATGTTCTAACGAGCGGCAGGTATGCCCTGAAGCATCCGGATTTTGTTTCTCAGCCATGGCACGTTTTCGTCACCTATATTATCGTCACCTGGATCGCATGCCCGGTGGTGTGCCTGTTCAACTCGGCCATGCCGCATCTCAACAATGTAGGCATCTTCTTCATCCTTGCCGGATTCCTGATCACCATCATCGTGGTGTAAGTACTGCCTTTATCTAGTCAACAGGGCAGATGCTGAACTTTCCAGGACCGTCATGCCAGGCCAGGGCGGCCGACCAGGCCACGCGTCTTCGTCCTTTGTTTGGAGCGAATGGACTGCCGACATCGGGTATCCCAATGGGGTGAGTTATCGCCCGGCTGCAGAACAGCAGAGCGAAAATCTGGTGTTCTTTTCCACCGCTTCAAATATTGACTCGGGTGGACTTTTCAGTTCGTCTTCGTTGCAGGCATGCTCAACGGCGCGTTTAGCGTTGGAACTCCAGACACCACAAGGTCAGGAACCTTCAACTCTCCTTTGAAAGGGGAAAATCCGTGCGACAAGAATAATGTTGACATTTGTGCAATAGTCATCTTGCGGAGGAGATCCCCTATCCCCAGCGAAATGTGCCTATCGCCATCGCTTGCCAGATGAGCATCGGCTTTATCACCGGCTTTTCCTACCTGATTGCTATCCTGTACGCGATCAACGATTACGACGCTCTGTTCGACTCCCCCTACCCGATCGCTGAGATCTACCGTCAAGCCACCGGCTCGGCAAGCGGCGCTATCGGCCTCCTAACGCTCGTCCTCATTTGCATTGGCATCTGCGTTTGTGGGCTCTACATTACGTGTGGGCGGACGCTGTGGGCGCTTTCGCGAGACGGGGCCACGCCCTTTCCCAAGGTTTTGGGGAAAGTGTCTCAGAGACTCGGCATGCCATTCAACGCCACCATCGTCTCCGCCATCTTGGTCACAATCCTCGGAGCCATCTATGTCGGCAGCACCACCGCATTCAACGCCTTTGTTGGGTCTTTCGTCCTGTTGTCAAGCTCCTGTAAGTCTCTCTTGGAAATTCCTACTCCAGGTTGAGAGGGATGGTTGTCCGAGCACAAAAGCCTTTCCTCCATCACAATCTACATTTTTGTCGAAGCTAACAACAAGCGACAGCCTACATTGCTGCGATCTTGCCCCATCTTTTGACCAAGCGTCGCAACATCGAGGTCTATGGCCCCTTCCACCTCAAGGGCGCTTTGGGCTTCATCTTCAACTTCATCGCATGCGCGTACATGATGGTCTGGTTCGTCATTTACTGCTTCCCGTACTACCTCCCGACGGACGCCCAGACGATGAACTACGCCTGCCTCATTTGGGGCGGGTTCACCATCTTCGTGGCTGCGTGGTGGTTCTTAGGCGCGCGGAGGGGCTACCAAGGACCACCCATGATCACCGACGGCGGCAAGGTCAGCTTGGCCGACACTCTGAAGAAGGTGGACATTCAAGCTGTGAGGAACAACAGCCTAAAAGGTGTTTAAAACAAGTTGGGTTTCTCTCGTTGGCAACAGTTTTCAGATGGTTCGGTTCTATCCCCATTTTGGCTGTCAGTATCATCAAATATATACTTCAGATCGCCCTGGCTAGCACTGGTATCTCTGCTTTCTGCGCATTTCTCTCAACGGTCATGGATAGAAGATCAAATGTGCAGCTTCCTGTAATGCTCCACATCCGTCTCTCCAACGGTTGGAGCTTTTAATCACGCCATGAGCTTGCTTCACTCGATCGCGGGTCTCATATTGAGCCATGAACTTGGCTCATATCGCAGAGCCATCCACATTTTTGCCGGTCATTTTGCCGCCCTTCGTCACTCGTCACAGACCAGGTCAGCTTTGACAAATTTGTCAAGAAACTTGGAAAAGGGACTATAGCAGCCTCCCTCTGTTCGTATGGCCACTCAGAGCGGAACTTTCCCCAGCATGTAGTAGAAGAAAGGGAAGAGAAATCGGTCGCAAAGGGGGAAGATAGGTATTGATATTCGGTACCGTCTTGGCGCCAAGCTAATGGATGTCGGCTCGCCGAGTCCGGCTCCTCGTTTCCCGCCGAACCACAATTAAATCCCACTTCTGCAAACGACAGAGGGAATGGTGGTGATAGTCATCCCGCCCTTCTCGGGATCATCGCTTTCAGCTTGTTGCACCTCGAGATTAGTCGTTTCTGGTTCGTCTGCTGGTCCTCGTCGTGGTCTCCGCGCAAGGGAATGTCGCGGATCCACAAACATCCCACAAGACAAAGCCCGATGAGAGGTAAGAACGTGATGAAAACCCGGTTTATGCCCCTCATTTTGGCGTCTAGAACAGCCTGATCCCAGGTATGTGCCGCACCACCGACGGTCCAAGTCCCAGCTTTGACCGCTAATGCCACCTCTGAGGGGAGATCCACTGGCAGCGAACTGATGGTCACGGCGTATTGAATGGCCGTAGAAACGGCCACTCCAACTGCAGAACCTAATGCCCGGACCCAGTTTCGCGTTGAGGTGGTCACAGCGACATCTGCCTTTGTTGAAAGAGCTTGTAATGCCACAAGAGCTGGCGCCAGAGAACCGTTAGCAACTATAACCCATATCGCCAATGGGGAATGGACAGCTTACAGGGTTGGAAAACGAACCCGACCCCTGCACCTTCGACCAGGGCAGCTACCACGTATACTCCGATGGAAGTGGTGCGGGAGAATAACAGCTTCAGCCCTGCCCCGATTGTCCAGAAGACGAATCCCAACCAAAGGACCGGCATGTACCTGATACTCCATATTAGACACGCACAACCTTGATGACACACGGTCTCGGATAATCCGTACGAACCTTGCGGTAAAAGTCATTGCAGGCGCCGAAAGAACACCGCCGAGACTCTGAGCGAGAAGCAAAGGCAACGTCAGGTATGCAGACCTGAGCGGCGCGAAGCCACGGACATCTTGATAATAGATCGGAAGGAAGTACAGATCTGCCTGCCACACGAAACCAAAGAGGAAGTTCTGCGCAAACAGCGTACTGCGTGACATCGACGAGTAGAGGCGAAGTGGCATCATCGGCAGTCGCGCCAATTTCCACTCAACGAGGCAGAAGGAAGTGGTCAGCACTGATCCCACTGTCAATAACGCGATAACGAGCGAGCTGTGCCATGGGAAGACGCTTCCTCCAGAGTTCACAGGTATCTGCGCACAAGATCAAAATGATGTCGGTCAGCCAGCAATCATCAATATCGGCAAACTCGTGTGACGGGGGATGACAGTGGGGTGAAACAAAAAGACGTACCAAAACGAACAATATCCCCGTCACCGCAGTCAACAGGCCCATCCAGTCCACTTTGCGCACCTTCTCTTTCCAATTCCCGACCACCGGCTTTTGAGGGAGGAGAACCACCAGCGGTGGGATGCACAACGATGCCAGTATCGCAGGAACCCAGAAAGCCCAAGGCCACCGTCCATCATGTCCTTGAACTAATGCCGCGGACACAAAGGGACCAACACCGGCTCCCAGCCCAATCGCCCCGCTCAACAGACCCTGGTATTTGCCCCGCTCCTTCAAAGAGACAAGGTCGCTGACCGTGATCTGGACCAGAGAACTGATTCCTCCGCCCCCAATACCACCGATAGCTCGACAGGTGTAGAGCCAAGGGCCGTCCTTGGCGAATCCGCACAGAACATCCCCAATGATCAAGCTGAGCACGCAGCCTATTAATACCGGCTTCCGTCCAAATATGTCGGCAAGTCGGCCGTAGAGCACCTGGAAGGCGCACTGGGCCAGAAGATAGGACGTACCGACCCAGGTGATGGTGCTGGAAATCCCCAATGAACGGGCAATTGCTGGCAACGCAGTCGTCGTGGAGTTGACATCGAGAAAAGAGACGAAGAAGCACATGGCAAGACATAGGTAGACGACGATCAGCCTTGCAAAGGGAAGTCTTTGAGTCTGATCGGTGAGTTCGATCTGTGATTTGCCCTCTGGTTTTGTGTCGCCATTGACGGTGACTGGGACGGATTTAATCTCGAGGTCCGTCGCTTGAGCAGTCGCCTCAAGCTCAGGGTGCTCTTTGGAATCATTCTCAGACGCAGACTCGGACATGTTCGTGGACGAGACCCTCCTCCAGCCAAAGATCGATTCCTTCCTCACCCAGCAGAAAATTAGAGGGGATGGCGGCGCTCGAGGAAACGGCAGCATAGAAAAGCACGGTTCTGAGCGTGACACCACTAACTGACTCTGCATATATGCACCATCAATGCCTATGCCGACGGTAACTGCTCGGTACAAAGACCAACTACGCACGATGGAGCCGAACGGGGATCAAGAGCGAACGAAGCTGTCAAACCCCAGTTTCCGACATCCACAACAATCCATCCTTGCGAGGCCAAAGCCGCCGTGGTCAACAGCCAGAAAGCAATTCGCTGCAGAGCCAATTGATCAATGCCATTGTGGTCCGCGAGGATGAAGTGGGAATCGGGATGTGATTCTTTTCTGTCATAATTTGCAAAAGCCCGTGACGCTGGCGACCCATTGCAACGACCTGCCAGCGCTATCCTTGGTCGGACTTTGCAGATCCGCGCCCGCACGCAGCGAGCGTGATCAAGTTGCTGGGTTGATCTCTGACGGAAGGACTTCGCCTTTTCCGAAAGCTGGACATGTCTTGTGTCGGCACTGCCGAAATTAGCCGCTAAGCCTCGAGATGTGGAAGGACTGGACCAATGGCGCCCAAAAGGATCCATTCGGCAGATTCCCATTGGTGTTAGGAAGAGCCGATGCATCAAACATTAGCCCCGTCGGCGGGATGAGCATCAGAGCGCACCAGAACTGACCGATTCAGAAGCCACTATTACACCCAGCCAGTGGGACTGAACCATCACTCTTCGATAGGCCGGAAGCGAAGCAATCCACCGCGGAAGGAGCTGAAACAAGCCCTGGGACCACGAACACGTCGGTGATGGACTTCGTTCTACTGTTTGAGCCTGTCTCTCGTGGGATGTCGGCGAGCTTGAAGGCCCTTCCCAAGGACAGTGGGACAAGATGGGACAAAAGAGGGCGCTGAGCAAACAGGACATGCTGTACGGGTAGCAAGTCATGAGCCCTGCGATCGATTATCTCATATTCAAGTCGATCTTCATTCATCCCGAGTATTGCATTCTGTATCTACTTGGCTGGTAAATTGTGATACTCTATCCTTCATCCATGTTTGATGATACAACGGCGCACTCAATCGCTAGTCAAAACCCTTGACTGTGTGTGCCCATCATCTATTCCGACGCGCAAGAACACTTTCAAGCCAAAGCGGTGAGAGTGTGCGCCACATCCTTCTCCTTGGGCGTCATCATCATCTCAGCAAATGCCTCCTGGCGATGGTGATGCTCACTGCCAACGCCGTCGATCACGTCGTCCTCAAAGTACCCGTCCGTCGGACCAAGGAACTCCAGGGTCAAGGGCATGCCGACACGATCCGCGGGATACGGCGTGATGGGCCAGATGCGCACCAGGATGTAGTACGCCAAACCGCCGGTCAGGGACGCCAGGATGAAGCCCATGGTGTACATGTCCTTGCTGGCCTGGCTGAAGTGGGGGTTGTAAGAGCCCGCGAGCCCATGAATCACGATGACGACGCCGGCGACCCACGCTGCGAACATGCGTAGGTTGAACCCCTTCCAGTAATAGTAGGGGCTGTCGGGGCTGTCGTCGTACAGCGACGGCACGTGGATGTTACCCTTGCGGACGACCCAGTAGTCGACACTGGGACTCGCGGTCAGAGCAGGATCGGATTGGGGTCGGCAGGGAGGAGACTTACATCATTATGGCAATCACTGGGGCGATGAAGACGACGTAGGATCCCAAGAAGGTCAGGAACGTCTGTGCCGACTCCTGCAGTTTCCAAGGCACCACGGCGAGACTGATGACGGCGCAAAAGACCTGACCTCGCGGAATACTGGGAGCCATAATGGTTAGCAGGCTACGCGGGGAAATTCTTCGCAGTAGAACCGAGAACTTACTTGAAGTATCTGGGAAACAGCCCCGTCAAGTCCGCGCCCACGGGCAGACAGTTTGACGCCAGATTGGTTGCCATGACAGCGAGTGCCTGGATCAAGCAGACAAGGAAAATGGCTGTCCGCGCGCCGGCGTTCCAGTTGTGGTCCAGAATGGCCCCCAGGAGATCCCACATGTTCCAGTACGCAGTGCCCCAGAGGTTCAGCGAGGCGCTGGAGCACGCAATGCCCATGAAGATGACAAACGTCTTGCTGGTGAAGATACCCACGGCTTGAGCCCACGCAGCGTCCGAGGGTTTCTTGGCGTATCTGGCGAGATCCGCGTTGGACATGATCTCGGGCGAGATGCTGCCACACACCGAGTTGATGCCGTTCATGAACGCCCAGCCGAGGACGGTGGTCGTCGAGGTCTTTGTGATTTGCGACGAGCCCGTCAAGCCCCCGTTCTTGCCCACCACGTACCCAAAGACCGCGATGAGCACCGGCGGCGCAATTGTGCTCTTGATCGTGTAGAGCCACTTGGCGCGCTGCGGGTGGATCAGCATGAAGGGCAGCTGGATAGCCCAGTAGAGGAAAAACGCAGCCAGGCCCCTCGTGGTGATGCCGGCGCTTTCGGGCAGGTGGTTCGGGATGTCTTGCCAGTTGTGGCCGAATGCACATCGAAGCATCACGTCAAACAACTTCCCCGCATAAAACGTCTGGGTCGCGAAGTAGATGATGGCGACAGCGCCGCGGAGGAAGATGAACCACAGCGATCCAAACATGCCTGCACTGGCGCGCACAAAGGCGGGATATCCAATGTGGTAAACAGCGGGTCCGCGGGATTGAATGACCAAAACGACGGAGCAGAGCAAATTTCCCACTGCAATGGAGAGAAGAGCATGCCACCATTTCTTACTTTGACGTCAGCTGGCTGTGTAGAGTGGTCATTCTGCGGAGGACTCACCAGTCCCTGATTCACCAGACTTGAGCCTGTATTCCACTGATTGGGGTTGAAGGAAACCGCCCAAAAGAACATGAAGTAGTTCCAATGCCTCCATGTCCTTTGCTGAACCCTGCATGGCACGTCAGCAGGGACATCAAGTAGTCAGATGCAAAGACAAATACACACGGTGTTGGGTCGAGATCTTCATTTCCCCATTTCCTCGTCCCATCTCTTTTCTGGATCCTGCTGTCTTGAGTCTGCAGCCGTTGATCAAGCCGCTGGAGGAACGATTTGACAGTCATGGTTGGAGAAGATGTCAAAATAATTCTTCCTAGACACTTCAGAGGGGCATTAAGAATAGGACTTGTCGAAGCCACGACGAGACACCAAGCGACGACCCGTGGATATAGTTATACCTGCCGTCCAAGGCGAGGACAGTATCTCTCGACTTGAAAGTAACTTTGATATCGAGCAGCCAGTCGAATATAGCAGAGGCGGGATATCCGAAGGTTCAATCATCGGCCCAAGGCTGCTGCTAGCAAGGCTCTGGACCACGCTCCAGACCACCAATTCTGTCCTGGAGACGACGTAGATGAGTCTCCCTTATCTTGAACAGAACACACGAGGTCATTTTGGTTAGTTCGGTACCGGTGCTCGGTATATCGGCTGACAGTGTAAGACCACACTTAACAACCTGGATATTCGGCACACCCGCGCACGTTGGATTGACCTTTAGCAATAGCATTACTCCGAAGTTGACGCTTCATCGGAGCCTTGCGCCAAGGACGATAAGACTAATTAGAGGCAGCCAATTGATCCCGCCTATGATTAGTTAGTCTGGAAATGAGAAACATATCGCCGTTGACATGTTGTGGCAGATATCCGACGTGTTGATCGCGATATCCTAATTTCTTCAACTAAAGAGACGGCGGGCTTCTCCTAGAGTACTGGCTTGGTCTGCCGCCTGAGCGGCACATAGCGTTGTCCGGATTCTCACTTCCGGGGCGTGGGAATAATAACAGGTCATAACTGATGGCCTTCTCCCACATGAAGAAATCTCAACCTTATCAAAGTTCGACGTGGCGGGAAGACACGCGATCTATACCGCGTGTGCGGGTCAATAAGGTACCTACCTAGGTACCTACCTAGGTAAGGCTTTGATGATAAGGATGGATTCATCTGGGCGTCTCACTTGCCGCATCGGGGCATCAAGGCACTAAAGCCACTAAAGCCACTAAAGCCACCCACGGCTGACCTTCCCAAAGCAAATGGTCCAAGGTCAACAGGACATCATGCTTCCGTTAACATCTGAGCCGTGGAAGTCCGGACAAGAATGGCCATCAAGTCAAAAAAAGAGACTCCTAGGACTCACCTATACGATCCAAGAATGGTCAGAGTTGCGTGCGAAATGGCACCGAGAATGTGCTGAGGTAGGCTCAAGAAGTCGACCTTGAGCGTTCCGTACACCAAACAAACCCAATTGCGATCAGGGTAGCATCATCGGAAGTCTGGAGGAGGGCCAGCATGCATGCAGTGCAACACTTCAGCCCGGCGGACGACGACGCGCAGGAGAGACCGGCCAAACGACGAGCTCGAAGCGCCGTTGCCTGCCAACGATGCAAAGGCCGCAAGCAACGCTGTGACAATGAGTTCCCATCTTGTTCCAACTGCCTCTCCGCCGGCGAACCTTGCTCTTACGGCGTGAAGCAAGTCTATCCGTCAGAATACGTCAGGTCGTTGGAGAACCACATCGCCCAGCTTGAGCAGACGTTGACCTCTGTCGACCCCAAACTGGCAGCTGACCATCTTGCAAACATGAACGAGGCCGCAGCTCCTCGGTCTTCCAGAGTGTCTGCCGAACCACAAGGCCCAGACGATGGAGAGCAAAATACGGAGCCAAGTCTGGAACTTGGGGTCGGGTTTGTCGCACTGTCGCCCAATTCCTACCTTGGAACGTCCAGTGGATTTCAGCTTGCGAAACTGGTCAAATCTGCGATGAATGTGCCAACCCTGGATTCACACCCAGCAGGAGAATCGCGTCTTAGACTGGACCGAGTGCCCCCGTCTGAGCAGACCAGGCAGCACCCGGGCTCCGACAACCCTGTTTTCGCCGAGATGCCCACCGACGAAATGGGAGAGGAACTCACCAGCACTTATCTTCTCAAGGTGTACCCCAAGCACCCTTTCTTGTCCAAGAAGAGGGTTCACGCTCTGAATCAAGATCGCGCGAGTCTCATGTCTGCTCATCAATCACAATTAAAGGAAGCCCGGTCGAGTCGATTAGACTATGCTATTCTGCATTTGGTTTATGCCATTGGCGCGAGGTATCTGCAGTTGGCGGACGACAACTCGTATCCATCACCCGAGGTTTGTACGCCCGGGTATCAGCCAAAGGCTGGACAAGAGATTCTAACGTCACTAGTCTCACTACGCAGCTGCTTTGACAGAGATTGATATCATCTCAGATGTGCGAAGCCTTGAGAACCTGGAGGCGATGCTCCTGCTGTCCATCTACCAGTTAAGATCGCCTACTGGTCCAGGCGTATGGTATGGTGACTGCCCGTTACATCTTCTTAGTCGTTCACTAATTCCTCGCAGGTGGATGATAGGTACAACGATGCGACATTGCCTCGACGGTGGTCTACATCGAAAGACCAACAATCTCTCCAACCTGGTCGATCAGCGGCGCAAACGCATATTCTGGACGGCGTACATGCTCGAGAGGTCTGTTGCCAGGACTGTTGGTCGTCCATATTCTGTGTCGGACAGAGACATCGACGTCGCCTTGCCAGCAAACATCGAAGACTCGTACGAAACGGAGGAAGAGATCACTGCCGCCATTGCGCAGTCGTCGGCAAATCCACACCACATCACCTCCCTAACCGCCGCCATCCACATCATCCGGATCCAACAGCTAGAATCCAAGATTTCCCATACGGTCTGCCGGGTGGACAAGCCGATATCCGAACTCAATCCGCACAAGATCACCAAGCTTCGAAACGCGCTCGAGGAGTGGAAGGCTGCCATCCCCTATTACGTCTCCCATCCTGACAAGGAAGGGAAGCTCCCTTACAGCACGACCGACTACCACATGATCCAATACCACAAAGCGCTGGTGCTCCTATTCCTGCCTTTGCTCCCGTCGCTCTCCCCGTCACACCCCGACTTTCGCCTGTTCGCCTACTCGGCCGGCCAAATCTGCCAGATGTATAAGAGGCTGCACAACAATCAGTCGTACATTTCCTTCTCGTTGCTCGCCCTGCACGCCAATTTCGTCGCCGGTCTCGCGTTGGTATACTGCTTCTGCCTGGACCCCAGGCTCTTCGACGCCAATTTCAGCAGCGACATCCGCGCCTGCAGTACCATGCTGTACGCCATCTCGGAGCGCTGGCCGGCGGCTCGCAAAGTCCGCAACGCGTTTGAAAGTCTCGTCTCCGCCACGATCGAGGGGAACCATGGCGCCGCTCCTTCGACGTCGTCGTCGTCGTCGCCACCCTCCTCCTCCGCGCGGACTACCCGCGTCTCGGGGAGAGTTGGCCAGGGACAACAGGCGCTCGCTGAGCCAGCGCTGTTGTCTCACAGTGGAGGGCCCGAGAGCAACCGATATGCAGAAAATAGAGTTCAGGACAGTGTTTGGGACAGCTTCGAGACGGTACTGGGAGATTACCAGATCAACGAAACGTGGATGTACGATGGCATCATTCAAGCCATGGACACCTTTCCAACGGATGGCTGGACTATGTGGGGAGATTTTTGACCGTTGAGCCGGAGCAGTCGTTTTGATATCCAGTTCCCCCAAGTTGAATAGTGAGACAAGAATTCTTCCACTTCCAGAAGAAATTCAACAATGTTATGTCCAACAGAGAAATCAATCCTGTCCCGATACCGGCTGATATGGGAATTTATTCCTCCAATGCCTCGCAATGTCTGCTCGCGTACACACCCAAACCCCGGGCTTCGAGCTGATATAGTTCAAAAACCTCTGCAGCTGCCTGGCCCGACCGGGCTTGCCGACGATTCGGGCATGGATGCCGATCGACATCATCTTGCCGCCTTCCTCGTACAGCATGTCGAAGGCGTCGACGAGGTACTCGTAGAAGGACGCGCCGCCGAAGCCGTCGGCCGCGAAGTGGAACTTCATGTCGTTGCAGTCGTACGAGTAGGGGACGTGCAAAAGGCCTTCTTCTTTTGGCTTTTCGGGCTTCCCTTGCTGCTGCTGCCGCCGTTGAGCTGCTGCCTGTTGTTCTTCCTGCACACCCACCAGCCCGGCGGGGAGATGCGTCCAGACGGGCACGTCGTCGGCGTAAAAGTCGCTCTGCCACACCAAATGCAGCCCCATCTCCTCAAACGCCTCCCACACCACCCCGACGCTGTTCGGGCTGATCCTGCCCACGTACCAGCCCGCGGGGTCCACCCCGGCGGTCTCCTGAATCGCCCTGATGGCCCGCTTCACGTTCTCCTTCTCCTCCGCGGGTGGCAAATCGCGACAGTCGAGCCAGCGGTACCCGTGGCCGGCGATTTCGTGGCCGGCTTCGACACAGGCCTTGGCCACCGCTGGGTTCATCTCCAGGGCTTGCCCGACGGCTAAAAGCGTGAATGGGAAGGAATGCTCGGCGAAGAGGCGCAGCAGTCGCCAGATTCCGGAGCGCGAGCCGTACGCGTATTCGGATTCGACGTTGGGTTGGCGCGCATTCACGAAGGCAGGTCCTCCGGCTAGAGGGACACAGAGATGTTGCTTGTTAGTCCAAGTGATTCAAATGATATGGATGTTCCCAATCGTCACTGTTCGTAGCATCTTTCCGTCCAGCAAGAAAGACCCGAGAAGAGGGCGCATTACCTTTTTCCCAGTTCATAATCTCGGATTGACCATCTCCGTTCAACACCGTCGACTCTGCGCCTTCTCTTTGGTTTTGAACAGTTTCAGTCTCGAGTCCAGTGTTTTAGAATAGTAAGACCGCAAAAGCCACACAAACCACGCGTACGACCAAGTACGTCTTCTTAAGGAGGAAAAAATTGACCCGAATTCTCCTCCTCCTCCTCCTCCTCCTCCTCCTCCTCCTCCTCCTCAACGAAAGGCCCAAAAAGAAAACCGACTTACTCATAATTTACACATATGCTGACCGCGATGCGGGCTCCTCCAGGCCATTCCGCATTTCGGCCTTGTTGCCCATAGCCGATTAGGTCGCGGTCGAAGGAATACTTCTTGTCCTCGATCACCATGCCGAGTTATGTCAGGGATATCGATTTGTATGAGCAGGTACTCCGGAGTTCACAGAGAAGAAAGAAACGACTGCCAGTGGCTGGAGCTAGTGATGAGGTCTGTGCAGTACAAGAGGTCGTACTGTATCTGGAAGTCGAGCAGACTGAAGAGATCGACCGGAGCGGATGCGTCGCGAGTAGTATCCGTATCTGTAATGTATGCAAGATGGATGTATGTGGCAGTGAAGCTCGGGCCTTACCTAGATTGGTAGGCAACTAGGTAGTATTACTGACAAACCGTAAAGTCTAAAGATTAGGATAGGTCTGCTACTTTCGTCCCTGGCCATTCTGCCCGTGTACCAAGTACAAGCAGAATACCGGTGTGTTGCCGAGTGTTGGCAATGTACGGAGAACGGCTCCTGCCGATGGTGATAAAGGTGCCAACCCGGCGGGAAATCCGATAACGGCCCTGGAAGCATTAGGTTCGCGCCCTTGTATGGAGATCCACGCCAAGAAGATGAAGGCTCTTCCAGACTCTGTCATTTGTTGCCTGGAATGGTCAAAGAGAGAAAGATACCAATGCTATCGAGTCGAAGGAAGTACTGAGTATACTACACACACGACAACAAATGCTTCAGCAGCTACCAAGGGCCAGATCACACACACACACCCCCAGATCCCAATCAGCTATTCACAATGATCATGCCGACAGAAGCCCCATATCTCGACATCAGTCGTCGCAAGGTGGCAGAGAGAGACAGCAAAATCCCTGCGGAGTGGAGGATATCGATGCCGGAGGACGATGACAATCTGCTGCAACTGCCACGGACATGCTCCCTGTTATCGGAGCGAGAGTTGGATATCACGGAAAAGTACGACTCGGTAGCCTTGTTGGAGAAGATCCATGCACGGGAGTACAGCAGTGTTGAAGTGACGAGGGCATTTTGTAAAGTAAGTGTTTACGAGGCAGAACGCCACGCATATACCGCGGGTACATAACCTGAGCCCTCAGCCGGGGATCCAAACAAGACCTCAAGCAGCGTGAGTTCGGCTTTTGCAAAGGCCCAGAACCCCGCCCCATCATGGCTCAGGAGTTGTCTGGCTGATGGGGCTCCCACATGCGCCACAAACAGAGAGCAGCCATCGCGCAACAGGCCTTGAACTGTCTGACGGAGATCTTCTTCGACCAAGCCCTTGAGCGCGCGGCGTTTCTTGACGACTACATCAATCGGACAGGAAAGCCCCTGGGTCCCCTGCACGGCCTGCCGATAGCGCTCAAAGACAGCATCAATGTAGCGGGCATTGATTCGACCATTGGCATGGCCGCGTTCGCGTTCAAACCGGTCAAGCGAAACTCGGTCATCGTCGACATGCTCTTGTCACTGGGGGCGGTCATGTACGTGAAGACCAATGTCCCGCAGTCCATGATGACGCCCGATACAGAGAATTTCGTCTTCGGGCAATCTCGAAATGCCAGATCCAAGTACCTGACAGCTGCCGGAAGCTCTGGTGGGTTGGGCGCTTTGCTTGGCATTCGAGGAGCCTTGATGGGGATAGGGACTGATGTTGGAGGGTCAGTGAGGTAAGAGGTTTCAGGCCTTTTCATCTTTGTTGCGAGACGACCCCCTTTTTGATGTGTGACCTTATGTGACAGAATCCCCGCTTACTGCAATGGAGTCTATGCGGTCAAGCCATCTTCAGGTCGCCTCCCGTACCATGGGCTTCAAGGGTATTTGACCGAAGGAGCTGAAACAGTCGCTATTCTCTGCGTCAACGGCGTCCTCGCCGTCTCAATGAGAGACTGTGAGCTTCTGCTCCGCGCAGTATCGGATGCAGAGCCCTGGCTTTACGATCCCGGGTGTGGCTATTTGCCATGGGACTCACAATCTCTGCCGCAACGACCCTTGGTGTTTGGTGTCATCTGGGAAGATCATGAAACAACTCCTCTGCCACCCCTGCTTCGGGTTCTCAGAGAGACCTGCGCCAAGCTCCGAGCCGCCGGTCACGAAATCGTCGATATGGAGTTCTACAAGTGCGCCGAACTTGCCCAGAACGCGGTTGGGAACTTCAAACTCGAAGGTGGAAAGGTGGGTGGGGTTTTGCAGGCCATCAACCCATGCGCGAGCAACGCTGACATCTTGGACAGGCTCTCGATGCCGCCCGCAATCTCACGGGGGAGCCATACACGGAATCGGTCAAGCAGGGTGGCCTGTATCCGTGCGAAGAAGGGACCCTGGCCAATCTGTTCGCGTTGAGTGCTGAGAGGCTCCAACTCCAGACCGACTGGCTTCAATATTGGGCATCCACGGCCAAACGAACTCGTTCAGGCCAGCCAGTGGATGTCATTCTCTGCCCGCCGCAGAGCTGTCTGCCCCGGCCGCACGACACTCTGATCCGCAGTCACTTTTCGCGCATCTGGAACGTGCTGGACTATCCCGCTGCCATTGTACAGTGTGGTGCCGTGGATCTGACGAAAGACGACGTTGAACTGCCTCCACCACGTGGTCCCATGGATGAAAGGGTGCAATCTATATGTGAGTAACATTGTTTTGAAGTCTCTTTTCTCGTTTCCAGACGCTGGAAGATCCGAGGAAACCAAATCCTGACTGTGGACTAGACACGAAAGAGAAGCGCCAGCGGTATGAAGGGTTCCCTATCGGGTTGCAGGTTGTTGGACAACGCCAAATGGAAGCCAAACTGGTCAAAGTGGCTCTCCTTGTCGACGAACTCGCCCGGTAATGGTGGTTGAGGCGGTGTAAGGGTCTTGCCGTGCCAGGGTCTGCACTCCTTTCTCACGAGTTGCCGAGAAACTCGTCGTGATGAGCTTCTCCCAGGTCCTGATCATGCCTGCTTTCCCTGGGATGTACATGTCTCCTTTTTTGATTCGTGGCCCGAAGGGATTTCTGTGGTTAGAGCCTAGAAGGCGGCGCACCTTCGATTTGTCCAAGCTTGAAACCCAGAACTTACTCGCCTTCCGCCGCTTTGTAACTCACCTCCCTCCAATCGTTGTCCAACGAGGCCACTTACTTTTGGGACCAAAGCTTGGTCATGCTGTTGGACGCTGAGGTCGATCACATGTATGGAGACAAGCGTGGTTGAAAAACTGACTGTTATGAATGAATGTTGCTGGCCAAGAAGTCAAAGGTGTATTTGGGAAATACTCTATTTTCATCTCTGAGGCGACTCCTTTTCGTGCCACGGATTTTAGTCTCCCTTTCTTTTGGACATAACTTCGCTTAGATTGATGCCCCCAAGTCCCCAGAATGGCACGAGAACTGCACAAATGACACTGGCCCAGGAAGACCCGCCCCAACCAAAAACCCCTGTAGTCTGGTTAATGACTTTTATTCAAGCCCGCCCCTCCACAATCACTCGGCAGATGTCTCAGTAGGGAGGCGGCGCGCACCCAGCAGCCGCCGGATCGGGTCCCGGGTGCAGACAATTATCTCTTTGCGCCTCCGGGACGACGACGCTGAGAATGACCTGTTGCAGCAGCTCGGGCCAGTTGCGGTAGAGGACGTTGGGCATGTCGTTTGGCGCAAACCCGTGGCACGGGATGCCTGTGGCGTTTGCTCCCGTTGCGTTCTGGTCCACGATGTTCGCGCACACGTTGACTTCCGGCAGGCTCGGTCTGCCCAGCGAGGCGTTGACGGTGGTGATGTTCACGTCGATGAACTTCATCCCGGGGCACGGCACGAGCGGGGAGCAGTGGATCACCGAGGCGACGTCGAAATGCGATGTTCCGGTGATGTTCTCCCAGGTGACGTCGGAGATTTGCAGCTGGACAACACTCGTTAGCCACACACAGATTTCCCTCCAGCCTGGGGCCTCGATGAATACAAAGGGGCCGGAGGTTTTGGAGAAGGGGGGGATAACTGAGGATCTCAAGAGGGGTCCACTTACCTCGCTCGTGTCGCATACGCTGGGGTCGTGTCCGTACACGCACTGTGTCACGCTGATGGGCTGTCCGACGTTCTCGAGCACGAAGTTGCGGAACGTGACGTTCTTGATGTACCCGCCGCCGCCACCGCCGCTGCCTCCATTGTTGGTCACGGACTGCGAGCGGCCCTGCCACGCCTTGATCCACGCGCCGTTGGTCGAGTTGATCAGGTGGACGTCCTCGTAGACGATGTCCTGCACGAAGTCCGGGTGGCCGGGCTGTTGGCCGACGGAGCCGATGGGCATGCCGTGCGTGTGGTAGCAGGTGATGTTCTTGGAGATGATGTTGGTGCTGTTGCCTTTGATGGCGATGCAGTCGTCGCCTGGTGCGGGCTTTAAGTCAGCAACACAGTAAGGACAGACACACTGAGGGAGGAACATAGGCACGGGCTGAAGCCTCCGGTGTGTAATGGTTGCTGAACGTACCTCCGAGAACAGTCCAGTTGGTATAAAACACATCCCGGGAGTTCCACGTGTCAGAGCCGTCCGTGTTGACGGTGAACCATGTGTCGTTGCTGGTTGAGTTCATGTAGATGTTGGTCATGCTGACGTTCTGCGAGTGCGAGATGAACGAGTGCCAGAACTGCGCCTGGCTCCACGACACGCCGTCCATCCACAGATTCTTCGCGTTGAGAATCGTGAATGCAATCGGCCTTCCGGGCTGGTTGCTGTTGTTGCGGTTCTCGTCGTACCACGCCTGGCCTGTGTCGAGCAGGGATTAGACCCGTTCTATATTACACGGTTTCTAGAGACATCTATGTATCCATAAAGTGGAACCAGAGATGAACATGATATGATATGACACGGACTGACTAGACTGGATTGCACACACTTACCATTCCCATTAAACCGGCCCTTCCCAAATCCCTTGAAAGTCACGTTCTCGCCGCCAAAGAACCACGCCGTCGACAGGTTGGCGTAGACGACCGAGTAGCTGTGGCCCAGCCAATAGGGAATGTTGTCGCTCCAGACCATCTCGCCGTGCAGTTCGACGTCGCAGTTGACGAGGCCCGTCGTGTTCATGACCTGGTTGACGTAGAACGTGTTGTTCGTGAGCACGACCGTCCCGTTGGTCCCGCACAGCTCAAACGCCTGCAGGATTGAGGGAGTGTCGTCTACGGGCTGCCCAAAGTGTGTCAGGGACTCTGGGTACACATAGCATGTGGTGCCATTGTTGACGACGTACGCGACGCTGGTCGAGGCTGCGGCGAGCACGGAGAATAATGCCTTGAATAGCATTCTCAGGAGCAGGGTGGTTTTGTCTCTTCGTGGGACAATGACAACAGATGGCCAGCCAGGTTTGAATCCCCGGGAGTTTGGGGGCTCAAGATGTACATTCCTGCTCTCTTTATGCACCTAGACTCAGCTTCGAGAGCAGCAAGAGTATATTTGACCGAAGTCCAAGCGCTTCCCTCTCCATTTGTTCGGCGAACCTCCGCGAGGACATCTCCAATGAAGCATTGGCAGTGCTCGAGATGAGCCTAAAGGCTTCGGGTGATCTACATTTCAGCTGCTTGAGAGTAGCCTCGATGTGAAGCTGGCCCAATGTGAAAGGCTATGGCGATGACCGCGCAGAACGGTACCTGCTGGTAGCTGGCAAGCTAAAGCAAGTAATCTAGCCACCGCAAGTCAGCAAACTTGGGATGTTTGTGAGGGGAACAAATGCGGGGGATTCTCAGGGAGTCACATCATATTATGGGGAAGACGGAGTACCTTGGGGGAATATGTCGGTATACTTACTGTGTAGTACCTTGGTCCTTGGGGGTGGACTGGGGCTTGATATCCACAGCACGGACTACGGCGGAGAAAACCCGCCGGGGCAAAAGGGTCCGGAGGAATGTCCCTAGTCAAGATCGACAGCATAGTAACTATCCTAACCATTTCGACTACCCTGGCTACAGAATACCGAGCATAACTTTGAGGGAAATCAGTCGCCTTGGCGAACAGAGCTACTGTAACTGCTCCAAAAATCTGGTATTAGGCTAAATGGAAACAATTTGAGGCTACTCACAAGATTCCTCCTCAATCATCACCACAGGCAGGTCCATAGCCGAATGATGACATTGAACAATTCTCCCAAATGGCCGAGTCGTGAATGCGGTGTTCACTCCAGCTGAACGGCTCTTTCGGGGTAGGAGACTGGCTGGCTAAGAATGAGAGTGTTTCCCCGATATATCTTGACTTGTTTTCTCCCTTGCATTTTTGGGGGGAGTCAGTATGATGCTTCTTACTCAGTGAACCTTCTCCTGGCCCCTCCATCATACCATCTTGATGCCCTTGAGAGTGTGCCATAACCCAGAGTCTGCTCAGAGGAGGCAGAGAGATGGTGACTGCCAATCAGACCCTGACCATGTGTTGACCATGGGCTGTCCTGGGTGTGGTAGTGGGAGAAATTCATGAGGGAGCTCTGGGGCCGTGTGTCCATACTGTAACTCGCTCGCTCGGACCAACACATGAGAAGGAAGGTTTGATTGCCCTTGAAAAGGTCGCTTGGGAGATCAGAATCCATCCACCCCGGGGCGAAAGCCTAGAACGAGTCGATTGGGTGCGTCCTTTTTTCTCCTTGATCCTCAGATAATTCAAACTTGGCAACGTTGGCGTAGTCCCTCTCGCCATAGTGATGCATCTTTTCATCTCACATCTCGAAGCAGTCGTGGCGGTCTCAGGCGGAGATAAACCGCTCGCTAGCTTCATCAGGTAATCCAAATGCCAAAGTAGGCAACTCCGCATTGATGCCAACGCCGATAATGCCGCGTTCTTGGCCCGTGAGATTTTGAGTTGAGTTTGAAACGGTCGCCATAGACTAGAAACAAGCCAAGCCAGAGGTGAAAAGCCCTTTGGGTGTCAAACGCACCGGGTGCTGCGAGACGAAGTCGGGATCCTGGGGCGCCTTGAAAAAGCCAAAACTTGCTCGACCCTCAGTACTTACTGTAGCACTCAGCTCGGAGGGAAAAGACTAAATTGCTGCTGTTCTTATCGAGATCATCCTGTTCCATGGCACTTTTTTTTTTAGATCGACTGGTTGGGTGAGGAAGTGGAAGGTGAATTTTTAATGTCACATACGGGGTTGATGCTGGTGGTGAATAAGGTCAAAGATAATGCTACCTGTATGGAGATACCGAACCCACCCTCCCCTTACAGTCACATTACAACTGTCTTTCGACCAAAGGCCAAGGAAAAGGTGAGTCATAATTGCCTATTAAGCCTAGTGTGCTAAAATCTAGTCAACGAATCATCGTTCGGTGTCACGGGATCCCGTATTGCCAATACAGTACAGCTCGACGAACTGATTCTCATGACTCAATTAGATTCATTGCTCATATACCTCCTGTCAGCAAATAAGCGACCACGTGATGACCGATGTTCAACATTGCCTTCGACACGCTCAGCCTCATTACGACCATGACTGCACCTCTGAGCCGCACTTCGTTCTGCTTGAGCACTCTTCGTTATACACCCTTCATCTTCTTCTACACGAATATCGCCGTAGCTCCATTATTATAGTTTGCACACGCTATCAACGAATTTTCGTAATTACACAATCACAGGCTCCCGGTCACACGACCTGAAACCGATCGCGAAAGCCATTGCAATCCGATCCCCTCAGATGAGCTCATCTTAAACAGCCTCCCTCGGCGGCCTACCTCTGTGAGGTCTTCACGACACCGCATCGTGGCGGTGGCTGTCCAGCAGAGGATTCTTTATTCCTCTTTCACCACGCACGTACTCTTGACTGCCGCTCGCTATCGGAGTTGGATTTATGCGATTATACAGCAGATGAATTTGCGAATGTTGAGATCACGGAGTACAATATTCTTTACTACCTTGCTATTACGATTTCTCTAATCTAAATGATATGGATTACTTCTTCAACAACGCCTTCAAACCATTGTAAAGATGTTTGCCAAAAACGTTCTGCTATACCAATCCTTTGAAATGTCCTCGTCCCTTCTATTGATACTTCGGCCAAAAGCAAAGCACAGAGCGAATCTGGGTCGTCCTCGCTTGTTTCACTTGTCGGTGTTTCCACCTTCGAATCATCGCTATCTTCACTCGTAACCGGCAGACACCATGTGGGGACAGACACTGAAGGGGGCTGCGTGTCCAAAAAGGCATAGCATAAACGCTCGCCAGTTTTAGCGTCAAAAAGCGCATTGCCACTCACAAGAGCAGGTTTGAGAAGTCCCCTTACCGTGAGAGTCCCTGCCAAAACTCCGCCAAAAACATTTGATCTGTCGCGTAATGTGACATCGCAGCTTAGGATGGTCAACATCGGCGCAGTAGATGGATAAGGCGCAGGATGGAATCCAATTGGTCCGTCCATCGATGCCCATGACCATGACGGAGCACGATATCGGGATACTCTGCAACAAGGCGTCTCTGGAGAGCCCAAGGATGTCCAAAGCAATTGCGTGAGGAGAAACTTGCCCCAGAGGCCGGCGTAATAGGGCGATGCTAGTACTGTACTGAATTCTTTGGCTATACCTCCAATAGCCGGAAGTTTATCGCTAGGATCCGACAGCACCCTTTTAGAATATGTTTGTACGATATCTGCCCAACGATGGCATAGACGATGTACAGCGGGAGTGATAGTGAGAGCGCCACGTCGTGGTAAGATAGACGAATATAGGCGAACATCGGAACGGTATGGTCGCTCGATTGGTCCGATATTGCTTTCGTGGACTGAGTCGCACCGCCATTCTAAGGCGGGTATTCCAGAAAAAAAGCTCATAATACGAGGGGAAAGGAGACGTTCTTGTAAGGTCCAGGCTCTGTGACTGATTGGCTGTTCGTCCAGGTGGATATGTGGGATCTTCTGTAGGGTGAACACAAACTTGTTTCCTTGTGGTAGTTGGAATGGAATATTCCAGGAAGGCCAAACGCACGGGCCCCAGTTCACAAAACCATCGCTTACACTCCTGGCTTTAGAAGCAATGATGGTCAAGAATGAATGTTTGTATATCTCGCCCATGTTGCCAATTTCCCTTTGTTTGTCATCATCGCTGTCCTGTAGAATGCAATAAGCATCCACCCAAATAAAGCGGACGCCGAGCGCACGGGCAATGCCGATGAAATCTCGAATGGTGGGAGGTAAATTGGACTCCTCAATCGCCTGCGCATATTCGTGATGATTCTCGGTTGTCAACTTTGCAGGCTGAAGCTGGCCCCAGCGATAGCTCAAAGCCATGTAGCGGCCATATGCTCCATTACTTGTGCTGAGTTTGAGATTTGGTGTACCGTCTTCTTGTAGAATTTCAAGAACGCGAGTGGGAAGGACCGTTTCACCCAGATCCTGACAGTCTGCATGGAATTTCATGCAGTCGTCGAGCCATCTTCTAGCAAATTCAAGATGTGGTGTTCGAATTTCAGGTCGAATTACCAATTCCAGGGATTTGCCCCAAAAAGCGATTGGTCCCGACCCCATGAAATAGATGTCGAATCGTATAAACTCATGTATCAATTTTGCATGGTCGACAACAGCTTTGAGAGTAAATGTGCAAATCGGTCTTCCCCACACATCTTCGTTGAACCGGTAACTCTCATCTCCCTGACGGCCAACAAAATCGCCCTCTAGCAAGACTGAGCGAAGCAAGGCACACACGTGACAATCGGTTTGGGAAATCGAACGGAGCCTGGTCAGAGCTTTCTGGAAATTCAAACCGGCCTCGAACAAGGTCGCAAGCGCTGCTGGCTGGAACAAGATCAGCCGGCAATCTGTGCAGATGATTTCCAAGGTTTCGGCGTCTTCATTTGGGATTTGTAAGTCAGATTCCTCTCGTGCCATGGAGATGACCTGGTCTGACAGGGTGGTTTGAATGGACCCAAAGAATTTGATACTGTCTTTTCTAAGATGCGATTGTCGTCAAAATCTGCGGTGTATCATAGCATCTAGGTCAGTGCGTAAGTTTTATTACAAGAGAAAGAACTGACTCTCTTGCTCCCTGCTACTGTTAAGAGAGGTAGGACGTAAGTATAGTGCTGTTGCCTAAAAAACATTAGGCACCTGCAGGTCAAAAATGGTCAACGCCAAGAATAATAATTACGCCCATCATTGTAATATTAAGTACCGTATTCAGTTAATGCGAACGATGATTCGTTGACTTGGGATTTATAATTTTACCTAGATAGGGGGACAAGACCCATTTCCGGTTTAGCTTTGGGCCGAAAGAAAGTCAGAATATATCCGCAAAGGGGGAGGGTGGTTTCAGGAACGACTGTAATAATGCGAGTAGACACTTCATTCTGGGGGGATAGCGGGCGGAGTCGCCCCCGCTCATGTAGGTATATTAATATACACTCCGTATGGTGTACGATGCACTGTCAGACACTATGTGCCTGCAACGACTGGCAACGTCCAACTTTGTGAATGGCGCAAAAAATGCTGTTGCCAATCACCATGTCGGCCTCTGCCAAGGAGGTTACATACCTCGCCACCGCACGGGTGCATCAGGCCTCCTCCCGTTAGGCGGCCAGGTGAGAGGTATGAGACCTGATGTCGCTTGTCAGGTGCTCGGGCAAGAGTCAATCGCTTTGTCCGCACAAAAGGACGGTTCGCTGCTTGCTCGGGCCTGGGGACCATCCAAGCAGCGCCAAATGTCTCAACGTTAGGGCGTCTCATAGATATATATATTTCCTTCTGGATATGTTTGACGACCAGTAAGCCACAGATCGGCGCAGGATGTGATTGATACTGCACGTCCATACACCCACAACCTATATTCTCCACTTGCACGACGGAAGGAGTGACATCTCTCCGCAAAACGAAGCAGAACACGCACTCAACAGGTCCGGGTCCACCACATAGGATCTCTTGCGCCATGCGTGTTCTGATCATCGGCGGCGGATTTGGCGGCCTCTGCCTAGCGAACGGCCTGCAACAAGAGCCAGGCATCGAAGTCCAAGTGTTTGAGAGGCACGAGGATCCCAGACACGAGCTCGCCGGCTACGGGATTCACGTTGGCTCCGACGGCAAGCGGGCACTACAGCGCTGTCTAGACCGGGAGAGCTGGGACCGTTTCCTGGCTGCATCGACCCCAGCGGGTGCCCAGTGGGCGTTCCGGGACACGCAACTGCGCCTGCTAGCCTTGCGGGACGATGCGAGAATTTCAGGCAAACCGGAGAGCGAGGTCGAGAGAAGAGCCGCGCACCGGGCGGAATTCCGAGATATCCTGCTAAAAGGCCTGGCTCGTCGAAGCGACGGGACCGTCATGGTACACTGGGGCAAATCCTTCACGCACTATGAGCACCTCGACGGCGGACGAGTTCGCGCTCACTTCGCCGACACGACGAGTGCCGAGGGCGACATCCTCATTGGAGCGGACGGCAGCAAATCCAAGGTCCGCGAGCAACGACTCCCGGACCTGTGCCGAGAAGAGCTCGGCGTCGTCATCATTTGCGGACGGTACCAATTGGACGAGCAACGCGTGCAGAACTTACCGACGCTCATGACAGACGGTTCACTGAACAACATCATCCCGTCCGGCAAAGGCTGGTTGTTCATAGCCTCGTTCCCCTCGACGGAAGGGGAGCGTGGGCCCGTCGAGAATTACACCCTGTGGGCCTACGTGGTGCCCAAGGCGGAGACGCCCACGGATCCCAAAGCTCTCTCGCCATCACAGCTGTGTGACATGGCTCTATCCGGTGTTCAAGGCTGGGCGGCACCGCTGGTAACCGTGGTCAGGGATGCAGATCTCTCGACAGTCTCCCCAATAGTCCTGCGCTCGATGCCTCATTTATCTCCGTGGGAAACAAACAGCGTATCGCTTCTCGGTGACGCGATCCATAACATGACGCCCATGGCGGGAGTCGGAGCCAACATTGCCCTTCGCGATGCTCAGGTCTTGACCGATCTCCTCATCGACGCACATCGAGGCAGCACCAGCATCCTGGATGCTCTGGCAACATATGAGGATAGGATGAGGCAGTATGCGAATGCGGCGGTGGCACTTTCGCGGCAGATTGCTGAAGGCGCGAGTTCCAGTCAGAGGATACAAAGATGGTTGTTCCATTTTCTGCTGCGGTTGGCGCAGGCGAGTCCGGTGGTGATGAGAGCAACGATCGGCAGAGGAGCTTTGGCAGACTGATCACCACATTGCAACAACAACCATGTGAGGCAAAGAGCCTGCCATTACTCGACAATCCTCAAGACTTGACTTTGACGGGGTGCGGAGGAAAGGATTGGCGTGTGGTTTCCCGCTCTTGTACCGCCCATCCACAGCATTCAAGAATGACTCCTCCTTTTCAATAAAGTCGAAGTTTAAGGAGGCTTAAACTGGATCGAGAGAAAGCATTGTTGAATCACGGTGAGAAGGGTAGAATCTTGTCGTCGCATCGCAAGGAGAAGACGCCGGAGGTGAAGTCGCTATGGTCGAAAAATGGTCTCGCCTGCGCATCAGGAGGAAGACAAAGCCAGCGACAGTGATCCCGAATGTCGTTGCGGGTGAGGGATGCTCTGGGCAGGTGTCGATATTGTGTCCAGTGTCCAAATGTGCAGCCAGCAAGCCAGCAAGCAAACTGGCGCCTATCCATTCTTGTGCAGCTCAGCGCCGCTTTAAGAACTCGATGCTCTGCAAACAGATTCACGTATCCTCAAACCGGGACCAAACGCGTGGAATATGGCACTTCCAGGACTTCTTTCAAGACCATCAGCTCGCATACAAGCCCTGAAACGACCTTGCAGAGTGTGTGGAAGTGGTTGTCTGTCTCTTTGTGGCAGGACAAAGCGCCTCTTTCCTTTGACGTCCGGAAAGGGAGCACAAGGCTCCGACCCCTTTTCACCATGACTGACAGAATCCAGTCCAAGATCATCCAGGGAATTGTCAAGCAGAGTTCCATCGAGGTACCCGTCAATGGACTCCGCGTCATGTTCGAGTTGCTGTGTGCAAGCAAGCGTCTCTCTTGCACATTAGATACGTTCGCTCAACTCAGCCAAGAGGGTAATAGACTGACAGAGTCCTGACGTCGTTCAAGCAGTCTTCTAATAGTGTTTGCACAGACCTCCGGAATCTCACTCGACCTTTTTTGTGCTGTGTCCAAAGTCATTGGGTACCAGGGTTACTCCCTTCGCCGAGCGGCCATCGCTGCCTCAGACACGATATCATGGAACTCATTTTTGCGGCTCGTTCTAACGACTTCGATTTCGAACGCATCAAACCTCTTCTAATCTCAACCCTCGGTAGCGATCCAGACAGTACAGTTTTCTGGGATCAAGTCTATAATGCCGTCACCCCACCGGACCAAGCTTGTGGGCCGATTCCTCCCTCGCCTCCAAATGCCTCCTGGCTACTCAATAGGACTAACTTCTCGAACTCTCCAAATAACCGCCAAATTTTGAATGGTATTCTCAAGCGAGTCCTGGGTGCTATCTATGCCGGAATCCTCCAATTCGACGAAGCATTCTTTGGGGCGTTGGCAGATCTTGTGTTGCTATCCGGACGCATCTTCACGACGCGGGCAGACTACAACAATCTTCCAAACAGAGGCATTCGAGACACCTTATTGCATTGCCAGGTCGACTCCACTGAAGGCTTCTATCGTTTTTTGCGCGAGGGCAACTACGAAAAGAGAGTCATCTATGTCGACATACTGGACATCAGCATTATCCCCGAGGACTCGAGAACGTCCGGTTATGAGCTTGTTCGTAACCTATCGCAACTCAGCGGATGGTTCGAGGAGTGGGATACGTTGACAGTCTTGAAGATCGGTAAGGAGATTTACTGCGTCCAAGATCATTTCAGCCCCCATGAAATACCTCCGAAGAAAGTAGTGAGAGACTACCCATTCTTCGACATTCTCGATCTTCGCCTCGTGGCTCGCCTGACACCAACCGTCACGTACGTTGATAACGGATCAGAATTATGCTATCTGAAGATGGCGCCTTTTCGCTCGGACGTTGACGCGGTTTCTCAAGAACTGGAGGCCTATCACGTTCTGGCAAGAAGAAATCCGCGGCTGAGACGTGAGTTCCTTGGCTATGCGTTTGAAGGACCACGTGAACGTGTCGTCGGATACCTTGTAAAAGCAACACATGCGCCGACAGCCCAACATTTCCAATCTGGAGGAGTTTGAGAAAGCACTTGGGAAAGTTACACGCCTGTGGTCACCGTCTGTGCACATCGATCTCCACAGGCGTAAGATCTTTCTCACCGCCCAGGGCCCGAGATCCATTAATTTCGAGACTCCGTCTCCGCCTCCGCCTGGCCACCTCTGACGCTGGACTGCAATGGAAGAGCAGGAATTTGATCGCCTCCAAGAGGCCTTGCTGGATGATTGTAGCATCGACGTGGACGGAGTCGACGAGTAGCAGCCCTCGAACTGTCTGAAGTCAAGTGATTGATGAATACCACTAGGCTTCCAGAATAACATGCGCCAGCACAGCTGAGATATGCGGTGTGTATTCTAGATACGGTAGACTTCGAAAGTCGCCACTGGTCCAAGTAACGGCGAGAGAGTCCTGCCTTAGAGCCCAGCCTTCCTTCTCAACGTCCCTTTCCTGCTCCATAATCGTGAGTGATTCGTCCAGCAGCTAGTTTCAAGCCGATGTAACAACTCAAAAATTTCCGAATCTCGCACATGCGGTCATGAATCATACTCCTCGTCGCCACACAATTCCCAGGGTCGTCCATGTGGCGGTGTATCCATGCGGCACAGGAGCAGCACACCCAAATGAGAAAGTCATGCTTCGTCCGATCATTATCCTCACGGATTCTATACGGGAGGATGTTGAGATGCCTCGTTTCGATGATGTCTTCTAACTTATCTCAATCTGCCAAGGTATGATAATTGATAGACTATTGGTGGCGGATGAGGCTTGGTTACCTGTACAAGGCTCGATATAAACTCGCGCCGCCAAGGCTCGGGGGCCCTGCATATCTGACTGCTTTCACCGACTAAAGTACAGCCAAATCGCCACTAACGCTCCTCCAGGTGAATGCAAGTCCGACTAGATAGGACGGGGGAAGCTGGGGTAGTATGTCAAGTATGGACACGAAGTCAGCTGAAGTGTCGTGTAGCATCATGCTTCACCGGCCTTGCTGACTGCGCGTGCGGCTGAATTTCAGTAAACAGATCCTTACTCGGCTGAATAAATGTACAATTATCCTCATGATCACCGACTTTGCTGACTACGGCATCACCAGAAACGTGGGAGGAAGGGTGTAGTCATGCAGAGATTGGCTAGATTCAAACATCGACCGCCGGCTGCGTTTCGTACAAGCCCTAATTGCAGGCCAATATCAAAAGGATCAAAGTGCTCTGTGAAGGACTAGTAGTCAGTTTCGTATTCGAGATCGTCTACAATGTAACATGCTGATTATCTTACAGAGACGTCAAGCACGAAGCATTCTATTTTCATGGTTGGAAAGGAGCACTGTAACCTGAAAGAACGAAGCCCGGTCGCCGAGACCTTCAACGACGAACATGTTATAAAGCAACCGTCCATCTGCCTCTCCATCGTTCTCATCCTTTATCCTACGGCTCGTCTCAACATCTGATCTATAAATCTCGTCGGTTCGCATACCAACATTTCCTTGCCCAGATCAAGATGTTTGTCAAATCATCCGTCCTCTGCTTTGCTGCTGCTTTGACGACGGCATGCGCAGCACGGATCCCGGCCGCTCACAACTATGGGATAGTGACAGCAGCGGAGTATGTCCACGATGCCGAAGGTCAACAGTTCCTGGTCACGGATATCACCAAGGCTAAGCCACACACCCTGGCCCCGTTCACAGCGAACTTCTTTTCCAACTCCTGCAACAACGGCTTCATTGGCCAGGTTCAGGGGCAGGGCGGTGCCAATTGTGTCAAATCCATCCCTGGCACAAAGGGCATCGCTCTCCTCAGCCAGCCAGCGGGTTGCCAAGGTAAGCGGCTCCATTCTTTTGCAATCCATGTCACCCGAGAAGATGTCGGAGCTAGTGGGCTAACCACGGTACCGCAGTCACGGTGTATACGGATGACAACTGCAGCAGCGGCGCTACTCTTCTCAGCGTGGGGCAATGTCTCCAGGAGACAGAGACCGGCATTCCATCATATTCGATTGATGGTAACTGCTAGACATCTTCACGGCCAATCATCTCTTCGAGTCTACTGGGGCACCGCTCTCGGTGTCATGTTCGTTGTCCTTCAGCACCAATCACTCGTTATGTCAAATTGTGGCGATGGCGCCAGCTTTCACAAGCTAGAGTCATGAAGAAGCCTTGGTATATCTTCAGGCAATCCTGGGAGAGAGTTCATTCCTTAGACTTGGTCAGATAAGCAATATAAGTCCCGTTGGGGGGAAACGGAGAGTCAAATTTGTTTTCTTCTCACTCTTTTTGTCTTTCACACTTTCAGAACCTGCCTGTATCAGCGGCCATCCGCAAAAGCTGTCTGCTCATACTTCGAGTATCCAGGCACATTGAAACCTCGCACGCAGCCAGAGTAAGAGATTGCAATCATACCTAGGTAGCCACGACAGATGTCTTGGTCCTTCCGTTATGGAAAGCATTTTCAGGCAATTTGCTTGATAGACGATGACACGCCAAGGCCAAAATTAGACCCAAGACCCATGGAGACGCGAATCGTGACGCTTGGGCTGGTGGCTCAACTTCATGTTAATTCCACAGGCTGTTTGAAGACATCTGTTAGATACCTAGGTAGCGATATTTGTTAACCCTAACGCGGGGATTGCGGGCATCAATGGGAGTGGAGGGAAGAAACCGAGTTCCGACAATTACTTTACTCGCTTAGCCTACCACCCTACCTCCCCTCGAACTATCCCCGGCGTGGCGCGACTTTGACAGGAAAGGAATCAGACCTCAATCACATGTCATCTGTACCCAATGTGCCTGCCAATTCCTGGCCAATCCTTACTGAATTCGAGAAGCTGCAGTTCTTCACCATCCATGCCAGCAGATTCTAATCACTGTCAGAGTCCTTCAATTCCAGCCCGGCACCCATTTGGAGCAACAATCGCATCTCCCACCTCCCAACAGCTTGCTCACTAATCCCAGACAAATCATAACGAAGGAGCAGCAAGCATCCTGCGGGGCATGTGCCCATCCGTCCCCACACAATATACATGCCTCGTCACGCAATTTTTGGACAAGAACAAACCATCAACTTGTATTAGTAATTAGAGAGTATTGTAAGACATATACTTTGCTTGACTCTTACACTTCCTCTCCAGCGTTTGTTTATCAGCAATCTTTTGTCTTGCCATTTCCTCTCTTATCCTTTTTTCTCCGACCAAGAAAAGAGTAACAAAAAATTCAAAACGGACTGCAGTCAAAAATGGTATCCAACAAATTCTACGCCATTGTAGCTGGTATCGGCCCGGCAACTGGGAGATCGGTCGCTCTGAAATTCGGCGAGTCGTACCCGGTGGTTCTGCTGTCTCGTCGGCCGGAGAGCTATGAGGACGTCGTGGCCCAGATCAACAAGACTGGCGGGAAAGCGATCGGGATCTCTGCCGATGTCACCGACGAGTCGTCTCTCGCTGCCGCATTGGAATCCATCAAGAAGGAGTTTGCGGGCTTGCAACTCGTTGCGGCTGTTTACAACGTCCGACCCAACCTACGGCCGAGCCGCAAACCTTTCCTCGAACTGAGTCTGAAGGATTTGGACACCAGCCTCAACGGCAATGTGTATGTTTTCTCCCTAGGACAACCAACCCCTTTTTGCTCTCGAAGCTCTTTTTAGAAATCTAATGAATGACACGTCACCGTTCTAGCCGTGGCCTCTTCAATTTTGCTCAGGCCCTACTGCCGCTCCTTCTTCAGTCTGTGGAAACTTCTCCATTTCCGCCAACATTGGTTGTCACGGGAGCCACTGCATCCATGCGAGGCTCCATAAACTGGTCCATTATCGCGGCAGGCAAGTCCGCGGGGCGCATCTTGACACAATCTCTGGCCCGGGAGTTTGGTCCCAAGGGTATCCATGTCGCCCATGCCATCATCGACGGCGGCATCAACGAGCCTGATGCAGCACATGCTGCGAGCAACGATGCCACTCCAGATGGAAAACTAAGCCCCTATGCCGTAAGTCGCCCAGTCAATGCGCCCATACAATGTTGGGATAGGAAGTTAACTTTGATTCAAGATTGCCGAAAGCTACTGGAGTCTGCACACGCAGCACAAATCAGCCTGGACGCAAGAAATTGACCTACGACCATTTAACGAGAAATTCTAGACCATGACGTTCGATCAACGGATGCAGGGCAGAAATGCGGTCGCGGCGTAAATGCTGCTTCAGGACTCCCGCATGCTAGTGGCTGTCATGGCAAGTAGGGTCCAGTCCGAGAAATGAGGCAGATAAGGTGCGAGACTATGCAGGAGACAATGGCAAAGCTGTACAAATGTCCGCAACACCGGATCAATAATTCGGATTACTAGGCAATCAAGAGACAGCTAAGGAGTACCCGCACCATTACAAAAGCCTCTTGTATCCAATGCCTTTCGGCCTTCCCACAGAAGGAATGAGGTTAGCCATGCAATAGCTAGGCCATTCAGTGCGGGGAGGGCGGGTTGTTGACAGGGGTTATAGACCCTTGAAGTGGCCAGAAGTCCACAGGTATTGCACCATTATATATTTGATTATATATACTTGGCCACTGTGGGCACCGCAGGCACTATAGTGACTACCAAAGAAGGTCAAGCTGGGCTGGCGTTTAACGCTAGCAGGTATCCATCCATTCAGACAGACAGCCAACATCAAAACGTAACGTGTCAATCATCGGTAGCTTCACGGTTATCATATCCAAGACGATAGGGGGAGGGCATTCATTGACGTGCTTTTCGCATGTATTGCGTGCTTGAGAAATGATGGTCAGATTACAAATTGATGCCGCGTTCGAGCTGCGGAGGGGGAGGGACGGTCTTATGCCGAGGGAAACATGAAATGGCAATAAGTATATCGTGTCTTTGCGTGTCGAAAAGCTTACGATCCTAAAACAACCCCCCTCCCTTTGGTAGATTAAGAGTACCCTGTCCTCTCTTGGGGTGGCATCAATACTAGTAACTATGGCTACAGCTGCGGTCCAACACGCTCCAGGCAATGCCATCGGGCATGTGGTCGAGCCTCTTGCCGCGAAGACGACCAAGCCCGCGAAACACGACGTCACCGCGGAGGTGTACTACTACAAGGATCCAGGTGACGGGACTCCTCCTGAGCCTTCTTACGTCGGGTGAGCTCTTTTTTCTCTCGAATAGCAAAGAAAAAGTCTCGAGTTCTAAGACCCAGAGGCAAAAAAACCAGAAAGCCCAATTCGTACCTCCGTCCCCACGTCGCGCAGAGCGTGGTCATCCACGACGTCTCCGGGGATGAAGACAAATACACCATCGACAGCCATGGGTTCCAGTACATCAGGCATGAGAGCAAGGAGAAGGACTTCGTCGACAACGACAAGATCAAGGCTGAATACTACCCGGAAGTTGAACAGCTTCTGAAGGATACGTGAGCATGCTCCGCTCCGAAATAACGAGAAAAGACGCGCACTAAACATGTCTTTTATCGATGTATTTGTGATACAGCACCGGAGCCTCGCGCGTCCTGATCTTTGACCACACCATCCGCCGGGCGACGTCCGATGTCCGCGATATCGCCGGCCAGCTGCGCGGGCCTGCCCGCCGGGTGCATATCGATCAGTCGTACGGGGCCTCGGAGAACCGTGTCCGATACCATCTGCCCGATGAGGCGGACGAGCTTTTGAAGAAGCGCTTCCAGATCATCAATGTAAGTCCACCACTCACTTATACCTTGTGTGACCAGGCCACCCTTTTATCTATCCAAACAAACACGCCCGTGGCTGACTGGGTGGTCCAGGTCTGGCGACCGATCAATACGATCCTCAGAGACCCGCTCACGCTCGCCGACGCCCACACCGTTCCCGACAGCGACCTCGTGCCGGCCAAGCTGATCTACCCAGACCGCGAGGGCGAGACGTACGCCGTCAAGCCCAGCCCGAACCACCAGTGGTACTTCAAGTACGCCCAGCGGCCCGACGAGCCACTGCTGATCAAGTGCTACGACTCCCTCGACGACGGACGCGCCAGGAGGATCCCGCACACGGCGTTTGTCGATCCAGAATACGAGAACGGCCCGCCCAGAGAGAGCATCGAGGTGAGGACGCTGGTGTTTTATGATTATTAGGGTATCTTCTGCTCGATGAGGAGCATTTGATTTGTGACGGCGGGATTATCACCATCGTCTCTTACTCTGTAGTCATTCGAGTGGCTATAACAATTGTCAGCCGACTCTCTGATGGATAGCCTTCGAGTCCGTTCTATCACTATATCTAGCCATCACTATGACACGGAAGGGCGAGCCCCGACTGTTCTGGCCGAAAGATGTTTTTGTACTCCGTAGCTTCTTGGCCAGGTTTTGCAGAACATGTCTTTCTATTTCACCTACTAGATTTTTGAAGCTGGGCGAATGCCGCTGTCGGCGGGGGTAGTGCTCTTCATACAGCCATCCTGCGGTTCACTGGCACCCATGTTTCCGCCAAATAAAGAAGTAAACAGCTGTTCACGGCCACAGAGCAGCAAAGGTATCGACGCCCCGAATAGCCATCGGCAATGAGACTCCACTATGTGCAAAGACTTTTCTGTGTGATGGTGAAAAACCAAGCACATGTCCACACCACTCGGTGGCAATGTTAAAACATATCTATCCCTCTATATACAGTCAGTCGTCCCTCTCTATAAACAGTCGCCCCGGTCGCCGGGAGGACTTCTTGTACGGCTTGATCCGCCGCTTGTACATCGACACAGATTCGGAGACCCCTCTAGCGAAAGCTGCTCCGGGTCTTCCGAGTATTTGGGCAGTGTAGCACTCCCGTCCAGCCACCTGCAGGTCAGGATCTGGATGGGCATCCTCACCCGGATCTCAAAATGTTTCCGACTGCTCTCCGAGACTTCGACGAAGGCGGATATGGTTATCTGTGGAAATGACGGCGTTAGGCGGGAGCGGACAGACAAGGGAGGAAAAAGGGACATTCAAGAAAAACGTGAGACAAGGAGAGAAAGATCTACTCACCAGAAGGTAGTGGCGAACATAGAGACACTTATAAGCAGTGTCCGCTTGGAGGCGCGAGCACGAAGGTATTTGAAGAACGGCCGTCTCGTGGAGATAGTTGCTCTCGCTGTCTTCATGCACCGACATGGATCGACTCCTGCGCCGTGGTACGTCCTTCTCAATGACGGTGCTGCTCGCGTAGGAAACCGCCATGTTTTCACCCACGGCACTGATCCGCCGGAAAGCCCGCTGGTGGAGGGGATCTCGCTTGACGCGCTTGGTGTAGAGGATGGCTTTGGAGCGCGACTGTTCTCGGTACGCCAGACCGTTGCGTGTCTGGTATTGCACGTCCTCGACCATGGCCACGGTGATTTGCTGCCAGCAGCGATCTGCCTGGGTCGTGATCTTCATACGCAAGGGCATCTGCCCGCCCACAGGGCAGGACTTGGCCGCGAGCGAGAAATTGTACCCGAGGCCGTGCAAGAGGCCGCGGACTTCGTAGGGCTCTGTCAACTCGAGCGAACACATGCACGGAATGCGCACCAGCTGAACCGACTGCTTGAAGGTGGCAGAGCTAGAAGGGCGTCCAGATTCGGCGGCGGTAGCTGTCAGGTAGTAGAAGACCTTGCCCAGCGGTAGGTCGATGGTCTCCGGAAAAGAGGATGCCAGCGGAAGTTCGAAATTGTAGTTGTACACTCCGGGGCTGAATGTCCGGCTGGTCTTATCCTTGTCGAGGAAGTCCCATGCGTGATTGACAATGCTTTCGTCGTATACCTTTTTCAGACGCCTCGCTCTCCACGACTCGGGCCAGATGGTCTGGCTGACTCCTTGGAAATCGAGCGACAGCCTGCTCATGGTCGTCTCCCGCACGATCTCCAGTCGGACCACGCCTCTTAGAACCGCAGATGTGTGCTCCAGGTTATGTGGGAAGTCGAATCCTTCCAGATACATCACAGGCTCGGCAAGATCGAAGGCCACGCTGAAGGCATCGTTTCGAGTCGACGCAACGCATTCCACGTCCTGTTCGCTATACTTGGGCAGACGCTTGCTGGAACTCTTCAGGTGGAGACGACGAGAGCTCTCTCGGGCACCGCCGCCGCCGCCACCAACCTTTTGCACGATCTTGGGGTCATCGGGCTTGGTCTTGGCTGAAAAATTGATCGGGTTCGCGAATGGTGATAGCCAGGATTCCGCCGTGGGCAGGGTGACGGGGCGAGACTGGAAGTAAGCCCCGTTGCCCACCTGCGCCTCGTGCACCTTCTGTGTCGAGAGAAAGAGACGTCCTTCGATGGCTGAAGTGATCTCCTTGTACCCTTCCATCCTCCTCGATTGGGCGCTTTTAATCAGGCCGAGCTCGGCTCGATGTTCGTCCGCCCGGCAAGTCACACAGACCTCTTCTAGATTCACAACATCCTTTGTAACTGTCTGTAGCTGTCAAGCACGGACATTTTGCTGGACTGAACGTTTGCGTGTATGCAGCACTCTACGTTGACTTTGACAGCCCGATAAGAGCTGAAAGATGCCGAGACGAAAACCTTGGATACGAGAGGTGAGTACCGGAACCATCCGAATGGAAGGTTTGAAGCTGAGCAGGAAGCTTGAGGCGGCGTGCTCGGCCCCGAACAAGTTTGGGAACTGATAGGCAGACGACTAGGCTTTCCCCTGACGCTTTCGGCTCGTCGGGTGGTTGTGGTTACAGTGTAAAGGGCGCTAAACAGCCCACCAAAGCCGTTGGCGGATTTTGCTGAGACGATAAAAGAGGGGGGCCGTAACGAAGAAGCCCTTCTAGCCATCACCTCATCAAAAACAATCACCTCTGGCACCCACTGGTGACCCAAAGAGGAACAAAGGGCACGGCAAGGGCAACAGCGCTGGGCTGCGATGCGCCAGGCCCACGTCTATTCCCTTTTGTCGGCCTCTCCTTCGAGTCCAATGTCGATCATGGGCCTGAATTGGTAGGCTAACGATGGGTCGTACCGTGGCAGTGCTCTGACGAAAGGATGTGCTGGTGCTATCGTGAGACAGCACCTGCTACAAACCATCGTCCTCTCTATTCCGCCCATACCGCGCGCACCGTTGCCGGAAGCCACCTCAAGATCTCGTCCGTGCTCATCTCGCCAAGCCTAAGGCCGCTCAGGCTCGGATTCAGCGCCTAATGGGGATGGATTGGGCCGAAGGACCGTGTGCTCATGGTATCCCCTCCTGTTGCAACCATGGCTTGGTAGGAACCTAAACGGGACCTCAACACTCGGAGCACGACACATGGCAGAGGTGATCGTGTGGGGAAATCTTCGGAAGACAGTGCCTATTTGTTTGCATAATTCTTGTTTAATGCTCTTCGGCCTCCTGCTAGCGGAATCCGGGGTTTGCTACCCAGGGGCCGGCGGCACAAGGTTGCGATGAAGCTCCACGCCAGCACTGGTCATCTATTCGAACCAGCGTTCAAGATGCGTGCTGCTCTGCTTCAGCTTTACTTCTTCTGGGTTCTGCAGTGGACTACTCATCCATATACAGCGTACACTGCGTCCTTGATCGAGTTGATTGCTGGATGATCATTGGCTATACCGCCCCGTCGAGGCGTTACCCAACGCTGCCGCATAGCCGGGTTTTATGCAGGATTGTTGACAAGGCTAGGGTTCTGGGCCGCGCGTTGTCGCCTGAATGCTACTTTGCACGGCCCGGTCTCTGATGAACAAGTCATGTAGTCGGCGATCATGACTCTTCCATCAATTCATCTCGCGGATTCCCGGGCGATGGCAATTCGGCACGTTGGTGCACATGCCAATGACAAGAGCCGCACACCAGAGAGCCCTCCAGCAGTCCCCAGATTACTCCAGTTTTTGTGTGGTTGCGACTCAGGGTGTGATCGAGAGAAAGGCACGCACTGCATGTGTGGGGGGTCCGGGGCCGTCTCCTGGGTTGTGAGTGCCTGTTGCAGCGGAGGCACATTCTCTCAGTTGTTCGTCTCCTGAAGACAATAAAGCTCACGTCCCGCTTCCATGGAAGTCCAAGATCTTCAAACTGGTTCCAGGACAAGCGACAGGTCACTGCTCCCAGCGCCTCTTGCTCTTCTCTTCTCTTCTCTGCTCTGCACCAGTCAACAATAGCTGGCCCAACCTCGACTCTTCGCCCACAGCATCCCTTCTACCGCTGAAGACACTTTCACCCGTCATGCCTCGCATCGGTAGCCTCGCAGGCGCGAGGGTCAACGAGGCCAAGGTCAGCCAGTCCATCGTCGGCCGCAACAATGCGAACAAACCCCACGGGATCGTGGGTATGATCAAGAATCCCTATGTTTTCATGACCTGTGCCTTTGCTTCTCTCGGCTGCATGATGTACGGATATGATCAAGGAGTCATGGGCCCGATCTTGGTCATGGAGAACTTTCAGGCTCACTTTCCCACCTTGACCGGTTCGACCATCCAAGGCTGGCTCGTCTCCGCTCTGGAACTCGGCGCCTGGGCCGGTGCATTGTTCAACGGATACTTGTCGGACAGGATCTCTCGAAAGTACAGCATGATGGTCGCCGTTCTCGTCTTCACCCTCGGCACCGGCTTCCAAGTCGGCGCCCAGAACCCCGCCATGCTCTTCGCTGGAAGAGTGATAGGCGGCGGCGGGATCGGTATGTTCTCGATGGTGATTCCTCTCTACCAAGCCGAAATTGCCCCTCCTGAGTTGAGAGGCTCGCTGGTATCGCTCCAGCAGCTCTCCATCACCATCGGCACTTGCATCAGCTTCTGGCTCGACTATGGCATGCACTTTGTTGGGGGCAGTCACTGTGACCCGGCAGGGGTTGCGCATCCTTATTCTTCGACTCACACGTTCGAACCCTACCTGGCCCATGGCCACACTTGTCTCGGCGAGAAGACTGTCTCCTGGCGGGTGCCATTGGCTCTTCAGCTGATCCCCGCCTGGATCCTGTTTTTCGGCATGTTCTTCCTCCCATTCTCTCCTCGATGGTTGATGATGAAGCATCGCGAAGATGATTGTGTGGCTTCACTGTCCAGGCTGAGAAGACTTGATCCCTCCGACCCTCTGCTGGTTGCCGAATTTCTCGAAATCAAGGCAACTGTGATGTTCGACGAAGAGACAGAGGCTGAAATGAAGGGTAGCGGCGGTGCTCTCGCCCCGTGGAAGGCGCTGTTTGCACCCAATATGTTCAAGCGGTTGAGCATTGGATGTTGGATCATGATGTGAGTTCCTTCTCACCCTCTGGTATACCAGCCGATACTCACTGCAGTGCTAGATTCCAGCAGTTCACGGGTATCAACGCCGTCTTGTGAGTCGGTTCTGCAGCTCCCCAGAAGCACAACCTAACTTGGAAACAGATACTATGCACCACAAATTTTCCAAAGTTTCGGTTTCAGCTCAGTCACCACCAACCTGCTGGCCACGGGCGTTACCGGTATCCTGCAAATTCTCTTCACGCTACCATCTGTGTTCTTCCTCGACAACTTTGGTCGAAAGACGTTCTTGATCGTTGGGGCGATTGGGATGTGTATCTGTCATGTCATCGTCGCATCAGTGGATGGCGTGTATGAGGATAAGTGGGCTTTGGGGCAAGGCCTCGCCAAGACTCCTGGCTGGGTCTCGATCGCCTTTATTTGGCTTTTTGCGGTCAACTTCGCATATAGTTGGGGGCCGGTAGCCTGGGTGCTCACTCAAGAGCTTTTCCCCAACAGCATGCGTTCTCGGGGTGTCTCGATTGTGGCTTCGACTAATTGGATGTTCAACTTCATCATCGGCCTGACGACCCGTGACATGATCAAGTCGATGAAGTATGGGACTTACATCTTCTTTGCCTTCTTCTCGGGCGCAGGCGGTGCGTTTGTCTGGTTTCTGTGCCCAGGTGAGAAAGTCGATCCATCGGTCGTCAGGTGCCACAATGCTGACAATGCTCAATAGAAACCAAGAACAAGACCCTTGAGGAGCTCGACGTATTCTTCGGTGGCACCGTCGAAAGCGTCGCCCAGGCTGATCGCGAGCGAATGCAACGCATCAATGAGAGACTTGGTATCTCTGGGGCCGAACATCCTAGTGATCTAGCAGGACGTGTGGCTTCTATTAGTCAAGAGAAAGGAACTCCAATGACAACAGAGGCTGAGCATGAGACCAAGGCATGAACCAGGCATTCGGTCTTCCCATGGCAGAGAATGTGAAGTGCTGTCTGGGTCACAGGGAAGGAAAAGGGACAGCCGCAGGCGGTTGGGCAACCCGTCGGGCTTGCTGGTAGAAATGGCACCATCGAATGCCATACTTTGTCTCTGATGGTATGATGAAGAGGTAGAGTTCCTCTCCGGGTCCGTTTAAGGAGGACGGACAGGCTAGGTCGAATTAGGACAATTGCCGACCCCACTTGGACTTGTCCTGTTTCTGAGGGACGACCAGGTCAAAGCCATACGGCGAGGGACTGGCCCTTGTCGCCGGCTCAGATTGTCTTTGAATTGGAAGCCAAATTCGACAAGCATTGCTTCGGATTCATAAATCTCAAGTCCCGGGGATCTTGTGTGCTTGTCAAAGGAGATAGGCCGTGAGGGGTTCGAGGTACACTTTCCCATCAACGTGATGATCTTATAACATAGATTGTGCAACGAAGCAAGCCTTCGAGGGCCTAATGGAGGACGGACGTGTTGACAGACCAGGGTGTCAGAATCGTAACCTGCAATTCGTCAGTTCCACAACTCAACTTGCAGGGGTCCTTTTGGCCAAGAATGAGAGAGGCCATTCACAAACGAATTTGAAGTTACACAGCGACTAGACGAAGGCTGTATTGATGGTGTTGATGGTGTTGATGGAGTTGATGAGATTGTTGATGGAAGGAGGTATCGATGGAAGAGTTGAGTTGGTTTTGGCGGCGACGAGGTGGAAAGCAGAGGTGCAGATGCCGCAAGTGATATTAGGAATGGAACAACTAAAATCCGGAGAAAGTCACGTTATCTGCTCTGTCACTAGCCAATTACGGCAATGAAGTAAAGGGCCCAATGAGATCTGACCAATCAGCATCTGCCCTTTTTGAGCCCAGCTACCGCTTCGCTTGATCAAGCTCCTTTTGCACTTGACGACTGCGCCATTGCAGCCATACCAGCGGCAAATTCAACCGGATCCGTCACCGTTATGGTTCTCAACTCCAAGAATTCGTCCAAGCCATAACCTCCATTCTGTTTAGCCCACCCACTCCCCTTGGATAAGCCCACGGCCAGAGTCGCCTCGTCCAGCCCTGTGCCCATGGGGAAATTGATGTGCGTCTGCCCGACCTCGAGGCGGCTCGCAACTTTGATTGCTCGACCGATGTCCCTGCTATAGACTCCTGCGCTGAGACCGTACTTGGTGCTGTTGGCAAGTTCGATTGCTTCCTCGTCATTCTCCGCGGTGTACACGGCCAGGACCGGGCCAAAGGATTCGTTGTCGTGGATCTCCATGTCGGGCGTCAACCCGGACAGGATGATGGGTTGCAGTTTTGTGGATGAGAGGAGCTTGACTTGGCCGTAAAGCACATTGGCTCCCTTTGAAACTGCATCCTGCAACATTCGCAGTGTGTTGTTGGCCCCTGTGGGAGAAATAGCTTCTTGGATGGGGAATCTCGATGCTGCATCGGACAGGAAGGGGATGAAATTCTCCACGACCGTCTTGTTCACGATGATGCGCTCGGTCGAGAAGCACGTTTGCCCATTGTGCATGTACGCGCCGTGCACGCAGCCCTGGGCGGCGAGTTCCAGATCGGCGTCGTCGAGCACCAAAGCTGCGGCTTTACCTCCCAGCTCCATAAGCGTGGGCTTCAGGTATTTACCGGCGAGTGCACCAATGCGACATCCGACACCAGCCGATCCAATGAACTCGATCTTTCGGATGTGACGGTGGGAGACCAATGCCTCAGTGACAGCCGCGGCGTCTTCTCGTCGGGTTTGAATGACATTCAACACACCAGCTGGGAGACCGGCACGGTGGAATAGCCCCGCCAGAAAGTGGTGCGTGTTGGGTGATTGCTCAGACGCCTTGAGCACGACCGCACAACCCACAGCGATGGGAGTATCAATGGCTCGGGTCGCAAGGAAGACTGCCGCATTCCACCTTTACCAGACCGGATTAGCTGAAAGGTCATGATCATGGCGCGTTATATTGCCAAACTCACGGCGGAATGCTCAGAACTACGCCAAGGGGGCGCTTGTACACATATCCAATTTGGCCTGGAGTCTATGATCACACTTAGGAGCTGTTGGAGAGTTGTATCGAGGCGTTGCTTCACCTGAACCACAGGTATGTCTCCCGTGAGGGCTGTCGTGATTCTTCCGGCAATCTCCTCCAGATGCAACGCTGCTATATTGATGTTGAATGCCGCCCAAGGTTGAGGACAGTTGGTCTCCTCGACTTGTAACTTGACCAGTTCAGACGCGTGTTCACGGATCAATGCCGCCGTCTTCTGCAAGATGGTCCTGCGCGTGCGCGGGAGGCTTTGGGACCACACGCGGAAAGCAGTCTGAGCAGATTCCACGGCGGCAACAGCGTCTTCTGGAGTGGCGCTGACATATCTGACATAGTGGGCCTTGAGCTTGCTGGAGGCATTTGTCACCACTGCGGAGCCTGCTGGCTGGACAGGCTTGTTGTCGATGATTAAAGGAAGGGTGTTGGGCGTAGCCATGACTGTCACTTGTGATTGGCAATCTTGGCATCTCTCGCAGGCAAAGAGCTTCGGAGGCTAGAATGTTCATCGTAAAGTATCGGGTACGGCCAATATAAATACTGACGTTTCCATGACCTGCTGCCCCTTCCTCTGCAACCAGGCAAAAAGAGACTTCTGCCAGCGCCAGCCTCGTCGGTGAACCAGAAATCGGCAATTTGCTTCTTTTAGCAAGCTGCAGATTGGATGCTATCACTCCGGGTTTCCTGCTGACAGAGTTGGACGCCTAATGTGTCGCATCCCAGCACCAGCGCCCTTGTGAGTTCTGTCAGACTCCACGACCTAGATGAGACAAGTCGGACAAATGATCCTCAGAGAGAAAGGGTCCGGACAACTTGGGAGAATGTTCATGAGCCTATCTGGTACTTCAGCCTCGTCCGGGGTATCGGGCGAAGTGGGTACGGGAATATCGAGCAATGGCCAATGGGCAATCAAGACGATCAGCATCCGCCTGACATTCAGCTGCAGATGGCGGAAGCCAGAAACAACAAGCATTTGCGCCATTGCTATGCTGGCCATTCAACTCCAATCCCCCGCCCTCTTGCGCACTGATCGCCATACTAAAAAGCGGGGGAATAGCATTTTCCCCCACCATGGCGTGTTAAGACTTTCCCAGCGTCAACAGTATTGCCGCCTCAGATTGAGGTGTTCTCAGTTTTCGGTATTGGATCACTTTGAGACAGGAGGATACGAAGCAAGATGGCTCAGGCCTGGTTGTCCTTTACGAACGGCTGTTTGCCACACTCTCCTACCGTGAATCGAGCATGTCAGGGATGTAATAAGTGAGTGACCGATGCGTGGCGCAGCAACCTCCGCCCCGGAGAACAGAATCGAGGCATGCTAAGTATCCTGGATGCCAGGAAAAAGATCAAGTGTGAGTCTGACTCCCCTCGATCGGCAATCTTGAATGACTTTGGGTTCAATACTTAGGTGACATGCGACGCCCTGTCTGTGGCCTCTGCGAAAGGGTGGGCGCTCCTTGTACATTCCCGGTAAGGCAAAGGCCTTCGACGGGCGGGGTCAAAGCCCAAGGGCCCCGGAAAAAGGTGTCTTCATCAAGCCATGGTGACGGACATGGTGAGGCTTATCTGCCGTCATGGGTTGATGTCGAGCTGACAATGCTGCTGCTCCGGGTATTGGAAACATCAACTCGTTCAGCTCGGTCGAAGAAGTTTATCATCGACACAAAGGTAGGGAGCGCTGTGGATAGAATCCCAGTCATATATGAGATGAGACGACATCGTTGACATGAGTGGAGGCCATTCTCAAGATCCTAACACCACCGAGTCGAGAAGTACCGTCCCGTCGGGCTCAATGACACGGTTGGACTGCCCATCACAAGAGAATCCACAAGCTTTGACCCAGAATCAATCGGAGGAGTGGACCCTAAGCTTTCATGCTCCCGACCTGCATGTGCCACCACAAGATCATGGCATCCACTTGAATGCTGATTCGGCTGCCTGTGGTGTAAATGCAGACGCAAATGGATGGCACATTCCAGACGCAGTAGCCTACGACTTGTAAGTCTGCTCTACACATCCGTCTGTCCAACACACGGTCTCTTATGACGATAGAGTTGGACTGTATTTTGACTACATCCAAAACTGGCTGCCTATCTTACATCGCCCTCTCTTCTATCAAAGATATGTTCGAAATGAGGGCTGTTGCGCACAAGTTGTGGGCAGAGAGCACGTTTGTGATGACGATGCAATCTTGATCAACGGCATATTTGCGCTGGCCGCCCGGTTCTCAAAAGCCAGCTTCTTCTCTGACACTGACCCCATCATGAGAGGTGATATCTTCGCCGAGCGAGCCGCAGCTCTCAAAGATCTTGCCCTCAAGGCCATAGAAGAACCCTCTCTCGAACTCGTCAAGGGCTGCGTTCTGCTGGCGTTTTACAACATCTGCGCCGGACATGCTGCACCGGGATCGTTGCTAGTAAGCGTTTGTGTCCGATTTGCTTATGACCTGGGGCTCAACGAGATCGACGAAGACGACAAAGTCTTCTCTGGTGCTGAAGGAGAAGATCAGGATGCTTGGATTCGGAGAGAAGAACTCCGCAGAATTTGGTGGGTCATTTATGAACTCGACTGCTTTGTTTCGACACTTTCTTGCCAGCCCTATGGGATCGAACGCGGCGAGATCAGGGTTCTTCTACCTGTGCCTGATCACGAATGGTTTAACGGTCTCCCCGTCGGCTCTTCCCATCTCATCCAAAGTCCCGGTGCCGTATGGACGAGTCTTGCAGGCTCAAAGAACCAAAGCCCGCGGGCATGGTATCTGGTCGCCAACTACCTCAAGTCTTGCATTGCCGATGCCGCTCGTCAGTCCAAGCGGAATACGTCAGATCTGCAAGCAGCGCTCGAAATGGACGTTGCATGTCTCAAACATGCCTTGCCCGCTGGTTTTCAACTGCGAGAGATGAACATGAACGAAAACAACTTCGGTGGTTCCAATTGGATCGTATCCACCCATTTTATGATTTTATCGTAAGTTGTGACGAAGATTATGCTTTGATGTTGCCTTTTTCTTACAGGAGGACTCAGGTGCGAAGCCCTTTTGGAGCGCTTGAGATGGTCTCAGCGGAGATCAGAACCACTGGTGAACATATTCCAGGAGGCTGCGACTTTTGGCAGGCACTTTTACTAGACGTTGGTTCGAATCGCACAGATATGGCCGCCAGAGTACGTTCCGCTAAACCATCCGTTCATAAGCTGCTGCATGATCAACCCGTGGGACGCTCTTGCCGCACGCCATGAGCCCAACGTCCAATGCTATGAGATATCCAAGTTGCTGCTTGGTCATTACTCGCGATATTGGAAGATTGGCGGGGCCTTGATCCGTAAGTTTGTCCCCCTTGAAGGGCAACACTCCGTATGTCTGATTGCCCTTCGCTCCTCTAGGTCTACTTAGCATCATTAGCGAAGGCAGGGATTCGGCAACATACCAGCCTGGCTCACATGAACGGACGGTTATCAAGCGCTTCTCCGTGTTGTGCCCCAGTTCTTCCAAAGGGAGGAACTCAGAAGCGCTGAAACACGATGCGCAATTCCCCTACGAAACGTCCGATGTACCAGCAGAGACACTGTCCGAATCGAATCTCACCGGCCAAGGGGACCCAAGCGGCCTTCAATGGCCATTGAGCCTTTGGAATAACCTCCAGGCATTTGATTCTGACCAACCAGACATCGAATTGCTGAGCATCCCGTCAGGTAGTCATGTGGGAGGTGGTGTCAATGGGCCGATCGGATCATTCTCTGGCGCTCAACTGCGCATCCCAAACTTCTCTCTCCCTTTCGATGCCTCTCCTGATGAGTTTGTCGCTTTATAAGCACAATCAACCGCCCGTTGCATGTGGTGGGTTGCTTGCTTTAGGAGCCACGGAGCATATGGCCATGCCTTAGTAGCGCGGTCTGACAGTCATTACAGCCTTTGGCATTCCCTGTGGCGGATCTTCCCTTAGCCGGTCGAGCGGGCCTGCATTCCAGTCAGCCGCTCGAGGCGGTTCCTGCTTGACAACCCCTACCCCTCGAGCCCTGTTCAAACTGCCGTCCGATAGAATCTTCACACCTTGGCGGCTATGTAAAAGTTTGAAGGAACCTGGAATGCATCGATCTATGCACCCCTGGCAGACGACGATCCTCATCATGCAGACTGGAACGTGGTGAATGTGGGCAGCGAGCAGCAAATGTCACAGTCTTCTCCTGCCTCGCAGGGCTAGCGCGACGTGGGACTAACGGGGGACTTTATCTCCTAGTGTCCAATCGAATCACTAAACCGAAGTGCCGACTGAGCTTGCCGGTGGTAACGTGCACATGGTATGCAACCCCCCGGATGGTGCCCAAGGCCAAGGGTGCCCAAGGGTGCCCCACGCCCCGCCAGGACCCTGGGGCGGTGGGGGAGCCGCCGGCGCTGAGGTCGCCAATGGCATTGGCCTCCCCGCTCCCCAAACGGCCGCTTGCACCCCAGACCTGCAGCTCCAGGCCCGGCACACAGGTCGGTATTGGGCAAAGCTTCAACTTTCCAACTAGGAGGCGATCCCAGGAGAAGCACACCCTTGTGCGCCACGCAGTGATCCCCGATCCGAGTCATGACCATCATGTTGACGTATGCGCTCCGTACTTAAAACAGCCCTTTCCTCTGCTCGCTCCCTCTTCCCAGCCCTAAACAAACGCAGTACCTTCAGTCGTCCTGCCATAACTTGCTCTTCACCATGGAGATGAACTATGATGAACAGGTATGCTTCTCCAGGCCCACGCCCTCTCCGAGAAACAGAACTGACCCACGGTTTCGCAGGAGCTCTCCGCGATTGAGCGAGAGCTCAACGTCGAAATTCTCCCTGGCACGGAGCTGATGGCGGATGTGGGAATGCATCATTTCGTCAAGAGTACCGGCAAGAGTCACCGTGTCCTGGTTCCGCAACCGTCCGAGGATCCCCACGATCCGCTCAACTGGTCGACGACATGGAAGATTTCAGCCATTGTGGCCTCGAGCATGGTCAGCTTTACTCAGGGCTTCGGTCCGCTCTCTTTGGCGCCCATGTTTGGCGACTACATCGAGGCGTTCCATTGCTCTCTGGCAGATGCAGTGCAGTTTACCGGCGTCGCTATCCTTGTCCTTGGTTTCAGCAACTTCATCTGGTATGGTTTCTCGTGATATTGCCACGGAGGAGAGGGCAGAGAGAGATCGCGTTGCTGACTGTCCTCTTTAGGGTTCCACTCAGCTCGACTTTCGGCCGTCGCCCCGTCTACATTTTCTCGCAGTTGATCTGCCTCGGTTCTGCCATCTGGCGGGCCAGAGCTCAGACTTATGGCTCGTTCATGGGCGCTTGTGTGTGAGTTAAAAATCGTCTTCCGATCCAAAAGCAAAGAGCTGCGACTGACGCACAGCGCTTAGTTTGAACGGTATTGGAGCTGGTCCCGCTGAGACGATCCAGCCGGCGGTCATTGCCGATATTTTCTTCCTCCACGACCGTGGCAGGTGGAACACGCTCTATTGGGTTGTGTACATGGGATCTCTGATGGTTGCGCCCATTATTTCGGGACCGATGGCTGAAAACGTCGGATGGAGAAATTTCTGGTGGCTGTACACCGCTCTAGTCGCCCTTTCTCTGATCATGGTTGTGTTCATGTTTCCGGAAACGAAGTGGCACCGACAACACCCGAAGGAGATGGTCAGACACTCGATTGCAGCCCAAGAAGCCGCCAAAGGCGAGGGCGCCGAAAAGCAGTCCGATGCGGTTCTCGAACAAGTGCCCACGAGCAACAACGAACTAGCCCCCGTCGAAACTGCCGAGCGCGACCCTTGGCTCGGCCGCGGCAAGCCCAGCAAGGGACAATGGGGTTTCTACACGCCCAATCCAGACCCGCTGAGGGCCATCATCCTCGATCTCTGGATCCCGTGGAAGCTATTTGCCTTCCCCATCGTTGAACTGGCCGCCTTTATCGTCAGCTGGAGCTGCTCGTCCTTCTTGACCCTCAATCTGACCCAGACGCAAGCCTTTGCCGCACCGCCCTACAACTTCAGCACCAAGCAAATCGGCTTCACCAACTTCGCCATCCTCATCGGCGCGATGATCGGCTTGTTCACCGCCGGCCCGTTCTCCGATCTGGTCGCTGCCCGCGCAACAGCCAGGAACAGGGGCATTCGCGAGCCTGAAATGCGTCTGCTCGCCATGATCCCGTACGTCATCATCATGTACTTTGGCAACATCATCGTCAGCGTCGGCTATCAGAACCAGTGGCCGTGGCAAGCCATTGTCATCATCGGATACACCTGTGCTGGTATCCAGGTTGCCGCGATTCCCGGAATCGCCTCGACTTATGCCGTTGACAGCTACAAGCCTGTTGCTGGCAGCCTGTTTGTCGCCATCACCGTCAACAAGAACGTGTGGGGTTACGGTTTCAGCAAGTTTATCACGGTAAGTCTCCTCCAAGCCGCTTAGTGTTTATAGGTTTTGCATCCCGCTAACTCTTGAACCCCCAGAATTGGATCATCAAAGATGGTTATATCCCACCGATCATGACCAATGCCTCTCTGATTCTGTTGTGGTGTCTGTGTGCCATTATATTCTACTTTTACGGGAAGACGTTCCGACGATGGACCAAGAATAGCAGCGTGCATTCGATGTGAGGAGTAAAACTCAGATGTGGGACTGAATGGAGATACCCAAGAGGAGACGTCTGGATTTTTTGAGAACTGTATATTTCCGAATCAATCAATCAGTCAATCAGACTGGGGATTCACGCTGCTCTTGATATAGCGGCATCACTGCAAAAGAAGCCCCTCTTCTCTGTCACAGTTCGTGAATCCATCCCATCCAATTCTCGTCCGGTTCTCCATCCCGCATCAGCCGCGGCGGGCTCATGAATCGCAGCGCCCGCTCCAGAGGTATTTCACCGATGAAGCTAACCCTGCGCGCAAACCGTACTCGTATAGCCCTCCAGTGTCTTGTTTGACAAAGCCTGTTCTTTCCATTTCCCTACCGTCGATCCCCATCCATCACTCAATTCAGTTCGCCTAGGCATTAAACTTTAGGCAGCAACGCATCCCAAGCCCAGGCAAAGGTGCAAAGTTCCTCCGTGTGCGCCCAATCACAGGTTTTCCATCCCAGGCAGAAAAAGTCTAGTCATGTGTTTTCGCGTGATGGTGGCGACACGGGGCAAATGGATTGGACGCGTGCGAAAAAGCCACGGTGACTACACTTGACTGAGTTTGTAGAAGACAGGGACGCCGACAGGCGAAGCATCGCCGATTTCTTGCACGCTTGGGTGGTCTACGAGGGCGGGGTGGTCTCGTATAGAAGTGTATTTAAGGAGGGGAAAAGAGAGAGAACCTTGCGTAGAAGAATGTATCTTCTCAATTTACATCTCTCCATCTTCACAATCGGAAAAGATACTCGCTGCAACTTCTTTTGATCCACAAAAGCACCCGAAAGAGTTCATCACCTGCCTCGATATCATGTCTTCTGAAGCTGCGGCCTGGACCCCACCCGCTGAGGGTTCTCCATGCTGGATTGAAATTCCCGCCCGCGACATTGACAAGCTCAAGGTAAGTTTCACCAAGTGACCGTCGCAGGAGTCTCTCTCCTCTCTCCGTGGACCTTGCTGATAGCGGCGTCGAAAAGGAATTCTATAGTAACCTCTTCCCGACATGGACGTGGAGAGGTGATTCGTCCGATTCGGATCATCACGTCGCCCCGTTCCAATTCAAAGACCCGAAGTGTGAGTGAGAGCTCTTGCACCCACTCCGAAAATGGAGCGATGGCTTACCAGACCCGTGGTTCCAGGTCTGAGCGGCGGGCTGGTCAAAATGCCCGACGACTGTGGCCCGAACACGCAGACTCTGGGCTCGGGCGTCACCGTCTACCACATGGTCGAGTCGCTTGAAAAGGTGAGAATGACCCCTCGACTCTTCAGAAGCAGCGTCGGGAAGTCTCTGACTGGGCATAAATTCAGACTGAAGCTCGCATCCATGAACTGGGAGGCAAGACCGTCATGCCAAAGACGGCCCAGGGAGATAGTGGCGTCTACATCAACGCCACGGATCCGGAGGGAAACAGGTTCGGCATCTATCAGCTGGTGCAAAGCTCGGGTTCTTAGGCTGGTCCAAGTCCACAGATAACATATCCTTCAAACCATACCATTGCCGCACCCAATCGCATGATTAGTCTCCCGCTTCAAGCGGTTGTAGTCGGTCTAGCACCGCGAGATGACTCGCTTACCTCGACGTTTCCATGTACGAGTATGACGTCGTTGGAATCCTTAGGTGAAGAGGTCATTAATTGGTTCTGGCCCGCCGATCGCGAAAGAACGATTTCTCAGAAGATGCCTATAGCGATCGGGTTGCGACAATACCACCACTTTGACGATATGCCAGCGATCAGTGCCATGTTCGTCGAGCACAAACCCGACTTCTCCCTCGACGATATTTTGATAGGCCTCATGTTCGTGAGTCTCCAACACCGAGCCGAGAACGATGAGCCAGTAGTCTTTGGAGTCGGGGAGGTAGGTGTCGGGAATATTAGGATCGTCATGGACAATGTCTTCATATCTCCATGGACGTGATGAGCCGGCGAGCAAAAGCATAGATGGCACATTGATTTCAAGGTAACCAGCATCGTCGAGCGTGCCTGTTGGAGGGTTGGCAAGTCGAATGGAAGTTCCGAACCAACCCGTCCTGGATGCGATGGCTAGAGTGCCAATGCTTACTTGCCCTCCGTAAGGGTCAAGCTGTCCCTGAACCTCATGAGGGATAGTACACATTCTTCTGTCAAGGATTGGCCACATGCCGGTACTTCTACTAGCCCAATTCTTTGGGTGGTAATAGAGTATTTGACGTAGTTGAGGGTCTAGGACTCGAGTCACCACTAGCGAGAGCCAGTGCGCCTTCCCGTTTCTTTTGAGATACTCTTGAGCAAGTCTGATAGTTGCAGCAAGGCGTCCATTGGGCCCAGTGAAATTCGTTAGAGGTTCTAGGTTAATCCCTAGTAGGCCCATGGTACTGAAGATGGCATCAGCAGGAATGGTCCCCGAGCGCAAAAAGATGGTTCCCCAGATGGCATTCTCTCGAAGATCGCGATCTGTGCCCATGGCTGCAAGGAGAGTATTGCGCATCCGTGAAGGGCCCAACACACCGTCCGCGAGCCTCATGGTGCTACTCAGTGATAAGACAAAGCTCGATCCGGAATCGGACACAAAATTCTGACCAACCTCCGTGTTGCTGAGGTTCATTTTTAACAAGTCTCTCAATGAGACGTAGCAGACAGTTTTTGTATTAGAGTCAATCGTTGCTGACTTCAAAGACTGCAGCGATATGTCTTACCAGTCAGTTTAGTGATGCGGATCCAGCCTGAGATGAAGCCGCTGCCCAAGTTCCAATGGAACAAGCACTGGGCATCGGGTGGCAACGCTGCCTCTTGAAACGTCCAATGTCTCGTCATCCATGGTGTAGGTTCCCTGGATCTTAGCCGAGCGAGCCTCTGTAAGCCCCCTGGAAGGACAATGCAACAGATACAATGGCGGTAGACTTCAGCCATCTGTTGGATTTGCCAATTCTTGTCATCTTCACTCTGCTGAATAATGCTGACAAGATCCAGCCACAAGTACCGTCCGCCTTTTCTGATCGTCAATTCACACGCGTGGTCCAGAATATCAATATTGACCGGATCGGCATCTCGAATATGCTTGATGTTAAAGACGGCATTCCTCCGTGAAAAGGGCCGCAGTCCGTGCCAGACATATGAAATAGCACAATATTTGAACTGGGTCGGCGTGGTGGCGTAAACAATGTCTAGTCGGCGGTCGTGAACGAACGCATGCGCATCGATGAAGCGAAACTGACGCGGCTTGGTGTCGGCAGGATAGCAAAAGCCCGAGGCCTCCAAGTCCTCGAGGGACTGCTGTTGCAGGACTCCCCATTGACATGACCCTTCCGAGCTCTCCTGGGGCGACGTTGCTACCGTGAAGTCCATGACCTAGCTCTCGACTGCGTGGAGAGAGTGTAACCCGGCTATCCCTGCAGACATTTGAATCAAGAACGCACAACGTCAGCTCACGCCACCGGTTGTCTTGACGGTTAAAAGCCAAAAGCGTGCATTTGATAGCATCGCAGGAGAAGTTAACTCTGAGCGGGACAAAAGTGCCAGTTGGCAATCAAAAGCGAGGTCGTCAGTATGCTGCAACTCTCTGGAGAGCCATGAGAAAATATACTGGGCCCCTGGGGTCGCCCAACTAATATACCACGTACAGAGAACCTCGTACTCTCAAGCAATTGAGGCTGAGGGACCAGCGCTAGCACCGAGCAGGTCTGAGGACCACTGCCATCGCTCGGGAATTGCCTAGCAACCGCGTCCGTCACAAAAGGGCCTCGAAAGTGGCTGGCGACCGGCGACCCCTGTCAAGTGCCATCCATTCACCAATCCGAATTTGTCGCGCGACAAATTGTCCTGAATTGCTGGCAGCCTTTGCTCCAGGACCTTTGGCTTTGGGGCCTTTCGCTCCAGGTCTTTTGCCCTATCACTTGCGACCCCTGATAGCGCTTCGCTTGGGTTCCGCGAGGATTGGTTGGCTAGATATCTTCCTTTTTCAAACCTATCTGTACCTACCGGGTATGTGTCCCTGAATCTATCACATAGTTAAATGAATTTGGCACTTTTGAATCCGCCTAGACTATCTAGGTAGACATATCAAACGGTACAAGTTACAGCTTCACAGGCTACTATATGTAGCTATTCGATCCCACCCGCCCAATATTCCAATGCCAAAACCAAATAGTCAAGCTGCAGACGCCGCTTTGGGACCATAGTTAGGGCAGCGGCACTAGCTTTCCCTATGCGGTGTGGTAGCCACTGCAGTCAAGACCACGTCTTGGCGCCTTCACTTCCAAGCCAACATCCCGCAATTCACATGGAAACCTGCCTCCCGCTCTTTACACATGGTCACTCATTCTTCACAAAGCCTTTATACCTGTCAATACCATCACTTCTGTCACTCCAAAAGCTGACACATGACTGTTTCAGCCATCCCTTGTCCACCATGACTCCAACTTGATCTCTCCCGGCCGTACCGGTCATTCTTTTCATTGTGTTGAACCAAGGGGGTCGGAAGTGTAACCTCGCATAGAAGCCACATTGAGACGCACCTTGTCATCATTTCCACTTGAGATCGAGGCTGCTCCTACAGAAGAAACCTCAATACGCACAACCAACCATGTCCATCAAGTACGCACCCACCCAATCCTCCCCATTAGGGTCTGCGCTCATGATGTCATCTCCAGCTGGGTTATGCTAGATGGCAAAGGAGGCTTTGTCCCGTTGCCATCAGAAAGGATCATCCATAAGTCATCACCAAGAATTAGTCTCGCCATAACGACCCCATCGACATATCCGGGGAACAATCCGTTGGCGATCCACTGCAGCTCTGGCATCGTCTATTTGACCAATCAAAGAGTAAGAAAATATACTGGCAAAAGTGTCGTCTTCATAGTCTGTCGCTCTAACGCCATGCATAGATAGTATATTTGCCAGAGAAACCCACATCAGAGTTCAAATCATTCTCTGCGCCACTACTCAATCTGCACGACACGCATCTTACTGTTCCTTGGTTTGGTCCTAATGCATGGCAGGCGGTCTTACAGCCGGTTCCTGGTGGCAACATCCCGGCAACGCAGGCGGCTGTTGAGCTCAAGTTGACTTTCAAAGAAGGCGGAGCTCCTGATTTTCATTCGACCTTTGAGCAGATCAAAGAAAGACTCCAGCAAGTCGTGTCCGCAGCGAGGGAGAGCAACGTGACTGGCTCACGGCAAGATGCTTTCTTAGGCAACGTGAATCTGGACAATGTCCATCTCGACCAGTTGCCTTCATATAACGAATCTGAGCATGATGCAATAGCTCCAAACCAATCCAGCACCACCGGTGAGGATGCGAATTCCCCTATTCTGACGAGCCCTCTCGCGGCTCCCGAGTCGAGGCGAGCTGGAACACCTCGCGAGGAAGCCCAGGCACCGAGCGACGCGCCCCCTGGCTATGAAGAGACACAGCAGCAGAGCATCCAGGCTGAGTTGGATCGGAGATTGTCGGAGACTCGCGGCTGAGGGCCAGTGAAAGAGACCTCGCGAGCTGGGGGCTCCTTTTCTGTTGATGTGCATGTAGAGAGGGGCGTTCTTTCTAGAGGCAACGGGTTCTTCATCGGGAGGCCCGAGGCCAGCCTCAATTGAATTTTGGTCATTCTGTTTGTCTTGACTGCCAACACCGTAATACATAATACGCTTTCAGCTTTGAAGGGATCTCATGTGCAGCTGTGGATTGGACGTTGACAGGAGTCCGTAGAAGGATATGGCTTGGCGTTCAGTAGCTGGCTGACCAATCAGAAGTCTTGTAATTTTCCGCCGAAGCTCAAGCTCGTTCAGGAACATCGAACTTGCAACTCTTTCAACATCATTGAAAGTCTTCGAAACTCTACGAGGCAATAACGACAGCCTCGAGTCTCTAGAGTGGCTTCGCCCCCATCTAGTACTCCCTCTCCACAATCAATTCATATTCTACCTCATCCCCAGCTCCGTTCCGAAACTTCGCGATGGGAATCACCGATTTCTTTTCCGACCTTCTGAGCTCCGTCTCCTTTGTGCAGGAGGTCCAAGCCGAAGCTCCTGCCGACGACAACGAAGAGTCAAGTGACAGCGGCGAGGGAGGCAACGACGAAGAAGAAGGTGGTGAGGATAAAAAGGAAGGTGAGGAGGAAGGAGGTGAAGACGAAGGCGAAGAGGAGGGCGGAGAAGACGAGGAAGAAGAGGAAGAGGAGGAGGAAGAGGAACCCGTGGATCCAAAGCCACGGCTGGAAGAAGGTATGTTTCCGCCTGCTGCTACAACGTTAAGAGCAGAGCTGCTTTGCTGCAATCTGCGTAAGAAGCCGGGAGAAGATTGACACCAAACAGAATGCGCCCGATCCGCCCAATGCTCGGGATACAAGCACCACTTTGACGAATGCGTTGAGCGTGTCACATCTCAGGAGGAGAATCCCGATCACAAGGGCCCCAAGGAAAATTGTGTTGAAGAGTGTACGTTTTACCCTGCTACCTCCCTACCCGTCTATACCTTTCTAGCAACACCATGGCGAAGGACATAACAGCTCACCACCACGGAAACAGTTTTCCACCTTCAACACTGCGCAACACAGTGCGCCGCACCCAAGCTCTTCAAGCAGCTGAAATAGACCTCCTTCACGCTGGCGACCCTCGACATCGACATAAATCTGCACTCGACAAAGGACTTGCAGGCAAGAGACAATAGTCAACAAGCAGGCTCGCAGAACATGGCCTCAGAGTGGACAGAAATACTGCTGCAAGAGAATAGGTTAGATGCAGATCTTCCTACTCTCGTGCTTGCAAAGCTCGTGACCCTCTAGAGTCGAAGCTCTGGTCGCTCCGTGCATCAATCTGCCTGTGCTCTTACATAGTCATCACGCCTTGTATATACCATCATTGCATTAAAGACTTAAAAGATTGTCTCCTACTCAATCCCGCAAGATCGACTCGTCTCCTGTCTATATGCCTGTGGTTTTCCCGTTCATTCTCTCGAGGTGCACAGACCCAATGTATTGACGCTCTATAGCAACTTTCAGCTATCCTGGGTCTGGCTTCGTCTATTTCCCCCTCATCACCCATACCTACACGTACTGTTCATACTGGTACCCATGCCGTACTTCCAGCGTACGAGTACGAATACCTAGGTACTCATGCTCCGTTCTGGCAAATTTAGTCGGCGGACGCGGCGCATATGGCTGGCTGAAGGCCGTCTGGATTCCCAAGCCACGCCAACCAATGCGCTCCGTCGGCCTGCGCCCGCGACTCCAGTCTTTGCGCCGGTCTCCTTTCAAACACTTTCCAATTCCGGCATGACTTTGCTTGGCCATCCATCCAGCCTGCCAGATTCATGTCGATGCCGGGCTGCAAGATTCACTTCGAGGACCAATAAATCGTGGGAAGTGCTTCGCTTAGTACCCTTCAAACCGGTTAGGTGGAAAGGGTTTTGAATTTATATAGTGAACCGCTTCCCCTGCGAGACTCCTCGCTTTCAAGATGGTTTCCCTAAAAAAAGACCATTTCCCTCGTATTCAAGTATGTAATCCTGCCTCTCCACCGGAGAGAATCGTCGTCCTCTTTCATATTGATTGTCCGTCCAAGTATTCTTTGATATATACTTGCCTGATCCTCTTCCCACACATCAACTCTTCTCACGCAGATCTGGAGTCCCGCCCTTGCAAAGTCTGCTCATCATCTTCCACTCTGTCAACGTAACCCTCCACCACCTCTTCCGCCGTACTGCGATCTGCCTCCCACCGCTTCCTTCTCACACGGCCCTGGCGGCCGAACAACCCAAGACACAATGGAGCCGGCATCACCAAGACCGCCAACACCGCTTGGAAGATCAAAGCCCGCTTCATGTTCTTGGGTGGATGGGCGTTCGGACCATCCTTCAGTGCATTCATGATGACAATGAAGATGCCTCCCAAGAGCTGGCCGCCACACCAGCAGAAACTACTCCCCAACTCAGGCCCCAGGGGATAGTGGATCTCGACGAGGAATTCCAGCGCCACGGGCACGAGGCCGAAACTCGCGGCCCCGAGAAGGGCACAGACGACAAAGACGTACGCCAGTGATCGGGATTGCGGCGCCCAGATGACGATTACATAGCAGATTGCCACCACCGGGACGGCAACCTTGACGTAGGCCAAATAAAACTTGTACTTGTCGATGATGGGGCTCGAGATGGCCGCACAGACGAGGCCCACCACGATCAAGATGGCGCCCGCGATGCCGGCGTTGGTCTCGCTGAAGCCGTACGGCTCGAAGATCTGATTGAGCAGAGACGAGAAGGCGTTGAAGAAGCCCACGTAGAAGACGAAGGGGAGGAAGAGGAGGTAGAACTCCGGGGAGCGGGATAGCGTGCGGAAATCTTGACGCAGAGACGTGCGGTCCATGTGGTCCGCCGCCGAACCCGCCGAGGGTGGGGAGGGCGGTCTTGACGGGATGAAGAAAGCCGGCACGCTCGCGACCGAGGATATGATCGAGATGTACAGGATCATATTGGGGATCTCGTGTGGTTCGTCTGCCCAGAAAGGTGAAATGAGTTGGCCCAGCGCTGCGCCAAAGGGGTTCGACAACGACGCCAGTGCTGTGGCGGTGGTGCGGCCGTCTGGGCTGAACCAGAGGTTGGAGTAACTCGTGGGAGAAGACAGGACGAACGGCTGCGCGAAGCCAATGATCAACTGCCCGACCATGACGCCACCGAAGCTGTTTGCCCGGGTCGCGCCGTATTTGACCCAGTTGCCGACCAGCACCAAGGAGGCGGCTATGATGATGGCGGTCTTGGTGCCATACCTGTGCAGGACATAGAAGGTAGGTGGCGTGGTGGCGCAGTAGGCGAAGAGAAACGCCGTCGAAACCCAGTTGATGTTGGTCTCGGAGGTGTGGAAGTACTTGGCCGAGGTCTTCGACACGGGAGCAAATGCAATCCAGTCCCAAGAGACCACGATGTTCAGCAAAACTAACTGAGCCAGGCCGAAGAAGCGTCGTTTGTACACTTTATATTCGACATTCGAGGTTGTCGAGATCCGCGATAAGGTCCGGTTTGATGGCTCGATGCCTCGCCGGTGGTCTTCCAGCGACGCCCCTGGAGAGTCGAAGGACGAACCGCCTTCGCCGCTGACCGCCTCTCGGTGGGAGATTGATGACTGCTCGAGTTTGCCCATGTTGGCCACTCAGATCTTCTGCAATGATGAGCTGCTGGCCGCGACAGGCTTAATCAGAAGGTCACGCGCCAACCTCGCGATAAGAGAAGTGTCGACCGATCCGTCGGCAGAACAGCTATGGAGGTCAAAGGTGAGAAGGCCGCCCTCATATACAGTCGCAGACTTCAAGTGTCAACATGTCCGAACAGCGACGACACATCTCACGGCATGAAGTTTTGACAAAGGGGAGACCGTGGAAGATCGTTGCTTACCGTGCATCGACCATTTCGTCGCAGATCGACGGCCGAAGCAATTTGGGGATGCAACCTTGCCAGAACAAGACTAGCATCGGGGCCGTGCCGGTTGTTTGCCGGGCCGCGCTTTAAAGAGGTTGACAAGGCTGGCACGGCGAGGCTGGATCTACACTTTGCATTTTCTGTATCGATTGGACGGAGCATACGGGTAGGAGATGCATACCTAGGTATTTGCATGGATGGAAGTGCAATGTGACGATTGCGTGTAATATTGGCGTCTGAGAGACTGGTGTAAAGCGGGCGCACCATTGTTCAAATGCAGCCCAACCAAGCATGCGTCCCCCATGAAGATGCAGGTCTCCTTGTCTTTCTATTCTTGTGCCAGGAAGGGATTTTACGGACGACGGCACGCAGTACGAGTACGCAGGAGTGATGTCGTACAAGCAAGGGTGTTGCTTGAGACGGCCATACTCGAGCAGAACTGGCAGTCTTCCTGTCTGATGGTAGTCGGCCGGTCTCCAGTGTTTGACCTTATCAACCCACGTATGCACTCGTACGGGTTATTCATTCGATGGGAATAGGGGAAGAACGTCTACGAATACCTATGTCGAATGACGCGGACGTTCTCCGTAGGTACAGAGAACTCTCCTATTCCGCCCATAAAGAGGCTGCGTTGGTGGTCTTGGATACGCAATAATTGGCTTCGCTAGTTTGCTTGTGGCGCCCTTAATTCGCCGGGGCTGTTCCCTAACGTGCTCGCATTTGTACGGGTATGGAGCCCCTAGAGCCCCAAGCAAACATTCCAAAGCACTGGCCGAGATCAACAAACAAGTGGCTCTAACAGCCCCAGTGGCCCCCCGTAGCCCCCAGTGGCCCCCAGTGGAACGCCCAATACCAGCCTCGGCTGCTTAGCCCCAGTGCCATTGGGCTTCCATATTGGTAGGCGACCTTCTTACGTGTTGCCTCGTTTCGATGAGCGCCCTTTTAACCGGAACACCCATCCTAGTGACTGGGTCGCTACCCGCCTCACCAGGCCTAAAAGAGCTTCGAGACCCTAGGCGTTTACCTAGACTTAGGTATGCGCCTGTTTGACCCATTTTTCAGCTCAAGCCCAGCGCAGGTACAAACCCCTGCTCTCCTGAGTCCTGACTTCAGGCTCTCCCTGAGAAGACGACGAAAGTTCAGAGCGCGTGTTCTGTGCCGGCTGTGCAGAGCCTTTCCCACGTTTTTCAAGCCGCCTGCCTCAGCACTCTGCTGTTCTTGCCTTTGTTCTCCTCCATGCTCCTCTTCCCGCCACCCGCACCGATGATCCTTCGACACCGAATATAGTGAGACAATATGCTCAGCTATAAGCAGCGTTTCCCAGCGATATCTACCAATCTTCTTCCCTAGCGTTGGGCCGTTTGGAACGTATTTGGATATCTACAAAGAGGAGGGAGACTGGGAGTCGGCGCAACGGAACACTAGGACAATGCAGGCTATAAAGTACGGTATGAGGGAACCCTCAGTCGACAGCCTCAACGATGGCCGCAGCCGCTATGTTCCAAGCTCGGTCTACAGTGGTGCAGGGCCTGTCGAGGACTCGCCAGCACTCGCCCAAGGCCACAACTTCATGTCGGGAGCGCTGCGAGGTCCGTTCGAAGAGCAGGAGACACCCCCAGCCCGTTTCACGCAGGTATGTGCAATCGATTGTTGAGCTGACTCGAGGTGCTGAGACGTGGACAGCCATCCCAGAACGCCCCGCGGAACTCAACACTTCTAAATATCAATGACCCTGTGGCAATGCATTTGTTGACCGAGACGGCCATTAGCGACAGCAGAGAATTCGAGGTGCTGTCATTCGAGGAGGTAGAGCAGCTGAAGAAAGAGAGGAGCTTTTTGAAAGGAAAGATCGAAACGACAAGACGGAAATTGGCATTGGAAAGCAAACTGCGAGACGCCGCCCAGTCCCTCAATCGTCTCTATTCAACCCGCGAGTCCCCCGACACGGGATCGTCTCCAAAATCCCCAAAGAAATCGCGGCGCAGTTTATTGGGTAGCAGACGAGGCGGTGACGAGGTAGTGCATCGTGCAGACGATGAATACGCCGCAAGCATGAAAAAGGTGGAGGAGTTCTCGCGTGAGCTGTTCCAGCTGGAGAAAAGACTCCAAGAGATAGATCGGCGCATCCTTCAACATACGGCCGGTATTCTGCAGATGACCCACAGAGGCCTCAAGAAGAATATTCGCAGGAATGAACTGCCCCGGAGTCCGGAGAGCATGACAAGTCAGACGAACGGGCGAGGTTCTGCACTGGACGCCAGGGACGATTTTGATGAGCGGAGTCTCTACCAGGTTCCGGACTATGTCACAGAGTTTGGACAAATTCCTCACAGCTTGAACAAGGGCGGAGCTGGATCTCGGGCTGTCGACGGTTTTGCGGTCCGTCTGCATGAACTGAACCAACGCCTACATTTGATGATCACCCAAGCGAGTCTGCAGGAACATTTTGACCCACCACCTCAGCCTTCTGATGCGCACATGACCGGAGGTGTCGATGCGCAAATCCAAGCATATCTTGGCTACATGTCCCAGGGTTTGGATGCAATGGAAGCTGCCCAAGCTCGATCCAATGCAGCTATTCAGCAATCCATCTTTGATACCGAAGAACAGCTTGAAGATGTCAATATTCGACTCCATGATATGCTGGAAAGAACAAACTCTGTCGGTCACAGCCCTGTGCTACAGCAAGATGAACCCCGCGGCAAGGACCTACAGTCACAGTTGGCCTTCTCTTCTTCTGTCATCGAGCGACTGAACAAACGTGTGGAGACCCTCGTCGAACAGAAGGATATCTTGACCCGCCAAATTCAACAGCAACGCGAACTCAACAGCAAGTCCGATGCTCAGCGAGATGCCAAGATCCACGAATTGGTGGCTGAGTTGAAAGAGTCAAAGCGGTCTCAAACAAACAGCGAACAAGAAGCTCAGCATTCTCGTGATCAGATCAATTTGCTCATGGAGGAGCTGGATCTTGCGAAGCAACAAAGCGTCCTTTTGGAACAGGAACGAGGTGCAGACGACAGCAAAGCCCTTGAACTCGAACGAGCTGCCCGCAAAGAGGCGGAAGAAAAGTTTCTGGCCGAATTACAGGCCAAGCAAGAGGAGCATAGCCGACTGCAATCTGACATACAGCAGACACGCATGGACCTGGAATCTAAGTCTCTGGAAGCAGCAAATCTAGCGACAAGTCAAGCGCAGGCACAGGCGGCGCACGAGGAAGTGGTCAACGACCTCCGGAACCAAGTGGACGCGCTGAGTAGTGCGAAGGCTGACGCAGAGTCGGAACTCTCGAAACTGCGTGCGGAGATGCAAGTGCTCGAATCCGAAGTGGTGCGAGCACAGACAGAGTTGACCATGGTCAAGGCTGAGTTGGATGGTGCTTATGGAACACGTGCTCAGCGAGCAGCCGACGTGAGCATGAATCCCGCCATTCAGAAGGAAATTGACAGCTTGAATCTGCGAAACAATGAGCTGGAAAGCCAAGTGAACAGCCTGAGAAGGGAACACGAGGCTAAAGACGCAGAGAGCGTCGAGCTACAAAACAAGGTCGTGGCTCTGCAGAGGGAGCTAAAAGAGACTATCGAAGAGTACGAAGTCATGACGAGGCAGAGCATTGACGACGAAAAGGAGCGTGAGCGGCTTGAGGAGAGGGTCGACGCGTTGCAGCAGCAATGTGAAGCGCTCGAAAACCAACTCAATGAAGAGAAAGTGAAAGGCCTGGGTGCCAAGGTTTCGTCGCCCACAGAAACGACGTCCACCATGGTTTTGAAGAACGAATTCAAGAAGATGATGCGTGAGACTCGAGCAGAGAATCTCAAAATCCTCAAGGTAAGACAATCCGGGTTGCTGTGGTGGCGGTGCATGATGATAGAGGCTAACAGTGTTATTAGTCCGAGCAAGAGGAAAGACGCCGCTTGGAAGGCATCATTAAGAGCCTGAAGAAAGATCTTCAGCAACGGCACTCGCAGAAGGAACCGCCTTCGACGCCGATGGAAGCGGCGGAGTCCCGCTAATGTTTTTCATGACCGTTATGACCTATCGACGACCAACACAGACACTTATGGATGGTCAACACTAGACAAAACCTGGACCGCTTTCTCTTGGCTCCGGCGGTTCCTCTTGTACTACGCATATTGGGATTTTTGAATCTGTATCAATAGAAGTACAAGCATTGGGAAGGGTATGTAATGCATTTCTTAGGCGAGATTTTGGACTTGGACAACCAGTGTCTGCAGCATACTGAAGCAATAGGACTTGAGGAAAATATCTACATGTTAATGGAAGGTCTGCGTCCCTGGCGACTGCTGTTTCAATCTTTTCCAACCTGTTCTCATTCCACCGCGACTGCAGCTTCAACATCTCGCCTTCCAACCTTCTCCCGGAAAATCGAGACAACTCAGTAACCATCCTCTGTGTTCTATCTCTACCTTTTCAGACTGTCAAAGTCACCAATCGCTTATGGTACACATTCTTTTGCCACATCCTGCCAGACCAGAGTCGTGAACATCCACCTTGCTCGTATCAAGGTGGACTGCTCCGATGACTGGTCCGCCGGATCATGCGCTATATTGAGCCGGTTTTCAAACCGAAGTCATGGCCGTTGGAGTATCCTCGCTGCATCACCCTCGAGGCTTCATTGTACCTCCAAAGCCAAAGCAAAAGGTTGTCCGCAAGATACGATCATCACCGTCGTTGCGACATGAGTTAGCTTTGTCGGATGAATCAGCCCCAGAAGACTCGATATATAATGCCGAACCCGTCCATTCGCGTGAAAATCTACCCCGGACAGCAGCGATAAACCCGGCCGATGCACAAGATCTTCCTAGTTCCCTGGGCCTGGCTTCCTCTTCTCGGATCCCTCTCAGTAGGCATTCCACGTCGCACAGCAACTGGCCAACACCGCAGCTCAACCCGATAATAGAACACAAGTCGTCGCTCAATTCAGTTCCTCCTGACAAGTCCACTCCGGCTCGCGACAGCTTGCAGCCTTCCGTCAAGGTCTACCGGCGTCGCTCTTTTTCGGTCAACGACCTGGGCTGCGTCCTGAGACAGGACATCATACAACGCAATTCTACAAATTCCACTTCCTCGGAAGAAAGCATACATAGAGGTGGCTGGTGTCCTTCGTTCCCCATTAAACCTCCAGTCTCACCACCAGCCAGGGTTTCAACACCGCCAGGATTGCCACAATTCGGCACCGAGCAGGCGATGTTCCTGCGGCTGGTGCAGCAGCAGCCGACGAACAGACTCTCATTCTGGAATCGCTTTTGGAGACGTTCTTCGGACAGCAACGATGAGCAAGCTGTAGGGAGCCCCAATTATGAAGGTTCTCCAAGGATAGCAGCACAGAGGCCATCAAGCGGTGGTCCTTCCAACTCGGTCGAGCTCTTTGAGCGCACTTTGGCTGCAATAGGTATGGCCACCGTTGTGGAACTTCCGAGTGCAGCATTGTCGAACTCTCGGGCATCTCTGCCGCGTGGAGTCTACAAGGCCAATATCCCTGGAGCGCTCGCTCGAGCTAATGACGGTACATTGGTGAGAGGGAGATTTGGCCCTCGCGCCAGCGGCCATGATATCGGTTCCCGTAATCTCGAGTCGCACCCTCTGGGTCGGTTAAGAGAATCGAGCGCGATTCAGGAGGCCATGAGGGAGATAGACAAGGCCTGCGAGAGGACCAACCTTGAAAACGCCATTCTTCAAAGTCGCTCTGAAGTATCACCTGCGGTGCGAAGGGAAGCCTGGGCCAGCGATCAAACGCTCAACTTGCCCGCGCAATTTAGTCCGAGGAGTGAAACGGAATTTTGTGCTCCCTTCACCTCCCCGACCTCGACCTGGAGAGGCATTTCCCCAAACCATCCCGTAAGAAATCCCGCACGTGCAGAACCTCCGGTATTTTCTCTGCTCAGCGTCGACAGTATCACGGGTGGTCCGCGCAGCGCCAGTGTCATCGCGGTCCATGAGAGTAACGGGACAGACGGCAAGAGGCAAAAATGCAGGAACTGCTGGACTCGCCTTTGGCGGGCTCTTTGGGGGGATTGAAGCTGGGCAGGGCTCGACGGAGGGGGAGGAGGCATGGATATGTACGAGGGATGTCCATAGAAACGATAGGAGCAGTGCATTCATATATTTCATGGGTTCTCTGTTCCTCGGTGCCTTGTACGCTCTTGTTGCTACATCACCTAGAACCCCTAGTCTCGAGAAATCAAGCGTCCTCCCACCACTTGAATCCTGGTACAGATATCGCTTGAACGCTAGACAGAAAGAAAAAGGACGCGACGAGTCATCCGTAGATGAATAGACGGACACGGCACAAGCTTCGTTTGGTAGCTGGTATTACTAGCCTCATTTCATTTTATTTTTATTTCATCTCCATCAACTCGTCCCGTCCCAGCATTTTCGCCATGGGATCATCGGCCGCCATGCGATTGCGCTTGTACGACTCGAGCTCCTCCTCGGAGATGCCGGACTGGAGTTCTTGGAGGGTGCGTTTCTTTTTCGCAATATGCTCCGCCGGCGGCGGCGATGTTATTGTCGACTGCGCAGCGCCTATAGTGTCGGCTTCGTCGAGGCCCTTCTTGCGCTCCTGGATGTCCTCGCCGTCTTGTTCGAGGCGGAGTCTTTGGCCTCCTTCGCCCAGGACGGCTTCTGTTCTGGCGGTGGCGGTGGCACTCTTCGTATCACTGCCGTCGAGGTCGCCATTGCCGTTCTCAATCTGTAACTGCAGCGACTGGCCCGTCCTCATTCCCTCGCTGGCTTCCCAGGCCCGCCGGCCCTCTTCGCCCGTGCAATAGCTGTTCTTCACCGTCGAGTGGCAGCACGCGTACCCCCACTTGAAGTCCTTCCACCACGATCCCCACACGGATGTGTGGTTGTTCTGGAAGACGTCCTCGGGGTACTTGGACCGCGCGACGGTGCGTTCGGACCCCTTGATGTGGCCCGAGTCGTCGTACTCGACGTACCGTTCGTTGGCGACGACGTTGTGGTGTTTGATTCTCTTGGCTGCGGGGTGGTGGTTGTCGCTGCTTTCGGTCAAGAGGTATTCGTCCCCGCCGTATTTGTCTAGCAGGGCTTTCCGGGCGGCGGCCTTCTTCGCTGCCGCTTCTTGGGTTTGTTTCTTGCGCAGGATTTCCCCTTCGGTCGGGTTGGCTTGCAGGTGCAGTTTCTTCGTCGGGGACGACGTGTTCAGGTTGTTGTTGTTGTTGTTCTTCTCCTGCGTCTCCCATGCGTAGCGTTGGGCCCGCTCGAATTCCGCGGCGTCGTCGTGCGTGGCTGCTGGTCGGACGAAGCCTTCGTCTGCGTCGGCATCACCGTCCGCCACCTGGGCGGCGGATTTGTCCATGGACCGCGTCTTGGGGTCGTAGCGGGCGGATTCGAGATCGAGGTTTTTCAGGTAGTTTGCCGTGTCTTCTCGCAGGCGGAGCTGGCGCGTCGAGGTCGGTTGCGAGCGGCCCATGTCTGTCTCTTCGCCGTACTGGGTGTCATCGAGGTCTGCTGGCGTACCGCCGGATCCGTCACCGCCACTGCCGTCCTCTTTTTGGCCTGCAGCGGCGCGCTTGATGGCTTCCAGCTCCTCGTATTCTCGGACGACGGCGCTGTACTCTCGACTGTCGTACCCGTTCCACCGGTCTCTTTTGGCATCCCATCCCAACTGCACGTCCTCGACCACCTCGTCGGCCTGGATGTCCTTCCCCGTCCACCTCGCGCCCTGCTTCCTCGGCCGGCTGAGACATTCTTTGGTCTTGTGTGTCATGGCGCCGCAGTTCTCGCATGCGCCCTTGCGGAATTTCGTGGCCGCGGGCCCTTGCTTCTTGCCCCGGTCGTACCATTTTGCCTTGTCGAGAGTGTCCTTGGGGGCGGATTGGAGCCGTTGATGTTCGAGGTAGTCGGCGTCCGAGTGGGTGGTCTCGGCCCAGAAGGGACGCTTTGAGATGAAGGAGGGGATGTACTCGTTGCGGGTCTGGTCTGGCCCGGGGGGCTTTTTGTTCTGCTGCGCCATTCTCGAGGGTCGAGTCGACGGGTGTAGGATATTCAGCTGGCGCGAGGGGGGAGTTGATGGTTGTTATTGCCGTTGCGATGTGCTCGGTGTGAAAAGTGCAGTCGTAAAGTGAACGAGGGAACAAGAGGCGAAAATCCGCAAGCGACAAGGCTGCATCGCAGCCTCGGTCGATTCCGCGCCGCACGTCAATACTTCCCCCACCTTTGTAAACATTGACTTCCTTCTTTCTACACCATACCTCTAACTGAGAGCTCTTTTTGGAGATGGGAAACCCTGGTCATAATGTTTAGGAATTCTATCACATCCCACAGAATACGCAACAGGGCGCCGCAAACATGAGAAAGACGCGTCGATTACCTTACAACACTCATGGATACCTTCCGAGTCCGCCTCAACTGCGTGGATCACTACCAAGCTACCCCAGTTGACGGTTTAGATCCTCTTGTACCCCTCGGCACCGGCAACGAGAAGTCCAATGACAGACCTCGGATATCCGTCATTCGCGTCTTCGGCGCAACCCCGACCGGGCAGAAGGTGTTGATGCATATCCATGGGGCCCTTCAATATACCTACATCGAGTACAGCGGCAGTCTGGTCCCCCAGGACGTCGACGTGGCTATTCGTACGCTGCAGCTCTCCATCGATCACGCTCTGGCCGTGAGCTACCGCAAGAACATCTACGAAGGGAAGCATCGATATGTTGCCCACATCTCCTTGGTCAAGGGCATTCCATTCTATGGCTTCCACGTCGGATACAAGTTCTACCTCAAGATATATCTGCTGAATCCACTGCACATGACGAGACTGGCTGATCTGTTGCGAGAAGGGGCAGTCATGAAGAGAGTGTTGCAGCCGTACGAAAGTCACATGCAATATCTCGCGCAATGGATGTGCGACTACAATCTTTATGGGTGTGGCTATATCGACTGCCAGAAAGTCAAGTTTCGTGCGCCGGTCCCTAAATATGCCGATTTGACCAATCCAATGCATCAATGGCACGACCTTTCAATTCCCTTGGACGCCATTTTCGACAATGCCCACCTACCCAAACAGAGCCATTGTTCGCTCGAGGTGGACGTGCATGTCAAGGATATTTTGAACCGCAACGACGTCCACGCTCGCACATTACACCACGACTTCATCGAGCGCATTCATTCCATCCCGTCGGACGCCAAGCTGGTGCAGAGCATGGCTGGGCTCTGGAAGGATGAGACTCGACGGCGAAAATTGAGAATGGGGCTCAAGGACCCGAATAGCAGCCCGTTCCCTCCTGAAGTTCTGATATCTATGTCGGCAGATCCGAGAAATAAGGCTGACGGAGGTTGGATCCACGAGCACGAATTTCGTGACAAGGTCGCCGAGCTCGCGGCGGAGGAGTTGGACAAAAGTGATAAGCAGAAGATTTCTTTCGAGACCTTTGTGAAGCCCACATCCCTCGAAAACACCGTTCGCACAGCGTTAGAGAGCATCGACGACCTGTATCCGGACAGAATCTGCATGCTCCAGCAGACAAATCTGAATGACAGTCTCAATGGTAACAACGCTGCGCAAGAGGAGCACCGCCAGACTGTGATTGATCAGTGCCTACCGGGGCATCTCGGAGACGGCTCGGGCTCAAGCATGAATGGAGACGGCACCGAGGAAGGATCGTCTGATCGGTCGCCACAGACAGAAGGCCAGAATGACAACAACTCCAAACCTGCCGACAGGCAAGTCTTAACACCCATCAGCTCCTCTGAATATGAACGATATGGCATTCGCCCTGCCGGCGACACGGATCATCTTGATGAAGATGCATTTGAAGTACCACCAGAATATCTGAACACTCATACTGGCGTCACAAACGGCACCAAGAGGGCACGATTTGGAGAGGCACCAACGTTCAAACCGAGGAAAAGACAGAAGCACTTAGTTGATGGCGAGAACATTTTGCCTGACGTCGGGCATTGGGACTCGGAGGGGGACCCAGATCTCTCGCATGAGGAAGACATGATCGAACCTGGCGCAGAGCCAACGGAGGAAGAGATGCGAAACATCCCGTTGCCTCAAGATACCGTCGAGCGTATTTCACTCAGGGGCCAACAGCCCAGGTCAAAGAACGCGCTTGTAGACGGACCGACCTCTGCGAATCTCTCGCAACAATCGACATTGTCTTTTCCAACGGTAAAAGATCCCACGGATCCTGCTACTATACTCCGACTGAGCCAGAAGAGCGCTGCTTCACAAAACACCTCCAAGGGCTCAACTATTGAGCCTCCCGTATCTCCGGCGACATTGAAGACGCCCGCAAAATCTGCGTCCACGGCCTCAGAACAAACCCAAATGCCTCTCACCCTAGGTGCAAGCATCAGGTCGTCCAATTTGATCCAGCTCAGTCTCCACGGCCTTCCAAAATGGCAGGCAGGCAATCGTTTTCAATTGTATCAGCCTCGCCCGCCAAGCTTCAGACAGGTCGAGTCGACTATGTGGCAGAATGGTCTACCGGATGTGATCTACCAAGAAGCATATTACAGCCATGAGGAAGATGTCCCTAACCAGTCCAGAGAATACGCTGGTCGCGAGTTCAAGCTTGAGAGTGCAACCGTGCCGTATCTACCTGACTTTGATGCCACAGGGACGTCCTTGGCAACATTTGGTCGGAAACCTCCCTCACTGCTAGATTCTGCAGCAGAAAGGGTTCGCGATAATCAGAGACGCAAACGCTGTACCATTTCTGAATGGGTCATAGCTGCCACTCCCCCTCGGAAAGTAGATGTACTCTCCTGGTTGCAAGAAGAAAATGATGGAAAAGTCAACGGGAAGCAACCTGGCAAGCTTCTGGCGCGAGGCAGGGCGCTTTCGCAAATTGATGGTCCAACGCAGAAGAATGCACACGGCTTCAAATATTCTCAGAAGCAGCCCAGTACCAGCGTACAGCACGAGACGCAGTATATGAACGTGATGAGCTTGGAGGTACATGTCAACACTCGAGGTTCTCTTGCACCGAATCCTGATGAAGATGCTATTGCTTGTATATTCTGGTGTGCGCAGACCGACGATGACGGTATTGACACCGAGCCAGGCAAGAGCGGCCTCCATATCGGAATTCTTGCTGTTGCTGGTGATTCGCAGACCGCCAAGAGGATATCTCGCAATGTCCCTTATGACGTTGAGGAAGAGCCCACCGAACTTGACGTTCTTACAAGATTTGTCGACATTGTGAGGTTCTACGACCCTGATATCCTGACCGGTTATGAAGTTCACAATAGTTCATGGGGGTATCTCATTGAAAGAGCACGAGTCAAGTACGACCTCAATTACTGCGATGAGCTGTCCAGAATGAAGTCTCAATCCCACGGTAGATTTGGCAAGGAAGACGACCGCTGGGGCTTCAACCACACCTCGACAGTTCGTGTCACTGGTCGACATACGATCAATATCTGGAGAGCTATGCGTGGCGAACTGAACCTGCTTGGCTACACTATGGAAAACGTTGTCTATCACTTGCTACGTCAAAGGATACCTCATTATAGCTTTGCTGATTTGACAAAGTGGTACAAAAGCAAGAATCCTCGCGACCAGGCCAAAGTCATTGAGTACTTCACTTCGAGGGCACAGATCGACATCGAAATTCTCGAAGCTAACGAATTGATCCCGAGAACGAGCGAGCAGGCACGGCTGTTGGGCGTTGACTGGTTCTCAGTCATATCGCGCGGTTCACAGTTCAAGGTAGAGTCCTTGATGTTTCGCATAGCAAAGCCGGAGAACTTTATCCTAGTTTCGCCCAGTCGCCGGCAAGTTGGTGGCCAGAATGCGTTGGAGTGCTTGCCACTGGTCATGGAGCCTCAAAGCGACTTCTATACCAGTCCATTGCTGGTACTCGACTTTCAGTCTCTTTACCCCAGCGTCATGATAGCCTATAACTATTGCTACTCGACTTTCCTTGGCCGAGTCGTCGGCTGGCGAGGTGCCAACAAAATGGGCTTCACAAACTATCGTCGGGAACCCAGATTGCTAGAGTTGCTCAAGGATTACATCAATATCGCACCAAACGGGATCATGTACGCCAAGCCCGAGATTCGCAAGTCCCTACTGGCAAAGATGCTGAGCGAGATTCTCGAGACCAGAGTCATGGTCAAGAGTGGGATGAAAGTGGACAAGGATGACAAGACGTTGCAGAGGCTGTTGAATAACAGACAACTTGCCCTGAAGCTTATTGCCAATGTCACATACGGCTACACATCTGCATCGTTTTCTGGAAGGATGCCGTGCTCCGAGATCGCCGACAGCATCGTACAGACCGGTCGCGAAACGCTCGAGAAGGCGATTGCTCTGATCCACTCGGTTGAGCGGTGGGGTGCGGAAGTGGTATATGGTGATACCGACAGTCTCTTCGTCTACCTCAAGGGCCGGACAAGAGAGCAAGCCTTCGACATTGGTGAAGAGATTGCCGACACAATTACGCAGATGAATCCTCGGCCGGTGAAGTTGAAGTTCGAGAAGGTCTATCATCCGTGTGTTTTGCTTGCGAAAAAAAGATATGTGGGATTCAAGTACGAAAGTCGAAACCAGACCGTGCCGGATTTTGACGCTAAAGGCATCGAGACTGTCCGCCGAGACGGCACTCCGGCCGAGCAGAAGATTGAGGAAACCGCATTGAAACTGTTATTTCGCACCTCTGATTTAAGTCAGGTCAAGGCATTTTTCCAGTCTCAGTGTGCCAAAATCATGCAAGGCAGAATCTCGATCCAGGACTTCTGTTTTGCTAGAGAAGTCAAGCTCGGGACTTACAGTGACAAGGGCCCGCCGCCTCCTGGTGCACTCATTAGCGCTCGAAAAATGGTGGAGGATCCGAGACTGGAGCCTCAGTACGGAGAACGAGTTCCATATGTGGTTGTCACAGGGGGACCAGGCGCGAGGCTAATCGATCGTTGCGTGGCACCGGAGGTCTTGCTCAACGACGCGTACTCGGAGCTCGATGCGGAATATTACATATCAAAGAACATCATTCCACCTCTTGAGCGGATCTTCAACTTGGTAGGGGCCAATGTTCGCCAGTGGTACGACGAAATGCCGAAATACCAGCGTATCAGGAGGGTGGACGCTGGCCCTGGAACAGACGGGAAAATTGGTGGAAGGCCCCAAAAGACGCTGGAGTCGTACATGAAATCATCGACATGTCTTGTCTGTCGCGAACGACTGGAAACTCCGGCCCCGCTATGTGACAGGTGCTCTCGGCGATCCGCAGCAACCATGCTAGCACTACGCTCGAGACTCATGAAAGCCGAGAGAAAAGCGGCACAACTAGCCAAGGTGTGTCGGTCTTGCTCGGGATTCGGGTGGAATGAAGAAATACGATGTGATAGCAAGGACTGTCCTGTCTTCTACTCACGAACGAGACAGAAGACTGCTCTTGCGAATGAAGAAGCCCAGATTCTACCTGTTTTGGAAACACTAGAGAGGGTCAAGGACGAAGGGATAGATTGGTGAGGTATTGCATTTATGAAAGGAGCGAGGCATTGGTCGGTCTTTGGATAGCATGGGAACAGCGTTCGTTGGATTGGGGCGAGGGACCTGGGACTGGGACTAGTGCATGTGATACCCCGTTGGTTATGAGGCTGCAACGCAGGACATGGGGATGTGACGACGTATATTATGGAAAGTCAGGTCAATCTGCATTGTATGAGCACGGGGTATTGCAATGTTCTCGATGTATCGAGACACCTACGAGCTAGAGTTCTTGATACGTACTAGCGCATTGCCGCCTTGTCGCTTGACTCGCAGTTGAGTGGCAGTGGTCAACGTCTCCATCAGACTCACATCCACCACCTTCACAACAACTTGCGCATGGCACCAGAAAGGAGTGGGACGACCACACTGCCCGAGGAACCCTGCCGGCTAGTAGACATGCTCGTGGCCTTTCCATTACTCTGCTGCAATCGGCAATATGAATTCTGCTCCGAGGCGGACGAGTCTGGCATGCAACTACTGCCGCTACAGGTACACCAATCCAAACAGATGATCCCAGGCTGTCAGACATTAACCAACAGAACAGAAAGCGACGATGTGATGGCAATGTTCCCACCTGCAAGACGTGCCGAGACAGAGGCCTAGACTGCGTATATGGCAACGGTACGTCACCGAGGTAAGTCCCTGGATGCTTGACTGCCGATTTGTATAAGTGCTCGACGACGCTAAACTGTTGCAAAATCTGGCAGGCGTGGACCACCTGATGCCCAGTCAAGTCGCCTCGACGCGATTGAAGATGTGCTACGACAACATTCAACCATCATCAACTCCATCCGTGCAAGCCCACCTCAGCCACCCGGGTCATCGTCGACCACGCCAACCTTTGCGTATGAGAACACGTTCAGCATAAGTACAGCCCGACCACAGCAAGAAGATGCCGGGCTCGGAACATCTACGAGCGCAGAGATTGACAGGCCGGAACCCACAGCAGGGCGAGAGGACGACCCAGTTCCTCCACTGACGATCCCTCTCGGCCACCAAACTAGCACAAGCAGTCTTCTTACATTACCGCAGATGCGTACACTAACGGGTGACTTCCCAGAGGAGTTTCTCTTCCTGGTCGAAGAGAATCGACCGCGGACTTTGTGGTTGCAACACGTCAGGGCGGCGCATGAGGAGATGGAGCAAGACTTTCTCCATGTTGACAGATCATTTGCCGACAGCTGTTTTGAACGATATTGGACACTGGTACATCCGTACCGCCCTATCTTTGACCTGGAAGATCTCACGTCACTATACGAAAGGACGATGAATCAAGGGCTCCAGGAGGATACATCCTCTGCTCTCCTTTTGTCTCTCCTCGCACTGGGGGCCACTGCAGACGACCCTATTAAGCCCACCACCCTCAGACACACCGGTGATGAGCTGATCAAAAAAGCTCTTCGAATACTCTTTCCGTGCTGGGCTATGACATTTAGCGGGGATCTTGTTCTGTCTCAGGCGCTCATTCTCTGCGCACTTTACTGCTGCTATGTGGTCGAGCCCCTGCCTGCCTGGAGGCTTGCACACATGGCATCAACAAGTGTCCAGCAAATGTGAGTTTGGCCATTACCCCAAACAGCCAATGTATGGTCAAGTCTGACTGGCTCCCTTCAGGCGCAGACAGCATTTATCCAAGGATAGCAGTGAAGGTGTCATCAGAGTCAGTTGGGCGTGCTTCTTAATCGAATGGTACGTCTGTTGGCCCAAGCTATTGCCGAAAACCAGGTATTGATAGCAGGTCTCAACTAGCGACATCCTGGCCGAGTTCCATCAACCTAGAAGTGGTATCGAGCCGCTAGTTGATAGGTTGCCCTTTCCGACATACAGCAACAGCACCGCACCGGAAAGCTTGTGGTCATTGGCCGACATATCGGCGAGGTCCTTGCTCAATCGGATACATCATACCGTGTACTTCACCGATAGCCTCTCTCTATACGCAGGTCGGTCACAGAACGCATGCGGGATTCTCTCGTCTGACCCGGATGCGTCACTGCTAAGAGTGTGCGAGGAACTCAATCGTCAGCTTGAAACGTGGTATGGGTCACTACCCGAGGCCATCAAACCGGATCTTTCGGGCAGACCAAGAGGTAGTGACCAAGCTTGTGTTTTGCGTCTCAGATATTGGTCTGCCAAACACAACATTTATCGACCATTTGTGGTCTACGTGACCTCACGAGCTGCAGAACAAGAGGGGACTATACCGGTGGTGGCCCTTGAGCGGTGCCGTCTTTGCCTTACTGCTACCCGAATGTTTATCCTCTCTGCGGGTCATGTTCTGGCGCAGAGGAACCCCTACATTTTTAGTACGGCGCAGTGGTAAGTTGTTTTCTCCTATCCGATCCGAAATCGCTAGCTAAGTGAGACTCCCATACAGCTGTATAGGCTATGCACTTATCATCGCGATCGCTGCTCAGACTCCTGCGCTATCCGACGCAGTTGACGATGCTTCAGAACTGCTGGAAATGGCTGTTGAGCTCGTGAAACCATGGGCTCTAACTGGATCGAGCATTGAATGCGGCCTTGAAATCGTAAATTCTGTACACAGAAAGCAGCGGCTGCGCAACCTTCGAGCCCGATAATCGTAGCCGTCATCAGAGACGGTTCTACGCAGAAGGTTCATGGGTCTACTTGCTGCCACATTTCTCGTTTCATTGGTATAGAAAGCAGTTCCTCACGACGGTCTGTCGATTTGCTGCACATGAAGTAAGTGTCTTTACAGTCTTGAAGACGCTCCACAGCAACGTGAGACCTGGAGTCAGCTTGAACAGCTGCATGCAGAGAGTTATCAATGGGCTGGTGGACGTCGTCCTTGGAACGACAACTTGCCAGGCACTCTCTCCACGCAACGTCTGACTTCAATTTCGATCCTTATATGCCTTTCCCCGCCATAACATTTTCAATAGCTGACTTGGCTTTTCCTTCGGCCTCGAGGAAAAATTTACAAGCATCTCCGAACCTTCTATTCAGCACTGAATTCTCGGCGATGAATTTGTCAACCTTGTCACCGCCGTCCACCACAAAGTCTGTGTCCATTGTGGCGAGCAATCCATTCCATTCAGGTCCTGAAAGCGGATCCAGAGCTTCCAATGTCTTCAGGCGCTCTGCGACGGTGAACTTAGCATACGGATGCTTGGGCTTCTTATTGACTACCGGAGGAAGAGTATCAGGTGTCTCCATGAGCTTCTTGAGATTGTGGCCTTGCACGGTGACATGTTGGCAGCCCAGTTCGGCCATCGCCAGAATCTCTGCAACATTGAAATGGCTGTTGAAGCAGGGAGGATCAGCAGAAGCTCTACTTCAAGCCGAGCCTTAGCCTTTGGTGCGCAACCTACCTCGCGATAACCATAATCGGCTGCTCCTTTCCTGTCTGCACATAGGCTTGCGCAAATGTCTTGAGGATGTGTATTACGCGGGCTGACATCGGATGCTGAAAGGACTGTCAGCTATTCATACCTTTTTAACACCAAAGATGGCAGAATGTACCTCGAGAGCTGGGTCTTTGACCTGTGGGCGTAGCGACGGATCCAAATGCGCGGCAATCTCTAGATTGAAGGTAAGATTGGTCGTCCAGAGTCGACATCTCGACCACGTTTTACTGACCATTGTAATATGGGCTGATGAACAGACAGTTTGACTGGCTTGCAGCGATGGCTTGTTCAAGAGAGAAGACAGCCGTCGCCAGTGTCCGAATGCCTTGGGCGTTTAGGTCAACGGCCGCCGAAGCCGCAGCACCAGAAAAGGGCAGCTTGATGGCGAAACGATCTCTTGAAACACCGGCCTTCTCAAATGCGTCGGCATACTGGTGACATTGTTTGATGATGGCGGCGCGGTCATTCACATAACGAAGGGAAGTCTGGACAAGCACACGCCCAGACAAGTATGGAACATTTCTGGCACACAGGGTGACCGCCTGAGACCTCAAAGCGGCCGTCAGAACTCGAATGTCCGAACGTTCGTGCAGGGACCGAAAAAGACGTACCGCCATGTCGTACACCTTCTCCCAGCCTTCTTTGCCATACTTGTCAACAAGCTCTTCTAGAAGCGTCTTATTCTCGGGTTTCAGCAACTCGCCCGTGATGACAGCTTGATTCGAAGTCTCTGGCCGGTACAGTTTAGCAATTAGAGATGCTTGCAGAGAGTCTGAGATCGACGTACGGTTGTGGGGAGTGAAAGGCAGGCTCTTGATGAGCTCTGTGTCTACATCGTCGACGTCGACGTTGCAGAGTTCCTCGAGTCTGTCGAGGAGCGAGCGCGATGCCATTGTTTACCTGTTCGTCTGATGTGCTTCGGGAAGGCTTGGACAAGCAAAGGTCTGCTGTGAGAGAGGTAAGAAAGGAGAGAAACTAAATCTTTGACGACCTGGTGTTGTCTACTAGTGTGAGCGCAGGTAGGAAGACAGTACTTCAAGCCCGGTCTCTCTTGTTTTAACCCCATCGCCTTCTTCTCGTATTCCCCCGACTCTTCTGGCTTCGCGTATCCCGGTGGGTGTCCGCTGTTTGAACTCTTCGTGCGGGAAGTATGTCCAATCCGCCTCTATGACCCACCAGGTCCTTTCCAAGCGATGGGCGGGTCTACAGTTGTTCAGCGGCGGTCCGCCCTCCGCCGCTAACCAGATACAGTATCCCTCACAGCACAAGCGCGCAACACCATGGACGATACTGGACCGAGCGAACTTCGTCTCCATCAAGCTCAGCGCGAGCAGACGGAGAAATATGGCCCGCTCAGAGTGGCCTCCTGTCTGTGGTGTCACTATACAGCCGATGACATGCTGGATCCATGTCGGCAGATGCCCTTTGCTGACCAAAAAAGATCTGGGAGGAAGTCATTGACTGCGTATTCATTTCATGAAACCCGTTCATTCTACCTCAACTGCGCACATACCGCAGGGACCAAAGCAGCCTCTTATTGACCACGCATCTCTTCATTGTCCCCAAGGCATTATTTCGTCCTCGATCTTCGGAATTAGCAAGCACCATGATCTTGACAGACTCCTCTGTCGAGCCCGTCATGAACGGACGACATACTGCAAATGGCGACTCTACCGCCAGAGACCTCTTCTCCCTCGACCACAGAACAATCATTGGTGTGTTATAGGCCCTACGTTGAGGGGGATAATGCTGCGATGACCAGCTATATTCCCCTCTCTCCCCCTTGCGTCGCGGCGAGAAACTTACTCCCGCGGCACAGTGACCGGCGCAATGGGCGGGATGGGCGTCGTGGTGGCCAAGGCGATATTGCAGTCCGGAGCCGACGTGATTGCCATTGATCGCGACGCGGAGCCAAAGCCTTCTCACATGGGTAAAGTCTCCCCTTTCCCATCCCAGCGTCAATCACCTACACAGAAAAGAGTATGCTAAGTTACTCCCAATGCCGGTCGACCGGTTTTGGGTCTTGTTTTTACAGAGGACCTAGAAACCACCGCCTCGAGCAGCGGGACCATCGTGAGCTACCACGCCTGCGACATCTCAAACCTCGAATCCACCGCTGCTGTTTTCGAACACGCCGTCTCGTCGGCTCGATACCCTCTGCGCGGACTGGTCAACTGCGCCGCCATCGGCTGGATTGGTCCGTCGATCAGTTTCCCCGTCGAGGACGCGAAGCGGATTATCGAGGTCAACCTCATTGGCACGCTGGTATGCGCGCAGGCCGCGGCGCAGCTGGTCAGGAAACAGGGACGTGGCTTGTCGGCGAGTTTTGTCTTTATCGCGAGTATGAGCGGGTATGTGGTTAATAAGGTGTGTGCCCTATATTTCCCTCCCTCCCCCTCTACCCTCCCACCAGCCACGGAGGGGACAACTACCCTCTACCTCTACCGAGACTCATCGCGCCCTCAGTCAAAGGAGTGGCTGACTATTTACAGGGCACGCCCAACGCCGCCTACGCGGCCTCCAAAGCCGGCGTGCACCAACTCACGCGCAACCTCGCGTCTGAATGGGGCCACTCCCCTTCCTCCTCCAAGGCCACTGGTGCCATTGCCGGCGGGGACCCATCATTATGCCCCTCGATCCGCGTCAACAGCGTCAGCCCCGGCGTGATCCGCACCCCAATGACAGCGGGCCTGCTCGCGAACAGCGCCTTCGAACACCTGTGGACCGAGGAGACGATGCTCAAGCGCCTGTCCACCCCGGAGGACTACAGGGGCCCGGTTGTTTTCTTATTGTCCGACGCCAGCGCGTACGTCACTGGCGCGGATCTCTTGGTCGATGGCGGGTATACGGGCTGGTGAAGACATAGACTGGGAGGGGTTGGGAAATGGGGGTGTGGCTCGCTAACGCGTGAGAAGGGAAAGTTGTGGCCATAGATGTGATGGAGGAGATGGGATAAAGAGTCTTTTTGGAGAGGTCCATTTGCGAGGTAGGAATCATATCATCATCTTTCCTCGTCATCAGTCCAGGAATGACCGTTTCTTTGATCGACTCTTGATCACGTCTACCACCTCTTCTTCGAATCTGCAGAATGTAAAAATAACAACATATCTCTTGTATCGTAAATATGATGGAATTCGGTACGTAGTATGTGGAGCTATGGATTTTGGATACGAGGCTACACAGAGAGCCCCTTTCTTAGCCTCTCGTGATGCATTGCTCCGCACGCTATATCACGCACTAAAATCAGATTTTCCCATGCTGCTCAGCTCTGCTGTCTCCGGAGTGTTCCCACGCCTTGAACGGTGTCTTTTGGCAACATGACGCGCTCCGAGGCCTGGCTGACCACTACTTGCCCTCTTCAACGTGAGATTCCGGGACCTGTTGGCCGCTGCGCTCAAAGTGATACAACGGCTCCAAGTGCTCTCCACGCCTGAAGAGGAAGTAACGCCTCAACGTCCATGGTAAAACCTAGAAGCTGAATTAGAAATAGAAGCGTAATACGAGATACACTATGGACGACGTTACGCACCTTTTTGATTTGATAGCTGATGAATCGTCTTGTCGGCACCGCAAAGACGTAGTCGAGTTCTTCCAGTGTGTACCCGCTCGTGTCCGGGACGAAGAGGAACATCAAAATGAAGACAAGCACGTTCATGCCGCTGGATGGAAGGAAAGAGGCTCGTCGTTAGTACAGCTTTGGCTTTTGAAGGACGGTGGTCAGGGATCTGAAAGTCACATACGCGTAGAAACCGAATGCCCCAGTATTTGTGAATTTGCTCAGCATCAGAGGAAACGTCAAGGATAGAGCCGAGGCCAAGGCAAACGTCGCCGACACCGCCCAGCTGTTGCCGATCTCTCTGTGTGATAGTGGAAAGGCTTCCGCGGAATAAACGAAAGCAACTGGGCCTATCACAGTCACCGTTAGTATCTATTTACGCAGCCGTACATTCTGGGATGTGTATGGGCCGTGAACATACCTTGGCCAATCGAGTAGAGTGCAGTGAATGCGTAGACAAAGAAAGCAATCATGCCAACATGTGCCTTGCTTGATTCGGGAATGTAAAAGCAGAAGCCCGCGGCAAGGAGTGTCCAAGCCATGTGTGGGAAAGTCGACAGAAGCAGAGATCTAGTCCTAGAGTTAAATGGATTTTTCGTTCGCGCAATTTCGATAGCTCTTACCTCCGACCGAACCTATCAATGAGAAAGATTGCCGGTATGGCAAAGGCGAAATTGATGATGCCGTAGCCCAGCGAAGTAAGCAATGCTGTATGTTCAGAAGCACCTGCCTGGACAAATACAGTCGACGAGTAAAAAGCAATGATGTTCATCCCTGTGGAAACGAGAGATTAGCTTCGGACGCAGAGACTGTTGTCGCTGAGCATGTCATCGATGAACAGGCCCCTCTTGAAAATGAAATATTCACTGCCTCTTCATCTATTCCCTCCACGGATAGTGGACAGCTATTTCGTCTGGAGGAAGACTGGAACTTACCGCAGAATTGCTGGCCCATGAAGACGACCAATGCTGCTATAAAGCTTCTTCGAATACGAGGGACCGTGACGAGTTCGCGGAGTCTAACGAAATAGGTTGACCCCGCCGCCATCTCATGTTCGATAACCAGCTGAGCATGAACATAGTAGAGGTCGCGTGCAGCCTGTATTCTGTGTTTTCGCAAACGGCAGAGCGACTCAAAGGCTTTCCTGTAGCGATTCTTCTTCATCAACCAGCGTGGAGACTCTGAGGATTCCATTAGCAGATAGCGGGAAAGGCGCTCCAGAGGTGACTGTACCTGGGCAGAAGAAGACGAATAGAGCGAGTGGAACAGCGGGAATGAAAGCAGACCCAATCTGGAGTCTCCACGCAATTTTGCCAACTCGGTAGACGACGAGATTGGCGGCAAACCCGAGAAATATGCCAAAGGCCGTCCACATCTGCCAGCCCATGACCAGGGCACCACGAATGACAGCTGGAGAGTTCTCTGCAGTATACATAGGGATCGTCGCACCTAGCCAAAAAAATCGGTCAGCCAACCCTGATCCTGATTGACAAAGAATCGGCCGTAGACTTACCTTTGAGGCCCATGCCGAAACCCATGAGGAGTCTTGTCACGAGCAGTTGGTGCCAGCTTTGAGACAGCGCGCCCCCAATGGGAGTCAAGATGCAGAAGATTGCGGCCAGGAAAGTCGCCCCACGGCGGCCTAGGAGAGCGTTGAACGGATCAGACAGCCAGCATCCGCTTCAAGTCGTCAGCTCGCCGTCTAGACAATGAGGTGTTTCGAACTTACAGGAAAGCAGAAGAGATATAGGGAGCAGCGTTAACCAGACCGATCAGCCAATTGTCCCTGCTGGAGCCAGAGGCAATGCCAAACTCGACGGGGAATGTCAAGTTGGCGCCGTTTGATCCCGTCTGATCCCAACCCCTTTGCGCACGTCAGCCTTGCCTTCAACCAATTGGGGACTTATGCTGAACCTACTGCACTGCTGCTCCAATCGAGCAGACAAAGACAGTGGCATAGAGGGCAAACGGATGGCTCCACCTGTGCTTTGTCTCACGCTGGAGTCCCTCAAGCTCATCGGGCTCGAGCTCTTCCATTTCTGCCAGCGGTACCGCGGCCTGGGCAACGTATGCCCCTCTCTGCAGGAGAGGCAGTATGTCGAGGAGGTCTTTGTCCGTGGCGAAGCGCTGCACTTGCAGCATCAGATCATCTTTTGCAATTCCCGCAAGAGGGTTGACTAGCCTGTGGACAGATATATGTTTAGCTTGATGTCGCTAGGCAAGTACATGTTGCTTTATCTCCGTACCTCGCAGTGATGTTCTCCCTGATAGTCTCGATTGCAATATGCCCTGCTGCAGAGATATTCCCTGCCTCATGGTGAGAGGCATACTCAACCTTTTCTGACGGAAGTTTCTCAGCCATATTGAAGTAACAGTAAGCAGAAGATGAAGTCTTCGATCACAGAGACGAGGTTTCTAGGATGGTGTGACGATGGCTTGAAGGAAGGGTAGTCATGAGCTTAGGGGGGGACGAAGGAGTTCATTTATCTCCATGATGCCAAGCATATCTCCTTTGCAAAGCCAGCCCAGTTGATTCCAGATGGATGGATAGTCCAGACCCCATGGGGTAGGACAGCTGGGGTCGTATGAGACTTGGACCATGTCCGAAGTACTCCGTATAGAACCGCAGAAACACGCCGTCTAGCAAGGTGCTCCATACGTTAGTGCCACACTTACGATAGGCGAAGCACGTAGCTCCTTCATGGAGTTCCAACTCGTTGGCTCGGTAGAGTTCTATTAAGGTCGAAAGGCGAATTGCGCCCGGCAAATGATATGCACTGCTGAGCAGCCTGGTGGAGGCAGAAACAACCTGTTCATATGCATACTTCCATGTTCGTATTAGCGGCGGCCATAGGTGACTGTCGATACCGCCAGTGATCTCCCCACAGGCGGTCCGCCGTTGCCGCCCTCAGAACGCTTTCGGTCCAAGTGTAGTGGGTTCCCAAACAAGTCGATACTGTTTAAAGATAACTTAGCAACTTTCGCCGGCTATATTTTCTGAAGCCATCAGAGTGTTGTGTGATGTATTAGCGGCGGGATGGATTGGTGGTCGCCGCCGATGTTCGCTTTCAAGCTTTGAAACAAGATGCGGTATGGGCTATTGAAGGGTAAGGGAAATCATGGCCTCCTTTTTTACTTTTGCCTTTGCTTTCTTGGACTGTCACCATTGCGACGGATTCATAGCTCAAAGACAGAAGAAGTCGATGTGTAGAGTAATTTTGATTGGGGATGATATACAAGTCAGCGTTCTAGATATCCAGCCAGGACACTACCTACCTAGGTAGGTACCTAGGTACCTGGTAATTATTTGGGCGGCCTCGGCGGCGTCTGCGGCAAGTCAAACTGCATGGTGCGAATACGTCACTCGATTCGCTGGGCGTCAGGCTGTCACCCTCACCGGCGCCTCCCCCCCAAACTGCCAAACTGCGAGGGTGGCATCCCCAGATCCAAACTCCCTACAATCGCGACTGCATTCGTCCTGCCTGCGCTTTCTCAGGATACAGTGTGCAATAGCTTGGTCACGCAGCAGCTTAGTCTTTTTGCTGCTTCTTTTCCCCACATGGCTCCCTCCTGATTGTGCGCCCTCAAGCAGCGTGTCTTGGATGCGCTGGCTGGCAAATGGGTCCCCTCAAATGGTTCCTCTTCGTCTACGTGCTCGGTGGTCTCACCTTCGTGCCGCTCCTGATCGCCCTCGTCCTCCTCTATGCCTACTACACGCTCCCTCCGCCGGAAGTGAAAGCAGACAAGCCGAAGCCCACCGATGATCCTGCGCAGCTGCTCCGTCCCGAAGATGACAAGATTGCTTTCAAGACTGGTACCGACGATCTGGCCGAGAAGTTCCATCGAAAACACGACTCCGATGTCGCCGCTGGATACTTCGCCGTGTGCAGAGAATATGTGCCTGGCGGTGTTCCTGGGAAGCCGCCGGACAGGCTGACCCCTGCGGGCGACACCACGGTCCAGGAGTCTCCGAGCGTCTACCAGAGCATGTACCGCAGCATATTCGATCGGTCGCAGAAACCAACAATCGAGCCCAATAAAGATGGGCAGGGGAAAAATGTGAGGAAAACAAACAATGTCTTCTATGTGGTCTTGAGGTGGGTTGCGACATAGGCGGCACCTGTTCAGAGAATGGAGCCTGACTGATCGAGCTAGACACGGACATCTCATGCTTTACGACGATATACAGCAATTGGAAGTCCGCTATGTCATCTCTTTGGACTACCATGACGTCGATGTGTATGCCGGCGGAGAAGAAATACCAGAGGGAGAACTGTGGATCAAGCGAAATGCCATCCGATTGAGGCGGAAAAAGACTCAAGTAGGAGACAAAGCCACTTCGTTACCGTTCTTCCTCTTCGGGCAGAGCCAGTCGGACAAAGAGGACTTCTACGATGCTATCCTGAAGAACCAAGAGAAAAGCAGCACCGAAGACCCACCAGGGCCTCAATTGTTTGACGTCGAGCATATTGTGTTGCTGGTCCAGAAATTACACTCGTCAGAAGAGCACTTGCAGACAAGATGGCTCAACGCCATGATTGGCCGCGTCTTTCTGGCCATGTACAAGACCCCAGAGCTGGAAGGTTTTATCCGAGAAAAGCTGACCAAGAAGATTTCGAGGGTGAGAAAGCCCACTTTCATCACCAAGCTCGGCTTGCGGAAGATTGACTTGGGTACTGGGGCGCCCTTCTTCACCAACCCGAGATTGAAGGACTTGACGGTGAATGGTGACTGCACGGTCGAAGCTGATGTCGATTATTCTGGAGGGCTCAGGATTGAGATTGCGGCCACCGCGCGCATTGATCTAGGAACACGCTTTAAGGCTCGAGAAGTCGACATGGTGTTGGCAGTCACATGCAAAGCGCTCCAGGGCCATGTGCTGGTGAGGTGCAAACCGCCTCCCAGCAACCGATTCTGGTTCACTTTCGAGAAGATGCCCCATCTAGACCTCGACATCGAGCCTATTGTCAGTACTCGGCAAATCACATACACCTTCATTCTCAGGGCGATTGAAAGCAGGATCCGAGAGGTGTTTGCCGAGAGCATCGTACATCCCTTCTGGGATGATGTCCCATTCTTCGACACGAGACATCAGAAATATCGCGGTGGCATCTGGAAGACGGAACCCACCTCGACCACGACCACAGAAATCCCCGATGAGGAACCTGAGGACGTCATTGAAGCAGGCAGTTCCGGAACTCAGACCCCAGTGGAGATATCGAAGGAGGACAGAACCATGAGTATGCCAATATTGGCGGAGCCTAATGGTGTGGGCAGGATTAATTCTGCAAAGAAATCCATGGCTTCCTTGAATGACCTTTTTGGCAAGAGAAAGCCGGAAACAGTGGACAGGCCCGACTCATCGACGCCAAGATTGATGCGATCACCCTCGTTTGCCAGCGCTGCGGACCCTACCATCACTACAAACCATGCTGATGCCAACACACCAACTCGAGGAGCAGATCCGACCACAAATAGAGAGAGTGTTGCCACAATTCTAAAAGATCTGTCGTCCAGGTCAGTCTCTGGAAATGGGTCGGAACTGGGCTCGCCGGCAGCGTCTCCTTCTGTAGAGTCGGCCATGGCTGCAGCCATGAAAGGCCGATCATCGAGTAACGCGTCAGGCATATCGGAAGAAGACGACCAACAAGGTCGCAGATCTTCTTCTCTGCCGCGGACTTTGACAAATGCAAGCCGTGCTTCAACTCAGACTACCGACTCTGGTGAGCCAAAGGATAGTCGGCCAACCTCGGCGCAGGACGGAAACAAACCTCTCAAAAGCTTCTCGCTCGGTGCGAGGTCGTTGACGGGTGCCGACAGGAAGCAGGCATTGGCATCAGTCAATGCTGCCGCCGCGGCTGCGCAGAAATGGGGCTGGGGCGTGCTTGCAAGAAATCGACAGCGTGAAGCCCAAGCGGCGGCAAACAAGGGAAATTTGGATGAGGCATCAGGGAGTCCTCCCACTCCTCGAGAGCCGATGGGGCGTGGAAGACCACTTCCGCCTCCTGGCGTTCCGCTGCCTCCCCCGGAGAGACTCCGACCGAATTCTTTCCTGGTACCAAAGCGGAAAGCGGTGCCACCTCCGATGCTGCCAAAGCGCCCCGAGAGGAACGGATCGCACGAGTCAATATCGGCAAAATTATCACCGAAGCCACCACTTCCGGAACGACGCAAGAGAACGAGCTCGGCGCAGCCTGAGGATGGTGCAGAGGATGAAGTGTTTGTGGTCGAAGCCCCAACGGAATCGGCTCCCACGAGCCCAGCTAATGATGAACATCATGACGACTTTTTTGGTCATGGTGAGCCCACATCGGCAACGACAGAGCCACTCGAACCTTCACCACCCCCGAGCAACGGTAGCGAGATTGACGAGCCAGCTGCAGTATCAGCCAAAGAGCATCTCAATCCGCCGTCATCAGATCAAGAAAGTGAGAGCGAAGCACCAGACGTAGTGGAGGAGCGGATACGGCCGCCGTTACCTGCTCGTGGCAGTGCGACTCCCGAACATCTTCTGCAAGATGAAAACGAGGTGCATAGGCAAGAGATGGGCATGTATACATAATGAGGGAGACGGCCCAGCAAAACGGCCATCTAGATATAGTCTAAGCTCAGCATTATTTCCTTGGGCATGGAATTTGATACCCAACGATAAGCGCTGCCACTGCTTCGTCCTTCTAGGGCTTTGTCTCAAGCCCATCAATCTGGTAATAACAGAAGCTCGCTTCTTTCTTCATGTTCATCAAGAGAGCTGTTGATATGTCAAGCTATCAATGGCTTTTCCATACCTAGGTATGTTGGTGATGTAGCCAGTGCAATTGGCGCGCCCCATTAGGCAGCTCTGCCGACCACCTCTGCAAGGCTGCACTTCTTGACGCGGCTCCGTCAATGATCACAGTTGAGCTCTCATATACCCCATCTTGATCTTGTCCTCGCATTAGTCCTCCATCCCTTCGCAACTCCTTACCAGTTTATCCGCCGTGATGAATCACTATCCTCAGGCCTGGGGTCGAGTAAGTCCTGCACTTTCTCCGCGAAACGCGACAAAGCTAACACCCAGCAGCCCCGAGATGATGTCTACGGCCCGTACGATGCTTCATACCTCCAGACCTCGATGCCTCAAACGCATACGCAATCACCCGCGGTGACAGGAACGTCGGTACTAGGAGTCAAGTTTAAGGACGGTGTTGTAGTGGCAGCAGACAATCTAGGTAGGTTTACCAGAGACGCAAGCAATGCTTCCTCAGACTGGACTAACACATTCTTGCCAGCCTCCTATGGCTCCCTGGCGCGGTTCACCGATGTCAAGCGGCTACGGACATTCCCTCCCAATACGGTGGTTGGCTTTGGTGGCGACGTCTCCGACATGCAATATCTTGACCGGCTATTGCAGTCGCTGGATATTCGAGAAAACTACCTCTCCGCCACCGGGCACACGCTGAACGCACGAAATCTTCACATCTACCTCTCCAAGGTCATGTACAAGAGGAGGAGCGAGTTTAACCCGTTATGGAACATGATGCTTATCGCGGGCCTGGATGAAGATGAGAAGCCGTTCTTGGCCAGTGCGGATCTGCTGGGGACAACCTTCTCCGCTCCAACACTGGCGACTGGATTTGGCGCACATCTGGCATTGCCTTTGCTGCGGAAATTAATGCCTCATGATGAAGAGAGTGTCAAGGACGTGACAAAGGAAATGGCCATCGACGCTGTCAAGCAGTGCATGAAAGTCCTCTTCTACCGTGACGCCAGGAGCTTGGACAAGTACAGCATTGCAGTAGTGACCAAGGAGGGCGTCGAGCTCAAGGAAGACGAGAAGCTGGAAAATCAAAGTTGGGCATTCGCTGATCAGATCCGGGGATACGGCACCCAAGTCAATTAGGGACTATGCATAGCTAGGTACAAGCATGACCGGTGCACGGCGTTCATTGGGACGGAGCGCACTCTCTACATGCAGGGCGGTTACCAACGGCAGGCCCTGGGGATTCTGTAGTGAAATCAAATCCCTCTTCCGGACACAGACGCGAGAGTCATAATGTAACTGTTTAGTTCCCTGAATAGCCTGTAGGAGTCGGAGTGTCATAGTCGCTGATGGGAACCACAACGGAGGCGCCGACAAGGCCCAGACCGTTCAAAGAGTTGATGATGATTGGCCAGCCTTGTGTTTCTTGGCACCGGTGAGTCAAAGGCGGGCGGAGTCGCTGACGTGCCGTTGCCAGAAATTTGGAGAAGCAGAGGAACTTGAAGGTCGGACTTGCTCCAGAAAAGTCGACGAGCCGCCGCTGTGTCGCCAACGGCAAACATAATTCCATACTTGTAGCTTCTGTTTGCACTGAACTTTTCCATTCTACCTAGGTATTATAATTCTCTTTGGCGGCCATCCGATAACCCTCCATTCGGCCCTCTTGTCGTTTGAATCTCCAGCCTGGAGTCTACCTTGCAGCCTCTCCAACGCCCTCAATCCAGTGCCGCCACCATGGAAGGCCCAGCCATACAGCAAGCCCCTGCGCCGCACAACAACAGCAATACCAACAGAGGGCAAAGACACAGACGGAGAGGCGGAGGTGGTTCCAGCAGACCGTCACCCTCTCAACCAGAAACTACAGTTCCCATAAGACAGACCGCAGGCAGACCCTTTGGGGGACGCCTCACACGACTACACGCCGAAGCACCGCCTTTCGTCCCGTCCTCTCTGCCACCGCCTCCTCAATCGAGCACGCAGTCCAAAGACTCAAAAGCTCGCCCTCCTCGCCCCAGTAACAAGAATACTGCCAGCCGAACGCCACAGCGGCCACAAGGACGGAGAGGCTCGGTCGCCCGTTCGACGGCCCCGGACATCGCCACCAGAATTCATGAGGACATCTCACACAACCTGTACGAGTGTGCGATTTGCACGAACGAGATTGGTCGGTCTTCAAAAGTCTGGTCATGTCGGACTTGTTGGACGGTATTCCATATCGGCTGCATCAAGAGGTGGTCGAAAAACGAGGGCTCGGCCGTCCCTCGTTCTGCAGGCCAGAGTGATGAAGAGACGCAGTCAGGAAAGCAGTGGAGGTGTCCCGGTTGCAATCTACCAAAGGACACCTCCCCATCGGCATACACTTGCTGGTGCGAAAAGGAAATCGATCCCAAGAGTATCACGGGTCTACCTCCTCATTCTTGCGGGCAAACGTGTGGCCGAGAGAGGGCATTCCCAAAAGCATGTCCACATCCTTGCGATCTTCTCTGTCATGCCGGACCGTGTCCACCGTGCTCAGCCATGGGCCCCAAGCAGAGTTGCTACTGTGGCAAGCAGGAAACGACGAGACGATGTGTCGAAACAAACTATGAGACGGGATGGAGCTGCGGTGCCGTGTGCGGCGACATCATGCCGTGCGGCGAGCACACTTGCCAAAGACCCTGTCACGAAGGCCTCTGTGGCGCGTGTACCGCCGAGGTTGACGCCCGATGCTACTGTGGAAAGGTGGAAAGGAAGATATCATGCAATGAACGAGGCGAGGAGAAACGAAGCAGTGACTGGATTGGGCTCTTCGACTGCGGTCAACCATGTGACAGACCCCTGGACTGTGGAGTTCATCGCTGCGAAAAGGCATGCCATCCCCAAGATGCGACAATACCACACTGCCCGAGGTCGGTCGACGTCGTTACCCACTGTCCCTGTGGGAAAACCCCTCTGACGAAACTTGACAATGGTCTTCGAACACTCTGTACAGACCCAATTCCGAGCTGCGAAAAGGAATGTGGGAAATCATTACCATGCGGTCACAAATGCACGCAGATTTGCCATCATGGAAGATGCAGCCCTTGCACCCTCAAAGTCGCTCAACCATGTCGGTGTGGTCGCAATTCGTTTGACGTCGTCTGCCACGATGCGACCGAGGAACCACCTCAGTGCACACGTTTGTGCAAGGCTACCCTCAATTGTGGTCGCCACGAGTGCGGTGAACGATGTTGCACGGGAGAGCGCAAAGCTTCTGAGCGTCAGGCCACCAAGCGAAAGCTCAAACCGCTAGGGAGCATCACCCGGGCCTTGGACGAGAATATAGAGGCAGAGCATATTTGCACTCGTCCATGCGGCCGCAAATTGAAGTGTGGAAACCACGTCTGTCAAGATCTTTGCCATCGCGGGCCATGCGGCAGCTGCAGGGAAGCCATCTTTGACGACATCTCGTGCAGCTGTGGTAGGACCGTCCTACAGGCGCCGTTACCATGCGGAACCCGTCCACCGCCGTGTAATTTCCCGTGCAACAGGATGAAGGAGTGTGGCCACCCTCCCGTGGTACACAATTGCCATTTAGACGAGGAGGAATGCCCCAAGTGCCCATTTCTTACCGAAAAGCAATGTCTTTGCGCCAAAAAGACTCTGAAAAACCAGCCGTGCTGGAGGGCTGATGTGTTGTGTGGATTGGTTTGTGGAAAACCGCTCAAGTGTGGCTCCCATACCTGCCGGAAGACATGTCATAAGCCGGGTGAATGTGAAGATGCTCATCAGCAATGCCAGCAAGAATGTGGCAAGACGAAGAAAACCTGTGGGCATCCTTGTGAGCAGCCTTGCCACGCTCCTTCCACGTGCAAGGAAGATAAGCCATGTCCGTTCAAAGTGATGATTACATGCGACTGTCAACGCAAAAAGGAAGAGGTCAGGTGCAACGCGCGGGCGAATGTCCCCGAGCCTCCCGGTCGACAGACTTCGCTCAAGTGTGACGATGAATGCGCTAGGTTGGAGAGAAATCGCAGACTGGCGCTAGCCCTTCACATTCCGGACGATCACACCGATGAGCATGTCCCGTACTCGACCAATACTCTCAACATGTATTTGGAAGACGTGGCCTGGGCTCACAAGCAAGAAGAGATCTTACGGCTCTTTGCGGCGGACGACAACGAGAAGAGATACCGCTTCCCGCCAATGAGAAAAAGACAGCGAGGCTTCATCCACAGTCTGGCCGAAGACTTTGGCTTTGACGGAGAAAGTCTGGATCCTGAGCCACATCGGCATGTTGTATTGTTCAAGACGCCCAAGTTCGTCGCGGCTCCCATGAAAACCCTCGCTCAAGCTGCAAGAATCAAGCGGCCACAGCTGAATGTGTCTGCCCCGGTCCACGCGACGACGGACCGAAAAGCAGACGAAGTCAAGCACGACTACAACGGGTTGTTGTTGACCAAGCCCAGATTTGCACTGACCGAAGACGAATTACAGCCCCTTATCAAGAAGTCCGCCCCAGCCACTGAGTTCGACATCATCTTTTTATCCAACGACGAGGGCGTGGCTCTTTTACCCATCTTGTCCTCCGATACTCCTGAGCAGTTGGTCACTGTCCTTGCCAGTCTGCAGCCTACGATCGCGGGGGAAGTGGCCAAACATAATCTCGGCGCATCGGTCGTACTCTGTCAATTTGACACTTCAGACCTTGAGCCGAAGGTCCTTCAGCAACAAGGTAGACCGAGTCCGTCGCTTACCAATGGGTGGTCTCAAGTTGCAGCGAAGAAAGCAGCACCTGCTGTAGCACCTCAGGTCAAGCCGGTCGGTCAACGACCAGTATATACCGTACTGGGGAGTCGGTTGGCGGAGGCCAAAAAGAAGAAGCAGGAGAACGAGGAGAAGCTGCGGAAAAAAGCTCAGCAGCAAGAAGTGGTGGAGGACTGGGAAAAGGAGATGGAGCAAGAAGAAAAGGAGGCCGCCGAAAGGACTAGCCTGGACAGTGAGCGCACCGACGAGGTAGTTGCGAATTTGGATGCGTGACATGCTGCCCCATAGAGACGTGGCTTGCAGCATTTCAGCTTGCTGTGTCCGGGGACTAGGTAGAATGCGTGTCTAGGAGGAGATGATGAGACATGGCGTGTGCAAATCATCGAGCCATATGCGTTTCTCGGGATCGCTGCCCAGCTGAAGCGTCTCCGCATCAATTAATCCGTTCCGGCTTGGCCGACGTCACTAGCTGCGTTTCCCTCCGCCCCTCCGTGTAGCTTCTGTTTGCTCTCTCTCACCACTCACCACCCACCACCACTCATTCACTGCATAGAAGCAATTGTACTACCAAATCCCTGCCTCTTACATGCTCCGAGGCTCGTATCAAGGTTTCAACTCCATCTCCTACAGCGGCAACCTGCAAACCAAGCAGCTTGGCTTGCATCCTGCAACATCCCGACTTGTAACCCTTCAGCCCACACGGGTGACGCTCCTCTGACCCACCAACAAGCCATAAAATCCTCCTGCTGATGGTGGTTTATATCTTCTTTTCCTCTCTCTGACTTTGGTTTCCTTCTCTTCCACCTCTCCTTGTGTAACTTGACTACGAATCTTCGGATCAGTCTCTCCCTTGAATATACTGTTTCGCTTCGCTTCGCTCAACAGGACCAACTCACAACTCCCTTCCGCTAACAATGGACCAACTCAAAGGTGCCTTCGACAGCTTCTCTGGGGGCAACAATGCTCAACAACAGCAACAAAAAGAGAGCGGCCTCGGTCAGCAGAACGCTGCTTCTGGTAGTGGTAGCGGGAGCTTCCTAGGCGGATTGGGTGACAAGCTCAATGCTGCGGCTGGTGGTGGACCGGAAAGTGAGAAGAATGAGGATTACCTCGACAAGGGTGGGCTTCCACGACATAAGTTGAATCGACCGGTGACGCTGTATGCTAACAACGCCATTTGGGCGCGCTAGGGGTCGACTTTGTCCAAGAGAAGTTCCTCGGTCAAGGTCCTCAGAACAACGAATCCGCGGTTGAACAAGCCAAGGACGAGCAGATCAGCGACTTCATTCGAGACAAATGTCAGTGCTGCTCATAATCCAACCCTTCTTGGCCCCGTGCTCGAGGATGCCTGTGCGCTAACATAGGATCCTCTTCACCACAGACAAGTCGGCCACTGGCAAGGAGTTTCCCGTCAAGGACAAGCCGACCCAGTTCTGATGGGCCATCGCAGGCGGCTGTGATGTCGCGCTCTTGACTGAACCACGAACAGAACGGGCCTAAGGAACGTGAAGGCGTTAGACAAGTGGTGCACATGACGGCGAACGTATCGAACGGCGAGCCTAGGTAACAGCACAATAAGGATACGGCGCTTGTTGGCACGGGGTGATGCGGATCGTGCTTCGAGATGTTGCTTTGCCCGCTAGGAGGATATAGGTTTAGTGAGCGAGAATATCAATATATTCCTCTATGCGCCAGGCGCCAATCCAAGGGAACATTGCGACTGTTCCATCCACACAATGCCCGTGTTTGAACTGTGTTGTGTGTAGTATTCGAGCAGAGATAAATCCCGCTCTAGACCAGCAAAAAAAAAGTACGATACCTCAGCAAGAGATGATGGGTATACTGGAGCCGGCAAGCCGATTTCAGGAATAAATAGCACAGTCTGACATAGAGTGCTGAATAACGACTAGGAGACCACCTAATTAGCAATAGCCAGTATCTAGTAATAAGTATAAGGATCCCGCTGTGCTCAAGAGTAGATAGGATACCCTATATAATGAAGATAACCTAATAGCTAATAGTTAATCCCTTCTACTTTGCTACTACCGTCCTCTCTTCTCGTAAGACTTGTGCCACTTATTTTTGAAGTCGGCTTACCGTTCATACCACAGACAAGAGACAGTAGTCTTGACTGACATGACTCAAGACACGATCTGCATATACTACGGCATCTGGATTTCGATATCCATACTAGGTACGTCGGTTGTGGGCATTTCTCAAGACAACGAAAATTACTCGTCAAGTCACGCGATCGATACACGTTGAAATGTTTTGGTCGTGCCGAAAACATTTGGGCCGCGCCGAGCAGCGCCACCAAAGGGCCGGACGAGCCTGAAGCCAAAGCCACGACCGATCGGCTGAACCTTAAAAGGTTGCACTACGCGTCCAAGCGAGGCATTGAAATGAACGGGCGCTTGCTGTGGCGGGCTGAAGATCCGGCCATGGCGACCAGATCAGTCATGGAATCTCCTTTCTGGCCTTCGAGTGAGACAAGTCTTTTGTTTGTACTCCATATTTACCAGACGCCAACAACAACGTCTCCATTCTCCAGGCCGGCGCACGAAAGCCACATGGACGTGCCGAATGCGTTTGATGCAAAGTCTCTACTCGTAGCTAGAGGCTCCGCTGGGTAAGTGGATTCGTGGAAGCCCCCAAAAGCGCCTTCAAAAGAGAGAGGTAAGGTCCCTTTTCAGAGACACCCTTGTCTATCACTGTTCTCTCGCTCCCATTTAGACAAGGTTGACAACATGCAGAGGTCCAAGCAGGACGAATATGTCGCGGTCGAGTCGATAGAACTGCCGGCTTCCTCACATTCGCAGCAACCGATCAATCAAGAGAAGCACGCCGAAGCTCCTCCGCTTGCGGCAGCATGGCCCAAAGAACCCGTGCCCCTGGTGCCCGATGCCAAAGCTCAGATGTTCATGTGGCTGTACGATGGCATCCTGCTGGCGGTCCCGCTAGTCCTCGTGGCCAAGATCGGCCTGGTGATCGGGGCATGGAAACTGGATCGACAACACCGCGGCAACGAGATTGACCTGGTCAGCGCGCTGACGACCTTCTTGATCGAATTCAACGGCCAAATGACAACGGCCTTCACCATTGTCTTTGTCACAATCATCTCGACCCTGGTGCGGCGGTACGCTCTGTGGAAGGCTCAGACGGGGGCGCGAGTCTCGGACCTCGAGCAGCTCCAGGGCAGCGTCAGTCTTCCTAGCACGCTCAAGTTGATCTGGTCTCTGCGCGCCTTCACCTCTATGAGCGCCGCCCTCGTCGCCATCTGGTCCTTCTACTACCTGGGCAGTCAGGCCAGCAAGCAAGAATTCCAGAGGGTCGACTCGCGCGCCTATCACAAGATGGACGGGGATACTGCCAGCGCGGGCCCGCTGTCGGGGTTCAGTTCTTCCTACGACAATACAGATCTCAGCTTCAGCATCGATGAATTGAATGCGGCCCTGATCGCCGCCGTGAGCTTCACGAAGCCAGACTACGACTCGTCCACCGCGATACCCAAGGGCACCGACTCGATTGGCTCGGCGGTCCTCCCTGATCTCAACGCCATCATGGACCAAGGCTGGTCGGTCGGCAGTGGGTTCGTGCCTCCTCATCCCGGCCGTCACGGTTGGGTTAATGTTGCCCATCAATCCCAACTCCAAGACTCGGACGACTATTCGGCGTTTATCGGACGTGGGACGTATTTCGAGCTTATCAGCGATGCCGGGGGCGCGGCTGCCATCCAGATCAATCAGTTCCTGGGCGAGTATACGCTGCCGACTTGGTATTTTGCTGTCAACTGCGGCCGTCCGACGATACTGCCGTACGCCTCGTTCCCCAAAGGCACCTATATGAACCAGTCGGTTGCCTTCAACATGACGCAGATACGGTCGGACGCGCCGCGAGACATAGCGGGCCACCCGCTGCGCGAGTTCGAACTGTCCACGCGGTGGATCCCCTACAACGACCAGAGCATCATCTCGTACGGCAGCTCGCGACAGACGTGCAACATCACCACGGTCAACGTGGAGATGAAGGTGCACTGCGGCGTGACGGGGTGCTTCCCGAACAAGATGCGGTACGCGAAGAACGCGCCGCGCGAGAACGCCACGTCCTTCAGCACGCCCTTCGACGACGACGCCTTTGCCGAGCGCTTCTTCAGCGCCCTCCTCCTCTCGCGCGGGCCCCAGCTGAACGTTTCTGCGCTGACCGACATCGGTGACAGCTTGACGCTGGGTCTGCAGAACTTCCTCGGTGCGGCGCCGGGCACGCTAGGCGACGTGGCCACCAACTACGACGGCTTCCTTTCCGCCGAGTCGCTGCGCGGCCTCTCCCTGCCGCTGACGCAGTATTTCAACACGTACTACCTGCTCTCGCAGGCAGTAACGGGGGTCACGCCCAGCTTCGGCACCGACGGCACCGACCTCTCACAATTCCAGACGGTGCGCATCCACGGCGCGCTGTACGACCCGCACTACGCGATCCTGTGGGGGTGGATCGCCGTCGACTTTGTCTCGTGCTTCATCCTGTTGATCGCGGCCATCATCGCCTGCTGGCTACGCATCCACACGCTCGCGCCCGACATTTTCGGCTACGTGTCCAGCCTGACGCGCGACAACCCGCACATTGCTTTGCCGGACAACGGCACCACGCTGAACGGGTTGGAGAGGGCTCGGCTGCTGCGTGACGTGAGAGTCAAGATCGGCGACGTGTCCTCGGCCGACGAACCGTTGGGGAAAGTCGGGCTGGCTCAAGTCCATTCCGCGAGCGGGACAACGGTCGCGAACTTGAAGCCCACGGTGGCCTATGTTTGATGTCCTGATAGATGATAGATAGATTACGGAGCAGATGCGATCAAATACATATGTATATCATGCGTTTATTGATGGAGAATAAACATACATAACAGAGTCATATACCCATACCAAAACCTACCAGTCCCGGGTCTCGAGTAGGCATGTACAACTGCAAACTAACAGCCAAGCACACCGGGCTACAAAATCTGCTTCTACGACACCCACATCCCGCAAGGGGACCTTCCTACGACTATTGAGACACGCTCAAACATATTCAGCAGAACACTAAAAAAATGCTCAGTTCAAAATAAACTTAGCATACCTATGTAACACTTTGGAAAAGCTCCAGTCGGCGAGCTCGGCGAGGCCAATTAATACGTGGTGGTACGTATTCGGGAATCGGTCCCATTTTCACCCAAACACGGCCAACACGGACCTCGGCTCCTCCATAGCTTCTTGGTATCTCAGTCTTGGGCGCGGGGGGTGAGAAAGAAAGCGTCGATCACTACTGGACACTCAATGGTCCCAGTCTAGGGTTCCGGACGACGGGGGACCAAAGGGGTGCGAGACAAGGCATCTCGTTCAACGTTAATATAATAATAACCCTCCTACATCCTGATTCTCCTCCCTCCTTTTTTCCTCTGCCACGACGCAAATTCAGACACCACCAGGGTCGAAAGACGCCCTCTTGCAGCGTTGATATTCACATACCCCGAGTCGCCCCCTTTCAGGATCTCCTATTCGGGCAGAATCAGGTTTTATTGTGCCTGTCCCGTAAAGGCAAGAAGAACTGCGCCTAGGAAGCTAGGTCGGACCCAGCGCGGGGTGTCTCTTTGGCCAGGACACGGAAGAATAGTCGAAGAGAGTCTCTCGAGAGAGAGAGAGAGAGCGTGCAGGTGGCCAGGATGGTCGGGGCAGCAGCAAAGGGGAAAATCACCCTCTATGTCGACATTGTCAGTCCGTTTGCGTACCTGGGGTATTATTTCCTGCGTGTAAGCGAGCCATCCCTGGTTCCGTATCCCCCATATCCTCTTTCTGTTTGTTTACACTGGTCGAGGAAGCAGTTTACACTTGCTACTTGGAATATCAAATTATTACCTATGATTCTAACCCCACGTGCGAGAGGTAACAGCACTCGCCCATCTTCCAGAACGTGCAGATCACGTACATCCCCATCCTCCTGGGTGGGCTGATGAAGCTGTGCAACAACACGGCGCCGATCGAGATCCGCAACAAGGACCGCTGGATCGACGTCGAGCGCCTCCGCTGGGCGCGCCAATTCCACGTGCCCATGTCGGACAGGTTCCCCGCGGGCTTCCCCAAGCCGACCATCCAGCTGCAGCGGTTCCTGACGAGTGTGTGGATGGAGGACAACGACAAGGCGGCGGCGGCGGCGGCGGCGGCGGCGGCGGCAGCGCACCAAGGACAGCAACATGCACAGCAGTCCACCCTCATCCAGGCCCTGGACACGCTGTACGCGGCGCTGTGGACGGATCCCAACGAGTCCGACATCCCGGACCCGAAGTGCTTCGCGCGCGTGCTGGCGCCCGTGCTGGGCCACGACGTCGTCGCCAGACACTTGGACCGGCTGGGCGCGCCCGAGGTCAAGAAGCAGCTGGTCGCCAACACGGACCGGGCGCTGCACGACGGCGCGTTCGGCCTGCCGTGGTTCCAGTGCGAGAACGCCCAGGGCCGGGTCGAGGGGTTTTGGGGCTTCGATCATCTCGGCCAGGTCGTCCGGTTCATGGAGCTGGATGGAAGGGGGGAGGTGAGGGCGTTGCTGTGATTTACTGTATTGTTTACGGGCGTGGATGGGACTGAGAGGACATTGGAATGGGGTTCATTTTTTGCTTTAAACTACCTAGGTATGTACCCCTTGATAAATCACTCACCTCGACATACCTATGTATGTATCTTTGAAGTTGATGTGTCGGGCACCCTGTCTGTATCAACGACTGCTCCGGGGCTTCTTCTGGCTTTCCTAATCAAAACCACTGCATCCTTGTGTGCTAGACCGGGCTTCTTCCAACAAAGTTATTATCCCAGGATAATAATTCGAAGCCTGCTCTCTCAACTTTACACGCACGCGGCTTGAGCAAAAAATGGTGGCGTCCTCCAAATTGCCATACCAGCTTACTTCCTGCACGGACCGAGTTGTCACTAATTATCAAAGCCTGGGAAAATGCGCAAAAATTCCATCCTGCAAGTGAAGTGCATTTTCGCTCACTGGGACTTCACCCAATCTTTCCAGTACAAGAGCTGAGGGGACATGTCAAAGAGGATGTCTCGGCCTTCCTAGATGAATAGAACCCTGGATCCCTTCCCAGTCCTCCTTATTTTCCAATCTTTGTACCCGACTCCAGATTTGCCCTGCTATCAAGGTAAAATCTACTTCTTGCCGAGTTTGCGATGCTTGGGATGTGCCCCTGACCATCGGCAATGGCTTGCGATTCTATGGAGATCGATGTACAACCCTAAGGGGGCATTGATCGCCCACATAACTAACGCTGTGGGTTTGCTGTCCAACTGCCTCAAAACCGGTTAGCAACACCGTTGACAGAGCATTCTGTGGAGTCAACTTGACCTCAAGTCCCAGGAGCTTTTTTGTATAGGGTTTTCAGGACGAGTCGCTTGCACCATCAGAACTGGTGGAGTCTTCAGATCGATGTCTCTTGCGGCCTCTCCCATTCTCCTCCTCCTCCTCCGCCGATTCCTCACTAGAGCTCCCCATTCCTTCAACGTCTCGCCTTGATCGCTTTTTACGACTGACACTCCTGGATTTGCCTTGGGATGCAGTCACTCTTGAAAATTGCTGACACCGTTCAACATCACAAGTCTCTGTTGTCCATGTATCTCCTGTCCAGAAGCAAAGATGTCTTTCCACACGTGCGTCGAGGAAGCCTCGCAGATTCTCAAAGACCGAGTAAGCAAAGCGGGCGAATAGAAGTTCGGGCGGGTTGTTGAGTCTCTGAAGCTCAACCCCGTGGAAGAGACGCTCGACTTGAGAACCTGGTTTCGCGTTGAGGCAGTAAGCCACAAGTCGGCGCTTGATAGGTACGATGGCAAAGCACTTCGAATCAAAGACTCTGTGGATGTCGCTCCTGAGGCGGACGGTATTGTTCGGGTCCTGCATCTGGTCCATCTCAGTGGAAATTGTGTAATCATACATGGTGTTCTCGTCAAACCACCCCTTTTCCGCCGCCGGGATCAAGTGAGCATTCTCGACGGAATAATCGCATTGTGTCAGTCTACAGTGCGACCCGGGTGGATCCTGTAGGATCTGAGTGAGTTCGCGAATGTCATTCCAAGATGGAGGAAGTTCGTGGGGAAATCGCCAGTGTTGAAAGGTAGGGATGACGGGGTAGTCCACGATTTTGTCTAGTCACTGTCAGCTTCGTGGACCTCACCACAGAATACATAGACTTGCTTTTCTTAGGCCGGGCCACGTGAAAATAGTAGGTCTTGCCATTGAGAATGCTCTCTGGGCCCCCAGTCACTGCCTCGTTTCCCTTCCTGTCCGTCGAAAGATACCCAGCCCATGCGTTGTTCGCAACGATCGCGCATGCAACCCGCACAGTTTCATGGTGTGCACCTCGACCCCCGAATGACCAAAATCTCAGGAGAGTGTGACAGTAGGCGTCTGGATAAGATGGATGCCGAATGCTGATGGGTTTCAGATCGATAGGACACGTACTCCTCTGAGGATGCGATGGTTGCGGGTAGGGCTCGTAAGGTTGCCAGGTCTCAGCATCAGCCATGTTGGCGTAGGCAGGAGCTCTCCGTTAGCGAAAGTGCAAAACCCTGTGAGTGCTGGTCGAAGGTGCAGCTGGGTTGCTTATTTTGTTTGCACACAAGGCTTTGGGTGCGCGTGACTGGAATCTCAAGAGCTTTGGAATGTTCAAGAGCCTTTGGAATGTTCAAGTGCTTTTGGAATGTCAAGAGCTTTTGTAGTGTTCAAGCTGTTGGAATGTCAAGAGCTTTTTGAATGCCACCCAGTTGCCAGGCTGCCAGGGCAGGTGCGGTATGGTGGGTCGTCATTCATGATCTATTTGGATTCGTACCAAAAACCAACATTGGGAGGCCCAAGGAGGGAACGAGACAAAGGCACAGGAGAGACATGGCATAGGAAAGACATGGCATCGGAGAGACATAGCAGAGGAGAGACATAGTGTAGGAGAGACATAATAAAGAAGAGACATAATATAGAGAGGTATAATAAAGGAGAGACATAGCATAAGAGAGACATAGCATAGGAGAGACATAGCATAGGAGAGACATAGTATAGGAGAGACATGGCATAGGAGAGACATTGCTGCAGCCTACCACTTCAAGATTCGTCAATTTTCATGTGCGCGACCCGTGACTCTCGCTCTCCACACAATCAGGTGCACGTTTTGAGAGGCGCTGCTTCTATCGACCGCATTTCCACCCCTCCTGTCAGACTCTGTTTGAAGGGCTTCCATGTACCGAGGAGACCATTGCAGCCGGAGGGAGAGAGTGACAAAAGCTCATGGTTTCATGAGCGCTCCCTGGTGTGATCTCATCCTCCACAAAACCCTGATCTGTGTCAGAATGGCTCTTGGAGAAGTCGAATCTCTGAGCCAAGATTGTCTCGCGGATAGTAACAGCCTGGGTCGACGTGGATGTGCATGGAAGGGTCTGCCATCCGTTGTAGGCCCTTCAGCAAGCCTCTGGAGGTTCTCAGGGAGATCCAGATCGACGAAGCAGTTAAATCGAAGACCACCCCTCAATGACTGAGCCAAAAGCATTAGATAGCTCGATTGGGTTGAAAGTGTAAAGCTGACACGATTGGTACCAAAAACTGCCTGCACGATTGATCGGCTTGAGAGCGAAAGCCATCGTGCGAGTCGAAATCCGGTGGCGGGGAAGATAGGGCTTGGGGATATGATTCGGAGAGATGTCATGGTTTCCCGTTGCTTGCATATTGTTGGGAGCATTCTTAATCTGGCCACGGAACTCAGCAGCTGGAGACCGTCGCAGCCATCGCCTTCGTTGTTGCATTGCTTTTGCGGACACTCTCGTCAACTTGTCGTCGCGATCACCCTATCTTGTCAATTTTCAGCGAACCCTTTTCTTCTTTCCCTCCTTCCCCCTCAAGAGCGATAAAGTCGCCCTTCTCCAGCCTTCTGGTCCATTTGCCTGCTTCTCCCCTGGCCAGGATAAAGGTCAGCCGAGCGCTGGCTTTCTCCATGGCACTAAACGCCGTGCTGGGGAGCGGCGTGTATGTCCACCGTCCAAATGCCCAATTCAAGACATACAGACTTTGTCCCTCGGAGTCGACCGCAATGCTGGGTTTCCGATTGCCCGTGGATTCAGGCGGTGGCTTGGAGGAAAGAACGAGTCCCTTGATGCGGTAGACCTCATCTTTGGGCGCAGAAAGGAGCAGGTCCTCGAAGGATTCAAGCACCACACCCTGGGGAGGCTTGCTCATGTCTTCGTTGGTGACAACGACACTTAGAACTTCGACTTCTTCTTGATGATGGTGGTGGTCATGATCCCCGTGCCCATGGTCTTCGTTGAATTCGATGGCTTCTCGCAACCCTTCAGCCCGCACCATTGCCCCGTCGATGCCCATGATGACTTCGATATCCACCCAGCCCTTATGGCTCTTGACCCAAGCGACTTGGACATCCAGATCGCCGACCCGGTCCAGGGCGTCTTCAAACATACGCTCATCGACGAGCTCCCACTTGTTGAAGACGATCAGATCGGTGTATTTGGCCTGCATCTTGGCCGTGTAGCTGGTGTCGTCGTAGCCCTTCCAGTTCTCGACATCGATGACGCTGATGACGCCGTCTAGATTGAACGAGCCGGGATACTCTCGCGAAACACGATTCACTTCCATGGCCAGCGTCGCAGGGAAGGCGGATCCGGACGTTTCGATGATGATCCTGCTGGGTGCGACCGAGTCCTTGAGCTGGAAAAGAGCATCGCTCAATTGACCGACGAGGTTGCAGCATATGCATCCGTTCAGGAGCTCGCGCACGCCGGATATGGAGGCCGAGCCGGCCAGTTGCGAGTCCACGGCGACATCGCCAAACTCGTTCTTCAGCAGGGCAAGCTAGTTGGTCTTTTGTTAGAAATTGGCCGACAGCCTTTGTTTTTGGCCAGTCGCGAGTTAGTTTGACGCTTACTTTATAGTCCTTTGGGAGTTGGGGAATGAGATTCAGAATCAATGTCGTCTTTCCAGCACCTAGAAACCCTGTAATGATGGTGACTGGAATCGGTGACATTGTTGGACGTGCGTTGAAGAAGTGTTGGGATCTGGGTTGCAGCTAAGAGAGAGGACTGGTGAGGCACAGAGAAAGACAAGACGAAAAGGACGACTGGCTGTCAAGGTAAAGCTGAATTGAGCTGATGGCAGTGAGACTTGATAGTGGTGATATATACAGGGGGAGGAAGAGCCGACCACTTTTTTTTCCCATTGATCGTGTCCGGCTTGACTTGCAGGTTGCAGGTTGCAGGTTCCTTATCGATAACGATATGTAGCGTTGACGTCACAAGTTACTAACGGCTAGTCCTCTAGTAGGTGGACTAACCCGTTTAAGCCTCTTGAATACCAGGTATCAATATTAAATGAACTGAGCCATCCCCCCTTCTCCAGCTCTGCTCTGGTCCATTCTTCCAACGTAGCAGCAAGCCCCAGGTCCTTGGCCATGGCACTCTGCCAGCCGTGTGGATCCGCAATTCTCTGGAAATAACCACCACTGTGCTCTGGCTTCATCTCGGGGCTGGCCGCGCAGAAGACGCTCGTCCACGACCCCCTGTCGCCATCCATCATGCCCCCAATCGCCCTGTACGGTGCAATGATCAACCTCATTAGGAGTGGAATCTCAGCGTGCACCCCGATATTACTTTCTACCAGTCCGGGATGGACAGCTGCGGTCCAAATCTCGCCATGCCCGCCTCTGGCATGCGCTGAAGCAGGACCGTATAGTTTGTCCAGCGTCTTGACATGGAGGATATTGGCGAGCTTCGACTGGCCGTAACGAGCCATGCCGCTACTGCCGCTCCCCAGAGATGTGTCGGCGAAGTTGATTCCACCTTTGGGCGCCGAATGGTGACCGAACGACGACAAGTTCACAACCCGCACGCTGCCTGGCGGAAGTGTCTTGGCAGTGTTAAGCAGCAACGGTAGAAGATGGGAGGTAAAGACCCAGTGTGCAAGGTAGTTTGTCTGCCATTGTGCTTCATATCCGTCCTGTGTCATCTCAAAGGGTGTGGCCATGATCCCGGCATTGTTGACCAATCCATGCAGCGCGGTCTCCTTGGAAAGAAAGAGCTTTGCGGCCGACACCACGGAGGCCAGCGATAGGTGGTCCATCTCGAGCAGCGTAACGTGAGCCTGAGGGTACAACGACTTGATACTGGCTATGGCCGTTGCCCCTTTGCTCGGAGATCGCGCGCACATGTAGACGTGTGCGCCATGCTGTGCGAGCCGGGCAATAGTGTGGTATCCTCTGTACAAGATATCAGATCTTTGCGGCCTGGCCAAGACAGAACAGGAGACCACTTACATGCCCGAATTCCCGCCGGTGACAATGTACACCTTGCCGGTAAGGTCTGGGAGAGAATCAGGGTGAAATGTCATGGTATCTCACAAGCACGCGGAGCAGAGATTGAATCGCGTCTACAAAGGGCAGCTGAACGGTCCGTATGCGACACTCAGCGCCCTTTTTGTACCAACTTTCACCAGCTCTCTGCATGGTGAGGTCTTGTAACGATCCTTTGACCATAAACCATGCTTCGTTACCAGCCCAAGTCAAGATTCCCCCGGGGCAATCCAGGCAACATTTTAATTATTGACTTTATTGTTCATTAGCGTGGCCGCAAGCCAGCTGCATAAAGCCAAGTCCTGAAGCCAGCCTATCGCCTCGAATACTTCTGGGACAAACTTCAAGCTTGCACCTTCTCGCAGGGCATCTCGGCCGTATCATCGAGTGTTCTTGTGCACCTGTGTATATCTCTGATCTACCCTCTTTACGAGACCAAGTCATGGTTTGAGTTAGCGGTAAGCAGTCTGCATATATATCGTATGGAAGACCAGCTAGCCGGGGCATTAAACTTTCAACACTGACCAGTATACAAACCAGCTCGCTTACTCGCTAGCGAGCCCGGATCGTTACCTGGGTAGTTAGGTACCCCTTCGCCCAGCGATGATCTAGCATTCGACAGAAGCCAGCAGCATAGCCACATTCTCAATCTGCACCGCAGCGATCCGGCTCCTCGCTGCCAAGTTCGACGGATGGCCAGCTCAAATAATAAGATCGCTCTCCGACAAATGCCCCAGCTCGCCGAGGCTGTGGAGCAGGACGACGACTGGACCGGCGTCACGAACGCCGCAGTACGGCGGAGGAGACAGAATCGACTCAATTCGCGAGCTTTCCGTATGCTTTCTTGCCCCCTCGAATTGAACCAGAGAGCACGGGAGCCGGGTGACTCTCGTGGTTGCCTTCGCCCCGGGTTGTCGAGGCCTGATTTGCTGACGCTGAGAGGGGTCTTTACGCATGTAGGGCGACGGAAGGCGTTGGAAGCAGCGAGGTCACAACCATCCCAGACGTTGTCACGCTCTCGGTCCCAAACCCGCCATCCTCCCGGACCACGAGCCAAAAACAGTCACTCCAGCAGGCGGGAAGAAGACGAAGTACAAGGCAAGGAGGCGGAGGGCGAACCCCTCGTCCCATGCTGGATCGAGGCTCATCAATCCATCACACTTTTAACAGCCTCTAAGCTCGCGAACCGATTCAGAGGCACCAAGAGAGCAGGGCTGCTTCCGTATACGACGACGCCAACGAGGCTCAACCAGGTCGTTTTCCCCCTCTCCTCGGACCACCTGATCACCTTGCTCCAGTACAACGTCCTCCGCGGCTGTCTGGAGAACAGACGACTCCTCACGGACGCATTCCGGCTCTGGGACAACGCTGTCCGGCCCGTCTACGATCGTACTAGTACAGTCGGTAACGAACATGAAGCTGAGGGGAGGGGTGATGAAGAATGGTCTTCGACAGCCCTGACCGTCCTCCCATCCCCGGGGGGTGATGACGACGCGGCACATCTCTCCCGCCTGCTTCCTCGATCCCTGCATCCGACACTTCTGCAGCGCACAGTCCCGCACGCCGCGTGGATCGACATCCTCCCGCACCCGGTGCTGCGAGACAATTTGATCCGCGCCACAATTTCGGCTCCATCTTCAGATGGAATGACGGACTCGTTCGGAGCAGCATTCCACCCGGACGCACTCTGGACCGACACGGTGGGCGACCTCTTCTTTGAGGTTGAGAGTGGACCGTCGTCGAGCCAGGGCTCAAATTCGACCTCGCTGTCCGCGTCGGGGGACGCGTTCCACGCATCATCATTATCATCATCAGCGGAGCTAGTAGCAATGGATGGTGAAGCGGTAACTGAGGCCGTGTTCGCCGGTGGAATAGTCTGGTCGCCGCCCTGGAATGTCAGCGGGTGGGAGCTGTCAGAGGCCTTCTGGCGCAAGTACGGCTGGATGATGGAGGGGTGTGCAGGGGAGATTCTGGACGCGACCAATCGGTGGAGGAGGCAGAGGGGCGAGGGTGAGCTCCGGCTCGGCTGCATGTCAGTCGATTAGAAACGTTGCCATGCCATCACGTCGGGGATCGATCTGATCACCAACGCGAGAGTGAAAATGAAATCAATGGAAGACAAGGAAAGAGCACGCGGTCTGCGCGAGGCTGAGCTTTGGGGATGCGGGTGGGTGAATGGTGATGGTCTTGCCCCTGTCATGGGGAGACATCGTCTATCAGATTCGATCTATGGTCCATCGATAAAAGGAGTGTGCGATAACAGTTTAACGAAATTGCCAGCCAAAAGCCTTGTCTCGGCTCAGTTGGCCTTACATCAAAATCAACCGCTCTCCCTGCCTTTTCCGCTTCAAGAGTTTGCCATGTATCTTTGCGCATTGCAGGTGCTCACAAGTCCGTCGCAAGGAGATGTGGTCCGACGCGGTCAATACCCGAGCAAGGCCGAAGCACCAGGCTCGCTGGAAATGTAAATGACCTCGTGGTCGTCACTGAATCCGTTGAACTTGGTCGCCGAGCAGCGGGTGTACGCTCCCATGTTCTCGAAAAACAACCAATCCCCAATCTCGACCACGCCGGGCAAGAAGTAGCGATCGGTGATGACATCGATGCCGTCGCAGGTGGGGCCCCAGATGGAGTACTCGATCAGCTCCTCCTGGCGCTGGCCATCATCTAGCGCTGTCGCCGCGGCAGTGGCGGACCAAAGAACCTGTGGGACCGGGTGCTGGTGGTCGAAGATGATGTTGGAGAAGTTGCCGTAGACGCCGTCGTTGAGGTAGAGCATGTACCCCTTTCCACCTTCGTGATTGACCCGGGCAACTTCGCGTCTCGCAATGACGTTGGTGGCTAGCGTGAAGGCATTGGAAGCGTAGTAGCGGCCGGGCTCGCCAATGATACGGATATTGGCGGGGAATTGTTCCTCGAGGGCTTCGTTGAGATTTCCCGCAAAGGTCTCGAACGTTTCGTCGACGAAGCCTCCGCCAACGTCCAATAACTTCAGGTCGAATCCTAGCAGGGCCGCTTGATCGAAGACATGTCGCGCGTCTTTGACTGCCTTGCCGAAAGAGTTCGGGTCACTCGCCCCGGAGCCGATGTGGAAGCTGACGCCAACGAGGTTCAGTCCCAGTGCCTTAGCCAGACCGAGCAGCTCTTCTGCGTACTCCAGACTGGCCCCGTACTTGGTACTGAGCCGGCACGCACTTGCTGAGTCATCGGTCAAGATACGGAGCACCAGTTCGGCCTCGGGATAGCACTCTTTGATCTTGTGGAGCTCGTCGGTATTGTCAAAGGTCATCAGGCTGACACCGGCCTTGCGAGCGTGTCTCAAGTACGACTTGGTCTTGCATGGCTGGGCATAGATGATGCGACTCGGACAAACGCCAAGCCCCAGCACCAGGTCGATCTCGGCCCTAGACGCACAATCGAATCCGGTGCCCAATTTGGCCAGAAGGCGGAGCACCTCCTTGTCTGGGTTGCATTTGACCGCTTTGACAGTTTGTGAGCACATGCACGCGGATGGAATAAAGCGGATCAAAACTCACCATAGAATGGCTTGACGCGGCCCAGATTCATTTTCCAGCGGAGATGCTGGCGGTACACTTCTCCAAGATCCGCCACGTAGAAAGCATCTTCCTCGCCAGGCTCACAGGTGTCAACATTGATACGAGCAATCTGCTCCTTGAGGACTTTCTGGATCAGTGCCTTGGAGGCTAAACCTGTCACATCGGATTCAACGCCATGATTGGTGTCAACAAAATCGACCTTATCGATTTGGTTGTCAGTCACAACGGTAGTATTGGCTTCTTCAATGGCGATAGCAGAAGGTGCCATAACCATGCAAAATGGCTATGCTGAGAAATTTGAGTGAGAGAAAATCCCCAGAAGGTGTTAGGGGGGTTTGAGGGACTCGGATCCTCTTTGAATTTGGCTTTGCCTCAGCGACTCTCCCTCACGAGGAGGAAGAACCTCGAGTGGCGACCTATGCGGCAGCTGAAATTGGGGAGATAGCAGGGTTGGGATGTCAAGCTGAAAGCACGACACAGGTCTCGAAGTTTGTTGTCGCTGTAGCAGGAGGCGGGCGAGGCTGATTAACGATGTGACGATGTCTGCAAGCGGATGCACCTTGATAGCGAAGAGCAAACGATGTCGAAGCCGTGAATGAGGTGCCTTTGGTGGCCCCAAAGGCAGATCCGAGAATGTTTCAAGCGAAAGTTATCGTGGAAGCTGTAGGAGGCGGTGGTGAAAGGGTGAGAGACTGGTGAAGAAGAGCAAGACGGTGAAGAGGTCGATGATTTTGGTGCGTTTCTGCTTGAATTTTTGGTGCCCTGGCCGACAACGACACAGTGGTGGGGGGCAAAGTGTGGATACAGGCAGCGAGTCACTGTGGGCAGCCCGGCAGGAAAAAAGTCAGATTCCAACAGGGAGTGACCTCAGTCTTCCCCAGCACCGACTTCAGTGACAAGGATCGGTGATTCAGCTAGTTGCGCTGTCTGCCTGCCCGTCGCGTATTGGTCATTCGCCGGTGCTTGGGCGTTGTGCGGTTCCTCCGCTCCCGCTCCCGTTCGCGTTGGCGCCAGTAGATTTGAACTCGATGGAATTTTTTCCTCGTCGTGCGGGATTTTCAGGAACGCGTCACGTGACTGGCCCGAATGGCCGGTGTTGGTTTCCATACAGTCCGCCTAGCCCTAGGAGGTGCCTATTTCACCGCCCTTGCGGGAAACCTGATCGATGTGAGGCGGGACATGTTCTAGGTCCGTTCGACAACGCTGACGACGGGTCTTATCGGTGGTTCTGTGGCAGAGGACGCATCTTATAGGTGAAGAACTCGGCGGTTGGAATATCCATGTCTTGGTCGGTGTCAATATGGGGAAGCGGAACCTTGAGGGTCTCGAGTATGTCGAAGCTGGCCTTGCGCATGCGTGTGAAGAACAAATCATCCTCGGTGTGTCGTCGCTTGAATCCAACCAAAATGAGGGTTTCGGGCGTACGAGCGGCCAGTTGCCTCAAGGTCTCTACCAGGTGCAGACTGCTGTCTGGGTTGTAGATGCAATCGGAAACCAAAATGAGATCGTAATTGGCATTGGAGCTATCATCAAGGCTCGAGGCCCAATCCAATACTTCCGAACGAACTGTAGATCCTGCCACGGGCGCAGCGCATCGGATATTGCTCGCCAAAATCTCCTGAGCGTCCTCCAGGTCGGTAAGAAGAAGGTCGCATTTGACAAGCTGTGCCAAAGCGATTCCCACTATGCCACAGCCCGCCCCGAGCTCCAGTACCCTAAGTCGTCTTACCTTGCTGGACTTGACCAGGGCCGCCAACATTGACATTCCATCAACAGGGGACGCAGACAGCGCTTGAGCGAAGTAGACAAGAAATCCTAGACTTGCATCCCTTGGACCTCTTGTTAAGCAGTATCGGACAGGAGGAAAAAGGACACTTACCAGATATGTCGAGCAATACTGTCACCCGTCTCCTCCCACATCCTTACGACACTCTTATTCGACAAGACAATTCGTCGCTCCACGATTGGGTCCGTCCGCTGTTTATTAGACAAGGGGAAGACACAGCTCCAAACATCGAGGATCTTTGGAATCTCTAGTAATTGAGAAGCAGTCTCGGTGTCCTTGGTAGTCACATGGAGCCGCACAGGTCTAGAGATATACTTGCCAGGACAGTGGACAATGAACTTGAGAGCTCGAGACGAAGCCAGCCACCGAATGGGCTGAGAGCAGAGGACGCCATGGGGAGAGTTGGCCTCGACAACATTTGCAAGCAGTTCGACATCCTCACCAAAGAAAGCATCACCCAGATCAGTGGTGACGGCAACGACTGCAGAGACGTCGACAGTCTTTTTGCCCACGTCGCTTTGCGGAGTGCGCAGAAAGCGAATGTACTGGACCATGACTCCCTCTAGACAGGCAAGGTATGTAAAAAGAAATCAGGATGGACACTGGAGGAGGAAGAAGTTGATCAGCTGGATGTTGTGGAGGGGGAAAAGTGAGGCGGGCTAGCACCACTCTCGGATAAACAGTATATCCGGAATCCGAGATCCGAGCACGTGGGTCTGCTCCGGAACATCGTATCCCGCCGTCCACTTGTTCTTCCCGCCACCCCCAGCCAACTCCCCCAGACAATAAACTGACCACCCGTCTTTTCTGTCCCTGCACTACATCCGGCGTCTAGTCATGCGACACTTGTTGGATCAAGCATGGCAATTGTGAAGTCGCTGCGCACCGATACAGCGCGCCTGTTCTATGCCCAACCATTGCGTTCCCACGCCGCCTCCCTGCCCTGCGCTGTGAATGTCTGTTCACCTGAGCCTCACCAGCCGTCAAGATGAACAACCCCGAATTCCGCCAAACCCTCCACAATATCTCCCACAACTTCGAATCTGCCAATCAAGCGGCCCAAGAGAACATCTACACCTTCGCCCAACGTTATGTTGACCCCTGCCTCGAAAGCGTCAAATCCTGCATCTACGCGTGCACTGCGCCTTGTTTCCCCAACAGAGACGATAATATCCGACGAAGGAGGGGCCGGTCGCGTGGCAGAGCTGAATACAACTTTGACTTCTACAATGCGTGGGATGACGACGAGGCGATTGGTGACAGTTCCTTGGGCTGGAACAACGATGAGCTGGACAGTTTACTCGCCGGTCATGGTTCGCGATCTCTCCAGCCACGAAAACAAAGGCGGATGAGCTATGGCTCTAGAGGGCGACGGAAATCCTCGGGGCTACAGCAAGATCCGGATCAGGATCCCACCATCATACCAAGCTCGTCATACCTGGGGTTTCTCGAGCGCCTCCCATGGAGAATTGGCTCCAGGAAATTACGGTACAAGCCTTCGGCAGCAGACTTGCAGGAAAATCCAGGCGGTACCCGAGTGCGAGATGCCGAGGTCCAGCCATTAATAGAGGAGGCAGACGAAGACAGTGGTACGTGGCGAAAGAGCCACGGACGTCAGCGAAGCGATACTGCCGCTTCGAGGTCAACCACTAATTCCCTAAGCTCGCGAGGCGACCTGATCATGAGCGACGAGGACGAGGATGCGCAGCCGCTCGACGATGAATTTGCCGTCATGCTCAGTCGACGCAATACTAACCAAGGCTTGGCTGAAGACCAAAGCAGTGGGAAAACAAAGACATCAGGAGGCAAGCGGCCCGGAGTGTCTCGCAATTCGACCCGCACCGTTTCCTCGAAATCGTTAAGAAGTCCCAGTGCCAAAAGTACCCAGAGGTCCGATTCTCAGAAGAATCTGGCGACACTGTCTTCTGACGTCGTCGAGGAGCAACCTGAGCCTCCAAGTCTGATGGATCTTCGGCGGGAAGAAGAGCAAGTGGCGCAAGAGGAAGAGTTGGAAATTAGACAAAAACGCGAGGCCGCACAGCGCTTGGCTCTTCACAGGGGGTTGAGTTCGCCTGACGTTAAAAACATCGCCAATGCCGAACTCAAACCTGACGACATGGACGAGACGAGAGGTCATACGCCTACGAGGCTGGAGGTATCGGAACGAGAACCAGATCCTATATCATCTGTTGGGTCATCATCATCTGCAGATGCACGGGCTCAGGAACAGGGCGAGTCCACGTCGTCAAGTATAGGTAACCCCAATGACGGGAAAGATCCAACTTGATCTGCGACACGAGACAGCCTTGGTCATTCTCACGAAGGCTAGACCACGTAAACTGCTGTTAGATGGCAATGTTCCAAACGAGCAAAGATGCGGATGACAGAATCATGACTTGTCGCCTCATCGACACTGGCTTGAGCTGCAGGAGAACAGTTCTTAGGCCCATGAACAGACGAAATGTCTCCCGATGGCTGTCTTGCTGGCCATTCACGACTTAACGAAGGGGGAGGAGGGCTACAAATGTGTGATGCTTAATATTGTATAGGGCCGAGTTGCTACCACACATGGTCTAGATAGCCGCTGTACTTGTATTGCTGAGAGTAGGTCTATTCTATACACGGTATACGCCTGTTTTGAGTCTTATCGAGAACAAGCGTTGTAGGTGGGGTCCCTTGGGCCTCCCTTGGGTCCCTCACCTCAGCAAAGCCTTATCTTGTGGCTTTGTTCCTAAACCCAGACGATTGGCCGAGGTGACATCCAAATCCCAGCATCGCCACTCATTTCGCGAGCAGGATGCGCTCCTGTTCTCACCGCAGACCACTTGGCTCCCTGTCCTCAAACGGAGTTCCCTTTGAACACGAGATACCAGTACTCCATGCGACTATAGATAACGAGACCGACTCCCTCCATATTCACTTCCATCAAGATGCCCTAGACCTGGAGCCAGGACTCAAGCCGCAGCGTTCCCTTCATTCCGACCCAGGCCCGCCGGCTCTCTCGCGCTGAACGGATGGATGAGCAGTGACAAGATGGAGGACAAAAAGACATGGAGTCCTGAGTCGTCGTCAAACCCTTCGGCCTATGAGGGCGACATGGGTGGTGTGCGGCGCAAACTCTCACACCGGCTCGCCGAGTCCTTCAGGCGAGATCCCAATGCCAGTGTCACGCGGTCTGCCTCCTTCAGTGCTGCCGATGGGAAGGGCTATGACGCTGAAGCGGCCGCTCAGGCAACGGCACTGTCACCCTTGCTGAGGCGGCTGAAGGGACGCCATCTACAAATGATCGCAATAGGCGGGAGTATCGGCACAGGTCTTTTCGTGGGCAGTGGGAGAGCGCTGGCTTATGGCGGGCCGGCCTCATTATTGTTATCGTTTGCTTTGACGGGATGCATGTTATATTGCACTGTACAGGCACTGGGAGAACTGTAAGGTCTTCCCACTGACTCCCATGAGTTCCCGATGCTGACAATTCATCCCCCACAGTGCGGTGCTGTTCCCCGTCGCTGGTTCATTCGCTTCGTACTCGACGAGATTTCTGGTAAGAAAGAGGGATCCTCCTTCCACTGCATCTTACAGCCCATGTTCGGAGAACTGACGCCTCCCTCCTTTTTCCCAGGACCCGGCCTGGGGTTTCGCCATGGGCTGGAACTATGCCCTCAACTGGTTGACGGTGTTACCCCTGGAGATTGTGAGCGCCTCAATTACCGTGGATTACTGGGTATGGGTCATGCCGGGCGGCGATCGATATTTGGTTGACGGAGACGAGCAGGTTCAAAATGTTTCTCTTAACGCCGCCTGGGTCACAATATTTCTGGTGCTGATTGTTCTGATCAACTTCTTTGGTGTGAAAGGATACGGGGAAGCAGAATTTGTCTTTGCCATCGTCAAGGTTACAGCTGTGATTGGATACATGTGAGCTGCTATTCCATCTCTACTTCACGCATAACAGGGTGGGGAACACAGCTGACTTCCTGCTGCCCAAAAAAAGTATTCTGGGAATTCTTATCAATGTCATGGGCGGCATCGACAGCCATGGAAGACCCGATGCCAGCTACATGGGCTTCCGCCTGTGGCACCATCCAGGAGCATTCCACAACGGCTTCAAGGGCCTGTGCAGCACTTTTGTAACAGCAGCATTTGCTTTCGCGGGAACCGAGCTGGTCGGTTTAGCTGCCGCAGAGACCGAAAACCCAAGGAAAGCGTTACCTACTGCTATCAAACAGGTGAGTCTAGTCTCCTTGGTGGGTGGGAGTGTATCCGTGAGAATAGGTATCTGACTTGAAGACCAACAGGTATTCTGGCGCGTGACGCTCTTCTATGTTGTCAGCTTGCTTCTCGTAGGCACGCTCGTACCATACACGGATCCTCGTCTGCTCAATGGGAAAAACAGCGCCGATGCAAAGTCAGTTAACAGATCCTGTGGCCCCCCTTAACGCTCCTGCACTGGCCTCTCTTTTCCTAACCTTAAGCTGCAGGGCATCCCCATTCGTCATTTCGATCCAAAACGCCGGCATCGAAGTCCTCCCGTCCGTGATGAACGTCGTCATCATGGTCTCGGTCCTCTCGGTCGGCAATTCCTCCATCTACGGCTCCTCGCGCACCCTCGCCGCGTTGGCCGAACAATGTCAAGCCCCCGCCTTTCTGGCGTATATCGACCGCAAAGGCCGTCCCCTTTACGCCATCATCGTCGCCTCGGTGCTCGGCCTCCTGGCCTACCTGGCCGCGACGCAAAAACAGCAAGACGCATTCAACTGGATGCTCGCGCTGTCGGGCCTTTCGTCCATTTTCACATGGTCCTCCATCTGCCTGGCCCACATCCGCTTCCGGCACGCCTGGACCCTCCAAGGCCACTCCCTCGACGAACTCGCATTCCGCTCCCCCGTAGGCATCGTGGGCTCCTGGGTCGGCCTCACGTTCAACATGCTCGTGTTGATCGCGCAGTTCTGGACCGGTTTCGCTCCCGTGGGATACCAGCAAATGTCCGTTAGTGACAGGGTGGTCAACTTTTTTCAGGCATACCTGGCCTTCCCCGTCGTCGCGCTCATGTATATCGGATACAAGATCTACATGAAGACGAAGATCCTGAGGGCAAGGGATATGGACTTGTTCACGGGCAAGAGGGAATTTAATGTCCGCTCGCTGGTGCAGGAGGAGAGAGCGGATCGGAAGAGATGGCCCCGGTGGAAGAAACTGTACAAGTTTCTCTGCTGAGATTCCCTTTTTTCTTCCCCCCCTCGTTGGATTCGGGATGGTAATTTGCTTAGGTGAACTTTTGCTCGATATGTTTCGGATATGATATGCCTCTCTGCGTTCGGGATCTAAACTGAGGGTCTTTTATGAGGATATGTTGTGTACATATATTCATGTCACCTCCAGCGAGCGCGTTTGTGTTCGGGAGAGGAAAAAAAAATAAGACTAAAAGACAAAGTTTCATACACCGTGTCAAGATTCTGTTACAAGTAGCCTGGAGTAGCTCGCAAGCCGGCTGTTGAAGAGAGAAAAAATTGCTTAATCGAGTATTATTCTGTACTTCCGTCCTTTAGGATCATCTGGCTTAACGCTGTACAGCAGCAGTAGCATACATAGCGTGTATTCAACGATTCATTAGCCCGCTTTCCTTCCCTAGGGAGTCTCCCGCTCTTCTGTACGCTTGTGTTTACTTGTGTAGGCTCCGCCTTACCTGGACAGCCGCGAGCCTCTGATGGCCGCAATGGCGCTCCTGCGATGCGGGCTCTCGGCGAAGAGCGCCTTGATCAGATCGACCACTTCGTCGGCACTGAACTCCAGGCTCAGCTCGCCCTCGGTCCACAGGTACTTGATGTCGACGAGCGAGCTCTCCAGGATGTTGATCAGGTACTGGAAACGCAGCCAGTTGGAGACGTACACGGCCACCATGGGGATAGGGTCTTGAGGCTGCTCGGGATCTCCGGCCGGAGGGGTCGAGAGGAAGAGGTCTTCTAGACTGGCGATCTGTTGGCAGAAGGCCGTGAGTCTCCGGGACTCGGGTTCGGAGATGTCGTCCATCTCTTCAATCGAGGAGATCACTTTGGTGATGACCATGGTGACCAGCGAGCCGATGCTTTGCATCAACGCCGATGTCGAGAGGATGGGTTTCCAGTCCGTGTGCAGCGTGCGGATGCGATCGACGACTGAAGAGACGGCGTTCTCGATCTCCTGGGAGTAGGGGAACTGGGTGCACAGCGTGAACCCTTGGGCTCCTTCCAGCAAGTCCCAAACGATAATTCGCTGGGTCTCCATCTCTTTCGAGTATGCCATTTTGGCGAATTTCTCCATGGCTTTGATGTCGGCGTCGATGTGCGGCATCCCCGCTGGGATGGTCATGTCACGAAGTCGCTCGGCAATGTAGAGGGAGTCGTTGTAGCGGTGGATGTCGGTTAGAGACGAGGACGCACCATAATAACTGGGTGCCGTCGCGCGGAACATAGCCAGAGCCAGTGTCGGCAGGGCCAGGAGTCCTTTTGATGCTGTTGCAGGTTCAAGATTCTTGTGTTTGGTCTCTTCGATAGCTTGAGCATCCGAGAAATCCCTGCCTATGATTTCAACGAGATGGTCCGGAATCTCGCTGATGCTGTAGACTTCAGTCAAGGTGACCTCATGCTCGGTCTCCCGGGGCCCTCGTGCACCATTCGTCTCGGTGGGAGCGTCCTTGACTGCCTGCTCCGATCTCTTCTCTTGATTCTCATCATCCCAGCCCCAGGCCTCTCCTGCATCATCCTCGTCATGAGATGCGGCGTGGCCATTCTGTTTGTCTTCTTTCTCTGCGCTGTTTTCTTCCTCGTCAAACCCCCAACCACTCGTGTCTTCGTCCTCTGTACCGTCGCCTTCCGTTGGAGCTTCTCCTGTCGATGATTTGTCCTTGATATCTTCGTCCCAGCTAGTGTCCCAGTCATTGGATTCATTGTCGCCAGCTTTGGGCTCTTCTGTGGCTGTCGACATGACCTGTTTTTCCACTCTCTCGACCTGTCTGAGATGACCCTTTGCAGAAGCAAATGCTTTCCGCACGGCGTCCAGTGTAGCTGCCTTGCGCTTGTTCAACCAAGTACGCTGAATGTCATCCATCCAGTCTTGAAGCTGGGCTTGCCCAGTCCACTGTAATGATTTCAATTTGTCCAGAATTACAGTCACCCTTTGTTGCAGCTTATCGAGACCATCCAGCATGGCGAGGTCTATTGGTAGCTCGGGGACCAGCCAGTCCGACACCAGAACACTCATCAGGTCCGGAAGGATGGCGGTAACTGCAGCACCCTGTATCATCTTCGGCAGAGAAGTTTGCAGAAAGTTTATAATATCAAGGACAAAATCAAGGACCAAGTCTATGGACGGCAGAGTTGTGCTTAACTCGATGTTCAAGGAATGTTGCTCCACCTGGTATGTCGAGAGCTTCGATCGGGCAGTGCGTCGAAGGGGCTGGACCAGCACTGTCCGAAGCCTGTCCGTCAAAGGTTCGACAGAACCTTGCGCATCACCCAGGTCGGTAAGAGCTTGAAGTATGGCATCAAAATTGAATGTGTTGGACCCAGGCTCATTGGGGAGAATCTCAAGGTTTGCTCTCCGCGGCTCTCTCCGAATGAGAATCTGAGCATTCAGCTTTGTTTCCAGCTGTAGCCGAGTCTTGAGGCGTAATTCGTCTTTTAGATCTCGAACAATATTCGTTGTCCTGGACCTGAATTTGCTTGCAGGGCTTTTATCCAGCTCCTGCAACTTTGAGGCAGCTCCACACGGGTCATCCTTGGCCAAACACTCCTCGACTTCTCTCAATGCCTTCGTCTTCAGTGATACATCCTCCAGCTCTTGTCTCAGGGTCTCGGTGAAGTCGATCTCCGTGTCGAGAAGTTCGACTTTGCGTTGATAGTCTGTTGCCTGGTCTCTCAAAGCTTGCAGTTGTTGGTGCTCCTCCACAATGCGTTTGGACTCGAGTTTACAGCGGGCGATGTCCTCCTGAACCTTCTTTGCCCGGGAGATCCATTGATCCACCGATCCAGCCTCATCCCTACTCTTTTCTCTGATTTCATCACTAATCTCACGCCGCGTCTGGGATATTTGGGCAAGGAGCGCCGAGATGGTCGAAGAGGACAGATCAGAGGTCAGGAGTTGTTCCGACTGCGGGACACTGCCATGGACGATGGCATCGCACAGGGAGATGGCTGCATCCGATTCATTAGACATGTCTCAGCACGGAATATATTGGTAGCGGAAGCAGTCGCGTAAGTCTGGTGCCGGATCTCAAAGCAAACAGTGACAACAACGTCAATCACCTGCGAACAACCGAAGACGATCCCCGTTGCCCATTTTGGTCTCTATGCCCCGCCGGAAATTTTTCCACTCCGCAAAATATTGCGGAGTAAAATTGTTTCTTTCGCTTCCCATATTTCACGAAACGTCTTTCTGAGCGCCTCGTTATCAGCAGCCAGATACGCATCGCCCTTCCCTGAGCAGGAAGATAAGCGAATCGACCATGGCTGAATTGCCGGGTTCAGGCGGTGCTGGTGCCGCGCAAAGTCAAGCGCAGGTACGGGTGAGGCTAACCACGCGAGACACAGAGCTCGCTGTCGAGGACCTCGCTCCCATTCTCGTTCCTACCTCTTTCCGCCGTCTGACACTCTCTACCCTCGTCAACAGCCTCCTTGAAACCGAGAAGACGATCCCTTTGGAATTCATCATCAACGGCACATATCTTCGTACTACGCTAGACGAGTACCTCACGAGCAACGGTATCTCTTCAGAGACAACCCTCTCAATCGAATACGTCCGTGCACGCATTCCGCCTCAATATGTGGCATCATTTGAACACGATGATTGGGTCAGCGACGTTGACGTCTTGTCGACCACCTCTCCAAGAATTCTCTCCGCTAGCTACGATGGCCTGTTAAGAGTATGGAATTCTTCCTCCCAGATTCTCGCGACGTCTCCAGGCGTCGCGAGAGGTGGACATGGGTCTTTCATCAAGTCTGCAAAGTTCATATCTCCAACTCAAGCAGTCTCAGGGGGGTTTGACCGCACTTTAAGATTGTGGAAATACTCGGAGGATCAGGACGGGTTTTCAGCCAACCTCTCGCCTCAAATCGAGCTCTATGGGCACAAATCCTCGGTAGATTCAGTGTGCCCCCATGCTGCCTCCTCCCGAATACTATCTGCCTCCTCCGACCACTCTGTTGGGCTGTGGTCCACGAGAAAATCAGACGCACCCGCCGCACCCGAGGCTCTGGTCCCGAAGACAAGGACCAAGGATGGCAAGAGGAGGAAACTGAACAGCGAGGTGTCGGTGTCACAGCGGGGGCCCCTCGCGCTGATGCAGCAGCACACAGGACCAGTCTCTGGGGCCATGTTCGATCTCCACGATCCCACGGTGGGCTATTCGACATCTTGGGACCAAACCGTGCGCACCTGGGATTTAGTCACCGCTTCGCTGGTTGACACTCGAACCACCTCAAGCGCATTGCTCTGCATTGACCATATGCCCTCCCTTCATCTCATCGCAGCAGGCTCCGTCAGCCGCGTGGTCAAGCTGGTGGATCCACGGACTTCCGCCGCAACAGTCACGGCCATAACCTTAAAGGGTCATAAGAATTCAGTCGTCAGCCTAGCCCCAGATCCTACCAACGACTACACCATTGTCAGTGGCAGCCATGATGGAACTTGTAGGGTTTGGGATGTCCGAAGCACCAAGCAGGAAAAGGAGGGTGCTGTCGGGCAAAGTCTCTATACCTTGCCAAGAGCGAGCCTCAATGGTGCTGCCAGTCCTGCGTCGGGCGATGGTGTCAAAGTTTTCGGAGTGTGTTGGCACAGCGAGGTTGGCATCCTCAGCGCAGGTGAAGACAAAGCTGTACAGATCAACCGTAGTGACAGCCAGACTTGAGGGTGTGCTCCAGGGACAATCTCCCCGCCACGAGTGACAGGAGAAGGGTCACCATCAGTCACACCCTTGATTTGACATGAGCAGAGCTCTCAGTTTGGCCACGGAGAGGTTGACCCGTCAACATGTCAATTCTTTTTGCGGAGGTGGTCAAGCTACGCAAGCCACATGCGGACAGACCAGGATGCTGTTTCGAAATTGGCTCACCTGGCTCAAGCTACACCCCGTCTTGTTCGGCAAGACCATGACCTTTTCCTCTTTGTGCATATTATCCGAGAACAAGGTTTCTCCTCAATGCGGGCAGTGGACGCAATGCGGTGAAAGAGCACAATGCAGAAGAGGCTGGCGCTAAGAGACGCCGAAAGACGCAAGTACCTCAGGAACCTAGCGGACTTCGAGAAGCGGACAAGGTTAGCACAGCAGGCCACGACTGGGGACTTACGTATACTATGGGAAATGACCGGGCGGTCAAGATGGACTCCAGCGTCAGGCATTGGCTGTAGCTGGGGAAAGAAGCAACACGTGCATGTCGAAGATCTCGGAGAGGCGGAGATGAAGAGGCCGAAAAGCGTACAAAAGTGGCAGGTCAACGTGGTGTTGCATGCAGCAACATGAGGCTAGAGGTCTAGCCACATCACAAGAGATCCGGAGTGTGAGGAATTCGATAGACTGAGTTTAGCGGGAGAGGCCGCCGATCACAGACTCCGAGTGACAGTCACAAGCAATGTGGATGGAGATGGAGGAGGCGAGGAGACGGCGGTGCTATTACCTAGTGAAAAAGGAAAAAAGGAGTAGGGGGGTACCGAGTCGACAGAGAGTACTAAGTAAGGGGAGAGGAAGCTGGCAGCATCATCAATCAATCAATCAATCAATCAACGAACCAGTCATTCGATAAATCAACTCCAATACAATATCATTTCAATAATACTCGTACCGACTTAGCCTTGGGAGGATGAGTGGGCTATGCGAGCACAAGTTAGGTCAACTGGAGCCTTTTTATTTAAGCTTGCCTTGGTTGCGATGATTATTATTGGGGTGGTTTTGGACGAGAGTGGTACCAGTGGAGAGAGATGGACACCTAAAAATTTCATGGGCCGGCCGGTGAGCACGCTGCCCAAGTGTCCGATGGTCCCAAAAAGACGAAATACCAAATATACGGGGGCTGGCCCATCCCAGGGTCTTCCTGGCCCTACCATCCCCCGTCGTGTCTTACTGGCCTCACCTTTTTCGAGGCTGGTGGGCTTGGGGCCTTGGGTCACCACCCCTGGGTACCTGAACCACTCTTGTTACTAGGTTAGGTATTCGTAGGTGCCTGGTAAGCTAGTAGCAATAGGTACCTAGTAGGTAGTAGCCTGGACCGCTGTCCCTCGCTCCCAGATGGCTAGGTGCCTCCAGCCCGCTAAATGCCATTCATCCATCCACGCCCACTCCCCAACTCGCTACCTGCTGCGGTATGTATGACCACCTGCGCGTGAACCTGCATCTGCAGTGACCAACCTGCAACCTGCAACCTGCGCCTGCACCAAACTGATCGCTCGCTTGTTGTCTGTCCATGATTCAATCCTGTTCACATTTCTTCACTCTCCTTCACGTCAGTACGCCATCAGCATCCTTCGCACCAGCTCATTTCCTCCGGTTTTGGGATATCTCAATCGCGGTTTCTGTCGCTCCTCTCTGTCCACATTTCGCTTGACGATTGCCGTCTCAGGTCCCCCCGGGGTTGCCCTACAACCACGACCACCACCCCCCTGCGGGCATTCTCTCGCTAATACAAGTACCAAAATAAATCTATCAACTCAACCATCTGACATAAACGCTTGGTCCAGCCACATCCATCATTTTCCCCGTGACGGCACATCAGTCCAGACTTTTTGCAGCGATTAGTTTTATCACCGTCTGCTGACGAGAGAAGTTTGGGGGAAGTCCAAAAACAAAACATTGTTGTAGGGCATCCGTTAATACTATCCTTCGAGGCCACCCGGCATTGGATGCTGACCACAATCTGTATGCAGGCTACCGTTCACTGTCCAACTGCTTTCCATGGTTTCGTCTCTAGTCTTGCACAGCTAAACCTCTTTTCCTCTTGTTTGCGGACCGAACAACTCGAACCATCCTGTCAGACACCTTATCCTTGAATAGTTCCCATTCGGGTACCGTCGCGTTCCGCCGAAGCCACCTTCATGCCAATCAAGCTGCCCAAGGGATTTCAACGACGGAAATCTTCAGGCCATGCCTTGGACGAGGTGCGCAACCCTCCCGGCGAAGTTTCCTCCTTCCGAGTTCTGGAGAGGCCAGCAAGCAAAGGAAAATCGTTCGATGGCGGCAGACATTTGAAGATGGCATCTGTGGGCGGAGGAGGACTACTGCCGCCGCCAAAAGATCAGTATGACCATGAGGAGGTGGATTTATTTGCGGTGGGCCGCCCTGATGCAAGCAACCGGTACGCGGAGAACACAATCCAGCTCGATCATATGAGTGGCACGGCACTGACAAGACTGTCTAGGGGAAGTGGTGGCACTGAACGTTCCCACTCGACAGCCCCTAATGATAGTGCGGCATCCTCTGCCCGTCTCAGTACTTCGTCGACGAATCCCTCTTCCATTGATACAAGATCGGACAAAAACGTCCAAGGAGGCGCTGGATCAAGACCTATTAACGACATTCCCGCGCCGCCGCCCGCTTCGACAAGGCCTGGCTTCCTGCGCAGCCCAGCCAGAACGTTTTCCTTTGGCGTCGTGAAAGGCAGTCGAGGATCACCCACCTCACCAGTCGGTGCTTTACCCCCACTGATGGACACTACCAGAAACAGGGCCGTCACGTCAAGCACCGCAAGCACGGCCACGCCTCCCAGACTCTTTGATACCGATCTCTCACTGGAGAGTTCCGAATTGGATGAGTTCGGAAACATGTTTGACCATATCGGGTCTAGTTCCGACGCGGTCCCGAGCCGGCTTATACACCAAGAGGTAAGAGAAAGCTCCGCGACTTCTCACAATATTTCATGCTGATGTTTCAAAGGCTTCGAACTCTTCTCCTCCTACACAGTATCCTCCGACCTCTTATCCAGGCGCTAGTCCCCTCCGTGTCAACCGAGCTCCTCCTCCAAAGCCCATCTCTACCGATCGCTCGCAAGTCGTCGAATCCTCTCCCTATTCATGGGCTTCTCACGATTCCAATGATCACTTGATGCGGTCTCCAAGTCCGTCCAAGACAATCACTCAAGGAAGTCCCCTAAAGGCCGGGGAGGCTATCTCACGCCCAGGAAGGTACGGGTCGATGTCAGAATCTACAATCTCTGCAAGAGGCCCCGGAGGCCCACCATCTCTTACCAAAGAGGACGAACTCCAGCCCTCTCCGATAATGCACACCAGGTCTGCGGACAGCAGTATACCCTTGGCAAACTCTGCTAGGGACGGCCCTGGAGGGTTTTCTCCGAGCTCGACACACAGCGCCACGTTTGACCCCATTATTGCTGCGGATGCCCAGCTTGCCAACATGTATCAGGAGAGCAAGCCGGCACCAGTTAAGCCGGTTGCCACGAATAAAGTCATGACGCCCGCTCAGTGGGAACGATATAAGGAACAAAAGGAGATGGACCGACGGCTTGGTGCTTTATCTGATGACAGTGGTTCCGAGGCGAGCGATAATTCCGGAGACGACGACGATGATGAGATTGAACGTGGTCGGCAGGCAGCAAAGCAACGTCGGAAGCAAGAAGCCCACCTCGCTGTGTACCGGCAACAGATGATGAAGGTAACGGGCGAAACACCACCCAGTCGGTCAATGAGCAGTCTGGGTGTTCTTCGCACGGGCGACAATAGCTCATCAACGGATCTCAATAATCGCTTATCACGAATGACCATGGACTCTAAGCAGTCTGGTAAGAGTAGCGGAGAAGAGGAGGAAGAAGATGAGGATGTACCTCTTGGAATTCTTGCGGCACATGGGTTCCCGAACAAGAACAGGCCGCCTACACGCCTTGCCAATTCCCCTTCGAACTCCAACTTGCGAAGTGTCAGCCAGAACCAGGGGTCTCCGTCTGTGATCAGCCAAGCTCCTAAAGGTGGTAACTTGCCCGTCTTTGCTCGACAACTGCCTCCCGACCCCTACTATGGAGCCAGCATTGTCAACCCTTCAAATCGTGAAGCTCTGGCTCTTCACCCTACCGCTCCTCCACAAGGAGCTGGTCCTGCAACAGCCCATCCCATCCACCCTGCAGGACTTGTCGGCGTTATTGCTGGAGAAGAACGCGCCAGAGCTGCCCGACGGGGTAGTCCAAACCCGGCTGGCAACTACGAGTTGCCTCCCTTGGGCCCCCATCCTGGGATGGTGCGATCGCAGACCACTGGGACTCTGTCCTCAATGGCATATCCGCCTATGGGAGTGCCAGGGATGCCAGGAATGCCTGGTATGCCTGGGATGGGCCCGATGCTAAGTCCCGGGGACCAAGCGCAGATCCAAATGTCCCAGCAGATGACGCAAATGATGCAGATGCAGATGCAATGGATGCAGCAAATGTCGAACATGATGGCTGGGCCGATGAATGCGCCGCAAAACTTACCTCCTCCAGGTCCACAGAACCCTGCATTTGGAAGACCTCAGTCACTGGCGATGCAGAATCCCCCGACACTCCAAGCCAATCAGCGGACCATGAGTACTCTCAACCCAAGCATGGCTCCTTGGAATAGCCAACCACCGCAATTGCCGTCCATCAATGTCAATGGGAACTATGCACCGTCCATCGCACCCTCTGAGCGTAGCAACATCGGCCTGGCTTCGAGATACAGGCCTGTCTCGACCGCTGCGGAGCCAGACGTGATGTCTACTCATCATCGAGCGTCGACGTTTACATCGACCACTATGCGACCTTGGTCGTCAATGGACCAAGCACGCCGATCGTCCACGCACGCCACTAAGCCTTCCGTGAACACACTCGGCCGCCGATCCCCGTTGGCAACCCAGGACGATGAGGACGACGAGCAAGGTTGGGCCGAGATGAAGATGAAGAAAGATAAGAAGCAAAAGACTTGGGCACTCCGAAAAGGGCAGAATCCGCTCTCGGAGTTATACGCCAACGCCTCGTAATGAACCCGCATTCATCATTTTCAATGTCCAACAGAGGCGTTCATACAAAATGATGGGGGCGACTGCAATGTTTGGGAAAACGGAGACGGAAAGCATATCACAGCATTTTGGCGAGATTTAAGAAAAAGTTATTTTGGGTAATGGTATACAGGGTGAGAGTAAATGAGCTCCACGTTGGATGTATAGAGAGGGCGAGGTGGAACTTCCAGAGACATATTATACGCAAGACCTGCATATTTGTAAAATAATCACAACCTCAACTGTCCTGAAAAGCGTCTGTTTGTGGATGCCACCTGTCGTGTGAGTCTATGCTCAACACCAACGATATGATGGTCAACTATGATGGTCAACTCGAAGCCACCCAGTGGACAAGCTAGCCTAGCCCTGTTCCAGTGTAGCGTGGCCCTTGCCAGCCACAGTGGAAAACTTCCAGGTTCCCAGCGTCTAGATCCTGGATGTAATCGTACCTCATGCCAGGCACGGTTGTCGAAGAGATCAAGGGGGTCAAGACGCGCATCGTGCAGCACCGAAATATCGAGAGACTGGGTCCCTTTGAACCTATCCCCAGCAAAGCGCGGGAGACAAGTCAAAATGTCGAATCGCTTGTCGGAGAATCGCCCGAGGGTCTTGGTGCAGAGCTGCAAAGTCCTCATTTCGATGGCGCGAAGCGAACGACAATTCTCATTGAATCACCATCTCATATTTCGACTGCGTCAGGAGGACATGCTACCGGCGCCTTTGCATTGTGGCATTGTTGTACCTTCAATTCCAACCAATGATGCCTCTTCCTAGGACTTGGCCTTGCTCGTTTGCGACATCGACCTCCCTGCCAACGATGCCTCGCTCGTCGACCGTCAGGTCAAAATCTCGACGATCAAGCCCATGAGTGTGGTTGGAATCACGAGAATCGGGGCTGACAACAGTAGGACCTGCCCCGGCTATCAACGCAAAGCGTACAAAGACAGGATTGGAAGATCTCTGAACGGGCGCCGATTGGAAGTGCTCATTTGCGTACGTCCTGGCGAGACGTTAGCTACAGCTGGCAGGTGGAGGCAGCATCTCAGCACAAACCGCATGAGCCGAGGACAGGATGGAGTGCCTTACCAAACAGTCACATTGACCTTCTGGCCGTGGAACTTTTTGGCATGGCTAGGTTCCTCGCACCTTAGCTCTCCCAGTATCTCACTTTGACGCGATTTACTGAGCAACAAACGGCACCAGCATGTGTTTCTACCAGTTTGGATACGATTGTCGTCGCAGGTACGGTGCAGAATGGCGACAAGGTCTCCCGCAGGGGCATGCCGGGGTTTAGTCTGGTAACACATGGCTTCGCTATATTTGACCGGGTCAGATCAACTCTTGTAAAGGTTTGATCCCAACGCAAGCCCAGCACATTCATGGAGCGATCGCTTTTTGGAGCCTTGCTTATGATCTGGTGTCTGTTTCCTTTTTTGAGCGATTCACGGATTTTAAGGTCCTCAGTGGACTAGACGCACCTGTGTGCCGAAACCTGCTCAGATTGGTTCCACCAGCAGGTGAGCAAATTCATACCAGCTGCATTGGGATAAAAATCCTGGCTGCATGATGCCATTGGCAACAAGGGTATTATCTGCTCGTTTATAAGGATCAAAGTACCTGGCCTTCCACTTTCTCCTTCCCTCGCACTTTCGAGTTTCCACGTTGGCTAAGCCCGAAATCTCCTAAGAACATCCGGTCAGAACGCCGCTAAGAAGTAGAGAGTCTAGCTATCACAGCCTTGTTTGAGCAGGATGCCTGTGACTTACGAGCTACCTCAACTTCCGTACAGCCTCGATGTAAGTGCTCGGCAGCTGTAGCCGCTTCGCACCCGGCTACCTCGACCGATGCCATTTTCGGTCCGCAACGGTGCGCTGACCTGACCTTCTCTCCCATAGGCGCTCGAGCCTTCGATATCAGGGCAAATAATGGATCTCCATTACAACAGGCACCACAGAACCTACATCACCAACTTGAATGCAGCCCTGGGTGCACAAGCGGAAGCCGCCTCTTCCAACAACCTGGTGAAACAACTCGAGCTCCAAGCCGCCATCAACTTCAATGCTGGCGGACACATCAACCACACCCTCTTCTGGGAGTCACTTGCCCCCGCTTCGAGTGGGCTCAACAACCTCCCCGCCGTAGCTCCTACCCTCAGCGACGCCATCACAAAGCGGTGGGGTAGCTTGGACGCCTTCAAGGCAGCCTTCGAGTCCTCTGCTTTGGCAATACAAGGCTCTGGCTGGCAATGGCTGGTCCAGGATCCGCAAACCAAAGCTCTGGAGTTGACGACGAGCAAGGATCAGGATTTGCCCAAGGGAGGAAAGGGGATTGTGCTGGGCGTCGACATGTGGGAGCATGCGTACTACCTGCAGTATTTCAACAACAAGAAGGAATACCTCAACAAGATCTGGGATGTGACAAACTGGCAGGTTGCCGAAAAGAGATACAAGGGCGATCCAAGAGCCGCCTTTGGATCATTGGCAGGATTGGCGGGACATTTGTAGTGCTAGCAACACCTAAGGTGACGAAGTCGACCACTCCAAGGTTGTAGTTCGTAGGAGCCATAGGCCACATGTTGATATCTCAAATAGGATTGTCGACGACGACTGGCCAAACCTTCGGATAGTACAGGTCGCTATCTAACCACCAGTGAGCACGCTTCGGCATTAGTTGATGAGACTCCGTTCGGGACATCCATGGTCACCGTCCCAGCCACTTTCGCTAGCGCTCTGTCCACCAAAGCAACTCGGACGGTTTCGAAATGTCTCCGCTTCGAAAGTCTCCGGTACTATACCAAACTGTCAACATCGGCAGGAAGAATACATCTTTGACACGCTCGAATATGCTGCAGTATGCGCTTTTCTGAGCCTGCCTGGTAAAGTCCATATCGTTAACGCGTATTGGTGTTCGCGGCGACATTTATGGTCCTCAATTTTTACCTACTTGACAAAACTCTGCGAGGGGCTCCGTTCCTTCATGGCTCAGCATGATGGCAATCACCATATATATCTTTGAACCTCCGCCTCCATGTGAGTCGACTGTATGCCGGCGTCAAGTAAAATTCAACGGAATCAGGCACACTCCCAGCTAAGTCCTGAAACTTGCTCTTATCTCGCACCAGCCTTCCACAAGGAAAGAAAATGAGTGATATCACAGCTCGTAACCGCGAGCATTTCGAGTATGGTTGTCTCTTGCTGGACTTATCGAACCGTGGGAAGTTTGGCTAAGTCTCGGTTTTTCCAGTCAGGTTGCTTCCAGTCACCTGAACGACTGGGAACCTCTCATACAGAGCGTCATTGAGGAGTTGAGGGACAGGAGATCATGGATCAGTGGCAAGCTGGGCGACGACAAGGCTTCGAAGAATGATACGGGGCCAATCAAGCTACTGGACTACGCCTGTGGCTCTGGGACAGTCTCCAAGGCACGTATTCCATCTCCAGTCAAGACAGAGGGAACAGACATGGCTGATAGAACCCGGCTTGAGGCAACAGGCCCTAGCTCCCTATGTCGACGAAACAGTAGGCGTCGACTTGTCCGACAACATGGTCGCCGAGTACAACAAATGGGCTCAAGGACAAGGGTTTTCTTATGCCAAAGCCCACGCACTCCAGTTGGATCTGCTGGCAGAGCCGCAGTCCACGGATCCAGCGCTCTCCGACTTCGACGTTGCAGTCGTCTGCATGGCACTCCACCACGTCGCCAACCCGGAAGCACTTCTGTGTAGACTATCCAAGACGTTGCGACCGGGAGGGGTGTGTGTGGTCTTTGACAGGGTCTTTTCAGACGAGAGGCCTGAGTTGCGCGCAGACTTGCCCGAGCAAGCGACCAAAGTCCTGCAAACCATCTCCAAGCACGGGTTCACAGAAGAGGATATGCGTAAGTACTTCGAAGGCGCCGGCATGGCCAAGAACTTTGAGCATGCAGTCATTGCACGGCCGTTCAAGTTGACCATGTTTGGCCAGGAGATGGAGCTGAAAGGCTTCATAGCGCGAGGGGAGGTTGCTTGAGCTCGTGAAGTGTTGTGAGTGGTTTGCGGGAGCATTTTCCCACAGTGCCCTCTGTCCCTGATGCGGGGGGCTAGCGTTAGCAACAATAGGAATCTAGGCACTTTCCGACTACAACTTTCAATTCCTCATCCAGCGTCTTTTCTGTCTCTCCCGCAAGCAAGTATAGTAGATAAATTCAGTCGAAGAAGGGAAGAGGATACATAACTCTGCCAGACTGCAATTTATATCTGAATATGGCTTGGCGTCATATGCCAAGGCTCGAGTCTTCTACGACCAAAGAGGGAAAAGGGTGACGAGACAAAAACTGCTGACTCCCACCAGACACTGTGAGTCCCCCGTTCGCCTGGCCTTTTTGTCCGTTAGTCCCTTTAGCGAGGCCGTCCAAACTCAAATCAAGCGAATGTTAGACGAAACACGAGGGTCGTTTGCTGCCTTCACCGTCAAACCCATCATATATTCATTGGACTGGCTTCATCGACTTCGCGGGTTGTGCTCCCTCGTTTTCATTAGTTTCTAGCACTCACCGTCCAGTCGAACATTGCACAGTGGATTGATCAAGAGAGACACGAGGAACAAACAGCACAGCGAACGGCCGGTGAGTTGATGATAAGCGAGGGACTGTTATTGTTGATTCGAAGCCTGGTTCTTTGCCAGCCTCGCTGACCGCTCTGCTTGAGACAATGTCTGGTGCCTAAGGGTTACTTGGAGTCCATGCGCGCGAAGCTTACCATCTTTCTCACCTCCCTACTTGTTTGTCTTCTGGCGATTTGGTTTCCGATCACGCTCGACTACGTCTTCTCGCTGCTGCTCAACGGCAGAGACCACGAGGCTAATTTGACGTGGGGATTTCAGCAGCACATCTCACATCTTCTGGATCAGGCCCTCATCAAGATCCCCTCGTCCGCTAGCATGGTCTCAATCAGGGCAAAGCCCCGCTTTCGACAACGCCAAAAAATCGACCCGGATTACTGCCCTTGCACCATCACCCAGTATGAGTCGGAGCGCACTGGAATGCGAGTCATTGTGGTGGACCAGGAAGGCCCCAAGTTGCATGGCTTCTTCGTCCTCGCCACCGAGATCCACGATGACTCGGGGGCACCCCATACGTTAGAGCATCTGTGCTTCATGGGTTCCAAGAACTACAAGTACAAAGGCTTCTTGGACAAACTCGCCACACGCGCATATGCAGGTACCAACGCGTGGACAGCGACTGATCACACCGCATACACACTAGAAACCGCCGGCTGGGCAGGCTTTGCTCAGATTCTACCGGTCTACCTGGAACACGTAATTCTCCCAACGTTGACAGATGCAGGTTGTACGACAGAAGTGCATCACATTGATGGAAGTGGCAATGACGCGGGTGTCGTCTACTCGGAGATGCAGGGCGTGCAGAACATGGCGTCGGAACTGATCGAGCTGCAATCCAAGCGGATCCTTTATCCCGAAGGGGTCGGCTATCGCTACGAGACAGGCGGGATGCTGGAACAGCTCCGTGTCCTTACCGCCGACCGCATTCGAGAATTCCACCGAGAGATGTATCAGCCCAAGAATCTCTGTGTTGCTATCTTTGGAGAAGCGAACCATGACGAGTTGCTGGCCATCCTCGACGAATTCGAAACCTCGATCCTACCCGATATCCCAAGTCCAGACGCCCCCTTCAAACGACCGTGGATCGAATCCAACCCGACTCCCGCTTTGAATCAAACGACTCTGTTGAGAGTCGAGTTTCCCGAAGAGGACGAATCTTTCGGTGAGATCGACATCCGGTTTTTGGGCCCCAACTGCGCCGATGCTTTGGAACTAGGGGCCCTTAATGTTGCCCTCAACTACCTTGCGGGCTCTTCGGCCGCACTGCTTGACCATGTCCTCGTGGAAAAGGAGCAGTTGGCAAGCGGGATCTTCTACCAGCTCGACAGCCGCCCGCGAACGGAGATCCAATTTTCCATGTCCAGCGTCGAGACTAAGCGGTTGGAAGAGGTTGAGAAACGCTTCTTTGAGGTGTTGAACGAGGCCATGGGAAAACCTCTGGATATGGTTTTCATGAAGGACTGCATCGACCGTGTGGTGAGAACCAGCAAGTACAATGCCGAGGGATCCGCCACGGCGTTTGCAGATTTCATCATCTCCGACTACTTGTACGGAAAGAGAGATGGGTCGACCTTGGAAGTTGTGAAATCATTGAAACATTATACCGAGACTCTTGCAAGCTGGACGGAAGACCAGTGGAAAGCCTTCATCAGGAAATACGTTTCCGACGCGCCTCATGTGTCGATCCTGGGTGTTCCTTCTGCACGCTTATCAGAGAAGTTAAAGACAGACGAAGCCAATCGAATCGAAGAGCAGAAAGCCAGATTAGGGCCAGAGGGACTGAAGAGAATGCAAGAAAAGTTGGACGCTGCAAAGGCCGAGAACGACCGCGAAATTCCAAGGGATTTGCTAGGGAAATTCAAAGTGCCCTTGACAGATTCGATCCATTTTGTGACAATCGCTGGCGCTCGAGCAGGCCGGGCGTTGGATCTCGGGCGGCGAGATAACAGGTTCCAGAAAATCATTGATGAGGATGCAAAAGATGTGCCACTCTTTCTCAATTTCCAACACATCCCCACCAACTTCACCCGAGTCCACCTGATCATCTCTACCGAGACTCTTCCTGACGACCTGCGACCCCTTCTGGCTGTCTACATGGAAGCCTTTTTCAGCCTCCCAATCAAGCGTGGTGACGAGATTATTGATTTCCAGCAAGTGGTGGTCGAGCTCGAGCGGGATACTGTAGGCTATTCGATTGATGCAGCGAACAATCTGGGCAACGTCGAGGGCATTCGAGTAAGTTTCCAGGTGGAGAGGGAACGGTACGGAGTGGCCGTTAAGTGGTTGATCGAATTACTCTACAACTCCATTTTTGATGTGGAGCGGCTCAAGGCTGTCAACAGTCGTCTTCTTGCAGACGTGCCCGATGCGAAGCGCAGCGGGGATGACATGATGATGACGGTCCACTTTATGACGCATTTGGCTCCCAAGTCAATAACCCGTGCAAGAACTATCTTGGTCAAGGCGCTTTATCTGAAGCGAATCAGGCACTTGCTCAAGGTTGATCCAGAGCGAGTGGTGAGTCAGCTGGAACGACTACGCAGTCTACTTTGTCGCTTCGAAAACTATCGGATCCTGGTCATCACTGATTTGGAAAAGACTCCCAAGCCCGTGAGCACCTGGAAACCCTTCCTGGAGAAGGTGGAACCGACAGACGAGATGAATCCCATCGGCCGCCGCATCGATCGACTCAGCGAAGCTGGCAAGAACCCAGGGAAACTAGCGTACGTCGTTCCCATGCCCACGATCGATTCGTCCTTCGCATTCGCCGTGGCGCGTGGACCGACTTCGTACGACGACTCGCAGCTGCCGGCCATAATGGTCGCCCTGGCATATATGAACGCCGTTGAGGGACCGCTCTGGGTCGCTGTGCGAGGCACCGGATTAGCTTATGGGACCAATATGGGTTTCGACGTCGAATCTGGGTTTATCCACCTAGACGTTTACCGTTCTCCCGACGCGTACAAGGCATTCGAAGCATCCCGAAAGATCGTTTCGGACTACATGACGGGAGCAGTCGACTTCGACCCGCTCATGTTGGAAGGAGCCATCAGCTCCATCGTGGTGATGTTTGCAAATGAGCAAGCAACACTGGCAAGTGCTGCGGCGATGAGTTTTATTCGAAGCGTGATGCAGCGTCTGCCCGACGACCATATGAAACGGATGTTGAAACGAGTGAGAGACGTCAGTGTGCAGGATATCAAGGATGCGCTGGAGAAAGTGGTTTTCAATGTCTTTGTACCTCACAAGGCGGACATTGTGGTGACGTGCGCACCCGGGTTGAAAGAAGTAAGTGTTCTCAATCCTTGCTGTTGAGCTTGTGCTTGGGTCGACTTCCTCCGTGGCCTCCCTCTTCGTGGGGGAGATGTCGACCGTCCATATTTCCTGGGACCAGATGAGCTGACCATATCTATGTGACGACAGGGAATCGCGGGTGGCTTGAAAGACGCGGGTTTTTCTCCCGAGATCCGCGATCTGAACTACTTCCAGGATGACTACGGTTTGAAACGCGTTGATGGCGAGGATGAGGACGAGGAGGAGGAGGAGGAGGAAGAAGAAGATGGGGACGAGGATGATGGTGAGGATGGAGAAGAAGAGGATCAAGGTTCGGACGACATTGGGGGAAGTGAAGGTTACGAGATTATCGAAGCAAATGAAGACTGACACGGGAGGATGGCCCAATTATGCCGGTGTTGCAACTATGTCGGCCGGGACCACCAGATATGATGGCTTCGAAGCGTGAGAGGTTACACTACAGAGATAGAAATGGTCCAGACATTCGACATGCCATATGCCATTCTTGCCCTGGATTTCGATTGGGAAAAAGGGGGGACCCTGAGAGGGTTATCGTCAGTCACGCAGCTCAGGGCAGCAACGGGTAATGACATTGGCAAGATGGTTTGTATGTAAACGGTACCTGACCTAGGTGTTCTCGCGATGCAGATAATCCAAGCCAACGATATCCTAAAGGGAGAGAATTTGTTTGACTTTATCACTAGCGGATGGCATCCATGAGGGAAATTAAGAGAGAGCGAAGTAATTACTTTGCCGGAAGGAAAAAGCGCATCGCACAATCCATCAGATAGAAGGAAGGTTCTTTAGATTACTTTGGGGCGCCTGCCCCCCTTGCTCCGAAGAGACTGAAGGACATCAGGCCTTAGAGGTATGTAGTAAAAGGGTCGGATGGCAATCGGGGGCTTCTCGTCCCAGGCTTTTCGTAGACAAGCACCGTCTATTAATGTATACGACGTATATGTATGTCTAGGGAATACATATATATCTTCCGGTTGGTACATACACAAAGCGCGCCGCCGCACCGACCGACCCCGCAGGAAATTTGTCCGCCATCTCCAACAACATTACCGAAATTCCGGCTATGGGGCATGGTCTTTCCCCCACGAAGAATGCCTCTAGGAGGACATATTTGGTGTCTTCAATACGAACACCGGTCAACAATTCATGCAGGGAGAGGAAGATTGCCAGACAAAAGTCTAGAAGAGGTTGTTTGTATTACCCACCGGCCAACTGGAAGCTTTTGCTACTTGAATAAACTCCTAAGTACCGACGAACCCTTCCTCCGAGTGATATACTATACATCTTTCTTGGGACGGCTTCAACTCGACATCTACAAAATAGATACCTTAATACTTTGAATAAAAGTCCCTTGTGGGCATTGATCAAAGGAAGGGGGGAAATCTACTGTTATCCTAACACCATGTCTCACCCGCCGCCCGAGCGATTCCTGCACGGCAAAGTCGCCATCGTTACCGGCGCCGGGGCCTTTGGGGACGGGATTGGGAACGGACGCGCCGCCGCTCTTCTGCTCGCTCAGGATGGGTGCAGCGTGGTGTGTGTGGACTTGCAGCACGGTCTGGCGCAGAGGACCGTCGAGATGATCCAAGCAGCGGCCGGGACCGGCGCTGGTGTCGCCGTGGCCGCGGACGTGACCAAGGAGGACGACTGCCGGAAGGTCGTGGCACTCGCTGTGGAGAAGTATGGGCGGCTGGACATTCTGGTGAATAATGTCGGTAGGTTGTTCACTCGGAGGTACATTCCTTTGTTATTTTGTGTGTGTGTGTGTGTGTTTTGACTTCCCCTTTTTTTCTCATATGCAGGCATCACGGGCCCCAAGGGGACCGCGACCGAAGTCGACCTGCAAGCCTTTTACAAGGCCATGGAAGTCAACGTCGGCAGCATGATCATGATGGCCAAGTACGCGATTCCCGAGATGCGCAAGAACCAGGGCCAGTGCGCGGGCGCGATCGTCAACCTCGCCAGCGTGGCCGGGCTGCGCGGTGGCCACCCAGCCATCTTCTATCCCACCTCCAAGGGATCCGTCGTCAACATGACCCGTGCGATGGTAGGTTTGGAGAATCCAGACAACAACAGCGTCTACCGCGACATTTGCAAAAGCAGGTAAAATATCGGCTGACAATTGATTACCTATAGGCAACACACCACGGCAAGGACCGCGTCAGAGTGAACTGCGTCTGTCCAGGTGAGTTACATCGCCCATACATAAATAACCAAGCTTGGATTTGCAGTCTGATTGACACGAATGCAAAATCTCCAGGAATGGTCTATACTCCCATGATGTAGTAAGTGGATCCTCTCACCTCTCTGGGGTGACGATCCAAAAGAGTCAAGACCCATCTGACATTGCGCAGTGGCGTTAAGGGCGGCATGTCCGACGCAGAACGCAAGGCACGCGCCTCGCGCAGCATCCTCCGTACAGAGGGGAGCGGGTGGGACGTCGGCGCCGCGGTGCGGTTCCTGGCTTCGGATTGTGCGCGATGGCTCACCGGTGAGAGTTCTATAATATCGGCTCAGATTGAAGGCAACGGCACTGACGGGAACCCCTTACCTACCAGGTGTCATTCTTCCCGTTGACGCTGGCGCCACGGCCGCTGTAGGACTGGGCATTCCAGCTCTTCACGACGCGTTTTTGGGAACTACTGGTGCAAAGCTGTAGGCCACGTCCGTTCTGCGAAATCATGGCCCCGGTGGATCTATATCTGCGGGCTCATCTGGGATATGCTTGGATGGTGGTCATGGGAATGATCTGGGCCTCAGGCAGGAGGCAGTAGGCAGTAGACGCCATGGGTTCTCCAGGGCATGAGAGCATTGGCAGCTGTTTGTGATTGTCTCAGCGAAGAGACGATGGTGAAATGCAGAATACCCGAGATCAATAAATTACACCTATCACCACGGACTAAGCTCGTCCACGTATCCTGAGCCTGATGGATAGGTTAGAGAGCCAAAGGGGGGTCGAAACATTGCTCAGCAACGGGGGACTCGATACATATATATACTATACTACTAACAAACATACATCCACAGCTCCAAAAGAGGCTCAGACTCGAGGTCTATTTCTCCGCCATACCGCTCGTGACGCTGCCCGTGCTGGAAGTCATGGCGCCATCAATCACCAGCTCCTGACCGGTCATGTGGCGCGAGGCGACGTTGCTGGCGAGGAAGAGAATCGCGTTGGCGACATCGGTGCTAGTGCCCATCTCCCCCGTGGGCACCTGAGCGTGGCGTGCCTTGACAAACGCCTCGTAATCGCCGCCGTAGTAGTCTGCGATACGCGCGACCAGGGGCGTGAAGATGAGACCGGGGACGACGACGTTGACGCGCACCCCCTTGTCGGCGTAGAGCACGCCCGTATGCTTGGTGAACATATGCACCCCGGCCTTCGCGGCCGCATAGGCGACTTGTGGCTTCCCGATATACCTCAAGCCGGCGATGCTGCCGATGTTGATGACGGATCCGGATCGCTGGGATTCCATGACGGGTAGTACAAAGTGGCACATCATGTACACGCTCTTCAGATTGACGTTGAACTCCTGGTCCCATACTTCCTCGGGCATATCGGCCGGTCCGCCCCGGTGGGCGCCGCCCACGTTGTTGACGAGGACGTCAATGCGGCCGTGGCGTTGCATCACAGTCCCGACAAACGCCTCCACCGACGACGCCTTGGTCGCGTCCGCCACCGTCACGTCCACCACTGCGTCGGGGACGTGCTTTAAGATCCGCCGCTTGGTCCGCTCCGCCGCGTCCAGGTCCAGGTCACACCCGAAGACCTTGACGCCCGAGCGCGCGAGGCCAAACGCCGCCGCGGCGCCGTTGCCCCAGTTGTCCTCGACCGAGGGATCCCCGTACTGTCCGATCCCCGTCACGATGGCGACTTTTCCTGGTAGGTCCGGGTAGCTGGGTATAGGCTCGTCCTGGAACGCAGGCCGGTGAGTTGACGCCATGATGGGGGTTCCGTACGAGTTTTCAGGGCGAGACTGCCCCGGTAGAGTGCAAGTCAGCTCTTCATCATGGCATGCATCGAGGGTTGGGACCTTGAAGGGGGTTAATAGAAAGGCAAGACTCCTGAGGGGAAGGAGGGGGTCCGCTTCAAGCAAAAGCTTTCTGCGAAGTGTCCGTCTGAGTGGCTCAGCGTCCGGTAAACAAAAGCTGCCATGTCTCCAAATCTCTCCACAGGCCATGAATGGGATATTGGAGTATAGCTCTGAGGTCCCCGCAAGGCCCGACACATAGCCTATCTCGGTGTTTGATTACCGTTGTAGCTCGGCTCTTTCGAATGTGGAGATTCTTTGAGACGTCTGTCTCCATATGATCATGAATCTCTCGGGAAGATCCAGCAAGAGGACGAACAATCCCTTGGAAGGGGCGTGTATTGCTCTTCCATATTCCGATTTGCGAACATCTTTGCGTTGCCAGCTTGTCTGCTTCCAGCGAAGCATCTCGGCTCCATATCATCGCTAAGTCGCACGAGCTACATTGGGCAGCAAGTCGGTCCGGAAATGATCCTTGTCCTCGTAAAATGAAGGAATCCTTGAATCATAGAATTTGAGGGATTTGAGGGATTCATAGCTGCAATGCTGGTAATGTTCGAACGATCGAAAAGCCAAATCAACAGATCAAGAGACGTTGGAGGAGAATTGAGGAACGTGCATTATTACTGAGCAAGAGCAAGAGCAAGAGCAAAAACACGGGACTCGGCGCCGATGAGCCCTCACGACCAAATCGGCGGAGGGTGACGGTCAAGTTTGAACCTGCTTTTTGAGTGAAAGACAGAGGGAACTTGGTGACAAAGTGGAAGAGGAGCAGGGAAAGCACCGCTGGGCCAATGCGCCTATTCAAATAGTTCGACCTGTCACAGATGTCGTCGGGAACAGATCTCAAATCCTAAGTTTATCCCCAATGGCTCAAAAGCGACCGAAAATAGGGACGTTACGATGTAGAGTAATGCTAAGAACGATGAAAATCAATGCTCCCGAATCGTCGTCCACATGAAACCTTCACCGACGTTAATTGCCTGTCGGAATATAGATAAAGACGTTGAGATCAGCATTGGAGAGAGCTGGCCGTCCGTCCTGTTCGCAATAGCTCCATTGCGAATCTGCCACAAAGATCGACTGTCCCTGGTGCTTGACGCACCAACCCGACTCATTATCACCACGCATCCGCTCCGAAGTGACCTCTGTCATTGGACGTGATGGAGCACGTCGCCCTGCATCCGATGCCGGTTGAGATCGCCTAGGAGCGCCAGAGCGTTTTGCCGGAGAAGGTCTGTTTGTCCTACTCGCTGCGGAAATGGGAGACTGGCTCAATGTGCTTTCTTCCGTGACTGATAATTTACCAGATCTGGAAGTCGACGTAGAAGTTGCTCGAGAACCTAAGGGTGCTCTGCTGCTTGCTATGGGGGTTTCAGAGGCTGACAGGCAACGACGTCGCTTTGAAACTCGGGCACAATCGAGTGGCACCCTCGATGCTGGAAGAAGAAGCCGAGATTTACCGCTCCCTGGCTGGATGGCCGGGCTTCCCCCAGGTCTACTGGTATGGTCAACAGGACGATCTTATGGTCTTGGTGTTTGAGCTCCTAGGACCGAACTTGGAAGATCTATTTCGATATTGCGGCGATCGGTTCTCGTTGAAAACGACGCTGATGCTCGCGGACCAGCTCCTCCGACGATTCGAAACTTTACATTCCCACCACTTTCTCCACCGCGACATCAAGCCGGAGAACTTCCTTCTGGGGACGGGGCGACGAGGGAACACGGTCTATATGACCGATCTGGGTCTTGCGGTCTATCACCGTCCCGGCCGGAGCCGCCCTTATAGCTCTCCTAACCGCTATGAGACTACGCGGCCTCCCCTGTTATTAGGTACCTGCCGGTATGCGAGTATCAAGGGACATCTGGGGGAAGGTGGGTGACGCGTCCACTGTTTGGCCACGGTCACCAATTGGTATAGCTAACCTTACTCATCAGCACAATCTCCGCGCGACGATTTGGAGGCTCTCGGTTACATGCTCGTTTACTTCCTTCGTGGCAAACTTCCTTGGCAAGGCCTCAAGGCAGATAAGGCTGCCAAACATCTACTGGTTCTGGAGATGAAGCGGGCGACGACCCCAAGCACACTTTGTGACGGCCTCCCCGCGGCGTTCGAGGAATACATGACTTACGTGCAGAACTTGAATGACAACGATCGACCGGACTACCGAGCCCTGCGGGCGATGTTCGATCAAGTCTTTCGCGCAGAGGGGTTCGAACACGACAATGTGTTCGACTGGACGCTCCGCGAGTTTCAGAAGCTAGAGTCTGCCGCTCCAGAACTGCCGACATCCCAAGATTCAGCTCATCTGCGAGCCGTGAACGACACGTCGTCACCACACAATGAAATTCCAGAGAAACCCGAACCGCGCCGCTCGAGGAGGCGATGAGACCCTGGACATGGAGGTGCAAGGAACCGCTACAGTAATCGTGGAGTCATTGAGTTCTGCCCGAAAATGCTGCACGACAGTTTATGGCTGCTCGAAAACTCGAAGCTTTTGCAACGATGCCTAAGGTTTGCTGTTCAAGGACAGTGCCTCAGCTGTGTCCTAGCCAACAGAGTTGAAGGAGATAGAGACGCATAGTCTTGAAAACGGCATATCAAGTTCCGTGAGGACACCAAAAATGGTGGTGTCTTCCTTGGTTGCCGCCGAGTCTGTACAGCTTCTTGACTCATGTGCAGGTACGCTGATTTTATCCTCGCATGATGCGCCATTTTCCGTTCGAGGATCAAGTGCCTGTACCTTTCCCCTTGCCCGCAGTTCAGTTCATGACTCGGGTAGAAGCTTGTAATCCAGCGTGCTCTGCGCATTTGCCGCTTCCCTATTCCGGACTACCGTCTCTCTGTATGCATCCAGCGCCTCACACAGTGTTCGCAGCCGGGCATCGGCCCCATTATCAAGGATGTTCTTAAATGCTCTCCTAACTGCTCGTATCCCATTGGCGTCGTCTAAGAGATGTTTCGATAGGCCTTCGACGTGGAAGCTGTGTCGTCCTTCTCCTTCAACTGGAGCTTTTAGCCAATGAACATTTATCCGAGCCAGCTCATGGTCCATTGTAATAGAAAAGTACTGCGGTTCATTATAATCGAATTTTCCCATCCCGTGGCTGCTGCGCTGTATTAGGTCCAAACTGCCGTTCAACGCGATAGCTCCAGCACCGGCGGCGCGGTTTGTTGCGATATAGTGAGTTCCATTTTTAGCCTGTGATATGAACTCGATCTCTAGAAAGGGAAATCGGATCTTTTGATCTGGTATAGCGTAGCTTCGGCCGAACTGGGCGTTCACGAGAAGATCAATTGTCCCGAGTTGGTTACGGGTGAAGGCTGCCTCGGAATATCCAAATGCTAGATCAGGTTTCGATTTGGGTAAGGGGAGAGGGTTGGCTAGGATAGATGGATCGAGCGGGACAGGGATAGAATCGCACCATAGCGAGTTAGCGTTCGAAGCCAGTCTTGAGTCGGGGACCTTGTTCATGGCAGGAATGATACCGGGCGCCAATTGCTGGATGATAACATCTTCACTGTCGTTTTCAACCCTGCGCGATATCGCTATTAGTCCTTGAGCTGTAGCGTCGTCTATTTCCGGAGATGCTCTTGAACGTGATATTATCCTTTTTGCTCGCTTCATCAGCTCTGCTGGAGGATCGATACGATTGATATATATGTTTCGGTAACCTAAAGACTGCCGGTAATCCGTATCAGTGACGCTTACCGCGGATTTCTCAGACGTTCTGGATATCGTGCTTGGGGAGCTATTATTTGGGGACGGAAGCATGGGGGTAGGATGGCGGGGCATGTTGACTGATTCCACGGAAAGTCGGGGTTCGTTCTCTGTCGAGGTTCTGCGGGACCAGCAGGACTTGTCCAACCAATCTTCAATGAAGTTCTCCTTCTTAGGGTCAATCCTCGCTTCAGTATGTAGCGTTAGCCTGGGTTTCCGACGCTTCGCGTTGTGGTTTGGTGCGTCTCCTATATTCCCACAAAGCTGCCGTTTAGCTATTTTGGATTAGCAATGCGATTCATTGTAGAGACGGCGAAAACTAACTGCTCTTTTGTGCTCCTAGGCCCGCCGCTAAGGCTGCAAGGTCTTCGTCCTTCGCGTTACGACGATAGTATTGCTTTACTGCTGGTCTCTGCGGTGACCTCGCCTCTTGTCGTCTTGCGATTCGTTGTTGGGTCGCACCTAGTTTCTCTTGTAATCGCGGGCTCCTGCAAAGGGCCTTGGAGCTTGCACTCGGGTTTTGCGGGGGCTGTTGGTCGGCTGTGCCGTAGTCAGTAACGCGAATCAGGTAATGAAGTTGTATGAGGGAAAGGACCTGACATCTCTCGTCTATCTTTTGTCTTTTTTGCTGGGGCTCAGTCTTGTCTTCGTCTTCCCCTTCGGCTTGGGTAGGACACTGCCATTTCCCTGTGGTCATGTAGTCAGGTCGAATGCCAGATAATAAACGATATTTCCTACGGCTTGGACAATCGGACTTGACCTGCTGTCGTTCAGGTTGGTGGTGGCCGTGGCCGTTTCGCTGTCGATCTGTGTCTCGATTTGCAATAACCGCCGCCATATCGACTGGCAACGAGCGACATATAGGACGAGCCTATTGTCTATAGAATGTGAACCTACACAAAGCGATATGAGACTAACTAGGTTTACCAGTAAGAAAGCAGACATTCCCTACCACTGCAGAGACCCGGTACCCCCTTCTGGCATCTCTTCTACCCTGAGACTGCTCGTCTGCAACAACTTCAGGGAGGCTGCGTTCCTGGATACCTAGGTAGGTATGGAGAGATGTCGACGGTGGATCCGCCGAGCTTCCCATCTCGCCATATATCCCCTCATAAAGCCCCGGCCGCACTGGACAACCTTGGAAGTCAACAAAACAGCGCCAAGCCCCTCGGCCCCTTGAAAGGGTAGCAATACGCAAACAAAGCAAACAGAGCAAACTCGCAAAACTTCCAAAAGCCTCTTTCTACCTTTCCTCCTAGACCCTAGGTCCACGTACAAGAGACCCATGGGAGAGGGAGACAAGTGTACTACGGCGTACGGCCTGAGGATACCTATACAATCGACTCTGCACCCGTGGAAGAAAAGACAGAGGTTTTTGTTCTTCTTCATCTCTCCGTCGCTAGATGCATGCATGTCAAAGGGTCTTTTGTCAATTACCACCTAGGGTTCGCACTATCGTCATCGGCATCGTCATCGTATTCTGTTTGATGCTCCTCCTCTTCACCACCAGTAACACAGAAAAAAACATACGCCGTCAGATTTTCAGGACAGAGAGTTGGACTACTTTGCCTACTCTTGAGTCTATGATCTAGCGGGGACCGAGGTCCAGCTTTCACAAGATGGCCACTGGGGCCTCTTCAGCTTCTGTGGACTCGACCCTCTTTCCTCTCTGCACCTTCCTCCTCAGCATCTACACCCTCGGCATCTCGGCCGACGTCTTCATCTCCTCCACCGCCCGTGTGGCCCACCGCCTGCACGTCTCCGAGACGCTCGTCTCGCTCCTCACCGCGGGAGCCGAGTGGGAAGAACTCGCCGTCGTGGTCGCCGCCGTTGCCCAGCGCCAGCCCAAAATCGCCCTGGGAAATGTCCTCGGAAGCTGCGTGGCCAACATTTTTGGCGCGTTTTCGCTGGGCGTGTTGGCCCAGAGACAGCCCATCGTCACCTACGATGTCAGCGCCAAGATCTATGCCGTCGTCTTGTTCGGCGTCACCACGGCCGTTGCGGTCCTTTGGGGGTTTGGCCAGCTCCAAGCTCATGTCTACGGGGCTGTCTTGGTGGTAGCGTTTGCGTTGTATCTGGCGGGTATCGGCTGGTCCATCTATCGGGGCGTCCTGGCTGCGCCTGTGGAATCGGATGCGGAATCGGATGCTGATGGTTCGGATTCGGAATCTGATGGGGATCCAGAAGTGCAACCTGCAACTGTGGATGGAATTTCTCGTCAAGAAAACTCGGGGACTGAGGAGGTGGACGAGTCAAGTGCCTTGATAGGTCGCAGGAGAAAGCGGCCTTCCACTCTTCTGTATCTGGCCAGGCTGATCCTCGCCTTCATCGCGCTCTCCATCAGCGGCTATGTCCTCGCACACTCCTCCCACTCACTGGCGGCGAAATTCAACATCTCCGAAACCGTATTTGGGGCCACGCTCTTGTCTTTGGCCACTACTTTACCAGAGAAGTTTGTCGCTGTCATCAGCGGTTACCGAGGCCATCCAGGAATGTAAGTTCACTCCCCCAATCCCGGTATTTGTGTTGCCCAAATTCCCAAAGTATTTTGTTTTCCATACAAATCTTCGACACTAACGAGAGGTCAGCATGGTGGCCAACACGGTAGGAAGCAACATCTTCTTGCTGACCCTGTGCCTCGGTGTTACCATCTTGAGCTCAAAGAGTCTTGCCCAAGGCTCCAGCTACACGAACGAGATCGTGTGGAGCTGGACGTCGTCGGCCTTCTTGACCGTCATGATCTTGCTCGGCACGCACCGCTTGGTTGGCTTGGCCATGCTGCTCGCGTATGTTGCATTTATAGTCCTTGAATTTACACTGTACAAGCCTTGAAGGCCGGCACCGTAAGGGTTTTAAACTGGGATACCGACGATCTCGTCGCCTTCCTTGCCATCGGGAACCAGATCGCCATACACAGTGATGGGTATCACCACCTCAAAGGTGTCGCATTCAAGATTTTCCGCGGCAACATTCACTGTGCCTCGCTCGTCATTGACCACTTCCTCGAGCAGATCCGTCATAACTTTGAACTCGCCCTCGTCGTTTTCAACCGGCTTGATGGTGCCGAACTCGAAACGAAGACTCCAGTCAAGATTGACTCCCGAGGTAACAAACGTGGGCGTTGCGGATGCGGGGATACTAGGTGCAAATGTAGCCCGTTTGGCGAAAAGGATGTTCTCGGAGCGTGCGGCATACACTTTCCGTGTGATGCGGTTGATCGTGTGGACGGATCTGACTGCGAGCGAGGGAGCGACTTTCTCGGATGTCTCGAGCGTCGATTTGAGCGAAGCACAGGGGACTTGGCCGTCGGAGAAGTCGACGACGGCTGTGACTGTCTCGCCCAGTCGATGTAGAGGTCGGTCGATGACGATGACCGCGACTCGTGAACCGTTCCGCGCAATCTCGAAACGGTTCGGGCTCGACTCACTGTCCGACAGGGAGTTGCTGAAGAGGATTGCGCGGTCAATGGCCTGAAGAGCCTTTCCGCGGCCGCCCACCGCATCTTGGGTGTTCAGAAATGCCTCCATCGTTCCCGAGCTCGACTGCCGGCGGCGATTGTGGTCAAGAAGCGTGTCCACGAACTGGAGGAACTCCACGCTGGAAGTCTCGGCCGACTGGGTGGTCGGGGTGGCTGCTTCTTCCTGGTCCTGCGGGGTAGATATAGACTTTGTACGAGCGAGATCGCGCAGAATGACATGAGGTTGCATCAGATCATGGCCGTAGATCTCGCCGTCGTGACTGACTCCGGGGAAGACACGGATTGGAATATTGACTTGCCGTACCGTGTGCACGTCCCGGCTCCCGGGTACGCCCTGAACGCCTACCGTCAGATTATATCCGATCTTGATAGCCTTCCCCTGGTGGCTGGAAGGTAAGCCTCGAGGCAAGGGGTAGCTGTAAGAGTAGGTCTGCTCCTCGCCAGGCTCGAGGTGCATGTCGACGAACAGCAGCGACTGCGGCGTAGAGAGGATGGGGATGGCGCGCGAGTTGGTCACGGCGTGCATTTCCTTGACGCTGCTCATGTCTTCGCCCCCCATCAGGCTGTTCAAGGACCCGACGCCCAGGGCGTTGAGGTTAAAGTGCCCCAAGAAGCCGCTGTTGGGCCGCGGCTTCTTGACTCCGACCACGCCACCGCCCGCTTGGCCGCCCAGAAAGCCTTTGCTTTTCACTTCTTCAAAGTGCGACTGGTCGATCAGCGAGGCGTCCAACGTGAAGGTGGCGCTCAACTGGGCGTACCCCATCAGAAGGTTCACGGCTTGCGGCTGATGCGCCGGCCTCAGCGGCGGTCGCCGAGGCATGGCCATAGAGTTGATCCAAGGGGGCCGGTGGTGGTCTGACATGATCGAAGGTTGCTCCGACATGAGCGTTTCTTGGGAGTGGTTGCTGAGCGAGTAGAAATCGCCACTGCTCCTTTCGCTGGAAAGGTCGGGCCCAACCCCCGCCCCCGGAGGTCTAGCAGCCTCGCCGGAATCGATAGGGCTTGGAACTTGCATGTCATTGGGCTCGTTGTCCGAGTGCTGGTTTCTAGCGCCTTGTGGAGGTGGAACGGATTTGAATTCGGACGATGAATCGCGACTCCCAGCTGCCGCTGCCGACAAGGGACTACGACGACCACCTCTGGGCGGTAGCTGAAGACTGGTCGGGGAATCCCGGTGGTATTGTTGACTAGTTCTTCTTTGGGAAGCTATATCTGGATGAGCTGATGTTGCCACTGGGAAATTGAAGAATATTCTCCGGGTCGAACTAACCATGATGAATCTGTACCGTCGAGGAGCGCGAATGACTCGGCTTTTTGGGCTTGGTCCAGCCCCCAGACGCGCCGTGTTCGAGATCACCCGCGATTGTCGGAGATGTCAACGAGATGATGGACACGGATCTCTGTTGCTTGTGGGTTGGCCTCTGTACATTGGCGGAATTGTTGTCCGTGTACAACGATCCCAATGGCATCTGCCGGCCAGCGTGGTCAGCAGCAGCGTGCTCGTGGCTGGTCGATCGACCACCGTTTTGCCCATTCTGACTCAATCGCAACACAGTGCTGGGCTTCGCTGACTGAGAGGCGGCAAGCTGGCTGATGCTCTCGCGCCTCTGCCTTCGCAGGCTCTGGAACGAGGGCGTGAGCGGCTCGGACGAGGTCGCGACATTTCTGAAGGTGATGGTGCATCGGAGCTGCTCGCCCGCAAACACGGATTGATCATGGAAGCGGACGACTACATGGATGTCCGAAGGCATGCCACGCCCGCGAGGCTGAATGTTGACAAAGAAAGTCGGTCGCCTTGAGAGAGGGAGAGGGAGCCAGGATTGCACGAAAGGCGGAAGAACAAAGAGCCAGAGTTCGAGGTCGAGGGTGGGCGGGAGAACTTCGGCAATTCTATACGAAGTACGGGGAAGTATATACTATGCTGGGTATTTTGGTAGATCTATACATTTTGTATTACAGGATGAGCCGTCGATCGACATGGCCCAGGCATTTAATATTCGTGATACACCTCTGGAGTGGCTCACGCGGTCACTCCAACTTGCGCAGCGACCTTCTCAGTCGTCCGTGCCAGACCATTGTTGGCATAAAAGTCCATGGGATAAGTCCCGTCTCCTTTTTCCCACCCTTGCTTTGCGCCCAGTACCACCAGAGCCTCATAGGGCGTCAACAATGGACGTGGGAAAGCATAGCCCCAGTCGATACTGAGCCTAGGACAAGCAATCTGCACCCAGCAATCCACATCTTCAAACAGGGCGAGCTTTCCGGGGAAGATTTCGCTGAGCAGAAGATTGACGTGCGGTATGCCCTCTCTATCAAGGTATTTCTCGATCATGGTCAAGATGTGGGGGTTGCCTTGTCTTCCCAAAGCACCCAGTATAAGACCCCATCTCTTGGCTTTCCTCGCAGTGCTGATGGCAGCGGCGCGCATGTCCAGCATCTCATCGTGTGAATATGTTTCTCTCGTCAATTTCCGAGAATATGGATCGTATCGATAGGCTGGAATATGGGGATTTGCAATCATGGCGGCTTCCAGGTGAAAGCGGCCATCGCCGAGGTATAGGATCAGATCAACATTGGTGTCTGGATTGATCTTGGGCGCAGTACAACCCAGCACTTCGCCCTTGCTCAACGGCATAATCTGCGGCACCACCAACTTCAGACCCTCGGCCTCGAGGGCAGGCCTTATTGTGTGGAGTGTGGCATTGAACTGGATGGTACCCACCATGGCGATTGTCTTTCCAGGGGGTATGTTTCGAGACAGCGTGCTCACCAGGTGCTTGGTGTCGATGGAGATGTCAACGAAGATGTACAGGGTGGCGATCTTGGTCGCCGAGACGGGTATCAAACAACTATGAGCGTAGTGGACAAGCAGGTCACAGCCCAGGGCTCTTGCAGTGTAATCATCGATACAGCATGCGCCATACGTGACATCTCCCATGATCAAGGTTTCCGTGCCTGGGCAGAATTGAGTCAGGATGTCTGAGATGGTCGTGGCAAACATGAGCAACCCCTCAGGGAATTGTAAAGCCACCCTCTTGGCCTCGAGCGTTCTTATGCGGTGGATGGTTTTGGGGATCTCAAAGCTGTAATTGTGAGGGAGCAAGGTCATGGCCGCCTGGATATCTGGATCATCGAGGATTTCGGGGGGTACCTGGTTCAAGACTCTTGGAGCCTTCCGCTGATCTGTCTCACTGTGAGCATATGTCTTTCGCAAGGATCGAATGATATGAGTTGTCATTTAGTTACCCTTGTGAATGACCGCGGTGGTTTCCTCCACGTTGGAACTGTCAGTCTCATCCCGTCTCTGCCTCGCCTGCGCTTCTGCAGTGCGTCTCCCCACGAACCGTCTCTTGGGTGTTCTGTTGCTGGGGACATTCTCATCTGCTGTGGAGGGAAAAGCACCGGGCATAGATACTGCCTCCATCTTCTGCAGCAAGGTCCGCCGTGGGGCTGATCACCGGGTGACCTTTTGCGGTTGATGGGCAAGAAAATGAAATTTGGACAAACATGCCGCCTTCTCCAAAATCGCAGCCTCTGAGATCGGGATGCGGGGGAATCAGTACGAGGAGGCAGACTCCAGGAGCAGCAGGTGAGCCGAGGACAAGTAAAGCGGCGAGAGGAAGTCGTAGACTGCGGGTTTGAGTCGCTGTCACCACAAAGACGGGATGTTCTGTTAAGCCCAGTCCACCGAAAGGGGCCTTCAGTCACCCGCTAGAATTCAGGTCCTTCGTTCGCAAGTAATGAGTTACTCGACACCCAGCAAACGAGCGGCGCAGCATATCATTATTTCCCCCTCAACCCAAGTCGTGTCCTAGTCCCTTCGCTCAAAATCCCCAGCCCAGGCTCCATGACCACCGACCCTCCTCCACTACCCCTTCCTCCCCGACAAAGATGGTCACGACTTCTGGCTTCAGCCACACCCCGGTCGCGCGCCTTCTGATCCTCACCTCGGTCGGCCTGTCCATTCTCGTGTCGACGCTCTCGATCCAGTACCTGCTACCCATACGCCCACACCCGCATCTGTGGCCGTACCTGCAATTTTCCCGCCTGCTCACCTACCAGGCCGCCCACACGACCTCGACCGAGCTGCTGTTCTCCGCCGTCCTGCTGTACCAGTTCCGCGTGCTCGAGAGGATCTGGGGCAGCCGCAAGTTTGCGAGCTTTGTCGCCGTCGTGTTTTGGTGCAATGTCCTGGTCGCGCCCCTGTTGCTCCTGCTGCTGAAGCTCGTGACCCTGGGCTGGTATAATTATCTGCCGAGCGGGTCGACGGGACTCGTGTTTGCGCTGCTGAGCGCCTGGGCCGACGAGGTGCCGCGCCTCTACAGGTACAAGATTGCCACCACGGGTTCTCCGGCCACGACGGGCGGCCATAGTGGGCGGCAGCAGCAACAACATCAACATCAACAAGTTCCCGGTGTGGTCTTGAGTGACAAGTCGACCACCTACCTGCTGGCGGCGCAGTTGGCTCTCAGCCAGTTTCCGTACTCCATCATGCCTGCGGCCGTAGGCTGGACGGTGGGCACGGCGTGGATGGGCGAGCTGTTGCCCGGTGGACTGGGGAGATGGAGGATTCCCGCGTGGATGGTCGGCGAATCGAGCAGGAGGAAAGAAAGGGACCGCTACGAAGGCCTGCGGCGCAGGTTAGAAGAGGAAGGCGGTTCGGCAGACGGGATGAGGACTGTGAGCGACCGCATTGGAGCTGCTGCTGGAGGCGAGCAGGAGAGTCGAAGGCGAGGCGGCTTCGGGAGACAGATATTGGGTTATTTCACTGGATCTTCTTGACTACGCCGTCTATTTATCTATGTACATACGTCTCCTTTCCAGATGGGTCTCCGCCGCCCAAATGAGGTCCCGCAAAAGAATAAAGAATGCTTATGAAAACAGGCCGTGAAAGAAAGAAACATCCGTTTCCAATATTATTTTTTTTTTGCAAATTCTCTGTCATTGGCAAACCAGAAGAAACATATCTCAGTAAATCCCAATAAGGCCTTCTTCAGTTCTTCGCTAGCGTGGGGGTCATATAGAGTCTAGATACGTCCTGCATTGTTGGATGATTACTTTGCTGAAAAGTCGTGATCGTTGATGAAGGCGTCAAAGTCTGTTTCGTCCATCTTGACTGGCTGGACGTATGCTGGGTCGGCCAGGCCTTGGACAGAGGATGCTGTGCAGTGCCGTTGCCTACCAATCCTGCAAGGCTTGGTCGAGCGTGTTGTATTGTTAGTCGGACGCGTTGGTCGCGTCGAATGACTGGTTTCTCGTGGTCGGGCATTGCGCCACGTTCCCTCATTTTCCTGGGTACAGACCGGCGTACTCCCAGAAAGGGTCCTTGAAGATTAAGGCCGACCTCTGAGATGTGTGTGGGATCCCTTTTTCACTAAGAAGTGCGTTACCAGATATTGCGCGAAGGCAGACGTTCATCCCTCGCCGGAATTCTTGGTCTGGTCCTCCAAGGCTTGCTTGTACATCCTCATAGCCACATCCAAACTCTTCATGATAGGTCCAAGCAACTGCCTGACGACGTGCCGTCCACCCTTGATGGAATTAGGGTGGAACTTAACTCTTTTGCCTGACCTATCATGTCGTTCGTTCGCCTCTCTCTCCTTGGCTCGGATGATGTCCTGTCTTTCCTTTTCCGCATCGTCGGCGATAGCGTTGATGCGCTCATGCGCCCGTTTGAGGCTCTCGACGAGACTGGCCACTTCGTTCGCGCGAGCCGAGTCTCCGGACAGGAATGCATTCCAAAACTGCCGCAGAAACTCTACCGTGGTGGCATGTGTGAGGCTGAGTCGGTCGTACATCGCCGTGCTGAGCCCAGAGGCCTCTGGGATCGGTGAAGTCTGGTCCCGGTGGGCTCGGATCAGGGAGAGGACGTGTTTCATGGCAACCGAGGAGCCGCTTTCCACCCTTGGAGAAGACTCATCATCCATTTCTTCGTCCTCGTCCTCATCGAACTCGCCAACAGGAATGACGCCGACGCCGGGGTGAGCGAAATGTGCGGTAATATCAGCATGGACGTCTTTGATTGCTTTGGCAGGATCGAGGTTTCGAAATGGGTTGCCGTCAACAGCGCCATTAGCACCAGCTTGAGCGGACTGGCTATGGGAGAAGAAGCGGCTCTGGTCGCGGATGTTGAGGATGATGCGTTGCTGTTCCGGGGTACCTTCCAAATCGTGCAGCTTCAGCTGCTCGTAAGCAGCCTCGGTCATCCCAATCGGCGCGGATGCATCAACATCGGAGGGCTTGACAGCCGCCATGAGCTTCTCACTTATCGCGTTCAGTTTCCGAATGATAGGCGCTTTGTCCAGCGTTGTAGGTCGCAGCTCACTGTCAGGCCGATTGCCATAGCCAAAGTGATTCTCCTCATTTCCCTCCAAGTCGATAAATTTGGGAATGTGCATTTCGGTTGCAGTAGGTCGAAGGCCAGTCACCAGGGGGTGGAAGAGATAATGGTCGACATCGATGTATTGATCTCTGGATTCCCTCAGCGGATCGAATTTGAGCCCACGAAGTTTCATGAGGAGCTGGCTCTGGAAAAACCTCGACCAGAAATCCTTGTCGTCGGGGATCTTGCGCGGCACAAGTTCGTCATAAACGATCCGCATGACGGGGTATTGTTCGAAGATGGCACGAATCTGGTCTTGCCTCAGACTCATTCTGCCACCATCATCCTTTTTGATCCCGGCCAAAACGTTGTAGCTACCTTTCCCTTGACTCTTGGAGAGTGCGTGGGCTCGAAGGAGATGCACGCGGGAGGACCAGAACTGGGCTCTAAACTGCGCGTCGGATATTGACTCGGGTTTGAGACCGAGCGCTTCCTCGAATGTCTTCTGCAGCACAGGGTCTTCTCGCATCAAGGACTGCTGAAGCTTGACGTCGGACTTGAGTCGCTCATCGTCTTCCCAGATATTGGTTGCTCGCCCCGTGCCGGATATAGCGTTAGCCATTGTCATGGCGGCGGACTGGCCAGACGAGGAGGTTGCGTCAGCATTTTGGGCCGCCTTTTGCGCCTGGATGACGTTTGCCAGAGCCTCTTTGATGCCGTTGGCCTCGCCCCGTGGATCTTTGGAAGAGGTAAAAGTGAAAACATGGGCAACTGGTTCAGTCTGTCCAGGGTCCTGCGCAAATATCTTCAGCATAACCTTGGGATTCGTCTCGGGCGTCTGTTGGAGATTTGTGATGTTCGCCGCGGAGAGGACCAGGGTTGGAGCCGCGTCTGGCGGTTGGGCAGGAGTCCATGACACGGACTTCCGGTCCTTGGAGATTGAGAGGATCCCAGGCTGTCTCCTATATGAAGCCTGCCCTTGTGGAGGAGCCATTTGCTCTGGCTTTATCGCCGCCCTCAAAAGTGTCCCGAAGGAAGGGAGTTATCGATCCGTCGTATGGACGGAATCGTAAGACAGCGATAGCGGAAGAATGAATGGCATTGCGCTTGAAAAGAACGTGCCTTGAGACCGTTCCTGGCACTCGAAGTCCGGAGGGCCAGGAGTTGAAATATCAACATGAACGGCTCATTCACACAAAGACAATCCAACGAAACTTTACCGGATGAGGATGTGAAGGCGAAGAAGAAGCGTGAGGATGAAAATAGGCACGTGAGGCTGAGCGGAAGGCATCAACTTCAAGGTTGACAGTCGTTGACATCAACTGCAAAAATGCCAAGACATCGCCAAGCTACAGCCTCTTTTTGGACTCGGAGTGTCGCCGCTTTGTGCTCACCCTTATGACCCTTTGGGGGCCTCCACACACATCCATATGTCCAATGGTGCCGTCTACGAGGACAACAATCCATGTCCTTATGCTCCTTTCCTGCGAGAAGAGCTCCTGCAAGAAGAATTGCAATTCCCTTCGAAGCTGACTTCGTTCGCATTCTCAATACTAGTGCTCAATCCCAGCAGCTTGTCCAACGTTGGACTCAGCTAAGGACTTACCCAGCACTGGAGTTCCAATTACCTACCTAGGTACAGCTCCAAGCCTCAATCGCGGAAGATATAAGATATATCGCTTCCCTCGCTCCATCTCCAGGACCACAAGACCGTTTTGTGAGATGCTGGGCTTGCCCTACAACTTCGCCTCTTTCCCCTCCATATACCTCCTCCTCTCCAGCTTCTTCAACTCCGCCCTCTTAATCTTCCCTGAAATCGTCTTGGGCAAGAAACTTGCTTCGACGAACTCGATCCGCCGCGGGTACTTGTACGGCGCGGCGTTTTGCTTGCAAAAATCCTGCAACTCTTTGACGAGTGCGTCGCTCGCCGCGGCCGCTCCTCGGATCTTGGCCGCGGCCGACTGGGTGAGCACGACAAAGGCCTTGACTACTTCGTCGCGCTGGGCGTCAGGTGACGAGACGACGGCGGATTCGACCACCGCGGGGTGGAGTTTGAGGGTTGATTCGACTTCAAATGGGCCTGCGGATAAGTGGGTTAGTGAAGGACTTCATTGCAGGAAGTAATGGTCTGGTGAGCGTGTAAGGTCATTGGCAGTGGGCATCCAATTCGTGACCATTCAGTCGTATATAGCGCGTGAACCCCGTTCATTGTATCTGGTAGCCTCATTGTGCCCAAACGACAGCCGAGAAACGCAAATGTGTCAGAAAGAGGAAACGAAGACAACTCACCTATCCTGTATCCGCTCGAGTTAATAACATCGTCAGCTCGACCCACGAACCAGAAATACCCATCCTCGTCTCTCGTCGCCCGGTCGCCGGTAACAAAAAACATCTTGCCATTGGGGTAGGACTTGATCTTGGTGTCGAGCACCCCCGTAGACTTGTCGATGTACCCCTCGAAAAACCCAAAGAAATCGGTGTCAGTCCTCGTCTTCGACACCGCAATGGCAATATCGCCCTCTGCGCCCGCAGCCACAGAATTTCCCTCGGAGTCGATGATCGTCAGGGGCACGCCGGGTAGCGGTTTTCCCATACTTCCCGGCTTGACCTTGTTGACTTTCTGATTCGCGCAGACGACGATCGTCTCGGTCTGTCCGTAGCCGTCAAAGATCTCAATCCCACCCGTCATCTCCTTCCAGATGCGGACCACGCTCTCATTCAGAGGCTCGCCTGCGCCACAACAATGCACCAAAGCTTTTGGCGTGCCTTGTTCCGTGGCGAAAAACCTCCGGCTCTCGTCGAGAACAAGTTGTCTGTACACAGTCGGTGGCGCGCACAGGGTCGTGATGGGGAATTTGTTCAACACCTCAAGGGTTCGGCGCGGGTGGAACGCCAACCTGTCATCATGAATGAAAATTGTAGCGCCGCAGTTCCACGTGGACAGCCATGACCATGCAGCTTTCGCCCAGCCTTGTTCCGAGAGGTTCCAGTAGATCTTTCCCGGTGACAGATCCAGCCAGTGCATCCCTGTCAGGGCATGCGCCAAGGGATACGATGTCTGTGTGTGTAGAACCATCTTGGGAGGCCCCGTAGTCCCGGAGGTGAAGAATATCATGCCGGGAGACTTTGGACCCAGGCAACTTGGGACGGAAAATCTGGCATCGGCAGGAATTTTGTCCAACGCTGAATGGAAGTCAACAACTCCCGACGGCGCGGTTCCATCGATCTGGATTATGGTGCGCAAGTTAGGACAAGTCGCCCGAACCTTGAGACATTTGGCAACCGACGTGGCGTCCCCGATGAAGGCGGTAGCGTGTGAGACTTGAAGTCGGTACTCGATGTCTTTGTCCACCAACAGCGTCGTACACGGACACAAGATGACCCCGGAGCGGAGGCATGCTGTCGCGGTCTCCCACCACTCAGGAACCCGGGGGGCAATTATGATGGCCGTTTCGCCCTGCTTGATGCCCAGGGATGCGAACAGACATGCTATGCGTTGCGACTGGCGTGCGAAATGGCTGTAGGTCAATTTCCTTGTCGTGCTGAGAGATTGATTGGTCCAGTAGAGCGCTACCTGAGAAGGATCCTTCTGCGCCCAGTAGTCGACGACATCACGGGCGAAGTTGAATGATTGGGGAAGGCGTAGAGGGGAGACCGGGACAACGGAACTCATGTGGAGAGTTCTTGAAGGAAGTCAGCTGGATGGTCCGGAGCATGTGCTGGCTATGTATATCCCTGTCCTATGCACCATATGCCAGAGATCTTGTCTATAACGAGGTTTGAGCTTGGAGGTAGGAGTGCACAAGAACTCAATATATAGCGTTTGCAACGTCCATCAGGAGTTCACTCCGTGGGGAAAGGGTCGATCTCTGCGGGCAAAGACCGGGGGAAGGGGATTGATCATTGGACCTCGGCGAGGCTGGGGTTGGGACGGTAGGACGGTGGGGACCATTGGATTCACAAACAACTTGGAAGACAAAGAGGCCAAGTGTCTGCGGAGGAAGTGGAGCATAAAATAATACGATGTGCGAGGTATGGGGTTCGGATTTTCGGGATTTCGGAACTTCCCTCCGAAAGCCACTGCACGGATGTCGCTCCCTGCATACAACCAACTGTCCTCCACCACAACCACAACCACCGCTGAGCTTGGGAAGCCTCGAGAGCCCAGTGCACTCTATACGTCGCTTGTCTGGGAAAAGAGCCTCTCTTATGGCTCGTCTAGTCACTGTACTCATGCATGGATGGGTTGAGCTGAGTCACTGGGGACCTCGAGACCTCTAGTAGGGCAAGGATACCTGGTGACAATGCTATGCTTCTCTGTCCTAGGTAGGGAGGTTCTATGGAAGGACCGAAGGCACCTATCAACCTATCTACAGTAACCACCTAGGTAGGTAGGTACCTACATCTATGTGACTGGGTCACCCTAGGCAAGTGCCAGCTATGGCAGGCACCAACAGTGTGCCGTGGAGAGTCCAATCCAACCTCCAGCACCTTCGTTGTGGCCCACTCCTAAAGTCAACAGGTTGTTATAAGCAGTGTATCGGTCGTGTATCAACGCCAGATAGATCTGATTACCTCCTAGGTTGTCTCCAGCATGGATACCTTCCCTTATGAGATCAGGGAAATAGTGTATACCGAGTGCGTCAAGGTCCGCGCTCTGGATCTCCTGTACGCCAGCAAAAGGTTTTACAGCGAATTCAGTCCTTTCCTCAGAGAAGGATTCGTCCTAGGCTTCCACATCGATCCTGCAGCGCCAGCGACCGAGGTCAAGCTCATCAACGCGGACGACAACCCATGGGGCAACTATTCCACCATCGATGCCACCTCAGCACACCCAAACTACGACATTCTTGATTGGATGCCGGTAGACCGCTTCAAAGGGATCCGGGTCCTAATCGATGCACCAGATAGCAGAGACCCGGGGCAATTGGTTCGGGGCTGGCTGCAGACCAACCGGCTTGTTGAGGTTTTGCTGCCTCGATGGGTTGGCCGGTGGTGGCTACCCAGGCGCGAAATCGACATCCATGTCCCGGAAGGCAGATCGACACGGCGCCTACCACCTTTCACCATAGAAGTCCGCGATAGAGGAGAATTCCGGCAATGGCATGATGGGCAGGCTTGGAAGCATAGTGTTCCTGACTACAGGGCATGGGATCCGGGTACGCAGACGGCGGCTATCATGCCCCAGGGGGCCAACTCGGACCTGGAAATCATATTGGCACCTTTCGCACGCATCAGGGACGCCGATGCCGTGACGATTAACCTACCGCGCGATGCACCTTCGGAAGGCAGGGTAGACGCGCTCATAGAAGTGCTCATCGCCTCCGGCAGGCTGCAAATCCCTTTCGGCCTGAACGTCCCTGACGGAGAGCCGTGGGACAACGAGAGGACGCTCGGCGCCGGAAACACCCTACGCGTGTGGCTCGATTACCTTCTCGACGATATGGCTGGCCCCACGGCCGCTATGCTGCGGCGCGACCGGTTCCAGTACTGGTGCCCTACCTACGAGTTCGTGATGGGCCAGTGCTTCCACGGCTTCCAAGATCGCCGTGACATCGGCATTCCCGAGGAGCTTCAGCGCGACGGAATCGGCAGTGCCCACTGGGTTTTGGACGGGGATCTCTTCAACCTGATCGTCGAGAGCTGGCACGACCGCTTCATGAGCGCGCGGGCGCACTTTGTCGCCGGGTTCCGGGACGCGCTGAGACGGCACGGCCAGAGGGTGTTTGTGGGCCCCAACATGGAAGCCGCCTACTGGTACTACCGTGATGAGCTGTCCCAGCGAGGCCTGCTTCGCGCAGATGTCGTCGGCAACTATCACACGTTCTGGGAGACGTGCTATCCGCAAGGCATCCCCCCAAAATTACGCAACGATGAGTGGGAAGACACGACGAACATTCTTCCGGAGCACTACCGGCTCGTACCGCCCGAACCTCTGGCCGACACGGCCGCCGAAACGTTCCCCATCCACATCGGCTCGTGCAACGTCTGCGATTGTGACGAGGCCAACATCGAGCACGTCATGAGCGACCGGCGGGCTCTGCGGAATTTTCTGTTGCACTCCAATCGCAGAGCGGAGGTGCCGCGCTTTTTGAGTCCGATTGAGTGAGATCGGAAGCTACTCTGACGGAACTCGCCGAGTCGAATAATCCCAGTACTGAGCATGTTGGTGAGGTGAGGTGAGGGAGAGGACGCTGGCAAAACAAGATGAGGAGAGCTCGTGCATGGTGTCTTCGCTACCGGCAATAGCTACTGTACAAATAGATATAGATATGGAGTGTGCGACGCAAGTCGGATTTCTGGGTTCGCATTCGATAATAAGGCAGGCGAGGCATCCGTCCAAGAAAGCTGCATTGCTCTTGTAATTAGGCTATCAACAAAGATGAGCCTCACCAAATGAATAGAAGTAGTGGTCAGTCGTTCCAGAAAATACTACAGTACTCACAGGAAGATTCTGAAACTCACAAAAGCCCCCGTTTCCAACTTTCATTCCTGAGAAGATCGCGCCACGAAAGTTGAGTGCTGAGTTGTCTAGCAACCTGCGGTCGTTGACTCGTTGCGGTGCTGTGCCTTAGCACCCGACCAGCTCTTGAAGGTAGTCGGAAGGGCGTCCATGGGTGTTCACTAGGTCTAGCTTTGGGGCCTGCTGGGTTCCCCGTTTTGACACGGACATCCAGTAGTACCTAGATACAGGTAGGTACCGCAGGCCGCCTCTGGAAAGAAGAAAAAGACCTTTCTGTGCTTGATTGTCGCTGATTCATCTTTGCCATCCATTGTTCGGTTTCTATGGATATATTTGGTGAAGTGTGGCCGTGCTTCTCTTGTTCCTTTCCAGTCTCGTAGAACAGTGTATATTACAAGGCAGAATAGTTCTCGTATCCAAGTTAGGCTTTACGCGATCCCAGCCAGACCGGAGCAGAGGGCATGACCACAAGTGACAGAGCCGAGGAGTTAGCAAGAGGATCCATTCGCACCCAAGTCCCTAGAAAGTGGCACGTTGATATGAACCATGAGAACAGAAAGATTGGTGCGCAGACCCAGAACCATAGTCTCACGTAACGGCGTGGTCTGACCACAAAGGGCGTGGACTCAACATAACACCTTTCCAGCATGAAAAGAGTCGGGTATGCCCTAAAGCCTAGCTCAACAATGACGAAGAAAGCAGAAGGACCCCGATTGCCTCTGTGCAGCAGATAAAGCATGCCTGATGTAATGGTGCACAAGACCAACGAAGTCAAGACTTTCCGCCATGCATAAAATGGGTTCACAGCCAGTCCGGGTCGGGACTGGGATAAGGATTCGGGGGGATTTGGCGTGGAAGTCCTAGTAATCATCAACACCAGAGCCCAAAGTGTGACGGCTGTGATGATGAGCCCAAATGTTATTGCCGAAACGGCGAGGCCTGCCACGTTGTCAAGATCTACTGCTGACGAGGCCTGCCCAGGTATTGAACGAGGGAAATAGTCTGACATAGGTGGTTCGGAATTAGCGCGACTGCCTGGTGATCGGAATGAAATGTTCCCTGCATGGTCCATACGAAACGTACGCAATATGGAACAAATGATGCTGAGGGGAGCAACTCCGACTTCGAGTAAAGAGTTCCAGTCAAAACCACCTTCAAGCTGGATTTGCCATTGTGCTGCGCCGCCATCATGAGCCGCAGGTGCAACTTTCTCTTCGCCCAGTGTTTCGGCATCATGAGAAGCAATGCTGTAGGGTTCGACCAGTGCCTGACTGATGAATTTCCGGAGATTTGGAGGATTAAGTGGACAATGCTCAATGAGCAGGTCCTTGTCGCGGGCAGGAACTTCTGAAATAATCCATGTCGTGGATAAAACGCTGGGCTCATTCAACCCAAAATGTATTTGGGACTGCTCGTCGTCGAGACAAGTAGAGGTCAGGTCCTTCAATTTTCGAGACTGCCATCTGATTAGCTAGATCCTGTTCGTCATGCGCCATAACTTACCGACACGAATTTTATCTTGCGAACCGTCCGCCAGTGAAGCCAGGATCTCCAACCGATGGCATGGTTGAAAGCTGCTGTGAACATGGCGAACATGTCGTCTTCAAACTGAGGCGTACAACTAGACATTGCAAGATAGTTCACCAGACCATTATTCTCAACAGTGAACGGAAGTAGGAGCTTCCGATGTTGTCCGGTAGTCTCAGAAGCCCGACGTAAGCCAACGATATCTCCAGGCGACAGAATCTCCCATTGCGGCTGCATCAGACCACTTGATTGCTGGAAGGCTTTGTAGATTTCCTGGGTGGTGTAACCAAGCCGACTCATGTTCAGGCAGATTGAAATGTTGTGAGCGAAATGTGCAGCCGACTGCCACAGATTTAGCAAGAGGCAGGAACTCTTCCGGACACCCAGATAAACTCACTTGCTGCCAGTGCAAGACTGGGCTAAAGGAGGGCCTCGGAATTGCAATGTAAACGAATCTTGGATCAAGTACAGGCCTGTCGACTCTATTCAATATTTGTTCCAGCACAACTGCGGTATTTCCGCTCATCTGCTGATTATGTTGGAGTTGAATCTGTAGGTTGCGCAACAGGGTGTCTTGTTGCAGTTGCAAGGTTCGGACGTCGCCTTGTGCTTGATCACCCTGACTGCTCGAATGCATGGTCAGATCTCTTACAGGCACAATCCTGGAAAATCAAAAGGGCGTGGTGCTGGATATCAATTCATGCACTTACCTTGCATTTTCGACTTTTTGCACAAGGTACTCCAACATGAGCAACGTCAGATCAGATTTGCAGGAGTTCAGAACATCTTCAAGCTTTTTGATGGATCCCTCTCTCCGGAGCACGCGCAGTCCTGTTCGAATCTCTGCTAGAGACATTTTAGAAGACGAGCTTTTACTCTTGAGCCTCTCCAATATTCTCAAGAGTTCTTCGCCTGCGTGCCGGCACCGATCGATAACGTTGATCAAATCCGACTCGTGCTCTTGGAGAGGCCCATGGCACCCTGGGGCTTGAATAGTCCTCTGCAAACGACTGACCAATCTCTCAAACGCGGTGACGGACAGATGAACGTCTGCAACATCTTTGGGTAGTTGGCCATGGGCTCGGCGAAGGTCGCCCACGACTTTGTGAAGTCTGATAGCAAAATTGAAGAATTCGACACAACTGCTCGCAATTCCAATAGAGACAGCGGCCTCCGCGGCCATTGTCGAGCGTCTATCGCTCGTGCATTGACGGAAGAGCAATCTTCAAAGACGGCATTCCGTTACAAGAAAACCACTCACACTTTAGATGAAAAACACAGGGCAACATACTCGTAAGGCTGGGTACATATCGAAAATGCGCCTCGGGCTGTGTAAAGCGGTTGCTGCCCAACCACACCTGACAAGCTACTTCTGCGAAACAGGCTGAACCAACATCAAAAGTTGCGATCTGCAAGGCAGACTGGCAAGGACATCCGAAGAAAAGCCGTTCCTAGGAAAATACGGACGGTACCCTAGGCTTTGATTCTTCCTATGATGGGACGTTTTCTAGGAGTGATGAGATCGCAGGAAGTATTTTGTGCCAGGAAGAATTCCATCCCAGGACGTCCTCTGTGCCCTCCTTTGTGCTACTCTAGAATTTCATGTGGTAGGCCCCATCCGTGGGAAGCCCAGCCAAAGCCACAGCGGTACAGCCTGGAGTAACTGAGACTGATCCCACGAGATCAATCAAACCGGGTTCCAAAGCGTGATGAATTTCTTGCTGGTCATACCAAAACTTTTGAGACAAACCCTTCCCCATGTCCTTGTGTCGTCCATCATGCCTGTGGCCACAATTCAATTCCCTGATCCTGGTAGCGAGAACTTGAAGCAAGCTCCAGCATTTGCGTCAAAGTGCAAACTATCAAGTTGGTTGATGATCCTCCCAGAAGCGGCAGCGCGTTTCCCTTTGGAGTTCCCCATATCTCCCAAACGCCGTCAGCTTCATGGCAAGCGCGGTCCAGCTCAGCACAAAATACGCCTGTTCAACCATTAATGCCAATCTCCACCCGCCAACATTTCACGATATTATGCACGGCCTATCCGCCGCGGATCGGGTCGACAAAGACAAGAAAATTCGTGCACCTGGGTATCACCGACAAAACACAAACCATGAAGGTGGAAAGTAGAGCACTGCTCTACCTATCATGTCCGAGATCAAAGCACTTTTCCGTTTCTTTCCAAAAAGTTGTTTTGGAATGCAATAGCGGATTCATTCCTTGGGTTCTTGTGAGAGTCGTGGCTTCTTCGCAATGTGTTCTTGGTCATTAATTTCTTGGAGTCGTCGTTCCAGCTCTTCAGCCTTGTGCTTCCATTCTTCGCGTTCTTGGATGGCTCGGTCCCGTTCTCGGCATAGGTTCTGTTCATTGTCGTGGTACACCATGTTGATGACCTCCAGTTCGGAGACTCGTGTGCGCAGGCGGGTGTTGAGGGCGGCTAGTTGTTCATAACTCATAGGAGGTTCGACGTGTTGGCTGTTGTGTGTGGAGACTGTGCTTGGGGAGGGTTGCGTGGGGTTGGGATTGAGAGATGGATCGGTGGGAGAGCCGTTGCGGTGATTGCTGCTGTTGTAGTGAGGGTCTACCGCAGCGGACACGCCGTCAAAGATGTGTTGAGGGGCGATGTTTGGGTCGTGATGAGCGCCAGGGGTCGCCGTGCGCGAGACGGGTGAGTGTGATCTATCAGAGGCGACAGATGCGGCCATCTGTGAAACCCGCCGGTGAGGATTGATGCCATTGGAACTGTCGGTCTGAGGAGGCTGGCCCCCATTCTGCTCAAACTGCGCCTTGGTGTCAGAAGCATGCGCACGAAGGCAATAATCACCGAGTATGACTGACCTTCTTCTTTGGACCTTGACTCGAGGTCTTGACTCGATTGCGACTCTTAATCACGTCCGTCTTGAGGCTAATCGGTCGCGGGCGCCCGTGCAGCTTGAGGAACAGTCCGCAGGCATTGCAGAGAACAGACCCGGCCTCGTCGCGGCGCCATAGCGGGGTGGTCGACGTCTGGCAGTTTTGACAGACAGGCTGTGCAAAAGGAGCATTCTGGTCAGCGCCTGAACTTATTGAGGCAGCCATGGTATTTTCCGTGGTGGTCGAGTCCAAGGAATCGTAGGTGATCGATAACGATAAGAAACCGAAGTTTAACCCCGTGACCGACCAGCGACAGAAAGGCAGCCTTGGCATCAAGCCACGCCGCTGCCACTGCTACTGCCACTGCACCAGGCTGAGACACAACACGACAGAAGAAACTACACTTACCGGAGCATTGCCTGCAATTCCAGGTGTGGGCACAGGTGCCATGCTGCCCGAGTAACTCATTTGCGAACCATAGCTGCTGCCAGAGAAGGATCTGTCGCCCGTGTCAGTTTTTTATTTCCATCTGTGGTCCCTGCGTCGTCTTGCAAGATTCCGTCTTCGGCGTACCTGACACTTGGTGGTGGTGCAGCAGCGGCCAAGGAGGTCAGCGCCGACAGCCCTGGCAGTGCTGGTCGGGGCTCGGAGTGGTAGTCCCGCCCGAGATTGAAGCTTGCACTTCTCGCATGGAATTGTGCGTGGTTGAAGAAGTGACTGCCTGTGTACGGAAGATTGGTTGACGACGGGCGCGAGATGTCCTTTCCAAGCACTGACGGGGGTGGCAGAGGTGAGCTGCTTCCCTGTTGATCCCGTCTCAGGTTGCCATAATCCTCCAGCCTCGGGTCACTCAAGGGCGTCGACGGTTGTCGGTAGGTAGGGTCAAGGACTGAGGCTCGGAAGAGCGGGGGAGCGACTGCGGACGCCGTGTTCAGTGGTGTTTGAGACCAAACCGTGGTCTCGACGGGTCTGTCTAGGTGCGAAGGGGACGCCTTGGGGAGGTCACTGTGATGGATATTATACCCGATTTCCAGCAAAACGATGCCACAGGCACTTCGTTGCAAATGCGGTGAGCGACAACAATATAACCAAAGAAAAAAGAGGGTGTGTTATCGCAGAACTGAAAGCACGTCTATCGATAGACGGGAATCTTGGAGTATTTTGCTTCATCCAATACAATCTCGGAGTCAGGGGGGGTTCCCATATCGAGGGGATCCTGGCTGGCGAGCACAATATTGGTCCCGCCGAGAAGCCTAGGAGGATGTCTAATTGCGCCTTGTCTTGACCGTAAACGCCTTTGTTGAGATGAGCTTCTTACCAGGTCCCAAAGGTAATCGGACCAGGGCCCGCAGAGACCGGGCGTGGACATGCTGTAACTCGACCTCGTTGTGCATTACACAAACATCGAGGGCCTATTGTGAACTGCACGGTCTGGAATAGCCCTTTGGAATCGAGCTGCATCCAGTCTCTGTGCGAGACACATAGTCGAGCAGGGTGGCGCTGATTCGGCGCTTTAGCAAATCTGGGGAAAGATGAAAGAGATTGTCAATCTCACGGTGGAGGCACCGGCTTCCGAAGTGCCCCTTTTTCCTATCGCGCCTCGGACCCTGTCAAAGCAACTGATGCTCAAATTTGCAAGAGGGGGGAATAGCCGCTCAAAGCTCGTTTCTAACTACTAGTAACTGACGTGCAGATGGAGTTCAATAGCTCATCAAAACTGCCTGGAGCCTGGAGCCTGCAGGGCGATCTGGGAAAAAGCTACCGCTCCACGAGTCCGCGACGACCCAATATGCGCGGCTCGCCGGCCAGGGCGCCGTCACTACAAAGTGAAACTCGATCCACTCTACAACTGCCATGCGCGTGGTACACAAGGATCCAACCGTCTCCTATTGTGGTTCTTTCTGTCTTCTAGCAATCATGTCACGCGTCAAAGAAAAAAGCATCTGTCGATCAAGGCCCGCTGTCCGAGATTAACGGCGGCCCCTCGCGTAAGGTTCGATAGGTAATCCAACTGCTTGGACTGAAGAGGCATAGTTGTGGCTGTTGAGGCTTGCAAGGAATCTGCAGGGCTTGTGGCTGATCAAGGAGAAAGAGAATAATCGATATCCGAAGATCTATCTGCTTTATCTGGGACGATCTCACGGACATTGAATTTAGATAGGTATATCGCTAGAAGAATGACCTACCGGTGTAAGGACAAGGCTCAGTACTGCATCGGTTCCCATCGATTAAGCTGTCCGAGCGTGCGCCTCGCGGATCGAATCTCCAGGGATGGCATAACTGAATTTTCGAGTCCCAGGTTGGCCATTGTTGCCTAGAAAGGGGGATGAGTGGCTGCCATGGCCATCGAGACCCCTAGGTACTCCTTCTACAGGCAGCAAAAGATGGATGAGGACCTCACAAGGCGACTGTGTCGGTAAGTGAGGGAAGTACGAGGTACTCGGGTTCTCGGTGCGAGCAGCCCAGTAGGTGCGAGCAGCCCAGTAGGTGCGAGCAGCCCAGTAGGTGCTGTGGTGCTGTAGGCTGAGGACCCAATAATCCCGCGTGTTGCAGCCCTGTGTGCTTGCCTGGTGCTGGCTTGGTGCTTGCTGGGGCCTGCGTCCGCCGTAAATAATGCGAGATGCACAAAATAATTGGTGCGGTCGGAGCACAAGTGAGCACCTACTTACTACCAAGTAATTACGAGGTGGGTGCGAGGTACCTTGAGCCACTTTTTGCTCATTCGAATAATCCCGGCTCACTCACTACTACCTCCGCGTTTTTGGCCCTTCCACACCAAACCTCGAGGAACGTGGCTCTACAGTCACTCCATGCCGACTTCTCGAGTGATCGTGGTCCCGACCTTTTTCTCCTTCTAGATTCGCAGCCGTCAGCATGTGAAAGCCGTCATCGTACCTTCCACCCTTTGTCTCCTCTTCTCCTCCCTGCCCTTCTGGGTAGTGACATCAAGCAATGCCTCGACAGCGACCGACCTCCGGCTACGCTCGCCTGGCGCAGGCCGACGACGACGATGGCCCGCTGGGAGACGAAGATTCTGGAGATGAGACATACGCATCCTCACCCCTAACCACCCGATATGCCTCGATTCAGCCCGCCCCGCGAGAGTCGATGCGCTCTACTGCCCACCATGATTCACGGAGACGATCCATGAGACGAGTACGAAGTAATTCCTCGGGTGTGGACATCAAAGCCATCAATGCCCGGTTGGAGAGATGGGCAGAAGAGATCGTGACCAAATTCAAAATCAGCTCCGTCAAGGGCAAGACCCAAGAGGAAGAACAACTCGAGATACATCATTCCGTCTTCCAAGCTCCTGTGGGCGTACACCCTTACACCGCCTCCGAACTGGCTGCCTACACTGCTGCCGAAACGCAAAGACTGACCAAACAACAATTCGATGACATCGTGGAAAGCGTCAGAGTCGCCATCGAACTCGGGACACACCCCAAGATGATCTCGCAAGGGAGCTCCGGCAGCTATTTTGCCCGCAACAGTGAAGGCACAGTTGTTGGTGTGTTCAAGCCCAAAGATGAAGAGCCATATGCCTCGAGAAACCCCAAATGGACAAAGTGGCTGCACCGAAACCTCCTTCCTTTCGCCTTTGGCCGGGCGTGCCTGATACCCAATCTATCCTATGTGTCCGAAGCCGCCGCTTATGTTTTGGATAGCCAGTTGAGGACATACATTGTCCCGTACACCGACGTCGTCTGGTTATCCTCCAAGGTCTTTTATTATGATTTCTGGGAAAGGAGAAGCACCTGGGGTGGAAAGAGAGGTCTACCAGCGAAACCTGGCAGCTTTCAGGTTTTCTTGAAAGGATTTAAAGACGCAAACATTTTCCTGCGCGAGAATCCCTGGCCGGATCAAGCAACCGAGTTCCGTGCAGACATGGAGCATTCACGAAAGAGAAGGCCCTTAAGCCATTGCCTTCCTGGTGGCCGAGGTGCAGACGACGATGACCAAGAGGCTCCTCGAGTAGTCTCTCCTCCGCCGTCAGAAGAGGCACCCAAATTCCATTGGACGCCTACCATACGGCAAGCTTTTCGGGAAGAGCTGGAGAAATTGGTCATTCTCGATTACATCATGCGAAACACTGACAGGGGCCTCGACAACTGGATGATCAAGATCGACTGGAAGACGGAAGAAGTCTCGATTGTGGCAGAACCGCCCAAACCGAACGGCGCCACCGAAAATGGGGATACACACCTGCGACCGGCATCAGTAAGCCCCAACATCAATCCTCAACGACCGGAGTCAAATACGTCGAGACCATATAAGCGGTATGAGGCGATGGAGAGTCGATCAGGGACACCCTCCAACAACCACGAACTCCAATGTTCCATCACCATCGGGGCCATTGACAATAGTCTGTCATGGCCCTGGAAACATCCAGATGCCGTATGTATAGAGATCTACTCGCTCCTGGCGTGTGCTAACTCACCTTCTAGTGGCGGAGTTTCCCATTTGGTTGGCTGTTCTTGCCCGTCTCCTTGATAGGGCAACCATTTTCCAAGAAGACTCGGGATCATTTTCTCCCTCTGCTGACTTCAACCGCTTGGTGGAGCGAAACTCAGATGGCTCTACGCAGAGTCTTTTCGTTAGACGCGGATTTCAAGGAAAGCATGTTTGCCCGGCAGATTGCTGTGATGAAGGGGCAAGCCTGGAATGTGGTGGAGACATTGAAACAAGAAGATCACGGACCTTTGGAGCTGACGAGACGGACCAGAGTATGCGTCTGGGACGACCTGGTAGATGTCCCTGTGGCGATCCCAATGCGCGTTCCCTCCACCGAGATGAACCGCCGCGCAGCACGGCATTATCAACAACAAGAAGAGATGGACATAGGAGCATCCTATGCCTCTGCCCCGTCTGGCAGACACCAAGCACCCCAATACGATCTTCTTGGCTCTCCGACGAACGAATTGCCCAATGCAAACCGCTTCGACCTCACTCGTGAAGATAGCGCGGCAGATCTGGGCTATCTGCCTGGTCCTGGCGAAGATGGTGGACTTTCTAGCACTGCTCCGGGGTTTGACTCCAATGACTTTGCTCGGGAGGCTCGCAGCAGCCTCGGCCATCATCCAAGCTCTTACACGCTCCCGGCTCGCCCCTCGGCGAAGGGCAAGACGCGCTTCAGCTTCGAATTTCCCCGTCGTGGTGGCGACAGCTCTACACACAGCAACAACGTGTCCTCAAAAGAACGCGCCACGAGAAGGCAACGGTCCATGTCAACAAGGAGTGGCTATGGTGGCCACAAACCGAAATCCGTTCCGAGCATCGTTTACGAGGGAGACGATCTGGACGAGGGAGATTTGGGGTATGCCGCCGCGAGTGATATGGACTCGACACACAGGAGGAAGGTCATTGTGGAGAGGCTGGAAACGGTCAAGAGCAAGAAACCCTTTTTCACCTGGTGTTAAACAGAAGGATATTCTGGGATACATGATAAAAGGAGGGGTGGCGTATATGGGGGGACTATATGTGCATCTCAAGCCCAGTGTTTGTGTTCTCTCCATTGGTGGATGAAGAGACACCGTTGACTGTTCAGTGTTTGGCATATGATGTTTGGGATCTCTGTACTGTACTTGGTATAAGAGGCAATGCTGTCAAGAGGAAAAGAAAATACGTGTCTCACGATGCATGATGCATGATGCATGCTTGCATGGCAAATGGTGTCTCGATATACTTATCTATAAAGCGGAAACTGAAACCGGAACATGGAAAATGGGAAATAAAGTGGTCGTTTGGGCTTGACCATCAGTCAAGTCAAGTCAATCCATTCGTCCGCACGTTGCATTGTATTGGATTGTGTTGACTCAATCAATGAAACAGTCACGTCAATCAATCAATATTGATTATTCGTCAGCGTCCACATGCCCCAAGCGCTGTTCTGAGATGATAGATCGGTATGCAAGCGAGGGGGAGCTGTCGAGATCCTATCTGCCTGGCCTGTCCGTATGTGTGTCCATCTGGTGCATCTCTCTGGCTTCAGCGGTGGTGGTGGTTTCAACGCCAATGTACGTGGTAGGGTCGGTCTTTTCATAGTAGAAGCAGAGCATATCAAAGAATATTTCTTCCCGTGATGTAAAAGGGGGAAGCGAATTCAAATTATCTTCTTTCTGTGAAAAAAAAAAGACGCCATTGACGCCGGCTCCGAGACTTCGTATCGCCTGTAGGCTGTCTTTCCCCCTCTGCTAATCCATACATACTCGTAACGGCTCAGGCCCGTGCTCGCTGTTACTCTCGCTCTCAGCTCTACGAGAAATCTTCCTCCTCCTTCTCGATCGCGTTCTTGACTCTCAAAAGCAGTGTCGTCTTCCACTTGTCCAGCTTGCTCAGCGAATCGAACTGGAATAGCTTGTCCGAGAACGCTTCCTGGTCGCCTTCCTCGACGCAACCCACCAGGTCTGTCAGGAGCATGTTCTCCCTCGTGCCTGCGAAGCTGCCGTCCAGCTCGCGGTACTGTTCCAGTGCTCTCTTGGTGGCCACTTGATCACCCGCGGCGAGATGGCATATCCCTGCTTTGAGAAAGTAATCCTTGACGCTCCAGCGCATGAGGTTGTTGTTTAAGCTGGATTTTGCCACGGTCTCGAGTTTGTTGATTGCGTTCTGGTAGTCGCCCTCCAGGGCCGCCAGGTCCGCGACTTTCAAATACAGTTTATTGGCCAGTGCCTCGGCGTTGTCGCTCTCGTACCACTGTGCCGCGGTCTCGTACGCCTCGAGCGCCTTTTTCTGGTCGCCGATCTCCATCTCGTATACTTCGGCGAGGTTCTGTTGGTGTGTCGCCGCGCGGCGGAAGTTACCCTTGGCGGTGTAGTGTTGGATGGCGGTCGCAAGGACGCGGGCGGCGTCTTGGGGGGATTCTTTGCGGTAGACTTTGAAGGCTTCGGTCAGGGTGTTGGCCATGTCATCGGGTTCGTTGAGTTTGGATTGTTGGATCGAGGCGGCTTGCTCAAAGGCTTTGCCGGCTTCTAGATCTGTTTGAAGGATGTTTAGCACCCTTCATAATAGCATAGGCGAGGGATGTTTTGCTGCCTGGTTGCTTACTCTGCTTCTGTACTCGGAACGCATTTGCGGCTTGTGTATAGAGATCCGCAGCGTTCTCCCATTTCTCGGCTCGTCCACCAAATAGACTAAATCCACCAGAGGCGCCCTGTGCGGCCTTGTCGGCCTTCTGTAGTAATACTCGGGGATCTTGAGCCATAGTTGAAGTTCAAATGAAGGAGTGGCAGAAAACAGAGAGTGGTGTGTGCGAAGTGCAGGGTTTCCTGGGGCCCCGCAAGTATGTTGAGAGATATGCGGATAAGATGTCACAGACTTTGAAATCAATCAGTTAGCAGATGTATAGGTGGCTCCTTGAACAATACCTGGTTGATAGATGGAGTTGCGAATCACTGTCCAAGCGCAGGACGCCCAAGACGCCCCGCCCCGCCAAAGCGCAGGTGGTCGGTGAATGTCATTGCCTGAGAGTGCGAACTGGTCCTCCGTACAAAACATCACCATGCTGCTTTAAGTTTCTATTCGTCGCAGCAGCGCCGATAAATGTTTACTGGCATCAACCACCAGGGAACCAGTGTAACCCGCAAACCTGACCGGGAATTAGGACGAGATGCCTCGAATCTCGCGACAGGCATTCAATATCCGCACCGTTCTCACTGGACCTGGCAGGAGCCCAGCTCGCGAAAAGGAACTGAGGGTCGTCAAGAAAATCGACGTTTCGCCAGAAATCCAATCCCTTCTCGAGACGCCCACATGGTCCGTGTCTCAGCTCCTGCCTGCGGGGTTTCGGGTTACTGCTCAGGGGACCCCGACGGAAAGGACAGAGAGACTTGGAATCAAAGCACAGGCATGGCGGACCGAATATCTTTTTCCGTGGGCGAGCAAGATAACAATCATTAAACTCCGCCATCTCCTACGCCTTTCGGCGCTCCCTCCTCCCCAATCCAAAATCGAAGAAGAAAAGATGCTCAAGGAGTTGCGCGACCAGCTACACCTCGTCAGGGAGATCCTGAAGGTCGACACGACAGGTGTTGAACCTCTTGTGGCCATCCGCGATGAAACCGCGGAACACATTCAGGAACGCACCATTACCCGAGAGACACTGGCCGAGTTTCTCGCGCTTGAGGAGAAGAAGGGCCGGAACGGAACGATCAGGAGACGCAGAGATACGTATCTAGTCACAAGTTTCACGGAAGAAAGCCAGCCATGGGAGGAGGATCCGCTGGCTTGGAGCAAGGTGAAGGATCCCTGGGCACTTGGAGAAGACGGGGACAGTCGGAAGATGGGGAGATTTTTCTTCGTCAAGAGACAGGTGCCCGAGGCAGAGGGTGACAGAAGGGAGACGGCACCCTCCGAGACGGAGCAAGAGGGGAAGGCAAATTTCAAACCAATGGATATGCCCTGACCAACAGAGAGGACGCCTGCGAGTCAAAGAATTTTTCCAGGATCACCACATCCACGCGAGTGACCGGTGTTCTGCAATAGGAGGTCGGAGCAGACTCCTATGGAAGCCAACACCGAACATGAAGGTCTACCCCTTGGTCAGGCCATACCGCGCGTCATGGTGCATCGGGAGTGAGGAGAAGATGGGCCTTCTGCAGGCTGTGGGGGATGGTTGGTACAGAGATGCAGGGACCTTGCGAGATTTGCGGCCTCTATATGTCCTAAGGTCAGCGAATGTGCCTGAACTAGCGAACAACGGGAGAGCAGGTGAAAGATATCTTCCTGTGGACAACAGCCCTCGAACTTCACCCGTCGTGCTTCCTAAGTCTACAAAATGTACGGCGCTTACGACGACGGTCACCAGGCCCAGATTGCTTGGTATAGGACGCCATAAGCGAAGGCTCGCAGATTCGAACATGGAACGCGGACAAAAGGTTTACCTCAAGATTGCCAGCCTGAAACTGTCAGCGCCGGCTGTTAGGTGCCAGGTCGAAAAGCCTCGCGAGTAATGGGGGAAGAGAGGCCCGGCAAGGAGAATAGACGAAGACGGCTGGCCAGAACGACGGTACGGCGGAGATGGACGAGTGAACAATATATGCGAGAGGCTGAAACCAGGCTGAAAGCAAAGGCGCTGGAAGGACTCTGTTGTAGCACTCAGACGGTCAGATCCGGAAATGTCAGTCCCAGGCGTAAGGATCCCACTCTCCTAGATTCGCCTTTTGCCCTTCATCCAGCGCGTCAATTACCTCCATATCGTCCTCTGAGATCTCCCAGCCGAAAACGCCCTTGTTCTCGACGATGCGCTCTTCGCGATCACTCTTGGGAATGACCACGAATCCCTTTTGGAGCCCCCACCTGAGGACAATCTGCGCGGGTGTCCTGCCATACTTGTTCGCGAGGCTCACGATAGTCGGGTCATTGAGTCTTCGGCCCTGCGTGAGCGGCGAGTACGCCACCACCACAATCCCCTTGGCCTGGCAGTACCTCACCAGCTGCCTCTGCTGATTCCACGGATGGAGCTCGATCTGGTTACACACGGGCTCGATATACACGCCCTCCTCGGCCATGAGCTGCTCAATATGTTTGGGAGCCCAATTACTCACGCCGATACTTTTCACCAACCCCCTCTCCACACAATCCTGCAGACCCAACCACGCCTCCTTCCTCGCCCTGGGACCCGGACGCGGCGTATGCAGTAGATACAGATCAATCGTCTCCAAACCGAGTTTCTCCAGCGAGGCCTCCACGCCCGCGACGGCCCCGGCGCGCGAGTACATGTCCTCCCACAGCTTTGAGCAGACGAAGAGCTCCGCGCGGTTGTGGACACCGCTCTGCGCGATCGCGGCCCCGGTCTCGGCCTCGTTCTGGTAGATCTGCGCCGTGTCCAGGTGTCGGTACGAGTGGGTTAGTGCTGCTAAAGCGGACTGCGTGCATGTCGCGCTCATGCAGGTGCCGAAGCCTAGCACGGGTATCGAGTGGCCGGATTTGAGGGGCAGGGGGGAGGAGATGGTTAATTCGGGCATCTCTTTTTCTTCTTCTTTTTTGTTTGAGAGAGAGAGTCGTTTGATTGGTGTTGCATATATCACATATATCCCCGCAAGAAGAGTGAAGTTCTAATGGAAGAAGAGTGAGTGAGTCTGAGGCACTTTAAGACGTCAAAGATCTAGAGATGTAGTCACGGCTTAGATTTTTTTGAATTTTCTCCAATGCAACGCTTTTCGTATTCCCTATGTGCGGGGATTCTACCTACCTAGGTACCTATACTTTAGCTAAGTTGTAATAATACTTACTACCCAGCAATAAACATCGTCTCCTTGCGGAGTATGTTTACGAAATCCAAGTGTCCCTAAGATGGAAATGGAGATGGAGACGTTGAGGCTGGGTGAGGCAAGACAAGTACCTCGTACAGTACCTGTATGTAGGTATGGGACACCCAGGGGAAGCTGCAGGACGCCGGGGGCATCTACCGCAAGTACCTAGGTACAGTACCGTGTCAAGCCACGAGCTTCTGGACTCTTGGAGAGGTCCTGCCTACGCCCAAGTGTCGGCCGCGTACTACAGCTGAACGGACAATTGCGAGAGACGACGTCTAGGGCGGGAAGGAACGGCGATACCTGCCAAGAAGCCTGCCAGCACCAAAAGGGCCTTGACAGCTAGACTCGAGCCTTGCTGGGTCCGAAGACCAGAACCAAGCGGGACTTGCGAGCCTGACAAGCCTGGCTTGCGACCACCCTTGGACCGGAACGGGACGATCGGAGAGGCCGGCAGCCTAATATCCGGGTCGGGAAACCGGATTTGAGTCGGGGAGATCTCCAGACTCGACCATCGCGGGGTCCGCCGGTCGACTTGAGTGAGCAGATCCCATGTCGCGATGAAACGGACGTGCTGCCGCGGAGGTTGTTGGGAGTGCCCATCGATCGCGATGATCCAGAAGCTCACGGTGAAGTGGTCCTGGGGACTGATGGAGCCGAGCTCGCTGTAGTCTGCCTCGACCACCGAGCGATGGGATGCGAGCAGGAAGTCGACCGTGTGCATCACGCCAAAGGCGTCGGGTGCTTGGACGCGCGGGTCTGCATCCGCCGTCGTGGGTGCGACACCAGCCCTGGTACAGAATCGACTCGTTCACGCCGTTGAGTCGGAACGTGAACTCCTCGGGCCCGGCTTGTGGTAGCGGTTGGAGCGAGAAGGTCTGCGAAACCATAATCGGTCAGTGCTTGGAGCAGCCAGCCAGCCCCCGCAGAGCCCTGCTGGCTGGGGATGCGACGTACGAGTGAGTTGGGGGAGTTGTAGGTGAAATTGAAGCAGCCTTGGCAGGTCAATGCGATGGTGGTGTTCTGGGTCTTCTTGTCTGTTTCCCAACTTGTCAGCCACGGCCTCTTAGGCCTTCAGGCGATGATGGGCGTTACCGTGCTCGAGCACCTGCACCTCCTTGGCCTGCGAGCAAGTTCGGTTCGGCACGAGCGGTGGCACGATCGGATGAGTCGGAGTCACGTCGGACTTGGCAAAGTCGATGACTTGAAGGGCCGGCTCGTACGCGAGGCGTCCAAGTCTTTGCATCGGCTTGTGGAAGTTCCAGGTGACGATGAAGCCAAGTGGCTTGTCCAACGGCTGGTGGTCCACCGAAGTGATGGCGAAGTGGAGGTCGCCTGTCTCGTCGTCCGCCGTGGTGTCAGGTGGGAAATCACTGATGGTGACCTCGGCGACGTGGATGGCGTCCAAGGAGTCCTGTGTATAGGGATTATAGAAGTGCTGGGGGTAAGGCTTTGGCGTTGTTCCTTTCCCAGATCACATCGAAGCAGGTTGGACATGTCCCGACTCCGAGCCTGAATCGCTGAGAGGGGCATCAGCAAACAAGGAGACGGATCCATCGTGTTCATATTCCCATTTCTCACTCTCACTTACCAAATACTCGGTATCGTTGGCCCCCAGGGGCTATTGGGAAACGGGATGCGGAATAGCATTGACTGGAATCCCACACCTGGGAGGGTCAGATTCTTGTTCGATGCAATTCAGGCCCCAAAGCATACCATAGTTATACAAGGACATCTTGATTGTCTCGATATTATCCACGGGAAGAACGTAGCTGTCCGCCTGGGGTAGCACCAGCAATGTGGCCCCCATAGCCGCGAGAAGCAGGCTCAACATATTGGAATGGCCTCCGTCGTGCTCTCCTGGTCTTTAGGGAACAAGAGAACTGTAGGAACATCAATTGGTACCATCAGGACTGCATACGAGCGTGTACCAAGTATGAGATATTACAAAAGGCTCTACGCTACCTAGCGAGCTACATAACGAAGACAACAAGCGAGCGTGACGAGCCGGGGTAGCTATATGTATGGTTTGATCCTCGATGGCCAATCGATGCCATGGGCTATCTACACGTGAGAACCTTTTCGAGACCGTCAATAAAGCTCGGAAGAATACAAGTAAACCACAAGCGCGATGTTATGCAGCTCCAAAAAGTAAGAATTGCTAATGGAGCATAAATATGTGTATTTAGAGACTTTTGACCTATCGACGTATACAAGCAACTAGCGAAGGAGAGAGACCAGGGGGTAGTAAGTGCCCGCAGTGTCACTCGCCTAACCTGCTTGATATAAGGTCTGACCGGCCAACCTTCCCAATATAGTTAGGGCAACAGACCTCTATATATAAGGCTTTCTGCAGCGTCCAAAGTTGTACGAGGTATACCGGGTAAAGTCTCTGAATGCACGCAGCAAGGACAGTTATGCTCCATTACCTAACCAAGACGAGGTCCTCCACAAACGTGTGTACACGTCAATAGGTCAACGTCACCGCCCTTAAGCTGAGCTGGTTACCCGATCCGCGGCCGTCATTCTCATCGGTCTGCATAATGTCCAGACAGTGGCCGTCATTATCATCGAGTCGGCATTATGTCCAGATAGTGGCCGTCATTGTCATCAGCCGGCATAATGTCCAGAGAGTAATCCTGCCAGTCTTTCACGAATGTGGTCTCCTCGGTCTCCACCTGGGGAGGTGGCTTTTGAAGCTTATGGAGGACAGGCATGTTCGTCTGACAGAACCTTGGAAGTGATATGCTGCAACGCTATCGAATATACGGGAAGCAGGGAAGGGAAGGAAATGGATTTGAAAGAAGACAGGAGATGTTGAGTTGAGAGATGAAGTATGGAGCGAGACGAGATTGAGAAAGAACGACGCCCCATACACAGCCGATTCAGAGTGCCATGGAGACGGTTCCATGAATGATCAAGCGATGAACCTGGCTCTTGTCAATGCGATGTGCTCCGTGAATAACTGGCCTCTCAATATCAGTATACATGTTGAAAGACGCGGAGCACGTGGTATAGAAAAGGCATCTGCCTGTCTGGCGCGGGCGTTGGACTCAATGCCCCCTCTTGATCTTTTGATGGGCTACGATCGAACTGAATCTCATAATGGCGATGATCATGTTAAGTTCATGTGGTAGCCTCATCGCTCGAACCGCTGCCATCGGGATCAGACACAGTGTCAAGGTGCAGAAACTGCTTAGAGGCATTCGACATGCCAGACACAGCATCCGGATATTCGTCATCGTGCACAGTCTCTTCATTGTCTGGATATTTTTTGTAGAGCTCATTGAGCTTGATATTGTCCCCTCCTTGTGCACTTGTCGTGCATCTTGACGCGTCTGGGTGAGTTTGGCAACCACTTCGGAATGCTCAAATCTGCCACTCGAAGCACGGTATGCCGATTGATCGAGAGGTCCACTGGCCTGTGTTGCTGCCTCTTTCTTGACCAGTTGCCTTTCCAGAAACCACCACAACAGCAACAATGGGCTGCATATTGTCAAAGAAGCTCCGCAAGGGGATTGAAGACGACGATGTCCTCCCGATGCCCTCCTCGCCATTGTTCTCCACTGTCCTTGACCCGCTCTCCAGGCCTATTGAGGTCGTATAATACGGTGTGAACATCGGGTCCCCAAACTCAATAGAGCCGAAACTATTGAGTCCGACAACAGGGAGCAGACTGCATACAACTCGACGGCATCGCCCTGCAAAAATTCATTCTCCCAATAGCCGAATCGGGCATGTCTCCCTCCAGTACAACCAGTGTTTCTTGGCATCGGGTTGGGGCGACCTGGCGTCGGGCTGGGGCGACCCATCAAGCAGCATCGCATGCATATCGCGGCATCTGGACATCTCAATAACAGCCCACGTTGTGCCCGAGGGGTCCTCCCCGATTATCTCGAACAGAGAATGCCCAGCTACTCGTGCCCGTTCGGGAATGTCCTGAGGGAGGAACACGGGTCGGGACGCCGACGACACCACGCACGAGGCTGCGTTTGCTGTTTGAGATGCTGCCGTCTCTTCCGCCCGAGCCACACAGTCAGCAGCGGCTCCCTCGACGGACCCAGACCATCTACACAACATGGTTAGCTTATTTTCAAGGCGGGCAAAGTCCAAACCAGAAGTCGTTGGGCCAGACGCGACAACCTCTTTTGTCAATACAGGGTCAACTTACGGCCCTTCTCTCCCGCATTTCTGCAGCAGGGATATCGCTTTTGATCGCCACGCAGAGTCACGATACTTTACGGCTGTGAAGAAGAGTGGCTGGATGATTCCCATTTCAGCGTTGAAGGTGGGCATGTCGGCCTCGATAGCTTTGGCACTCATGGCCTGTTCGACACACTCGACGATCTGTTGGAACTGTGGCGCGTACCTGTCGTACCCTGTTTCAAATGGATCGAGGATATTCGAGACATAGATGAGCGCACTGAGACAATGCGCCTGAAGCACGAGTCCATGCAGATCGTTGAGCGGTGAAATGTCATGGCACATCTTTGAGTATTGTCGGTAGCGTGAAAGCCATCTGTTCAGTTCGGCGATATGACGGCTCTGCTCTAGCACCAGCAACTCCCGAGAGTCTGCGCGAGGGAGATATTTGTATTCAGAGGCCTTTGTGGCGAAACTGTAGCAGGAGTGCAACGTCCGGAAGAGCTCACGGTCTGCCTGTTGGGGAGTGAACGTGGTTACGTCCGCGTCGATACCCGGTGCAACAGGAAATTGGAGCTCTGGAGGATTTGCCAGCGCATAAGTAATGACCTGCAAGTCCAATTTTCCAAAAAGACACGACAGGTCATCTTCAAGCAGAGCTTTGCTGTTCGCGGATCTTGCTGCAAGCCATTCGCGGGAATTCATGACCGAGAATGCACCTCGCAGATGAAGCAGAGCATCGGTGTGTCGGTGCTGGATCGTTTCCGCACAGGCCAGCAGGATACACGCCACAAGTACTGGCAGAGGGCCGTGGGGGAGGCGAAGGACATCCTGTCGAATTTTGGCTATCGCCGCCATGATTTGTTTCAGGGCCTTGAACCTGGCAGCACCACAATATCTCTTCAGCACCTGTTGCTCGTAAGATGCTGCAAATGCGGCGGCGGCCTCTCTGACACTTGGAATGGACAGTGCGAGCTGAGGCACGAGATGGGTCCAAAACGCAGTTTCTGCTTCGGTCCTTGCACCAGGCCGTCCTTGTGAGAACACGGCACAGGCCAGTAGACGCAGCCGGTCAAGTTCCGGGTTCGCTCCCAGCTGCGTTGGCCTGCTGAGACTGACGCAGTCGGGGCTTTCTGGTTCGGGAGAAAGTGCTATGGCCGTCTGCGCCTGTTCTTGGGCACGAGGCGCTCCCTCAGGGTAGCCTTCACAGGTGCGTTTGCCGCGCTGGCAGCGTAAACAGTGCGGCTTGAACTCATCACACTTTACTCGACGGGCCCTATCAAAATTGTCAGGGGAAGTTCTGGATTCAAAATGACCATGCTGGAAGTTCTCACCGGCAGGTAAAGCACCCGTACTTTGATTGCCGGACGTTGGTACGCGTCCTCTGCTTCTGGGTTGCTGGGGCTGGTGAGTCGAGCGACATCTGGCGAAGTCAAAGACCGAGATGAGAAGCACACAAGAAGAAGAAGATCCATGCTGTGCGTGTCCCTCAAGCTGGCCGTGATATGGATGCAGGTCGCATTAAGAACTGAGGCTCATGCTCCATGCCAATAGAGAGCGGATCTCTAGCAGGTGCCGGAAAGGGAATGGTCCAAACTCAAAGACCGAGCCTCGTCAGGCACCACCATTTCTTCCTTGTACCATAACTTCTCTTTCCCAGAACATTTGCTGCGATGACACCGACGTGGAGCTCCAAGAAAGGCCCTAGATCAAGCATGACCAGCCAGGCGGAGCAATCACCATGGCGGAGTCGAACAACAGCCACGGCCACGCACGCGCGGACGAGGAACCATGTCAATCTCCCTCCTCAGACGGTATGCGCCGAGAATGCATATATACTGCTCTCAGCAAAGGTAGGGAAATCCCAAGAGGACCTCAGAAGACCCAGTCTCTACCACCTGTTCCTCCCTTGTTCTCTGATTCTGTTGCACCGACACTTCCCCAACCATGAACTCAACATTCGACCCTGCCAACTGCACATACGCCACCTGCTCCGTCCAGGATTACGGCCAGTTGCGATACATCCCCTCGCTCGCCGGAAACGCTTTCTACCTGGCTGTCTTCTGCCTCGCGTGCCTCTTACAGATCTATTTGGGTCTTCGATACCGTACATGGGGCTTCATGTTCGGCATGCTGGGCGGCATCGGCCTGGAGATAATGGGATACGTGTCTCGAATCCAACTACACTACGACGACTTCAACAACACCTACTTCATCATCTACCTGGTCGGACTGACGATCGGTCCGGCATTTTTTTCGGGTGCCATCTACATCTGCCTAGCCCGGATCATCGCCGTCTACGGTTTGGGAGTGAGTCTCCTCAGCCCGCGGGCCATCACTGTCGTCTTTGTCGGATGCGACTTTGTGTCGCTGGTTCTCCAGGCTGCCGGGGGTGCCTTGGCCTCGTTGGACATCTCACCCGGGCTAGAACAGACCGGGATCAACCTGATGATTGCGGGGCTTGCCAGCCAAGTGGCATCCACCACTGTCTTCTGCGGGCTGTGTCTCCAGATTGTGTTCTCCATCCACAAACGAGCGGGCCTGGTCAACCGCAACAGCGCCGCGCTTCGAAGAAAACTCGCATTCAAGCTTTTCTTATCTGGTGAGTTCCAAAACACCTCCTTTCCAGCGCGCATTTCCTCACTCACAATCCCCCTTTCTCTCGATCAGCAATCGCGATCTCAACCGTCGCGATCCTCATCCGATGTTCCTTCCGGGTGGCCGAGCTGAGCCACGGCTTCGGAAGCGCCATCGCAAACGACGAAACCAAATTCATGGTCCTCGACGGTGCAATGATGGCTCTGGCAGTCCTGGCCCTCTCGGTCGGGCACCCTGGCCCTGCCCTCGGCGAAGTCATGTGGGCGCAAGGCGGATTCAAGTTGCTGCCGCGCTCTAAGAGGCCCAAGAAGACGCGGCAGATCGCATACGGCCTGTCCGAGACGATGTCGCCAGTCGGATTTTCTCTGAGAGAGATCCCGAAGTGAGGCGATGCCAGACGATGGCGGAAAGTGCGAAACAAAAAAGAAAAAAAGACAGAGCTTCCAAAAGAAGCAGGCTATCAATTATTTTAGATATATAGGGTATAAATAACGAACACGCAAGGGGACTGGCAAACAGCTCACGCAAGGGCTGTAAGCCACCAATTCAAAGACCAGCAGCCATCATCAAGCCATACCCGACAGTAATCACAATTGCAAACGTGATAACAGATGCCGGAACACCGCGGGTCAAGAAGTGTTTGACTCGCAGATATCGCACGCCTGTCTCGGGTACTTCCATCATGATTGCAGCTAGAGGTCTTGTTAGCAACTAAACTCGGGAATCTGTTGTAGACAAATGAAAAGGAGAAGGACTTACTCATATTCGGAAATCCGGACGTGGGCAACCCCATCGCCGCTGAACACATCAACGCCGCACCCATGACCAACAGATTCGGGTGCGGCTCCTTCATGCTCTCGCCCACCTGCGCCACAAGCGGTAGGATAATCAGCGCCGCCACTGTATGGCTGATGAATGTAGCGACCACAAGCACCAACGAAGCAAAGACCACGAGTACGCCATATATCGAGAGACTGTCCACACGCTCGGTGATACCCTTGGCAATCGAGTGGAGCAGCCCCGACGAGGAAACTGCGCGACCCAGAGAAAGACCGCCCGCAGCCAGGATGATGATCGTCCACAGGAAGTTGTTGAAGTCTTCTTTGGTCAAAATACCCGTACCGAAGAACAGCACCAGAGGGATGATGGCAACGACGCCCATATCCCCGAATACACTTTCCAACTGATGAGAAGCACACCACAGGGCAATGGTGATCAGCGTGACCAGGATGATAAAATACTGCACACCATTGAGCTTGTCCTTCATTGGTCGGATAGGCACGATGGTGGTTCCCTTGCCAGGTTTAAAGGTGACAACCAACAAAAGCCAGATCAAAATGATGCTGAGGATACACACCGGCAAAGCGATGAAGAACCAGATCCCCCAGCTTGGCTGCGGTTTCATGTTTTGCAGCGCGATGATATTCTGTGGCGAGGCGATGGGTGAGGCGGCACCGCCAATGTTCGACGCTAGAGCGATTCCCAAGATCAAGGCTTTGGACATGTTACTGTCCGCCGGTAGGTTGCGGAGGATCGGTTGAATGATGCTGAAGCACAGCACAGGTGCGGCAACATTGGAGATCCACATGCTCAAGAACATGCCGACGAACATGTTGGTGATGAGCACGTTGCGGGCTTTGGTGCCGGCTTTGCTAAGCACAAACGTTGCCATCATCTTTGCTATGTGGTATTTCGACAATGCCGCTGCGATGGTGAAACCGCCGAGCAACAACATGATGACCGGCGTCCACATAGCCGCAAAGACGGACTTGGTCGCATCTTTCGGGTTCAGTCGGTGATGAGGTTTATCTTCTGATCGCATGATTCGCAGGACGACCACCAGAAAAGGAATCAGCAGAGAGGTGACAAAGAGGGGAATCACCTCGGTGGCCCAGAGCAACGACACGAAGACCAACATCGCTAGACAATTTTGCTGCTCTGGACGCTTCATGATCGGGATGTAGAGCAAGGCCACGAAAACCGCCAGAATGCCGAGAAGAGTGAAAAAGGTACCACTGAACAACCACTTCGGACACCTGTACCGACCCACGGGGGTGACGATTTCCTTTGTGTCGATAGCTTCTCGATCACCCTGCAGTCGTGCCTTTGATGGATCTTGTACTCCACCCAGCAAGGTCTGCCTGATACCAAAGTTGGCGGCTTGAGCTTTGCGCTCGATGCCAATCATCTCACGCCAGACGGTGTTTCTCTCCCACACGACATGCTCGCGGAGATGGAGTCGAAGCTCCCTCCGGGCCATGTTCTGGTCGCCCTTGGTGACGACGTCAGCATAGGCCTTTTCCACCTTTGCAATATTCTCATCAAGATGGGTCATTGTCTTTTCCTGAAACGGGTAGGACGGGTTGACCGATTTTTCCATGTAGTCCTTTCGAATATCTCGATTGCACACCTTGTCGTACTTCTTGGCTGCCTTCTTGAATCCGGTGTGGTTGAGTTGGATGAAGGACTTCAACTCGCACAAGGACACATAGATGCCGATTATGCGCTTTTTCAGATTGATGCCTGAATCATACAATGATGATAGATGACCCGGATCAGACGCCTCGAGTTCCATGGCCAAGCTGGGTCTCCTCCTAAGGAACACGGGCGAGTCTGGCGCTCGTAGGTCTTCGCGAGATTCCGCCACTGCAGAATGGTCTGACCCATCTGTGTTCCAAGTGCTTTTACTCCTTGGACGGCCGGACGGTTTTTTTCTGATCATGGCGGCATTGTCTTCAGCGTCGCTGTCGCTGTCATCGCCTTCAGGCTCCTCTAGACTGACACTCATAGTCGAAGTCCTTCTCCGCCGACGGAAGGGGACGTTGAATATGCTCGACGAGCGCATGGCCTTCCGACGATTCTCGGCTTCGACCACATCTTCCATGTCCACGTCATGCGTCTCGACCTTGTAGCCATCGACATCTTTCAAAAGCTGGTCCAGTTCGCCAAAGATTTCCAGCTCTTTCAACCTATAAAAGGAGCATACCTTGTCCAACTCCGAGTCCAGCATGCGCTTGAAGGTAGTGTCCGGGTCGAGCGAGCCGCCCAGCAGAGCGGTATTTTCTTCATCTTGAGGTTGCACCTCGCCCGTCCGCCGGTTGATCTGTTTCTCGAGGGAGTAGATGAGTTTCTTGAGGTTGCTGTAGGAGATGTAGTGGCTGCTCCAGTCCGGAACAGCGTTGAACTGGATGCTGTGGGAGAACTTCATCTCGTCGTCCCGGTCGGCGAGCTCCTCAAGTTTGAGGAGCCTTTTCTGTGACCGTCTCGCGTCCCTGCCTGTGCCTCTGTCTCTGTCTCTTTCTGTCCGTGACGACTCGGCGCCAGTAAAGGTCGCAAGTTCGATGGGGGGACCGCCTGGCGCAGCAGGATCAAGTGATTCTGACTGAAAGGGTCGAATGTCAGAATTACGGGACTGGGAATGACCGAGTGAGGAGCGAGGCTGCGACCCGCGCATTCGACATGGATGGAGGACGTAATTGCTCTTTTAGAGGAGCTGGGGCCTGGTGGCACTTGTAGGTAGGGCCCCGAGAAATTCAAGGACACTGGCAAAAATCGGGCAGCGAATGATGCCACTTTTTTGCAGCTCGTTCTCGCGGGAAAGGGATGGTTCGTGGTGGGATCTGAGTTGGGCCTCAGTTGGGCATTGTGAGCCGAGAAGAAAGTTGGCACGGAATCGCCGCCATCAGCCCATTATTGGAGCGAACGGGGGGAAGGCAGCAGTTGAATTGGTGGGTAGAGGCGGGCCAGCGGCTTATGCCTTTTTGCTTTTTGAGGTGGCGTAGGAGGTTGAGTGGAGGCCCTGGAGGGAGTTTTCCAGGGATCGAACATGTAAGATGGACTGCAGTGGTATGGGGAGTGGCTCTGGCTGCGCCCAATAATACGAGTAGACTTTGATGGGCAACTTGTCGTCCACCAGAATTGCTTCTGCGCCCAATCCTTCTCGACACAAATACCCGCAACAAAAGACTATCAGGAAGACACACTCCTCGTCAAGTCGGGTGATAGAGATATTATCCCTCCTCGCCTGCCTCCGTCTACCTTGCTCTGCCCTACTTCAGCCTGCCCAGAACCCACTTGTTGATGAACTGCTCCGATGCCAACTCGTCCTTAAGCCCAAACGTCCTATCCAGTACGATCGCATCATGCGCTTCGCCGGGGGCTTCGAGATATTCAATTGTAGTATTGTGCACCTGGACGTCGGTATCAGCCACAAGTCCCTAGATGCTCAAGATCCTTTTGTGTGACGTACCTTCATCCTCTCAGCGAGCTCGCGGATGTCGTCCATCAGGACCTCGTTCTGTCCTCCAACGATAGCCACACTGTCCACCTTGATATCTTTCCACCAGTCAGCCGGCGCTTCGGTAGGTTGGTTCCAGTTGTCGACGGGTGATTTGGTCATGAAGTTGTCGGACCAGGTCCTCACTGCGACCGGGGCCAGTGCATCCTTTTTGAAGTTCTTCTTCCACGACTCTCTTTCTTGGGTGAATGAGGTCCACGGAGAAACCAGGAGGGCGCCTCCCAGGTTTTCGGAGAGGGAAATGGGGGGAACGCCGGGGTGCGGGTGTGAGAGATGGCCTATGAGGGCTGCGGCGAGGTTTCCGCCAGCTGAGTCGCCGCCGAAGGAAATCTGTGTGTATTGGCGGCCAAGTCAGGTGGCGTCGTCAAAAGGAACTGCTCACTCACCCGCGAGGGCTTCAAGCCCGAATCCAACAGGTATTTGATCGCCGCGACCGCCTGCTTCAGCTGCAGCGGGTAGTAGCCCTTGGGAGTGAGTTCATACTCCAGAAGCATGACTCGAAGATCGTGGCCATTCTTCTTGGCCAGCTCGATGAGATCCCAGAGCAGGATCCAATGCTGGTCCGACGCTGGGAACGTGTATCCTCCGCCGTGGAACCACACCAGCGCATTCTTCGCCGTCTTCGGCCCCAGGAAGCACCCATAAGCCCCGTCATCCAGATCGACAACCTCCGGGTCGAATTTGCGCTTCTTCGCAAAAGACGTGTAACCCTCGTACGTCGTTGGCTGTAGAGCCTGCATCTGCTTGACCGACAAGTGGTTAAACATCGCACGCATAGTGCTATAGATGACATGTCGCTTGTAATCCTTGGGACAATCCTCGCCCCTCGTCCAGCCCGTGAGGGTGGTGAAGGTCAATGTGCCCACTGTTTACAAACCCGCCTCATTAGTCCTCTTCGACCATCTCACGGGCTAGCAAAAATGGCAAAGGACTTACCGGCTCGAGTCACGGTGTAGAGCAAGGAGAAGTAATCTCCTGCTGAAAGCTGAGGCTTCTCTCTCATCTTGTCGGCGTCTCGCGAATGGTCCGCGCTCAACTAGAATCGAGCAAAAACAAATAGAAAAGGCCCCCAAAGAGTGGTGTGTATGGGGGGTTTTTTTTTTCGCTCTCCCAGTCTCAGATCCTGTTCTCGTAAGCAACTCCAGCAACCCTTTCTGACAAGTATACGAGCTGGAGACAAAAGAGGGGGACGATGAGGAATTTATGGAGCGACAGTTCACATGCATGGGATTGTGTTGACGGGCTCCGTCCGGGCTCCAGCCCAGCTTACTGGATACACGAGTTCCTCGTATTCTGCTCAAGTCAAGTGTCTGATCACGCACATCTGATTGGGTTTTGGAGGCTGCGCAATGACCTCGCTAGCCTGCAGTGGACCCCGATCCTTCTTCCCCAAGGCCAAGTCGGAACGCAAAACATCCCAACGCGATATGGGCCGGACAGTCAGCGTCTGGATTCGGGAAAAGGATGAGCGCTGATCCGAATTCCATCGGGGACAACGAAGGACAATGGCCGAACGTAATCAGTAGAAAAGGGTTCGACCGAGGAGGGGAATGGGTGCGCTGCTCAATGGAGCACGGTTCACAAATTCTCAAAGAACGGTTAAAGCATCGTTGCGATGTTGACGGGCCTCAAATGGGGACGAATGAAATGGTAGAGAAGCTCCGTCTCAGTCACGGTATCGTGGCTGCTGACGACGACAAGCAACGCGGCTTCGGTTCGGTGGTAAAAGATGGTCTTGACAAATATATAACCAAGATTCTGTAACGGAAACAACAGGATAACAGATGGAGACAATGCAGACGAAACTGATGGCCATTCTCACAGTGCTATTCTTTACAGGCGCCGAGCATAGCCTCGTATCTGTCCACATATCTTCGAGAGAAATGCCGATTGACCTATTTTCTTCCCTTCCCAGAGCATGATGTAGAGACCCGGATACTATCATTTCCACCCTTCTGCTTTCTCACGACAAGTCAAATCCAGCCCCCGCGTTGACTGCATATAGAAGCTTTTCTTTCATCGTCTTGAGATCTTCGTACCGTGGCAACTTGAGCAGATTCACGCACGTCGACGTGCTGGGGAGCCGGTCCTGGTCGCCGCTGGAGTCACGAATGCTGAACTTCGGGGTCAGATGACTGAATCCCAGCAGTGGTGCCCGTGGAGTGCTGGTCACGAACTTGAGCACTTTCCGCCTATCTTCGTCCGACATCTCCTGGAGGGCTTTCCAGAATAGTTGGATTGTGGGATGCTCACGCCCATCATCGCCGATGGCGTAGACTCCTCCGTATTGTGTGTTGCGGCGGAGATCAGGAATGTCGAGTTCCGTGTTGTCACCACCAACGAGTTTCTGCAATTCCTTTTGGTTGAACATGGCGAGCCACATGGGCTGGATAATCTGACCGAGACCCTTGAGAAACGCGTCCGTGACTGCCTTGGGCTGCTGCTGCAGTCGATATCTCACGATTCGGTCAATGTACAGCAATCGGTTGGCGTTGGTGACAGGAGTATTTGCGCCGTTCGGAAGCAGTTCGGTGGTGATTGTCTTGGACACCTTGGTGCCATCATCGTCATCGATCGTAATCTCGTCAGTCACCGTGAAGTCAAGCGAGAAGTCCGTCTCCACGTCTCCGGAATAGTTCTTCAGCTTCAGAAGACCCTGGTATAATTCCTCGTCATATTCTCGGAGGTCATTGATTGTTGCTCGATAGGCGGATTCGTTTGAACCCACCGTCGTCCCGCCAGTGAGTGCCCACTTCAGCAGGAAGAAGCCAGCAAAGTAGACGTCGATCAGGATACCCTCGTATAGGCACTTTCCGACAATTCGGCCCAGGAACTGGTAATGGCGAAGAAGTTCAGCCATCGCAAATGCCATCTCCTGGGTACCCCATGGAACCCCAAGGAGTCTCTGGTATTCCGCGGTCTCCTGGTAGATTGTAGGATTTGGGAATAGGTATCTTTGAGCATTCTCCTTGAACATTGGTAGCTTGGCATCGGGATCAAATGCTTCGCTGGTCACGCTGATGAGAAACTCTTTTGTCACGCCCCCTCCGTCAATGCCAGCCTCTGGGGTGCCAAATTGGTCGATAAAGGTGATCTGTATTGGTTCTTTGAGCCCTTCTCCAAGCCCGTAGAAGGCCTCGTAGGCATCCATAAAGACTTCACCTCGACGAATTTGAGCATGATGCCTGGAGAGGATGTCAATACCCAAGGGCCGGCCGTCTGCCGTTTGACCTTGGCTTGCAGCCACGCCCATACGCCAGGTGTCGGGGTCGGTGGCTCCGTTCCGTCTCCGGAACTGGTCTCGATAAATAAATTCACGGAAGATCTGGACTCTTGTTTCAAATGGGATAAAGAATGGGAGGTTGCGAAGGATTTCAAGCCGTGGTGCCAATGCCTCGAGCTGTCGCTTCTTTCTGGCCTGCAGTCGCTGCTTTTCCGCCCGCTCCGCCACCCTCGATGCCCTGCTTCTGGGAATGTGTGATGGTCGTATGCCAAACATGGAGCTCAGTAGAGCCTCGCCAGCTGATGAGCCCACAGAGCTATCCATCTCGACCTCCCTGTCAAGCTCATCTTGCTGGTCTTCTGTGTCATCTTCGTCATCCAATTCGTGCCTCTTCTCTTCCTCCGCGACAACGGCAGAAATGAACCCGGCCATGCTGACCTGATTGGTCATTAACCAGTGTTCAGGAGGTACAAATGACACCCTAGAGTCTCTTTCGTGTAGCATCCGCAGTAAGCCTGTGACTAAACCCTTGAGGTAGGCTTGCGATACACCATTCCCAGTCAAGGTCTGTTGTTTCTTTTCCGTGTTCTTGGCAGATGAACGCCCCGGACTGCCAAAGAGCGCAGATATGGCGAGGTCCTCGTCTTGATCAGTGCTCTCCACCAAGTCGGCTGCGTTCCAGTACAGTGTAAAAGCCAGATTCTTCAGAAATATAGTCATCAGCGCCACCTCGTCCAAGGGCAGCGATCCTTTTCTAGACAACAAACTTGTTGGTGAACCAGTGGCAGCCCCAAATGCGTGCAGTTTCTCGTAGGAGAAGAAATCGTCGTCATCCATGAACTTCAGCACAAACGTGTACAACTCGAGGAAGAGCAGGATTATCCGCCACTCATCGCGCCATCGAGCGATTTCATTTCTGGACAACGGTGCTTGACCTATTTGATTGGTTTTGGGAGCCGCCTCTGTCAGGACCGATAGCACGACACGGTAGTCTTGAGAAATCTTGTTGAAGACGCCGGTCGTCCGTGCCGCGTTCCAGAAGTATTGAATGGTGGACATATCTGCGTTTCCAACTGATCTGACAGAGCTTTGATACAAAGACATTCGAATATCCTGTGCCCGGGTAGGAAAAGCTCTTAGCAGAGCAACCGCGAAATTTGCTAGTCGCTTCGCAGAATCAAAGTCTGCACCGTCGCTAGACATTCCTGACGATGTTGATGAGCCCATCTCTTTCAGAATGGCTCGCAAAGTATCCTGCTCCGACAGCCTTGAGATCATATCCCTCACAAATCCCGGTAAGGGTTCGGGAGCACTCTTCTTAGTAGTGTTGAGCATGTGCTGGTCGGTCAGGTCCATCCGCTCGGCAACCTCATTTGCACACTCTCCCAACACGGCCGAGAGTGCTTCGATATACGCACTCTGACCAGCGTAACCTTCTTTCCGGATGTCGTGGATATATATGAGATGAGCTAGTTGCCACAATAACTTGGCAGTGGTCAATGGACGCATTCCACTCCTGTCCGTGTCCTCAACCTCCTTCGCAATTGCCTGCGCCAGCTCCTGCAGGTTTAAGGAATAAGAAAATTCTTTCAGAATGTCTCTGCGCCCTGAAAATGAATCTTTGGTCAGGAACTGTTTTGCAAACGCAGCGTATGCCGATTGCTTTTGGGTGGAAGGACATCTCAGAAGAGCAGCTATCGTCTCAATTGAGGCCCGTTGCCACGCCTCCTCCTCTTGTTTGCGTAAAGCTAAATCGACCGCCTCGAAGTAGATTGCCGAATCCTTGGCTATATCATCCGGTACATATTCAGCCAACATAGTGATCATTTTCAGTATTCTTGGTCCGTAAGATATTCTGACATTGTCTGTGTGGTCCCCAATGATGCCCTTGAGGTGGCGCACCTCAAGTAGTCCTAGTCGAGAGAGGCTGTACCGCCAGCTGTCATCCAACTCGAAGCGTAATGAAATCGTGGTTCGATGCAGAGCCTCGCCGAAGTAGAGCAATCTGAGCACGTCCAAGTCATCCCTTGCCCTGCCTCTCCTAAACTCTTGAAATCTAAGCAACAGCCGCAACTGGAGGAGAATCTGTAGGGAGTTGTCATAAGCCGGGATTGTTGCGCCTGTGTCGACAAGGCCTTGGTAATCCACCCGGCTCTGCGACCCCAGTCTCTGCTGTTCGTTCTCATCCCAGATCTGTCTCCATCGCAATTTCTGCTGCCGACGACTCGCGTGCCCACGCCATATCCTCTGAAGAGTTCTTGTAGCATTTGTTCTTTCTCTGTCCTGTTGTCTCCTTATCCGGTCCGCTTGAGCCTGGGCAATCGTATTGCTTGCGGCAGAAGCATTGGCCTGCGCTGATTTCGGAAGGGAAGCCCATGGGTTGGTATGGGTGCGGCCGGAGAGGTTGACCTGGCGAGGTTTGCGGGCACTGCCTGTGAAAGACTGATGCATGGTTCAATATAGGTTCCGCGGATGGGCTTGGAGGGGCTTGTTGGAGAGTTGACTTGGAGGTGGCTGCGGCTGAACGAAGCCCGTGACGTAGACTCAGATTAGTCTAGTAAAGCGAATGGCAGTGGCATACATGTCTATGAGATGAATAGAGAGACAGTCTGAGGAAATGGTAGTCATTCATTGATGGAATAGATTACTCATGGGTTGGAGCGAAGGCAGCGAAACCGGCAGAGGCAAATGGAAATAATCTCTTGATCTTGAGGCAGGCAAGTGGATGGCAAGGCTGACGATATTGCTGCATGTTAGCGGGAGAACATGAGTGGCTCGTCAATCAACTGCCCGGCAGACCAGCGGAGATATCCAGGCGACCCCGACTCTGCTTCCGGGCGCTGATCTCCCGCATACCGAGTGTTAGGGGAGCCTAGAGAGCGAGGCCTATGGCCCGGAGCCTGGGTGGTGAGGGGTGAATGCAAGGCTGGCGCAGCCTTGTCTACCCAACAACCCTACATACCTAGGTTGGTAGTGTCTCTCCCAGACCAACACCCACAACCTTCATATCCAATCCTCTCCAAAGGAACACACACTTTCGCGTTGTTCTTCTAAACATCCAACAGCTCATAACCACAACCATAAACCCCCATCTTCCTCTCTCACTCTCTCTATCAGACACGGTGACAATGTCCAACGACATCCTCACCCAACTCCAAACCTGCTACGACCAACTCCTGACCCAATTCTTTGCGACACTCTCCTACCTCTCGCAACGACACCCCTTGGTCGCGCCGGACCCGGACCCGAATGACCCGTTTACCAATCCGCCGGCGGGGATGGCGACAGCCAGAGCCAGCTCTCGCTTTCAAGCCTTAAACCCTCCCAACGACACCACCTCCGCCATGACCGCGATCCCGACCGTCAACCCCGGGCCCGAGGACACCGACCGCGCCCCGTTCCCCTTACACCCTGTCCCCCCCGCGACATTCGCCAATGCGCAGCGCGAATTGGCCGAAGATCTAGTCCTCAAGGGCCAGCAGATCGAAATGTTGATCTCGCGACTTCCCGGGATTGGGAAGGGAACCCAAGAACAAGCAGAGGACATTAAGGTGCTAGCGGATAAAGTCCAAAAAATGGAGCAGGAACGGCACGCGAGGAGGAGGGAAATGAAGGAATATGCGGACCGGTTGGAACGGGTTATCATGGCGATGGCGGTGAATGTGGACTACGGCGACGATGACACTGGCAATGGCAATGGCCTGAATGGGCATGGATGATTGAGGTCGTAGGTACTAAAGCAAAATAAATGGATGTGGTATATCTGGATAAAGGAGGGGCATGGGTCATAAAGAGGAGCAGGACGAGAATATCGCTCTCTACTCCTCCACTCAGAAGTCGTTCGCTTGAATGACAGGAAAGTCAAGGATCTTTGAGATTCGTGTTTTGGAATCATTGACGCTGTCCAATTCCCAGAGCAAAGGAAAGATCCAACAAATTGACCTCGAGGTCTCCCAAGAAATGTCCGGTGTCAGACATTCACCGGATCGGTCACACTCAAGGTTGCTATACCATCATACTCCGCCGTCGGTTCAGTGCTCTTTCAACCCTCGAATTCGCGGCATGTCCCGTTTCGGCACCAGATGTTGCGGGCTCTTTGTCTTTCAAGCTGGAACTCACGCTGTGCGAGCGCTTCAGATCCTTGACCGCTGAAGTTCTGCCGCTGGACAGACCGTCCCCACGCAGACTTGCCGCAGAGCTTGGTCGTGGAAGTGGCGCTTGTGTGTCGGATTTTGATGGATCCCCAAAATGGCGAGAAGCAGAAGGGAGCTCAGCGGATCCACCTGAAGACGCGGAAGAAGGCTGCATAGAATGCCTCCTAGTTGTCGTGGTAGCGCTTGACAAAGGTTTTCGTCTCGCTGCTGCTGCCGAACTTCTTGACGATTTGTGCCCTTCTGTGTCTGTCCGCGTTTCTTTCGAATCGTCGATCGGAGAAGAGGATGGTTGGTCAAAAATACTCAATCGCTCGACAGCCTTCTCAAGCTCATCCGAAGTGTTGGGTACCAGTTGTTTGCCCGACTTCCTGGTCCCATCATCTTCTTTCTCCTTCCTCTCCTTCCCCCTCAAAGGACTGATTGGCTCCTCCTTCTTGCGAGCAGTCGAGGCTGGTACTGCTGGATCCCTCCACCTTTCATCCTCACCGCTGATTTCGTTCTCCTGCTTGACTCTGACATCTTCGGATTTCGCCCGCTCCATACTTGTGCCTCTAGTGCTCGAAGTACTTTCTCTTTGCTTCTCTATGCCCTCTACCGCCCCCACTAATCCCTTGCTAGGCCTTCTCATCTTATCTCGCAGGTTCGGCTCGGCGTAACTGACTTGCGGTCTCGCACGGCGAGATCCCCGCCCTATGCTTCCGTTAAGCACATCCTCTACCGAGTTCAAGACTGTCGCCTCTTTTGGTTGGTTGGATGTTCGAGAAGATGGCTCTGTGGATATAGGTGATAGAATGTCGCCGGCTTCGGCAGCTGGAGTCTTTGGCGGAATATCCTTACCATCTTGATCATTCGACGTTTCAATAATCACATGTGCTTGACGGTCTTTCTGGCGTGTCGGCTTGATGATTGGGTGGTTTTCCTGAAGATCTCGATTGTCTTTGAGTTTCTCGGGCACCTGTACCCTCCTCTTAGCTGGTGAATTTGTACTCTTGGGTGCAAGTATCTTCCTGGTGGCGCTCGCGGGCTTCTGAGGGCTTGCTTGCGTTGCAAGGTCTGTCGCATCCCCGCTCTCTCGACCTGGTGGCCTCGTAAATCTGGAGGCCTTTTTGCTGTTGACGGTAGCGTTGCTCCAGATTTCTTGCCGGCGTTGAAAGACAAAATCATCATTCTCGTTCGACGGCTGCTGAGTAACAGGCTCGTCGAGCTCAGAGATATCCAGCTTCCTCTTTGCACCTGACTTCAATAACTGCTGACTCGGCTTCATTGGCAGCGCATCTGGTTCTGGTCCTGGAGTTTCTTCTGTTGGCAGGTCGTGGATGAGGGTACTCGTTCGACGTTTCCGCCTCCTTTCCAGGACTGATGGTAACTGCATGACTTCTTCACCGATGTTCTCATCCTCAGATGTCCGTGCCGAGTCGAGACCAGGGGGCTCAGACACGACGTCAAAATGTGCAACTGGGGGAGGCCCGAGTTCGGGCGACTCGGTCGCTTGTTGCAGGGCAGCCTCTTCCTGCAAGGCCAACAATTCAGCATTCTCCAGCGTCCTTCGCGGATACAGCTTGTCCTCGTGGATTGAGGGTAACCGTCCGTCATACAATTCTCCTCCCTTCTCTTGAGCCAATGCTTCTCTGATCGACAGTCTATTCCTCCACTCTTGTTCCGTAGCACTACTCATCGTCTCTCTGACCAGCCTACTTTTTCGTCTGCCCTTCCTCGCAGCTTTTTCCGGTAAATTGCCCATCTCGACAAGCATCTCGGCAACCTCCTCGACTTTTCTGTTTAGTCTGTCTCTCAGATCCAAAATCTCCGCATTCACAGAACTCGTTGCGCGCCATCGCTCCGCTTCCGCCTGCGCAGCTATGATCTGTTCTCTCAGGGATATGTTCTCGGCCACGAGGCGGGAGATTTCTGTTTCGAGATTGCGGACGCGTTGCGACTGGGTCGAGTTGGCGCGGGCGATTTCGCGGTTTTGCCGGATGAAGCGCCGTTTCACTGCAGTACATACATACATGGTCAGCACTTACTGGGTGGTGAAGATATAGCCTTCTATTCAAGTTATGCGCAGAGGGCAGGTAGAACTTACGGGACTCCAAACTCTCCGTGGGCGGAAGGGGGGGATCATTGAGTTTCGCCATAGCAGGCAGGTTTCTTTTCAGAGCATGTGGTTGTGGGAGTGTCTTTGCGCTTGTCGGTCTTACAACCAGTTGGCCCAAGGCATGGATGTTGATTCAGTCTAGGATCTGAAATGCAGTATAGACAATAGAACAAAGTGCAGGGTCCAAGGTTGCGTCAAGGAGGCGTTTTGTGGTAGGGATTGACCAAAAAAGGGCGCCCGTCAACAACGTGCCTTTTTGGGTCTAGTGGACAACTTGGCACCGTGAGCGTCCAATGAAAGACGCTTCTGTTCAAGCTGGGGCATTCCGCCGCGACCCTCAATCCATGCTCCACGCACTCTTGTCCCTCAATCGACTTGCCCCATAGAAGACTATGCAAGAACTGCAACAATACGAGAACCGACAAACAGTCTCAAGGCCCATCCTTTTTCACAACCTGCTCCTTCCTCCCTCTCTTTTCTGGACACGACCGTCCTCCAACCCACGGAACCCAGTCAATTATCCGAAATCCTGTCCCACCTCCCCCGTCACACGGACATGTACCCCTCGACTACCAACAACACCACCTCCTCCTCCTCCTCAACGCTACGCTCACATTCTCAACCGACGCAATCCCACCTCCAAGCCCGCATCGCCGCCAAGCGCGCCGAACTCGAAAATCTCCGCCAACTGCGCGACCTGAGCGCGCACTTGACAACACAGCTGGAGTCACTAGAACAAAAACTGGGGAGCCTGCGAGACGGCGCGCAGGCCGTGGCGCTGGTGCTGGCGAATTGGGATAATGTGCTGAGGGTCATTGGGATGGCGGCCATGAAGGTTCCACATCCGCCTGAGCCTGCGGAAGATGAAGTCCCGGAGGATGGACGAGCAGGGAGAGAAGGAGGAGAAGACATGGCGGGGAGTGGAAGTCTGAAGACGAAGGAAAAGCAAAAGCTAGAACGAGAACAACAGCTGCCGGTGCCGCTGGTCAGAATACCCGTGCAGCCCAGAACGGAAGATGCTGGGTGAAAACACACCCAAAAGAAGGAAATGTACTACCTACGTACTCCCTCACAAACGGACGTGGATATGCGTGCCTGCGTGCTCTGAGGAGGGGACGAGAGTGTACAAGATACTTTGGTTTGGACCTTGGTTGTTTGATCCGTGCAACGCAATGTGGCATTCGAAATCCAAGGCGAGGACGGAGCCCTCGATACCCGCTGTGAACAAGACGCGAACGAAACACACAAATGATAAAACTCTGGATTCAATCAAAGGAGGTTTGGAACCTAAGTCGACGGCTCGCTTGCTTGACCTTGCCGACCTTGCGTCTTTGGCAACAGTGATTCCAACAATCATCACCCAAAGGAATGACCTTGTTGAGCCTTCCACCCCCAAACATGAAAACTAGTTTTGTCCATACCAACAACACCTTCGCTGAAGAACAAGACCTTTTTCAAGAAAAGCCAGGGCATTCCACATCAGGAATTATATGACACCTCAAGGCCCCCCGAGACGTGGGAGACATAGCAGACTTCATCAATTAGACACCACGGCATTAGTTTGCCCTCGGGCTGCCATGTTCTCTGCACCCCCAGCCTTCTCCTTTTCCTTTGCAGCCAGAATCTTAGCCGCGATTTTCTTCTTCTGCTTTTCTGCCCACTCGCGGCTCGCTTGTCGTCCTCTCTCTGCCGCCTCCGCCCTAGCCTTTCGCGCTGCCTCTTCCTTTTCCCTCCTCTCCTTCTCCACACGTTCCGTTTCGGCTTTCGAACGTGCAAAGACCTCCTTGCCCTTGGCCTTCTGTTGAGAGACGTCTTCTTTCGTCACCGTCGATTTCTGACCGTTGGCCAGGTGAATGATCGATGCGCGTGGCTTGGTTGGAGTGGCCGACGTGGTTGTTCGACGGACGCTCGCTTTCACATTTGTTGTTTCGGATGTTTTGGGCTTTGGCCCAAGCGATGATGGGCGTGGTTGTGGCTGGGTTGCTGTAGCTGGTTTGGGTGCAACGTTCTCCTTGTTTCTTCCGGTGGCGTAGATGCTCAGTCTTGCTTGGCTGGCCTTGTTCTCTCGTGGCACAACACTGGGACGAGAGATTTTGGCTGGCACCGGTCTGGCCTTGAAGGCTTTCTTCTCGTTGCTGACTTCTTCTTCACGCTTCATCCGCTCTTCTCTCTGGGCTTTGAGTTTGGCCGCAACCGCGTCCCCCGGTAATGTAAAGGTTGGCTTTGTGGGAGACTTGGTGGATTTGGAGGGGACGAACCCGGGTTTGCTGGTGGATAGGGCACGTTTAGCTACCTGCTTCTTCGTGTTTGGATGGTTCTTAACTGGAGAATTGGAGAACGAAAGCGGCGGTGCTGCACCCTGACTCGAAGATTCTCTGGACTTGTGGCCGTCAATAATCGGTCGCTTGGCCAATTTTACAGGGGTGGTTGCTCTGGCTGAGGGGTTGGTCGAAGACTCACGGCCAGCACTCAGTTTCGACCGCTCTAAAGATGCGGAAGTTTTTCCAGTCTTCGGTGGAGGGCACCGAGATGGCTGTGCTGGTTGCTGGCCAGGCACCCTTTTCTGAGGATCCGTCGGAGGTGTGGTGGGCTGGAGATTGAGGCGGGCTGGTGTGTTTTTTTGCAGTTTCACAGGGGATTCGATCTTCAGTTCGTCCAAAGCAGGCAATGTCTCGGAAATCTTTTCGATTGCATCTTCCAGAGCATCGATTGCTTCGACAGAGTCTTCGATTCGAGGTGTTCGAGAACTGATCTGTTCGGCGAAAGAATCCGAAGACTTGGTCTCCTCCAAAAGTATCTGCAACCGGCCTGGGGTCCTCGATGTGATCTTCTCCACAAAGGAATCTTCAACAGAGTCTGAAGCAGATGACGTGACCGCATCCATGGTTTTATGGACAGATGGATCGAACTTGGGTGTCTTTGGAGGACCGGTGTGACTGTGTTGAGGGGCAGAGGACGAGTCAGATATCCCTTGCTCTTTCAGGGTCGCGTCAACTGCCTCTACTGTGACTTCGTTGTCGCGGACAGCACCTTGGTCAATAGAGGCAGTCGAAGGCGTGTCATGTATGCTACCCTTTCCTTCAGAAGATTCACTGTGGTGGCCTTGACTCGCGTCCTCGGGCTGCGGCCCTTGTTCCTGCGGCTCGTCCGACTGTGCCTTGTCATGCTTGGTTCTCTGCCCTTTCTTCCTGCTCTTCGCTTTCTGCATGGGCTCGGTCTGTTCGTCCGTAAAGGGGTCTTCGGTGGTCGAAGGGTTGATTTCGGTGGTGATATCTTTCAATGGGGGCCGATCAGGATCCTGGTTCGCGTCGGCAGCGTCCGCGCAATCATCCTGTAGCGAATTATTAGAATTCGCGTCGGCGTCCTCGTAAATGAGTTGCGGTTCCTCTTGAGCCTGCGCCCGCAAGGCTGCACGAGTCATGCGCATGGTTACGTGATGTTGGTCAAGGGTTAGGGATTGTTTGCTAAAAGGGCTTCTGGATGCTGATACTGCGGGTGGAAGTCCAGATCTCTCTTCGGGATCGAGGCGTGACGCGCTTTGTTTGGTGTGGAAGTACCTAGGTAACCCAGCAACCAAGCACCTGCCGCTACTTTAATGGAGGCCCTTCCAAGCCTGCTGGGTGCCTGCTATACTATAATTGGCAGTTTGTTTAGCCTTCCAGCTTCCCTCGGATCCCTCATTTATCGAGCCTCGTGTCATGCGACTTGGTTCTTTCATGAATTCGATTACCCAACCTTGACTCTCAAGCCTAGTCCCCTCTGTCCAAAATGGATTCCACTACCGAGAGATGTTAACATTGGTCTTTTCAGCACCTTCCACATGATGGATACATTGTATAGACATAAAGAATAGAAGATCCGATTCTTTCTCCTGTAGCTGCTTGCTATAGTTGTGGTTAGTGCTGTGATCTCGTACCACCCACCATCTCTGTCAGGTACAAGAACACCGATCGCCAAAAAGCCGAAGACCGATCTGATTCCGGGTTGTGCGAGTGTGTCGAGTAGAATGACAAGTCCCCCTTTTGACGAGGCCACAAGGCAAAAGACACAACCCAGATTGCCCAGCGTTGATCGTGTCAACACCGTAGGCAAGATAACGCATCTAGGAGGACAACCTTGGCAGATGCGGAAGGCTGTATACCGTGTCCCACTTACTCCAGTCATGTCTGCCGTCGGTGCCAAAAGAATGGCGTGCCAGTACTCGGTATGTTGTTTCAGGCCTTGCGCAACCCAAAAGTCTCGACGCTGACTGTTTTGCGACAGTGTATCGGATCTCGACCCTGTCTGAAATGCACTGAAGCACATGTAATGTGCTGATATGAGTATGAGTCTTCTCTTTCGTCACAGACGAGTGTCAAATGTAAGAATTGTCGGACCTTGAGGACTTTGCTGGAGGGGATCCAAAGACGAGTAAAGAATCACACTTACCCTGTTGTGGGTTTGTCTACGACATGAGCCGTGGTGGAAGCTTTACTAACAGGGACCAGGGTACTAACAAGGTTCCCCTTCTCAATGGAAATAACTGTGAACGGACGGAAGCCAGAGCGTCTCACCTCGCATCCTTTCCAGACAATGCGATTTGTCTCGCACAGCCGGAGTTCTCAAGAGTACTTACATATGTCTGCCTTGTCAAGCGTTCATAGGAACCACAGAAATTGAGCGAAAGCCGTGCGTGTCCTGGATACCTAGGTATGGTGATTGCTGCCACCTTCCAAGATTCACATTCATTGCATCTCGCTGCCTTAAGAATGAGATCCCCCCTAGTAGGCCGGGCTTGCCTCATTATAGTCGCCGCTCTAAGAAAGACACTCCCAAGCTGTCTGCGCCACCGTAGCCACATCGATCACATACTTGAATGAATACTTAATGTTCTTACTCTGTAGTCAACAATGACCACACCACCATACTCGCATCGTGAACATGGCCTCTTCAAAAACAAACGACACAGGCGCGGAGAACGATGCCGTCGCCGAGGACTATGCCGTTGCCGAGCACGATGCGGTCGCGGACCAGTCCCAGCAAAATACACACATACCTCACCCCCACAATCGCTCCAGCTCCGGCGATGAATCCCTAGATGTTCCTGTACCCGACTTTGCCCATCCTCAGACAGCAGCTTCCTCCCCCTCTGACGGCCGGAGCAGTAACAACAGTAATGTGCAGGGCTCATTGACCTCTTCCCCCTTATCACCAACAATGACTTCAACCGTTCTCGAGCCACCGGCCCTTGCACCACCCATCCTCAATCTACCTGCCTTTACACCAACCCCCGTTGAAGAACCACCGTATCAGCCGGATAACGAAGAGACTTACGGCTACTACCATGGCCTTCCTTCTTGCCCTCTCTTGGTCGCTCGATCCAGTGGACAGCCATGGAGAAGCCAACTGCCCGAATACCCTTTCCCCCGGACGAAGACCCTCGGTGTTGTCGGCAAGCATCCTATTCGGGACGCATGGGATGCGAAGCTTCAGGCAGAGATCATCGAGGCTTTGGGGACCACCAGGTGGACCTCTATCGATATCCTGCGAATCGGCTACGCTGGTCTGGGTGAAAGTAAAGGCCCTCTCCCTGTGGTGCTCTGGATCGGCGTTCGCCCAGGAAGCCTGACCTGGGGTGATGGGATAACCATTGTCGAAGCATGCGTAAGTCCCCTCTGTCAGAGACAGTTTCGCCGTTGATGATGGGCTAACGGAGATTGACAGGTCGCAATTCTAAGGCGTGAAAAACTCATCGACGTTCAGTGCGAGATTAGGGAGTCAGCAGTTCATGCATCTGCACGACCATCACCCAGATATTCATCATCCCCATCTCTTCCATCCGTGCTGGCTACATCTCACCTTCCATTCACCGCATCTCCGGGTCAATCGATCAACCCTGTAGGATCCAGCATTCATGGCACTCTCGGTCTCTACCTCCAACCTGGCGAAAACAATCCATATCGGGAGAGCGTATGGGCTGTTACTTGCAGACACGTCGTCATTCCTGATGAAGACAAAGATCGAAAATATGAGTACAAGCCTACTGGCCAGCCGTGTGTTGATATCCTGATACCATCAGATAAAGCTCTCGAGAAAATCACAAGCGCAGCTGAGGTCGTCCTGAACTCGAGTTCTTTCCTGATAAGAACTCTCGAGGAGTCGGCGCGGGGCACAGTCGAACAACATCCGCAGTTGGACAAAGAACGTCTCCATCTGCGAGAATGTAAGGACTTTGTGGAAAAAATTCTACCCAAGTGGCAAAGCACAACGAATCGTACACTCGGCTATGTCAAAATTGCCCCTCCTATCCAGACGTCTCTGTCTATGAACCCGTCATTGGATCTGTTTGGACCACGCCGCGACTGGGCTCTGATAGAGGTCGATAAAGCCAAACATCCAGAAGCGGTAGCAAATACTGTCGATGCTGTGACTGGGCTCATGCCGGAAGCGCTCAACTATCGCTCTATGTTAATCCGTCATTTGGAGACTTATAAGCAGGATTCACGCCCCGGGCAGCCATTCGACGGAAAACTGCTGCGCCTTGGACGGGTAGTACCAATCGAGGAGCTGCGGGCGCCAAAAATGCGTGATCCACAAGAAGATCCTTGCCTAATTGTTGGCAAGAGAGGCGGAGTAAGTGATATGACATGGGGATACCTCAACGGGCTCAAATCGGTTTGTTGGAACGACGACAACACAAAATCCATGGAAATGTGCGTAGTTACAAGCACCAAGAAAAAGGCTTTCTCCGAGGATGGAGATTCCGGGTCAGCTGTCTTCGATGTCACTGGCAGGGTTGTTGGAATCTTGGTTGGCGGTGCCAAAGGGCCGTGCGACAGAGAGTCGCTGGACGTTACATACGTGACTCCGATGGCGTGGCTGCAGAAGGACATGAAGGATTGTGGGTACGGTGTTGAAATTGCATAGGGTCTGGGTTCAGTCGGGGTCTATGCTCGCCCTTGGATGTTTCTACTGGTTGAAGGTCATTGAACAGGTCCACACCGACCGGCAGGTCATGGGGTACTGGGACTGGAGTCGAGGTGCTTGCTGGGACTGGAATCGAGCTGCTTGCTGGGGCTGGAATCGAGGTACTCGGAGCTGGTAGGTTTGAAGCTCAGAAACAACGGTTTTAGACAGCGAGATCAATAGCCTGAAACATAGACTTTGAAAGCTGAGCAACGAGTTTTGAGGCCTGCACGAGCCCTCAGAGTCTACCAAGTTAAAACGATCGAGTCAAGTAGCGGTGCTGCAGTACAGGAGAGTCTAGCGAATTCGTAGGAGCGGCACTTGCTCACTCGATCCACATATTTTTTTTTGTTTGCTCCAGGATGAAGAAAGGGCTTCCGGGAACCATACCTTTCCACAATGTTTGTTCGTCCCACGACAAGGTCCTTCCTATACTACCCCCTAGGATCTAATCCTTTCCAGTCGGACGGGACATTTTCTAAGCGGGGTAAATGTCATCCATCCCCTGGGGAGTGGAGCTTTTCTGCCTCCAGGGAATATCGCCTTTGGGATGATATTTGTTCCCGCATTTGTGCCACTCTCAAGTCCTGCCCCTCGGCCCCCAGCCCAAGTTTTGCAACAGTCAACGAAAAAGCAATGCGTGTCTCTTTCGTATTGTATCTGTCGAATCTGTGGAAGAAACGGAAGGAGAGAAACTGGCGAGAGGTAAACAAGCAAAGGCGTATCCTATACCCGATCTGGTAAGGCGCGGGCTGACGGGACTCCTCATACCAGAAAGGGTAATGGTACAGCATTGGCACTGCCTTTGCCGTAGGTTGTTACAAAACCTAATATTATTAATAGTGGGGGGACTTACTGTATTCGGTAATGGGCAGTTTTATTCAGCCTTAGCTCGTATATCGAGCCTCGTGTTATCTACTGCCGAGAATTTCGGGACACCTTCTGGGGTAACACGACTTGATTCTCTCGTGAATTTGACTATACTGACAGCCTCAACTCTCAAGTCTACTCCCCTCTGTCCCCAAACCACGCCCGTGTGTGGGTGGGTTGGACAGCTGTAATAGTAGAGCTTCATTCTCGGAGCCGATCACTTGCTCGACCCATTCGGCATCAAGGCCGGCTCGGCAATGATGGGGACGTCCTCCTTTTTTGGCAGCTTCCATATCTCGCGGATCTCGTCGAGCCACTGCTGGATATCTACAACCTCACCACCCACTCTCACCCCGTCCACAAGCTCGCCCCGTACTCGGACTTTCCCTGGGCCGACTTGGAGCGCTTCTTCATCGTTCCAGGGTGGCACGTGCAGCCAGCTGTGGTCCGGGTGGCAGATGTAGTGTTCGAGCTTGTTTGCCTTGAGCTTCTCTAGGCAGTCGGTCGTGAACTGCGTGTCTGGGCAATACCGGCAGGCGTGTAGGTCATCGGCATAATTCCCTGATTTTTTTTTCTCGTTAGTCATCGGGACCGTTGGTTTGGAGAATGATAGAGCTCTCTAAAAAAGCTCTGCTCCACAAATGATAGCGCAGGCTTATTTTCAAAAAGACTTACATGTATGGTCGCAGAGCCCGTCGCAAGTGTTACGAAGCGGACCTTCGCGAATCTCGGTGGTGGCGGTGTCGTCGTCCTCGGCCTTTTCAGTGGTGGGAGGCTTGGGTGTTTCTCCCTCTTCGGGAACCCCATTAATTGTGGGCTCGTCTGGCTTCGCCTCAGAGACACCGTTCTCTTTTGGCGTGCCATTCTGATCTCCGTCATTCGCATGTTCACCGTCAGAGCTGCTAGTCTTGAAGAGGTCGTCTGGGCCAAGTAAAGACCACGCACTGAGAGCGTTGAGGTCATCTCCAGTATTCATCAGGATGTTGGCTAGAGCCCTGTATCCGTAAGAGTCATTCTCTGGATCGCTGTCGGAAAGAATCTCCATCGCCGCCATCATGTCCTCCATAAACACCTGCCGTGCCTCTTCCAGCTGGTTCTGACGGACGTAGTAAGAGGCAAGATAAGAGTTGGGGCGGAAGCCGTGGATCCAGCTGGTGGACAGGCGCTTCAGCCTGAGGAGTTTGCCCAAGTACTCTTCGCGCTCTTCGGCCGCAATGCCCGGCTTGACCGCACGTTGGAAGTAGTGCTGTGCCACAAAGCGAGCCGCGGAAGCTTGTGTTTGAGCCAGGTCCCACCGAGATGAAAGATAGAGAGACTGGCAGTCCTCCCAGCAGCGGATAGCGTGCTGGATACGAGCATCGTCCGTGGTGCCGTGCGCGAGAACGATACCTTGATAGAGGAGAAGCATTCCTTCGCTGATTGTGAGGTTGCTCTTTCTGGCGTCGCGAATGGCAGCTTGCAATGCTTCCAACGTCTGGACGTTGAGTCTCTCGTCTGTGCGAGCCAAAGCCAGGATAAGGTCGATCGGCTGCAGTGCTATGGTGTACACCTCGCTCTCCGTCAGATATAGAAGTAGGTCAGAGAAAAGGTCGGACTCGCTGGGACTTCCTCGCTGGTTCATCATCCGAAGAAGCATTTCTCTCGCATCTGCTTCTTTGCCTTGTGCATACAGAGCTTCGAGCAGGTTGCAACGAATGGCATGTTCCTTGGGGTCAACCTCGAGTGCCTCTTTGTAGAGCGCAAAGGCCTGGTCCATTGAGTTGAGCTCCGCTTGCCACGAAGCCTGGCTCTTGAGGCTTAGAATGAGGGCGTTCTTGCTGTCGTCCCCGAACTCGGCGGTTTTCAACGTCGACCTCAGGTATGTGAGGGCTATCTCCATTTCGTTGCATGCAGACTCCTTCAGCTCCTTCTTTTTGGCCTTGTCATTGTCTTGAGATTCGCTTAGTTTGTCCACCGCAAGAGCCCAGCCTTGATTTACAGTCCACTGGCAGTCGGGTAGTGCTTTGGCTTTCTCATAGAATTCTTTTGCGGCCTGAAACTCGTTCGCTGCATAGCATGTTTCCCCAAGGCGATCATACCATAAAGCGTCCAGTTTCTCATCTTTGAGCGACAACACTTGCTGTACCCAAGCGGCAGCAGAAGCAATTCCTTTAACGTGAAATGCAGGCTCAGGCTCAGGCTGCTGCTCTGAGCTGACAAGCTCCTCAAGTCCATCTGTGGTAGCCTCACCGTTATTTTCATGGCGGTCGTCATCACCATCTTCGGCATCCTTTTTGTTCGCTTCGTCGTCGTCCTTCGAGTTTTGCTGTCTTCATCAGAAATGCCACCGCATGCAGAAGCCGGGGGATGTAACAAACCAAATCGACATATTTGCGTATCCAGTTGTACGCTGCATACACCTCCCAGGAGCGATCACGCAGCCAATGTCTGGCCACCATGAGTGTTATAGGCTTATAGATACCTGCTTTGCCCTCGGAGTCTGCGGTATAGAATTTGACCCAACGTCTCTCCTTTGGCTGGAGCACATCGATGGTCTTTTCATCCTTGAGCAAGCTTCGAACTGTTTCCACCTGATCGCGATCGATCCAATTTGGGGAGAGCTCATTCCTCGCATCCCAGAACTTCTCAATTCCGTCCACGTCACTCAGGAGATCCACTAGCCTTTTGGCGATGATCCTGCGCTCCGAGGTACCTAACCAACCCTCTTCTAGCGATTCTTTGACTTTCAGTAGGTGGTAAGTGAGGTATGTTAACGCATATGGAACAAGACACTGGGTTTTCTCATGGGGTTCGTCGTTCAAAAGCTTCAGAAGTTGGTCGGATAGGTAGTAGCTCGCTCGGACTTCATCGGTTTGGATGACGCCCTTGCCGCCGATGTTCGATGAGTCGGCTGAAAATTCGAACCTCCCAGTTCTGAGTCCATCCGTGAGATCCCAAAAGAACTGCTGCACCGTACGTAGATCCGCTTGATTGATCGAAATCGTCATCGAGATGCGGGCAGTGTCCAGGTCCGCTACTGTCGCAGCCGGCGTCACGGAACTGTCTCGGCTTCGAAACAAGTTCTCAATGTCAGTGTCGACCTCCACCCTGTCGTCATTGACATGTAGGATCCTTGCATACTTTTCCTTCAGCTTTCTTTCAAACGGCTGCAACGACGCCTTCCCAGAGTTTAAAAAGACGGTTGCCCTCAGCTGGTCAACCGCAAAGTATTCGTAACCAAATATGCCCCAATGGAGAAGCTCATTCAATTGGTCGATGTCGTGGGGTTTCAGGGTCGCATTCAGGTCGTTGACAACCTTGCGAGCAAGCTTGCCCAGATCGTCGGCTGGGTTTTCGGACAAGATGGTCTGTACATCGTCAAGATATGCGTCAGAATCCACCGCCTCTCGGATTCTTTCGAGCTTTTGCTGGACAACGGAGTAGGACCCCATCGCAACCTGGGGAAGGGTTGTGCGAATCGCTTTCAGAAGATCCAGCATCTCCACGTGTTGGCCTTGAAGGATTTCATCCTTCCTGAGCTCATCTTCGATGTACATTTTGATGTCGGATAGATTGTGGTCCGCAATTTCAATAGGAGTGATCGGGCTGTCTTTGAATACCTTTGGGCTGGCGGTGGCAATGATGCGAATATGCTGCCGAATGACCTTCCCTGAGGCGCGGCTTTCATCTCGAACGGCTTTGAGCATTTTGATGAGTTTGGCACAGTTGCTCTCAGACAAGTCTTCTAGGCCATCAAACATCAGGACGAAGTCGGCCTTCTCCTTGGTCTGAGGGTATTTTGAGAATTGCAGTTTGTCCCACCAGAGCTTCTCCCACATATCTTTTTCCTTGCTCTCCGGTGGCTTGAAGTCGTCTTTGAGGCCGGCCATTTCGGTGGCGTATTGCTTGTATTGGCCGGCCAGCTGCAGGGACATTGACTTCATTGCTGTCACCGCGTCCTCCTTGTGCTTCTCTCGTGTGCTTTTGGCTTCGCGTTTCGTGAACTCGTAGTATGCGATGGAGACGTCTGTGTTCGTCTTGCGGAGGTCTTCTTCTATGGCCGCTAGGAGGAAAGACTTGCCCGTGTTCTTCTCCCCCGAAAGCAGGAGCAAGGGGATCGCGTCGGCCTCTGCAGTCTTCCAATCCGTGTAATCCTCATGCTCCAGTACCCATTGAGCACTGCCCGTAAGAAGATTGTCTCTCATGAAGAGCATCGCCTTCCTCGCTTCTTGGGCCGATTGCGTTGTGGTCGACAGCATTCTGCTCATGGCCTCAAGTCTCTCCGAGAGGATCATGTGCATCTTACGATCGCTTACGTCTGCGACCATGATGTCCATGCCCGATTCCAGTTTTCCGAGTTTCTCTGCATTCTCATACTGAGCGTTGAGAACCTGGACAATCTTTTCTTCGCTGCTCAGCACGTGCTGAAGGGTGATGGCTTCAGTGACCCGACTTTGTTTTTCAATCAGAGCTTTAAATTTGGCCAGTTCACTCTTCACGCCCGAGTCATCGTTCAGGAAAGTGATTTTCGCTCCAATCTTGATTTGATGCAAAACACCACCCTCGATGCTAGACAAGTGTCAGCCAGAGGGCGCGATTGAATGGGGTGCGGAAGCGTACGCATGCCCCGACTGCATTCAACACAGTCGGGACCGGGTTCACTGGGGGACGATCTTACATCTTGATGGAAAGCCCGCATATTCTCACAATGGAAATCATCAGCTTGTGCGTCCCATCCCTCAAGTCCGGATCGAGCTTGGTGTAGTTCTCATAGATCTTGAACAGCACAAGCGAGTGCGAGATCTCCTCAAACAGATTCCCAACGCCTTCGTAAACCTCAGCAATCTTGCCGGGTACGTCGATCAGAAAAGAGATGGCGTTGAAGCACAGAGTGGCAGGACCAAACACAATTGATGCCCCTTGTGCAGCTAAGCCACCCAGCAGTTGGACGCACTGGAGAACCTTTCCAATGGTTGCACGAATCTTCGCTTTGGCTTTGGCCGAGTCTTTGCCCGCCTCAGACTCCGGGGGTCGATACTTTCTGTCGAGATCGGCGAGGACATCTTCCAGACGCTTCTCTTGGTCCGTCTTCAAGCTTCTTCTTGTCATCTGCCTGAAATCAGCTTCGGCGTCCTGCCACATCAGCCTGAGCTCCATCTCCGCAGGTGTGAGTGCAGCTGCAGTCTGGGGCTGCCGGAAAGCCGCCATCTTGTGCCGTACACACGGACTCTGCTGTTAACGGCGGAAAAGAGACTTCCAAACAGTGGAATGATAGAGGCAGGAGACTTGAGCAGAGAGCTGCGCGATCTTTTATTTTGCTCGGGCTGAATGGTAAATGATTTATAGGGGTTGCGGCTGAAATGACTGGGTGCCAAGTCCGCGACGCTGAATGCCTGTGTTTTGCTAGCCTAATAGTAGGAGTCGTTTTAACACCCTCGTGACTTCTAGGCAGCCAGTGAGCCCTTTGCAGCCCTGGTAGCGACATTTCAGCTAGCTGCAGCTAGCTGACGTGTATCAAACCGGACCAGGGCCAGAGAAGGCCTTAGCAGGGGGTTGCTGGACCCAGCATGCAGGTCGTGGGGGCCAAAACTCGCCTCGCTGGTCACAGCATGATGGGGGAGACGCCCCGCGGGGTGGTATCTAAAAAGCAACCCATCCCCATGCTGGCTGCCTCATTCGAATAGATGGTGTTTGACGACCTGTATTGAAGTGCCTGGGGCTGGCATGGCGGCGGTAGTTGGGGGCCGCGGTAGCGGATCGCTCTGCGAAAGGCTCGCTAGGAGGAAGACCGTGTGGCTGCTGCAAGGCCCCCGTTGGTATTCGGGAGGATGCCGGATGGACTATCAAACCCAAATAGCACCACTAATTGTCTCTGGCCGCACCATGTATGTGTGTGTGGATGATGGAGCAGGTAAGGGAGATGGAAAGTCCGTTTGCAACAGACAGAAGCAACCTGAAGGCTGCGAAGCTTTTCCTTGGCTCTCGGGGCCATGGGCTGATGGGCATTCAAACCCGGCGGACTTCCACCACTCCCCTCAACGGACGAGACATACAAAACAATATTCGTCCGGTCTGTAGATATGCTTCTCTTCAGTAAAGGAGTACTGTACGCATGCTTCCCTCGGCAAGAACCCAGCATTACCTACAGAAGATGGATTGCCATGGTCGATGATGGAGTTGAAACCAGGAACACACTCTCAATAACTACACAGATAGGTTTTAGAAGATATATGAAGACATATAATTTTCAAATAAGAGCCAGACCAGACCCAGCCATGTTGAGCGATGGCCTTGGTCCCAGCGTCGAGTCTTGGAGAGCTCCTTTGCTTGAAATCCCGAAATACCCGCCAAATCCAGCCTGTCATTTTTCATGTCCCGTACACATAAGCGGATGCCTGTGAGCTAGTCGATGACGACGATGACGGTGTCCCACTACCTGTGACAGAGTTCCAGAAGTTGCTGTCCGAATCTTCGGGGTTGTGAAACATGGTGGCAAGGTCATCATCAAAGTCGGATTGAGCAAGGAGTTCCAGATCGAGAGGAGGGGCTCCCACGACGTTTGGCATGCTGCTCTGCACATGATGGCCTCTCGGCGTGACATTCTGTACCACACATGAGTCTCGGAAATGGAAGAAATTGGATGACGAGGTTGTGGTTGTCGCCTGCGGAGACGACGGCTTAGAGTGGTCGCTCGTGGTATCGAATGAGATGCTCCAGCTACTCAGCACTTCCCGCAACCCACGTCTCGCATCGTTGGCCATTTCCCATGCGCAGGCCATATCAGCCAGGGCAGTATCAATGACAGACAAGCAAGTGTCTTGTATATGTGGTGGTGAGTTCCGGTGTTTTGGGGACCGCGAAACCATGACCAGAGTTGCGTCCACAGCGGCCACTGCTCCGTGCACGAAGTTAAGTGGCGCATTCTTCAAGGTGTGTTGTGCACCGAAGCGGCGGAATATTCCAATAATCGCCTCGACGGAGCTATTGCAAGCTTCGAGGGCATCGGACACGAGCCTCGACAATTCGAGAGAAGTCCCATGCACTTCACCGGAAAGCAGTGATCGATTGAGACTGATACGCGCAGTGTGGTAGATCATGCTAAGATCTGTTAACCGGATGCTCGATGGCGGTGAGAAAAGAATGATATGAACTTACTGAAGATTTGCGAGGCTCGGTTCTACCTCTTCTAGATTAGAGCTCCATCTGCTCCACCGCATATCGCCTGGAAGCGAATCATGCCAACTCCACAGCCTGGAATTGAGTTTGTTGTACAATGCTTGGTGCCAGTACTCAGAAAGGTGCCGGAGCTTTCTCTTGCTATGTACTTGCAGCTGAATATCTGTGATGATTTTGCCGAGTTCTGCTTGCTTGGTCAGTAGCAGCGTCGGCACGTCGGGCTGGTCTGGATCGTCAGTGCTCTTGTTGCGGAGCTGATCCACCTGTGGTGCCCATAGAGGTACCGAGACCGTCTCATCTGTACAGGAAGCCATCTGTTCCCAGCTCGAATTCGGACTATCGAGGACTGGCCGCTCCAGAGCGAAAGAATGGTCTTCATTCATGGGCGGGCGTCCGTACAGGAGGCTGAAAATTCTGATGTTTGGGTCAGTGCAATCTACCTTTCGTCAACCGGGAGGTGGGAACTTATCGGAAATAGAGAAGGTTAGAGACATGCGCCGTCGCAACTCCAAGTTGACGAGCAGCGCACTCTGGGCATGTTCCGGTAAAACCGGTGAGTTGCTCTCGTGAATACCGAGATCTTGCGTCATTCGCAGTGCCATCCCTGGAGACGATCAGCGAAACTGCTCTTGCCGGATGAATAGAAATGGATCCGCACCTGAATACATCCAGGCCTTTGACACCTGTCCTTTTCCAGTCGCAAAGACCGCACAAAGCAACATGGTCTGAGCGGTAGCGATGTGCGAAGAATACCAGAAGCATTTGTCTGAAATACCTTCTTCCGCTGAGGCTGCAAAGCGATCCGCCAACTCTCGAATATTTGGATCGTCCGACATCAGGGCACCCAAAGCACACACGGCGTGCAGGAGAAAAGACGGGCTATGGTTGGGAGGCCTTCGGTGATGTCTACAGCGCTCTAGCAGGGCGTCGCGTTCGACAAGAGTGCAGAAAGGCTGCTGCCATTTGAAGAACAAAGCGACACATTCCTGAACGACAACCTTGGGGATGCTGGCGATATTATCCAAGAGAGTTGGTGGCGGGTCTAATATAGGATTCGTTTTACGAAACGAAAGGAGACCGGTCGCATAGGCACTTCCAGGTGCGTGGAAGACGGGGCCGCCTGCTCCAGGAGTCAGCAAATTTCAAGCGGGGGAACGTCGAATAACATACCATCTTGATCCATGCCCCAGAATCCTTCAGGACCGTCACACACAGAAGTCCCCGATCCCATGCCTGCCTGTGTTTTGCTCGGGATGGAAGGCAAGTGGTCTAGAAAATCAATGCCGTCGATGAGAGCACTTCTCTGGGACGGCGCAGAGGTCTTGATACTCGAAAGCAGGAGTTCCAGCGCGGCAACCCTACCCTCAAGAGCACCGACATATTCATGTGATATCGGGGCTCGTTTCCAATCATCAGCACGGAATTCGCACTGAACTCCAGCAGCGGCACAACTACTGCAAGGGGTGGTTCGAGAACATTTGATCTGTAGACACAAGTCAATCAATGTCCAATTGCGCAGCTAGGGGGGCCGTGGGCGCACCTTGCGAGCCTGACAGCGCTTGCAGCTGCATTTTGGCGCTGGTTAGCGGTCGGCTTGACTGCACAGAGGGCGAATCTGCTACCTACGAGATTCTCTTCTCGCCATGGCGACGCATCCTGACTGCAGATACACGGGCTGGCGGAACAACAAGAGAAGTCAGTCAAAGCAAGCAATCCTAACGGAAGCGAGCACGGAGCGTAGTTGATCGAGAGAGGTCAAGATGTTTGCAAGAGTTGGAAGTGAAGAAGTTGAAGGGGATTATCGACAAGAGCCAGCTGCAGGTGTAGTCACGTGACTAGCCCCCCGCGCGATAAGGGACTGATAAGACACCAAGCACGCCATTTGGCACCACGGAGTGCAACCCCGAAACGCAGAACTTTGTCTGGATCCAATTGGTTGAGAAGAAGGACGACAATATACCATGGCGTAGTGGGAAGCTTGAACCCGACAAACTACAAAAGATCAACGAGGGACGGGGGAGGAAGTCTCGAGCATTCTACAGATGAGGGCAGATCATCGACTAGGTAGTCTCCTTATTATATCACAGTAATGGGCCATCAAGTCGCTCAATGGGGGAGTCGGCGGGCACTTTCCAAGAATAAGAGCATACATAGGCGAAGAATAAAACCTGTGAGCCTCAAACAGACCCTATCATGGGAAACCTATCTAAAATTCTATGAAGACTGTCGATACTGCGATACACGCTCTAGTGGACGAAGCGTACATCTAGTCTCCTCGACCCTGTGTCTGTAGTAGTGGAAAGATACTGCTCCTGCTCTATGGGACTTAGCGCCATCCACCGCGTCTCCTTGTGCTGGTTTCGTTTTACATAGTACAGCTTCGCCAGAAAGAAAAGGACGATACTTGCGCACGTAATTCCAATCAGGGCTCGGTTGCCTCTGTAGTCTAGAGCCGCTAATGTCAGTTTTGCTTGCATTGATCCTCTGGAGGCTTTCATAAATGAACGTACAGTATGGTTTGTCGTCGTTGCGATAAACGTTCACTGCGATAATCGAGCCAAACTGGTAGCACATGTTGTACACCGCTGCGGAGACAGCGCGTGTGCCCACGTCGTTGGAGTTCCGAGAAATCAAGGAGACCAGGATCGCATGTGCTGTTTCGGGACGCATCAGCGCCGTCTTGAGCAGCGGCCACAGGTCGAAAGGGGAAACTTACTGTACGGCTCTCCGTTTACGCCGGTGAGCAGGGCATATCGAACCCAAGGACTTGCGCTCCGGGGAATGGCTAGCAGTCCTATAAGGAACGGGAGAACCCACCAGACGCTCAGAGAGGACACCAATAGCCTTTCATGAAATCTCTCACTCATCCATGTGACGACGAGGATCTGAGGGCAACCCTTGATCAGCGGACGCATACATTGACTCGAGGAAGGAGACCCACGTTGATGAAGAATATGGCATACCCTGGGACTGCCAACATATTCGCCTCGAAGACAGTGTAACCCAGATTCCTCAGAGTAAGAGATAGGTAGTTGGCGGCAGGCTGAAAGGGAATGAAAGCGATCAATCCGAGCTAAGGAAGGTCAGTACTCTGCAAAATGCTCTCGCAACAGCGACTAAAGACAACTCACTATATAGAGAGGCCACAGATCTGTGTTCATTACTGCCTTCGTGATACGTTTGACACTGACGTGTTGTCGATTATGCATGTTGCCCTTGGAAGGGTCATCACGGAGGAGTCGATTAACCAGAATTTTCTCTTCTCGCTCGGTGAACCATCCGGTCTTTCCATGAAGCCAAGCAATTCTTCCACGCAGGATCTTGTGCGTTTCAGTGATACTCGCGGGCATGACGAGGAACGTCAATAATCCCACGACAATGCTGAGAAGGCCCTCAATTAGAAAGCTGACATCGGTTAGCGGAACCCCAGTATCACATTGAAGAGCGTCTTACAGCCATTGCCACCCGCTCCAGTTGTGTAAGCCACGCATCTTGAGAAGTCCGGCGGCCATAAGAGCTCCAACGATTTGTGTCACGGGTATAGCGGTCCAAAATACCGAAAGTCGAATAGGCAATTCGTTGCTTTTGTAGAAATACGTGAGGTAGAGGACCATGTCGGGTATGAAGCCGCCTTGAGCCATGCCCAGGAACGCACGTGTCAGGTAAAAGCCGGTGCGGTTCGTGATGAGGCTTTGGCAGGCGCAGATAGTTCCCCAGATACAAATGCACACGGGAGTCAGAACGTCTGGTCCGATTTTTTTGCTCAACAGTCCTCCGGGGAGCTCGGCTGCCAGGAAAGAGAAGAGATAGATGGTTTGGCCGTTGTTGAAGTCATTCGTGTTCATGTTCAACTCGTCAAGCTGAATGGGTAAGCATCTAAACAAAGATTGGAGGGTGGACTTGTGCTGACCATATTGTCTGAGACGGCGCGGTTGATGTTTCGACGGATGAGGTCCAGGGACGAGAACATGATCCAAACCCACAGCATAATTCGAAAATCAATCTAAGAGGAGATGTCAGGAGAAGTTGGAAACCTACATACCCAAGAAAAGAGGGTGAAGAAGCAGCTCGAGTGATAAGACGTAACATACCTTGCGGATGAGTTTCTTTTCCTCACTCGAACTCCACTGAATGGAAGGATCAAATCGGTGACGGCCCTCATACTGGGCTTGATCATAAACGCCCTTCCAGTACTCTGCATCGATGGGAACACTAAAGGCGTGCTGCTGGGTCGAACCAGTGAACGAGTGTTTGGCTCTGCCGTCGAGATCGTCAAGTTCGATGGGGTCTGAAGTGCCAGCCTCGATAGAAGCAGCATCCTTTTCTTTCTGAGTCATTGTAGATGTGGCGAACTTGTCTTGAGACAGAGTGTCAGGCTTTGTAACTTCGGCCATGTCTGTCATATGTACACCACGGAGGAGGTATGCCCACTGAGGGAGGAAGAATTCCCAGCTTATCAACAGACAAATCCGTTGTCGAGAATGGTTGCAACCCGCTCTTCGCAGTCAGACAAATTGGGACTACCGAGTCTTTTAAATATGTTCTTCCTGTGAGACAAAAGTATGAGCAAGCCATTCCTGGGTGATACGAGAGTCTAGAGAAACGAAGATCGTCTTTCTAGGAGAGTAGTGTGAGCCACTGCACCGGGTGCTTGCATCCTTTGTTTGTCGTTCGGACTGATAAGGTCGCGCGGACTGATCTGACATCCGTAATGAGAGTATTCTGGCAGTTTGATAGAGCCACATGGAGAGTGGACGCCCTTCCCCATGCGTGGCTGAATGCAAGATAACACCCGTCCGAGAACGGAGTCGAAATCCGCGCGATCCACAACACGTATGTTTAACCCCCTTTATCTGGGAAATCAGAGCCTCGGACCTGAGAGCCCGAGATCTCCAGGAATAATTACCAGATGGAAGCCCTTTGTTAGCTTGTCACGAAATGCTCGAAGAGACGCTGAGCATGGGGTGGAAAGGCCAGCGGACTTGCACTCCGTTGCAGTAAGCAGGGCGGTGGCGCAGGCGGGACGGAGTCCAACTCCATGCTACCCACGCTGAACCTAAAAGTCGGCGGAATCATGCAAGACGTACGCAGCATCAGATCTGGAATGTGACTTGAGGCTGGCTTCCACTTTGAGGTACCTGATATGTGAAGGCCAGGCTTTACTACCTAGGTACCCACCCTTGGTTCAGGGAGCGCTAACAATACATGACCCTGGTACAACAGATCCGCTGATAATGAGATAGCAAAGGCGTGACAGAGGCAAGGCTCATGTACAGGCGACACTCGCACGGAAGGTGCAGCTTGGCATGGCTTGGCACCCAGCACAAGTTGGCATCGTCATCTTAAACAACACAACTTACTGACCTGGACAATCAACTCATCACCACGCTTTCGCTAGCAATACATCGTTGCGAACCATTAGGCCAAGGCAAGCTGCGGCAGACCACTTCGAAAGCCACGCTGCGGACTGGCTGAGATGTATCGTCATCAGGGCGACCTCGGCACAGGACGTGATCTTCACTTTCAAGTCCTTTATGCAAACTGTACGCTCGTTCTATATTGATATTTCTATTTTCGATGAAGGCTCTTCCCACGAGCAAAGAACGCCGACAGCAATGCAACGGCTGCAACGGCCGTATTGGCCATGTAGGCATATTTCAAGGCACGGTAGTACACATGTCTCGCAGCCGATTGCACATCCGGCGGCAGACGATCCAAGACCGCAACGGAATGACGGATCTGATCGATCAAGTCGTCCTTATTTGTGACGCCCTCTAGAGCCGAAGGGAGCTGCTGTGCCAGGATGTTCTGCAGCAATGTCGACGATGCAGCCACTCCCCAGACCGTGCCCATGGATCGGAACAGATACACCGTTGAGGTGGAGACGGCTTGGTCTATTATATGCTGTTAGCGAAACCCCGTAGCCCACATAACGGTTTTGCGCAGTTTCCACACTTACAACTATGGTCAAAGGCAGCCAGGAAGGTGAAGAGAATTGCGGGATAGCAGATCCCTTGTCCAAAATTCGCCGGAAAGAGATATACAATGTACTTCCACGATGCATCCTGATACTGCAGAGAGGCCACGAGTCCATTGCCCAGCATCATGATGAAGCAGCCAGCCCTCACGAGCTCGCTGAGCCGCCCCCATCGAGACATGACGATGCCAGAAAGAAGTCCTCCAGCTGGGGTGGCCAGAGAAGGAATCACCAGACGCATACCAGCTTCGGAAGGATTGTCCCGAAGAACAACTTGGAAGAACAAGGGGCTGATAAAGAGGAACTTATTTTGTCCGTTAACACATGTATCTTGGGATTGTGGGAGACCAACTCACTGAGTATGCAGCCATGCCAACACAAACGTTACTTATCTGATTTGACATGGCAAGAGTCCCGTGTAACATGGACATGGGCATCACAGGGACTGCCTTCGTTCGGAGCTCCACCACAACGAATATGACGATGAGTATCACGCTCAATATCATGGCGACAATGACACGGACATCACTCCAAGGGTAGTTATTCCCGCCCATGGTCATGGCACCCAGCTGCGTAGAGAGGCCGAGGACCAAGAGGATGGCGCCTGAGAGATCGATCTGGTCCCATTTCGAAGCGAGCTTCCCGGAGTCTGACGACTGCTCCTCGTCCGCGACTAACTTTCTGGATTCATTCTTCTTGATTACGAAATGCCCCACGACGAAAGCAAATGTCGACGCAGGCACTTGGAGGAGGAAGCACCATCGCCAACCGATGTGGTCTGCGATAAGCCCACCCAGGGACGCCCCACAGATGGAGCCAAATCCGTGCAGGACATTCTGACAGGCCTGGTACATGCCTCGTTCCTGGAAGGGGATCATATCCGAGTTGATAATTGTGGCCATGGTCATGAGTCCCCCACCCCCGAGTCCAGTTAGGGCTCTCATCAAGTTCAGCGTGATGATATCGGGAGCAAACCCACACCCGAGGCATCCCAGCAGAAACGTGATCGTTGCCGTGAAGAAGCACGTCCGCCGTCCCAGGATGTCAGAGAACCGCCCATACAGCGGCTGAAACGCGGTGCTGGTGATCAAATAGGACGTCGTCAGCCATGATATGGTGTTCGCCGCATTGAACTCGGAGCCGATTACGGCATACGTCGAGGCCGTGATCGTCCCGTCGAAGCCAGAGAGAAACACGTTCGAGAAGATGGCTGTATCGCTATCAGCCCGATGCAGGTGCAGCAAAATTTCCCTTTTATTCTCCTTACCAATCTCTATCCAAACAAAGCCGGGGCCAGGCTTCCATTTTTCTTCGTCGCGGCTTTTGGTACCTGCAGAGCCGGCAAGGAGTGGTGTTGATTCATCTGACTCTGCCAGAATCTGATTGACTGTGTAATGGTCCTGTTCCATTTCAGCAGGCACAGAATTTCTTTTCCCTTTGCTTCACGACAGAGCTTCTGTTCTCGAAACGGCCTTCCCAGTGTATTTATTGCAATATATGCGGGCTGTTAGCCGAATGTGGGTTTGTGGCCCTACTGTCGGCGCATTTCAGGTGGATCCGGTGCTTGACATTCAGCGGATACCCAAATATTCCGTCGGGGAAGCATAGGTGGTTTTTTCACGACCAGCATCCCCGTGTCATATCTGTCCAATATTGCGTGATTGCGAGACGCCCATGATTCCACAGCTCAAAATCTCTGCGCCTGTAAGGTCCCTCAAAAGAGCCGGAGTCCAAGTCCGTTTCGCTAGTCACCATGTTTCGTGATTGAGAGCTGTGTTGTCGAGACGGACATGGACTCCGTTAGGGAGGGACAACACATGGACCGTCCCCACATTCGGGGTCCCTCTCCATGGTGAAGATCGTTCCTCTGTGGGTTTTCTGCAACATGACAAGACTTTTCTCGTTCTTGAAATGTCTGTGGACTGCGAGGACAACACTCGTGACGGGCTGGTGGGCAGTATGCGCGCAGACTGGAGCTGGCATTGCGCCGTTTCAATATATTCTATCCCCCTTCCCCTCTTGACGATGGATGCCTCATTGATTGAAACCCCACAATCTTTCCTCTGAATTGATCCTATCCTCGCCGTACACAAGGCCCGGGTTAACTGTTTGGCGTCCGCTTGTGTGAAAAGATGAACCCAACTCTCGGCTTTCCAGGCATTCGAGCCACACTGGTTGCTCTCACGGCATGTCTTTCACTCCTACCAACAGCCACGGCCAATTGGCGCTACAAATCGAGACCCGACCTGGCGCCGCCGACATTGAACATCACGATCCCGGCGACCAAGGAGGTCGAGACGGGGTACCTCTTCATGGCGCCCTTCGCGGGCTATCCCGAGGGAACACACCATGGACCGGCTCAAGCGGCGCCGTACATCTTCACCGACACGGGCGACCTGGTGTGGTCGGGGTTCACCTACTTCTCCATCTGGGCCACCAACTTCCAAGCCGGGCGATGGAAAGGGAAGGACATTCTCTTCTGTTTTGAAGGGAGCCACAACGGGGCATACGGTCACGGCCACGGGCACACAACATTCCTCGATCAGAACTACGAGACCATCCGAGAGCTGCGGGCGGGGAACCATCGCCTCACGGACAAGCACGAGTTTCACATCATCAACGAGGAAACGGCTTTGATCCAGATCTACCACCCTGTCCCCTACAACCTCACAGCATACGGAGGTAGTGAAGAACAGCAGTGGATCGTGGATGCCAAATTTCAAGGTTCGTTGGAACTTGGTTCCTGCGTGATGTCTGACTCCGATGCTGACATATATAGAACTTGACATTGAGACCGGAGAAGTTCTGTTTGAATGGAGCAGTCTCGAACATGTCGACCCTTCAGGTATGAATGGACCCCCATTTCTCCACATTGCCGTTTTCTGACAACCGATAAAGAGGGCTACTTACCCCTGAACCCGGGTCAAGCGGGTGCAGGATACAACAGCTCCGACGCGTGGGACTATTTCCACATCAACTCGGTCGACAAGGACGACCAAGGCAACTATCTGATCTCGGCGCGCGACGCCAATGCCGTGTACAAGATCAACGGCACCACGGGCGACATCATCTGGCAGCTGTCGGGCAAGTCGTCCAGCTTCAAGATGGGCCCCGAGGTCGAATTCGCGTTCCAGCACCACGCGCGGTTCCAGGGGAGAAACGAGAATGGCACCAAGGAGATCATCAGCCTGTACGACAATTCGGCGCACGGGACGGAAAACGACCACGGGCACGAGGTGCACTTCTATAATATCTCGCGGGGCAAGATCATCCAAGTCGACACCGAGGCCTGGGAGGCTGAGATCGTGCAGGCCTTCCACCCGCCCGATGACCTGTTGTCCAAGTCGCAGGGATCGACCCAGCTGCTGCCCAACGGCAATGTCCTGGTCAACTGGGGCTCCGAAGGCGCCATGACCGAGTTCAAGTCCGACGGCACCCCGATCTTTCACACCTACATGGACTCGGGCTACCTGGGCCTGGGCGTCGAGAACTATCGCGGTTTCCGCTACAACTGGACGGGAACTCCCAACGAGGCGCCCGCCATTGTCGCCCTGGAGGACGGCGAGAGCACTGAAATCTATGTGTCGTGGAATGGCGACACGCGCACCAAGGTCTGGCGGTTTTACGAAGTCTTCCGCGGTCGCCGGGCCTATGTCGGCGAGGCCAGGCGAGAGAGCTTCGAGACCGTCCTGAAGCTGGATCGTGTGGGCGTCAAGACGGTGCAGGCCGAGGCGGTCGACGCAGAAGGCGAGGTTCTTGTCGACACCTCAGCGGTCAAGCCGGGTGTCATGATCCACCAGTTTGACGGCGAGGGCAGGAAGAAGAAGAAGACGGAGAAAGGTCTTGTTCCTTGGTTGACATTGCAGGGAGAAAAGTTCTTCAGAGGCAAGGACATGTGAGCTGTCATATCCCTCTTCCCCAACCCTGTGGCTGGAGGAAGATGGGGAAATGAAGAAGATTCCTCTCGCTTCCTTGATATGTATGTGAGGACACAGCCTATGATCCATAGAGACAACGGCCCCTTCCTTGCGCTTCAGCACGCCATCACGAGCCACCAGCACTCGTCCCCGTAACCCTACTGACCCAAATCTCAGGAAACACGTCAGTGTAGTTGGCGACATCCTTCCCCGAGGCCTCGCTGCCCTTTGCGAGCGCCTGCTTCAGGTCGTCGACCTTGTCCCACTCGATCGTCGCCGTGACCATGTAAGGCGGTCGTTTGCCGTCGAGGGAATCCTCAGCCCCGAAGGACGCGACGGTCCATTTCCCCATGCCGAACGGTTTCCAGTCGCGCTCGATGATCTCGCCCATGTGGGTCTTGAGGTAGCTGCCATTCTCAACAAGGATTATGATTATTATTATTTTTCTTCTTGAAACCTTCAAATCCACATCGTTCATTTCAGGTTCGAGGTGATTGAGAAAAGCAAGAACTTACTAGTCCATATCAAAGCGCGCGGGCTTCCCGTCCTTTGTGTTGGACGGGTAAGCGACGACGCAGACGATTTTGTCTGCCATTGTTTTTTCCCCTCCCTACGTCTTCCGAGGCTGTTTCTGTGCGTTGGGTTTCCTTTTCTTCTCAAATAGATTCCAGGTCAAGAGTGAATGATATAACATGGCATCTTACCCACCCACCATCGACCTATACGTTCTAGAACTTTACCCTCGGCTAGCCTGATTCCATGTGCCTCGGACAACGGTCTCCACGGGCAGGGTCAAACGCCGGCCTAAGAAAGGGGGGAGAACGGGGGGTAGACTTGGTGCCCTGCGTCATCTGTCCTCCGATGCACGTCTCTGGGCTACTTACTTAAAGTGGCTTTTGTGATTTCAGTTTGTCTATGGCATTTCCATTCCTCTCTAGCGAGAATTGCAACTGAGAACCTACAGGCGACGGCTATACTTCGGTATCTCCCCTTCCGTCCGTTAGGCGCCTTTTGTCTTAGCATTAGTCTTAGCACTTATTTACCTACAATAGAATGTAAGGTTCAGGATTCAACTATTATTCCACAGCAAATTGCTATATAGATCCATATAATATTTCTGAAAATAGTAGCCCTTTATATAGAGATTAACGTTGCAGATATCACAGCCGAAGATCGTATCCCTTAAGCGTATACGGCGCCTAGTTAGTAACGATCCGTTTACTACCTCGCGTAAAGCCTCTCTAGTCTCCTATCCTCCTTATTAGCTATCTATTCCGCGCCTATTACGGCCTAAGATATAGTTATCGAGATACTTAACGCCCTAGGCGTATCTATTCCTCTTTAAGCGCCTAACTAGGCTATAGTTATTAAGACCTTTTATAAGTAATAAGTCGATTAATTAGCGATTAAATTACTCTCGAAGATAAGTACTTTAGCGACGATTAAGTAGTAGCCTAGTACGCTAGAGAACGAAGCTATTAACTAGATAAACGTCAAATAACCACTATATAAGCGGACGCTAATTACGCCTCTTAAAGAGTAATTAGACACTGAAATTACTACGGATTTAATTAGCGTTATCGATAATATTTATACTATAGTTATAGGTATTAATCGCGCGTAGAATAGGTAGTGATTTGATCTAATTATCGCCGAAGACTAGTAGGGCGATCCTAGCGTTAGTTAAGGTATCGCTAGGCCGCCGTCTATTACGGATAATAAAGTCGCTAACCTTATTAAGCGAGAACGCTATAGTAATACCTAGAATAATATTATTATCCTACTAGATAAAGTATAGGATATTATCCTTAATAATAGCCTTATAGCTATCGTATATAAGAGACTATTTAAGATCCTTAAGCGCGATTAATTTCTTAAGTAGACTCTTTAAGCTTTTACGTATTATTCCTATTACGCTAATATTAAGAGCTAGGAGCGTTTACGTAACGTTAAGATTAAGGAATAGATTATCTAGGAATACTAGCTATTTCGAGTAAGGATAAGGATTCCTAAGTCGCTTAAGGAGTACGACTAGTACTTAGAAAGTCTTCGATAATATAATTAGAGTCTCTTTAGTATCTCGCGTAAACGAGATTAGCCTTCTACGATTATAGCCTTCTACGCCTTTAATAGGGCTATATAATAGCTAGTCGTAATAGTAGCCGCCGATATAGCCTAGACACTATAGCTTAAAGTCCTCTTTAATCGGCTTACCTTTTAGCTTAACTATATACTTTAAACGGCTATAGAACGCGACTATTACTTCGTTAACTAAGACTTAGGAAGAAGGTATAATTACGGCCTAATAATTAGCGCGAATCGTTAAGTAAATAGGCTCTAATTTAGCGCGTAAATAGCCCTATAAATAGTCTATTTATTATAGTAGAACGGTATAAATATTAAAGATTAAAAATCGATAGATTTATTCCTACCTCTTCTACGTTATAAACACGCGGAATCGATCCTATTAAGTATCCCTTCTCTTACTAGTATAGTTAACTAGATATAGAAGAATTCTAATCTAGTAGAATAGCTCTTCGCGCGTTAATAGTAACTAAGTTCGTACGTATTATTAACGAAAACCTATCGCGTTTACGGCCCTTATATTCGTTACCTTCACGATCGCTAGGATAGAGATCTCGCCGAGAAACTTAATAAATAATAGGAATGGATTATTCTCTATCTAATTGATTATAAACGGAATAAAAGGAATCTTAATTAGTGGAGAATAAGAAGGTATTAGTTAGTCGATTATCTCTTTAACTTCCCGTAGTGGAGGCTCTTCTATAGGACGCGTTATAGGTAGATCTAGCGTAGATTTTTTCGCTCTTTTTGGCTGTAGATGTTCTTCAGGTACGTATCTATCGTTAAAGAATCGTTTTGGCTACGTCTACCTAGTAGATCGCCTCAGATCGGCTATGATTGTATTGTAGAGGTATCGGATCGCGAAGTAAATAAAGTACGCGTAGTAGGTAAATAAGTGCCAAGACCAATGCCAAGACAAAAGGCGCCCAACGGACGGAAGGGGAGATACCCCGCAAATAGTTTCTGATGTCCTTCTCGAACAGGTAGGTAGGTATGTCAGCCGAGACGATTCCTTTTTCCGGAAAGGTAAACGACGGAATACGAGCAACAACCCTCCCGCCCTCTTTCATTCTTCCTTTTGATCTAGTGGTACATGATTTGCCTCCGAAAGTACATACCTACTTATGGTAAAGTAAACAGGGTGCCGCGATAGAAAGAAAGACTCTTGCGGCTCTCGGACCAGGCCTTGCTACTGACGATATGACAAAATTAATTTCCTCAACAAAACCAACTTAAGCATCCTCACGACAGAGATACCGGCCAAAAAACTCGACCAATTTCGGGCCGGACTTTTCCAGGTCGTCGTAGAGCTCGAAATGGTTCCTGCCCGCGACGGTGAAGAGCTCTTTCGGCTCCCGCGCGGCGTTGACGGCCGCCTCGCTGAAATGGAGCGTCTGTGCCTCAGTGCCCGCAATCATGAGGAGTGGTCGCGGAGAGATCAGATGTTGGAAGTTGAAGCTGTCGTAGCTGACCATCAGATCATAGCTCATGGGCGGCACCCTCTGATCTGAACGCTCGTGACGGCCGCGCTTCGAGCCATAGTACGCCGCGGCATCTTTGAAGAACGAGTCTGCGTCAGCCGGAATGGACGAGATATCAGTGGAGAACATGGGCGGCGCCTCGCTGTGGTCGCCATTAGCCTCCTTCGTGCGCCATTGACCTGCGCCCTGCAAAGCCGCAGCAACGGCCTGCAGGTTCTCTTTATCGTTCTCCCTATGCAGGCCGCCGTTTCGCGTCATGCGACCGACGCAGGCTGCGCTGACGGTGGCGAGCGCCTTGATCCGTCCATCCGACTGGGCCGCGTAGGAACTGTACCCTCCGGAAGCGCAGATGCCCAGGACACCAATGCGCTCTGGATCGACCTGACCTTTCAAGGTGGTTAGGTAGCTGACGGCGGCTTTGTTGTCCTCTACACGCTGGTGCGGATCCTCCAGGCCCCGGGGCACTCCGGTGCTCTCGCCCTGATAGCCCGCGTCGAACGTGAGGGCGTAGAAGCCCGCTCGTGCTAGGAGGCGAGCATGATCCGCAGCTGTTTGCTCCTTCACGCCCGTCATGGGATGGCTGATGACCACCGCGGCCCCCTTACGGTCTTCGGATGCCGGAGCTGGGCTGTAGAGCTCGCCCGCAATATCAAGCATGAAAGATGGGAAATGGACCTTTTTCGGTGCGGTCATCCTGTCGATATTATACACCTAGAGGTGACAATTTGTTACTTTTCCACAACAGTCAGTGATGTTTCAGGGTACTCTGGTTGAATTCTGTGTGTAACTTTATAGGCTTGGTCGCTACCTAATGACTGCCTTTTGTCAAAGTTGCGAATACATAGCTTAGCGAAAGATTGACATTACCTACGTCAGCAAGTCCCGATATTTGTCGGGGTGGGGTTCCAACCTTGTAATTAACACTTTGGTCTTGGTTTGATGAGGCACGACATTCACGTGGCCAGCGATGCGAAAGCTCTTTGTCACATGTCAGGCTATTTCTACAGTATTGCTACATACCTATACATAGGTACCTAGCGAGCTAGGTAGGTACTGGATAATCGCTTTACACCGCAGTGAAGATTCATGGACTACTATCTTCCGTCTGACGGGCGTGACTGACGAGTGCTTTTCCCTTCCCCCGCATGACACGACCACCTGGGGCCGTTCACAATGCAAGTCGTCATTTAAATCGATTTCTTAGTCTTTTTCCATTTTCTCTCCGTTCCCCCCAACCACACCGCTGGTTGACATCTTGTTCAACCTCTTCCGTCTCCTCCCTGCAGGCGCTTCCCTTCGGTCTAGGTTAGGCGCAGTTGTGTATTCTCCATCTTACCTGGGTATCTTTGTGCCTTTATTCTGCATAGCTTCTCGCATCTACCACCCTATCCAATCACGCCACGTTGATGCCATCTCGCGCAGCTGGTGCATCGGACCTACTAGTATGGCTCGGCCACGCGCCGATACGGGCAACTTCGCCAAAGAGCCTCATTCAATATCGTTAAAGGGTATGTCCATTTCTAGGTCAGATCCTTTGTCTGTTCTTACAGCGGCTGTCTATCTGCTCTCTGCTAATACACTGACTGGCCAAATCTTCTAGTGCTGAGGTGAGTCCCATAAGTCCCATGTCTCTGTGGCTGGTTACACGTTTTCGGGGAAATAGCAATAGGTCAATTAGTTAATGCTGGTTCCCAGACTCTCCCGACCCTCCCTGGCACAACAACACCCTCTCCCCCGTGAAAATGACACAAAGATACCGCATGCAGCCTCATTGGCATATCCGTCCAACGCCGTCGACCAGAACTTCATCTTATCCACCAGTCTGGGTTTGCCGCCATCATTCGGTTCCGCTCATGTCGGCGAGACCTTCTCCTGTGCTCTCTGCGCCAACAATGAACTGCCCTCGGGACAGACGACCAAAACCGTTTCTGGAACGAGAATCCTGGCCGAGATGCAAACTCCATCCCAAGCGGTGCCCCTAGAACTATATGCGGCTGACGATGCAACGGAAAACACCGGCCCCGGAAGCGCCTTGCAAAGAATCATTCGGTTTGACCTAAAGGAGGAAGGCAACCACGTGCTCGCCGTCAATGTCACCTACACCGAGACAGCTTCGGGTGATGGCCAAGCCACCGGCGGCAGGGTCCGATCGTTTCGGAAACTGTATCAGTTCCTCGCTCAACCTTGTATGAGCGTGCGAACCAAAACTACCGAACTGAAAGCGATCGAAGTGTCTGACAAGACACATGGCCCGTACGGCAGGGCAACAATGCTCCGCTATGTTTTGGAGGCCCAACTGGAAAACGTGTCAGATGCGCCTATCTTGCTGCAAGAGACCAAACTCCAAGCGAAGCTGCCATTCAAATCGACTTCGTTAAACTGGGATGCAGAACAGGACAACGATGCTGCGGTGGAATACCCCTCGCTGAAACCCCGAGATATTATACAAGTAGCCTTTCTGGTCGAGCAGCAACAAGGTGTCGCAGAAGGGCTGGAGGATCTCAAGAATAATATTAAACGTGATGGCAGGGCGATCTTGGGCCAACTCGCTATTCAATGGAGGACCGCCATGGGAGAGCGGGGCTCCCTGAGCACCGGCAACCTCTTAAGTCGACGCAAAGCAGCATGAGAGCTCCCTTTTTGGCGACCTTGGATCTGATAACCATATCTGTCTTGGATAAGATGCTCGTATCAAATCATCTTGAGTCGACCCTTCACGGGGCGTGCATGTTGAGACCATTCATTTTACCGGTCAGCATGCTGATCCTCGACTTCTTGGGAATCGTAGGCAAATTCGGAACCGTTTCATCTTGCTTGAATAACCCGTCTTCCAGCTTCGCTGGAGTTCGCGTGACAATAGTATGATAGTCACGTCCCTTGGCCGCAGCACCCAGCTCCGGCCGATCTGCGCTGGATGGTACTGGCACTATCTTCCATTGATGTTGGGACGCATCCGAGAGTATGTCGGTTTGCATACCTCCAGAAGGCGGCCGCACCATGAAGCTTTTCCTATTGAGACTGAGACTGGGAAGACTCGACCGTAATCCCGCTCGTCGTCGTTTTGCCATGATGATAGCGTCGAACAGGGCTATTGAGGGAGTTGACGTTGTCTCTTCACGGTCCATGATGAACTCGTTCCAAGCTTGAGTCTGTTGCAGCATCCCCATGTATGCAGCATGGTCAGGAGCTAGACTCCGAGCGAAAGCGTCTTGGTCAAAGGAATACACCGCCCCAAGCTTCTTTTTCTGTGGAGGTGCAGGTTGCAAGAATTTCCGGTAGGTATACAACAAGCTGGCCATGCATCGCACAAAAGCGGCGCGGATCTGGTCAGGGTAGAAGGCTGCAGAGCAGACGACAGAAATATTTGGAACACAGCGATCGTGAATGACGAAACCACAGCCTGAACATCTATAGTATCCATCTGGTGCCTTTTCGTCGCAGAGGAGACAGGTAGATGGGCCATCCGCTGCTCTCCATTGCAGACAATGGCCCTCTGACCAATGAGTACCTTCGCCATTCCGCACGGGTTGGGTATGCATTCCAGGCATGATTGTAGAGGCCGCCAGCGTCGACTGTGCGTACGTAGAAGGTGCATACGTTGACCCATTCCGATTGTCTGACAGCGTAGTGCTCGAGGAAGGACTTGCATTATGTTTCACAAACGGAAGGCTTGCTTTACGAATCATGTGGGTAGACCCAGAGAAGCTTCTTTTCGACAAGGAGTCGAAATGACCGGATCTCTTCTCCCTGAGAGAAGTTTGAAGAGCGTACCCCGAGTCGGTTCGTGACGGTCCAGAACCAGGCGTCATAGAGAAGTTGGGAGTGATGGGAGACTGATTATCAGAATCTGTGAATGTAGAGTGTCTGGCTGTGGACGATGTTCTGGGACGATCAGTGCTCTTTCCTCTTGTTGGCGTGGAAGCAAGAAAAACGTTCAGCAGTGGGGAACGTCGAATGGTGTCGGTAGCGGCTTGTGGGCCGAATGTAGTAGAGCTGAGGCTCGCGAGTTTATCAAGGTTCGTGGATTTGGTGACCGCGGTAAAGGTAGACTCGAGTTCTGCAGTAAAGGCATCGTACGGGTATGTCTCCACTGCGTAAGCTGGGGGTCCGGGAGTCACTCCAAAACTTTGGTGCAATGGCGCTGCTTGGTAAAGCAGAGACATCAACTTTCTCCGGTGCTGTTTCGGCAGGAACGGCGGCGGAGCCGTACTGTGCAACTCATTCTTATCCAAATCGACCAAAACATAATCATCATCAGGAAGGTCGTATTTCTCGTAGTTGCGATCGATGCCGCAGATGTAGGGGCAAGGCGCATCCAATGCTTGAACCAAACGTGACGGCAGCACGGGTATGTAGATTCCTGTCCATTCGAAGGGCCAAATAAGTTCCAAAATGGCTTTGCTGACTAACTGCAGCATCGCGACGTGGGCTGAGAGGAGAATGATCCTGGATTCGGATAAGACGTACTCAAGAAGAAGGATAATGTTGGGAATGGTGAGAGCCCGGAAGAGAGGGTAGAGATCGGTGGTCCTGCTGCCAGGGAGCTCATTTGGCGCTTCCTTTTTGGCATATAGTTGGAGCTCTCGAATCGGCAGTTGGACTTGGGTCCTGGACGATACTGGACTGGGTGCTTCGAGACACAACGCTGCAACGTATCTCTCCAATGGCTGCCACATGCCGACTTTAGGAGAGCTAGCCGGCACTCGCAAGACTCCTCCATCAGTCATGGGAACAACAACCGCTCGAAGCCACTGCCGCCAGAAATTTGCCATGGACTTGTCCTTTCCCAAGATTCCATAAGCTCTTGGGATCCAGAAACGAGTTTCGCCACCAGTAAGGCCTTGGATGTCTGATTCTGAACTGTGCCGCAATGGTCTGAGCATGTCGGACATTACAGCGATTCTCTCTTCGACTGCGCCTATTTCATCTTCCAAGGACTCTCTTTCCGCCGAGTCCGGTGAGAGTTCAGGCAAACGTGTTAGTAACCTAGACAATTTTGCACTTTCTGCCGCCAATCTCTCTGCAAGCGAAATCGCCATTTCCCGCTCAGCCTCCGACATATGAGCTTTTTTCCATTGCTCACACCTCTTTTCTAAGTCGGCGGCAAGATCGCGGTTCACCGGAATCCACATAATAACCGTCACCGCCGTCAGTCTAGAGTTGTCTGCTGCAGTCATGGAGAATTCGTGCCAGATTGACCTTGGTTTGGTCTCGGCGGCTACTATCTTGATGTCATTAGGGAAAGCAAACATGGGCACATAGTCTGGAAATGGTGCTCTGCTCTGAGCTTTGTCGAAGGTGCCAGGTCGAGGAAACCTTTCCAGTAACACGGGTTCGTATTTTCGCATCAGGGGATACTGGTCAGGGGAACTGTGGAAGGTCTCTGGGCTGGGGATGACTGAGTTGTAACTGCTCATCCTACGAGATGTGCGCGTCGACACCCGTCGAGCCATGGACGGTTGGCGTTTCGTGCTGGACATGTCTTTGAAGGAAAGATGTCTGCGGATGCTCCCAAAGTTGCGGTTAGGGCTCGGGCTGGTCTCATCTTGAGCAGTGATCTTCTGAGTCTTGGGCCGCGACTTGGACCGAGCGGGCTTGGTGTTTTCATTCGGATGGAACGTCAAGTCCAGGTAGAAGGCGTCTCGATCAGTGGCGAACTTGCTCATTGCCTTCTCGAAATCGGCTTCTGATATCAATGAGGACATTCGAGCTTCGGGTGCCGGGGGAGCGGCCGCTCGAATGGTGAGACTGCTCCGATTGCTGCGAGGCCTCGGTGCCTCGTGAAGACTCTGAATGGTCTCCCTGGCCTCATCAGAGAGCTGCGAGAGTCTCTGGTAGGAGTCATGTCTAGAATGGCCAATCGAGTCTCGAGGAGACGGGAGGATGGACGACTGCTCATTGTCGGCAGGCGTCTCTTCTTTGATGGAAAAGTCGACGCCATTAGTCTCGAGATGATCCTGGGACCATCGCGGCTGAGAGAGGGCATCTACCAATTGCTGGCTGTCGAGACCGGCAATCCAGAAGTAATCTGCAAGTGGTCGAGATGACTCGGGTATTTCTGGAATTAACGGCATTTCGAGTTCGAGCTGGCCATCAGCTCACTCAACGATGGGGCTTGATACCGGCATCAAAGCCTTGCTGGTCAGAAGAGGACTTGGCTGTGGAAATTTTTCGTGGACTGTGCTGTTCCCAAAATTGGTTGTTTGGGGGATCAAATCCGCACGGGCATTCTTCACCTCGTCCAAACGGTGTCCGTGCCTTGAATTCACTGCAAGGACAGAGGGTGAAGTGTAGGATGCGCCTCCCTTGGTTTTGTCACCTTGACACACAGGCGAAAAAGCCCCAGATCTGGCGGCCAGCCGACCACGAGCTATGGGAGAGGAATAGGAGATACGACGGACTGCTTTAGATGCCGGATGGAGTTGAATTATTTTTGACTCTGGAGAACCAAGGATTCGTTAAAACCTGGAGATAACGAGGTTTGCAGGGATCATCTGGCTATGGGGCAAGCGCCTCCCTGTGCCTAGGCTAAGTTGAGTTGTGGAAAGGACAATCACCCAGCAAATGGCCGCCACAGAAATCGACGATCCGATCGAATGTCTGACCGCAGCCACTGCTGGCGCCAGCTGGTCCTGCCAGGAGACGGGATGATGGCTGGTTGGTGGTGATGTGAGGGTGAGGGTGAGGGTGATGGTAACGGTGATGGGGTTCGTTCGTTCGTCCGTCCGTCGTCGTCGTCGTGGGTTGGCGGTGATGGAGATGAATGTGATCTGCAGCTGTGATTTCTATGTCTCCCATTCGCGAGATGTGGGAGAGGGGAAGCGCCTAAGGCATGCAACAGGGCACACGTTGTCAAGCAACAAAAAAAAACCTTTGGCTGATAATATCTGCACGAGAGATGTTCTTTTCTCGTGTTCTCGCATCTGTAAGTGGATTAGGCATGTGGCACTGGTGGTGGGTGGGTGGCACCTGTCAAGCTGGCCGCATCTCTGGGGTGGTGCAGCAGGGCACCCACAGGGTGGGCCATGGCCTACTAGGGTCATCGAGTTTAGGCTAGTGTTAACTAAATTCACGCCCCTTGGCCAGTTAAAGAAAGGTGCTGGATTCAGCCTATGGCGCCTATCTGTTTAGCGGGTTTCACCTCCTGTTACTAGGCTGTTAGGCCTTTCTTGCCCCTGGAGCTTACGCCGAACAAGCGAGTCCCGGTGGCGTGTTGGGTCAGCTCCTGCCGTAGGTACCTAGGGGTGCCTAGAGAGTACGAGGGACTCCGTATATTTCCATTCGGTCGGAGGGTTTTCCTGCAGGGGCTTTGCATTCGGTTCCAGACTTCGTCTCGACATTCCGTGCAGTCGCTGTAATTAGTGTCACTGCAACGGCTCGACATGTACGTGGATCCTTGTCCATCCGTCGCCTTAGGAAAGTGTCATTTCATATCTAGCAGCAATTGCCTTCAATATTGCTTCCCATTGATCTATCCTTGCACATGTGGAATGAAATCTCACCCTACCCAAGATGATGTCGATCGCACGCTCCCGAGCTCCCCAGCACAGTTCCGCTGACTTCTTCCCTCCTTTCTCCGTGGCTTTACCATTGTCCAGTCCATCAAGCAGACCTGAGTCGAAGAGGTGGAGAAGCAGGGGTCATGATGAATGATGTTCAGACGTTGTTCTGTCGGGCCAGCACTGAGATATACAGAACGGCTGGTGTCCATGAGACCGGGAGCTTTTTTCTAAAATTTCGAACCACAGAATTGGTCTCTCGTGACGCCGATGGAAGCCAGGTCCAACTTTGCATAAGCCGGGGTTTTCTTGGTCGCTTTCCTCACTACCTCCATCTTCAAGGTAACCCTCTGGGCCTCGTCGTCATCATCCTGCTGTTCGTTCGACCCCTTCGCTCGAGCCTTCGCCGCACGGTCATTTTTAGCCGTGTCGCTACCCCCTTGCTTTCCCGGCCTCAGCCGTTGATCCCCACGAGGTTCACCAGGATTGCCGTACTTCATCCGAGCAAGGAAAGTGTCGATCCTTGCGTCCAGGTCAGGAAATTCTTCTCGGAGAGTCCAATATGCGCTCTTGGCCTTGAGTCGCTTCTCCCACAATCGAACAGCAATATGCTCGACAAGAAATGCTTTCATCTCCTCGTCTGGAGGATCGACGAGCCAGAGGGCACGAACGTCCTCCGAATGCACCTGCTCCACACAAATGCGCTCCATCCGCTTGTTTGCTCGCTCCTGAAGAGTATCACATCCGATGGACGCGGCGCATTCGCGGACGAAGTATTGGAATGAATATGGTTTGAATCTTTGACTTGGAGTCTGTGCAAACCCAAATCCCTGGCAACTTGCAAGCATCCAGTTGACGATATCACGCCATATACCATGCCTCCCACCAGTAACAACAACCGAACCAGCAGCGATGTTCCGATTGTCGCTAAGATTTTTCTTGCTCATGGGAGGAAGTTCGGCTTCCCACTTGGTCGAGAAGGCTGTCGCTATGCTCTTTGGGAGCTTTTCGTGCACCATCTGGAGGGTGGCACCGTCAGCGTCATCTTTGTCCTTGTAGAGGACCTTGATGGTTTCTTTCCGAGAGAGGCTACATTCGATCTTATTGTCAGCTTGCTGTAATGGATCTGGATATCGGTGGCTAGGTTGATGGTGAGAAGATTGGGCCCTGTGTGAGAACTGACTGTTTGAGAGCAACCGCAGACATTGATGCTGCTCGCGAAGACATTGTCATCGAACCGTCGGTGGAGAGATGCTCCAAAGTATTTCCGGGGTATTTGAACAGGGCTCTAAGCGCACCGGAAGTTGGTGTCAGTGCACTTGATGTTATCTCAGCGAGTTGAGTTTGGTGTCGGTTCTGTTGAGATTGACTTGACGAGGTAAGTCGGCCTTCCACACACAGTCAAGAAGGAGATATTGAGGAACCTCTCATAAAGACCACTGAAAAGCAACCAGACGAAGAGGCAAACGACCAAAGTTGGGATCGGAGAAAGACGAGTGACGCATGGAATGGTGATATATCATATGGATCCGTGATTTATTAAGGATATTCATGGGCAAGTGACGGATTCTACCTATTCACTGTCACCGCGTCGACGCGTTTCCGCGATGCTGTTCGCAGAGCACATGCCCGACCACTCTCTCACACAAGACCTTGTGTGACAGGCCAGTGAGGCTGATCCAGAGGCTGCAGCGAGGTGATGAGCACGCTGAGGATGAGCCGAGGATGTGCAGGAGTCGTCTTTTGGTATGACCGCGTTGCAGGTGGTGATGTTGGTTGACAGGAGGGCCTTTCATGCATGCCACAGCTGAATGCCAACCATATTGTGCAGACCAGACGGACTAGATAAGGGTATACATGTATATACCTTGTGGGGCATTGTGGACGTAGACAAACAGAAAGAGTATGTGTGTCGAAAGGCCTTCCTACTGACGCGACCACCTGCACGACACCCCTTAGCATGCATGCCGGTGCAGGTGTTTGGTGCTATGTGAACCTATCAACCTCAAGTGAAACAATGGGTATCCTACTGTACCTACCTAGGTACTAACGTACAATCACAACTACCTAGTATTGCCGTAACGTATCACGACATGAACACCTGCATAACATGGTAGAAAAGAGGTGAAGGGTATATAGTACAACACGAAGCAAACACATGCAAAGCACAGAAAGCCCGACTGCACCTCAACAGCGCGCAAAATGCAGCAAACTCAGGTGATTGATCCTTCAAGTTGTTGTGTGACTCAACCCGCTTTAACGCCCCCTTGCCAGAAAGAACTGCACACCTATTTCAAGGTCCCTTCTTAACTCTTCAGCTTCGGTGGCCCAGTGCGGTTGTTCTTCGCGCCCAGCCCAGGACTGCTGACGCTGCTGGTCGTTGCCCCCGCCGTTTTCTTCACGACGGGGGAGGGTTTTGTGACATTGTTTGGTCCTGCTTTGTTCTGCGCGACGACGACGGCGGGCTTTTTCGGACCTCCTGCTACCGAGGCGTTGGTGGGCTTGTTCTTCAAAGGCGCTGGGGTTGCAGTGGCTTTGGTGTTGGCGGTCTTGGGCTTTTGCGCAGGGGCCGCTGTCTGTTTGGGAGTCTTGGAGGGCGGAGGCTTGAGAGGTGTCGGTTTCGACAGGTTATTGGGCGTGTTTGTTTTGTTCGTCGAGGCCACTCCCAGCGATGCAGGCGGTTTCGAAGGAGCTGAGGGGGCGATCTTCTTGTTCGCATTTTTCGTCGTGGTCGTCGACCCTGGTTTCTTCGCTACCGCTGGGGTCGCTGCACCACCAGTACTCGCGACTTTAGCAGGGCGTGTGGTTGCGGTTGTCTTTTGCCCATTCGTCGTCGGCTTTGACGCCTTCTGTGTGGCAGGCGACGGCTTCTTTGCTACACTCGGCTCGAGCTTCGCGGGAGCTTTCTTCCCTGGCGCCGAATTCGTGGATGCAACAGCCGTGGTTGCATTACTCGACAAGGTCATCACCGTCCCATACCGACTATTTTCCTCAGCCTTGACTGCATCCCAGAAATTTCCCTTTGGAAGAGCAGCAAGATTCCTGCCTCCACTCGTCGTTAAAGGCGGCTTCGTCGTCGTGGCATTCTTTGCCTTCTTTTCCTCTGCGGCTTTGAGATCCTGCCAGAATGTGCCCTTTGATTGTTTGGAACTGGTTGATGTCGGGACGGATGTGACGGAGCCCCGTCTGCTCTGCTCCTCGGCCTTCACTGCATCCCAGAATGTGCCATTTTTGGCAGTCTTTGAGATGACAGAGCCACGCCTGCTCTTCTCTTCTGCTTGAACCTGGTTCCAAAAATCGCCTTTTGCCGTCGCGTTGGCGGCGGGTCTCAATTGAGCTGCACCGCCAGTAGGGGCTATTCTCCCTTGTTGTCTCTTGGCCTCTTCTTGGGCCAATTGTTGTAAGAAATTCTGTTGTCTATCGGCAATGCTGTCCTGCACCATTTTTTGGGGATCCGACAAAAATGCCTGGATGAAGTCGGCTCGGTTCAGCACAGTTTGCGCCTGGGGTGAGGTGAGGAGCTTCTGCACAGCCATCGCACCGGCTGCGAACGTCTCCTCCTGCTTCCCTGGTTCGAAGAATGAGTCCAACGTCAAGCCGCTCAAGGCGGAAGAGGCAGATTGAACGCCCTTGCCAGCCTCTATACCGGCTTTCTTGATGTCTTCTGTCCCCGCTTGCAGGGCTTGCTTGTTGATGCTCTTCCAGAACCTCTTCGGCAGGTCGCCGTAAAAGATGTACAATATCATCGCCAGAATTCCCATCGGTGCAAAGATCTGAAGAAACTCATACCAATGACTTGCACGAATGGGGACCTCCATGTGTCCGCATCCCCGAAGGACCTTGCCAGATTTGTATTTGGTGGCGCCATAATCGGCTGGGAGTTTGCCAGTCTGGTAGTACTCTTCAATCATGACATCCTTTTCGCGCCAACGGGCCCTGAGCCAGAGTTCAAAGGCTCTGTCGTTGTGAAGTGGGATCTCCTTGACCGCAAATCGGCGCCAATGCATGCTGACGGATTTTGGAGGCCGGCCTTCTAAATAACCTGCTTTCAGAGTGAAAATGTCTTGTGCGTACTGTCCACGGGGTACACCTTCATAGACTATCGTACAGTCGTAGAGATAGTCCACAGTGTCCTTGAGCTCCTCGAGACAAAACTGTAAGCCTGTGCTCCGGGGCAGTAGGACATGCCTTGTGTCCGGAATGTTGTTCTTTTTGGCCCATTCAGCACTTCGTTTGCGGGTGCTGGGAGCAAGGTTGGTCCCTTCTGGAAAGAGCAGAAGCCACATTGGATCTGTGGGTTTGTTGAGCCTTTGCAATGCGCTGGCCATGTGAGGCTTGTCCTGTTCCCAATTGCGCTTCAGGAAAATGAACTGATACAACTGCATCCCCCATCCTATAACAGGAATCTTACGAAGCGATTCCTTCAGGATAATGTAAAGTCGACCATGCATACCATTACAATAGGCTATCCACCACAGGTAAAGCCAATCGGTGTAGATTTGATGGTTCGCAATGAGAACAAGCCGCTCAGGGAAATCCAAAATCAGGTCTCCTTCGGTGGACTTCAGGAGTTGTCCTCGCACCGATTTGTCTCCAGAAATGATAACTTTTGTCGGCGCAAATGTCTGGGTGAGGGTCATTGTGAGCAGCCCGAAGGACTGCTTGGTGAAAGCGATCCATGCGTTATACCAATCCTCGTTGATGGCTCGCAATGGAGCTCCCAGAAATTGAGAAATGTTGATAGCCAAAGCGCCCGACAAGAAATAGGTCGACAGAGCCAAAGCTCTGGACGCTACGGAGAATTCGCCCTTTGCAAGAGGGACTTGATCAGGCCGCTCGGGTCGTGAGTCAAGGGAGAAGCCGGCAGCAGGCTCAAGAGCAGGTGCTCTGGACGGAGCCATTGTTGTCTAGTCAATTGTCACAATAACAAGAAGTTTGTTTGTCTCGTCTCTTCCTCCTCCCGCCCATTGTTGTCCATAGGTGAACAGCCACAGTTGTGGACCAGTACTCGGTAGAAGTATGGGAAATAATTTCAGAGAAGGCTGGAATTGCTGGATGAACGCCACGCTGACGTACAGAGGGTCCTTGTTGTCTTTCAGACTTGGGGATCGTCATTTTGGAGCCACCGAGAGCTGTCACCCAGCCGTGTTTTCAAGGCGCCGTTGGTCAGCTCCGGTTCTAGCTGTGGCGTTCACTTACCCTCTCGATCAGTGGACACACAGTGGACGACTGATCCGAGGATGCGAACAAATGGCAAGACTGCCCGCTCTGGTGGCTTCTGGGCTCATCGTGCTTTTGGGGCAGCATCAACGATCGAAGGGAGAAGACCAGAGAGCACACCCTGGTCGCCGCGGTCCAGATTCGTATCCTCTGACAAGGATCAAGTGCCGCTTGGGTGCCGCCAGTGGTAGCAGAAGATGTCAAAAGCAAGGAAAAAACAGGAAAAGGACCCTTGACTGACCCTTGTGGCAGCGGTGGCGGTGCTGCGACTCTCCAATCAAACTGTGGGTGGGAAGCCCAAGATGACGTTCGTGTGGGAGCATCTCTCGGTGGACTTGTCCATATCATTCCTCGCATGTCCCTGGCGTCGATCCAAGGGGGCAGCTCGAGAAAGAACAATAAAATCTAGCCCTCTCCTTGACATCACAATTCATCTCTCTCACAAATTCATGCTATATGGTCCTGTCTGTACCTTGAATCAGGTGCAGACTCAAGTTCTAACAGGTCCCAATGCCTAACGTATCCTTTGACATCTTCTTTGACAAGGACTTTATCAACATCACAGCCACTCGAGGACAGACTGCCCCCAAGGCCAAACCTGAGTGGAAGGTCCGCACCGCTCCCAAACTACCGCCGAAGCCTGTGGTCGAGGACCATACCGGGACTCCCAGACCACCACCGAGACAGAAGTTGACCACCCTTCGTCAACCGGTGCAACACCACACGCCCCAAGACCCGAAGCCCGAGGTCGCTGAAAGCGTGAACGGTTCCACCAACGGCGAAGACAAGCCCAAGCGAAAGCCTCCGAAGCTTGGTCCTAAAAAGTCGGCCACTCCTGCTACCCCTTCAGCCACTCCGGCTGCGTAAAGAAAGCCAAAAATGGCAACCCAGTGGGTGTTGGGGAAGGTCAGTGAAGCACTTGCTCCCACTGTATCCAGCACGGTGGCAAGTGCCGGGGCATTTGCAGGTGGAGCGGTTAATGCAGTGGGCAATAGCATCAACGGAGTCGGAGAGTCAATCAATTCGACAGTTCGAAGGTACGGAGATGGAGTCAAAGATTATGGGAATGGCATCATGGATTGGACCCAGGCAGGAGGAGTCCGGGCAGCGACAGCAAGCAATCCTTTGGGGTTAAGTGCAGGCACAACGGGAGGGAAGCGACAGGTCACCAGTCCTCAGATCTACCGACCACCTGCTACGACACCCAAGACCGCTCCCTCCAAAAGGTTGATGACAACGGGCAAGTCGACAGCACCCCAGAAGCAGATCGAGGGAGGTACCCCAAAGAAGGCCTTGCCTGCTCCTGGACCAAAGTCATCTGCTGCCGGCGCCCCGACCAAGAAGGTCGGGTCTGCTCCCCTCAAGCCCGTGCAGTCAGCGGCGAAGACCAGTACCGCCCCCAACCCTGGAGCTCTGAGGCAGAACAAACAGAGCAATGGTGCCAACAAAAGTGCGGGTCAGAACAAACTTCCCACAACACCCAACCCAGGAGCGATGAGGCGCAAGCCCGCAGAGAATGGCAACACCAAGCAGCCTACCTCAAACAAGAAGGCTCCCAGCAAGCCCAACACATCTTCTGCGCCAAAGCCGACAACGACTGCGGCAAATCGACCAAAGGTACAAGGCAATCCCACTGCTGCCGCCAATCCTCTCGGGCTCACGTTCTGATGGTCTTGAATTATTGGTTCTTGGTAGCTTGTTGGTTACGAGGCGGGTAAGAGCTTTTCCACATGGCTCCAGGGACGCCATGTCTTTGTAAGAAGTACTTGGTAGTATGGTCTCGTTTTGTATCTTGATAGCATAAAAACCTAGTCTCCCCTAGGCTACACTGTCCGGGGTGTAGATGGGAATGGAATATGATTGATTGCAGCGTACACCGTGGGAGTTCGACTGGGTTCGGGTCTCGACGATCGGTTCCGTTTCGCATTGTGCGGGGACCGAAAAGACGCCCCGAAGACGCCCTTTGCAGCCTTACTAAAATTACCTTGTCTACCGAATTGCCTCTTGATCTGACTTCCACCCAACCGAATGTCATTGCCGGGCAATGGTCATCCAGATGGTCGTCATTTCGCGCCCTTGGCCATACGCCCTTTCATACCTAGCTGTCAAACACAGTTCAGCCTTTTCCTGCTTAAGCCATTTTTGACATGATCGTGGATCGGCAGTCATCACATAGGTAGGTGGAAAAGCTCACTGTCAAGCTGACAAAACAGGACCACACTTCAACCGTGTTGTTCGGTATATAATCATGCTGTCAATCTAGGATACCACCGCGGACAGAGTTGCCCGATACCTCCACTAAATCCTACTCGACAACCTACCAAGCACGCGCACTACAATGGCAGACATTGAACCATTCACCATCAATATCCCCGACTCCTCCCTCTCGGACCTCAAGACTCGTCTCTCGCTCGCTCGCTTCCCAGACGAGCTTGAGGGTGCGGCGTGGGACTATGGCGCTCCCCTGGCGGATGTGCAACGCCTGACAAGATATTGGAAAGACACATACGACTGGCGGGCTACGGAGAAGAAGCTCAACGAGCTCCCCAACTACCGAACCACAATCCAGGTGGACGGTGGGTTTGAGCCATTGAAGGTGCACTTTCTCCACAAGAAATCCTACGTGGAGAACGCCATCCCCTTGCTCTTCGTGCATGGCTGGCCGGGAAGCTTCATCGAAGCGATCAAGATCTGGGACAAATTACCCTCCCCTGAACCGGGTACGGATGACCCAGCGTTCGATTTTGTGGCCATCAGTCTGCCCAACTACGGCTTCTCCGAAGCACCAAAAAAGAAAGGGTTCGCCATTGCGCAGTACGCCGAGACGTGCCACAAGTTGATGTTGAAACTGGGGTATAACGAGTATGTGACCCAGGGAGGCGATTGGGGGTATTATATCACGCGGGCGATATCGCTTCTTTATCCGCAAAACTGCAAGGCTACGCACGTCAACTTCGACCAAGGCGAAGCCCCCAGTTTCCTGAGGCACCCGACATTGGCACTCCAGCACGCAGTCACACCGTACACGCCCGCAGAAAAGGAAGGCCTGAAGCGCACGGCGTGGTTCTTCAAGGAATCCTCGGGCTACCGGGCCCAACAATCCACCAGACCACAAACACTGGGTTACGCATTGGCCGACTCCCCCGTAGCCCTCCTATCCTGGATCTATGAAAAACTCCACGACTGGAGCGATTCCTATCCCTGGACGGACGAGGAAGTCTGCGAGTGGTTGAGCATCTACTGGTTCTCTACGGCGGGTCCCGCCGCCTCCCTGAGAATCTACTATGAGGCCACGCACGAGTGGGATCCCGACCCGGCCAGGCGCGTCACCCGCGACCGCACGCGCGAGTACATTGGCGGCGGCGTCAAATTGGGTCTGAGCCACGCGCCCAAGGACGTCAGGGTGTTGCCAAATACCTGGACAAGGACGCAAGGGGATGTCGTCTTTGACAGATCACACCCGAGCGGTGGACACTTTTTTGCCTACGAGAGACCGGAGCTCTTGTTGAGGGATGTCAGGGACATGTTTGGGAAGAAAGGGGGCGCGAGGGATGTGGTCAAGGGGAGGAGCGGGTATTGATTCGGACAAAATTGAACAAGAGAGGTGAGGTTGGTTCAATTTCCACGATTATAAGCACAGGGCTATGTAGAAGGATATATGACCCGAATGCTTGAGCTCGAGCTTCAGCTTGAACTTACATGGGAAGCTTGTGTAGAGACACAAATGACTTCAATGAGTTCATCAAACCCACAGGATGTGCCACGCTTAAAGTCAACAAGCTTCAATGTGGGAATGAATCTAAGTTAGTAAAATACGCACAGATCTATATCATTGAATATGTCAATGCACAGAACGCACACACTCGCCCGGAGCCGTTGACGTATCTATCTCTCGCGCCGCTCGTGTCTGCCATTGGAACTTTTGATCATAATCCTCTTCGTCATCATAACCTGCCCGCTCCTCTCCTCTTCTCCACCGCCTCCCTCAACACCTGTATAACATGCCCCGGGTCTTTGGCTCCAAATACTGCGGAGCCCGCCACGATGACATTGGCGCCGGCTTCGGCGGCCTGGTCGATCGTCGACTCGGAGAGGCCACCGTCCACTTCGACGTTGAGATCCGGGTATCGTTGCCGCACCGCCGTCACTTTGGGGAGCTCCGAGGCCATGAACTTTTGGCCGCCGAAGCCGGGGTGCACGGTCATGATGAGGACCATCTGGAGAAAAGTCACCGCGGTGAAGAATCAGTTCAACCAGGCCTGTCTGATAAGGAGGAGAAGAGGAGGAGGAGTCCAACGAAAAGGGATCAAGAATGTTGGGGGTTCGTACATCCGGTCTCTCCTCCTTGTCCTCAGCCTCCAGTATGTCCCAGAGCACGTCGACGCTTGTTTCCGGTTTTATCGCGATACCAGCCTGCATGCCCAGTTCGTGGATGTACCGTATCAGTTTCTTCGGCGACGTGGGTTCGATCGTGGTCTTGTCTTCGGGTTTCGTGGCCGCTACCGAGGTGATGGCCGCTTCGTAGTGGAAGCAGTAAAGGTCACAGCCGGCATCGCGGAACGTCGAGACCCAGCGGTGAGGCTGTTGGGGTTCGTCAGAATTGACAGGTAGTGGAATCGCATAGAGGGTGTGTCACGGCCCCCTCAAGAAGAGATGGCCTGGACTCATGGGCAACTAAATCCGTGGCCCTATTGTCCAGTCCAGTCTATTCCGCAGCCTGCCCTTCAGGTATGCAACCCTTCTCTTCCACCTCCTTCGCTCGCGTCCCGCTGTGGAAACCTTGACTCACCTCTGAAATCATCATGTGGCAGTCGAATGTGCCCCTCCCGCCAGGCTTCTGGGGTCTTTCGACGTGGGGTCGGATCTTGGACACAACCGGTGCTCCAAATGTGATGTTGGGGACAAAATGGCCGTCCATCTAGTGGCTCTCATATCAGCTGTATGCCTTGAAGGATTTTCGACTCTGAAAACGTAAATGCCCAAAGATTCCCTGTGTGCGCCTCCTCTTATTCATCTTCTGCCGAAAGGTTGGACAAACATGCTTGAAGCGCAGAACGTACAATGTCGACATGGAGCCAGTCACAGCCCTGGCCCATTGTTTTGGAGCACTCATTGCCTAGTGCGGCAAAGTCGGCGCTCAGTATCGAGGGCGCTATTATGGCTGGCGGAGCCGTGCCTGACATTTTCAAGTCTCAGGGAGGAGGATCGGAAAAGGGTTGGGGATGTTTAGTTGGTAAGAGTCGGCGAGGGGCGCAGCGGAGAATCGGTCGCGACGGTCGCGGAGCTAATTGGATGATCGATCAATTCAGGGTTTTTGAAAGAAGAGAGACAGAGTCTTGTGTCTATTCCATGTGGTGAATTGCGCTCTGGTATTCGAGCCGTGTTGAACGTACCGGTACAGTAGGAGCAGAAGAGATCGACAGCTTGGACGGAGATCCAAATGCACCGTCCAGACACTACGTAGTGGGGGGTTGTACCGAGCCGACGTCAGAAAATAAGTGACACGGGGTATGACGAGAAAAGCGAACAATAGGGTCGTCAACCAGAAGTGATTGGCCATTAGTTATAAGGTTGGTATCAGTTACAAGGGGTATTCTATCTGCTCTTAAGCACATCAGGATCCTGACACTTATCACCAAATATTAGCTTGTTAGCTGTTTCGTACATGGCGGTCTCATCGTCCTCAACTTTGTCAGGCTGTGCCATTTATCTCTGACGTCTACCCTTCGATACGGGCATTCAGGTGAGGGACACTCAAGGGACACGGGGTACACTGCTTACGCGAATCTTGGCTTTAATGACATCATCACCAACTGACATTCTCTTTCTGGGTTCAGGGCGATCTGGTGAGTACCGGTAAGAATAATCGAATGGGGGCGCGGAGACCGCAATCTGACCCCACGCTTTATATCGAGTACGAGGTACAGCTCGATAGATGGAAACAGATAGAGAGAAGAGCTGGGATAAGTTGGACGCTGCAGTCATCACGTACGAGGCATTAGATGGCACCAGACGGCGCGGGTCGCCATTGAATGAAAATGAGATTAAATTCCGGCGGTCAATGCTCAATTAGTTTTGCACTGGACGGGCTGAGCTTAGCATCAGAACACTTTCGACTCCGTTATAGAGAGGCTACTGGCCTCGTGGCATAGTCCGAAGGCCTTATCCTAAGGACGCAGCCTTACGTCATTACATTTCTTGGCCTTCTACTACCTACCCTTCACCTAGGTTCCAGTCCCGAGCTCTTTTAGGCAAAACTTCTGACACGCACTAGCCACTTCTGATTCATTGCTGTCTACCGAGTAGTCATGGTCGTGTTGGGCCTTCGAGGAAGGACGAAAAGGGACAGAATAACATCAAGCGCCTCCTGTCTTGAATCGAAACGAGCAGGCTATGTCGTAGTGCTGAAGGAAACCTGGCGGGAGACTTCATCGATTGTTGGCACTTTGGGTCATCACCTGCAATTGGTGGTCCGGGGATGCACGATGGCGATGATCATGCGGTAGTAATTTGTGTGCTGTTCTCGATTCGTCTCTTGCCCAGCGGCGCTGTTGTCACCGTCTTAGGTACGCGCGATGCGATGCGATGCGAGATGAGACGCGGTGATCCGGGGTGATCTAGGGTGATCCAGGGTGAGACAGAGTCGCGAGGGCGTCGGGATAGCTCCATGGTTAGCCCCATTGCTAAACCAGGCACGGCCACGCCTGTTTTTAGCCGCCCCCAGAAAGACGTTGGACCGCCACACGAAAGAGAGCTTGGCCCGTGGGTAAGGGCACAAGCCACGCTCAGAGGCCAAGCTCAGAAGCCAAGCTCACCAACCTCGTGATCCTAGTCGGCCCGAAGAACCTTAAAGACAGCTTCATCTTGTATGCAAATACCTCGTATACTGAAGTATTCTGTGCAATCTATATTCTACGCCAAGAGTGCTACATTCAACGGCTTCTCCAGATCGTATGCTAACGTTGCTCTCAAAGCGTGTAGATCCTTCTGTCCACTCTGGGGGCACAAGTCGAGGGATTGCCTTGTCTTAGTTTTATTGTAGCCATCGCGCGAATGGGCAAACTCCCAATTTCCCCGGCCCTATACGCCACACGCTTCGATCCAGAGAACGGTGGACTCCACATGTCGCATCCAGCACTTGTTCGACCATTCCAAGTCCCATAATAACAAATGCTGTCCCTCTGCTATCTACTCGGTACATACTTCAAGTCACTCTCTTTAGCAGCTGCTTGCTCGGTTCCATTCGCTTTCCCAACTCTAAATCCAACTTGAGTCACTCATTTTTCCAGCCCGGCCGTAATGCATTTCCCGGTATGCATCCTGGCCGTTTTGGCCTCGTGCACTGCGCTTACTGCTGCTGCTCCCCCTGGTCGACAACCAAATAATGGTCCTGCCCCCCCATCGTCTCCTTCATCCAGCACAAGATGCTATACACAAATGGCCTCAAGTAGTGGACTCTGGAATACTGCAACGACCTGGAGCACCCGGTATCAGCCCTGTACCAGCACTCTCACGTCGACTGCCACGGCCACCCTGACGCCAGCCGCAAGCACATCCACCATCACGGTCACCAGCACTGCCACCATAACCGGATCAACCTCGTTCTCTACCGCAATCCAGACCACGACAGTTACTAGCACCACTGACTCAACCACGGCAACAGATACAACCACGACCACGACCACGACCACCACGCTTTCGATCTCGACGTCAACTGTGGCTGCGCCAGCGACCTTCACTCCTATCCAGACTTCCCTTCCAGGCTCGACTTACAGCGGATCAGGCGGCTCTGACCCTATCAGCAAGCGAGAAGCCAAGGCCGGCGGCAGCAGAGACAGTAGTAACAAGGCAATGTTGTCACAACCGGGTCTCAGCGAGTGGCGATATCCCCAGGGCGTCGTTTGCCATCAGTCGGTCTCAGAGACGTGCTCAACAAAAACTACCATCACAACGTCGACAATCACCGCCACGGCAAAAACTGTAACCGCTACCTCAACCTCGATTACCACTACTACTGTGATCCCGTCGGGCACCACCACAAGCACGAGCACAGTAACGACTACTGTAACCAGTGTTATCACCGAGACCTCGACCAGCACTTCGACATCTACGGCCACGACATACAGCACAACCACCACTGTGTATGCGGCCTGTGCGACCAACAATCTTGCCGGTGAGTATTGCCCCTCTCCAGGACAATGAATGTCTTGTTTGGAGGGCAGACAGGGGGAATCGCGCATAGAAACTGAACCCCCGGGCCGCGTTTTATCTTCACGATGCCCAGAAAGAAAACTGATACTGACCATGCGCGTTATTCTGTAGATGAATATCTGGGTGAATATTTTCTGGAAGTGTCAGGAGGGTTCACATCCGTCTACGACACCACCACAGATGATGCTTACGGTATGTCCTCCTTCCCTCCCCCCTCCCCTTGCATATATTTCGCCGGATTTCCCGGCCCCTGAGTGCCTATCAATACTCCTTCCCGACTCAGAGGGACCAAGGCAGCCTGGTTTTTTTTGTTTTTTTTTCCCCCAACACTCCCTAAACAAGCGAAAACGGCTGACTCCCCTTTTTTTCCCCTCCTTCTCTTCTAGATTGCTGCGTTGCTGCCATCACGCTTGGAGACACGTCAGTCTGGGCCTGGCTCCCAGGCGAACCCAGCAACAACTGTGAAGTCGGCCAGACTGACGGCACATGTCCCGACCCAGCCACGAACCCGTCCACGGCTACATATGGTGCCTCGTCCCCCATCACCGTAGGTAACGCTTACTGTGGCGGCATTAATGCGGCCGTTCCATTGTTGTCGAGCTCGAGTTCGAGTTCCTAGATGACCAAGGGAAGGCGGAGGTGGGTGGATACAATGTGAGCTTGGTTACTGGGTATGGATGGAACAGTTGTGCTTTTTCCATCGAGACCAGTAATAATCAATTGTCTTTCGAGTCGATCCGGATGATGGCAGCGGTGCAAGAAATCTATATTCTCTGCTTGACGGATGAATCCCGGGACGTTAATAGTTGAATCTCTTTGTGTGTTTCTCCAGCCCTTGTGAATTTCACTGAAACCTGTATTTAATTGAATTGATCTCGAGCCATTCCTTTTTTCTGACTCAAAAGTAATGGTCGGTGGAGAAAAAAAACAGGGAGTAAAAACGCCAACTTGGAGTCCTTGAACACCTCCGCTAAGTATCCTCAAACACCGTCCCGTTTATGTGGTGAGAGGTGCATTAAAAACATCCATGCCAACCAAAGCTACAATCTATTTCTTCCCACACACTTTTTTCATCGAAATTTGCTGCTACAATCGTTGTCCGCCCTCCTTGTGCCCTCTTCGTTTTCCGACCAAGGACCGTCCGGGTATGGGTAGAGAGCGTGGGTTTCGTCCTCACTCAGTGTCTTTTCATGATATTGCCGTCCGCAGTAGTGACTGTGGCGAAACCGCAGGCGGCATCGCCCACAAACCCGTAATGAGAGGGAGATGGCCGTGTAAAGAACACAGATGAGTGAGATAAGAGTAGCGAAGCCCGCAACTGGCTTCGATGCTTGCAGGGTGAGCGTGCCTTCTGCTGCAGAGAGACTGGTGGTGAAATAGTGCATCCCGCTCTCGCCATCGTCCCGTTCAAATTGACTCTCGGCCTGCTCCGGAAGGATGGTCACCTTGACTTCCGACGTGCCGAGGAGATGACCATGCGCGTCGTACGCTTCGGCGTAGGTGTGGCGCCAATATCCCTCGACGGCCATGCTGCTTTCAAAGCCTGCTTTCGATACACTACCGAGTTTGTGGAAGGTATCTTTGCTCTCGTCAATGCTGGACGCGCCGTAGAAAGTCCAAGAGGCCACCTCGGTCGCACCGTTCCAGCTCACATACAGGACGGTCGAGGGAGGCGTTTGAGGCGAGGCACCGATGTGAGCGTACGCCATCAGGGCCGGTGGTTCGGCCGGGCGTCCAACCCAGTCGGCGAAGTGGTACGCGCGATACGTGGAGAACCGGTCGCTGAGGAAACTCGCTTCTAACACAACGCGGCCGTCGGGGGTGTGCTCGCTGATATATCCGTTGGCACTCCAGCAGATAAAGGCATTCCCGCTCTCCAACATTTGAGCAGAGCCCCGTTTGTCGGTCAACTGGCCGTCAGGGCGGACATACTGGGCCAAAAGCTCAGCACGCCGCGGCTCCTCGTGGTCGTAAATCCTGATCACCTGCATCGAAGAGGCGCTTGCGGTGGCCTCTTGAGCTCCACGATCGTCGCCAGCGTTGTTGAACAGCGTAATTGTCATTCCCGTATCATCCTCCGTCAAGATCCGAGCATGGTGCTGGCCCGAGAAATTGAAATCTTGCTGGAAGTTACTGTACTTACCCCCCAGGCGCCAGATAACAGAGCCATCTGTGCCAGAGACTTTGTAGACGGTGCTCGTGTGGCGAAGTGAGACGAGATAGTCGCCGTGTGAATCTTTGGTAATCGAATTGAGGTGAAACGAGTCCCAGGACCTATAGAGCTCCTCTGGCATTTTCATTATCGAGTCGTTCACGGAGATGTGATCATTGATCCACCACTCAAACACATTCTTGCCAGTAGTGATATCCCACTCCCGGAATCCCCCTGATTTAACTCGGATTGTGTGGTTCGGCATGCCCATGTCCGTGAGGTCCACATCTGCGTCGCCGCTGGTGGCAATGAGAATTCGGTTGTTGCCGACACTGTTGAATTCGTGCATATTGTACGTCCTGGAAAGCGTGATTTCTTGGACAACCTGGTATTTCTCGTTGATGATGAATCCACTCTGTTCCTTGGAGTAATTGGATTCGAGGAGGCGCGCAGAATCGACTATTGCAGTCAAGACCTGGGATCCATTGACCTCACCGACGCGAAAGTCAAACACATTGCGATACTCGAACATGGGACTGCCGCTCCATACGAGTTCCTGATAAATTAGTACAGAGACCGCCAGCGATACCAAAGTGACTCACCCCTTGGTGATTGTAGATTTGCGGACCATTCTGATATGGGATGTACTCGTCCTCCATTCTCCCAACCACAAGATGCTTGAATGGGGAGATGAACCAGTACCCCGGCGTGACCGCATCTGCTTCATACGTATCCAACCTCAGTAGCGGGGCGCGAAGGTCTGGACGCTGTGCAAGGCCATGTAAGCAACGATCACCTGTAACAGCGGCTTGCCCTAGCAGCTCTTACCGACATATACTGAGCCAGATCTGATCCTTGCCCTGTGGAAAGCGGTAGGCGTATGGCTGTAGCCACCGACCTGAGAGTAATTGCAGCTGCTAGGATGAGTACTGGCGTCTTCATGACTGCACTGCCTCGAGAATCTTGACCATGAAGAAAGATCGAGATGTGGATAGAATGTCAACGAGATAACTCGAATAGACTATATATTTTGGCTTTTCGGGGATAATGGAGTCCGCAGGTGGATTCTCAGCCGAGACCCCAAAGCAATGATGGGTTCCCTAGCATGCACGTTGGCCGCTGTCGACAGGAGAAATGCTCCAGGAAGTCGCGAAGATCAGACGAGGGAACAATACCTGTGACTGTAAAATGGACTGGCTTGTCGGGAATGGAGCCGACATACGAAGGGAGAGTATGCTGCAGCCAGCATCTCACGTCCCTCAGAAGACGTTGGCGATCTGGATCCATACCCGAGCGCAAGCTCGAGCCGTTTCCAATTGGGATGACATGGGTGGGAAATTGCTCCGATCTATTGGCTTGACCGCCCTGACCTAGATCGAATTGTGGCTAAGCCACAGCGCCCCTGGATCAGGGGGTCGATAGTGTGCGAGGTTGGAGAGAAATGCGGAGACAGGAGTGCGCTGTTCTGATTTGAGGTAATTTCAAATTCGTTACACAGGCGTGCCCCCAGCTGTAATATTCGACCCCCTGGAATGTTGGTAATGGAATATCTTAGGAATAGGCCGTCGAATCACCTCGTCTTGGTATAGCTCTTCTTGGTCCCTCCGCGTTTGGTATGCCCACTCCATATGCACCTCACGAGTGTCCACGGCGGCGTCACTACTCAACTTCCACGGAGTAAAGTCTTGGCATTGCAGTCCACGGACTCGGAAGAGGATGATGGAGCGGCCATACTGACACGCCTCCCTTTAAAGACCAAAGATGATCCAATATGGCTGCGGCCTGGGTCTGGCTGACCAAGACAGATTCAAAGACGTGCGATCCGACTGCGCTCCGTCTCTGTCGTTCTTTGAATGATACTTGAAAGGATAAATTCCCCACTAAGGCCGCTGTTTATATATCAGGATGGCGACCACGAAGGCTATTGTGGTTCTTCCCGGGGAAAAGGCCGCTGGAATCAGAGAGGTCCCCATGCCTCGAATCCGAGACGATTGGATTCTTGTCAAGACCAAGGCGGTCGCTCTCAATCCCACCGACTGGAAACACATTGATTTTGCTTATGCGAATGCTGGATCCAGGATCGGTTGCGATTACGCAGGCGTTGTGGAGGAGGTCGGCAGCAAGGTCACAACCTTCAAAAAGGGCGATCGAGTCGCTGGATTCACCCACGGCGGGTGAGTGACTTGGGACTCTGACTGACTCGCGAGAAGAAATTGAGGAGAATGAGCTGACCTTGAGGTCTCCCAAGACATCGCATCGATCACGAAACCGGCGCCTTTGGAGAGCACATCCTTGCAAAAGCGTGCGTGCAGATCAAGATCCCGGACCATTTGGACTTTGAGCGCGCGGCATCGATGCCTGTATCGATGTACACATGCGTAAGGCAGCGGGCTGCCTTGGCACTGTTTTGGCATCAATGACTGATGATATGCACCAGGGACTAGGCTTATACAAAGCACTCCAGCTTCCTCTTCCCAGCGAGCCAGCGAACGAACCTTTTCCCCTCCTTATACACGGCGGCAGCACAGCCTCCGGCATATGGGGGATTCAATTCGCCAAGGCATCTGGGCTGACTGCAGTCACGACAGCCTCGCCACGAAACTTCGACTACCTCAAGTCGCTCGGCGCCGACGCAGTTTTCGGCTATCACTCTCCCACATGTGGCGCCGACATCAGGGCTTTCACGAAGAACAAGCTGAGATATGCTTGGGACTGCGTTGGCGGTGGGGAGATTATATGCGGTGAAGCCCTGAGCACCGTCAAGCCCAGCAAGTATGGAGGCATCAGCGCCGTCCCCACGAATATAGAGCTTCTCAACAAAACGAATCCGCTGGTTGAGGGCCATTTCTTCACCGTGACCTACAACATACTTGGCGAGCCGTATGAATGGCAGAACACCATCGTGCCGCCAGCCATAGACGATATGGAATTCGCCATCATGTTCAAAGAAATCGCCCTGGGCCTCATCGAGAAGGGAAGTCTCAAATTCATTAGACTTGACTTGAACCACGGGGGTAGTGGTCTGGAAGGTGTGATGAAAGGCTTGGATGAAATGCGAAAGGGACGTGTCAGCGGTCACAAGTTGGTATACACCATGTAAGCGAAGCAAGCAAATATTTGATCTGAACATCACGGGTAAATTCGACCCAACCACTTCCACATTCTCTATCTCGATGATGGCCACCTGTACAATCCGACCTTAGTTATCGTTGACAAGCTGCCTCACGCGATCTGCATGTACGTGCTCCTGTTCCTGCCTTGCACGGCGCGCACCGCTAGTTTGATATCATGGGCCATTGACACTTGCCCGTGTCCGTGGACTACGGCGGCGCGTACAGTCAGTGTCCGTGGAGCTTTTCGCCGTGGAGGTTGAAGCAGCCATTGACACTGTGTCAATAGTTGATCCCTTGAAAAGTTACAAAGTTCACCAGGTTCTACTCTCTCCCGTAGTCCATTGTGCTCGACTCTTATCTTAAGTAATTGATTGTTCATGTGTTTCAGTGCCCGGATTGCCAACGTATAACGAAGACTTTCGATATCATGACTTACGAGTACAAGTTCGAGGGCTGGCTCGGCCACAGCGAAAAGGCCGCCCAGGGCCAGATGGAATGGGGCATGTTCGAACCCAAAACATGGACAGAGAACGACGTTGATATTCAAGTGACACACTGTGGTGTCTGTCTCACCGACATCCATGTCCTTAGGTCAGATTGGAGTCCGACGCCATACCGTAAGCGACCGGGCCACCTTTTATTACTTGTTTTTGTAACCAGGCTTTTGCAGCGTGCTGTGTGGGCCACGAGCTGGTTGGCAGAGCCGTCCGCATTGGCCGCAACGTAAAGGGCATCAACGTCGGCGACCGCGTCGGTGTCGGCCCACAGGCTCGCAGTTGTGAGCGCCCTGATTGCTTCGAGTGCTCTTCTGGACAGCAGAACTACTGCATTCGCGCTGTTGCCACGTATGGCTCGGTCTACCCTGATGGTGAGGGGAAGTCCTTCGGAGGGTTTGGCCACTATAATCGAACCAACGGCAACTTTGTGTTCAAGATCCCCGACGGGCTATCGTCCGAAGATGCAGCTCCAATGCTATGCGCCGGCCTCACCATGTACACACCACTGAAGAAGTATGGATGTGGACCCGGTAAGAGGGTCGGAATCGTCGGGCTTGGTGGATTGGGCCATTTCGGTCTCTTGTTTGCGAGAGCGCTTGAGGCCGACCAGGTGGTCGCCCTCTCGCGGAAGTCGACCAAGCGGCAAGATGCATTTGCTCTTGGAGCTCACAAATTCATTGCGACAGAAGAAGATGCCAGCTGGACCGTTGAACATCGCCGTTCTCTAGACTTTATGATTCTGACTGCTTCGAGTCCCGATTTGCCTGTCACCCAATATCTGGAACTGCTCAAATGTGGCGGCACTCTCATTCAGCTTGGGTTCGTCTGCCTCGGCTCTCCGTGTACCATGCCTATGGCGAGCTAGCTGGCTGACCGTGATGGTTCATACAGGGCTCATGCCGGTGGCCAGTTCCCTTCGTTCAGCGCCTTGACGCTCTTGTTCAATGGCTTAAGCATTGCCGGCTCCATCACTGGCTCTCCCGCGGAGATGAGGGAGATGCTGGATTTCGCAGCGGAGAAGAACATCAAGCCGTGGATTCAAAAGCTGCCTTTGGAGAATGCCAACCAGGCTTTAGTGGATTCGGAGGCTGGTAGGCCGCGATATCGCCTTATCTTGGTCAATGGGAAGCATGCATAGCAATGCTGACTTGTGAGCATGTCTCGATCACCTGTAAATACTGGGGGTAGACTGGTCGATTCGACGTGCAGATGTTAAACGTATAGGTAGAGAAGAAGATGTAGGACGCTCCGATATTTACCATGGAGAGGTACGTACTCATACTTGGCGCAGTCCTGTATATTATAGTTTTCTTGAGGTTCTCTCGACGTCGTCTTTGCCATTGATATGACGGAGGCCAGGGTGGCGCCGTGGAAGGTCTGCATATCCTGCCGGTCCATACAACGAAGGCTACAACTAGCCGTGGCAAACGGAACCCTCTCCGCTGCGGGCCCATGTCACATGCCTTCGCCGCCGCTGGTTGGACCCCAATAGCCGGAGGGGTAATGGCTCTATCACCACGAATCGACCAAATCACTTCGAATCTAGAGCATATTTGCCTTTCAAGCTATTCTTACGCATATCATTCTGCCTCGATCTTCCCTGCTGGCGAGGCTAGGAGTTTTCACTTCCTGTCTTGCACTCACCAATGTCTCCCGCCACCGAGCGACGACTCCGAAGTCGGCACAAGAAGAAAGGTAACAGACCATAGCATTGTCATGCGAAGCTTTTCCTGTTCTGAGTTTTTCGGGCTGAGCCTGTGTCACAGCTTGCGACTTATGTTTCGTCAAAAAGATCAAATGTGACATGTCCGAGCCTCAATGCTCCAACTGCAAGATTTACAGCACAGAATGCTGCCGGAGCGTATCGAGACCAAGGGCCAAATTGCCTAAGCCAAGACCTGCTTCTGCAAATGTATCTTTTGTGAACTCGGCCATCGAGACTTCAATGAATCCACCATGCGACAAGAACAATGCTGTCGCAGGATGCCAGGACCAGCTACGCGAGATACCCGCATTACTCGGGGATGACTCGCACAGCAATGGCTGCGCTGCCACCGATCAGCCGGGGAAAAGCCAGCCATGGACATTCAACCCCATCAGTCCGAGTTTGTTTTGTGGCCCTCCCGATAAACACCTATCTTTACCGCCGCTGGACGTAGGTGACTGACCACCTGGGTCATGTTCGAGACTAAATCCCCACCAGGAAATCTTACCGATGATTGACCACTACTTCAGAAGCCATAACTCGTCGATCCCTCTTTTCAACCAGACCTCGTTTATGAGAATGGTGACTGGATTTTTCGGTCTTGATTCCAAACGCGACACGGCGTCATGGGCGGCGATTCTCGTGGTGGTAGGTCTGGGTTCGCAGTCACTTATACCCGGGCATGAGTCCCGTCTCGGGCCCATCGAAAGGAAACGTTGGATCGACTACTGCATGTGCAAGGCGCAATCGGCAGTGTTTGAGCTCGCAATGAGAGATTCAGACTTGCTCGGGATCCAGGTGCTGGTGGCGCTGGCCATGTTATTCCGCAATGCCTTCGACATAAGGCCCTCGGCCATTCTCCTTGGGATGGCTGTGAGGTTATCGCATCGATTGCAGCTGCATTCCCACGATGCGGCGCGATACTTCACAGCCGACGAGCTTATGGAGAGATCAAATGTGTTCTGGGTAACCTACATGCTCGACAAGGTACGCCAATTGTTCAAGAGGAATACATATATATATATATATATATATATATATATGCAAGCCAAACTAAACTCAACACGACAAACCTAGGACCTCTGTCTCAAGACCAAAGCACCTTACTTGATCTCCGACTCCGACATCAACATTACAATGCCACCCAGCGCACCCCTGGACAAATCTGGAATCATCCGAACGAAGGACGACGACCTCGACCTCGACCAGTTCAACATATTCCGGCAGCGCCTGGAACTCGCCCGCAACGAGGGCAAAGTCTACGACCTCCTTTACTCACGCCACGGCGTCAAACTCGAGACCCCTGAGCGGCGAAGCCGCGTGGAACGTCTTCAGAAAATGCTAGACGAGTGGTACCAGCGCATCCCGCCGTCCTTCAGGATCGAAACCGCCTCCAGCAGCAGGGTGGGAGACGCGGAGCTGATCCAATTGACGCATTTGTATCATATCTACCTGTCATGCTTGATCGCTACACATGGGGTCTGGAGCAGTGAGGCCGAATGGATCCGAAGGGTTGGGTCGCTGGGCAGGGCGGCGATCGAAGACTTCGCGGCCGCCGTGTATGGACCCAAGGTCACGAAATGCACGCAGGCGCAGTGTCCGCCGCTTGTGCGCGCATGGAATCACTGTGTGGACATCAGTCGGAAGACCATAAAGCTATTCCAAGACACCTCCCACCCGGAGTGTCTAATCTGGTAAGGGGGCTCTGGGCCTTTTTTTTTTTTGAGAGAGGTTGTTCCCATGCCATATTACAGCTCAGATTCCAATGACAGTCCACACACACACCCATACAGGCAATGCATCTGCGCACACTTCTCAGGCCTCGTCGTCCTTCTCGCAGACATCTCCAACCCGGACTCGCCGCGCGGATTCCAAGTCCAAGACCTGACGTTGGTGACGACGTCGCTCGAAATTTATGACCAGCAGTTCGAAGGTGTCCGTTCCACCATATACGAGTCGCTGAAAATCATCGTCGAGGACTTGCGTATAAATGCCGCAAAGGTCGTGGACAAGGTCCTTCTCGAGCCCTCTGATGAGCAAGAATCCACAGTCAGCACGACGGGTTGCAGAAGAGGAACAAATATGTTTCCCAACTACGACATATTGCCAGAATTCGGTTATCACGAAGAACAGGCGATGGGATTTGAGATGTTTGAGATGGACGGCGATGCAGCTCACTACATCCAAGACGACGGGATGCTATTATACGTCAATGATTAGGGCCTAGACGTTGTCCAGATGCCATCTGCGCTAACTGCGCCGCGGGTCATCCTGGCGTATTACTTTGGCGCACAATCGTGGCCTTCGGCGCAGTCGTCCACTACTCCCGAGCGAGGTCGGTGCCTTTCTCGACAAAGTCTCCATGATCCAGCGGGAGAGCTTTATCCGTGAAGATACGAGTCACAATCGCTGATATGTAATTGATCACGTCCAAATTTGTTACGCCGAAATAATTCGTTCCGTCGTTAAAGAAATGTTTCCATCATTAGATCCGCCGCTGTACTTGGTACATGTATGTATGTAAGTATGGACCTGCTGTGATGTGATATGATGTGATGCGGTGGATTGTCATACAAGAGTCAATGAATGTGCAGAAATGAGACTGAATCCTGACCCAAGTTACATAGATCGAAAGATAGATGCACAGATGTATACATAGATTGTCTGACTCAAAAAGTTCCAAGAAAGGCAACAAATACACACATAGTAGAGACCAAAAAACCTCCCATTATATCCCGTCGTGAACACGTAAGCAAAAAAAATAAAGAAGAGACAAAGAGACCCCAGAAATACGATTGGGTGGGACCCTAGCAGGGTCAAAGGTATTGGACTCGATCTTATGGCCGTGGTGGTGGAGACAAGAGGCATTCGTGACGTGATGATAGAAAGGAAGAGACGGAGGGCTGAAGGGAAAGGCGCCCCAGACGTCTATGAGTGTATACATTGGGCGTAGATTGGGTGGTGGTGGTGGATATGGCAACAGTCAGTCAATTGGGGGTGAGGCGCAGGAGTCAACGTGAAGAGACGACGAAGAGGCAGGGACTTCGTCGAAAGCAGCCCCGGCCTGTGCGACGATCTGGCTGGCGGTGGCGCTGTTCTGCTGTGGCATGAACGACGGTTCGTACTGGCTCGACAGGGTAGAGCGATCGGCGACGCTGGAGCGAGACCCGCGTGTCAGGGCAGAGTCGTCATTGAGGCCAGGTACGATCATGCCGGAAGAGTCGCCTATGTGGTCGAGGCTGCTGCTGGCGGTGCGGCGCTCGACGAACGAATGCCAGGGGTGAGGTCCGTCCTCGTCCGGCTCCAGAATAAGCTGTGCGTCGTGGGTGTTCACAGAAGCGGCGGCGGCAGAGACGGCAGCAGCGGCAGCAGGGTGATGCCCATCAAGCGGGGCTGACGCCTCGAAACTATTGTCGAAGCTTCCATTGCTCGAGGAGTGCGGCGAGGAGGATTCGAAGGACGAGGAAGAGGCTCGGTCAAGGCCGCCAATGCCGGGACTGGGCATGCCTGAACGATAGCCATGACCACGGCCCCCCTGACCCCCATAGACCTCGCGGTTCGCTTCGTCCTTGAAATGCATTCGTAGTCGGCACCAGCACCCCGGGCAGCCACAGCCGCAGCCATGATGGCCGCCACCGGAACAGCAGGGAGCGATTGGCGTTTGGTTGTTGCTATTGTGACGCGGTGTCGAAGGGGCTGGAGAAACGAGGCCAGACGGACCATGCGGGAAGAACCTTTCAATAGGCGCATCGTCGTCGGTGTTGACGAGCTGCCGAGAAAGGTGACGAGCCATTGTCAAGGCGGGAGAAATATGAAATCGACCCCTGTAGCGTGTGGGGGTGCATGCGAGATGTGAACTAGGAGCTTTTTCTGGCCCCTGGTTGGTGGTGGCGTACGAGTACAAGGGTTGGAATGAGACAAAGAAGCAGTGTTCAGAAGGCCGCCGAATTAGAGAACATATAGAAATTCTTTTTGGTATGTGTATTATCGTTCAAAGCAAGGACAAAAGGGCAAAGAAGAGGAGTTGGCAAAGGAAATGCTGCAAGAAGGCAAAATGCAGGTCGGTCGGATCAAGGGAGGTAGGTAGAGTAGATATAGAGTATTCAGAGACTATGAACACAGAGGAAGGGAAGTGCAAGGTCGACACAAGGCGGAATCCAGCACAGAGTCATGTGAAGTGCCCATGACTAGAAGATCCAACGCGGGTAGATTGAGTCGAGATTGTCACTCTGCTCCTCTCACAGCCTCGCGGGTTGGTTTCCAACAAACAATCCATTTGGATAAGGGGGAATATGCACGGGCGTGATTTGATTGGTGAGAGATAGCTGAATAGACAGATGAAGTGAGTCCCTGGGATAGGATCCGGCATATCCTAGTCGCAAATCAGTGAAAGTGATAGCATCTGAACCATGAAGGGTCCCTGCCTGGGCCGGGCCAGGCGCTGTCACAAGATCAATATTGTACGGCTGTGTTGCAGAAGGGCGAAGGGGAACAACGTTGATATCCATGGGGTGCGACGAATCGCAACCCGTGTTTGTCGTGCAAGGCGCCCACCTCCGTCTGGGCAGCTACGGCTGGCGGCGGCTGTGAAGGGACATGGCATGAACGTACGTGCCATGGGAGCGGGAAAAGAAAAGACAAACCAAACAGGCAGCTGCAGCTCCCCATGCACGAACCAGCACTAGAGATTGAGTGAAGCAAACCGTTCTCGTCCCAAGTCCAAAACGGTATATCCTGGCGAGAAGCGAGGGCTGAGAGCCCCTCTTTCATCGATTCACTTCGGCGGTTTCCTAGGTTCCTAGAACATAAATGCAACGAGAGCATTCATTTCATCTTTCTTCCAAGACAGTTCGTAACCGGTGAGAATGGTGACATTGGGCTTCGACTCCGGGTACGCAAAATTAAGGCCTGGGACAATATTCGTTTTTCATTTCTTGAGCCCGTTCCCTGGCCAGGGTTTTAGGTCTGCTGGGCCAGCGATTCGTCGTCTTCCAGGGTTAGAATCGGAGGGGAGCAAGATCGACGCCATTGTCCAAGACAGATTTTGTGATGAGTTGTTTTTTGGGCTCACAAAGAAGGAACAACGGTGGGAGCATTAACACGGCCTGTTTGAATTTGATCGATGCTCGCGAAGACTGCCCCGCATACAGCAGTAAACAGCCTGACATCATTGTCGACGCGTGAAGGATGGACCGAGGCAACTATAGCGAGAATGGCAAGTCTAGCGAGGCTCTTCCGAGAGTTTATCCGATCCGCTGAAAGGCGTCATCTTGGACGTTAAAGCACATGTGAAGACCGTATATATTCGTCAAGAGGACTTTCCCACGTTGGGCTGGGGCATCATTCTCCGAGAAGTGCACATTCGCAGACTGGGGGTTGACACCAGGAGAGTCTGAAAAAAGATAGACGACCGAACTGGGCGAGGGACAGGACGTAATTAGGTGCTAGGTAGGTATATACCCCGCGTCGAGATGGCCCTATTAATGTCAAGAGAGGTAGACAGAAAGATGAGTCGCCGACTTGGCCCTGACTGGATAATATGAACTACCTCCTTGGGCACGATGCTCCCAGTGCCCCCTTGTTCCGTGTAAATATTCAGCCTTCCCATGATTCATGCCGCCATCGTACCACTTGAATTCAAAACGAAAAACAAGGTGGCTGGGGTTACGAAGAAGCAGCACTTTCAATGCGTACGAAGCATTCGGTACCGAGAACAGACAGATTGGATGACCATACCCAGACTTCGAGTACTTCTATTCTTTTTTGCATGCACAGACCCCTTCTTTTCTTCTTCCTCTAGCACATGCATAGTCCGTCCTATCAATTTTCCTTGTCCCAGTCTTCCCAACCACCCCTCCCCTGTCTCCATATTTTCCCCTGCCCTCCACCCCGACAATAACCGCCTCACTAGATATGGAATTTCTTCCGTTCCAGGGCTCGCTTTGCTTTGTTCAAGCTTGTCAAGGTTCATGGTTTAAGGCCCAAAGGACCCAGTAGCTCATCGTCCGACTCGGTAGTCGTACTCCGACTAACTACTTCCGCGCCTCGGATCCTGTCTCCTCTTCCTTCTTCCTCCCTTCTCACACCGCTCTCCTGGTCGAGTTTTGAACTGCCCACCCAAACCCACTCCTGGTGTCTAAGGGTGGTCCAGAAAAGAATATATTATACTGTGGCCACCTGCCTAATTTGCCTCCGCACGCACTGTGGCGTGCATTTCTTTCTTTCTTTCTTTTTTCATGCTTCCCCCCCTCTTCTTTTGCCATCTGTGTAACCCTTTTCAGATCTCTCCAAAATCTTGACTCGCCCTCCCTCCTCGGTTCCCGGCCCGGATTTAGCTTGTAGTCGAAAGTCGGCCGGTGGCTAGTCGTCATCGTAGATCCAACGCCAGGCGTCAAACTTCGGCAATTATGAACAAAGGAAGCAACCAAAAACAATCAAGCCACGGCATTCGTCATTCTGCATTAGTCCGGTGCCAAAGGTCAATCACTGAACATGGCATGGATATCGGGCCTCGCCGAAGTCGTGCTTGATAGGCCCAATTGCTCCAGTCCGCTGACCACCTGCAGACCTTGCCTCGCTTCACCGAGTGCACCTTCTAGAAAGACCGCGTTGGCCGGGGCAAAATCGAGTCGTTGACCAACGAACCCAATTCTGCAAACAAGTTTCTGTAACTCGGGACCTTACACAGCGAGGCTCGGGGGATTTCAAAATGGGCGGGGACAAAGGGGGGACCTTCTGATGGATGCCTGGTTGGAATTTCCTTTTGGTCCAGCCTCTCTCAAGTTGGCACTTCTCCCGCGATGCCCGGCAATTGAGCAATCAACGGACCAGGTGGCTGATCGCCAATGCTGATCGCCAATCAAGAAGGAAGACAGCGGAGACTATATCCATTCGTATATACCATGTCTGCTCCAAACATCGGGTCCTTGTCGTGAGGTGCCACAATCCAGACAATAGTCGAGATTTGGGTTTCAAATCTCGTCCCCCCCATGTTTCGGAAGCCCGTACTTCGTAGTCGTAACTCGTGTATCCATGCATGCCCTTTTGTCTTCTGGTATATGTCCAGTTTTCATTTCACATCAGAGATGGGTATCAAACAAGTCCTATGTAGCTCGTGTAACCTCATGGGCCCCAGTTCAACCACCATCCTCGCTAGGAGGGTCCTGAAACTAACAAAGAAAAACAAAGTGACATTCTAGCCACCAATCGTATTTACACCACCTCGGAAAAGTAGCGTTTGCTGGTATGTCTGCCAGGGGATCGTGGGTCAGGGGGTAAAGGTCCGCTGTGGTGCACTACATGTGGTCGGAACACTGCATCCACGGGTGGCATCCAGTCATCCAGCCCTAATGGGAAGTATTCGTAGAGTTGATCCGCACTCTCGCCCTCAGCATTGTATGGTAAGCCTGACTTGGTCGCCAGCAGCTCGGGTCTATGAGACCCTGGCGGCATCGACCCTTGTCCGTTCATTGTAGGTATCGAGCTCGGAACACTGGTCATGGAGACCTGGTGAGAATGTAGTCTAGGTCGAGAACCCGCTTGGTTGGCTAGTTGCCCAGGCGACGTACCAGGATTGCTCGTATACGTCCCTGACGGGCCTTTGTTAACAAGAGAAGGGGAAGGGTTTGAAGTGGGAGGTCGAGATGAATGTCGTGATCCCTGTGGCGGCGGATGAGGACTACCTCCCTCATCGTCACTGCCAAAATGCAAGCTCATCGGCCGGCTCCCTGGCGCCATCTCTTGAGGGAACGTAAAGGGGAAAGTGCCCGGCGTTCCCAGGTCAGCGCTGCCTTCTGGAAATGCCGGGACCGGGGGATTGATAGCTGTTGAGTAGGGAGTTGCAAGAGAGTCTTGTACGCCTTGGGACACCCAGTTGGCACCGTCGATATCTGTGGGCTTGATGTCAATACTGTCGTAGCCGGTCATCTGTGGTGTCTCCTCGGTGGGGGTCTTGATTTTGGGGGCCGAAGTGACCTGGGGAACTGACGTTTGGCTGTTCGTAACTCGAGATGCAGCCGGCAGATGTTTACGCGTTGTCGAACTGCTGCTGAGAGGCAAGTCCTTCCGTGCTGCGAAGTTGCGAGGGCTCCGGCCTCGGACAATGACCGCTCCTGAGTGAGCTTCGGCAATGGAGATCTTGCCGCCTGTCGATAACGATGCCATGATCTTCAAGTGGAGCGTGAAATGTTGTTGCAGCTCTTTCCGTCGACCATTATTGGCAGTTGCTATCCGGAATTGCAATCTTTTCCACTGAATGGGGAAGGTCGTAAAGTCTGTGTCCAGATCTTGTCCCGTCATCTTGTCCAAAGGAATCGTCGGAGGCTCTTTCTCTATCTTATCCTCTGGCTTGGGCGCTTCTCCCGAGGCTGGCGTCTTCCACGGCACTGAGATAATCTTGACCGAGTTTCCCTCGACAGATTCGGTAGCTGACACGGCCAGTTCCAGCTCGTAAATGGGAATTCTCGACCCATCATCGGTGAAGACATATCTTAGATTTCGGGGAAGCGTCACCGAGCCGGTGATTTGGAACAAATTGCGCCGATAACACGTCAGTTCCGGAGGAGGAGGAGGAGTGTCGGCCGTGGCTGGCCATTGAGACTCGGCTAAGAAGAACATGCCGTGCAGCTGGGCATTGATGTTAACCGACGACCGTCGGAATGAGTCGTCCAGGAGTGTGAAGTTGTACGACGGCATCGAGAAGCTGAGATATTTACTGTCGCGATCAATCGAGGGACTCTCGGGCAATCCTTCGGTGGGCACTCGCTCAAACTGAGACATCGTGCTTTCGGCGAAGGGATCTTCGAAGTTAGACGAGTACCGCTTCAGCATTGCAGGGTGCTGCAGGTTACTCGAGGGTGCGAAATTGAGCTCGTCGCCACTAGAATATGTTAGCTCTACCGCACTGGGAGCAAGTCGAGGTTGGGCCGAGCAACATTACCTCATATACGGCTCCGAGTCGAAGTTGGAGTATTGATCTTGCAAGTCCATCACCGACGGGACACTCATGTAGTCGAGATTTTGCATATTGCCGCCCCCAAAGGGCATTGGACTGTGCAAGTAAGGCATTGCGAGAGGATCATAGCCATCCATGGTGGCGGCCATGCGTTTGTGTACGTGTGTGGGTGTCTGGCTGCGGTCGCGAGGGCAGAAGGTGGCTGCGGAGTTTGGGCGTTTGCGAGGTCTGGTAACGAGAGCTGCGCAAACACGAGCCACGGAGCTTTGGAAGGGAGAAGTTGTTATTGAAGAGAGAGGAAAATTCTCGTCGGCATCCTCAAGAGCAAGATAATGCTCACGAAAGCGCCACTGTCGAACAAGACCGAAAATTGGAATATCGATGAGCCGCCCCGAATGAGGGTTGTGGTTTGTTAATCAGCGAATGAGCCAGTCTAAGCAGCGGGCAATGTACTCGGTGTTGTTAGATGCGAGTTGCTCCCGACGAGTCGTTTGACCCTTCACACTCCCAACTTTGAAAGGAAGGCGGGAAGCAGGAAGCAGGAAGTAGTAGGAAGTGGGCAATGTAGCCGGGGTGGGCGATTCTGGCTGCAGTGCTGTGAAGGCCCTGTACGAGTAGGTGGTGAGGAAGAGGCAGTCTGTCAAGTCGATTCCGCAGCTTGGCAGTGACGACAAACGACTCGAGGATTATGAGATTGAGGCAAATCTCAGCGGTTGCCGGTAAAATGAGCTCAGGAGATTGGGAAAGTCGATTTGAAAAAAACGGCTCGCCGGGAGGTCAAAATACGAACAGAGATGGGTGGACGTTCGAGTTGATTTGACTGCGTGGTCTGTTGCAGCATTTAGACTTCGAATGTCCTTGGGGGAGCCAGGAAGCCAGGAAGCCAGTCGCTTCTGTCTTTGTTCTCGAGGCACCCTGGAGGTATTGAGTGAGATAGACAGTCACCCCTCCGCCCAAAATGCTCGGTGAACACTGCAGGGTGGCAGGTGCCCACCGGGGCCTCGTAGCCTGGAGCCTGTACCTAGCCTGTAGCCCGACAGTTTGCCCCGGGTGGCTGGCAGCTCGTTCGGGAGAAGGCAAAACTTGAGCCTTCTAGAAGGAAATGGGGGCAAGCCAGTCGGGGCGCTAAGGGGGGGGGCGCTTGGGGGGAATCAGGCTTAGCTGGGTGGAGTCTCTTTGAACCATCTCATGCCTTTGCTCCGTCATTGACCCGGGCCTCTTACCTGGAAAATGCATCTTCGGTGGGGGTGTCCAGCTCGAAGGAGCCCCTGGGCCCCGTGCACCCTAGCCACCGAGCCACCGAGCCAACTGCCTCGTACACACCTCGGTACCTAGGTAGGTACTTGCAAGCACTCGCTCGTGCTCAAACTGACACTTCGCTCCCTCCGAGCCACTCGAAGTCTTCCTCTCACTTCAAGCAAAGTTAGAAGGCAAAGTCCTCGTAAAGGGGCTGAGGGGCGGTTCAGGTTCAGGTTCAGGTTCTCCATGATCCATGGCCCCCCTCCAAAACCTTTCTGACCATCCCAAGCGATTGAATCACTCTGCGTCAGCCCTTCATGCATCGAAGCAGCCATGGAAAACACTTGGAAGCGCTGGGGGCCTTTTAGCCACATCCTCTCTAGTTGCCTTCAAATCATCCACCACACAATGATCCAGTCAGATTGCCGCTCTGCTCTGTTGCGGATTCGCCTTTGCTCACCTCTGCCTCTCCAGCCAGTCGCAGGATTTCACCACCTCTTGCTTCTCAGACTAGTCTGATTCCTCCCGTGTCTCAATCGCTGATCATCGCTACGCCCGAGGGGCCCGAGAGCCTGACATGCATGAGAATGGTTTGCTCGTTCCCTTCTGGCGCATGCGCTTGCCCACTGAGGGAAAGCCAGGCAATGCGACGGTGAGGGCCCTGATGGCGCACCCTGCCCTAATCATGCAGAGTCACGACTCATGGCTGATCTTAGACTTCTGACCATGGTGACCACTGCCTTCAAAAAGCAACTCTGTGCGACCGCCCTACCGAACAGCCTCGCATCACCCGCGCATAGCGTACCCTGCCCGCGAGCTGAGGCCGGTGGCCTGCTCGACGCCATCCATTCAGGCACCGAAATGCACTTCCGGCGGTCAGATCAGATAGCAAAGGGCTGAGGACCAAAGACAACCGGCTCGGAGATATAAGAGAAAAACTAGGTAGGCACACACACACCACCCCAAAGGTCCCATGACGTTTTCGCTTTTAGTGGATCGTGTGAGACACTGAGCAAGCACGGCAAGCCAAAGTCCGCTTGGCTGTCATGGACACTAAGCAGGGCCCGAAATTCCGCAGACACAGACAACACCTGTCAGGGATTGACTTCGTCTAGCAACTTGCTGGGCCTCAGGCTTCCTTTTCCAGAAACTCACTCGATCTTCCTAATACGATCTGCTCCGTGCTCTCCGTATTGCTCGAGGGCAGCTAGTCCCTCCGACCATTTCGCACTAATTTGCTCCAGCCCGTTGCGAACTGCCCAATGTCCGTTCTCGCCCAATGAGCGTCCTCTGCTCTTCTGCCAAATCGCGGCAGAGATTACGCGAGCGCGAGCTCTTGAGTTGCCAGCCTCGGCCACCGCTGCCATCACAGTTATCAGCAGATTGCCCTCTCTATCGTATAGTTGTGGAGAGACAACGGGCGGCTTCCGGCTTTTGAGAGGTTCTTGCTGCTCATGGGTCGAGGGGGAGTAAAATGAGGATCGCCATTCAGTGGGTCGGCGCTTAACTTCATTTCCTCCTATTACCCACATGTATCTGCTGCAATATTGTCAAAAGGTCCGCCAAATAACTCGACTCAAGGGTCTGGTGTCGGGGAAGGCTTACATCGAATGATCGAGACATTCTTTTGGCAGGGGGTGAGACTAGACGGCGGCAATTGCATTTGCTTTTGTGCCAAGCGCAGTCAGTGGTTGACACGCTGGTGCGGCAGCCTGAATATCGCCCCCCATTGTGCACAGGGAGGCACTTTGATGCTACTGGGAAGCTTGTCTGGTGATCCTGATCCGTCCTGGCCCTCATGTTGCGGACATCATTGTCCAATGAACCGGATCGCTCGAGATCTCTTCGAAACTGTTGCTGATGGTAAAGCCCAAAGCCTTTAGGCCGTTCATGGAAACGTCTTCGCGAGTCTGTAGAAAGGGACAAAGATCAGCCCTTCACGTTCTCGCGCGCTGCGGCGGTTTCGCAACTTACATAATCTAGGAGTAGAGTCCGCAAGCCTTGCTTTTTGACTTGGCGTATTCCCAGGAGGACCAGGCCTTGGAACAGTGAGACACGATCGCTGTACAAGGTCGAAATAACCGGGGACGACAAGCACGCCGTTCCAACTTGTCTGTACAGCAGCGGAATATAGCGGGCGATCTTCGACTCGGCTCGGCACATCAAAATGCTTCCGAGAATCGACTGGTCAGAAGCCCTTTTAGCTCGAATGATACCGCAGCCTTCTTTGTTGCCCAGGGCCATTTGATAAACACCTCGGACATCCGTTCGTGCACATCTTGTGAGATGTTCCATCATCACTTCGGTGTACTCAGCTCCGTGAACCAGATCATATTTGACCTCAGGATTTGTCAAGGCCTGGGCCAGTCCATCAGGAGCTGTCCAGACTGAGAGATCGCGAATCATCATGGTTGCCACAGGTGTCGACAGCGACACGTTCCACCCGAGTTTGGCAAACCATTGGCGCAGACGTTTGTATTCCACTGGATCCAGTTTGGGGATCCCCAGATATACATGCGGAAGCCTGACACCAAGCTGGAATTTGGCGATGCCCTTTTTCTGAAGCAATGCCCGCACGGCACGGTCATGCAGAGAGTGCCCGATAGATAACCGGCGGCGCGCAGGGTCCACAATGATGGCGCCGATATGCCCGACGCCGCTGTTTTTGAAATAATATGTGGTGCAAAATCCAAACAACTCTTTGGTGCTGCTGTTCCTGACCACAAAATGCGCCTCCTCCACGTCCGGATCACGGAGGAGAAAAGTACCGGTCACGACGTTTTTCAACGCAGCGGCGTGTACTGAGGGCTCATTCTGTGATTGAATCAGGAGCGCGTCTAATGCTGCCGAGTCTCGATCTTCACTGAAGCTTTCCACAAGCCACTGCTGTCTGGTGTGGCTAGTCTGCGGCTTCTGGCTAAATGAGCCCGGCAACACTCCCGACGGGGTAAGCTCACCATAAAGAACTTGGACCAACGCCTGCAGGGCAGTCTCGGTGAAATCATAGGTACAGACGTACGTTCCAATTGATGTATCGGACGCGAAGTCGAAGGGCGAGCTGACGGCGACCACAACACAGGGCTTTTCTCGTGGACTGCCATCCACCCCGACCGCCAACCTGCACAACATAGAGATGTGTTTTGCGAATGCATTTTGATACATATTTCGACCCGCATCAGCCGTGACAACCACGACTCCCCGAGCTCGGTTCAAAAGATTCTCATGGAGAGGTCTCACTCCATTTGCAGTATATGAAGTGTGAGATATTTTGCCGTTGCGATACCGGGCGAGCGTCCGACCAAGCTCTCGGAAGACTTGCTCTCCACTCATGATCGACGTATTCGTATCGATGCTGGGGCTTCGCCCTAGATGAGGGACTGTCGACGCTTCGTTTTGCAAGAGATGAAATAGAGCGGACGCGGGTAATGGTTTGACCAAGGGTGTCAAAAGGAGAAGCTCTTCGTCGGGTTTAATGACTCTCGACAACGGCAAAAAATGTTTCTGGTCTCGAACCACGCTAATTGATTTGTTATAAGCCGTAGTTGAGAGGCTTGTGTGAAGAGGCTGTAATCGAGCGAGATTCTCGATTCCCGCCGGCGCAAACGCCTTTTCCCAGGACGTATATTTTCTCTTCATGTTGAGGATTCTCTGCACCGACTCTTGCACTCGGTACCTTTCAATCATGCCATTATCCAACCCAGCCGTGAGACCGTTGATGGCGTCTTCTTGGACGGACAGAGTGCGGCAAGTCAGGATCAGGTCACAGCCGGCCTTGAATGCCATGACTGTGCCACCACTGATGCCGATATTGCGGCTCAGAGCCTCCATTTCCAGACACTCTGACACGACGACGCCCTCGAAGCGCATTTCGTGCCGCAGCAGATCTCGAACGATCTGCTCCGAAAGACAGGCGTGCATGACATTGACTTGAGAAGATGCCATTGCGACGCCGCCGACCATCATGGAATCGACGCCCTGGGCAATCGCGGCACGGAAGGGGACTAAAGCACTCTGGCTCAGGTTCTCCAGCGAGTCTGTAATGGTGGGCACGTCATCTGGGACGCCAAAGAATTCGAGATTGCCATAAGAAGGGAAATGTTTGCCGCAGGTCGCAACCCCACCTTCTTGGTAACCTTTGATGCATTCCACGCCATACGCCGAGACTTCATGAGGGTCATCGCCTACAGATCGAACACCGAGAGGCTGATTTCTGGCGTTGGTCAGGACATCGAGCACTGGACCCAGGATCCAATTGATACCACACGAATTCAGCTCTTGAGCTGTCGCTCGGGCAATATCCTTTGCCAGTTTCTTTGAGCCGGTGGCAGCCAAGCCCATGGCACTGGGGAACTGACGAATATAGACCTCATCGTACAAGCTGTTGACGCCACCATTCTCCTGATCGAGAGCAATCAAGAGAGGCACCGGATGACCCGCCTGACGCGCAACAGTCTGAAGATCAAGCACGAGCTGGGTCGCCTGTTCAGCAGCTGTTCAACAATACAGTGTCAGTAACTCAAAAAGGGAAAACAAACAAGAGCACGGAGGGACAGGAGACGGCACATTTGAGGTTTTGGGCCTTGAGCAGTATGGAGCCTACGTGATACTTCTCGATCAAGATCTTGACCTGATCAGTGACGGAGGTGCCATCAAAGCCCATCATAAACAGCTGGCCGAGCTGTCTGCCAGATATATAGTTAGTTCTATCCGGGACGCAAGGGGTGAGGATGACGGCATGGACATACCTTGATTCGTCCCACCGGCCGGGCAGATCCCCATTGGTAGTGGCCACAGCCATGATGAGAGGAAGGGATTCGGTCCCCACATGCACCGCGATTGGATGGACAGGTGAGCAGGCTGGGCAGTTCGGGACCAGAGAGGAAATGGAGCAGGAGGAGAGAGTTCGGGGGAGTCGGAGTCAGGAGTCGGTGGTGCACGAGCCGAGCACAGACAGAGCTTGACACAGACACAGAGACGAGCACGGAGACGAGCACGGACCAGTGAAAGGCCGCGGAAAGCGAGGTGCGCCTGGCATCAGAGAAGCTGTGGGTGAAGGACTGGGAAACGTGGGAGTGGGAGCGGACAGACAAGGTGATGTTGCATTTTGAGATGGGAAGTGTCGCAACGTCGCGTGAGAAATGTAATGGTGGTGGTGGTGGTGGTAGTGGTAGTGGTGGTTGGGAAGATGGAGAGTTGAACGGGAGAATGGCACCTGATGGGATGAGTGAGTGAGTGGATGGAGGGATGGATGGATGGATGGCACCCCAAAGAGAAAGAGACGGTTACACTGGCCCGTGTCACGTGCACCGACGGGAGAGAAAATGTTTGCCCTGTTTGCGTCTCTCCCCTCCATCCTCCCTCAGCTCAGCTGCCCTGCGTTGCCTGCGCCCTCGGACACCTTCTGCGGTGGATTGGCTGCGATCACCCTCCTATCTCGCTGACTTCATCGCGCTGCTTCCTAGGTACCTAGGTACTTGTTATCAGCGAATCTTCTTTGCTCCAGCCTTCCGGTGGGTGCTCCATTGGTTGGATGACAATATTGCAACTGTTGCACCACCAACTGGCCCTCGACGTTGCTGATTCCTCCACTGCCTTCTCTAAGAAAATCTCTGCTCTGTGCCACCAGTGCCTGGCGAGCTGGTTCTCCGCATTCTGGCCCCTACATATGTAATCCCTCTCGTGATGGCCTGGCTAAAGGTTGTGCTGCCGCCTACGTCAATGGTTTGTCGCTGATCTCTTTTTATTCCCATCTCCCCGCTTCCGTGATTGTTGTGCTCTTACTGCTAGACTTTCCTCTTGTCTCGCGGCTCTTTGAACAGAGCCTACCTCCAAAATGAAGGTCATCATCCGCGACGACAAGGACAGTGCCTCCAAATACGCAGCCCGGTATATCATCAACCGCATCAATGCCTTCGCGCCAACCCCGGAAAAGCCCTTTGTCCTCGGACTACCCACAGGCAGCAGCCCCGAGATCATTTACAAATACTTGGTCGAGGCGCACAAGGCCGGTGAGGTGTCATTCGCCAATGTCGTGACTTTCAACATGGACGAATACGTGGGTCTGCCCGAGGACCATCCCGAGTCCTACCACAGTTTCATGTACAAGCACTTTTTTGCCCACGTCGACATCAACCCGGAGAACGTCAATATCCTCAACGGCAATGCTCCCGACCTCAAAGTCGAGTGTGCTGCCTACGAAGAAAAGATTTCCCGCGCCGGCGGAATTGACCTCTTCCTGGGGGGCATTGGACCAGATGGACATATCGCATTCAATGAGCCGGGCTCTTCGCTGCGGTCAAGGACCAGAGTCAAGACGTTGGCAGAAGACACGATTCGGGCGAATTCAAGGTTCTTTGGCGGCGACCTCAGTCAGGTTCCCAGACAAGCATTGACTGTGGGTGTGGGCACTGTTATGGATGCCCGGGAGGTGCTGGTCATCGTCCTAGGCTCCAACAAGGCGGTCGCTTTAGCCAAAACCATCGAGGGGGCTGTCAGCCAGATGTGGACCTGCAGTGCACTGCAGATGCACGAGAATGCCATGATCGTCTGCGACGATGCCGCCACTGACGAAATGCTGGTGAAAACGGTCAAGGTAAGCACGCGATCCGATAGGGAGTGCAGAGAACGTGCGCCGACTAATTTTCTCTGCAAACAGTATTTCAAGAGCATCGAACAAGTTTCCGCGGAACAGGAAACCGCCAAAGCCACTCCTCTACAAACCTCGCAGGTCCGGCTGGACAACTGGCGGGCGGGCCTGAAGGACCTGAGAATCGACACCGACAAGAAAGAGCTGCTGGATCAAGACGACGGAGAACTGACACCGGATAGCATGTCGTCGAGGCTGGTGGACTCGGCGATCGCCATGAACGACAAGAAAATGGGCGATTTCATGTTTGACCGCATGGGCTCGCGAGTCTCGACTTTTGCGGCATAAAATGTGACCGGACGGATGAGATATTCCTTTTACTTGAAACAGTACTTGTAGGAGGCGGAGGCGTCTTTTGGAGGGGTTTGGGCTTTGACGTTGGCTCAGCAAGCACGCAAGATCCAGGTGGATAAAATTATTCCTTCTCGCACAAGCTCGGGTGACATGGGCCGAATGACATGTTTGAATATATTGGCGAGGAATGGGTATCGTAAATCCTCTTCCAGTACATTAAAAGGGGGTTCATATGTACCTAGGTACTATATTTTGTTGATCATTACAACTTGGCAAAGACAGTTGGGACACTCCCTCCCATCTCGACCAGCGTGCTCTTGTTCCGGACCCAAGCCTCGAGCCCTCTCCGGCCGTTCTCGACGCCGACACCGCTCTGTTTCCAGCCGCCGACGGCCATCTCGGCGGGCGACTCCCCCCAGGTATTCACCCACGTGATGCCCGCCTGCAGCTGCTTGATCACCGTGTGGCACTGGTTGATGTCCCTGCCGAACACCCCCGCCGCGAGACCGAGATCGGTATCGTTTGCCCGGGAGACGGCTTCGTCGAGGGTGTCATAGGGCAGGATGGCCATGACGGGGCCGAAGATCTCTTCCTTGACGATCCGCATGTTGTCGGTGCAGTCGGTGAAGACGGTGGGTTGGACCCAGTACCCGCTTTGAAGATGCGAGGGGAGGTGTGCAGGTTGGTCGAGGCCGCCGTGGAGCAGTTTTGCGTGGTCCACCTCGATCCCGTGCTTGATGTAGCTTGTTACCTTGTCGTAGTGGACCTTGCTGACCAGCGGGCCGAAGTTGGTGTTCACGTCCATCAGGTCTCCCGGCCGAACATGTTTCATCTTCTGCAGTAATACTCTTTCAAACTCGGGCTTCAGGTGCTTTGGCACGAACACTCGCGTGCCATTTGTGCAGACTTGGCCTGTGCTGAAGAAGTTGGCCATGAGAGCCCCGTCCACGGCTTGCTCGACGTCTACATCCGGTAGCACGATCACGGGGCTTTTCCCGCCCAGTTCCATGGTCACGTACTTCATCTCTCCGGCGGCTGAACCAGCAACCTTGCGACCGGTCGAGACTTGGCCCGTAAAGCTAACCTTGGCGACAATTGGATGTTTCGTCAAGTAAGCACCCACTTCGCCCGCTCCGTAGACGACATTGAACACTCCATCAGGGAGACCGGCTTCTTTGTAGACCTCGGCGAGGAATTGGCCATGAAGCGGCGTCACTTCCGAGGGCTTGTACACCATTGCGTTCCCGGCCGCGAGACATGGGGCTGATTTCCACAGTGCGATCTGGATGGGGTAGTTCCAGGCACCAATACCAACACAGACGCCGAGCGGTTCTTTGGAGGTGTAGACCCAAGCAGAATCTCGCAGGCGGAACGATTCACCATTCAAGCCGCCCGATGCGACCAGGTTGGCGAAGTACTCGAGGACATCGGCGCCGGTCACGATGTCGACGGTGGACGTCTCTGAGAAAGGCTTGCCGGTATCTATTGTTTCAATTTTAGCCAGCTCGTCGTTCCGGGATCGAAGTATTGCGACGGCTTTGTGTAGAATTCTGGCTCGCTCGATGGGCGGTGTGCTGGACCACGAGGGAAAGGCTGCTCTTGCCGACGAGATGGCTGAGTCAATGGAGGATTGGGAGGATGTGTGGATTGTACAGACATTTTTGCCTGTCGAGGGGTCGACTGAGTAGAAGGTATTGGGTGAAGTTGAGGATGGTTGAGGCTTTCCGGCGTAGAAGGTGTGGCGCTCTGGGAGCCTCATGCTGCAGGGAGGGAGGACAGGTATGGAGTCTTCGATTGTTGACAGGGTGAGAGGGTGTGTAAGAGCGTGAGTGCAGAGGTAGAGGAGATGTTGTTCAAAGCTATTGTCTGCGTCTCTATCTCAGTGTCAGTCAGTCGGTAGTGAGTGCCGGTCCCTTCGTCTTTTTTTCCCTCCTGCTGCAAATCTTCTCCGCATGGCCCCTGCAGCAGGAGTGGGTGGCAGCAGCAGCAGTAGCAGTAGCAGGAGCAGTAGCAGCTCACCGCAAGGCGGGGCAGGCCAGCCTAAGGAGAAGCGAGCCTCTTAGAACCCTTATGCGTTCACTCTTCCGTCATCTCCGGCATCTCCAGCTGCTCCGGCCACCTGGGCTGCAGCTTTGGCGCCCTCACTTTCTAAGCATCGCCTAACTCTAGGCTCACCCAACGCTGATAGGCACTTCGTACCCGGCTCGCCGGCTTCTGGGTGGCTGCTTGGTGGCTTTGGGCAGCCCACCGCTTACACTCTGTCCCCGTCGTGTTTCTTTTCCCCTTGCAGGCATCGATTTTCATCTCCGTCAATTCTCCCAGCGACATATCCGATACAATGATAACCTTTTCGCTATCATGTTCCATAGGATATCACTTATCAGCAGCTTCTTTACCTCTTCAGGCAACATCAGCCGTAACTTCACTTCACTCTTTTGCCTCCACCAGGACCTTTTTTTCGTTTTCTTTTCACCGCCACCAGCCGACAGGGCGGCACATCCCATTTTTCTCCTTCACCCTGATTCCACAGGGCAGGGGTCCTTTGCCAATCGAGTTTACACTAGAAAACATAGAAGACTGGTCCACCTGTTGTGCACCTTCTCCTGCGTAAAACTTGCATGACCGCTCCGTCGCCTGACGGGCCAACCGGGGGTTTACAGGGCTAGGAAATCCTCCAACCCATCCATCTCAGTGGACTGATATAATACCCAAGACTATCAAATTACTACTCGGTCCTTCTTACGCAATAGATTATGTGGGTCATGCTCCTCCCCCAGGATATTTTTTTCAGTCGTCTATAATTCTGGTCCTGGTACTTTCGAACCTCGACGTCTATTCCCTCGTTGTCGACCTCCAATACCCTTGTCCAGTGATTTGTACCTGAGGCCAAGATGACAACCAATCATTTGGACGTGTCCGAAGTCGATAGTTATGACTATCTCATTGTGGGCGGTGGTACAGCCGTAAGTACTTGGATCAAAAAGGTATGAAAAGGGTGCTGAATGGTCTCCTACCTTGTAGGGCTGTGTTATTGCATCCCGCCTGGCCGAATACCTCCCCAAGAAAAAGATCCTGTTGATAGAGGCAGGCCCCAGTGACTTTATGGATGATCGTGTCCTGGATCTCAAACAGTGGCTCAGCCTTCTCGGTGGAGAACTCGACTATGACTATGGCACTACCGAGCAACCAATGGGTATGTTAACGGTTTGATATGATTCCACAAACCCCATAGCTATCCCCAGAGCTGACGGCGCAATCCGCAGGCAATTCTCATATCAGGCATTCTCGCGCCAAAGTCCTGGGTGGTTGCTCCAGTCACAACACGCTCATCTCTTTCCGGCCGTTTGAGTATGACTGCAAGATCTGGGAATCCATGGGCGCCAAAGGCTGGACCTTCCCTATGTTCATGCGTGTGCTGAACAAGCTCCGGAACACCGTTCAACCGGTTCATTCTCGCCACCGAAATCAGTTGTGCAAAGACTGGGTTCAATCGTGTAGCACTGCGATGAACATCCCAATCGTACACGATTTCAATGCTCACATTGCAGCCACGGGCGCCTTGAGGGAGTGTGTCGGCTTTTTCTCCGTCAGCTACAACCCCGACGATGGCCGGAGATCGAGCGCCAGTGTGGCCTACATCCATCCAATCCTGCGGGGCGAGGAGGACAGACCAAACCTCAAGATCCTGACCAACGCCTGGGTCTCCAAGATCAATGTTCGTGGTGATACGGTGACGGGTGTCAACCTCACGCTCCAATCAGGCCAAAAATTGACTCTCACCGCACGGACTGAAACCATTCTGTGTGCCGGCGCTGTAGACACACCGCGCCTCATGCTCCTCTCCGGTCTGGGTCCGGCTCAAGAATTGTCCTCTCTCTCCATCCCCGTGGTGAAGAACATCCCGGGTGTAGGTGAAAATCTCCTCGACCATCCGGAAACCATCATCATCTGGGAGCTGAACCGACCGGTTCCGCCGAATCAAACAACCATGGACTCGGACGCTGGCATCTTTCTCCGCCGTCAAGCTCCCGACGCGGCCGGGTCGAAAGCCACACCGACAAACCCAGCCGCGATCCCGGACGGGAGCATTGCAGACGTGATGATGCACTGCTACCAGATTCCCTTCTGCCTGAACACGACGAGATTGGGATACGACACTCCAATCGACGCATTCTGCATGACCCCCAACATCCCCCGTCCTCGATCCCGCGGCAAACTGTATCTGACCTCGTCCGACCCCAGTGTCAAGCCGGCGCTGGATTTCCGCTACTTCACCGACCCGGAAGGCTACGACGCCGCGACCTTCGTCTTTGGACTCCGAGCCGCGCGCAAGATTGCCGAGCAATCACCCTTCAAGGAGTGGATCAAGCGTGAAGTCGCCCCCGGGCCGCAAGTCCAGTCCGACGAAGCCCTGTCCGAGTACGCCCGCAAAGTCGCCCACACAGTGTACCACCCCGCGGGCACCACCAAGATGGGAGACGTGCGCAAAGACGACATGGCCGTGGTCGACGAGAATCTCAAGGTGAGGGGCCTCAAGGGCCTGAGGATCGCGGATGCCGGCGTGTTCCCGGCCATGACCACCATCAACCCGATGTTGACGGTGCTGGGCGTTGGCGAGCGGTGTGCCGAGCTGGTCGCCATCGAGGCTGGCTGGAGACTGACGGACGTGGAGATGAGCGGACAGGGTTGGGCGAATGACAAGGGTCTCCGACCCAGACTGTAAACCTGGACGAAGGTGGAGAAGTCGAGGGCGAGACAGATGGTCATGGATGGAGGAGTGCTTTGATGGGGTCCAGCCCAAAGTGCTTTTGAAAGTTCGACCGGTGAAGGAAGGAGAAGAAGAAATGACATCGATTATTGATCTTGATATCAAAAAGGACTGATTCTCCCGCGGCGATTGGGAATGGGTGTATGGGTGGATACTACCTAGGTACCTACTCTATTGCTTGATTCAATAACAAAGCCGGGCGACTGGCTCACTCGCTCACTAGATGCAGGGTGGCGAGCGAATCCTTGTGAGCATTGATGAGATATGTCACAAAACCAACTAGACATATACAATCCGAGGATCGCACACGGTGACTCGAATCGGGTCGCGTCAGATCCACGGAGGAGGAAGGGACCCAGGAGTTCAGGAAATCGTAATGTATTGGCATCTACATGCACCCATCCATCCATATATCCACACAACCCATGGACGCACACCGCGCCGAGATCAGGATCGGGCTCATAAAGCATACATCAGACATCAATCTCGGTGTGCTGTGCTCTGCCCTTTCCGCGCTGCGCTGCGTTGCGCTGCTCTCGCTTGCCCTGTACCGCTTGACATAGAGAAATTCCCAGCCACGTCCTGTTCGCTTGAACTTTGAAGCAATGAGCTCGTGTGAGATGATGAGCTAAGCTAGTCGCCCACACTGACGCCAGCCTTGTCCGCGTCCTTGGGCTCTGTCTCCTGCGGGTCCGTTCCCTTTGTAACCTCGTCCTCAACCTTGTCGGTGCTCGCCACTTCTGTGGCTTTGCTTTGTGCTGTCTCGACAGCATCCTCCCCATCGTCGTCTTCTTCCGGGATACTCAGTTTCTTCTCCAGCGCTCGAATCTCTTCGGGGCTCGCTTCTCCAATGTCACTCCCACGGTGCTGCTTACGTGACGCTGCTTGCGAAGGTAGGCTCGTAGAAGAACTAGCGCTGACTTCATTCTCGGGCACTGCAATTGATGTCTCTTCCGGCTCTGCTACAACTTTGTCGCTCTCTTCAATGGGTGTAACATCACTCAGCCTCGACTTGGATTTCGTAACGCTGCTCGTCCGACGCATTTCGAGAATTTGTTCTTCTTTTGAAGGCGACGTATCCTCTGCAGCGCCTGCGGCTAGTTTCTCCTCTGACTCGGCGATTTTGTCGACGGATGTTCTGGCTGCGCCTTCTGAGGCGAGTTGGGCTGGTGTCTTGGCTGCTGTGACCTCCGCTGCCGTATCGGCCGACTCGACCGCTGCCTCTGTACCCACTCTGTCTACCGCGGCCGTGGGCACTTGATCCGCGGAGCTCTGTCCTTTGGCCGGCACTGCTGCAGCTTTAGGGGCCTGGGCAGCAGCGCCTTTCTTCTGTGTTGCTTTGGCTGCGGCTTCCGCCCCCAGCTGACGAAACGCCACGTTCATTGGATTTTCAGCCGGTTTCTGTGATGAGGCTGTCTTTCCGTCTCCAGCTGCGCCATGCTTTTCCTTTTCCTTGTCTGACGGTTCCGCGATAGAGATGTGGCGAGTCTCGGAGGAAGCGCGCGAAGGAGGGCCTGATCTCGATGGAGTCGAAGAAGTACTCGTTGCGGGGACTTGTGGAGCCAGGTTCGTGGAGGTAGTCAGGCTGCCAAAATCTTGAGTTGCGGCAATTTGCTCTTTGAGCTCTCCGTACTCATTCCACTCTTCGATTTGCTCAAGGTCCTGAGATTGGTTAGCGAAGACCAGTGTCGGAACACGGCTGGACGGGTGGACAGGACATACGCCAATAATCTCTCCATACTTGACCAGGCCCGGCAGCTTTCTTCCCTTGGATCTTCTCCCCCACAGCATACGTGCTTTCTCATCCGTTGCACAGTCCAGTGCCCGAAATGGGATCTTGTTGGCTTTGAGGATGGTCTCTAGCCTTGATGTCGCGGTAATGATGTGCGATGATCCGGCTGTTAGAGAGGTATAGAGATAGAGTGTTGGGTCCGTGGAGTAGGACGTAGCCGCCATGGTGGGCGGTACTCGCGGGGTGAGGAAGGTATCGGAAGGAGGGGCAAGATAGTCACAGGGAGGCTTGCAATCGACCTGAAGTACCTGAGTCTCTATATGAAGTGAGCAATGGGTGAGGGAATTATGTTGCGGTCTTGTGATAAGATGAGAGAGCGCTGACAGTGACACGAGGGGGACAGTGGGTGAATTGGCTGGCAAATTGGGAGGATCAAGAGGCGATTGTGCAGAGAATACAATGCTAATGTGCAGAGATCTCTAGCCGATGATATGGAGAAGGGCGCGTGTGTATTGCCCACATCTACTGGTCTGGCGGCTGCTGGTCAATTGAATTGGGCGAGTAAGAACAAGTTGTTGTATCGTTCACCACAACTCGTGCGCAGATCAATTCCTCCGCCGGCAAGACGGGAAGCTGAGTGCGAAGCTGGTTGCTGATGATGTCATTGTCGCCAAGACTTCAAATGACGGCGAATTCATCTAATTGATCCTTTGATCCTTCGATCTACTCTTCTGTCCTTCCTTGCCACGCGCCGAGCCGACTTCAAAAATAAGTGGCACAGTTCTCACCAGACTTACAAGGGTATCCTATCTGCTTTTGAGCATGGCGAGATCCTTATACTTATTACTCGATACTAGCTGTGCCATTTATTTCTGAAGTTGGCTTGGCCCATGCCTTCCCTTCTCTCCCAAGCAACACCTCGAAATGTCCATCTCATGGCCGCAGCCTTGGTTCTGTGTTGTCAAATACGCCTTCCGGATCGTATTTGTTCTTCAACTCCATCACAAACGGATACTCTTTGCCGAACAATCCGCGAATATTGGTGTCTCGCGTCTGTGTCAGTGACGCGTACGTGACCCCCAATGCGTCCCCCGTGCCATGCAATGCATCATACAACTCCCGGAATCTCTGCTTGGAAGCTCTGACATTGTCCGGATTGACTGCGACACCGACTAGCTCCATCACACTGTGAGGTAATCGAGCTCCAAAACAAGATCCCGGGTCAGGCTCCGCTGAAGTGCCACGCATTTCATGGATCAGTAACAAATTGGCCGAGTCCACGGGTACTTTCGACAGGAACTCTCCCACGACATCGGCTGCTCGCTCTGTGATTCTTGCAAAACTTACCGCGTTGCATCCCTCATACCCATACGCCCTGTTTGGGGTCCACGATATTATGAGATTGATGAGCTCTATCGGAGTCATTTCCTTGACCAACGACGTATCAGCTCCTTCTGCTAACGCTGCGAGTTGCTCCAGGTACTGCCTCCCAGCTTCCATATCCGGAGAGCTCCAAGCAAAGTTGATCGCAAACGTCCAACCTGACATATCCTGTTTGGGGTACCAGAAGGGTGATACCGCTCCGTACGGAGACTTGGTCATCGCATTATAGCCGGAGAAGTATTTGCGGGCGGTCTCCCGTATTTCTGCCGTGTGGAACAAGATTGTTCCTGACAAAAACTGTGCATATCGTTAGCTTGGCGGCTCCTCAGCTCCGGAAATATGACACTTGCCTTTTCGAATGGATATATCTTGATTCCCAGCTCCACCACGATGCCGAAGTTACCTCCAGCTCCTCGGATACCTTTCAGCAGTTCGCCGTCCGCTTCAATGATATCACCTTGCCAGGTCACAACACGAGCTCTCAGGATCTGGTCCACTCCCAACCCAAACCTAGGCGCCAACCAGCCATATCCACCCATCATAGCCCATCCAGCATACCCAATGGTTGGGAAATACCCAAACGGTGTGGTGAGCTTTCTGGAGGCCAACGTCTCGATGACCTCTCCAATCAAAACACCACCTCCGAGAGTGGCTGTCTTACAATCTTGGGCGATTTCAATGGTCTTCATCTTCCGCATATCAATCACCAAACATCCTTCTGCGATGCTGCGGCCGAAAGTATCGTGGCCTCCCGCTCTCACGCTAATCTTTACTCCGTGACGGCGTGCAGCTTGCACAAAAGCTGACACCTCTGAGGCGTTTTTCGGTCGGGCGATGGCAAGAGGTCTCGCTGGGTTATCGATGATGTAGGTGGCCCGGACGTCTGTCCACCCTGTGGATGAAGCAGTAAGAACCTCGAGGTCGGGCCTTTTGAAGAGGTCTGCAAGAAGTGGATGCGTTTCCTTCACAGAACCCATGGTATGCGAGCCGTTCACATTCACCCTTACTTCTTCCAGTACAATCTTTCCACGAGCAAATGGAGTCTCTTCGATATCTCCCTGCCGATCGATCTGGCCGAAGCTTTTCAATTCTACTCGAGGCTGGAAAGAAACGCCTCCCATTTATATCCCATTCCAGAGAAGGCGTTCCGCCCTAGCACAGACCATATGCCGAGTTTGGCGTCTCAGGCAGGAGACGGTTTTGTCACTTCGTCAGCTGACAACTTGTGGCGAGCTGCACAGTCATGGCAAAGAACATCCAAAAATGTCCTTACACCTCAGAGAATTGCGATTGGTGTTCCGGCGGACTTTAGCTTTCTGACAGCGGAAACGGATATACATACGAAGCTGCCTCTTTTGGTCACCCCGACATTGTCATCGGCCAACAAGGGACCTGTTGACCAAACAGGGAGCCTTCATCGCCAAATCTGGGTGCCTTAACTCGGTACTGTTTAACATGGCCAGTCGTCACCACGGCCACCCGCAATCTACATAGTACGGGAAGCCTTAAACTCAGCCCCATTCGCACGGGAAATGCCATTGGCTACGATATCCCTTTCGCCTATTATATTACTCTGGATCGACTACTTTATGGATCCTACACTCGGGTACGGGTCGCGGTTATATCGGCAACAGCAGAGTCGTCCGTAAAGGAATGTCATTACTTATGGCCGGACGGAAGACGACCGACGCCTGGGCATGCGCAGAAGTCGATTCCGGTCGGGTGATATGCCCTCAGCTGAGATTTGTCCGGCCTGAAAAATTCCCTGATTGATTCAAGGATTTAGGCCTCCCTAGGTGGGTTCCTACTATGTATACTATATACATATATGTACTAAGTACTATGTATTGGCGGGGGAATCCGAAATCCAGTTATCCCGCCTCACGCCGCTTATGCGAGACCTATATCGCTATAGAGCCGCGCAGTAGTATACATAGTACATAGTACTTATGAGCTATGGATCTCATTAATCGAGGTCTACTAATAGATCAATTACTCAGTATACGAGGTATATCACTAAGAATGCCTTTGTGGAGGAGTACATACATATGTACTATACTATGTAGTATATAGTACTTGATACATAGTATTTACCTAGTATTTATTTAGTATTATATAATCTAGTATTAATAAGTTACATAGTACTTAGATATGTATATACTAAGTATGTAGCTTTTTAATATAGTAGCTCTTACTATAGTATATATATATAGAAAGAGTAATTAGGACTAGTATTCCTTAATCTTACATAGTATATATAGTATACTAAGTAGTATCCTAGACCTTATACTTACCTTTGATACATAGTGTATATATACTAAGTATACTTAGTACTATGTAGTATATAGTACTATACTACACACTAAGGGACCCCCCTCTAAGGTGCTAGACCGGTCTGTGATCGGTCTGAGACCGGTTTAAGGGGTTATAAGTGAGCTGGACCGATCTGAGACCTATCTAGTCCGGTTTGAGATCGATCTAGAGCGTTTTAAAGCGCTTTAAAGCGCTTCGAAGTACTTAGTACTTTTTAAAAAGGTAATCTACTGATATATATTAAAATTACTAAGTACTAACAAGCTAGAATTAATTCTAGAAATTTATATAAATACATAGTATTTAGAAAAATAGAATATAGAGAGAGAGAGGCGAGAAATTAAGTAAAATAAAAAAGTCGACGACGACAGTAGGACTCGAGCCTTATATTTTTTTCCTAGTAGACTAGATCGGTTTGAGATCGGTCTGAGATCTGTCCAGCACCCCCTAGGGAGGCGTATAGGTACTATGTTGGAGTATTTAATACTATGTATACTATAATACATAGTACTTAGGAAGCGCGGTACGAAAATCGCTAGAAATGGTTTAGCAAGATTGTTGTATACGCTATTCCACCTTAGGACTAGTGTAAAATCACGTGATTGTGTACCCTTGTAAGGAAGGTGCTATGAAGGTACTAGCTAGGGCCTCGTGGTTGGGGATTGTTAATAGCACACTTAGTGGCTTGATAATCCTAACCCTCGCTTACCCTCAAAGCCGCGCAAGCCCGGCAAATAATAGAGTGCAAAGAGATTGCGCCGTGATAGAAGGGGCGAGGCGGCTCGGCTGATGATGAGACGGTCACGTGAGCTCTGAGGTATGATTACCACGATCCCATCATCCTTCAATCCTGCCAAGTAGCGGGCGGCCAGGTCCCGACTCCAATGGACCTGCTCTTGACCCGGTCTGGGGATGCGTGTTGGGCTCCCATTCCTCGCTGCCTGCGAACCTGAAACCATCACTGAAGATCATCAACAGTGCCATCTTAGCGAATCCTCACAATGCTTGTCAACTGCGGTGGCCTGCACCGGCTGGGAGGCAGAATGACGTCAAATTATTTCCAGGATCCTCGACGGTGACATGCCGGGACGATCATCCGCCGGCATAGTACATGCTAGAAAACCGATATGATAACCCAGCGCGAACTCCAGAACCTGTTTGTCTCTTTGCACTTGGTCCCTCTCACTTTCTGTGTAGGTTTGCTATTCCTCAAACGCGCCCAAAACATGTCCAAGGTAATTGGTGCAATCTCAAATTTCCGCGACAAAATCTCTCACCACAAGCATGAGCTGGGTGACACGTTGTCTAATCACAATGGAAGACACCGCCGAGGAGGGCCTGAAGATGACGTTGCTCGCATGATCGAACAAGAAGTACAGTGGTCGAGCGAGGATGAGGAGGAAGAGAAGAGGGGAGAAACCGGACAGCTGCGTCATGGCGAGGCAATGAAAAGCCTGGACGACTTCTTGGACAACGATGACCCTCCCGAAGCAAAGAGATACTACGGCAAGCTGCCACTGGTGCAATCTCAAGACGAGGCTTTCGATAACGACGCGTGGCGGGCGCAATGGACCTCACTCGCAGACGTTGATGCCAGCTTTATCGGCAAGGAGATCACTTTTCGCACTCGGATCCACATCGTTCGCCATATGAGCGCAAAGCTGGCTTTCGTGCTCTTTCGCCAGGAGACCACCACGATACAAGGCGTGCTCAGGGCAAAAGACGGCGGCGTCTCGGAGAATATGGTCCGTTGGGTCGAACACATGCGACCAGGTTCTATCGTGGTCGTACGGGCGAAAGTCAAAGAGCCCGAACAGACGGTCAAGAGCGCAAGCGTTTCAAGCGTAGAATTTGAGATCGAACAGATGTATCTGATCTCGGCAAGAACGGCTCCTGTGCCCTTCAGTGTATACGACGCTGACGCGGGGACTGACGGCCACTCCGTATCCGATCGGGTCAGGCTCGCCAATCGCATACTCGATTTACGAACACCGTCCACACAGGCAATCTTCCGAGTTCAGTCGGCTGTTTCCAGGACTTTCCGACACTATCTGGAGGACCGTGGCTTTCTGGAGATCCATACACCAAAGCTCCAAGGCGGCGCTACTGAAGGTGGAGCGGATGTCTTCAAGCTCGATTACTTTGGGCGGCCGGCGTTTCTGGCTCAGAGTCCACAGCTTGCCAAACAAATGTGTATCTCGGCAGATTTCCCTCGTGTCTTTGAGATTGGCCCTGTCTTCCGTGCTGGTACGTATCCACCCCATCCTCTTTTGCTGAAAAGGTGTCGCTGACATTGCTGTGCAGAAAACTCGAACACGCCTCGCCACATGACCGAGTTCACGGGATTGGACCTGGAAATGGCCATAGAGAGGCACTATCATGAAGCGATGTGGTTGATTGACGCGACACTCAAGGAGATCTTTAAAACACTTTATGACCGCAACAGAAAAGACATTGATACCCTGAAAACTCACTTCCCACACGACGACCTGGTCTGGCTGGACGAGACACCGAGGGTCACATTTGCAGAAGGAGTCAAATTGCTCAACGAATCGGGCTGGACCAATGACGACGGAAGTCAACAATCTGAGCATGATGACTTACCGACGCGAGCCGAACGAAGACTTGGGGAGCTAGTCAAGGAGAAATACCACACCGATTATTATATCCTCGACAAGTTCCCTGCCGCCGCTCGTCCTTTCTACACGATGCCAGATCCCCAAGACAACAACTTCACAAATTCTTTCGACTTTATGGTTCGCGGGCAAGAAATCCTTTCAGGCGGACAAAGAATCCACGAGCATACGCTCTTGAAAGAGCGTATGGAAGCTCAAGGTATGGATCCGGAGGACCTGAAGGAATATGTGCAAGCTTTCGAGTGGGTAGCACCGCCGCACGCCGGAGCTGGTATCGGTCTCGAACGGCTAGTCACTCTTATCCTGGACCTGGGCAACTTGCGCTACGCGTCCCTGTTTCCTCGCGACCCTAAAAGTTTTCCCGCGAAAAAGGAACCGAACCTGCGACATCCTGAGGACAGTACTCTGCAACGTCCCAAGGGCCATCTCCAGCCACTGGAGAACCTGGTGGCGAATTATGGCGATGCCACAAACACTTCGTGGATGGACGAGAGGTTTCAGGTCTGGCGGGATGACAAGACTGGCGCCGCAATCGCTTACGTCCCCACGCACGACCGAGCAATCGTTGCCGGAAACCCGCTCTGTGAAACGAAACAGCTTGAAGACGTGATTACCGCATTCCTGAAGTGGCTTCGGCGAGAGACTCGGCTCCGGCCTCTCTTTATTCTTGTCGACAAGGATGTCGAAGAGGTCCTCGGCGACAAGCTGGGATGGAAGAGCTTCACCAATGTGGCAGAGCAGCGGGTCAACCTTGCTAACAACGAGCACTTGACCATCAGCAGCGATGTCGACCGAAAGATCAGGCACGCCTCGAAGGAAGGCGTAAAGGTGACTGAATACGGCAGCGACGTGCCGGAGGACGTGCGCCAACAAGTCGAACAGCGCGTCAAGGAGTGGCAGGACAATCGAGAGGGCGCACAGGTCCACCTGAGCGTGATCACTCCGTTCAAGGACGCCTCTCATCGTCAGTACTTCATCGCCAAGGACGACGAGGGCAAAATTCACAGCCTGGTGGTCCTTGCGCAACTCTCACCCCGATGGGGAGTACAGGTGAAGTGGGCATTGGACTTTCCCGGAGCGAGCAACGGAGCCATTGAGTTGACGGTGCAGGCCGCACTCAAAGCCGCAGCAAAGGCGGGCTACAAGACGTGCACATTCGGCGCGGGCGCAACAGCCAAACTGTCCAGCGAACACAACGTCGGCGGCGCCAAGGCCGCTACACTTGACTCGCTATACCAGACCCTCGCGGCCAAGTTCAATCTGGACAAGAAGACGGGCTTCCGGACCAAATTTAACACCCTCGACGACCCGCTCTTCCTGTGCTATCCACCCAGAGGATTGGGGCCGAAGGGTGCCCGAGCTATCATCGACTTCTTCCAAGGGGAGGAATAGAGTTCAGCCGGCAGGCGGAGGAGGAAGTGCGATACATATTTGCCGTGATGGGACGGCCCCGCTTATCAGCGAGAGTCATCGAGGATGTTAATGTTTCCAACCTGCGGGTTTCGATACCCTGGCCATCGTGGCTGAGTTTCTCTGCCCCTTGCAGTTAGCAATAATGAAGAGGATGGCGAAATAAGGACGAGACCAACGTTGATGATTTCGTCCTTTTCGCTCGAGTGGAAAACAAAGGAAAAGAAAGAAAGTCGCGCAGCTCTCCAAGCACATGTCTGTCTCCAAGCCTTAGCAACAATACATAGCAACCGCCCCTTTTCGCGCGCCAAATGCGCGAGGAGGGCTCTATACATCAATGAAAGCCATGTCGTTGATCGGAATTTGCAACCCATATACTTACTACCTAGGTACTATAGTGATTGCTACCCGACCGGGAAGTAGGCCCGATTAATGTGTAAGCGGCATCCTATATACACACGGACAATATAACCATATAACAACATTCTGCCCACAGAGTTATGTCTCTAAAGAGAAAGAGGTAGAGCCACTGCCCCTTTGAAACTTCGTAAGCGCGCACACTCGCTGTCCCGTCAGGAACTGCCGTTGGGCCTAGAACCTCAATTCTGCGAATCTGGTAGATATCCGTCAGGACCGGAATTCCTGACACTGCCTCTGGTTCTCCGCCGTCTAGAAAACGAAAACGAACATACCGCGGGAGCTGGAGCTGGGTATTATCAGATGAGACGGGAGGAAAGGCCTGCGTTGGGGAGGGGGCCAAGTTAGAATTAACACCGGGAGGGAAGAGATCGGTAGATGAGTGAAAGGAAGAGAGGAATGCTCTTCTTGATTGAGGAACACCAATGCCACGTGTTCTTCTTCTCGCGGTCATCACCACCTCCACAATTCCACTTTTACAGTACCTCTGTACGACTATACGTTTGTGAGTTTCCCAGCTTCGAGACCAACATCAGTGAGTTAGTTCATGGGGAAAATAACCCCAGCCCATCACCAACGGAAAACCTTCAACACAGAGCCGTGGAGCGCTCTCCTCGACCACCACTACTGCCACTGCACGTTGTATATGCTCTGACTCTTTCGCCGACATTGTTGGCCACGTCCTGCAACCGGTCGGTGTCGGTTCGCAGCTGGGCACCAAGATCCGGCGAGGGGTTTAAGGCTCCCATGAGGACGATTTTCAGGACGAGATGGAAGAGGCGCAAGAACGAGACGGAAATAGGCTCGGGGCTAGAAGGTCGGGCGACGTCCGTCTTCTGAACGAGGTCGAGATCTAGGAGCCATGATTCCAACGAGTCCAACAGGGCTGCTTTCTGGGGCAGGAGTCCGAGAGCGCTTTCTACTGATTGGACTTGTGATACTTTGTCGAGGAAGTCAAGCGTCGACGCGGCGATCCTTGTAAGTCCGGTCCGCATGTCGGGCGCAATTGTGCGAAGATCGCAAGCTCCGACAGGCATTTGATGAGGCGCAAACAAAGTTGTTCCGCCTGCGTCGGCTGTTGTTGGAGGAGGAGGATCTGCAAATTTGCATGGTGCAGCAAACAGCTTAATGATGAAGACGTCCAGCAAGGGCAATTGGTCGTGGTGTGCAGGCACAAGTTTTTGCCCTGCGAGAAGCCCTGGCCGTGCCCTGTGCTCGTGCATGATCCTGAGTCCTTGAATGATATGCTGGGCCATGGCAGTGTAATTCTTCCGCACTTGCTCAATGCTTATGAAGATCTGACAGCAGAGCAACACCGACTTCAACCCGTTGGAACCCAGAGATGACAGGTTGGATGCAAGACCTCTCAAGGCCATGCTGTATTGTTGGAGGCCATAATGTTGGCTTGGGCTCTGCTGCGCGACGACAGACGCAAGATCGTCTCCGAACGTCTCGAGGTCTTCCCGGAGAGCTTTGAGAGACAAGACTGCATGTCGTATGGGCGGATCAGTCAAGCTGGCTTGGAGAATTTGTCTGGCTTCTTCGTCACAGCCTAGGACCACGTCGAACAAGGTTTTGGTCGAGAAGTACCGATTGAGGAGGTCGATGTCCTCTGGGGCGATCTCCGTAAATGTGGGCCGGATGGATGGAAAAGCAACATCTGAATTGCTCTTGCCAGCATGAGCGTTGTTGATGGGTTGTTGACTGGTCAAGATTATAAAAGGGGACTGGTAGCCGTCGCAAGTACGGCCAGTGCTGACACACTTCTGGCAGAACGGCTTGTTCTCGTCACATTTTACCTTTCTGACCCTGTTGCTAGTCAGGCACAATCCCTGCAGAGCTGGACCTCACATCTAAATCCAGATTTCGGTCGTGGAGACCGAGCGATGGGATCTTCCCGCCATGACTGACCTGCAGGTTGCGCAACCAGTTTTGACCTTGGTTCTGCATTTGATGTTCCGTTTGCGGACGACAGCGCAGCCGGTCATCATCGCTGGGGGCAGAGGAGGAGCATGGAGAATCCAAGCTTATTACGGAACACCTTTGAGACGAAGGTAAGAATCATAGCAAGTAAGAAATCCGAGTGGACAAATTAAATGATGCAGCATCATTCACCATCGGGAACACGGGGAAGGCGACTCGGACTCTTTGAGGAGTAAGTGCCGGGCGTGTACTTTCCAGGCTAGTACGGAAAGAACGGAGTGCGGCCTCAATGACCAAGCTGATCGCTAATCGTTTCGTGAATGTCTATCGGTGTGTTAAGAAGGGAAGAGAATCTGTGACTCGACTATGTAGAAGGTCAAGAGCACCTTTAGTCTAGTCCTAGAGTCGCCTAGTGCCTCCGGCTAAGCTACCATTTATGACACGGGGCTAGCTCAATTAAGTATTGAGAGCGAACCCACCAACCATATCACACACCATTGGAAGGGCTTGATCCTCCTCCCTCCATCCAGCACACGCCCCGGTATTTCTAAGTTCCAGATTCCGACTGTCTCGATATGGACGAAGGCATCTAGGCTCAGTCAATCCCATTGTCTTCGTCCTATATAAGCAGTGGCCAAGGCCCAATCTCTCTCAAAATGAGTACTTCCACACAATGTCTCGGCTCACAAATAGCTCCAGCCTCGCGTCTAAACTCCTATCCAGTTCAAAGATGTCGCCGGCTTTTACTCTGTATGGCGCCCGCGGCTCGACCAACACCGATCGTGTCCGCCTAACTCTCGCCGAAGGTGGCCTTACGGACTACGAACTCGTTCTGCTCGACCTTCGAAAGGGAGAGCAAAAGGTGGGTGAATCTGACACGATTTCTTTTTGGGAAGACGGATTGCGGCTTGTATCGGATTGAGCCTGAATATTCTCCACACTTCATGGACTATCTTTACTTTCCTGCCTAGAAAATGCTCGAATCCCGCGGGAGCTGACGGCCGTTGCACTTAATAGTCTCCAGAACACAAAGCCCGTCACCCGTGGGGGAAAATCCCCGTCCTCGTTTCCGCCGAGGGCTTCACTCTCTATGAGAGTCGCGCAATCTGCAAATATCTCGCAACAAAGTACTCCTTCCCACTTCTACCGCCGCTTGACTCCTCCGACAATATCGAATCTGCGGCGCTGTTCGACCAAGCGCAGTGCGTCGAAATGCTTTACTTCGCCGAGCCCGCGGGCAGAATCGCGTTTGAGAAATTCGCCAAACGATTCATGGGCTTGCCTGCCGACGAGACCATTGTCGCCGAAGCACTGCGATCGGTCGAGACGTTCTTCGACGTTGCAGAAGAGCGCCTCTTACGCGACAAGAAGTATATGGCCGGAAACGACTTCACGCTCGTGGATATCTTCTACATTCCGTTGGTCCAGAGGCTTTTTGCCTGTGGATACGGAGATGTCATCGTCAGTCGCGAGGCTGTGAGTGCTTGGTGGGACCGGTGCGTGAATCGCCCGGCTATACGGAGGGTGTTGGCCGCTGATAAGGAGGCTGCGGCTGCTGTCAGTGCCAATAGATAGATGGGATAAATTTTTACTGGATCTCGGTCCTTCTAATAGCAATAGTAGGGCTTTCTCGAAAAAATAAACAGAGTTTACAGACTAAGGTGATTTGGCATCCTAATGATTGAGGCGGCATTTCCTAGGACTAACCAGCGCGCGAAGAGCCAACCCCAGGTCACACCGAGACGTGTCGCTCATTTTCGCTTTATACTCTTACCGAATTAGTCTACAGCAAGTAAACCCATGCAGCTTCACTGAGTAAATACTAGTATTTACGCTGGTTCGTACGTAAATCTCGTCTCGGGCTAGCTCAAGTGGTTTCAAAGAAACCTAGAAAATCTCAGGTCTTGTGGCTGAAGTCGTCGTTCTTGACCTCCTACCGCCTCGTCTTTTCCTCCTCCAATGCCTTTAAAATCTCATTCAATATAGGATCGTGCTCCGGGTCGGCGTCGAAATCCTGGTCAAGCACTCCGTCCATCAGCCTGCGTTTCCATGCCAACCAGCTGTCATAGAATACAGCATGGAATTGTCCGTCAGAGAATGTACAGTGATGAATACCCCATTCTCTATGGCTGAGCACAATCCCCGCAATCTCAACTGCGGTCAAGCTGGCTATACGGCGGTTTAAAATATCCGCTATGCATTCGGCGGCTGAGTCCGGAAAAGGAGAGGGGCTTTCGGAAAAGGCCTTGTGCAGGGACTCACTGGTAGAGGAGTCAATTTCCAAAAAGCGCTCGAGTCCTCGAGGGGAACACTGATAGAACTGCACGCCGGGAGCGCTGGGTTCTAGGATGATATTAATCTTGAAGATGTCGAAATCTTTAGCGAGTGTACTCACGACCAATGCTGTCGATTCGTCCGGTTCAGTGCAAACAAGTTGTAAATCTTCTGCAACGAACCATGCCCTCAGGTGGAGCGCTTGGCCTGTGCTATAACTCCCGGAAACATCGAGGGCCTCCAGTTGGCACCGAAGCGCCTTAAGAGCGGTGTCGTTGCCAAAGCCTTTGCCACTATACGCGCGAATGTGTTGCCAAAAGGGGCGACTCACATAAAGATAAAAGTCCGCCCCGGGCCAGTAGTGACACAGTGTCAGGTTCAGCGTCCACGAGAGGTGAGGCTTAAGCATTGCAAGGATCTCGTAGTCGTAGTCAGCTCCATCAGGCCAGAATCCTCCCCTATCCAAATCCAAAAGTAAACTTGCACAAAACCCAGCCACGAGAGTCAATTCCTCCTGCTCCAGAACGCCCAATTTTCCCTTTAGATAAGGTGTCAATCCAAATTGCAGGCAACAGATGAAGACGATATTCTGGAGGGGTGAAAGAAGCGGGCACACCAGGCCCTCGCACAATAGGTCCTCACCATCCACATGATTGACGTGCGATACATTGCTATGCTTATTCTCCGTGAGGGGCGGTGGGAAAACTCTCGGCGTTCGCTTCAGGACTGTCCGAAGTGTATGATCGATGACCTCCGAGTCAAAACCAGTCCATGAGGCCCCTTTTATTTGGCGTGCAGCACGTAAAATGCTTGCATCACTGCTCGAATTATCGTTGACGAGGAAGATGACCGAACGAGCAGTCATCACTCGTCTCAAAGCTTCCAGTTCGGAGATGCCACACGCTTGAAGCAATGCAGCACCCCTTTCACTATCCACAAGGAAGTCTTGTGCGCTGCGGTGGATAAATCCCGCCCGCAATCTGTGCACGCGATCCAGGGCTTTGTAAGGGAAAGTCTCTGGGAAGTATCCGTCGATGTCCTGCTCGCTGACTTCGACGAGTCCTGCGCATCTCACCACCGCATTGGCTTCAAAATTTTCTGCCATTGCATCCAAACGTGCCAGAAATTGAGCATTCAGATTGTCGGGGAAGTTGCAACTCAGCATTTCCGGTTCTTGCGATGCTACAAAAACTTCAAGCAAGGACAGCGGCCCGAGCTTATTCCTGACTGTAACTTCGATTAGACGTAGGTATGACTTTGGGTGTTTCGCATAGAACGTATCCTGCCGCTCAATTAAGAACGTAAACAGTTCATTCATTCCACTTGGACATTCTTCAAGGCGTCGCTCCAGATCGTCCTCGTCATCTCCCTGGATTGCAGCCCTCCGAAGTTCTTCCACGACAAGATAAGCCCAGAGAAAGACCCCGTCCGCCCGGTCGGCAATCTTCATTTCAAAGGAGGCGCATCTAGTTGCAGAGAGGCGCTCGCTGCAATGCGCCATGATATCCCTGTAATTGAAGTCCTGCAGGCGCAGCGACGGACATTGCTGGAAAGCGTGCTGAAAGAGAGCCTCTGGTCGGCTTGAGCAACAAATCTTGATCTTGTTGGAGCCTTGAGCAATGAATCGAATCGCATCCAGCAAAGCTTCATGGTCATTCGGGACTTCATCAAGCCCATCAACCAGTATGCAGTAGTTGAAAGCAGAGTGATCGAGCAAGTAGCGCAGCCATGATCTTAGTTCGATGTTTGTCCAGGATTGAGCGTGGGAGCCCGCCTTGACAAGGCAAGCCCGCAGGCTGTTGGGTGCTGCACGGTCTACGTTAGCTCGAATTTTGGCCGCGATATCCTGATCAATGTCAAGGATCTGAAAGCAAAGTGACCTCCAGAATCCTTCGAGAGATTTCAACAGAACACTTGTGGCCGGTCTGAAAAACCAGAAACTGAGCAGGCGGACAGGCCGTCGGTTGGCCCATGCTTCCAAATGGGCAAAGCCATGGCCCCTGGGCTGAAGATTTTGATAGATATAGTCCATAAGGGAGCTCTTCCCGCTACCAGGTTTGCCACTGATCCAAAAGACCTCTTGACCAGTCCGAAGCCACTTAACGAACATATGGGGCTTTTTACCGTGAGAACGAGCCTTGCCCTCGCCCGCAGGATCGAATATCCAGCTATAGGTCTCGCCAAAGTCGACGACGCGCCCCTCAATCGTGTTGCGTCGTTCGTTCATCTCTGGAAAGGCCAAAGCGTCAAGCAGACGGCTTCTAAGCACATCCTGAGCTTGATCCTGCAGATACAGTGTTTGCACATAATGCTGCTGAGCCGCATCCTCGAGGAGGGTATCTTGGCCGTCGAATCGATGCATCAATCTAGTCTCTGCACCTTCGATTGTGGCTGGAATGTCTGTCGAGAGCATGCGTATGCTTTGCTCGAGCTGGACATCTTGGTTGGTGAGACGCGTCGTCAAAACTGTTTCCGAAGCTTTGATCGATGTATTTATAGCACTTGACATCACCTGTAAACGACCCAAAACCTGGGCAATGGCATCTTTCTGACCATCGGATAAGGTTTGGAACTCGGCTTTGCGCGTCAGGTCGTCCTGGCCAGCTCTGATACTGGAACGCAATAATCAGCACCGTGGTTATGAGGCGTTAGGACAAGACCAGCCACTAGCTCAAGACGTTACGCGGCAGAGAGAGCGAGGGTCGCAATGCTCGTCTCGAGAACGTCACGATCACACTAGAGCCATACGCCTGGCGAAAGACAAGACTGGCTGTCATAACTCACTAGAGGTCCTTTAAAATGGCTGAACGTAGCGCCGCATCTTGCTGTTCCAGCCTCTTCCGGAGACTTTCAATGGTCCCTCTGTTGAAAATGGACTTCAGAGTCGTCTTGAACGCGCTACCGCTCTTCTTGATTCCCTGGTTCTTCGAGAGCTTCAACTGGTTGAGCACCTTTTTGAGCTCCGCCGTCGTCGCGACGGAATCATCCACGATCTTCTGGAGCCGCGTCGGACGACCAGAAGATGTGTTCGTCTGGGCCTTGAACGTCGTTTCTAGATCCTTGTTGGCGGCCGCGATGCCTTGGGCGTACTCTTCAATGTGATTGTTCTCGTCCAGCGAGCCTCGCTCGTATATTTCCTTGCACACCTTCACTGCCTCGATCGCCTGTTCGACGAGTTGGGTGACGTTGCATGCGAGCGCGAGGGCGGTGATGGGGTCCATCGTCCTATCGCAAGATCAGGTTGCGTTTTCCCACTCTCGACGTGGACTTCAGAGGGCGCAAGAGGTCATCCACAATGGCTCTGCGGTTGGATTCCCGACCTTCAAAGAGGTATTCTGCGTCCCACCTGGACACGAGGGAAGACTCGTAGGAAAGAGGAAGTCCTCTGCTGGCGAGCATCATGCCATCAGGCTGCGCTGCAGCAGAGATGTCGAGTCTTTTCGCAGTCAGGCGCCAGGCGTTGCTGTCGAGAGACTCGATTGGCCTGGCGGCTGCATGAATAGCTAGCCATCTTTGGCGAGAGCAACATCCCAGCCTTGTCGAAAGGTGTGGCTCGAGGCTGCCTTGTGTGAAGTCTTGGCTCAGTCGTGCCTGATTCCCATGGTGATTGATAGGGCAAGATCACCTAGTGAGTGGTGCGATTTGGACGCGAAGGTACCTAGGTACGTGTAAATACCTACCTAGGTAGGTAGCTTTCGGAAGCGGGCTGGCCTAGGGCTGGAGACCGCTACTTCAAACACCAAGCTCCCTAATTATCCCTGCAGCTAACCTTCCCGAACTCGTACCTTACGACGGATCCCAAGGATTAGCAGTGGCTTTGTAACGTCTTCCGACATTCAGAGTAGCATAGTACACAGACCAGAATTTGCGAGAAGGGTATACATTAGACATGACCAGCTCCCGCTTCATAAACTCGTTCAGTCACATTCATAACCTCATCCTTCCTGATCATCAGCCACAACTGCGATTGTGCTATACTCTCAGCGAGGTCTTCCGTCCTCCCGCGACGCCCGCAAGGGGCCACTTGCCTCTAGAATCCTTCGCCGACAACGATGTCAACCTCCCTCCTCTTCTGTCGGTCGATCTTGGGTTCCATCGCGCCTTGATGAGGCGCCATTGCTTCCATCTTCCGGAGCAAACTACCGTCAGTGAACTCGCTCGTTAGAGTGAGATCAACCAAAGGCTTGCCCGGCGCGCCACGACTTGATCGCTGACCGCCCTGCGATCGGCGGCTGGCACTACGGGCGAGGAGACCCGTTCCAGTGAATGGGCCGTCTGTATCATCGACGTTGGCACTCGTCGCTGACTCGATCATGAACTTTCGCGGAAACGACGTGGGTGGAACCCCCTGCGGCCTCGAAGGGAATTTAGGGCTGCTGGGTTTCTCGTCAATGCTCGGTCTCTCAGGCACGAAATCGATCAATGGCCTCCGGTCATCAGACTGTGACGGTCGGTGCGCGACATCTGGCTCGGGTTTTCGGTTTCCCTCGAAAGCGGAGCCGAAATCCAGCAGCGGTTTGAACGAACCAAGCACATAAGGCAATGACTCTTTGGAACCCCTTGTCCCTGGTCTGCTTCCTAGCTTGAACCTTTCCGCTGAGTCCGTTGGTTTCTGTTGACCTTCACCCAGCATGTTGACTAGATACCAACTCCTCCATGAGTGGACGGCGTGATACCATCTGTCGGCGACCGTCTTGTCTTTTGTACAGAAAAAGTGCACGAAATTTGCCCCATCCAGGAACATGGCCGACTTCTCCTGGCTTTTCAGGGCGAAGCACAGCTTCTTGGGAGGCTTGAGCTTTTTGATTTGTCTTGCGGTGGGAGTGTACAGGTCAAAGTCTGACAAGTGGCAGATATTGGTGGAATCAATGCCATTCTCATTCTTGGACGTGGTGATTTGGCCGTCCTCTCTCAGTCTCAACCAGCGTTTGTCCCACTTTCCGGGCTTTTGCGAATGGTAGATGTTTACTACGGTCTCATAGGGTTGTTGGTTGGGAGCATCTGCGACTTGCAACCCCGGAGCAGCACATTCACCTTCGGCCATGATGAATAGATGATTTTGAGTGTCATTGTCCCAGGAGTTCATAACGTCACGTATTCGTTCATATCTTCGAAGCGGTCGCTCTAGTCCAAGCTGTGCGAAGGACTCCAGCAGGACAGCCGTGCTAGGGTCAATTCGCTCGGACATGCAGACCGAGGCCGAACTCAGGATGTCCTTGGATGTAGTAGAGGGTGTGACAGGGAGAGTAACGAACGCTTCCTTACATTTGACGCTTACCCTTCGTTCCCCAGCATTTACGGCGGATACTGGGGCGTCGAAGTTTGGTTTCAGGACCGGCGCTTCGTTGTCGGGCTTTTCGTCGTTCTTGCCGGCGCTCCTGGTTCTAGTGTGGCTTTGCTTGGGCTTCTGTTGCAGTTGTTCAATCGTTGATGACGCACGCTGGTGATGTGCACGTTTGCCCTCTGTGTTGGAGGGGGGCTGTCCGCCAATGACCATCGTACGTGTCCTGGATTTGTTCGAGTCAAGAACAGCATCCGATGTCGCTAGCGCTGCAGCTTCACGTTGTTCGTCAACTCCTTGCTCAGGGCGCTGAGGCCGCCCCGGTCGCTTTCTGGCTTCTTGTCGCGCAGCTTCCTCGGCTTCTCGCTGGCGAGCCTCTTGCGCCAACTTCTCTTCCTGCCTCCTGCGCTTTTCCCGCTCTTCATGCCGCCGCCGGGCCTCCTGTTGCCTGAGTGCCCTGACTCGGTCTTGTTCCCCCTCCAAAAGCAGACGCGCTTCCTCCCTGGCGGCCTCGAGCGATCTCCGAAGCTCATCCGGCGAGGGCGGTGTGACGCTAGAAGTCAAAGTCTGCTTGCGCGGAGTGCTCTTGCTGGTCGTCGGCCTCGCCGTAGGCGGTCGCGAGTCGCTGTGTTGAATGACCATCCGGCGCGTCGTGCCATTTTGTGTCTGTCTGCCCCACGCGCCATCCTGCTCAGTGGTTGCGCCGTTGACCGTCTGGCCTCGGGGCCTTGAGACCGTCGCGGTGTTGTTCAAGCTGGCAGGCAAAGGCGGTTCGGCGGTCGGTGACGGCGCACTTTGAGGCGCCGGTGGGGGTCGCCGGTGGTATCTCGAAGGGAGGCGCGTCAACGACGTCTGCGACGTCTGCGGCAAGGGAGGTGGAGGGTCTTGAGACGCAGCAGGGTCTTCTTTGACAGCGGCGGACTGACGGACTGATCTGTAGCGTAAGAACTTTTGACCTTGCGCCGGTTGCTGCGCAGACAGGGCTTGAGCGTCGTCGTTGTCGCCAGGCATGTTGTCAAAGGCCGTGTCGTGTATCGCAAGAGATCGTGAGCATCTGTATCGCATTTGCTTTGGGAATCAGAATCGAAACAATTTCAATGAAGAAAGAGAATCCCCAGAAGGAATGCCGTCATGCGGGAATTCGGCGCGTGAGCCTCACTAGGCCAGCACGTTTAGGTATAATGCGAGGCGAGAAGCGAATCGCGTACACGAAGCGAGCGTGACGAGTCCGACGCTTGTTGTGCTTCGTATCTGCAGGGCTCTCGCGTGTTTGATTTTGGGGCCCCAGAGTCGCCCAGTACCGAAATACAGCAGGGCTGTGTGCGGAGTGCGGAGAAATGTTATACCGATCGGCTACTGGAGACCCGTATTTCGACAACACTATCACCTGCAAGGTACCTAAGTACAGAGTACACTCTTTGTCTAACTAACACACTCCAGGTTGCCTTTGAGGTGTATGATTGTGGGTTGGACTAAATATCTTCCTACGCCGAGCCGTTGACGCTGTCAGACGGACTCTCTCAATTTACTAGTAGAAACCTGAATACTATCTCATCCACTCCACACAAGTGTTAGAGAAATGGGTCTTGTTCGGGGGAGAAAACTCGTGTACGTGGGCAGCGATGACTATCTAATAGTAGAGACTAGTACTAGCAGACATGGTCCTCCAAGACAAGATCAAAGAGCCCGAAAGGCGTGAATGTGTGAGATGCCCCGAAATCATCTTGGTTCCCGCTTAAATAATGCCCTTTTTGTTTAGACTTTTCTGCGTCGAGGATGCCCTGATACAAAGTCGGGATGACACCCTCCAATCCAACGGCAGAGGACTAGTAAATGCAAACAGTTTCGACACGACGTTGAAAAAGAAAATCAAAAAAAACTGCCACATCATCCACATAAGAGATGATCCCGAGAGGTTGGCTCTTGGCCTTTTTTGGGTTCTCCTTACTAAGATGAGATCGGCCCCCTTCGACTGCGACTCGGACAACGACAAGATTGAACATCAGAGTGACATGAGATTGAAAAGAAAGAAAGGAAGCCATAACATGATGAAATCGAGTTCTGCCAGATTCGTTCTCGTCGTCAGACAGTTGCGACCGAGTCTGAGTCGACAATATAACCGTCAAAGACAATAACAAACACCAACACAGGCGAGATTGACCAACGACAAGGAAAGATTTGAATTGTTGACCCGAGGTAGTTTTTCGTGCCGGATTTCATGGCGACAACAGAGTGAAGACTTCGGAGCTCAAGCACATCTCGGATCCGGCTCGATGATCTCGTCTGCATTACCGGCCGCCCGGCGCCGGAAACGCAGGAAGCGAAGATATGGAACCGGTGAGGAGTCTTGGTCATCCTCTTTTAATCTCGTAGAGTGGGCTCGACGGCCATAGATGGCCGGGTCGAAGCTGCAATCAGTGTTGGGATCGGTGGCGTTCTCGACGAGAACACGACCGCTTGGAAGGGTGACTTGTCGCACCTGAGGCTGCTTGAGAGCCAGATACTGCATCAAAGCTGAGGTGGAGACAGAGGTCGAGTCTCGAAAAGACAGGACTTGGAAGACAGAAGCTGCGTCCTCGGGGTCTTTAGTGCCCTTTCCCGGCGTAGGCAAGAGTGAGTCGAGCCAGCTCAGGTCCTCCAAGGATCCAAGAGACAACGAGGTGCAGCTTTCCAGAGCCAGGGTCCTCAATTTGGCCGGTGGGGCGGCGTGGTCACCGGTGTCGACTCGGTAATATGTCCCCAGCCATTGGACAAACTCGGCGTCGACTCCAGCCACATGGTGTAGCCTCAAGTCGACCAAGCCCGGGTTGCACTCGATCCATTTCTGCAACTGGTCGCGGCTGATGCCGGAACGCTGCAAGGTCAACTTCTTCAACTTCTTCAAGCGCAAATGGGCCGCATGCTCCTCACCGATGCCACAAAGTGCGTCCCAGATGGGGGACGGCTCGAGGAAGTCTGGATGGTCCCAATATCTCAGCGGCAGACAGTGGTCGTGGATGTAAGGGTGACAGAAGCCGAGACGGAGTTCTTCGAGGTCCGCGAACTGTGAGGCCAGCAACTTGGTCAGTTCGGGTGCCATGATGTCCCACATATACAGACTCAGAGACTGCAAGGTGGCCCAGCCCTTGGCGGAAAGAGCGGTACAGGCAAGAGAGTTTTGAAGGCGAATAAGTCGCCCGCAATATCGAAAAGCGACGGCTTGGATACTTTCTTCGACATCTCTCCTTAGTGGCCTTCTTCGGACCGGGAAGACTGGTCGCGGCAGTGTTGCTTCAACTACCTTTTGCTTGACTTGTGGGTGATCGTCAGCGTAGTCAAAGTCATATTCAGGCTGCTCGGCGTCGTTGAGAAAGCTATGTCCTGTTCGTGGAGAGGCGAGAAACGCCAGCACGCCATGGATGTTGCCAGAAAAGACAGCGAGCTGTAGTTCTTGCGTCGCCATGATTGCTGCGCGGTAGTGCCGTTCAAAGGTCCGACCACGCTGGAAAAGGGTTGCTCTGGGAAGATGAGAGGAAATTCCCTGGAGAACTTCTTGTGCGAGTTGGGAAAGAATATTGTCGGAGCATGAATCGGTAGAGAGAAAATCTCGAACAGCGGGAGTGACCAAGGGGGGCATATACTATATGCTATTTGCATGTAGCGAGGGGTCAATCAAATGGCACATGCCAATGGAGAATAGACGTCGCCAGATGATGCCCACGACGATGGACTGCAAATAGCTACGAATCCATGAAGGCCAATTGTAAAGCTGCCTCTAATGTTGACAGCTCGTGTGCAGACAGGACTATGCACAGGCTATACCCAAGGAAGCCGATGAAATGAGGTTTTCAGCCAGCCGGGTGGAACTCCATTGAGTGGAATAGGGTGGAGGAACCAGGAGAGAGGGGAAAATGACTTCCTGACCTGGCCCTACCATTCATGCCGCAGAAAGATCCCAAGGGTAGATGATGGACTGATTTCTGGACAGCGACCTCGTTGGCTGGTAGTCTGTAGGTCGTGGAGAATCTGACCTGGATCAGGCCTAAGCATCATGACTAGCAGTTCTACCTCCTTTGCCATATATCAACTCGTGATGATTTTGGATATCGGTCCGACGAGCGCAGGGATTGAGCCAGCCAGGAGACTAAGACGGCAGCAGACAAAGATTTGGATAGCGAACCAGTGGGCAAGCCGTCATGACGGAGTCCGCAGGTGTCAGGGTCGCATAAAAAGTTCCATGACTAGGTGACAGCACCAGACAAGCCCCCCTTTGGTCACGGAGATCAGCCCAGTCCGCGAAAACTGTGGGTTGGGCTCGACATACTGGCAGGACTGGTGCGCACGGACGGGTGAATGACGGGTTTGATAGGACAACCAAACTTGAGCTTTGGCGCTTGGGCCAGAAGCGACCAGGACTAAAGCTGCACACTACCCGTATCTACCAGGGTATCTCAGAGTCGAAGAGTGATGACGGCAATGATCATGAAAGTCAATCGGCGGACTGCATAGGGGAGCAGGAAAAGAGGTGATCAGGGTTTGTGATCGTCCTCAACCCTGGCTGCAACTTTGTGGTTGTGTGCTTCCTTTCCTTGATGCTTCAGCTTGGACTGTTGAGTAGTAGACTAGGATTTGAGAAGAGGAGGGAGGAAAACAAACGGCAGAGGAAGACATGGGAGAGGCTACCAGCGAGCAATGGGAGGAGGAGAGGGTGCCAGAGAGCGGACAGAGGGACAGGGGAAGGGGAGGAAGGAGGAGGAGGAGGCAGGAGGTGGTCGAGGTGCAGACTGAATGACGAAATTGAGTTTGAGCGGCAGCTACGACTCCTACGAGACACAGGCACTTTTGATTGGGCCTTGTAATCGCAACTGCCGCTAAAATGCGACTCAAAGCCAATCAAGCCCCAAGTAGCTGAAGTTACCCCGCCAAAGGGGCCCGGAACAACGTCGACCCGGATGGTATACAGGGTCACTAAGAGGCCCGCCCGTCCATATACCTAGCGAGCTAGGTACCTAGGTACATAAAGAATGCAGTAAACAGACAAGACTCTAGGAGAACAGGTGCAGCTCCCCGCATGATGCTAATCCTGGGGTTTATGATGGCCTGATTCACAAGCGGACTGGCAATAGCACCAACCCTTGGGCAGCTGGAACACCTCAAGCTCCAGCAGCTGCTACAGCAGCCACAATTGATATTAGATCGACCATGCTGCACCAGTGACTATTTGACTTTCATCTGCTTGCTAACTAGACTCATTCATTAGACGAATCCCTCCGTGTGACAATGATTCAGCTGTCTGCCTCGGACAATAGACTTTGGCTTCAACTTGGTTCGTACCACATCACATCACCATCCAAGCCGATCCTCCTGTTACGGGCTTCCCTTGTTCACAAGCTCAACCAGATGTCTTCGTCGGCTCGTTCATTCTCCTCGTTTCTCGCCACTGTCAGCTCCACTTCATGCTTTCCCTGGTTGGCTGCCACTGCAGCCGCCTTCTCTAGGGCCATCCTAGCGCAACTCTCCGCGACTGCCTTCACATGCACCTTGCGAGACTCAACCACTCGGCTCCAATACCATCGCCACCTCCTCTGGATCGTGATGGCTGCTCGCACCGCTTTGGTTGGATTGAGAAGTCGAGAACAAAGGAACGCCAACGCAGCCACGACAAAGTCCCGGTCGAAGATGTGCGTATAGTGAGGCGATCCTTCTGTCTTGGCGAAGAGCATCGCAAACTGCTCACTGCATCCGAGACGCCTCAGCCGGTCACTGAGCGACCGGCCTTGTCGTGACCCGACCTCATGACTGAGATAGCCTTCGTATTCCTCAACAATGGCTTGAAAGACCCGTCCATCCGAAAAGTTTGTGGTCAAATTGGTTACCCGGATCCCTTCCTTGCTGGCAATGGCTTGAGCCCAAGCTTTCAATAGGACCATGTGTCGCGCATGACCATCTTCATCTGACAACAGGTCGTAATCATCGTATTCACAGCTGCTAGCGCCCGTGCGGCACAATCTCTTGATTTCACGCTCAACATCGTTCCAGTCGACCAGACCACCAAGTCCCCACTTGCTGGTCAGGGCCCAGAGGAGCCTGACAGTCTTCTCTCTGAAACCATCCACAATGTCTTCTGCTTTGACAGCTTCTGTCAAAGGCACCAACCCCTTGACCCCCTGTATCGCGCTCAAGGCGATCTGAACGTTGTACAATTTTGTTGCACGTCCTGGACAGGGATATTTGAGATGCTGAGACAACGGCCAAAAGCAGTCCCCTTCGGTCAAGGACAACTGTTGTCCGGTGGGCAAAATGATACTGGAAGTTGTTTCCGGATCGTGTAACTCAAGCTGTGACACAGAAGGATACAGGAGGAGCTCAACGAGTCTCGTCAGGCGCACTCCATCCCGTAAGTCGACCGCCAGATTCTCCATCTTGTATGAGTATTCCGCGAGGGGATGTTGTGTATGTGTGACCATGTACCCTATATGCGTCAAGGCTCGAATTGGATCCCCAGCGCTGGGGTTGAGCAGCTGGAAAAGGGCTTGGACCACATCCACAGACGTCTTGTACGATGAGCAAGGCTGGAATAGGCACTTGCTGCTCCCTGAGGGGCTTGTGGCAGCTTTCGTCGTATCCAGAAGCTTGATTAGCATCAGACTCCGCAGGAGGGTGCGCTGATACGACCATGTGTGACGATCCGTGGATATCTCATCCGGTTGTCCATCTTCATTTCGAATCAGGAAAATCTCGATAAACTGTTGCAAGGTACGTCGATTGACGCCGTGTCCACTGTCGATATTTGGGCGCACTGACGAAGACTCGGTTCCGTTGCTCAAGCACCGCCGACCAACCACAACTTCCAGTGCCGCTCCAAGATATGGAAGCTCATATGTATCGAGCCACAGATCAGTGAAGGCCTTTCGCTTTCCCAGGTCGTTGCTGAGTCGCACAGCTCCCTTAAGAACGTCCCTGGACACACTCAGCGCACCATATAGCAGAGATGCCTGAAGTCGCTTGTAGAGCATCACATTTTCCGGGTCTCCATATCTCTCAAATAACTGAAGCTTCAGCATTTCATCCTCGACTGGCGAGGTTAACGGAGCGGATGCCCCAAAGAGGTTGTTGACGAGTTGCGTGATGGCGATCTCTTGGTGGCTTAGCCAGTTTTCTTCATACATCGCCGGGTCGGCCAGGTCTTCAGCGATGACAGGATATAACTCAGCGACGGGCAAAAGATCCACTTTCGGGATAACAAATCGACTGGGGACTGACGGCTTCTTCCCAAGGGCTTCACACTCCAATTTTCTCTGGCTTGACTTTGGCTCTTGTTTTTCCATCAGGGATGTTCGACCCGATCGACTGGTCCTCAATCGTGATCCTGCATTCCAGCTAGGCTTCGTGCAGGCTCGTTGAGAAGAACCTTCGTGATGGACTTTCTTCGAAAAGCTCGCTTTGGGTTCGTAGGACGGCCAAGCTCGTGCTTGCGTGTTGTCCTGCTGTTGAGCTGGAGGACATACGACCTCAAGATCTCTGCCTCGTCCCTCAACTGCAGGCAGCCCTTTCCCGGACTTCGCTTTCTTACCGAGCATTGCACCCTCTCCCGGGGGAATGTTCTCTTTACCACCGCCTTGGCCCCATCGATCCACCACCACTGTACCTTCTTGAAGAGGTTTGGTCGTGACTTGCAACGGCATTCGCTTCAGAGACGTGGCATTTTTGGCCTCTGTTGCGCCTCTCTTCTTCGCGACCATCTGCGCAACAATTCCCGTCAGCTCGACATCTGGCTTGCTGGATCGTTCTACAGTTGTCGAAGTTGACGCTAATCCTGCAGAAGCCTTCACCGCCATATCAAGATTCTTAATTGGGCTGAAGATGCCCATGTACATGCTTGGCATCGTGGTGTCCTCGTTCGGAATGTAGATAGTAGCCCGCCGTGCCGGCTTGAGCGTAGTTGTTGAATCTTGCATTGGGAGAGCAATGGTATCTTCAGGTAGTGTCGACAGCGGTTCCGCCGTCGAAGATGATGGAGCTCCTTCGGCCTTGTTCGTTATTGGTCGTCTCGGGCCTTGACTAAGTCTCGTCGAAGCACTGCCCCGCTTCGGCACTCGCGGCTGTGCAATACCAGAAACATTTTCTGGCGGAGCGGTAGCGAGACCAGTCGTCGAGGTAACAAGGACCGCCGAAGCGGCACCGATCACAGCTCGCTTTTTTGGTCGCTGCGGTGGTTGAGATATCGCGGTCCTCCTTCTTGCGCCTAACTTGAGCAGATTATCCTTGTTGGCATCGTCATCTCCGTTGGTGTTGTCACTGCCTTGTCCATACCGATTTCTTGAAGCCACAGTGTGTCCGTTGTCTTCATGGATTGTGAATCCCAGCCCGTCCTGGTGTCTTTTGCGTCGCGGCTTAGCGTTCTTCAATACGCCAGGAACAGGTACTGCAAAGGCCGACGTAAAGTAAATGTTTGCGGTTATGTCATCGCTTGGAGACGATGGGTTTGGGTCTTGGTCAAATTGACGGTGGTGTTGATTGTGATGTTGTTGTTGTTTTGGCTTTGGCATTTGGACATCAGCGTGGGGAGGAATCGGGCACGGCGTGCCAGCAGCAGCGGAGGGCGGAGGCAGCATTGTTTAGAGTCCCGCTCTGGTATTCTCACAGAATGTAATTACATGTCTTCAGCACATGGACGTTGTTGCAGTTGTCCGATGACGGTGGACTGCGGCTCTGGGGAAAATCGGTTGAGACGCGTGAGAAGTGGGCGCGACGCGTTAATCACTGGCAGGCCGAGAAAACGGCCCCAAGAACTCTTACTCCGGCGCTTGTGGCGAGGGGCAACCAACGAGGCCACTACGGAGAAGGTGAAAGACAAAGTCGATGGTGAAGAGAAAGTCTTTCCTTGTTGTTGGAAGAGCGCACACTTCGCACACTGTAATGTACATCTATATCTAACCCCATAGTCCGTGCTAACGCCCATGTCCATGCCCATACCCGTACCGTCGCTATGCATGAATATAATCACAGTGCCATCTGTATGCTAGTTGCCGCATACCGCAATATCCTTCGCCAGTTCATGCAATGGTAACTTCTCCATGACCTTACCACCAAAACTCCGCTCATGAGGGTCAAACGGGCAGAGCTATCCTACAGCTCGTCGCGACTGGGAAAGTGGAAATCCCACGACCGATCCGGGACCGGCAATCCCAACCAGAAATTCCACAGGCGATTCATTTCCATGATGAAAATAGCCCCAAATTTGAACGGCAGCTCGACCCAAGACCGCAGAACCATCTTGTATGCGCGCCAGACCAGATCAAGCTCGGTCCAGAATGCTTCGGCAATCGCACTCCCCTGCTGTGGAACAGGTGAGTTTTTAACGTCCAAATCGTCGTACAAGTCGTCAAAATCGGTGTCCTCTGGATTTTCGGTGTCGCCCGAATCAATCTTGGCGTCACTCTTTGCAGACAATGGAAGCGGACCTTGAATGTCCAGCACACTCATATCCCCAGTGTTGAGAGCAGTGCGGAACTTTTGGATTGCATCCAGGCTGTGACTGAGACGACCGAGCGTATTGACCAACGCCACCAACTCGGTTCTCCTCAAATGAGGATTTTCACCGTTCTTATTCTCATCATACTCAAACAGCACTTTCAATGCGGCTCCGTAGCCAGCGGTTTGAAGCTTCCCCCAGAGCCTGCATTTGTCGCAACCCACGCAATCCATCAACCTGGACACATTACGGAACCGGTTCCGGAAGTCATCCTTGAGCACCATGACCGAGGGGTCCTGAAACATGATGGATTCATCGAAGGTGTGCGGGCCAGATGCTGCTGTGTCTGCCAGCGCAAGGACTCTGTGTTTGGTTTGGAAATCCTGGTCGCGATCGCCAGAACAGAATGTATAGGACTCGAGGTGTCTCCTCAACTTGGCAACTGCGCGCGTCAGGATGGCGTAGTTGAAGTAGATATTGGAGATGCGCTCCGGGTACTTGTGCAGCCGTTCCTTGTAGCAATCAAGGTTGTGGACCCATTCGCCGGTGGTTTGATTGAAGTATTCCCAGCAAATGTGCGTGGAGATGGATGCATGCATGCCGCTGACGATACGATAAAAGGCCCGTTGCTCTAGACATTCATCGTCGAGGGGATACAGGTCGTCCGAATCGTCGACATGTTGGCGCCCATACTCTTGGAAGACGGTCTTGAGACTCTCTGCGGCTTGGAGAGGTTTCGGTTTCAAAGAGGCATGTCTGGGAGATTTTGGTGCGAAGCAGTTCTCCTTGTAAATGGCATCCCAGACTTGTCGAGCACCCAATCCCGAGTAGCCGGTGTATCGTTCCGTGTTGTTAACCAGACTCACGTAGTCTCCCTTGGCTGCGGCGCCCTCATCTTCGGGAACGCAATAGTCTCTTTGGTCACATTCGTCGTCTTCCTCCAGCACACAACTCTCGTCCACGTTCTCGCCCAACTGATATTGCAGCGGTCGGTCTTTCGGTCTTTCTCGCTGTTGGGCAATCCCAGGGTGTTTTGCCCTGGCACCCTCCAGTTTGCTCAACTCTGCGGCTCGCCAGATAGGCGGTATGTCACTTTCATCCTCTATTGTCTCGACGGCACATGCCCGGTTGCCGCACATGGAATTCTCATCGGTCCAAAAGGGACAGACCTTGTTGTAGAGGTTTAATCTGTAGTAGGCAAAGAAATCGGTGTGTTGGGTCAGGTCTTCTAGCGAAGGGTATAGGTTGGCGTTGAGCCTTTCGAGGTCTGCGTAGGAGGCGCAGGCATCGGTCACGACTGAATTGGGATCTATGGCGCATTGAGGCTCTGCTTGAACGCAGTGTGGATGCAAGAAGAGGTAGAAGGCAAGGAAAAACTGCGAGGCACGTTGCAGGCGCATTTTGCGGGAGGGGTGCTGCTACCACATGCGATTGCAATAAAAGGACAACAAATCAAAAGGAGGAACCGTGGGAAATATGTAGAGTACGAGGTACAGGTATGAGGCGAGGATTATTTACTGGTGGTATTAGTTGTCATTAGTGAGCAGACGGACGACGCAGACGGGGAGCGCAGAGAACAAGTTGGCCAACTCGCCAAATTCGCCAAATTCGCCCAATTCGCCCAAATTCCATGGCGGGCAAAATTCCCGAACATGAATCCGAGACTCGCTTTTCCCCGCACCCGATTGGCAGGCACCTGGCAGGCACTTTAGCAGGCACTTAGCAGGCGCTGGCAGCTCGGCAGGCACTGAAATAGCAGCAGCCGCAGCTGAGGGTCTTCGCACACCACTCGCCACCATCGACACCGCAACACATCTGCACTGCCCTCTCAGCCGCCTTTACATGAACCATCACGTGTTACATCACCCGATATCTGAAACATCTCAACTCGACTCCTCCTTAGGTCCCTTTTTTGGGAAGAGAAGGCATGAGACACACAGTGACTTGACTCAGAGCCTCCTCCGACCACCTGCGGACGACCTGCGCGATCTTCACAGGTCCTACGAGCCGTTCCCTCGACCAATTGTGTCCTTGACGGCGCGGAGAAGCCACAACGAGAAAACCGGATGGGCTAAACAGGACAATTCGATGTCGGAGTGTCGACATGGGCACTTTTCCATTTCCACCTTTGGACCTGAGGATGACCTGAGCCTCGCCGCTTCAACCTGAGCGTGTCCGGCACGTGACTGATCATAGTTACCAACTGGCAAGACATCTTTCAGGGGATCAAGCGTGAGATGCAAGGTGTGAATACATTCCTAGGGCGTTTGACGTTTGCCCGATTGTGTTGGGTTTGTGCGCCTAAGACATCCCGTCAACGAAATCACACTTTGACGTACACTGGTAGTGATCAGCTAATTGAGGAAGCAACACTACCACTCTTCTACCAGAAGCGCTACTACCCAGTCAAAATTGGCGATGTCTTCAAACAACAATATCGAATCATTGCAACTAGGGTACGGAGCGTGTTCTACCGTTTGGCTTGCTCGAAATGAGATGTTGGGGACCCCCAGCGTCTTCATAATTGTTGACTGACTGCTGTGAGATCGAAGCAATATATCTCGTTGAAGGTCTGCATTGAAGATGGAACCGAGACATCGCCGGTTGCCAATGAAGTTGCCATGCTAAGGCCCTTGAGTGAATGTGCCCGAGAAGCCGATCATCAGGGCATAGACTTCACGCGCCGTGCCCGCGAGATCTTCGAGATTGATAGGCCATATAGTCATTTTTATTGTATTGCAACAAAGCCACAAGGAAATAGCCTCCGAATATTACAAGAAACATTTGCCGTTCCAATCTTCCCAAGGATGCTGGTAAATCTTTGGTACACCGTTCACGGTTTTCTGTGAATTGGTTGCACGCAACCTGTGGCGTCGTACATACTGGTATGCTCCAGCAGGGGGTTTACCCAAAGATTGTCCTCTAACTATGCCGTGGACATTTCCCCCTAAAATGTCCTGACAGCGGCTGGGGACGAAATCATCTGCCACAGTTGATTAATTTGGACATGATTGAAAGTTGTGAAAAGCTTGCGGGAGAGAGCCATTTTTAGCTGTCGACGATGGTGCCGGGAACATCAGGCAGACTGCAAAGAACCACAGGATGTGATGCTGCCCGTCTTTGACTTGGCTGTAATATTGGATGATCCCGCTCCCCTGGTCTGCCAACCGCCAGTCTTCCGTTCCGTGACTTGCTCAGAATGGGAGTACCAGTTGGTCGCCGGGACGGATAATTAGGACAAATTCGCATATCTCTTGGTAGATTAAGGCCGAAACCTTGCACGACCCAGTGATTCATTTCTTCGCACAGATACTTCGAACAAAAAGCCAGCAATAGCCTTTGAGAGTCTCAGTAACCGTGGCAGAACTCTTCGTGTTCATGCTCACGGAGTCTGCCGCCTCTAACGCTTCAACGACCTCGGCCATAGAATTGAAAGTGCCATGCCAGCAGCCTTGCATCAGTTGGCCCAATGGTAGATTTGTGGTATCTGGAAAGTGGTTTTCTTCATATAGTTGTTGGACAAGGTGTGACCGATTGTCGGATACCTCGAGTTCATGGTACGGGTGTCTGCCTGTCAGGATTTCGTACATCACACATCCAAACGCGAAAATGTCGGTCTGCGTGCTCACTTCCGGCGTTGATCGTCGATAGTTGTACCACTGGTAGCAGGAGCCGTGCTCTCCGCCATCAACACTGGCTCCTCCGAAGTCAATCAGTTTCAGGCAATCGGATCCCATCAACGCCGCCAGGCCGCCGCGGGCCCTTGTCCAGATCATATTGTAGCATCCCACGTCGGCTTGGACAATGCCCTTTTCATGCGCGTATCGTAGACCCTCGGCAGCCTGCCTCAACCAGCCAAGTTTCCTACGCAGTGGAATCTTGGCCGCGCCCGATTTTTGATACTTTTCGCGCAGGGGTTGCCCTCGTTCCACAATTATGGATCCGTCTTTCAGACTGCCCAGATAGCTCGCAATATTCGGATGTGAGCCGAGACGCATATATGCTTGACGCTCACGCTCAGCATCACTCTCTTCGCCCTCAAAGTATTGCTTTACAACTCTGTCCTTGTCGATCCCATAGATGAGGCCCGATCCGCCGGCCGTAATGTATTCTCGTCCTTCATACGAAGAGATGGTCGAAATGCTGCGCGAATCTGAGGGAAAAGCACTTTGAGGCTTGTGGTTGAAGCACATCGCATCGAATTGCTTCACCGTAAGTGCACATGGTGTTGTGATCACAATGTTATAATGTATCAACCACTAACTACAGGAAGAAAGAAAGGACGGTTCGATGAAGACGTTTAAATTTCAGATGATACCGTGAGAACAGATGTTGGTGGATGAACGAGATTTATGGAGATTGGAGCTGTAAACTGATATGGAATTGAGTCCCTCGTCTTCAATTCGATCGAAACAAAGCTTGGCGCCTCGGAAGCAAACCCCGATTCCGATTGGCCAAATCCACGATAGACAACAAGCTGCTTATGCTCGCTCTGAGCTTCATAAAGAGCCGGGTAATGTAGGCGCCTCATTGTGGCAGCTTATCAGGATTCCCGCGTGATTGAAACGAATACATATCCGGTGTATATATGGACTTCATAATAAGACAAGCACAGATCGAGAGTACGAGCCTATTCATCGCTAATGATGTTTAAACCCCGAACTATATGAGATCAAGTATAAGGTTAAGTGTAAGGTTAAGTATATATCCCGCTAGTCTTCGACGCCTAAGTCTCGTCTATATGACCTATTTCGGCTGCCCTACGCCAGCTACCTAATTTAGGCGCAGAAAGCATAGTACGTAAGGGAACATTCGTGGGCTACTACGGACACTAGCACAGTTAGGGGTCACTTCTTGCGAGGATACTGGAGGGTGCAATAGAGCTGGGGTCAAGGCGTGCGATGTGAGAGAAAGAGATGCTTCTCTTGGCTAACTGGTAGCTAACCACTCGTACTATTCCATGTGCAACGCCAGGGTACTTATCCAGCGAACTCGCCAGCTGCGTCTATCATGCCTTGCCACAGATGCAAACTGCCGTGACGCCGCGCTTCCTGCAAGGATATTTCATGCCAGGTCATTTAATGTTTGTTCTTTCTTGTCTGTTCGTCCATACTAGTGCCAGGATTCAGGGGGCCTGCCAGTGTTTGCGCGCCTTGAAATCCTTGAACTCCTCCACCACCGCCTTCAACTCGGCCTCTTCTCCCTGCTTTGCCTGCTGCTGATCTGCCTCAGCAGCCTCGATGATATCGTACAGATCGTTGGTAGACAGAGTCATGGTGACTGACTTGAGGGGTGCAATATCAGTGACTCCTCTAGCAGGGCAGAAGTCTTCGAGCGACAACACGAGGCCGACTTTGCCGTCTGGATTCTTCACGCCGTCTTTACTGCGGATCTCCTGATGGAACAGTCAGTAATAGCCGCTAAAGCAGAAAGGAGTATATATTTTACCACAGTATCATCGCACTCCACACCTTGAAACTTCCCAGTCTTGTCGAATTTGGCCCTCCAGACCGAGAAGCGTGCGCCCTTCTTCCCCGGATAATCAACATCGATGCAGAGGACAGTTCGGATGCGACCCAGAGTACCCTGGATATACCCTTTGGTCTTAGACTGTAGGTCTTGGGTTGACTGTGAGATCGCGACTTCACCAACCACCACTGGGAATACTATGTTTTCTTTGCTCCGAAACGAGAAATCGGGATTACGGACGATCGGGTGACCACAAATCATGGAAGGATATTTCAAATCAGAGGAGCCGAGAGCGCGTAAGGATGAGGCAAATGCGGCAACAGAAGGATCGGCGTGTTTCTGTGACTCTGCGATGAAACGACCCAGGAGGGCTTTCACGTCTTCGGCAATGAGTTCGTGTTTGAGTCCTTGCATTCTGATGGCGAGGATTTCTGCATCGGGATCGAAGTCGTGTCTGCCGCGTATAAGTCAGTCGAAGCTTCAAGGAACAGGTGATTCATGCCCGGAGTCTCAATCCCATACTTCCGGTAAGCAAAGTCACAGCCATTCACTTCCTCCAATTCCTTGAATTGTTCGTATTGGTCGACAGGGAGGGGGAATTCGACTCGGTCGACTGCGTCCTTGTCGAACGAGTCCCTGCTGTGCGCGTTTCGGAGCCAGTCGAGTACAGCTTGCAATTCGGGCTTGATTTGGATATGAGGTGAGGATAAAAGTCCGGCACGTTCGCCAGCAGTTAGGGTTTGCTTGTGATAAGCATGATCCGCAGCGCAAGGCTGGTTCACACCCTGGGGAGGCGTAGAGACGCGACCGCAGTCAGTACCGTTAGCCATTGCGGGCGCCTGTGTTTTCTGATGCCGAAGTTGTGCGGTGGTGCGGTGGTGCGGTCGTTGTCGTGAGATGGTCATTTCACAAAGCGATCAGTGTCGCGACGTCATTGTTGAAAATATACGGTGGACTATGCACGGAGACGCGCAACTGTCTATACGGCGGCGCAAAGAGAGGCGCTACCAAGCTACGCGAAAGATGTGCGTGGGCACGTGAAGCTTGGAGGGCGAGAGGGATAGTCACGATAGTCGCCCGCCGCGACTCCTTCATGGTTGCATTGCATGCGTGGCATGCATGGCTTTGGAGTGATCGACGAAACCTCGTTTTATACCTCTGGCTCGTCCTCGGCTTCTGCCCCGTCAGGATCGAGTAATCGAAGCTGAACTTCAGAGGTGTCTTTAGACTCGTCCCCTTTCTTCTTCAGGATCCACGCCTTCAGTCGCGGGCGAACACGCTTGAACGTGAAAACGCACAGAGCAATACTCACTGCCAGAATAAGCAAGAGCGAAATGATGACGACCCAAGGGTTGATGCCCTTCAAGCAGCACCCATACATTCCCATGTACCAATGCACCAGCGTCTTCATGAGGTTGGGCTTCTCCTTGACATCAGGCATCAGCCCTTTTCTCACCAAGTGCTTGAACTTGGGACCGTTGGGTCCGTTGTTGAATTTCTTGAGCCCGAAGTACGGGACCGTCTCCTGCCGCGGGTCTGGGTCGGGATACTGTTTATCGCCCCAGTTGCCGTTGAAGGCTAGCCAGTCGGTCGGGTCTGTGCCCGGGTCTGCCGCGGTGAAGGTCTCTGTTTGAGGGTCGTAGTGGTAGAAGTAGGCGAGCTTGACGGGATCCCACATGCGGCCTTTGTCTGCGATGTCGATGAGTGCTTCGTCGTGGACGTGGCTTCCTGGCGAGGGATAGTTTGCGTGGGAGCCGCGGGCGCTGAACACCACAGGTCTCTCCCCTGGCTTGGACAGGCAAGCGTCGTTGTCCCACCTGCACGCCTCGCCGCTGGTATGGTGGCTGAAGTAGATGCCTGTCGGCTTCCCGTTCTCGAATCGGATCATGTTGTGCTCCCAGTCGCCCAGGTGGTTTCCGTAGTGGTCGCCCGGCTTGCTGTCCGGAAACAATTTATTTAGTGGTGGAACCACCTGCAGGATATCCGCCCCTTCATTCCACGAGTAGAAATAGAAATAGAAAGCGTCCAACACCACCACTTTCTCTCCATCTCCCTTCTTCCCCTTCTTCTTCTCACTCTCCACGACGACGACTGCACACGCGGTAGAATTATGCAGGGTGCCCGTCACATCGGGTACCTCGCCGAAAACCCAATCCGGGAAGGAGGCCACGTCGTCGACCGCCGTCAAGAAGACATCGGTGCCTTCCTTGCCAAATCCGTTCAACAATGACAGATTCTCCAGATTTGGGAGAGGCAGGGCCTCCGTGATGGGTTCAAAGCCGACCCTCGGAGCGGTGTGCAAGACATGGGTCAAGATGTCACTTGGCATGTACGGGTCGGTGGAATGGAGCCAGACAACTGGGGCTGGAACGCGGAGAGAGAGAGTTAATCAAGTTAGCACATGTTGCTATATCCATGCTATCCATCCATCCATCAATCATGGGGTGGAGGCTTTCCGCTCTTGCAAAGCAAAACTTGAAGCCCTCAAAACGGCACAAGGTCGGAGCAAAACAGATTGGTCCAAAAAATGCATCCAGCCTTTCTTTTAAAAGCTACGTACCGTAGTCAATGACATATTGGGGGATCGTGTAGGCAGAGACGAGCTGGATCTCCAGAAGAAGCGCCCAGGATATTATGGAGAAGAAGGTGAGATGATAGTCTTGTGAGTGTCGGCACGGGTTCAATGCCCCGTTCATAACGAAGCCGCTGTGCCTCCTTTCGCACGCTCGCACGCCGCAGATCAAAGCTGGAGCAGACGCACCCGCATGGTAATACTTTGAGCGATCCAAAAAAGGGGACAGAGGATGATGAATGAAGGAATGATGGATTGAGCAATGGGGCCAAATGCAGGTTGTCAGCGTCAAAGCTGCGGGAAAGAGAAACGCGCCAGTAGCCGAGAAGTACCGGACGTTACGTGGATGTGATTGGTTGGCGGGCCTCAGCCTTGTGCCAGTTTTGGGGGCTGTCATTAAGATATATTTTTTCTGTTATATCTACGTATCTATTCTCATGTATGCGTCTACTCACCATGTCCGTTGCTGCATTACTATCACCAGTCAATTCTCTTTTGCGCGGCCACCCCAATCTCGCGCCCAGCTCGCACATTTCCGGTTCCAGGCATGGGGCCGATAGTCTTGTGCGGTCGCAGACCTTTGTCATACCCCAGCTTTTTGTCCAGGCTTGCAAACGGATTCGGGGCTTCGTCCTTCTTCACAGTCCACTTGGTTGTTCCGAGCACATTGTCCATCTCCTGAACCGGCGGCAGCTTGAGGTATACCCAGCCATCCTCGCGCTCCTCGGCCGGGAACGTGGCGATGGACATGCTGCTGTCGTTGGAGCATGAGCCGGCACCCGCATCCTTCTTGTCAAACTCGACTTCACCATTCAGCTGGAAGTTCCTCTTGTGGTATGGGCAGCTGACGTAGAACTTGCTGTCCTTGCAGTCACCCGAAGTGACTTCACCCACAAGGCCATCCGAAAGTCCAAATGTTCGGCGGTGGGGGCACATTTGCTGACTGGCGTAGTATTTGCCCTTCAATTTGAAGATCGCGAGTTGGGTATCACCCCGTATCACGGTCTGTGACGAGCCAGTGTCCAGGTCTTGGAACTTGTTCGCCTCAACGATGGGTTGCCATGTCAGGCTGGTCCATCGAGTCCCTTTGAAGTCATCGTGCACTGGATCTTTGGCCCAATACGCTGGTCTGGACTGGCCTCTCTCCTCGACCTTCTCCACGGCAGGTTCTTTGTTTTCTGCTGTGTTTGCGAATTGCTGGAACGCCTTCCGCTTCTCGGGATCGTTCAGCACTTCTGTCCACTCGCAGAAGAAGGTGCCGACAAGCTCTTGCATTTGCTTCTCAAGCTCTGCACAAATACCGAGCTTGTCCTCTAAAATGACCTCTCGCAGATACTGGATACCACCAGGCAGGTTCTCTACCCATCTGGCCGTTCTTTGAAGTCTGTCGGCGGTCCGGATGTAGAACATTAGGTATCGGTCAAGGATGGGGATGACATCGTCGGGAGGTACATCTTTGGCGAGGATCTCCGAGTGTCTCGGCGTTGCCCCGCCATTACCTCCAACGAAGATGTTGAACCCTTTCTCCGTAGCAATGCAGCCGAAATCTTTATTTTGGGCTTCGGCACATTCGCGGACACATCCAGAGACACCTCCTTTTATCTTGTGTGGAGATCGAATAGACTTGTATCTCTCTTCGAGCCGGATAGCGAGACCAACGGAGTCTCCGATGCCGAAGCGGCACCAGGTGGTGCCCACACACGACTTGACAGTGCGGAGAGACTTAGCATAGGCATGGCCTGACTCGAGTCCTCCGGCCACCAGCTCCGACCAGATGTCAAGCAGATCCTGCTTCTTGGCACCGAACATGTCGATGCGTTGGCCACCAGTGATCTTGGTATAGAGGCCGTATTTCTTCGCAACTTGGCCGATGACGATGAGTTTTTCGGGACTGATCTCACCGCCGGCAACGCGAGGTATGACAGAGAACGTTCCGTTACGCTGTATGTTTCCGAGGTACTTGTCGTTGGTATCCTGGAGTCCGTGCAGTGGCTTGTCCATGACGTGCTTGTTGAACATGCCGGAGAGAATCGACGCAACGGCGGGCTTGCAGACCTCACATCCGAGACTGTTCGGGTCGGTGCCGCTGTCTCTCATGACCGCACCGAAATCTTTCAATTTCTTGACGTAGACAATGTTGTAGAGGTCAGCTCGCGAGTACTTGAAGTGAGGGCAAATATGGTTCAAGACTTCTTGACCCATGTCCTGCATCGTCTTGTTGAAAATAGACTGGACTAGAGGCATGCAACCGCCGCAACCCGTGCCAGCCTTGGTGCACGACTTGACGTCGCCAATCGATTTGCAGGAGCCGTCCTTGACCACGCTGGCGACGTCGCCTTTGGTCACGTTGTGGCAGGAGCAGATTTGGGTATCGTCCGTCAGGTCATCGGCGTTCTCTTCACCGTCCTTCGATGCACCGATGATGAATTGAGAGGGAGGCACTTCCAGTGCCTTCTTGTTCTTGACCATTGGCACCAGTTTGACATAGTCTTTCGTGTCGCCGATCATCATGCCACCAAGCAGGTACTTGCCGTCCATGGTAAACAGATATTTCTTGTACACGGCTGCAAAGGGGTCTCTGTAGGTGAGCGCCTTGACAGCTGGAGGCGGTGGGCCATCAGTGAGGTTCTTGACTTTGTCTTGACTTTGAGTACCTTCTTTTTTCTCCTCCCGTTTGCCGTGCCTTTTGGGGAGATCCTTCGGTCCATCCCTGTCGGCGAAGAAGTCTCCGAAACTAGCGACTTCTACGCCCAGCAACTTCAACTTGGTGCTCAAATCTGGTCGTTTGAAAGTCCGAGGGCTGTGGACCTTGGCTTGGGTGAGATTGAATGACAGAACGTCGGCTTGTTCCACGCCTGGTGCAATAAGCCCAAACGTTTGATTTTCCCAGCTTGCACATTCGCCAATTGCGTAGATGTTTGGGTCGCTCGTCCGGAGGTCGTTGTCGATTACGACACCTCCGCCTCGATCGGCGCATCTCAGACCAGCAGCCCTCGCCAGCTCATCTCTGGCTTTGATGCCAATCGCGAACATGATACAAGAACACTCCATTTCCTCGCCATCCTCGAAGATGAGACCCTTCACAGCGTTGTCCTCGTTGGTCAGGATTTTTCCGACCCTCTTGCTAAGCATCACGTCGAGGCCAAGGCTGCGGACGAGCTCAACGACCATTGAACCAGCATCTCCATCTAGCTGCCGCGACAGCACCCATCTGTTCCTTTCGATGAGTTTGACTTGCTTGAATTCCTCCAGATCCATCATGGCTTTTGCTGCTTCGAGACCTAGGAGCCCGCCACCCACGACGCATCCTGTTGTACCCTTGACGGTTGCAGAGAATGAGATGAGTTTCTGGAGATCCTCAATAGTTCTGTATACAAATACTCCTTTGGCATCATGGCCGGGGGTATGGCGTGGAAGCACGGCATCAGACCCCGTGGCCAGTACTAAGATGTCATAAGGTATTGTGTCACCTTTGGCGGTTACGACAACCTTCTCTCCCGGCTTGATTTCTGTCACCAGGGTATTCAAATGGTAGCTGAAAGAGTCCGGGGGATGCCCTTTATACCAAGCCTCTGGATTCAGGTAAAGCGACTCGACTTGTCTGTGCTGAAAGAAGCTTGTTAATCCGACGCGGTTGTATGCGAGATGAGGCTCCTCGCCGATGACTACGACATCATATTCTTTCCTCTTGGCATCAAGTTTCAGCAGCTTCTCCCTATCAAGCTATCAGCCGAATACTCTCGTTTGGCTCCAAGTCCGGTCACATTGCGACCTGACGTGGTATGAAAGACTTACACAAAGGCTATGCCGACCATTCCCAAGCCGACAACCACCACCTTCTTTCTTGGACCTGATGCCGGCTTTATGTTACCGTTGGTTTCCACACCCTCCGGCATGCGACTGATGGCCATACCCGGCGATGAAGTTGACCACGACATGCTGCCGGCCGTCTTCAGCCTCGTCTGTTGATACCTTCTGGGTCACTCTGCTCAGTATGTCAGTGCTCGTGCATGGTAGGGTAAAATTGACCTGCTTCGAGCAAGAATATTATGTCAGAAGCTGTGAAAGGATGTCAGAAGAACATAGAAATTTTGGTCACTGGCCGATAGGGTGCCTGTGTGCCCTGTTCATACCAGTGACGCCACCCACGCAAACAATGATTTCCGCGGGGATATAGCATAACAAACAGTCGACCAAACAAGGTGAAGAATTAGCCTATCAGCAAGACATGATATGGCGGATCCGGTTCATGATCACTCTCCCCCATCCGGGATGTCCTGCAGAGCCAATGGCGAATATCGCATTGTCATATTCCATCGTCATCCCGTCGTCTGAGAAAGCCCAGACAGGAGACCATGATCGTGGAAGAGATTGAAGATCACATTTTCTCCACGGTCTGAAGATTCGACGAATGTGGAGCGCAGAGATAAGAACCCAGGATGAGGAAAGTCGATTCTTGAGTGGCTGTGAGACGTTGCGATAACATCTTCTCTAGCACATCTCGCCCGATCCGCTAGCGCCGTCACACGTATTTTGAAAGAATGTAATGACAATCACCTCGGAATCCATAGTGTCACGTGCAGTCCGGAAACGAGCCCTCAGTTTCTCCGTGGATGATCCGCTCAACCTAAGGAGGACTTCGTGTTTCTCTTCAACTCATCATCTGCGATGCTCCTATCGACACGGGACTATTTTAAGGCCCATAGATTGTTGGAAAAGAGGTTTTTGGGCCCTAATCCAGCCGACAATGGTAATATTGACTTGACAAACATCCCACGTATCTGCATGCGGACTGAGGGGCCACTGGGGGTCTCCTTATGCTACCCCTTGCTGATCCGATATAACATTGATAGACGTCGACTCACCCTTGTGGCAGTTTGCCGTACTATCCGCAGGTCTTCGTCTCCTACGTCGTCGCTGAGGCGTAATCCCAATCACTAGGGTCGAATGAATGGCCCACGAGTAGGATGGATGAGCTCTTCACCAGCGGGTCGGGTGGATACTCGCTCGCTCGATGGAGCAAACTTCCTCAGCAGCCATAGCTAGCAAAGCCCAACGTTGGAAAGTGATCGAAGAGGAGAACAAGGATATTCTCTTCAAATTACAAAGGGTCGCACCTGATCCGCCAAGGCTTCTCTGACTACCTCGAAAAGGCACCAATCTGATATCCATAGTATTTGGGTATTATTCTTTACAACGCCTGCCGCTTGGCGAGCCCCCAGCTGAGGCGCACACAAATCCCTTTGGCACCGCGCACATAAAAAGAACAAGAATACAAAATAGCAAAAACTTATCAATGAAGCAGCCCAACTCTGGTTCAATGATAAGCGAAACTCGCCCCTTTCGGGGTTGGTTTTTCTCGGCCGGCCGGTTATAATGCGAATTCCTTATAAGTTGAGTCCTGGAAGAAGTCATTCGGTGTGCGGTTCGAATCGAGGTCCTGCTGCTGCTAACCCGTTATTGTTAGTTTGACCTGACAGGACCTGGATTGTTGCTCAATTGGTGCTCAATTGGTGCTCAAAGTGGTGCTTCGAATCGAGGTCCTGCTGCCTGCTGGCCCGGAGCCAGTTTGACCTGACAGGACCTGGATTGTGTTGTGGTGGTGGTGGTCTCAAGTCGTCGGATCGGATCGGCTTCGCCCTCGTTGCAGGTAAGGGGATCTTGGTGTGATAGCAAATTGAGAAAGAATAAAATATATCACAAGGAATTTTCATTTTGGACCGGACCCTGCTCCACTCTGTGGGAATGTACCTAGGTAGGGATCTAGGTCACATTTGAAAGTGAATTGGTTGTGCAGGATCAGTGTACGGACGCTCACGATTCTCGTGCTGGCTGAGTCCCAGGGAAAGGCTATAGTAAGCAACACTTTGAATGTATACTGCTAACACTACCATAATACCCCTTTGCCGGCTTTGCTGTGTACATGAAAACATTTCTCTCTTTTTCCTTATCGCTGACAATGCAATGCAATATTCAAAAGAACATGAGTTGATCATCGCTCCACCCTTGCTCCAGCAGCACTTTATGCATGGTCTTCTCCATCGCCTCGGGACCGCAAATGAGTATCAGCGTATCGTCCGTTCTTGTAGAGTGTTCTTGGACCAATTGGCCCGTGACGCGCCCTCGGAGACCGGTCCAGTCTTCGGGCGCCTGGGTGAGGGTGTGGAGTACTCTGCATCTGTGCTCGTTGCCGGCCAGCAGTGTCTCGAGCTCTTCTCTGCACAAGATGTCCTCGAACAACCGGTTCCCATCGAATATGATGCACTGCGTCTTGTCGTTGGGATCTCGGACGACGGCCCGGAATACTTGATAGATGGGTGTGATTCCACTTCCGCCACAGATCATGATGAACGAACTGACGACTCTCTCCTTGCCGGAGACGAGACACTTGCCGTTGCCGACGTATTCGAACTTGCCGATCGGTCCCTTCATCTCGATAAAATGCCCGATGGGCAGTGCATCCATCGCCTGCGACATCTTGCCTCCCTTGCTGCCCCCGCTGGCGAAGTACACTTTGACAAGCATCTCCATGAAGCCCTGATCATTGATCTCCGAGATGGGCGTGTAACTGCGGATGATGGCCTCGCGGGTAACAGGGTCCCTTAGCCTCACCATCAAATGCTGTCCGACGGGTAAGCCCAGGCGTTGCTCTGGATGTTCCAGCTTGTAGGTGAAGATGCGCGTGTCCCAGGACACGATCCGCTTGCCGTGGAGGATGGCTTTTTTCCACGCTTTGGAATTGAGGAAGGTCTCGGGGGGTTTGCCAGACTGGTCGATCTCCGTCTCGCCCGCTGCCAGAGTAGTTTTGGCTGCCTCGTCAAGAGACCCAATGTGGTACTGGGGCATCATCGCCTTGGCCGTCTCACTGTGGATTGCCAGGAATTCCTCGGTGCTATCCAGTCCCGCTGCAGAGATGATGCTTTGCGCACCGCCAGGATGCTCCTTCAGGAATGCTGTACCGTCGTATACTTCGCCCTTGACCACGAACCAGGGCTGCTGCTCGGTATCGTGTTTCCGCAGCTCGTCGATCGTGATAGGGTTTTTCAAGCCTTCCTTGACCATGGAAATCTCCTTGGCCTGTTCCTCAGCCGGGATCACTGGTTCTTCGCCCTCGAGTTTCTCTCCCCAAAAGCCATTAGCCAGGTTGCCACCGGCCTTTTTAACCCTCTCCATCCAGCCGCCAGGAATGAGTGCTGGCTGGGTTGGGTGTTCGAACCGAAGGTAGTCGCCTTCTAGTGTGATTGTCACACGGAACCAGGGGTTATTCATCATACCAAGAACAGACCAGTACATATCGCGCGGTTGAACATTCATGCTCTCGTCCATTGCCCGTACAAACATGTCTTTGGCTTGGGCGAGCTCGTCCGTGAGCAGATGGATCGACCAGAAGCACCAGCAGAAGCATGTTTCACGCCACGACATATCAAGCCGGCCGCCAAACAGATCTTTCTCCACTTGCCGGTATCGATCTTCCACGTAGTCAATTTCTGCGAGCCGCCACGTTTTGCCTTTGTCCAGTGAGATCTCGACCCTTGTAATGCGCCGCCCACCTCCACTGTAGGCATATCCTCTAGCTCGATAGGTGCGCGGGGCTCCGTTCAGGCACAGCTGCTCCTCGTGCTGGGGGTAGCAGATGGCGGAGTTGGGGCTGAGGTCGTAGATGGCATATCGATCATCCGTCCACCATTTGGGGTCGCTTGCCGACTCTTCTGGGGAGACCATGGTTGGGAGGACCCGGTTGTCATAGATGTGGTACCAGTTGTCGCTGGGTGCATCTGTGACGATCAACTTCTTCAGCCATTTGACGGATCGACCCCCGATCTGGCCAGGAATCACAGCACGCAGGGGCTTGCCGTGGTCCGGTCGGAGTGTCTCGCCGTTCATTTTGTAGGCGAGCATGAACCCGCGATTGGGGTCCATGGCCCAGTTCAACTTGACAGAAGTCCCGTAGAATCCGTTGGGCAGCTTGTCAGCACCTTCCATGCAGACATACTTGGCCTTCCTCTTGGGCTTGGCTCTTCTAAGGACCTCGGACATGACGACGCCGGTAAAGAGCGCCGTCGAGAGCCCAGCGGCGCCCCACGAGAATCCCTTGCTTTTGCGGACCATGTTCTGCTCTTTCCTCCGGTTCCCGGCGCACACCAAGGTGATTGGATAGGTGACTTGCTCATATTCGGTCATCAACTGCCTCAGCGATATTGTCATCGGCTCGTCCACTAGACCTTCCACGGTAAATTGCCAATCGATGATGTCTTCATCCCTAACCTGAGGCACAGCGCCATGGTTTCTGACATAAAACAACTCGGGACTCGTCAGGAAACCTTCATTGAAGAGTTCTGTCAGGGGTGCCTCGACATTGAATGGATGAACGCCAGTTAGTCGGATCAGTCTGGGATCGCGCGGTACGTGACTGTCCGGTGTCTTTAGGTCGACGTCTAGCACTTGGGTGGGAGCTGTCGTCGGCGGTGGAAGTGGTACTTCTAACTTGTCGTCGTCCACATCGGATATGCTACCGATTGTGGGCGGCGGTGACGGTGGAAGGACATCTTTGGCCGGCTGCCTGTCTAATTCTTCGATTTTTTCGGGGATACCTTGACTCTCTGTCTTTGGATCTTCCATATCGACGCGAAATCATATACACATATCTGTATGTGACGAATCTCCTGTAGAAGCACCGATCTTCCGTGACCGCTAAACAATGTGAGAATGAACCTTCAGTAAGACATTGGAAAGAATGGAAAAGAAGCAGAAAGCGGCTGGCTCAAGGTTGCCCAGCATACAACGTCGAGCCGTCAATCGGGGTTTCACGAGCGCGTCATAGGGTAGGTATCGATGAGCTGGTAGGACATAGGGTCAGCTAAGGCGGCCTGCGTCAGCCGTGGTTTGTCTAAAGCCATTATTGTTTTTTGATCGTCAGACCAGTCCCAAATCTAAGTGTGGGAAGGGACCAGCGAAGGATTCTGTCTCGATCGAACGTGCAGGAAAAGATCAAGATCCGCGGGATGTGTAATCAGACGTTGTGTGGTATTGCGAGGAGATATTGTACTTTCCGCTTATCTATCAACCTTTACCTTGAGAGGCTAGACCGGGTTCAGCGGTAATATGGTTACACAATCTTTGATCTGTCTGACGGAGGACGCCGCTTTCTTCGACGAGGGCGCGGAGAAACTCAGTCATTTCGATCAAAGGCCTGGATGCGGTCAGAATGAGGCCCACAGTCGATTCGCGACAAAGGGATTGCACAAAAACCCTCCCGTGCTGAGGCTTAAGCATATGAGTAAGTCGAAGGACCAGTACCCTCTGATCTTTTATGATCACGGAGCGAGGGCTATCATCAATACCAGAAGGCTCAATATCCCAGCTTCCGTCTTGTGATTGATGGCCTAGAATCAATCTTGAACTATTCGATATAAGCCTAGTGATGAGAATTACACCATTCTCATAGCATACACTCAAAGTTTGTGTCCTGTGGGTCGCTGAGAAAGGCCGCCAGATCGAACGGGTGATGAGAGACGAAGACTTACCAGGTTTCGCCGCCGTCTGCACGGCTTTGAACCAGATGCAAGGCGTAGCTTGTATCATGTAGTCTGCTTCTGTGCGGCTTTCCACATCAATACCAGTTGCGCTGCTATATCGTCCAAAAACTCAGTGCTGGCCCACTCCATAACTCCTGCCAATGCTATGAAGAATTCCCTGGTCGTTGAGGGAATCGTTGCATGACAAATTTTCAGAACATGCACGTTATAGAAGCGCGCATTTTCCAGTGACGTGATGGAGTGCAACCAGAGTAGCAGGATGGGCCCTTCATGGGTAATAGAGAAGGCTAGAGGTTCTTTACTTTGATAGGTTGCTGGGGAACGACGTTCAGTGAGCTCCACGAGCCGACCCTGTATGACGAGCATGCAGCTTCCAGATCCAGCAGCCTGGTTCTCTGCCTCGTACATGCTCTTCCCAGTTGCGTACGACTACCATGGATGGAAAGCGTATATGGAGCGCGGGAAGAGTGGGACTGGACAAAAGCTCCTCTTCGTATTGCAGATCCTTCAGCATCTCCTCAGCATCAAGTTGGTTGACTCCCATCGACACTAATTTTTTGGCGACGACGGCATGGAGGAATCCTATTGTGATGTCCGGGCGAGCGTTCTTGACAAAATTATTGTCAATCTTTGGCGGAGGTTGAGGCGGTGGCATGGTTATCTCGGAGCTTTCTGGCGAAACGTACGACGTCTCTGCCTGCTGCCGCTTAATTGGTCGATCATGGGAACCGACTGTATTATCGAGAGACTTGTCTGGAGGTTCGGAGCGGTACGACTTTCGTTGAACCTTGGGTTTCAGAGCCGGGTCCCAGTCTAGGCCAATGTTAGTAGAACGACAACCGCTCGTACGCAGAGTCTGCTGTACCTGCTTTCCGGCGGAAACCGAAAGTTTTGCCGAAGAGCTTGCGATTCATTGCTTCCAGGGCCTGATATATCAATTCAACGCAATCATCTTCCCTACTCGCTACTTCCAGGACGTCGGGAAAGTCATCGCACAAGTCGTCTGCGATGGAGTAGATGAGGGTTTCTTTCTCTTTATCGAGCTCAGGCTGGAGGATGGCGTTGACTCTGTGCTTAAGGGGTTCTGGGATTCCTCGGTGCCGAAAGATGATTCTGGCACGGTCAAGTGAATTCAAGCGGTAATCGGAAAGCGAGAGAGATGTTTTCTGCGAAGACACCGAGCTTGCATCTTGGTTCATATCCGCAGTGCTCGATCTCCGCGAGAGCGTTCTCTTCTTGTCTGTCATGTCGTCCGATGTCTCCAACGCTGTTTCGCTATTGAGCTTTTCCAGATTCTTCCAATTGAGAAGGTCCTTCGACGGGGCCAACTCCGCCACAGATGAGGGCCCTTCCCGTCGTCGCTTGTCGGGTCTCTCCCTTTGGGATTCGCGTTTCCGTTTTCCTTGTGGAGATAGCGGAGGCTCCGTTGATTCCCCAGTCGCGGTCAAAGCGGGGTTGATAGACTTGGGCGGAAGGGATTCGACGCTTGGGGTAGCAATTGAGGGTGGAAGGTGCGCTTGAATACCCGTGGAAGAAGATCGTGTGGTTCTTCTGATCGGCGTACCATTTGAGTCTGCTGCTCGGATTAGGAAGCTTCTGCTGGGAGTATCGACCTTCCTACTCTTCTTGACACCCGTAGATTGTTGATCTTTAAGCTATCAGCATGGGCGGCTACGGAAGGAGATTGACAGGGATAGGGAACCGTACGTGTTGGAGGTCTTTGCGTGGCCGCAAGTGTGCGCTTCGGAGGCATGTTGAGTGGAGGAAAGAACAGTTCAGATATGAGGCAGGGAGTAGATTATATTAACGCCTGTGCCAGCGCAGGAGAAACGAAAGCAGTTTGGGGTTGAGACAATATCTGTCTGCTGGAGGGAAGTCGAGACTCGAGACATGGCGAGACGGTTTCAAGCCTCGGGTGCTAGGGATCGATTGAGGGACCACAAGCACCATATTAATATTGACTTTCTGGTTTGGCATCTGTGGGAGGGAAAGTAGAGCGAGCGCGCCCCGATTAAATCATTCGGACAGATCAGTCTGCACGCTGAGCCATCAGCCATCGACCGCAACATGGGATCAAATAGAGCTCTTAGATTACCTCTGCAATACCTCTATTCTCTGCTGACCTGGGCCAGTCTATCAAAGAGGCAGACAATCCCGTGCAACCACTTGGCTCCTCCGACTTGAGAACCACCCTGAGCCCCTGACAAGAATGAATGAACCCTCATTGAAGCGCGTAATCATGCTCTCTATTCTATACCGCATGTGAGAAATATGCCTGCGCCTGCATCTATCATCGCACCTTGTTCGTCGCTGGCGGACCTGTGTTGTTGGCCACACCCCGCTTCCTCTCAATCTCCTCGATCCGTTCTTTCTCAGCCTTTTCCGCGAGCTCCCTCTTGCGCTTTTCGTCCCGTTCCACCTGATCGGGTCTCTTGATGGCAATATCCTTGGGGCGGAAGTCGCTGAACAAGGACTTGAAGATGCGCTCCACAACCCAACATCCGATGAAGTCAACGATCATAAGTGTCGTCAGGGACCATTTGAATTCACGGGTGAATGGCACCAAGCGTAACTTCTCGTTGAGCTCTGGTAGGAACTCGGTACTTCCTGCAAAGGCCACGAACGAGCAGGCTAGAAGTCCCCAGTACATTCCTCGGTTCTCGCGAATGCTTTCGCGGAAAGGCCGGCCTTGATAGTTAATGGCAAAGGTGGACACCTGTTGGATCAATTGCATGAGATAGACGGCGCTGTTCAGCAACGAAGGCTCGAATTCACCCTCAAGGTCAATCTCCTCGGCGGGCGGGACGATCGAGTAGACCACATTGGAAAGATAGATGAGCGTCGCGCAGTGGATTGCAAACTGCCCCAGCACCGATCCGAGGATATAGGCGTTCAAGATGTTCGGCTGCGGTCGTTCTCGCGAGAGGGCTTCCACCGGTTTGGCACGGGAAATAGACAGGAAGCATACCGACATCAACATCCCGCTGATAGTCACCTGGCCGTCGCCAAACTTGATGCCTGCCAGATAGATGACGGACAAGCTGTAGGCGCTGATCAAACAGTTGAGAGCCAGAATCTTGTACATCTGAATCGTCGCCACAAGAGTGCATCGTCCTTGCCGGATGATGTTGGGGATCGCTATAACGTTGGCCAATTTGCTTGTAAACGGAGCTGCGACGGAGGCATCTCCCAGCTTGATCGTAGGCGGCTCGCCGTCGTCGAGTTCGGTTTCCATCATGCTCGAGGTAAACTTGTCGGCCCAGCTAGCTGCTTTCTGTTGAGCCTCTTGCTGACGTTGTTGTTGAGGCGTCAGATTGGCATTTGATTGCTGAATCGCTTGTGCGCCCGGTGAGGTGATGGTTTCCACGGTGCCATTCTCAGCATTGCCATTCTCCAGATTGATACCTTTTTGCTCAGCAATCTTTTTGATCGCCTTTTCATGGTGGGGGTTGCGGGGACCAGGCGGATAGAGATGTGCAATCCCCGGAGGGACCGGCGGCGCTGGTTGATTGAATCTTGCCATCAGCTGCACTTGCTTCTCATAGATCTCCTTCATCTTGGTGGTCCGGTAATGTTCGCCGATCTTATTGAGAGCGTCTTGAGAGCCATTAAGCAGAGCGACGCCAATGTGGGCTTGCTTCAGCGCGCCTACATCGTTGGTTCCGTCGCCACACATCAACGTAGTGTAGCCTTGATCTTTGAGACCAATCAAAATTTCCTCCTTCTGCTTTGGCGAGACTCGGGCATAGACCCAGGTATGCCTCAGCAACGACATGAATGCTTTCTGGCCGCTGAATTTGGCAAGAGCATAGCCAGTAACGCACAAGTCCTTGGTCTCAATAATCTTCGGATCCAGATCCGCCGTTGGATCGACAGGGATGATGGTTTTCTCGTCAACGCTGCGCCAGACAAGTTTAGTCCCCGAGTCATCGTGCTCGGGAGCATCCAGAATCAAACAGTCTCGGTCGACGATCTCGACCGCTCTGGCAACATGAACCGCAGTCAGCGGGTTGTCTCCGGTAATCATCACCACACGGTGGCTGCTTTCGTTCAGCATCTGAATGGCCCTGATAGCATCTTCTTTCAGAGGAGTCTGGAGCACCAAGAAACCTGCAAAATGTAGATCACCCTCGACTTCTTCGCGTTTGAGATCATTGATGCGTTTCTGGCCGATCTCGGACTCGGTCGAAAGATATTTATAGCCGAGAGACAGTACCCGAGCACCGTTCCGCGTGAAGTACTTGAAAGTCTCCTCATATTTCGGTGGCGTCTCAATCAACATCTTCTGGATGGTTTCCGGAGCGCCTTTGACACCAACAAAAGTGCCCTTCGCCTTCCTTCCGGATTTGGGATCGGTCATCTGAACTGTAGCCACAGAACTCATTCGCTTGAGAGCGGAGGAGAATTGGAATCGTCGTTTGATTTGTACGACATGCGAGGCACCGGCTGTCGAGAATGGTTTAGGTTTCTTCGATTTGGGCGGAGGAGTGCTGATCAAAGTGTCATTGTGGCCAAGGGTCCAATTGAGAGCGTTTAGTGTGGCTTTCTCCATGGGATCGCCGACGATGTCCCCTTCTTCAAGTTTGACCAAGGCGTGAGCGGTCGCCAAAACCAGGGTGGTATAAATGCCACACTCTGGGACCTTAGTGATTGAAGACTGCGCACCATCTGCTTCGGTCTGGGCACTCTTCTTCCCCAGGCTAAGACCAGCAATACCGTCAACAACGAGATCTTCGCCGGTCAATGTTCCAGTCTTGTCGAAACAGGCGACATCCACACGTCCGGCATATGGAATTCTGAAGGGTTCTGTACAGAAGATGGCAAATTTGCTGAGCGCTGCCAAACTAGTGTTGACCGCCAAGGATAGCTCCATAGGCAGTTCAGGCGGCACGACACTTGTGACGATCAGAATGCAGTCGAGTAACAGCTTGGACCGCTTTCTGTTGTTCTTGACACCTTCTTGCCACACGTACCACGAGGCGGCAAGGGCAAAGATCAGTAAGAAGAGAATGAAAATCAGGGCTTCAGCGTTATTGGCCGAGACACGCTCCGTTGAGTAGATCATGGTTCGCACTAGACTTCCTTGACTGGTCTCAAATCCGGTCTTGAGAACCACAGCCATAGCGCCGTTATCAGGCGGTGAAGGGACACCCGACCGCAATTGTGGAACGGTTTCCGGCGCATCTTCAGTGGCGGCAGGGTGGGTAATCTGAAGGACTTTCGTACCTCCCCAGAGAAAAGCATTCTTGTCCAAGCCTTCGGGTTCGATTGTCGCGTCTCCAGGGCGGAGAAGGATTGACTCTTTGAGGAGCGGCGTGCTCTCTCCGGACAGCATAGCCTCATTCACAATCGCAGTGCCTTCGATGAGTAGCATGTCGCAGGCAACTCCTGAATCTTCTTGAGTTCGTCCCACGGATGCCAGATCGCCTGGTAGGAGTTTGTCACTCTTGATCTCGACCCACTTGTTGACACGATACACCCAGATATCATATGGTTTGATGCTCATTCCTCGAAATTCGTTCAATGTCCGCTGTCTCTGCCAGACCACTGTGCTTTCAAAAGCCACCAGCATGAACAGGGTGAACAACGAATAGTACCAATAGTCATCGAGCAACCAGAGACCAACACAAAACACCTGAAAGATGAAGAATGGGGCAACAGCGTGCTCCTTCCACAGCTCCGTGAATGTCGGGACAGGTATGTCAAACGTATTGTCGCCATAATGCTTGTGGACCGTCTCGATTTCAGCTTCAGAGGTGAGGCCCCGCGACAGTTGGAAGTCGCGGAGGAGGGGCTTCTTCTCGGCATCCAGGGCGTAGGACAAGGGCGCAAATGTTCCCTTCTCTGGCCAGTATAGAAACCGTCTCTTCTGAAACAGGAACGAAGTTCTTCCATCCGACTCCCTCTCCAGTTTGCAGATCGCGGACGCACCCGAGTTTACCACAGGTATAACCTTGATCAATTTGGCGTCCTCGACTTTTGTGGCTTTGGTCATGGTGAACACAGTCCTGAGATGGACACTCCATTTTGTGGAGAGCCAGGTCAAAGACTGAAGTGTAACGATTGTCGCAACATAGACGAATGTCCATTCCGAGCCATCAATGTAATCATCGTAGAGATCCTCATTTAGGTAGAATGCAAAGAATATGGGCCATAGAATGGTGAAAGGCCATACGTAGGCCTTGAGGAAGACCGGCAATGGGTTGTGAAGGCTTGCCGTTTCAATCTGATCATTGTCGACGAGTCTCGATCTGCAATGCGTCAGTGGGAGAATGCGACTGGGAAACTCGACCGTGATCTAGTACATACGATTTTTGCGCCATGGCGAGCGTCAGTCAAGAGCTCGATCGTAGAGAGCAATGGCAAAGAGAGATGATCTCCCTGAGAGTTGGCGGGCGAAGACCTTGAACACAGTGTCCTATCGAAAAAAGTTGGCCGCATTCACGCAAGATGCGACCTTGCGCAGGCAAAGTCGGAGCCACGCAGGACTCGCAGCCGGGCCCTCGACCGCCGCTCAGCCAGTCGGAGTCTGTTTCGCTGGTTTGTCATGTTTGCACTATCTCTTGGCATATTTGCTCTCATCAACTTTGTTTGACTCATCCGCCGCCAGCCTTAATCACAATGGGCATACCAACACCGACAAGTCGAATCTTCCAGATTATTCTTGCTTCGCAACTTCATCCTGGAAGAAACCCTTGGAAATAGCTTTTGGGATCGAGTGAGAAGTCTTTACTTTGTGCGAGACTCGGTGGGGCTTCTGCATTCTCATTTCATTTCATCTCACGTGCCGCTCCACCCAGCACTTCGAGAAATCTCACCCAAGGGCTGCGGGAATATCTGAGAAAACTCGTCCCCTAGCCTCATGGCTGACTCTTCAGAGGCAAGTAAGAGCTTGCCGGAGCGTGTGAAGGAAAAGGTCGAGAACGCGATTTCAGACAACAAGCCCAAGAAAGAAAAAGCACCCAAGCAGCCCAAGGCCCCAAAGGAGGCAAAACCACCAGCAGAGAAACCTGCAAAGCCCGCAAAGCCCGCAAATGCTGCGCCATCAGCACCAACCGACCCCGATGCCATGTTCAAGGAGGGCTGGCTGGCGGCAGTCCGGAAGGAACGGCCTGCAGATGAACCAGTAGTCACTCGGTTTCCCCCAGAACCGAATGGCTATCTCCATATCGGCCACAGCAAAGCCATTGCGATCAATTTCGGATTTGCCAGGTTCCATGGCGGAAAGTGCAACCTGCGATACGACGACACAAACCCCGAAGCGGAAGAAGAAATCTACTTTACCGCCATTGAAGATATTGTGCGCTGGTTAGGTTTCAGTCCTGCCTTGATCACCTACTCCAGCGACTTCTTTGATCGGTTGTATGAGTTGGCCGAGAAGCTTATCACCTTGGACGGTGCATACGTATGCCACTGTACAGACGAGGAGCTCAAAGATCAGCGAGGCGGGACAGATCCGAAAAATAAGCATGAAAGATACGCTTGCCCTCATCGGAGTCGACCAGTTGAAGAATCGCTGGCCGAGTTTCGAGCAATGAGAGACGGCAAATACAAGCCCAAAGAAGCCTTTCTACGAATGAAACAGGATCTTTCGGACGGCAACCCTCAGATGTGGGATTTGGTTGCCTACCGTGTCCTCGAAAAGCCACATCATCGCACAGGAGACAAATGGAGAATCTATCCCACTTACGACTTCACCCACTGTCTGTGCGATAGTTTCGAGGGCATTACTCATTCTCTGTGCACGACTGAATTCATTCTGTCCAGAGTATCGTATGAATGGCTCAACAATAAGGTCGATGTCCCTCACAAGCCAATGCAGAGAGAATACGGTCGCTTAAACGTGACGGGGACTGTCTTATCGAAACGAAAAATCAAAAAGCTGGTGGACGAGAAGATTGTCGCCGGCTGGGACGACCCCCGACTGTATACTTTGGTTGCCTTGCGGCGGAGAGGCGTTCCGCCCGGTGCCATTCTGTCATTTGTCAGTGAGCTTGGGGTTACCACGGCCACTATCAATATTCAGATCGTGCGGTTCGAACAGTCAATTCGCAAATACCTGGAAATGACAGTCCCTCGTCTCATGCTTGTGCTGGATCCTGTACCTGTCATCATTGACGACCTTCCTGACGATCACTATGAGGAGCTGGAAAACGCGTTTGGCCCGAAAGACGTCGACATGGGTTCCCACAAGTTGCCCTTCACAAAGAAGGTCTACATTGAGCGTGACGACTTCAGAGAAGTGGACAGCAAAGACTTCTTCCGCATGGCGCCCGGGAAGCCTGTGGGCTTGCTGAAGGTTCCCTATCCCGTCATTGCAACCAGCTTCAAGAAAGATGAGGCCACTGGTCTGGTCACTGAGATACATGCCAAGTACGACAAGCCAGCCGAAGGCGAAAAAGTCAAGAAGCCCAAGGCCTACATCCACTGGGTTGCTGATGCTCCGGGACACGGGTCACCGATCAAATGTGAAGTCCGTGTCTTCAACCCACTCTTCAAGTCCGACAATCCAGACGCGGTGGAGCCGAGCTTCATGGCCGACATACGGGAAGACAGTCTCAAAGTCTACCCGAATGCCATGGCAGAACTCGGGCTAAAAGAGATCTGGGCGCGAGCTCCATGGCCTGAGGAAGCCGGGGAGAAGAAGGATAAATGTGGTCTTGAATCGGTCAGGTTCCAGGCAATGCGAACAGGATACTTCTGTCTGGACAAGGACACAGATGAGGCTGCAGGGAAGATTGTGCTCAACCGGATCGTTAGTCTGAAGGAGGACTCTGGGAAGAATGCATGATTGATGACGTATGACGGTTGAGGCGGTTCCGGAGTTGGAGCGCTTTACTGTACGAAGGACCTGTAAGGGGTCAAACGAGACACTGTGACAGATAGATCAGGTAACGTCAGGATGTAGAAGTCTAGCAAACACCATATGACGCGAAGACCTCGAGTTGTTTCTCCGGAACTGGAACAATAGAAACGGCGGAAGGAATGACTAAGCAGCCCTGCCGCATTTCATTCTGCTGTCTCCGCCTCCCTCCGCCGAGTAGCGTTTCTGGTTTCCGCCCCTCTACTCGGTATTGCTCCCAACTCCCAGTCAAGTCGCTTGATGGAAGCCCAACACCAGTGCAATGTCACGGCGCACTATCGGTGGTGGACGGGTCCTGGGAAGCAGTAGAACTCTCGGGCCTCCCGCTCCTCCTCCAAAGCCCACGTCGCCTCTCCCCAGCCATGTCCTATCCCCCTCAGCCTCGAGCCTGTCCTTGAACACCTCTGAGAGCGGGACTTCTACGCCTACGTCGTCTGATCCCCAAGATATCGCATCTCGAGTCTCACTCGACCATGGAGCCGCCGATTTGTCTGCGGCTGCGGCTGCGGCTGCAGCTGCGGTAACAGACCGCTTGGTCTGTCCCATCTGCAACGAGGAAATGGTCACTTTGCTGCAACTGAATAGGCACCTGGATGATGCACATAAAGAGATTGAAGAAGAGCAGCAAGATGAGGTCAAAGATTGGTTCAAACAACAAATGGTCAAGGCAAAGAGATTCCAGCCGTTGGCGGTGCTGAACCAGAAACTCAAGGGTTTGGATGTCTTCGAGTCGAACCACGACATCGTCCGAAGCAGTACCCCTACACCGAGGAGTGAGTCCGTGTCAAGAGATCCTAGGGACTCTCCCGCCCCGCCTTTGCCTCCAAAACCCTCACAACCCGTCCTTGATCCGGAAGACATCATCACGAAGCAACACTGGCAAAGGCGGACTGGCTACGATGTGTGTTCCGATCCAACGTGCGAGAAGAGACTCGGTTCCACCGTGGGAATCGTCAACTGTCGACATTGCGGAAAGCTTTTTTGCGAGGAACATACAATGTATCAGATGAAGCTATCGAGATCTGCACAACATGAGCCTGTCCGAGGGCTCTGGTATCGAGTTTGCGAGACGTGCTACAAAAGCCGTGAGGGTTACACAGACAGGCATGGTCTGGAAAGAGATAGAATGAATGAGTTTGAAAGTGTAAGGCGGAGCAAGCTTGGGCATAAAGAGATGGAGATTTCTAGGCTGGAGAAAAGGCTCTCCAGGATAACGCAAATACTTGCCAACCCGCCGGACGAGATCCCGCAGCCCGCTCATAACAAGAGATGGTCATTAGCATGGGCTTCAAACGATCCTCGAAAAGCCCTTGAGCAAAGCATCGTGCCCTGGCAGAATGACGCCGACGTCCCGAGGTGTCCGTATTGCCAGCAAGACTTCAGCCAGTACTCCTTCCGGCGACATCATTGCAGAACATGTGGGAAGGTCGTATGTGGAGACGCTGCTACTGGATGTTCAACCGTGATCGGCCTCGATGTTGCTACTAGTACGTCTTCCCCTTTCTACTTTACTCTTCTTTTGACATACTGATATCAAAATTGACAGCTAACACCCACCTCACCATTACAGAAAAGCCTGGCCCCAACGACACCGTCGCTGTGGACGTCCGTCTCTGCAAAGAGTGCAATCAAATGATCTTTTCCCGCAGGGACTTCCAAGCCTCGCTAACCTCGCCTGCCATTGAGGCATTTACCCGGTCGTACACCAACCTTCTCCAATTCGAACGGGGCATCCGGCTCCTGCTCCCCAAATTTCAGAAACTTCTGCAAGCACTGCAAGACCCTGATCATCCTCCGTCATCCAGTCAAATCACCGACGCATCACGTACACGCAAGCGACTGATGGACTCGTTTACGCAATATGACACGGCAGCACGACGTATACGGGACATGCCGAGTCAATCGCCAACACAACTGAAACTGCAGAAAGCCATATATCAGAACGCGACGCAGTTTCTACATCTCCATATGCTACCTTTAAAATCACTCCCGAAGGTTCTCAAACACGCCACACCTCACGGCAGCAGCATTAAACCCGCTGACCTCCACAACAACCCCAACCCTCGCTCTTCCTTGGCGATCTTGAACGGCCCCCACCATACAAGGAAAGACTCTTCTTCGGCCGTGAGCGTCGCATCTTTGGCCACCACCAACTCGGCGCGGATATCTGAACTCGAAGCCGAAGAAAAATCCCTCCGCGAGCGTCTGATCGTCCTCGAAGAACAGAGGTTCCTCGTTCAAGAAATGATCGCAGACGCGAATCGCCGGCGGAAATTCGACGAGGTGGCGGCCCTGGCTGGGAACGTGGAAGACTTGTCCGCCGAGATCGACGCCGTGGGGAAACTGGTCGAGGGCGTCAGGGGAGAGTTTGAGGGACTCTACACCACCAACGGCGGGCTGGGGAGTGGCGTGAACAGTCCACAGAGACAAAATTCAGACCTGGGTCGAGACAAGGGCACGGGGAAGATGAAGAGCGTGGAGAATGGATGATGTTGCCGGTGGTCTGGGGGGGTGGGTGAAGGTAGGCCCTCCTAATCGACATGTCCAGTCCACGAGGTTAACGTAGCATGATAATGATCCCTGTTATACGCATTGCAATATCGGTTTTCTCCACAGACGTAAAGGTCCTATCCAAACACCCTTATCATACGTAATGCTAATCGCTGCTGTTAAGCCGCAACATATCCCTTCCTGTCCTGTCATCTGCCATGTCCCGTCGTATCCATTTCAGTCCACCCCATCAATGGCCTGGTCATATCATGCTAGTCGTCGATGGCGTATCCGTGTCGTTAGCCTTGGCCGGCTTCACGACGCACGTAGTCGATGAGAGCTAACAGCAATTCCTGATTTGCGCGCCGGACGCAGTTTTCTTTCCCTTCTTCGCCCCGGTCCGGGTCCGCGCTGATGATATCGTCGAAGGCATGAACGGCTCGGGACTTGAATTTCAACCCCGAGGTCGCGGAGATGGTGTACGCTTCGTTTGAGATTCGGGATATCTTCATCGCCATCGGACCTAGCTGCGCGTCTTTATTGCTGGGAGTATCAGTGGTGTTTAAAGAATTGTCGTCGTCATCATTGTTGTCGCTATCATCACGGTCATTGTCACTCTCGGGAATCAGGGGTTCCTTCTCGTTCAGAATAGGTAGGCAGAGGCCCGACATTCCTCGGATCCAGCCGGCCAGAGAGCCCAGGAACGCTGTCTTGCGCTGCCCGCGGCGGTTATCTCCTCGCGAGGAGGTCTTCTCGGCGGGGGACTTGTACCATGCAAGGTACGCGGTGGCGGGGATGGCTGCATGCATGGATTTCAGACCCTTGGACACGGGTTGGGAGAAAGCGATGGTGAGCTCGATTTTGCCGATGATGGTGCTGAAGTTCTGTTGAAGGAGGGCTTGCGCGCTGCTGCTGCTGCTGCTGCCGCCGCCGGCAGCCTCGAAAAGAGAAGCGCGGATTGTTTCCAAATACTGTTCCAGCGTCGACTGCATCAGACTCGACGGCAGCTCGAGGGGATATATAGCGGTGACGTCGAATGCGTCGCGGAGATAGTCGGTAAATGATTTCAGAGCAGCCGGTGAGGACTTTGGGAGCAATATTGCGCTCTCTTCCCTCGACTCTGCGGCGGTGCGCTGATATCTCGTGGCAGCGGTCCGCTTGCGCTTCATCGAGCGGTCGGATCTCGGAGCGCTGGTGTATATCACGAACCGGAATGTGTCTTTCTCGTAGACTAGGGACACGGCAAGGCCTCTGAGTTGTGCGCGTCCACCGTCGTCATCATCATAATCATCTCCTCCTGCTCTTTTCCGCTTTCCTTTTTTCCCAATCCGCAACTCTGAGCGCTGATCATCCTCGTCGCCATCGACGACGCCCTTGTCCAGGCACGTCCAGGCACACTGTCTCAGGCCGCCCAGCTTCTCCCTCTCTTCGTCGTCCTCGTATCTTGGCCGGTTCCTGCCGAGAGATCTGCGGAACGCGTCGGCATGTGACGAGAGCTGTTCACGTCGTCTATCATGGTCTTCCCGCCGAGCTGCGGGTGGTCGCGAAATCAGAGCGGACAACGCGGCAGGGAGTCTCGGGATGCTGAGGACCGGTGTGAGAGCGTCGAGCAGAAGGTCATCCATCTTCCAATAATGACGTGACCTGAGGAAGTGAAGGGTGACATGCAAAACATTGAACCAGGCATTGGTGAGGCTGCGAGCTGTCGGTCTATTCTCTTCCAACAATACTAAGTACCTAGGTAGTGATGATGATGCCAACTGTGGGCGAGTCGCGTCGATGCAGAACGCGAAAACACGTGATCACACAGGGCGGCGATGGACGACCAACACTATCGAAAGGTACCTCGACGACCTCAGTTGAAGCGTCACGCAAGCCTGAATGATAGTCTATTGTCGCTGATACTACTAGTATTCTTCATGCGAGTGAACGCTAGGGAAAACCGCGTCTTACAATGACAAAGTAACACAAAGTAACACACGTCCGCTTTGATAAGCCAATCCCGCTTTCAACCTAGCAACGTGCTCCGGTTATCCACGTCCTCCTCATCCGCATCGTCGTCGGAAGGCAACTCCTCACCGCAAAACTCCCAAGCATTTCCCCCTTCATCATCCTCAGCTTCTTCGGCGGGATCAGGCAATTGATCAATGACAGATGTCAGCTCTCCTATACACAGCTGAAACACGATTCGCTCGCCGATAGAGGTCAACAATGCCTCGGAGGGCGACGGTCATGGCGTGCATAGCAGCCCGCTCGGCAATGTCGCACGCTGCCGTGCCAGACTTGACAAAGCTGGTCAGGAAGTTGAACCAGATGTCGTACCTTGCCGCGAGGTAGGATTTGTTGAATGACATGATGTTGAGTTTTCTTTTCTGCGCTGGTGTTAAGTTAGAGGGCCGAAGTCCGTAGGTGTGATCTGGCCGTGGGAATGGCCCGTAGACCGGCACTGCATTGGCCCAGTTGAGGTCAAAGCATTCTCTGAGAATGCCGCCCTGGACCCGTTGCTGCACGGCCGATGGCAAAATAAGGTCGAAAAGCTCCTTGAAAACCCCAAGGTCACTCAGGCTCTCCAAGTTGTCGCCACGTACCGGCATTTTCTCCATGAACGAGCGCTCCTCGGAGCTCATTGGAGTGGGTGAGACAAGTTTTTCGCACAGGCTCGCGTCATCCTTGTTGAGTCCCGCTGGCGACGAGCTGGCGGAGCTACCCCTGGCCTCCAAGTCGCCGAGGTAGTTCGGTTCGTAGTGGAGTGCGTATTTGCCTCTATTCTTACTCGGAGTGTGAGTCAAGGGCCGTCTGCTCGAAAGCTCTTCGCCGTCGGCGGAGAACTCGTACTCGGACTCGTGCTCGGGGTGACCTTGGAGCCAGCGCTCAATGATGCGCGCGGCTTTAGAGACGACTACGTGTGGTCGCCGTTTGTTTCGGGATGGTTCGAGTGAGGAACTCGCTTTTCTCTTCCGGGTCACCGAGCCTGCCATGGGGAACGAGAGGTATCAGAGGATAAGAGTGTGTACGAGATATAGCGTGTGGCTAGCGGCAAGGAATGAGGTGCTCGGTCAGAATATCGCCGGCGGCGAGGCACCTCATCAAGGACGATCAAGAATACAAACCTGAAGACTTAAAGAGGGCAGATACGAGAGACGGAGATGATCGACAGGCAGGAGAAGGGGAAGCGCAAGGGAGGAGGGAAAGAACAGGGGCCGGAGAGAGGGGAAGGAGGGGCCGGCGCCTCGTATCCTCTAGCCACTTGTGTAACTCGACTCGCCTAGGACACTAATCATCTGGATCGTGATGATCAGGGGATACTATACATATAATACCCCGTACAGCATTGATCTGGGACAAGATGTCCTCCATATTCATATTCGAGCATTAATAATACTCCATGCTTCGCAACTCCGTAAAGAGATTAGCGGCGATGGAGCCACCCAAGCTCGGACTTAACGTCTCTCTCTCTCTCGGAGATAGAACACTTCTGAGCCGGCCACGATGGCCATATCCATCCGACCTGCTCAGCCTGCTATCACAGTCACTGTCAGTCGACTGGTCGGAGGAACATTGCGCCTTCGCAGCCATTGATTTCGCAACTTTCTGTATATGTAGGCCAAACCTTGTCTGCGGATCAGCAGTCTGTGGTGCTCGGGCTCTTGGTCTCCCAGACGAGCAGTCCTGTGATTTCCAAGCAACCAAGCCACAAGACAAGGCAAGGTGGGTCGGAGACGCGTATGAGGATAGGCATATAATATAAAAAGAGGCTCAAGTGTCCTCAATCTCCATCGCCTAAGCCCTTGACACAACAATTCTCCGACAAAAGACAGAAAATCCAACTGCATTCCGCGCACAAACAACAGCATATCAGCAGCACAACCTACACGTGCGCAATGTCTGCCACTCACCAAGCCGCCGTTATCCCCCAGAAGGGCGAACGGCTCACTTTGCAGACGCTGGAGACCCCCAAGCCTGGTCCCACGGAGCTGCTCATCTCGGTCAACGCCATCGCGCTGAATCCAGTAGACTATTACATGCGGGACATGGGAGTCTTTGTCAAAGACTATCCAGCGACGATTGGTTCCGACATCGCCGGCACTGTCGAGGCTGTGGGGTCGTCTATCGCATCTTCTTCTTTCCAACCCGGCACACGCGTGCTGGGGTTTGCCCCGGCCTTTTTCAACCAAGGCAAGCCGCCATACGGCGGGTTCCAGAAGAAAGTCATTGTGCCCGTCGAGAATGTTTGCGTGATTCCGGACACGCTGAGCTTTGTCGACGCCGCCACTCTGCCGATGGGCGTCGTCACAGCATGGAACGGCTGGACCAGCATTGGCCTGCACCACGACACTCACTTTAGCGCGGCGGACAAACAGAGCGTTCTGATCTGGGGCGCATCCAGCTCCGTGGGTGTGTGTGCAGTGCAGACGGCCAAAGCACTCGGCTTCACCGTCTACGCCACCTGCAGTCCCAGAAACAATGAGTACATCCGATCCCTCGGCGCGAAGGAGGTCTTCGACTACAAATCGCCCAGCGTGGTGCAGGAGGCCCTTCAGGCGGCGAAGAAGGACGGCATGGCTTTGACAACCGCATATTTCTGCACCGGCGACATCCAACCGTGCCTGGATGTCCTCGCACCATCCAGCACTGCGGAGCAGAGGGGTAAACTCGCCACCGCCGTGCCAATCAATCCGTCCACGCCGACCCACCCCAACGTCGACACCAAGTTCGTCATGGCCCCTGAGGGCGCTGGGCCCAGGGGTAAACAGTTTGAATTCATATTGCAGGAGTGGCTGGCACCGCGACTTGCGGATGGAAGCTTCATCCCCGCCCCTGAAGCTAGAGTTATGCTGGGTGGTCTGGCTGGTTTGAACGATGCGTTGGACGTGCTGAAGGGAGGCGTGAGTTGCCAGAAACTTGTTCTGGAGGTTTGAAGTTGTTGAACAAACGAAAGGGGAGTCATGCAAGACTACCGGGGATTTAGGGGGTTGGTGAGAGAGGAGAAGGAGAAAAGCAGGCGGGGGAGAAACGAGCGCTGCTAAGAAGTGAGGCGGAGGCAGTCCCCTCTACATACCCGTCTCCCCAGGGAAAAGGATAGAAGAACAGTTTCGGGAAGGTGATCGGGAAGATTATGGAGTCCCAGGGAAAATGGAGAGAATGTTGAAGATTTTGTACCTCTGTTACTCGAGAACGAAAACCTAACTGCCATATATGATTTGATCCTAGTGGGTGAGCTATGGCCGCTTTAACCTGAGTTTTAACTGAGCAATGAAGGCGCATTAGAACGGGGGCCGGGTTAGGGTCCCCCGGTATCCTAAATGGGTTCTATTGTCTAAAGTTGACGAAAGTTAGTATTGTAAATAAAGAGGAAGCACTGTGTAGGCACAACTTCCTTGCTTGAGGTCGCTTCATCTGATCTTCCCTCGTGTCAGCCTAACGATCGATGCTTTGACACTGCTGAGCGCTCCATGCCACCAGAAGCAGACACGTTGCAGCACGACACCTCGGATAGCGTCATTTCTGCTCGTTGAAGCCGCGAACGTTCTGGAAAAGTGCCGTCGCTACATGCTGTGAGCGATTCGAATGCCAAATCAATTCATGCGGGATCCCAAACTTCTCAGCAAGCCAATGAACCCGAAACAGCGCGCGGCCACTATTTGAATGCGGCACAAATCCTAGACTGCAATCCTGAAGATCCATCTGCAGTGCGATCATGCTCGTTTTTAAGATCTTTTCAAATCTCATCTGTGTGGGGTAGATGTTAGATTGAATATGTCCAGTCCACGTAAAGTGAAGGTCAGTTTTCTCCGCACTTGGACTGAAATGCTAAGTGTGTACGACTGCAAAAGGAAGTGCTCGGAACAATTCTCTTCAAGTACCGAGTAGCACAGACATGAATCCCTCAGATGTGTCACACTGCAGAGTGTTGGCCTCAATTTCTCCATTGCGAGGTATCAAGAAGAAAAACTCTACCGAAACAACCCTCTTCCTGAGTTTGTGGTAAGTGGGTCATTTGATCGATTCTGGTTAACAAGTTTCAGCAATTTAGATCCAGCTCGTTGGTAAAGGGAACAGTTCGGATCTGAAGTCTGGGGAGCCTAACATCACGGCAGCCTTAAGGCGGTAATAATCCGACCCTCAAGCCGGAAACAGAGTTTCGAGATGCAAACTCATTGACTCCTCAAAATCAGCGGCCTGAGTGGTCACAACGACAGCCTCGGTAATTATAGATCCGAGAGTCGAGGTCCAGCCTGCTGGCCATTTCAGGTTCCACAAATGGTATCGGCAGGATCATTTTGTACCGTGATGTCTTCGTTTCCAGATGGATCATCTTTAAATGGATGTCCTCCTGTCTGGACCTCTTTTCACTGATGGCATTAGGTACTTGCCTGTCAAGGTTGATGGGAGAGACCGTGAGGCTACCCAGACGATACGGGTGAATTTGACGAAATGGCACACATCTTTGACATAGCGGGGGCTATCAGGGATACATCAGGCCTTTACAAAAACGGGGTCAAGATCGATCCGCATCGTGTCAAGTTCCCCTCGACCGACGTCTTCCATGGCATCAACAAAGCGTCTCGCATTGAAGGCGACGTCTTCGATCTCGAAGCCACAGGAAGCATTCCACCAGAGATAGACGGCACCTTCTTTCGCGTACAGCCGGACCACCGATACCCCCCGATGTACGAGGGTGACATCCATTTCAACGGCGACGGAAATGTGACGGCAATCCGTATCTCGCACGGCCACGCCCATTTCAAACAGCGCTACGTCCACACGGAACGGTATCGCCATGAGACCGCGGCTGGAAGAGCACTATTTGGCAAATATCGCAACCCACACACCGACAACGAAGTGGTAAAAGGGGTTATTCGTACCGCGGCGAACACGAATGTATTCTTCTGGCGCGGTATGCTGCTGGCGACAAAGGAGGATGGACCTGCGTACGCTTTGGACCCGGAGACATTGGACACGATCGGCAGATACGACTTCGAGGGCCAGGTTCTATCCCCAACGTTCACGGCTCACCCGAAATTCGACCCCATCACAGGCGAGATGGTATGCTACGGCTATGAAGCAGGTGGTAACGGCAACGATGGGTCCTGCGATATCGTTGTCTACACCATCAGCCCTGACGGAGTCAAGACGGAGGAAGCCTGGTACAAAGCGCCGTTTTGTGGCATCATTCACGATTGCGGCATCTCTGAGAACTACCTTGTCCTCCCCATGACACCTTTGAAATGCGACGCTGAAAGGTTGAAGAATGGAGAAAACCACTGGGCATGGGACCCCGAAGAAGATCAGATGTACGGCATAGTCCCTCGGCGTGGTGGAAAGCCTGAGGATATCATTTGGCTGCGCTCTCGAAATGGTATGCTCGGAAACCCCATTCCTCCTTTTCCTCCATACTGATTCATGCACAACAGCATTTCAAGGCCACACTGCTGGATGCTACGAGGACGAGAATGGCCACATTGTCTTCGACCTGACTATCGCCGACGGCAACGTATTCTTCTTTTTCCCTCCCGTCGACAAGCCAGTGACGATTCCGAAGCTCGTCAACAAGACAACACGCTGGAAATTCGATCCAAAGGCCAAGACCGGCTCGTACGTAGAACCGTTCGAAGAGCTTGGTACTCTGCCCGGGGAGTTCTCCCGCATCGATGACCGCCTCATTACCCAGAAATACAACCACTTCTGGCAGTGCCTTATCGATCCGAGCCGGCCATATGACGCGGAGCTCTGCGGCGTTCCGGTCGGTGGGCTGTTCAACTGTCTCGGACATTTCACCTGGAAGGACAACAACTTCAGCGACGTGTTCTACGCAGGTCCCACGTGTACATTCCAGGAGCCGACATACATCCCGAAGCAAGGAGGCGAAGAAGGAGAGGGGTGGATCATCGCACTGCTGAACCATCTGGACGTGTTACGGAATGACATCGTGATCTTCGATGCGAAAAATTTGGCTGCAGGCCCGCTTGCCATAATCCATTTGCCGTTTGCACTGAAACTCGGCTTGCACGGTAACTGGGTCGATCAGAGCGAGATCCAGGCCTGGCAGGAACGTAGGAGTGCAGATGGGGATCTGGGACCGGTGAAGGCGGCAGATCGACCTCTCCCGTGGCAATTGAAGGAGGCTGCAGATACGAATGGGCACGGAACTGCCGAGTTGAACGGGCAGGTGAACGGACTGAACGGGCACTGAGTATGCCCGAGGACGAATTAATGTATCGTACTAACTGGCATGAGAATGTCAGGTAGTATCGTAGAGCCGTTCAAAAATACCACAAAACGAAACAGTTCTTAGTAAGGACTGCGTGACGTGTACCGAGTGACTCTTCTCGCCTGCAAGCGGTGTCCGTCGATTTACCTTACCTGTACCGCTTTGCTTGATGCTCTCTGTAACTTGCGGCAGCAGGTAGCGGTGGTCCCACACGCGGCCTGGACCAGTGTTCGGAATTATAAGTAGCGACGGGGCATTTTAGCCTCGCAACCCCATCGGAAGCATCGTCACCGATGAATTCTCGCTGAAGCACTCCCACAAGCTCGCCTATACCTCCTTCCTCCTAGGTTCGGTAACTATAAGGAAATCTAAAGAATATTATCAGAAGGCTAGATTTTCTAGCTGACAATCCGAACCGCCGATATCCTCCAGTGTTGGATCTGGCTTCTGCGCCATGAACCCTGTACGCTCAGGCAAGGCTGGGAAGTCTGGATCTGCTGATGCCTTTACAGCTGTACTGTACTCTACTAGGCCAGTTGACCTTAGTCGGTCGCTGGAACTCCGTTGATGCTTCGCGTACATTGATCCTAGAAGTATCGATCTTTGACTTAACTACAGCCTTCATCACAAGGGGAAAGCATTCCAGTTACTTGGAGGAAATGTCCCCAGATCCAGGCTCAAAGTATCCAGAAGGTCCGATTGTGTCGGATCGATATTCCTTGCATATTTTGAGACATGTCAGTTCTCGAAGGTCCAGGGTTTAATCCGTACTCGCAGCATAATTGTAATTGTTGGGGAGAGACTTACAGCTCAAAATCTTCAAATGAATTCAATGCCGCATCAAACGCAGCTGGGTCACCGAATAGACCGGATCCATTGAAACCGTACTCTTGCAATGGTCGAGCTCTTGTTGTAGTAGTGATAGGGTCTTGTGTCTTATTTGCCTGGGGAGCTGATTCTCGACTATCTTCCCCATCGTTGCCCACTGTGATTATGTTCTTAAGCAATGTCTCGAGATCCGGAAGGATCCTCTTGCACCAGCCCACGGCTTCCATGGCACGCATGGCCTTGAGGCAGAACTCCAGATTCGCTCTGTAAGTCCCTCTGCCGACCTTTTCCTCGGCTAGGAGGAAAACTTGGACAAGCTCCTGGATGCATCCGCTGTCAAACAGCATCAGGCTCGAAAGGTTTCGCTCTTCATGCCTCGCTTTCAAGATGGTGATTGCATTCTCTGCAGCCTCGGTGCAAAGACTGCTGAAATCGTCGTATCGCTTCTTCTTGACTGAGTTGCGCAGCTCGGCCGACCGGGTCACCGAATGTAAGAGAAATGGCCGCGTGACATGAACGAGCGTAATCCAGTATCGCAGATGAAGGACGGATACGGCTCTCAGATGTGATGGCGCCAACGACGAGCCCCAGCGGAGATGGGATGGGACTGAGGCATGCCATTCATACAAAGAGGCGATGCAGCTGGTGACTTGCTGGAAGCGAACTCTGCGTGTTGTCTGGGCGGGAGTTACGTATAATGTCTGGCTGATTTTCTTTTTCAATTTGATTAGCGATATGCAGACGGCTTGGTAGCCCAATGGAGTGTTACGCCCCGGATCAAGAATCTAAGACATTAACGTGAATATTTAGGCCCCGGAGGTGCTAGAAAGGGATCGTCTTACTTCTTCCGATGCAAATGGCGTTTGGATGCAGATGGCTTCATCCACTATTGCGAATGGATGGCCGAGCTGATTGGAGACTTCTTGGTCAAGCTGATATAGTGTCCACCACAACCGCCGAGCACGTTCTTTCTCTACTGAGTCCAGTGACGTATGGGCCGTATTTCGATGGAGGCCAAGTGAGTATGCGATTCTGACGGTCATGCCAAGGGTGCAATAAGCGATGACACTGTGAAATGACGCATTGAGGGCAAGGCTCTGTCAATATCGTTAGTCTTGCCGGGAAGCACTGAGGCATCTGACTCGAATACCATGAGAACCAGAGCTTTCACACTTCCAATGTCGGCTTCGTCAGCCGCTCGATTCCCATACTCTCTTGCCATGCGAAGGTAATCTTCCGACAATTTCTCATCCTCCCGGTCTTCTCGGACTGTTGGCTGCATCGAGCAGATGGCAAAGATGGAGTACAGGGAGCAAAGCCACGACGCGCTCGCTTCAGAGGCTCCGCTCTCTAATGTTTGGTCAAGAAGCATGTAGAATTGCTCAGGAGAGTACACCCAGTAAATGGCGTGAACCTGCTCAAAGAATTTGGTGACGTATCGCAAGCAGGTCTCGCGGTTTGGCAGGTACACTGAATCCAAGTCCTCCACGGCGCGGAAGCTCCCCACAGTTTCCGGCGACGGCGGCATGAGGGTGGTGATGAAAGGATGCAGGACATTGGCATCGCGTTTTGTTCTCGTGGTTTCCGCGAGATGGGGTTGTCGAGCTATAAGCGCGGCATGGTCGAATCTGAGCGAAGAATCCGCATCTACGTACCCTGCAGAGGAAAATCAGAACGATTCCAACAGTTTTCAACTCAGATTCATGTAACTTACTGTACTTCCCGCGAGGGTCAAGGTACATGCAACCTTTCTCCTCTTGGAGTATCACATTTTCTTCCGTTTCTACTAATTCGTTGTTCGATAGTGTCGGGTTGGATTGATTTGTTAGTACTGTATGGCCGGACACACCGGGTTCAGATCTCTGTTCCACCTCGACTAGCATAGATTTGACGTTGTCCAAACTGAGGTCTCCTGTTGGAACGAAATGTCGCAATAGGCGCATACAAGATTCGTACTCTTCCTCCGACACTCTGTAGTATGGTCTCTTTCGAGGACGTACGCTTGCTGAACATGGAATATTCATGGAGGCACAGTATTTACATGCATCTAAGCCTGTGGAGAGACAAGCTGTCAGAAAACCCATTCGCATTAAGAATGGATTATGTCCTTGGATTTTTTTGTACCTTGAGGGACACACTTGTCTCAAATGTTAGTGAAAATAGAGTCTTGCGAGACAGTAGAAGCAGGTGAGTACTGACCTTTGTCTTTCTATTCTTGCATGCATCGCAGCTCTGCCTCGTCCTCTTCTTTGGCCTGGTAGAATCGTCTTGCTGCGGAGTTTGTGGCCGCTCAGCGAATGCGGAAGATGGAGATGTGGCAGTGGCCATGGAACCTGAAACGGGGAAGAGCAAAACTCATGAAAACCTGTGATCAGGAGCCCGTGGTTCAGCGGGATTGCTGAGACTTTTCTGGAGAGGAATTCTTGCAGTAGAAGATTGCAAGTGCTACTGGCCGACAACAGAAAAGTCTGTTGCCACTCACTGAAATTCAGACGGCACAAGAATTTAAATCCCCCCACGGGCAACTAATGCACCCCGGACCGAGCTGCCACCTCGGTGTGGACCACGAACGTGGCACCGTGGCGCCCCACCAAGAGAGCCAAGGGATTGAGCGGTTACAGTCGCGTGCAAAAATCCAAAAAATTAGTAAGTTAGCTAAGTGTGTAATTATATACTACACCGCCATATACGTATATAGCGATATAGCCCTATAAAGCCCAAAATAGTATAAATTATATAGAAAATTAATCCTCTATTAGCTACGGATCTATTCGCTATTATATTATTATACCCTCGGCATACCTATAGATTTTTTGGATTTTTGCTTATTACTATAATACGGTGTAGTTTTGAAGTTGAAATGGTGGAATTCTATCCCGAGCACAAAGTATGATGTAGCTTTCGTCAAATGTTCTCATTGCAGTGCTTGTAACTATATATTGGACACCCGTGTTTGCCCATATCGACCTCGACTTGGATTTATAGAAAGAAACCTTCGGTACTCAGCCACCTTTGACAACATCGCCTCTGTTCTGGACCTGTTGTTTCTTACCGAAGACCATCATCAACGGCTGAAGTCCGATGGTGAAATGATCTTTCGACTCATTCAACAAACGATAGCCATCTTCTCCAGGAGCAAGCTCAATGACGTCAAAGTTGCTGAGAATGTGGACGATCATGTTGCGAATTTCCATCATGGCAAGGTGCTTACCAATGCAACCATATGGCCCTGTTACTTGATGATCAGCGATTCTTCCTGCTCATTATGGGTTTGATATCTCAGTTCAGAACTTACCGAGGCCGAAAGGAGCAAAAACATTGTGTTGAATAAGCTCTGGCTGAGAGTACCAACGCTCGGGTATAAACTCATTAGCTCGAGGGTAGCATTCTTCGGCTGCCGCAGTATATTCAGCATGGATCCGACTTGAGCAGAAGAGAGACTTACAGCGCCCCATTGTCCAGAGTGGAAGGACAACAGTGGTATTTCCTGGAATGTATGTGCCGTTAATGGTGATACCTTCTGGGGGAGTCAAGCGAGGAAAGCCTGACGGGATCGGCGGATGCAGTCTCAGAGCCTCGTGAATGACACCATTCAGATGTTTTGCGGCATTGACGTCCTTAGGATCAAGCTCAGATCTTCCTTGCAGTAGCGGCTCGAGCTCAGCCCGGAGCTTGGTGATCTGGGTGGGATCAGTAGCCAGGTGGTAGAAGATGTACGTTAAGGTCGCCGCCGTAGTGTCTGAGCCCCCGACAATCACGAGACGCGTATCTCCTCTGTACCACTGAAAGTCTATATCCTTCTTTTCGCTTTGCTCGTACGCTTCAACAAGATAGGAAAGCACATCAGGTTTGACATCTGATCTCTACAGTGCAATGTCAGTTTTGATCCCGCAGGACTTCGCATCGCAGTGCAGGTCACTCACCTGTGCTCGCCTCTTCGCTTGCTCCGTGACAAACTCCAAGAATCTCTTTGGGCCATGTGCAATAAGAGGAAGGCGGTGCAGCAGAATCGTTGCCCAGGGGATTGGCTGTAATTGGGCAATGTCAGACATGCCGTCCTCCAACAGATCTGGAATCCAGCGATTGGTTTCCTCGGTAAGCATTCGAAAGCTCTCACTCAGACCAACTTCCCCCATGACATCGAATGCAAAATATTTGAACCAGCGTGTCGCGTCAAATGGTTGACCTTTCATCCCGGCAATAGCACGACAGAACAGCTCTGAGTGTACCGAGACTCGCGACTCGTATTCGAGGAGGGCTTTGGGAGAGAAGGCTTTTGAGAAGACTTTGCGTCTGCGTTCGTGGACTTTCTTGTCGCGGGCGGTATGTAAATTAACTAGGGGAAGCGAGGCATCGTACCAAGCAGTCTTTGAGCACTTCGAATCAGATCCAAGGACTAACTGCACCGCTTCGGGAATGTTGACAGAAAGGTTTGCTGGGCCTGCCGCGGATGTTTGTTAGTTATGTCAAACGCTTTCCAGCCTGTGCCTGACTTACCAGTTCGGACCACAGGCCCGTATTTCTTATGCATCTCAGTGATGATGCGATAGTTGTCCGAGTTCTTCAGCAGCGATGCATGGTAGAGATTCGACAGTCGTGCCTGGAACGGTCCGCTGAACTCCCTCAGGCGGTGGAAGAACGCCCTATACGTGAACAAGCTGCCCAATAGACCAGTATTGTATGACACTACGACAATACTGGTTGCGATGGCAGTTGTGAGTATATCATATCCTGTCGTTCGGTATATGAGTCCAGCCAGAATGGCTGTCAAAAAGATGTAAAACTGGACGATTCTCGGGGCCTTTGAAAAGGGTAGGAACACTTGTCAGCGGTGAAGATATCAGCAGGTGACTGTGACCTACATGAACATGATGTTCCCCTCGAATGAAATAAAGGAGATGTGTCAAAACACCCGCGACTGCGGCCGAGCCGCTGAGCTGTAAGTGTGAAGGCAAGGTGTCCATGGTGAAGATGAAAGGTTTGTTGCACACTTGTTCTTAGTTCTTGGGTTCGCTGGCAGCATCGTATGATTCCTGGGCACAAACAACATATATCACTCGGTCGACGGCGCGAATATCCGGACTAGAGTTCATGGAAGATTCGTTTCACAGCTTGCTGCTTGATGCTACGAATAGAGATGTCAATGCGCCCAACAAAGCGAACCGGCCCGAGAGACACCCCTCGTAACAATTCTGATCGGATTCATTAAGCCAGAGTAAATGCATCCAGGCTCTGCGCTAAAATTTCAGATCTTGTAATAGTCCCTAGGTTCGGTGTTTCAAAATTATCATCTTGGACAGCACTCTGACATCGGGTGTCTCCATCGGATCCATTTCGCCGATGGTCATTTTCAACAAGGCTGTGGCTGCTTAGCGGGCTGTACCTGGTATCACAAAAATGCCAATTTGGCAGGTCTAAAGCACTATCGGATATGATCGAAGGAGTTCATACGATGGTCGGTGCAATGATCGTTCTGCAATTATCACACATAGCGAGAACTGCGGAAACCCTTTAGCAAGGATGTGAGAGTCGAAAATTCTCTGCGCCCGCATGAGGGAACGCGGGCCTTACTCCAGTGACTTACGGGTGAATATCTGAGCGATTAAGTGGTAGATCACCCGGACCTATGGTCTCTCGGTCTAACAAGGTTGACTATCAGGTTCTTAGATGTGCTGCATTAGTGACTCGGAAAGCCGCCGGGCTGTGAACAATCATCGGCACCTCTATTCACTCGCTACCTTGGACTACCTCTTACCAGTCGTCAAATATGACTTCTTAGTTCAGTTGGTGCAGGAACACCCTCAGGAATCCCGGAACCACTGCTTCCCTTGTCTCTATTCGAGAGTTCCTGTTTCCTGGCCTTACGGTATGCTGCTGGCCAAATGCCCTGTTTTCCTGGGCTCAATATACCTTTAGGGTCTAAACAATCCTTGATCCTCTCGTTAAGCCTCATCAATGCACCTTCGTTGAAGTCGTACTGGTCGGCCACCAAGTCCATATGCTCAACGTGTGCGCGGTATTCTCCATATCCAGCTTTCCGCGCATCGTGAACTAAATCGACGAATAGATTGTTTGCAGCATCTTTGTCTTCCTGTGATTGTCGGTCGAAATGAATCATGTTGATATGTGTCAGATGGCGGAGATGGAGGTGAAGGCCGGCAACAAAGTCAAAGCCGTGCTGCGCACACCTATATTTTGCAACATGATAGAAGTCCAGAGCATCCTGACCATTGCTGGGCAGGACTGGCGAAAATGAGATGTGTCCCCTGCGCAATAGTCAGTGCACCTTTCAAATAGCTCGAATATTTAGCGCAACCTACCCATCCAGTCCTCGAAATTCAATCGTTCTAAGTGGTGCCATACTAGGCACTCCGGCTTGGAGGTCGTAGGGAACTTCATCGGCGGCTAAGTATTTCTTCTCCTTAGGATAGTACGCTGTCCCTGTGAGGACAGAGCCCTTTATAGCTTTCAACGCCTCTTGGCAAGCCTTGTAGTTGTGCTCGATGATCTCTTTCGGCCCGTAGAGTCCAAATATTGCATCCCAGAACCCGATTCCGAGCTCGTGCTGAAGCTCCTTCAGCCTCTCGTCAGGAATAGAACCAGGCCCATCATACCATTGACTTCGTGGGCCTCTCCTGCAGATCTCCCTAATGATATTTCCGATGACGGGATGATTTTGGATCTTGTCGTGGAGCAAAAGTTCGCGAAGGATGTCAACCAGATCTTTCAGGTCGTGTTCTTCAGGCACATCAATATGACATAGCATCAGGCCTTCGGGCGCGGGAGAAGCCCAGAGTGTTAGCTTCGTCACTATCCCAAAATTCGACTGGTTGAACATCTGGTCGTAAGTCGGGCCGTAGCCACCGCGGAAGAGAGGCCAGGATTTCGAGTCCTTGAGAGCTCCCATGCCGGTTCTGACAAGGCTCCCATCTGCTAACACCGCTTCGATGCCGCAAATTTGGTTGGAATGGTCGCCGTGTGGAGTGTATCCCCAGCCCTATGTATTGTGTTAGCGACGTATTCAATGAAAGATCTGCTGGCAAGACGACTTACTCTGTCTAGTGCATTTCCAACCACGCTACCCCAGCCAAGAGCTGGCACAGAACACCATATATCCTTCTTCTGTTCTTTGATCGCCTGATACAGCTGGAAGAAGCTCACACCAGGCTCGACGGTATAATAAGAATATTTGTCGTTAATATCGAGTACTTTGTTCATGTTCTGTAAGTCGAGGATAACAGATCCCTATTTCGACATCAGCTCCGGTCACTTATTTTCCCGAGGTAGGATCGCATTTATACCTTGACCCGTGCGGCTGGTCCACCATAACCGAGATTCTTTCCCCTGGAGACTGTCCAGAGAGGGATTTCGTATTCATTTGCGATCTTAACGATGGCCTGAATTTGCTCGACAGTTGTTGGACGAATTGCACAGGAGCTTCCACGTTTTTCGGCTTCATCCGCATTCATGGAAAAAGGGTCTGCGTAGCTCAGCCGGAGTTCGTCACCGACTATCACAGCATCTTCTCCCAATACTTCTTGGAAACGTTTGAGGATGAGCAAAAACGTCTCTCTTGAGATCCCGGGTGGTAGGTATTCGACCGCGGGTTTTTCTTGAATCGCATTGTACCAAAGACTGAGAGTTTTATTGGTCGTTTCGATCTCGCCGGGAATGTGACTGAGGTTGAATGGTGTGGGGAGGTCGGCGTCCATCTCGAAGCGTCTCTCTGGCTAAGGAGCGGAAATGGGATGGAGAAATGTTGATAGGAGCGTGGGAAACGGCGCTGAAGAGTCCATTAATGTGTAAATATACTCTTCATATATCCAGTCTCTGGGCAAAAGCAACATGATTGGTTCTGGACTGGATGGCACAACCGGCAATAACAAAATCCTGTACTTTGTTAGTCTCCTCCCTGGCATATTCCCCATGAAATGCATATCCTCCGAAGAAGTATAGCCCGAGTGGAGAGGCTTAACTAGTCGAAAACGTTTGCGCGATGGCTGAAGCCTTGCTCAAATCCCCGTAATCCACATTTCGATCCTTAGCGTCGGCGATATTGGATCCGATGCTCGGCATCTTTGTTTCCCTTCCGTCACACTCTCTCCGGCTCCATCACGAATATTATCCTTTTGACAAACTATCCTCATACTTTCAGCGTTCGTATGTGCACTAAGATGATGCCTACTGGCTACAGCTTTGTGGTCCTAGGGCGCTTCATTCTCTCAGATTCGGCTTAAGCTTCCCCGCGTTTTGTCTTGGGCGTTGTCTGGACCCCAGGTCTTCTGCTTGGGCCCGGAACGGTTCTCGAATATGCACACCGGAATCTCGGGAAGAAGCAGCTTCCAAAACTATGCTCCCGTTTTGCCTGGAGGAATATTCATATATTGATCATGCCATCTGCCTGAATATCGAATGATCATATTGTATCCTTCCTCACGGTTGAACCTGGCTCCTATTGTTCTCAAACCACCAACCTGTGCAGTAGGTACAGCGACAAACCGCTCTATAACTAGACTCTTTTTCCATGGCGGACCCGTCTGATACGCAACATGTGGGGAAGAGAGATACCAGCGTTTGGGCCAATATCAGATTCATCTGGTTCACCATTCTTGTGGGATTTTCTCTTCTCGAGGTAAGGAGGTGATCCTAGATTCTCTGAGGCAGCCCGCTGCTAACATTTGCCTGCAGTATGGATTTGACAATGGCGAAATCGGTGGATTCCAAGCCATGGTCGGCTTCCTACAGGTGTTTGGTTACGAAGATCCTAGAGTTCCGACGGGCTGGAACATTAGGGTCCGTTCGCTCCTCCTCGTTGGATGCCTTGGTTCCCTCGCTGACTGCCACAGCCGGTCCCTCAACAGATCATCAGTTCTTTCATGCTCCTCGGCTCGTTTATTGCGAGTTGCTGCACTGGATTAATAGGTACCTACCTCGGCCGCCGACACTCCCTCATGGCTGGATGTGCCCTCTTGATCGTGGGCGTCACGATTCAGATAGTTACCACTTCCATGGGAGCCTTGTACTTTGCTCGACTTATTACGGGACTTTCGAACGGGATCTTGATGAGCTTCACTTTCCTGTACGTCGTGGAAATGGCGCCGCCCTACTTTAGAGGTCTTGGATATGCTTTCTGCTCCTGCTGGGTGACTTTGGGGACAGCCATCGGATATGTAAGTTGCAGAAATAATTGCTTGGTAAATGGGAAGCTGATCTGATCCCGTTCCCCAGGTCATCACCAATTCGACGGAGAAGATGCACAATCGACATGCGTATCAAATTCCGCTGTACACACTCTACGCCATTCCAGTGATCATCTTTGGCTCGCTGCCATTTCTCCCAGAGTCTCCAGTAAGTCTTGCCTTTTCCATCTCAAACACTGCATGGTTACTGAAGTCGATATCTTCAGCGCTGGCTCCTTCTGCATGGGAAGAACGAACAGGCTCTGAAATCCATCACCTGGATGCGGAACGGCGCATATGACGAACTTGCGCTGAGGCAGGAATACGAGGAAATGAAACTAAACGCCATGCACGAGATGGAAAATCAGTCGTCGATTCTTCTCTTCGACATGCTGCGCAGACGCAACATTCGACGTAGCCTCATTAGCTGTGGCATCGGCCTGATCAATCCCGCCATGGGTGGCATGTTTGTGATGGCGTTTGCGACGTACTTCTTCACCGTGGTAAGATTTCAGCCTTTTCTGTCTTTTCGGCCTGAAGGTTTGCTGACGGCATTACTCCCATCTTCAGGTTGGCGTCGAGAGTCCCTTCAGATGGATCATCATGTGTCAATTTCTCGGTGTCTTGGGCCAGTGCACTTCTTACTTCTTCATCGACCGCGTCGGCAGAAGAACAATGTTGCTTATTGGAACCACCATCTGTGCGATTTCGATGCTGCTTCTTGGTATCGTGTCCACACCATCAAGTGTGCGGTACTCAAAGGCTTATGGGAAGGTTGTCATCTTCCTGTTCTCCTTTTACCTCTGGGGTTTCAACTTTGGAGTCACTTCCATGTCGTACCTTGTTGCGGGAGAAATTCCTGCGCAGAACCTACGTGCCTACACTTCTGGAATATCGACTGGTGCGGGCTTTGTCTTTGCGTGGCTCACCGCTTTCACGGCCCCGTACTTCATCAACCCCAGCGAACTTAACTGGGGTGGAAAATATGGTGAGTCGGCTGTATTCGACTCAGTGCGTGCTGGAGTATTGACCATTCTTCCAACAGGATACATCTGGTTCGGGTCCTGCATCGTGGCCATCATCTTCGTGTATATGTTCGTGCCAGAGGTCCGGGGGAGAACGCTTGAAGAGATCGAAGAGATGTTTGACAAGGGAATATCTGCCAGGGATTTCTCCACCTATGTCTGCGACAACGTCGTCCTTGCACGCGAACAGGCTGAGGAAGTGGTCTACGGAGAGAAGAAGCCTGAACGAGTACAGGTTGTCCACATTGAGGCCGCCAACAGCGCGTGAGCATGTCTGCAGATTGTGCTAGTCCGGCCAAGCTTCCTCCGAACCACTGCTTCGAGATAGCAGTTTTCGCGGGATGCACTGAATATAGGTGTCGAACGATAAGTTGGCTGGTTGCCCATTTCGTGACCAAATGAAATTGATGCTCTGCTTCGTGACAGAGTTTTATCCTTCCAGTTCTATAACATGACTGCTTTGGAGATCTTTCATGCCACTGTAAGGTGAGTAGTTATTCCATGAAGGTCTCCCAGAGTGAAAAAGGGAGTATCGTTCAGATTGAGATTTGAAAAGCTAGTATTGTGCTCTCCAGAAGCAGCAGACGGATTCTGCACTCTTTCACCTGGATGAGGAAACCGAGCGTCAACGCGATTGATTGGACGGATTCGGGCACCAGACGGGTCCTGACATGGTTTTCAGGACTACCAAAGTGCGGATCAAGTGCCGCGAGAAAGTCAAAGACAGCTGAACGAACCTCGTCGATGACGGGTAAGATATCACGCTTGGACATTTTAGAACTCGTATATTCCTCATCTTCAATGTCTGGAATGAATGGCCTTTTGGTGACATAGAATTGGTCGCCAAAGTCTGCAGTCTGTTTAGACTTTATGCTGGTGAGATTGAAAACAACATTTGTCTTTATAGGTTTGGTAGGGAGTAATGAGTTACCGAACTCCGCAGCGTACCCGCAGTTAAGGGAGACCTAAGGCGTCTCGAGGCCTAGACCAATCGCCGATTCCTCTCGCACCGCCATACCCAAGGTTACGAGGAAGTTTAGGTAGCAGCGTAAGGGTAGGCGATTTGCCAGGTCCCCTTACGCCCGTCTGAGACATTGCATAGTCGAGAGGCCGGATTAGCCGACTACTAGCGGCCTGATTAGGCACTCGGTGTGAGCGCTCAGGGAGCGCTCAGTGATGCTCAGCCAAAGGCGCAGGTAAAGCTCAGGTTAAAGCGGCCTTCGCTCACCCACTAGGATCAAACCGTATATGGCAATTAGGTTTTTCGTTCTTGAGTAATAGAGGTAGTCAAGGGAAAACTTTACCATGTAATTCGACTGTCTCACGAACCGAGTTATCCAGGGGCGTCAAGCATTTCACGCCAAATTAGCCGGGATAACCCAGTGCTAGAGTCGCTAGTGCTGGCGCTATACGAGGTACATATTCCGGACAAGCAATTAGATGTGTTCGACTCTTGCTAGCCGAGTCGGAGCCGAGAGACGCCGCAACGGTAGCTTCCGACTCGCCGGCGAGCCCGGGTATGACAGCAGTTCATGCAGGGTCAACCGGGAGATCGGTGCTCAGAGAAGGTGGGATTTTTCCGTAAGGATACTAAAAGAAATAAGTGTATTGATAGCGAGCTAACTACCTATGTGCAGCCCTCCGTCGTAAGCATTTGTATTTACACGTTTCAAAAGACACTATGTGCATATGGAAAACGCGGCTACCCCTGCGGATTGGTCTGTCTGGGGGTTGAAGAACGGGGTGTCTGGGGTCCTGTACACGGTCCTTCATGGGGAGAAGAGCTCAGATGATACGAACCCTTAGCAATACCGTCGCGCGGACCGAAGGCGTGCAGGATAAAACTCGTCCTCGGAGATGTCTGTTTCTGATTCTTCGTCCTCAGTGTTGTACGCAGATTCTTCGTCGGATTTTCGCGCTTCGACGTCTGAGAAGGGTTCACCTGCATACATGTCTTCGTCTCCTGTGTCGTATGTAGACTCTTCGGTGTCGTAGGCTGATGATTCATCATCTTCGCGCGCTTCGGCATCGGAGAATGGTACACCACCGTACATGTCTTCGTCTTCTTCTTCTTCATCATCAAAATATTGCCAAGCGTCGAACGCAAATTTCACATTACCGTACGCAGCCTTTTTATCATATTCACGCGCTTCGGCATCTTCGAATTGTCCAGGCTCGTCCATCTCTTCGGTATCGGTGGGTTCTTCGGCATCTTCGAATTGTTCAAACCTTTCCATCTCTTCGTATTCTGTGGATTCTTCGGCATCTTCGTATGTTGCACCACTTGCAGACTCCTCATCATCTTCGAATTCTTCATTACCTGCATATTCTTCATGCTCTTCATACTCTTCTTCGTCATCTTCAAATTCTCGATGGCCTTTCAGCCCTTCCGAGCCTTCAAGTTTGTCCAGCACGTTTGCAATTTTTTTGAGCGTCTCTTCAAGTGCCGTAGGGTGAATGAGAAGAAGTTCTGTGAGCATAACTTGCAGCCTTTCCACTCCATCATCGAACTTCTTGGGGCTCTTCTTGATTTGTTGGAGTATGGTCTGGAGTTCTTTGATCCTGGCTCCAACCTCCTCGCGGTCATGTAGATCGAGGAGTATAGCTCTGATTTTATTGAGCATAGGTTTGAGTTGTCCGAATTCGTCCCCGAACTCATCTTTGACCTCATCTTTGACCGGCAGACCAGGACGGTATAGCACGGCAAAGCCACCCCAGCCATTAGTTGGGGATTTGGTAGATTCTCCGGCCACTATGCACCACCGTCCGCACGGACTCCACTCGGCTGCTCTCGTCACAAACAGAGCTTGCTTCTTGTATTGGAGCTTATTGAGCAGAACCCTCTGATGTGCCTTGACAGGAATGTGTGGATCGTCAAGGGGATCAGGGACCGGAGAGACAGCCCGTTTTGGGTCCATCTTTGAGCTCAGTCCATGAAAGTGTGGTTCCAGGTGCAGCTCATAAGTCGACTCTGGCAGAGTAACAGCTGCAGGTGGGTTTTGCTCCATGTCGGAATACCCTCTGTCGATCTTTGTAGACTCTGGGGACTCTTCCTTCATATCCGGAGTGGCAGATCGCTTTGTGTCTCTTTCAAAGGTGCCTGAAGTCTCTTCAGACTCTCGAGTGAGTGATCGAACCCGCTCAGTCATTGAGATGTCGGAAGTCGTATCCTCAGAATCCCAACTGGTAGAACGCTCTCGCTCGACCTTCAGAGCGTTGGATGACCCTTGCCCAGTCTCTATACTTTCGAAGACTCCTTCTCCATGATCTGGAGACCTAGACTTCTCCTTTGCGAATTGCGGAGGTCTGTGTGACCATTTTCCCAAATCTGGAGCGCTATATTGTTCTTCTTCGCTCTCTGAAGAGCTATCGTGCACCACAATTATTTGCGTTTCTGGAATTATTCTTCGGGGCCGAATTGGCTCTCCCGTCACGCCTGAGGCGTCCGGAGGCTGAAGCATAGCGGGTGGCGGTGAAGGGACATGCGATTTAACAGGAGGTGTGTCTCTTGTGGCATCTGGAGTCTTTGACAAACTACGTGTAGCCTTTTGCTTCGGACGAGTCGACCTTCGGACTGGAGCTACTTCTCTAGAAGTATCCGGTGGAGGTGGAGTAGGGGAAGGCGTTTGTGGTGGTGAAAGCATAGAACTTACGGCAGGTTCTGCATCTCTCACGTCCCCCGAGGCAGCCTGTGCTGTAGCACTGGGTGATCTTCTGGTAGCGGTGGTATCTCCTGAGATATCACTGGCGGCCGGAGAAGGAAGTGTAACGCGCGGTCTCGTTTTTAAACGAGCCGATTTTCTGATTCCAATAGTATCGCTAGCGGCATTCGAAGCGGTCGGAGCCGGAGGCGCAGTACGTGGAGTTGAACGAGTCGTTCTTCTGACAGCATTTCCCCCTTTTTCGGCATGGATCAGATCTTGTGACATTTGTATGGAGTCGGTCTTTGATGGATGCGATCGTCTCACTGCTTCTGCGGGAAATGATGAAATACCGTCTAGCGTATCTAGAGACGGTGGAACGTCATCTGAATTTGACGGAGCCGGCATCCTATCTGGAGTGGTAGAAGACGAGGGTTTGCTGCTTGAAATGTTCGGGTCCGCTTGAAATGATCGTGCTTTTGATCGTGTCGATCTGCTAGTGATCGCTGGAGGATATATAGTCTTGCTGTTTGCAACATCCGCGGGTGGCTGAGTGATATCTGGTTTTGACCTGGTCGGTCTCCCCACGGGGGAAGGAGAAGACTCTATTTTGATGTCTGGAGTGTCCAAGGGTGGAGATAACTCCATTTTGATGTCGGGAGTGTCCACGCGTGGCTGAGTGATGTGTCGTCTTGATCTAGTCGATCTCCTCCCTGGAGTTGAAGAAGACTCTGTTTTACTAACTGAAACATCTCGGGATGGTTTGACGACATCTGCTTTTGATCGAGTCGACCGTCTCCGGAGAGATGAAAGGAGAAAGGGAGTTGCGTATGCCATATCCGTGAGTTGAATAGAGCCTGAATCTGCGCGGCCAGTCTTTTCTGGGAGAGGCGATGAAGAAAGGACTGGCTTGTCAGTTCCAACATTGTCCAGCAGAATGTGGAATTGCTGTGAACCGGCCATTTCCCTGGCGGGGATTGTAGAGGTTCCTTCCAAGACACTTAGAGTTGTCCAAGGTATGCGTAAAATGTCTGAGTATGGGGAAGTCGATCCCCCAACAAGAGTTAAAGGAGCCCAGGACTTGACATCGTCAGTTGTAGAAGTCGGAGGAATCAGTCGTACAGGCTCTGGAGACTCGTACTCGACGTTCACATCCTCTCTTTTAATCTCTCCCGAGCCTTCCTCGGTCTTTACCACCTCTGTTTTGACCTCTATCGTGCCTTGCTCGATCTTTACCACCTCATCTTTGATCTTTACAGCACCCCACTTGATCTCTACATCTTCGAGCTTGACTGCTGGAGGCTCTCCTTTTAGCCTCGAAGACCTTCTTCCAGGGATCAACTGAAAAGGCCTGCGCTTTCGAGGTCGCACTTCTGGTGGAGGGTTGGCTTCCGCTTGTGGTCTCTTTCTTTTCCTGCCGCGGCGGGATTTCCCAGCCTGGTCGTGTTTGCCTGCGTGACCCTCGATGAGCCGCTCAAGATCCCAAAATCGCAATTCGGAAGCGGCATTGCCATATGCTAGCACCGGATGTAAATCAGGGTAGGCTGGCGAGGGCAACAGCAGGCCAAATCGAAGATAGAATGGCTCGCTGTAGGGTGTGGCAAACTCTAGAAGTCTCTGGTAGGGAGGTTTGTTTTGAAACTCGCTAGCGACAGTCCAAGTCTTCGTCCCATCCTTGTCGGTGACAACTGTCCGCATGAACCCGTTGCGTGTGTCGAGACGCATCCTGAAGCTTGGAGCTGTCATTCTATGCGGCGGAGGTCTTTTGGAGTCGAACCCGGTTATCTTCCAGAGCACAATCTTGTCCTCGGTTGCAGCCTTTGACAAGATTAAATCGCCAAAGAACTTGACGCAATCGATGTAATTGGTATGCAGAGCCTTGGTGATAAAGTGAGGGTAGTAAATGATCATTGCCTCGAACATGCGTCGTTTCACGCGCTTTGGATCGATTGTGCGCCAGAAGGGAGAGCGATCATGAAGATCTGGGATGGTCCATACGTGGACCTGGTGGTCGAAGCCAGCACTCACCAAGTACCGGCCTGTATGGTGCCACGAAACCGACAGCACACCCGCTCTAGGACCGTCTATTCCTCCACCACAGATGATGATCATAGTCGGGTGGGGCAACAAGCATCGCCGTAGATCCCAGATTCGAATCTGGCCATCCTGCGAAGCGGTGGCGAAAATCCACGGATAGAGAGGATGCACGGCGACATCATTGATGCTCGCATTGATATGTTGGATCCGAGGACTGCACACTCGTCCTTTGACCGCATTGACCACCCGCAATAGCCCCGAAGCGCCGGCAACTATCAGTAAAGGTTTGTGCGGATCCATGTAAGCCCAAGCGCAAGAATTCAGACCAAGCACATCGTGGTTTTGTTTTATGAAGATATCGGTCAGGTGATGGAGGATGGTGACGGTCGGACGGGTCTTGGCCGCCGACAAGCGACCGATGATGACCTCGGTCTGACCGACGACGGCAAAGATGGGCTCGTCGAATTCAGACTTGGAATATGGCCAGAATTTAACATCGTAGAAGTTGAAGCGATCTCGGCCCGGTTGGGTGTAAATGTACTTGATCTTAGGCAGCTCAAAGGCCTGCTTGCTTGCCTTAGGGCCCACCATATCCGAAGCACGTTGTTGAGAGGATTTTCTAGGGACTCAGCCCTGGGTGAGGTCGACAACGCAAAGACCGGGGAGTTCCTCCTAGATATCTCTTGTCACCTCGCCTCAGAGAAGGACCTGTCGCCATTTGGGGTGAATGAAACGCGTGATGTTCTTCTTGCGCTGTGGCGTAATCCGCTCACCAAAGGGGGTCGATACTGGTGTGAGCGTGAAGCTGAGACTTCACTCTCAGCATCGCCTGAATTTTGAAATTTTCGATATTTCATCAGATAGGGGTTAGAGATAGCGTATAGTGCATGATCTACGCGTGGAGAGAGGGCGAGGAGGGGTGTGGCCAGCCTGAGAGGAGAGAGTTACGCTCTCCTGGAGTCCTGGGGGTGCCTGGTCGCTGGGTCGATGCGGCGGACGGACGCCATAGGACGCCATAGGATGATAGGATGATAGGCTGGGAGGACGCCATGGACCCACATTTACCCCCCCAGTCATGCATGGCTTGGCGCACTGCCGGCCTGGCTGACCTGCCGGCTCGCCGGGTTTCTTCGTTTCTTCACTTCTCGCTCACCGTCTGGGTGCCCGTCCGCCTGCTCTGCTCGTGCCGCTTGTGCCACTGACGCTGGTTGATCCACTATCCTGTATCTCGTATCCATGCCACACTCTAACTGCCCAACGTCCAGACTGTCCAATTATCCAATTATCCAATCGTCGCATCTGTCCGGGTCAAAATTCCCTCCAGGCTCCCACAACCTGCGGCGGCAACTAGCCGAAACCACACACACTCTGGAGCTATTTAGCTAAACCCTCTTCTTCACCTCCACCTGGGCCAGAGCACCCTAGCTCCCTTTCCCTGCCATGGCACGCACCATGCACGCTCCCAAAACCCCCGAGCAGATCAAAGAAGAGCTGGAGACTCAATTTTTGTCACCACCTACCACATTCACTCCCGAGTGGCTGAACAAGCTGCAGCAACGCTGGGACTACCCGTCGTCCAATTACGCAGAGCTGTGCCAATTGGCCCCCACCCAGTCTAGGACAGTCACTCGCTTTGACCGCAAAGGCCTTGAAGGGAAGGTTGCCGCCTACCGCCAGGTCACAGTGCCCGCCTCAGGTGCCACAGCAAAGAATTCTACGTCACTTCTTCGGCGACCAGCAAACAGATCAGAGTTTGTGCGGGGAGCAGCCGGCTTTTTCCCTTTTGCGCCTGGTGGACTGGATGGGGTTGATACCATTCAAGCTTACGAAGACCAAGCGAGACGAGAGGAAGAAAACAGACGGCCGACAAAAAAGGGGAATGGGCTCGCTCGAATCATCAATTTTGGAGTCCACGATGGCCTGCTGGAATTGCCTCCCGGGTTCACGAGGGGCATGAAATTTCCTGAGAAGAAATCTACCGAAGCCCAAGAAGATGCAGAAGACGTGGAAAAAACACTGGAAGCTGATGATGAAGCTAAGGTCAGCCCTACAGCGGATGAGCGCAGTGCAGAGGAGACTGCTGCGTCGGAGGATGGGGCTTCAATCGTGGAAGAAGATGACGACGACGAAGAAGAAGAATATGCCGACCTTGACGATCTATTACCAGTAGAATTCCCGTCCCTAGAGCCCCGTGGAGAATTGCTGCGAGGAAATGCCAAAGTCCCAGGGAAAAAATGGGCTCATGTGGTTGACATCAACAAGGCCATCCCAAACTTCGCAGAATTGGTCCCTGACATGGCGCGGACGTGGCCTTTTGAACTCGACACGTTTCAGAAAGAGGCAATCTATCATCTGGAAAGCGGCGACTCGGTGTTTGTCGCGGCCCACACCTCGGCGGGCAAGACTGTCGTTGCAGAATATGCCATCGCCCTGGCTGCGAAGCATATGACCAAGGCCATCTACACCTCCCCTATCAAGGCCCTGTCTAATCAAAAATTCCGCGATTTTAAGAACGTCTTTGATGATGTGGGTATATTGACTGGCGATGTCCAAATCAACCCAGAAGCGAGTTGCCTTATTATGACCACAGAAATTTTGCGTAGCATGCTCTATCGTGGTGCAGACCTCATTCGAGATGTGGAGTTTGTCATTTTCGATGAAGTGCATTATGTCAATGACCTCGAGCGAGGCGTTGTCTGGGAAGAGGTTATTATCATGTTACCCGATCATGTCACACTTATCCTACTTTCAGCCACCGTCCCCAACACCTACGAGTTTGCTTCGTGGGTCGGTCGCACCAAGAAAAAGGACATATACGTCATCTCCACACCCAAGAGACCTGTGCCGCTGGAGCATTATCTGTGGGCGGGCAAAGAGATACACAAGATCGTGGATTCAGAGAAACGATTCATTCAGAAAGGCTGGAAAGCAGCGAACGACATCTTGTCAGGACTTGATAAAATTAAAGAGCAGAAAGCCATCGAAGCCCAAGCGCCTGCTCGCGGAGGACAAGCGGCAGGACAGCGAGGGGGTGGCCGAACTCAACCTCAACGTGGCGCGTCGAACCAAAGAGGTGGCGCACAGCAGCGTGGTCGAGGACCCGTTCCAAGCCGCGGTCAAGGCAATATCGCACGAACAGGACGCGGTGGGGGCAGAACGACGGCAGCTCAGGACCGAAACATCTGGGTCCATCTCGTCCAATTTCTGCGAAAAGAGAACCTCCTGCCGGCCTGCATCTTCGTCTTCTCGAAAAAGAGGTGCGAAGAGAACGCTGACTCCCTCTCCAACCAAGACTTCTGCACCGCCGCAGAGAAGAGTGCCATCCACATGATCATCGAACGGTCAATCGCAAGACTCAGACCTGAGGACCGGGTGTTGCCGCAAATCAGACGCCTGCGAGAGATGCTGGGCCGCGGTGTCGCCGTCCATCACGGAGGTCTGCTGCCCATTGTGAAAGAAATTGTCGAGATTCTTTTCGCGAAGACTCTGGTGAAGGTGCTATTCGCAACGGAAACTTTTGCTATGGGCCTGAATCTTCCTACGCGAACAGTGGTTTTCTCGGGGTATCGCAAGCATGACGGTCGCGAATTTCGAAATCTGCTTCCTGGTGAGTATACTCAAATGGCTGGCCGGGCCGGACGCCGAGGTCTTGATACCGTTGGGACTGTCATTATTGTGACGCCAGGCAAGAACGAGGCACCTTCGGCGTCAGAATTGACCCAGATGATCACTGGGCCCGCCACAAAATTACGCAGCCAATTTAGACTGCATTACAACATGATTCTGAACCTCATGCGGGTCGAGGCCCTGAAGATTGAGGAAATGATCAAGCGCAGCTTCTCGGAGAATGCTACACAAGCACTACTACCTCAGCACCAGGAGCAAGTCGCGTTGTCCCAGGCAAATCTGGACAAGATCAAGCGAGAACCTTGTGACATATGCGATATCGATGCAGAAGCCTGTCATGAAGCAGCCATGCAATTCGAACGGCTAACCAAGGAACTCCACGTCAGCTTGCTGTCTTCACCGGTCGGACGGCGCCTGTGGACTGCTAAGAGACTAATAGTGTTCAAAAAAGTGAGCTTGACCTGTGCGATTTCCTTGTGACTTCCTAACTCTGTGTAGGATGGTATCCGCATGGTCGGAGTGCTCCTCGAAGACGGGGTGCGCGCCGGGCCAAATCGAGGGCTCAAAGTTCTTGAAATATCACACATTGACGCAAAGCGGTCGACACGAGATCTGCTTCCATATCTACCCCGTGTGCGCATGATGTTCTCTGCTCTACCCGAAAAGGCTTCCCAGGTCAAATGGCGGATGACCCAGATTGGATTGGACGATGTGGAATGTGTTACCCAGACGGTTGTCAAGGTCAGAAGCTCCCGCAGGATGATCAGGACGGAAAAAGGTAATGCTTACATTTATCGCGCCCAACAGGTCGATGTGCGGTCGTTGCTACAGTCCTACGGTGCGCAACGGGAATTCGCCGAAGAAGAATTCGTCAACGTCTATTCTAGCTGGGATTCAGCCGTGTGGGACGAGCAAGAATGGAGCAAGGTGCATGAATTGCATATCCGCGATCTGCTGCTCAAGAGGAACGAGGCTGCACGGATTTTTGAGAACAGTCAATGCCTGCAGTGTCCCCAGTTCTTGAAGCACTACGGCATGCAGCACGACGAGTGGCTGATCCAGGAAAACATCCAATCCTTGAAAATGCTGATGTCTGACCAGAACTTGTCACTGCTGCCCGATTATCAGCAGAGAACTGCTGTGTTAAAAGATCTCGGGTTCATCGACGAACAGTCTCGCGTCCAGCTGAAGGGCAAAGTCGCGTGCGAGATCCACTCGGGCGACGAGCTTGTAATCACTGAACTCATTCTAGAGAACGTGCTCGCCTCGTAAGTCGGGGCGCCAGTGGAATTTGGCATACCCTAGATCAAACTGACAGGTGTACAGGTTCGAGCCTGAAGAAATTGTGGCACTTCTTTCCTCGTTTGTCTTTCAAGAAAAGACGGATAGCGAGCCACAACTCAGTGGGAACCTTGAACGTGGCAAAGAAGCCATCATCGAAATCTCCGAGAGGGTCAACCACTACCAGATCCTGCACCAAGTGATCCTCTCTTCGGACGATGCCAATGACTTTGTCTCGAGACAACGATTTGGACTGGTGGAAGTGGTCTACGAATGGGCCAGGGGCATGTCATTCAACCGCATTACTGATCTGACAGACGTGATGGAGGGCACCATTGTCAGAGTTATCACGAGGCTGGATGAGACGTGCAGGGAAGTGATGAGTGCAGCCAGGCTGATAGGAGATCCCTCGCTGTATGCCAAGATGGACAAGGCGAGAGAGTTGATCCGGCGAGATGTGGTGTTTACGGCGAGCTTGTACATGTAAGAGTGGCGCCACTATGAGATGCCGATAGCTGTTGTCCTCTTGCTCGACAGTCTCCTTGAAGATTGCACTGTACTCTGTACTAAAGACTATGAGTATTGAGCATTGATTCCGTCCTTCGTCCGTGGTCGCTCGCATCGTATCATGTTGTAATACAACGGACAAGTCCGTCGTGGTGCTTGCTCACCTAGCGATACGCAGCTTCAACCTCGCGCAGGGCCGCGATACGAGCACTCAGTGCTTGATTCCCCCACCACCCAGCATCATTGAATCATCCCGACTGTTCAAGGACCTTGCCGCGGATCGACACAGACGCGAATTCTATCTTGGCCTGACACGAACTGTGTCTGGACGGGCTGTACCGTCGCCGTCACGCAAGAAGAGTTCTAGTACACCACTTGGCACCTAGGTATTGTATCATTCCTGTCGATCAACTCCCCACGAAGTCATACACCCGAGAACCAAAGGGACTTCGACTCATCTAACGCCATGGCTACTGGCCCGAAGCTCTCGACGTCCGACGATCTCCTGATCTGCTGTGCGTGCGGCGCGCAGTACGACGTGGACGAGACGGCGGGCAAAGACGAGTGTCGGATCTGCGAGGTCTGTCCTCTCTCTCTCATCATCACCTCAATAAACCCTGCTGTGTTTGCATTCCTTGCTGGGGAGCCACACCAATACAGGGCCAACGCCCCTCACTATCGCTATCATTATTACTTCTTCTACCGTCACTTTTCTTTCCCCCCTTTTTTATTATTTCTCTCCGGGGGATATGGGGGTGACCAGCAACAAAAACCTAACTCACATTTGACTCTAGAGTCTTTACTTACTGCCCCTGTGTTTTGTTAGGATCCCAGACAATTCATCCCGCCGACGGGGCAGGCATTCACGACATTACGAAAACTCAAGGAGGGCGGCCACAAGAACGTCTTCGAGCCGTGCGAGCATAATGACACGGTCGTTGAAATCCATACGGAGCCGAAGGTGAGCGCAGGGCATACCTACAATTAGTTTACATGCAGACAATGCGCATGATGGATATATAACTATACGGACACCCCGGCCTACATACCTACCGTATACCTTCTACTACCCCTTACTGGACCTTGTTTATCTGCTTATATCTTTTAATTATTGACACACACACACCCACACAGTTCGGAATCGGCCAGGGAGCGCGCTTGATCCGCACGCCGAATGGGAATGTCCTCTGGGACCTGATTGCGTATTTGGACCAGGATACCGTTGACAAGGTACGTATGTGTTCATCTTGTTTTTTTAGCAATCTATGGCTTGAGGAAAAGGGGTGAAAAGAAGGGAGAACCTAGTTTTCATCCCTATAGGGACAATGGGGCCCCCATGTTTCTTTTTTATTGGGAAAATGAAAAAGAATCTGTTGTTTTTTTGGGGGGGGGGGGGGGGGGGGAAGGAAGGGAAAGGTCAATTTCGACGCTACTTGATCATAATGGAGGAGGCTGAGGAGTTGATGTTCCGTTCCAGATCACCGAACTGGGCGGGTTGAAGTTCATCATCATTTCACACCCGCATTTCTATACGTAAGACTTCCCATCCTCCATTTCTCCATTTTCCTGTCTACTCTCTCCCCTCCCTTAGTCTTCCAATGAGGGAGCTTCTTTTCTTCTTTTCTCCATCTTTCGCCAAAGGTTTGACATGGTTCTTACTAGCTGACACGCGTGCGGAATTAGGACCTGGGCCGACTGGTCGTCCACATTCAACTGCCCCGTGTACATGACCGAAGTCGACTCCATCTGGGCCAACAGAAAAGACCACGCCTCAGCAACCCTCAAGCTTCTGAAGGAACCCAGCACAGAACTCCTACCAGGCCTAACGTCGGTGATCTGTGGGGGGCATTTCCCCGGCAGCCAAGTCCTGCACTCGCTGCCGCCAAACACTCCCATCCCGACGCTGTTCGTCGCCGACACCATCTTTGCTGTGCAGTCGAGCCACAACCCGGACCCGGGCAAGCGCAGCGACACCATCTCGTACCAATTTCTTTGGTCCATCCCCAACATGATCCCGTTGCCGCCCGAAGAGGTGCTCAAGATCTGGAGGAGCCTCAAACCGTTGCAGTTTCAGGCGACCTATGGCGTTATGGCCAAGATCACCAATGTTTGTAGGTTGCTTTTCTTTCTACCATTGCCCTCTTTCCCCTGAATCCTTCAATCAGGTTCGTGAACGAAAAATACTGATTCTCTCGAATTTTCCACCCCAATAGTCGAGAAACCTGGTCAGAGTCTGAGTCTCAAGGCAAGGGTGCTTCAGAGCGCAAAAATTGCAGTTAAGGCAATGGGATATTCTGACCACGCCATTTTTGCCGAGGAGTTGTGAGACACGACAACTCCTCACCTTAGGTAGCCTGTGGTGGTACAACAGGTCTGGTCAAATTGCAAGACCACCTGACAATGCGATATCTCTGGGGGCCGGCATTTCTCAAACTAAGAGAACCGCATTTAAACATCCATCGCGACTAGGATCGTTGGTCACTTGGGCATATTTCCCCCACACCACTTTCCCACCAGTTGTGACCAGCCCAAGCTCTGACACATTAACCTCGATGACAGTGCCCTTTGTCAGCACACCCAATTGAGTGTAGAGAGGATTCTGGGGATTCTTCTTGACGCTGATGATGGGCAACTGCACGGTGACACCCAGCTCGGGATGGGTGACGTTGGCCTTCTTGTAACGCAGCCCCATGGGCCGGATAAAGCGCTCGTATTTGACAGGCCGTCTTGTGAAGTCAGGCCCCACAAAGGTCGGCTGCGTGATCATTCTCTTCCAGCTCTTCTTTGCCGTCTTTTTTCCCGTCTTGACCACCTTGAACATCTCCTCCTCACTGATACCCTTTACTTTGGGGAGAGGAACGGCGAATTTGGCCGCCTTTTCGGCTCGTTTGTTCTTGATCGCGCTCGACAGCGCCTTGGCATTGTTGGCTTGGGAGCGGTCGAGGAGGTAGTTGGGCAGCGGAGTCGAGGACGGTTCATTGGGAGCGGCTGATTTGACGTCGCGTTCTTCCTGCGCTTTGATGGCCTTCTTCATCTGAATCTTCTCCGCGTGCCTCTTCTTCTGGTGCAGTTTCGCCCGCAGCCCGCGCAGGTTTTGGGCCTTTTCCGACTGCGCGTGCCCTTCTCGTGCCTCCCTCTTCCGCACCCGCTCATCGTGGTCCAGCCGCTTGCCATGCTGCTTCTGCCAGCGCTCGATGTATTCGTTTTGAGGCATGGCTGTTAACCCCGAAAAAGAAGGGGCGCAGGCGCTGTGCTCTCTTCTGCCAGACCGGAGTTGCGAGTTGACTGGTTTGAAAGGCAATGTTGAAGACTCGAACTCAAAAAATTTCGAGGTCACGTGTGCCAAGAGAAGGCTTGCCTGATTTGGGGACAAAGAACCCGTATCACACGATATATCCGAATCACCCGACGCAAACATCTGATTGGCCAGAGGCTGGATATTCTAGCACGTAAGCGTACATGCAACAACAGAGTCCTCTAGTGTTCTTGACCAGGTGGAATCCGGCCTCGCCAGCCCTGCTCGTGCGAGTCATCGTCTGCGAGCCTTTGGATCAGGGACAAATGCTCGGGGGAGTCACCGAAGCTACCAATAGGAACCCGATCAACGGGTGCTCGGGGGTGCCTCCGAAGCTACCAATAGGAACCCGATCAACGGGTGCTCGGGGGTGCCTCCGAAGCCACCAATGGGGAACCGATCAACAGGTGCTCGGGGGTGCCTCCGGAGCCGCCAATCGGAACCCGATCAACAAGTGCACGGGGAAGCCTCCGAAATTACCAATAGGAACCTGAGCAACAGATGCTCGGGGGAGCCTCCGCAGCCACTCATATAAGCCCGATTAGAAATACGTGCGCGGGGAAGCCTTCAAAGCTACTAATACCTACGGACTAGATTAGGGATAAAGGTGCCGGGAAGCGTCCGAAGCCACTAATACGAATCCTTCCAAGCTCTTCGCTTTACCCCCCACTTTTGCCATGCATTAGGTAGGGTCGTTACAGTGGATTCCGAAGAACAAAAGTCACTAAGTTCCGGAGACGGGACCACCCTCCCTACCGAGCACCGAGAACTTGGTTCGCAGGTCGGCAGAAGCCGAGACGGGTGAGCCCGCAGGAAGGGTCCGACCAACCAGTCCCCCACCAACCCCGGATTTTGCTTGGCCCGTGCACTCGAAGATCGTTGTCATCCTGTTCTAGCCTCATTGCCTGTACCCATGGGGATACCCATATGGTACCCACTCCTGTCTGGAATGCAAGCATCTCACATAGAATCTGCGCAATGACTGCAACAAGGACGCTTACTGGAATAGCAGTCAGCACATCACCAGGAAGATTGCGATATAGGCAGTGTAGAAAATGAGCGACCCCCACCTTGTATCTGCTGGACGGGAGAATAAAGTCGCACGCTGAAAATCACTGTTTGCCGGTTCCTGTTTCTCCAAGTCCACTTCCTGCCCTTCGCACTATGGCAGCTTCTCACTTTCTGATATCTAACTGTCTCACATTCTCAAAGGAGTCTCTGGGGTGGAGACGTGCATGTTCGATAATAAAACCGGGCAGAGGTTGAAAGATTACAAGTCAAGTCTGTACGATTCTCGAGGAAAAGGTTTCGGGTACGGTCTGGGCGAAAGAATAGAGAAATTTATCGAAACAGAGGTATCGCTAAGGAAGAGAAAGAGCCGACTGGGTTACAACCGGTTCTCAGAGTTAAGGCTCGGTACAGTTTAGTTTTTGTTGCAACTTTGGCATTTTCATTGGGATGCTATGTACAGTCGTACCTGATGAATCCAACCAAGCACCCGAAAGGTGAGAAAGGATTTGTACATGGGTGCGGGGTGAAGCAATCCTGGTAGTTCACCCGCCCTGGCACAAGCAGAAGCACATAAACCTTTTTGGACATACCTGGTTACCAGCCATTGGCCTCTCGCCGACTGATTAATATCGTGTCATCCTTAACATACTCGTACAGGGTATCTCGTGTGGTCCGATTGAAATGTGATTCGTGTAGGGTATTAACCGCAAAAAGTTCTCTTCTCTTCATCAGGCCTTTTGGAGGAGGGATGGTTTCATGCCAGTCGTAGAGACGAATGAGGCGGAGGTATTCGTGAGATTCATAATGACCTTGTCGTGGGTCCAACTGTTCGCTGAAGTTGAGGGACGTCATGATAAGAAGACTGGGTTGAATACGGTCGACTTGCGCATTGTCCCGCAGTTTGACTTCGAGTCTTGATGGGACTTCGAAGCAACGGACGTGCACGACTTATTGGAGCATTGGTTTTATCGATTAGCTGAGGGCTATGATCATGCTCGGAACCTTAAGGATCTGCCTCACTTTCATCCGCTTCGACCGAATCTGGGACCGGCTGGGAGGAGTGTCCAGTATCAGGTACCATATTCCTCAAAGAGCGCGCCTTCTGGCGTCGAGCCTCCTGAGCTTCTTTGGCCTTTTGGTGTCGAGCCTCCTGGGCTTTTTCGGCCTTCTGGATCTTTTCACAGATATCCTCGACCGAAAGGTTGATTGTCGCATGACGGAGGGAAGGGGGGATGCAGTCGGGAGGGGCTAGGTCGAACATGGTTATTTGCAGATCGGGACCCGGAATGGGTGTGCCATCTTCGGATCGCAGCTCCTGAGCACGAATATAAGAAAGTTGTCCAAAGAGGGAGGGGGGAATTTCACCGACCTCAACGTATTCCCTCAGCTTGACGCCGCCAGCAGGATCCGACTCGTCACGTTTCCAGATCAGGAGAGTAGCCTTCTTAGTGCGATTTACGTAGTCATAGTCCACACCGACAACGAGTTGCACGTCAAGGTCGCTCTCGAGTAGGTAGAATTGCGCCAACTCTCGTAGTCTTTTGGTCTTCTGCGAATAGGCGAACTCAAAAACAACACCACCCCCTGCCATTTCGTGTCCAAAGAAGCCATCGGGTACATGGGTGCCAAGGCCTGTTATTTGGCTTTCCCCAAAGTCATCAATCTCATCCATGAAGCGTTTGGATTCTTGAGCTTCACAGCACAGGATCACCAGGGCGTCCCGCAGCAGGTAGCCGAACGACCGGGAGAAATGTCCGTGCAGAGTAGAAGTCATTTTGTGAACAAAGGTTTGGGATCGAGGGAAATAGTGGTACCTGTAATATGCGTGAGTCAAAGTCAATTTGTAGGACGTGTTTTTGCGCATACAACACTTTCTGCCCCAATTCGAGTTCAGCAAGGAGATCCTTCAGCTTTGTCCATTCCTGACCTGATAAGCGATATTCCTTCCAGTCCTCACCAGATGGTCCACGCGAAAGACGGAATCTGATGTCTGCGATGATAGTTTTAGCATCGTAAAGTGAGGGTGGTGATTCGCCGCAGTCCGCAACGGATCCCAAAGCGACACTAAGCGGGTCCAGGCTGGATTGGGTCGCAGCAGCGCCCTGACGACAGCCGTCGTGCTCAGTCATTGTTCCAGATCACTTTGAGTGTGGTGTACTCATCAACGAAGAGAAATGGTGGAGGAGAAGACGCGACGAGGACGACAAGGACGGGAACATATGAGGGGAAGATTATTTCGGGTCGATCCTTGCACCAAGATAGTGGTCTAACTATATCGGGAAGGCTAGCCAGCTGAGTGATAGCCTTGATCCTGTATTAGGCAAACTAGGCGAGCGACACGGCTGCACTTATTGCCGCCCTGTTTTCCCCACCGTCGATAGTGGCTACCTACCTAGGTACCTAGGTAGGTACCTAGTTAGACAATCACTGCATAGGGAGTCTACCTACATCACGCTGCCTTAGAAGTCAGTCCCCTACACTTTTGCCTGCCATGCACTGAGATTGGGCTTGGGCTCGGACCAAGTGCTTTTCCATACAACTGTGGTCAGTGCTTGTCGCTCATTGTCTGCTGCTCTCTGTCTTTGACATACAATGATTCACATATAGATAGACAAAGTCTAGAAAACAGGTGCAGACTGAACTACCCTGGGATTCCGTTGATCCTTTGAACATGTCAATGCCAGTAGCTTTTCTGCTGGAACTTGAAATGACAATTCGTGATCAAGTTGATCGGAACTACCGTCGACTACAGCGCCAATTAAGTAGAGCTGCTCAAGGGCAAAGCTTGCCAAGCCCCGGGACTCCATGAGTGGATCAAAATAGAGGGCCAGCCCCAGCCAGAAATTGAATACTCTTTCTGGTTAGTCACTTTTTCCAGAGGCGTCCGCCTTTGTCTGCGCTTTGGCTTGCGCTTTGATCTGTGCTTTGATCTGTACACATTACTGATGCCTTACGATTACGAGGTACATTGACTCGCGCAACCTTCCACCCGCCATCCAATCGAGACTTTGAGGTCATCCGCTCAAGTCTAATCAAGTCGGCTGAAGACCGGATCCCAGCAACGGTCGTCTTCTCGCTACTGCCGGAAGGAAGACGCTTCGCCAGGCCTCATTCACACAGTTTCTACCGGCTTCACAACACGGACGATTCTGTGCTGACACCAGCGTGGCAAGTCATCTCCAGGGGCCTATACACGTTTCTCTCCAAGGTAGGATCAGAAGCGCTCACGGCCGAGAAAAGGCGGTTGGGAACATCAAGCATTTGCATGATATCGAATATGTATTTCTCATCCTCTCTATCCTCTCAGCTGTGAAAGAGCAAGAGTCCCGGCTCGTGAACCGAGTTGCGTGCGTGCCCGAACTCTATTGAGTATCATAGAATCAATAAAAGCAATACTTTTTTTCCTCCCAGTTCACCCAGTCCGACTGATCCTTGCTAAGACACATTCGAGAAGCCGTCAGTGTCAAGTCCTCCATGAGGATATCTTGCTTTCCTTTCCCAGCAGATGTAATGCAGCCTCAAGGTTTAGCCTTCAGTTCGGGTTTCATCGACCTCATCTTGACTCTTATCGTCCTCATCTTAACTTTCATCGACCGCGGCGTGACCTTCATCGTCCTCAGCTTGGCTTTTATCGACCTCAGCTTGATAGAGTTCTGCTGCTCCTTCAAGAACGTCTTGCAGGTCTTCCAAAGAGATGAAGACCTCATACGGCTCCAAACCCTCGACCTCAAGAGGATAACTCCTCACGATGTCGCTGAGATGGTTGGTCCACCCAATCTTTTTGTAAGAAGGACGATGGCACACAAAGTCCGTGAGAGACAGGCGCAAGCCGGACTGTTTGTCGACAATCCTGTCGCCAGACTCGTCAAAGATCGTCTAGCCACAGGATTAGCAGTCGGACATGATGTTCATGCTTAAATCGCCAGCAACTTACGATTTCCTCGAAATGTGGAACGATGTGCTCCCCTCCTCTGAGTTCGTGTCTCCAAATCCACAACGTGGCTGATGTCTTGATGTTTGAATTCTCATCGTACCGAAATCCGAAGTTGATTCCGAAAACCACGTTTAGATAGCCCCGCATATGAAACAAGTATTCATCGGCGAGCCTTGTCAGGTCCTTTGTGGTCTGAGACGAAGCAATCTCCCCTATCACAGTTGGGTATTTTTGGTCCCAATGCATAAAGCGGAAATCCGGTGATCGCATTGTATGGGTGGAGTAATGCATCTTGCGATCTTGGGCAACAGAGAGACCCCGCAGGAATTCCTTCGCATTGTCATCGCGGGACGCTATTTCTTCAAGCTGCTGTTTGATCTTGTAGGCCAGATTGTGCTGCACATGGCAATGTGATGACGACGCGGACATTCTGGAAACCAAGGTCCGGGCCGTGAAGTAGTAGTCGTACCTTCATAGCCAGTTAGCATCTGACAAACTTGCCAAAACAAGCGGCTCACTTCAGGCTATCATGAAAATCCGACCGTTCAAGAATGCCATACTCCTCCAAGGCCAGGGGAAATGCGGTCCAGTAAGAGGATTCACTGTCTTCGTCGATCAACTGGGTAACAAACGCTTGCAGGAGTGGGAAAAGCTCGCCGATCTCTTTGAGCAGGGGATCAACCGAGTCCCAGTCATGTCGCTCATCAGATGAGGCTATAGCGTAAATTTGGTTCAGCAACCAAGCTGCCTTCTCGTCCGGGGCAGTGCTTGAGGAACTTTCTGAGGAACTCTCCCAGCGGTCTGCAGTCTGATGACGGGAGATTGTGGAACGATGCGAAGACTCAGGATGCTCTCCCAATGCCTCAAAGGCAGCATTAGACGCGTTCATTGTGAGGGTGTTGATGAGACAGACAAAGCCTCATCATTGTTGGTGATCTCAGCCTTCTGAACAGGCGAAATTGTACGGCGACGTAGAGAGCATGCGGTTGCACATTTCTCTACGGCAGCGCAAACGGAGCAGCCTTGAACGTATCAGAAAAGGACCAAGGGGCATGCACGCATCCATGGCCTGACAAAAGACCACATTGCTTGTCAACAGTTCTGGAATTGTGCGGTTGCAGTGGTTTTGACTTACAATCAAGGATGACTGTACCTTGTCCGCAGCCCTCCCACTCGAATCATAGTTCAAAAATCTCGCCATATCCCACCCCTACACCCGCCCGTCTCGCCTCGACCAGATCCAGCCGCCAACCGACCCACTGCTTCAACCCCCTTTTGACTTCCCTCACATGTTCTACCATTTTCCTGGCCTCCTCCTCCTTCTGTGCACGGGCAAAAGCGTGCTCGTCAAAGCCATCGTCGTCATCGAATTCCTGGAGCAGAGAATCGTTCCGTGGCCGAGTCTGCTGGCCGACGGGAGAGGTGGTGCTCGCGCGGAATGCAGCAAGGCCCGAATTCAGCACCTGAGCAAAGTTGGAGTGACGAGTCTGCTGCTGCTGATTCGCAAAGCTCCTTCGTCGACTGCTGGCGTTTCCGGTGCCTGAAAGATCCACCTCGTCGAAGTCCTCGGCGCCTGGGTCTAACGAAGTTCGCGATCCGACATCATCTCCACGAGGCTGCATCTGCACTCTCTTATCTCTCCACACGCCGCGCTGGAGATCAAAAACTTGGCCTTCCAATTCCCGGATTCTTCTTTCGAGTTTCTGCCTTTCTTCGTCTTCCAGCTCATCCAAACCGTCTCCTCCTCCGTCGCCGCTCATCACCCGCTTATGCTTTTCTCGTAATTGGGCAATTTCACTCTCGGACTTTTCGAGCTTCATGCGCAGGGCTGGGAGTTCTCGGGCGGTGGCTTCGGCCGTGGCCAACTTGGTCGCATGCCTTGCTTCAGCCTCACGGTGAAGCTTATTCATCACTTCGATCTTCTTCTCCAGCTGTTCGGCTTTCTTGACGACCTCGTCCCTGTGGGCAGCAGTTTCTTGCAATTCTCTTTCCAAAGCCCGAATTTTCATCTCCTTGCTCGTGCGCTCCGTCGAATCCACCACAGCCTTCTCACTTGCCTTGGACAACGCCTTCTTCGCATCTGATAAATCACTCTCCAATGCCTTCAATTTTGCTTCTGTCGACGATAATGACGACTGCAGCCCAGCAATTTGCTCCCCGTGCGCCTCGCATCCTTGCGTCTGACTCGATAGTTGGCCCCTAAGTCTCGAAATCTCGAGTTGCATATCCGCAATGGTGGAATCTTTCCTCTCCAGTTCGGTCTGTAACATGGCCACATCCTCCCCCGCAGCACTTTCCCTCCTGCTGAGTGTAGTAGTTGTTAAACTGGCTCGTCGCCTAAGAGCCTCGATTTCAGCTCTCAACCGCCGTATCTCCTCATCGGTCTCTCCATTTGCATGCTTCTCAGCATTCTCCTCCCGCACCTCCTCCAACTCTTCTTCTAGTTTACGCCACCTTCTCTCGTGGGCTTCTGCTTCCTTCGTCAGCCGTTTATTCTCCCTCTCTAGCTCTTCAACCTTCAATAAGGAATTTCCCGTCATCAGAGCGGGACTTAACGGTCCGCTATCCCGGAAACTGGTGCTCCGGATTTTGCTTTGCAGGCTGATGCTCGGCTGGCGGGCACCATGCCGAGCACTGGCCCCCTTAGCGGACGAGAGCTGGTCTTGATCGGCAGAGGGGGGTGAGACCGTTACGGGAGAAACGACCGTTTCCGGGGTGGGAGTATTGGCAGTCGCTGCTTCGATTGCAGCCGTGAAGGCTTCTTGGTCTGCATCTGCCTCTGCGTCTGCGAGGCTGGCAACCCCTTTGCCGCCCTCTTGTTCCTCTGCAGCAGCCGGAGTTGCCTCGGCGTCGAAAGCGTCCTCTTCCTTGGTTGTGGCCTTCTCTTGGGCATCGGCATCGACTTCCCCTTCCGTCCCATCCCCGACACGCTCGTCCCCCTTTTTTGAAGGATCTTTTGCAGCTGTCGTCGATTTCTCTCCTGTGCCTGCAGCCGCGGCCTTCTTCTTCTTCTGCAATTGGGCTACCTGGGTCGGCGGAATAAACTTAGTGGATGACCCAAGTGCGTCGGAACTCAGGCAGGAGGTATTAAATCAAATATTTGGCCCGCTTCGGTCCCTACGTCACAATAGAAACGAATTGGATGTCTCTTACCCTCTTCTTCGCTGCAGCCAGTTTCTCGGCCTTCTCTTTGTCTTCCTTTTCGCCCATAGCGGATGGGTTTGTAGTGCCGCTGCTCTGTGTGAGGCTAGGGTTGGTTCGCGTGTGATTCGGATGCTCGACTGGTTTCGAGGGCAACCTAAACGAAGAGAGGGCGGCGAGTTCCCGTATAAACGGACAGCGGAGAGTGGAATCAGATGTGTGGTTTGCCGTGCAATGAGAGCGAACAGAAGGCGAGAAGACGTGGTCTGAACACAAGTACTCGTACTGGTGGAACTGACGAGAGCTGCGCCTGGAGTAATACCTCGTACAGACTTCGGACCTGGGTCAATAATAGTAATGATAACCCGGGCGCCTGCACCTTGGTCCGGGAAACCTGCCCTATCTTGATCTCTACGCGAGGCTGGGAGGCTTTGGCAGTGCAGGTATGTACGTTCCTTACAGAAACTCGACTGTCGAGGTGCTATGGCTGCCCTTCCACAACTAACATTCATCCCAGACTCGTTCCTTTCCCAAGATTCCTATGACTCCAGAAAACAAGAATCCATCATGCCATTTCAATATCGACGTTTGGGCAAGCTTCCGTCAATGGCCGCTCCCACCGGCCTTGCCGAAAACGCCCATGCTTGCATCAGGTATCATAATTAGTATAACACAGTCCAACGTAACGCGTCAGGAAAAGCAAAAGATTCTCCCTCAAATCCGGTCAGTAATGGCGGCTATCTCATCCTTCGTCAAGAGAGCTGAAACAGGGGTCACTGATCTCTGAGCAAGCGAAGAGGCGGTGCGATGCAGAAGAGAAAACGGTCCTCTACACTTCCATGGGTCCCACCACCTCTTCACTGACTCCCCGCGCCGTGCTCTTGCTCTGGCTTCTCAAGCTCCGTACCTCTTCGTCGCTAAGGAGGTAATTGTCATGCTCGTCGACAACCGGCCTCGATGGGGGCGGGAAGTATTCATCGTCAGCCGGGGATCCGTGCTCCTTAGATGGCCGCTTGCCCTCTGAAACGGGGGCATCCATGGGCTTCTCGTCTTTCTCAACCGACATGACCGCCATGTCCACATCTCCCTCTGCTTCATCGTCGTGCTCAGCGATTTCGACATCATCTCGATCACCCAGCCAGTATTTTGCTCGCTTGTGCGCGCCGAGATCGGGAGTGATCCACCCATCCGCCTCCTCATCGGCAAAGCGCTTGGACCTGATAGGCGTCCTCAGGGCATCGATGGTAGGGACCGCCAAAACACTGATGCCTCGTAGATACAGGTAACAAACACGCTTCCTCGCTTTGTTGAAGAAGAAGTAGTTCATCGACCAGATCGATCCTTCGTCGTCATCCTCAAAGGGATCAAACTCCTCGGGTGCGTAACGATACACAGAGCATTCGCGCAAACTCATGTGCTGGTCGATCAATCTCCACATTGCTGGTCCCCATTGCGATTGAGCGGATGCGAGGGGGGCGGAATCTCTGGGATATGCGCTGACGGGCCGTGAACGGAGATTGTACATGGTCGTATCCAAGGTGTTCATGACGTGTCGCAGGCTCTTCTCTCGTTTAAAATCGGTGGGGCGGAGGACGTGCGAGAAGTCGTAGTGAGGGTGACTCGCGTTCAATGTGGCTATGAGGTACGCATATGTCCTCCGCGAGCTGATCATCCCCAGATTCCCAAAGGGACTGCTTCGGCTCAGATTCAGGCTTGATGCCGCCACATGCGCCTGGGGCGGGGAAAGCGATTGCGAGAATTGGAGATTCGACTTGTATTGTGCTTCCAGGCCATTTTCAATGTTCTTGTATAATTTCTTGTCTCCGCCGGCTGCCTTGGTGGTGTAAAGGTCGCATCCCCCTACCACATGGAGATCCGGGGTTGTAAAGTTGAGCGCAGAGGTGACCGTGTCAAGGTCGCGATTTGGCATAAACTAGATTCAAGCGTTAGAATTGGTGAAAAACCGAAAGGGGCGAAAATGAGTCTCCTTACCTTCATCGTGCTAGTGTCTGGGGTGGTCCGAGTCAGATTCAGCGCATCGCACTGCGCGGACGTTGAACAGCGCTGGTTGCAGATTCAGCACAGGGAAATTGGTTCGCAGTGCTCGCAGAACGCCTTTCGCGAAGCGATGGACTCGCAGCTCCGACGCGAGTGATGATGAAGTCTGAAGAGGATGGTTGACCTGAGCTGGCTAGGCGATCGCGAACCAAGAGATAACCAGGGCTGGCTGCAGAGGCAGCTCTCGGGGACTCGGATAGCTAGACGATGGACGTCTAGCAGGTCGCAAGATAGGGACGCGATTCCATGATAAGTTGCTGAAGGCTGATGATGTAGGTAGTGACAAGCAGGTGGTGAGGTTGGAAGTTGGACGACGTTGCGCAGCCGGGCGGAGAAACAATCATGGGGACGTTCGCGGGCCTAAACTCCTTCCGGGGCTGTGCAGTCACGTGCATCCCGCAAGATAACCAATAGGCGGGTCCCGCCTCGCACATGCGCTGCAGCGAACGATGACAATGGATTTCGGACTTTGTGCTCACGGCAATTCAAGGGAAATCAAGCACTGGACGAGAGCGATGAGGTCAACGAGGTCAACGAGGTCAATGGCAGCCCAGGTCTCTGTTTGCGTCAGCTGGTCAAGCAGGGATGGTTGGTTTGTAGCTTAACTCTGAGCATGCATGCTTCGATTGTCTTATAGCCTGGTTCGCCGCGTAATGTACATGACATGTTTCAATCGCGTCAAGCGGCTGAAACAAAGACCCTGTTTGCAAGGTCCATGTGTCCTTCCCTGGGTATCTTCCTTCCTGAACGCCATCTCATAAGTGCTGGGTGTGAACCCACGACATCACATCGACGGCGGCGGTCAAACCAAGCCGCCTCTCTTGAGCGCCTCCTCGGTGGTCTGCAAAGAACGACTTGTCAATCATGGCGTTCTCTCAAGGTTTATGAAGCACTCGCGACAAGGCGTCGAAGCAGGGGTCAGATGCGATATCAGCTCTTCACAGAAGATCCGCACCTGAGGCCATGCCACCGAACAGCACAGTGGCCGTCGGCATCATGTTCTACATGATCTTGGTGACTTCTTCTTCGACCTGGTCCGACAGAAGACATGTGGAATTAGCCTCAACAATCACAACAGGAACCCGAGATGAGAGCATACCGCCGCAGCAGAAAAGGCGCAGATGGGGTGTCGCTTGCCGCAAGAAATTATGGTCCCATGCGATAGCTTATCCGGCCCAGTGTGTGGCAGTCCTCAAAGGGCTGCATTTGAGGAAATATCGGCGTTGCTTACCTCCATATCTTCGAGACTATCCTCTTGACTGATGCACCTCAGCACATTTTTCTTGCTGCTTTCCTGCATCTCTCCAGCCAGGAGGAGCTCGTCCAGAATAAAGTAGGCCTTTTGAAAATTGAAAATGATGTCTAGTTCACACACGTTCCCATAGTATTTATCCATCTGTTCAACATAGCGATGAACGATCTCGAGGGTAATCAACTCATTGTCCGTGGAGTCACAACCGGCGATGAAGAAGAGGGATGCGTAGCGACGATAGACGACTTTGGTGTCTGAAACGATCCAGCAAGGGAGTTAGTCTGAGATCAACAAGAGGAGGAAAAGAAGCACACGAAGAGGAAGTGGGCAGAGAATGAAGCAGACGGGGATCCGCACCCTTGTACTCGAGAAAATTGCACATCCGAGTCCGCCGAGCGAGAACTAGCTGAGAGACGTCCTTGATGATTTTGGCTTTTTCCCTTGGGGACAAAGTGGTGAACCATTTTGCAAGTCTCTGGAGCAATTGGACAGATTGAAGTCAGCGAAACGAACCACGGTGGGCAACTACTTGGGGAGGGCATGGGAGCCTACCACTTTGCCCTGGCGGGAAAGCAAGATGAGATATCTATCATGCGTCAATATACACGGCTCCATGCAACGGCCAGTTCTCAACCTCACCTGATAGCCATCTTGCCTGTCCGCAAGTCATGAGCTGGACAGGTGGAATGGAAACGCAGTATGGAAAATGTCCCAAGTGTCCGGCCCGGCGAAATTACCCGCAGCCTGAGGGAAAGTTGTCATTTCTTGGCGCCAGGAGACGAATTATGTAAGTGGACACGAAGGCCTCTCGCCGCTTTTAATCCCTCATCACCTCCTACACACTTTACTTTTGGGGCAAACGAGACCGCATTGATTGACGATGTGACACAATGGGCTATACTTATCGGAACTCGCACCGAAGCTATCGCCTCGGCAGAGTCTCTGGCTTCACTGGACTAATAAAAGTCGGATAGCTGTGCCTGTCAGTCCACCGGGCCGCTGTGCGACTCTTTGGCTGAGTATGACCTCAGGTAGGACAAGGGGACAAGGAGTACATATAGATGAAGAAGGCAGGCTCGTTGATCTTTTCTCTCTCTCTCTTCTACTTTTGCACCCCTTTGCTATTGCCCGAGCAAATTAAGCGACCAACTCATCACTTTCGTTACTGGCCATTTGACCTTGCCGCCACAGAATTGACTGACTGGGAAAGATTAAAAAGCCCAGCTTGGAAACTTGGAGTTGGTACAATATGTACCGGGTCTGGTTGGCTGGCTTCGGTATCTTCGCCAGTGCATACAACATGGGTATGGCCTGATATCAATGCTTGCCGACTGCGTCTACGCATCTGCTCATCCACTCGTTTCCAGCGGTCGTACCGAGCACGTTGGGACAGCTCGACGAGTCAGTCTGACAGCGAGAAGGAAAGTTTAGCATCATCACACGCAGATCGGACCTCAAACGCCTGTTCTTTCGTTCTTTATTCTCTGGAGCTCCGAGGCCATGGGTATCCTGGTCATCAGCAACTACAGTGTGCAGCTGTACAATGCTCTTGGGTACCAAGGCAGCAACGCTCTTGTATTGGGAGTGGGGTGAATCTCGGTCACGATCCCCTTTAACGCCCTGGCGCCATTCTTGATCCATCGTCTAGGGAGGAAGGCCATGTTTTGTAAGTCACCTCTCCCAGTTCCGCCTCGCAGAAGAGGCTATCTGACACCAGGGTTAGTGATCGGCTCGTTTTGCCTGTGTCGTTTTGCCTCTCTTGGGACAAGGTGTATTGTTGAAGAAGTGCACTGACACGGGCAACGATGCATATGCTCAGGGAGAGACGAGATTTCACTGCAGGGCTCTGTGGGGTGAGTGCTGGGTGCTGAGCTAGACCTCGAGTGATATGGTACTTGATTTCAATCGAGGCTGAACCGATGCAGACAGAATTGTTGCTGGCCAGTTGAGATTAAAGTTACTCGTAGAAGCTACACGCCATTAACGAAGTGACACTAAATAGCACAGCAACCACCGGTCAGTTGCATAGTAGGTAGTAAATGGATATACCAGGGAGCATCCGCGCGGTGCAGCTCAATACCGCGAAACCCGTACCGAGTACCTACCAGACCCTGGAAAGCTCCCGGAAGCAAGCAAACCTGTTTGCTGGACATGTGTCGATTGGGAGGAACGCAAATTATTGCTCGATCGGGTCTCACTACGGACGACACCCTGTATTTTTTTCAGCCTGACCAGTGACCACAAGTCTTCGTCGACAAGGCCGGGAGACTAAGCTGGAAGGGTAGTCAGAGTCATCCTGTCTCTGCAGAAGGCATAGAATTTGAACTTGTCTATCTGCCAGGGTGTACTCGGTAGTTGTACCATTTTCAACCCAACCGATCAGAAACTTTCCAACAACTTTCCAGGGTGGCGAGGGTTCAGATTCTGGGCCTGTCCATCATGCAATTGCCAACTCGAGATGAGCTAGCCTACGAGCTTGGTAACATAATATCTCGTATTCATGTGGCTTGGCTTCGCGAAAGCCCTCAGCTTGACGCTCGCTTCCACTGCAAAACCTTATTTTAAGCCTCTTTGAGATAAGGCTGCTTCCAACAGCCCCAAGCCTATCGTCCGCTGAACGTACGTCGAAGAGGCTGAGTTCGTCTCCCCGCCCCCTTCGGGATGAAACCGGTCTACGGGCCATCGACGCTTATGCTCTTTGCTTGAAAGGAGGCTGTCACCAAACTAAAGTTGCGACTGTGCTGCAACTATAGGCCGTTTTCTCTGACCATGCCTGTACTTACCTAGGCTTCTTTGTGTCAGGCTTATGTACCAATGCCGCAAGACCCTGCAGCACCTAGTTGCATAGAGCAAATATTGCGGCTGAGTTTTTGACGTCTAGGGCCGGAAGTCTCGCCAGCGTCGGGTCGAACGTCGGCAGAGAGACCTGTCGAACTGCTTTGGCCGCTTCTACTCATTGCTTGGCCGCTGGACTAGCTGAGCTTGACAGGGTCCTCGCAACCCGCAACGGCAGCACACATGAGAGGGAAGCAGACACTTTCCGCTATAGCGTCAAGTGTACCTACCTAAGGTATGCGTCAGGCCATCTGGCATACTGGCAAAGTTTAGCCAGGGCTGTTTCTGAGAAGGCGCAGCCACAAAACCGCATCAGGCTGAAAAGTCAATTGCACGGGAAGTATGAAAGGGCGACTCTTCGCTCACAATCCCATATTGTTCTCTCCACCTCCTTGAGTTACTACTTACCTAGATATTTTTCTACGGCATCGACATCACCGACAGAGACAATGACTACAGTACCACCACACCGTGGCGCGGCGCTCTGCTACGATGAATCCAGGCTCAAATTCTACGACTCTGCGTGCCGTTATAATCTCCCCCTAAATTCGGATCATTGGAGCACCTCGGGTCCTCCCTTATTCATCTGCCTAGGTTACGACATTGGAGATCTCTTCGTGCCCCGACTCCGCGCTGGGGACGAGGATGGATGTGTTTGCAGATACAATCTGGACGCGAACGACCACTGGGAATTTGTGGAGGCATATGGGAAGTGCAACCATGCTTGCACGGCGGAAGAATTCACCTGCGATGGCAGCCTGCCCGTTCCTGTCAGCACCAAGTCCAAGGAGAAGAGGTCATCACCGCTACCGCCGATGCACATTGCCGGCGAGAAGAGAACTTCGATGGCTGCTCCTCCTGTTTCCGTTCCGTGGAAGGCTACTGCTGTTGTGGCGACCGTCTTATTCTGCCAATTGATGCTGTGATCAAACATGAGCATTGTCGTTTGGAGAAGAGGTTCGAAGAAGAATCCTACGTGGGCGAGGCTTTAATACTTGCGCATTACAGGACCTCTGTATCGGAAAGAGCTTTGACGACCGACGTTCCTGTTTTGTCTCCCAATGTACAGGGCTAAGGCGGCGATCTTCATACTCCGATACAGTGGGCGCATTTGCAAGACTTTCGACACTCATTTGATAATTGCTATCATCAACAGAATCGCGGAACGCTAGGTCGACTCTTCAAATTCAAGCTCGGACTAGCTCTATCTGTCCTGCAATCGCTATGAATATGAGTTTGTTCTTGGTCGCGGTATAGGTCCACACTGTCTATAAAATATCTTCCCAGTGCTTGTTGCAACAACCATACATACTCAATCCATACTACCCGCCATATTCTCATCACCTCTACAATCAGAAGAGTACCACGTTTGTTTCCCCCCAATACCATTGGCTACTTCCCCATTTTGATTCTCAAGGACCAGCCAACATACGAGGGCTCTTGTGGTCCCCCCCAGAACACTATCCTACGAACTGTACTTTCTTGACTGACAACCTGGAGTGCGGTCTACTCAAAGACTCTCCTACACCTTGTTCAAGCTCATGTTTGCTAGCATTCTTCGATCGAATACAGCATCTCCCCTCGACGTTTGTCAAATGACTGTCTGCCCGAGAGAGTCTGCGATGTTTGGGTCTGCGCCTTTCTCCAGTAGAAGTCGGAGCACGTCCAGCTTCCCGCGTTGAGCTGTCTCATGGAGAGGACTGCCAAGTCCAAATGCTTTTTTGCACTCGATAAGAATCCCGTCTTACTCTGATACATCACGTCATGGACAGACGCACCCTTGTTGACGAGGTAAGCCAGGACTTGGAGGCTATCTGGTCGATAACGACGGACAGCATAGTGAACCCACTGCCCTGTATGAATTGCGCCGCCATGTTCGAAGAGCGTCTTAATAACATCGAACGGCGCATATTGAACGGCATATTACAACGGGGACAAGTCCAACTTGCTTCCAGCCTTGGGATTTGCACCATGGGAGAGGAACCAAAAGACGATGGGTGCATCCTGAGCCGCAAGTCTTCCTGCGACAAGTAAGAAGTAGACTTCAGATTACATTTGCTCTTGGGGACTTGCGGAAGTGGTGGCGGAACCGCCCATTCCACTTGCTTGTTGATATTCCACCCATATTTGAGGAATAGGTCGAGTAAAGCCTGATCCTTCTTAAGGATAGCAGCATGGATATGCCTTAACATCCAGAGACACGTCTTGACTCAGAAGGTGGTCGACAACAGCACTGCAGCGATTCTGAACTGCAAAGAACAGACTGCTCCCTGGTCCTTGAAGCAAGTGCTCACCAGCAGAGGTGCCACGGAATTCATTGACCATGCGCTGGACAGTAGATAAGTCTCCTTCGCTTGACGCCTTTTCGAGTCTTTGAATAGCTTGATCGCATATTGGAACACGGCGGAGTGGTAGCTTCAGTCACGTCCTTCCCCAGAGAACTGTTGAAGTCGAAGATTTTGGTCGACATCCATGAAAAAGCCTCGTCTGGCTCGATACAGAGGTTTGGAAAACTCGGAGGACCAGTTGCCATCTAATATGTTACCCCTACCTTGCCCTACCTAATCAAAGTGGCGTATGCTTAGCCCCCGCTTTCACATAACACAGCCCGCAGCGGCCAGGAACCCCAACACACCAGGAGAGAATAAAAAGAGTTTTGTCCCTTCCTACACGATCACGCTTCGACGGTCGAGAGATAAATCTGCGCTTGTTCTCTACCTACCTACCTACCTGTCTACCTACATATGCGACGACGGTAGCAACACTGACACCGAGCCTGCGCCGACACCGACCGCTTTGCTTCGTCGCACAGCACCGCTCCCACGGCCGCATACGCAGCACGGTCCAGCGCCAGCAAGATGAAGCTGATCCTCTCAACCTCGTACGCATTTCCCCAAACCATGAAGTAGCGCTGAGGGGGGAAGAAGCAAGAAACCCATCGGCCGGCATGAAAACTGACAACGCAATGTAGCAATATAATGTCCTCGGGACACCCCGTCGTGCGGCGGCCGCTGTTCTCGCGATCAAACATTGAACTCATCAACTCGCTGCGGGCCAATTTTGCTTCGTTCAAACACTACTCTTCTCCTCCTGCTCCTGCCCCTGTCGACGCCGCCACCACAGAAAACTTTACACCTCCCGTGTGGACGACTCGGGATCCCGACAGCGATACGCTCTACGTGCCGTCGTGGCGGCCAACCCCGCTCGTCGAGCCCCGCGACTCCTACGACGTGACCTGCAAACTATTTTTTCTGCCTGGCATCCCGAGCACGCGGCGGTGCCGACACACGCGAGAAGCCATTGATTTGGTATTGAAAGAGCTGGGCGTGGACACGATCGATCTGTTGATCGTTTCGTACCCCGGTGTGACTTTTGACGCAGATGATGAAGAATCAGAAGAAGACGAGGATGACAACGGGGACAAGGACTCAGCCAAAGAGCGGGCTTCTCCCGCGGATGAAAATCCCAGCGAGGCCAGTGCCAGTGACGTGGAATCGGAAGGTCTTGAGGCGCAGGTCAAGACCTGGCAAGTTTTAGAGACGCTGTACGACAAGGGCGTCATCTCCCAACTCGGTGTGTCCGAGTTCAGTTCGGAACGCCTCGCCAAATTCCTGCCAGAGGTCCGCGTCCGGCCCAAGGTGGACCAGATCAACGTCAAGGACTGCTGCGTCGTGCCCAAGTCGCTGATCATGTACGCCAAGGAGAACAAGATTGAGCTGTTGACACATGCCGATTGTATGGATATTTTGCCGCCGGGAACGACGCGAGAATTACTGGGGCCCGGTAAAGACGGTGCTGGCATTCTGGCTGCGCACCCAGAGGGCAGTCCTGAAGAGCACGGGTTGTTGAAGGGCGATATCGAGCCGCAGTGGGTCATTAAGTATACCGCCGTGGTGAAGAATCGGGGGGTTATCGAGAATAAAGGGTATTTCGCCGTTGCGCAGCTGGGGAGCTGTATCGAGGAGAAGCCGGTGGAGAGCGCGGCATCATGAGGGAGGCCATTCAGTACAATAAACTTGAGAGCTTTTAGCATGGCGCTGGACAATGCAAAAGGATCTCGTTTCGTCTTTCGTCTTTATCCAATCATGCTCCTCTTCCTCCCTCTCAACCTCACTTCGTCCAATCTCTTGAGCACGACGTTGGCGCCCTTGAAACTGCCCCGGTACCCATCCTGACTCTGTAGGACCTCGGCATCGAACCAGCCTTCCTGTTTCGGGTGCGTGGATCCAAACGCCCGCTCGAGCACGTAGAGATCGACGGCCCGGTCTTCGTCCTGGATGGACTGCGTCGCGAGGCCGAAGTCGATGAGCACGATCTCACCGGTCAAATCTGGGGGTTGCAACGGCGTCGGGTTCTCCGATTGTAGTACATCCGGCTCTTGATCATGCTCATACTCATGCTCGCCATTGACGATTCCATTTGTATGCCCTCGGGTGGTGTGAGGCCGGATCATGATATTGCTACTCGTCAAATCCCCATGGACCACGCCCCCTTTGGCATGCATGGCGCCCACCGCACGACCGATGCGACGGAGTAATTTCTTGACCGCTTCTTCTCCTTCGCGCACAGCGATCTCGTCCCGTGGACTCGTATTGGCGTTGACGCCGAGAGTCTTGTACCAAGCATCCCAACCTCTTAACAACTCCTTGACGCTGCGTCCCTCGATCCACTCCATGAGAAGCCACGCGCCCTGGCCCCGCTGTCCCCTCTCACCCCTCTGCGCATGCGTCAAACCTCTCACCTTCCTTGCCATATCCCACTCCAGGCTCAACACCGCGGGCACTTTTACCCCGACTCCATCCTCCTCGTCACCGTTAAGCGCCGAGGACAGCTTGACAAGAATGCGTGCTTCAGCCAATACCCTCTGCTTGGTCAGCCGCGCGTCAAGAGTGGGATGTCTGTATGCTTTGCTCGGCCGGAATTTAAGGGCCGCTGCCTGCGACGGGGAGAGGAAGTGCGTGCGGTATAAGAGAGCCTCGGCGCCCTGGGTTATCAGCGTCGGTGCGGGTGAGGTGGTATCAAATGGCGGAGGGAGAAGCAGTGGCTGTCGATTTTGGGATTGCTGCGGTGCTGTGGGAGGGTCGGAGGGAGGAGGTGGTAGAGGAGGGTTGGACGCAACTGTGGGTAGTATATTTGTGCTTGTCATTATGAATTGTTGGCCGTGGGAACAAGGTATGCTTGGAGATGGGTTGGGGCACGATCAACCTTCAGATGGCTCTGACGTGGGCATCCCTTGAGATGGACGAGTAGGACAGTGTGGAGGGGGAGCAGCACAGCGAGAATGCAGCTCAATTACTCTACTCGACCATGCGAGGCTATGAAAGAAAAAAGTCTCCAGATTTTGTATGTGTGGTTTGCGTCCTCTGTAGATGCGGGGTGTCCAGCCTCGCCACCACCCACCACCACCGCATCTACTGGGAGCTCAGCCTTGCAGTTGTCCTGGCACTGTACTAACCTCCAGGTACCCAGTAAGTAAGCAACACCGCTCTTCCAACACTATTGACTCAAACACGCCGCATAATGTAAATAGACTCCCCGATTCTGTACGAGAGAGGCAGCTACAGCGTCTCAGGTTTCCTACCTTGGTATCCAAGAGTCAAGGACGTTGGGAGGCACGGGACATCAATACCTCTATAGGCATTAATCTTTCCCAGACAGTATCAGATTCCCCAACCAATTTCCCGGTTCATCTCTGGTCAACTTCGGGACTCAACGCCCGCACCATCCGTTGCAGTTCATCAACTTGCTCCTTGAGCTGCCTGATCTCGAGGACATCGGCGTCGACCTCGACCACAGGTCTCGAGGACTGAACCTTTTTGTCCCAACCCTCGGACTCGAAATTTAATTCGCCCGCCATTTCCTCCCATTCTTCTATCGTGTCATCATCTTCTTCTCCCCGACTTCTGTTGCTTCGCACGGTGCGGGCATCCACGGCCTCTAGACCAGCGGTGATCAGCAAAAGAGGCGAATAAATGACGCCCATGACATAGTTGTTCAATCGTTCATAGCGGTCAGGGTCCATCCACCATTCAAAAGGGATGATCAAAAAGATCAGCTCAATCAAATTGAAAGGCGCGATGAAGACATTTTCATCGGGCGCACGCACGAATTGCAACGTCTTTTGTGCAAACATGGCCATGTACTCGTCGATCGCGTTCTCGGTGATGTCTTCATACGCACTGTTGTACAATGCGATCAGGATATTGAGCAGGATCACCATGACCACAAATGTAAATATGTAGTATAATATGAGGCCGAAGGGATGTGCATAGTTATCAAAGCCCTCGAAATCAGGTGACTGCATGACGGAATTGGCCATGGCGGTGATGATGAAGCTTGTGATGCTGCTGTTTCCCTCGACTTGGTTCAGGCCGATAAAAGCTTGAAGAAAGCCCACACAGACAACCACGAGGAGGGCAAAGAAGATGAGGGATTCGCGCATCATGACTTTCAAGACGACCAGCATTGCGCCGAAGAAGCGAAATGTGTCCAGGTACAGGAGGAGACGGCCCCAGAACATGGGCGCTGTAATGCAGAATATGTGATAACCCAGTCTGTTGAGTTCGCGACGCTTGTCGTCACTGTTATCGGGTGAATGACCGAGCGCGGCCATGCGGATAATGAAGGAGGCAGTCAGAAGGGCGTAGAGGCAGTTGTTGAATGCATTCCAGAAGCCGAAGAACCAAATGCCGACTTTCCAAAATTTGGCGATTTCGTCACAGATGAAGCCTAATGTCATGACATAGAGGATAGCCTCGACGACGTCGAGGTCGCCATCCTCGTTCACAGTATTGACCGCCTCGGTGTACAAGGCAAGATAGATGACGGATATCGTGATTTGCAGGGCGTTTTGATACACGGGCGTGCGCATGCGGTCGGGGTTCAGATGGGCCCAATAATTGGTATTGGCGCGGTCCTTGTAGAAGACGAAGATGCCGGCATCCTTGTCGTCCTGGTGAATCCAGCCTCTCCAAAGATACTTGATGCATTTCTGATAGCCAGAGGAGGCAATGACGATCAAGCAATGCAGGTCAACAGCTCTCTCAATGACATTTGCAGGCGCCGTCTCCTCGTCTTTGCGGATGACCGAGTAGCGCTTGAGGAGGATCTCTTGCATCAGGTACTCCTGATCATCTTCAGCCTCAATGATGCGTTTGGCAATCATTTCGCAGGCCACCGCACGGACGTGATGTAGGTCGGACTCCCAGAGCTCCAGATTGGCTTGTCTGGTGAACCATCTCTTGCACACCAGTAAACAATATACCACGCAGGCTGCATAGTCAGTGCCGCCCGCCTCTTTGGCCGTCTGCACCACTTTCTGAGTTATCACCGAGCTGTTGGCAGCTACGATCTTCTCCTCTGGGAGTTCGATGGGAATAACTTCCTCGATCTGGTACTTCAATCGCAGGGCCACTTTTGTGACTTCTTTGGCGGGCAAGGCAGACGGTGGAAGGTCGGAGGTGTGAGTGGGAAGCACTGCTCCAAGTCAATACTTGCTTTTGGCAGGGGGCAGAGGTGTAGCTTACATCTCCGAGTCTCGCCGTGGTGATGTGGTGAGTCTCTTTCACGAGCTCCGAAGAGAAGCGTCCCCCATTTGACCATGGCTTCTTGCTTCTTGCTTCTCTGGATGCTATGACGTAGCACACGCCGTGCAAGTTGGAGAAGTTCTTACGAAGATTGCGTCGGGTTCCTGTTGATCAACGCGTGGTTATCGAGGCTCCGTCCTCTCGAATACAAGAAAGACAAAGGTAGAGAGGCGCAAAGGAGAGTGATCGACGGATTGACCACCACGAGGATTGAGCTGGACGTCAAGCTTTTCGCTTTTGCCAACCTCTCATTATGATGTTTTTGCCCAGACGCCAGAAGCTCCCCGCACCGCAGCCAAGATGCACCCGTCACCCGTCAGTCACCCACCAGTCAGTCATGAGGGCGTATCAACCTGAAATATCAATATGAGCTGGTTCAAAAGCAGCGTCGCTGGGCTCTCACACTCCTGGGCTGGCTCCGATTCGGCCGCTCTGCCCGGATTGCCAAAGAGCTGCTACTATTCCCCCTGAAGAAAAACTACGCGTATGTTGATTCTGCTTGGTGAAGAGCATGAGTACTTGTGGAATGAGATTGCGAAGCTGGCCGTCTCTTCTAAGTCTTGGCGAGGCACTGATCACAGACCGACAATCCTGGAGAAAGGAAAAACGAAAAAAAAAGATCTGTCGTCTGTGTGGATTGAACACACGACCTTCAGATTTAACGACCAGAAGTGAAACTTCAGTCTCTGATGGCACAAGTTAGTTGTAATTTCGATGGATTTTATGGGTGTACACATACGACGCTCTCCCAACTGAGCTAAGACGACCAATCGTTGGGTAAATTCTGTAATTTAAGAATATATAATGATGATAAAAGTGTAGTGTCACCCTGCGCTAAAGGCGCTAGGATAGGTGCTTTGATGGTTCGCGCAAAAGGGAATTTCCAAAGATGATGTAACAGCAATGGGATTGTGCTAGCCTTTCACACCATGGAAAAACCATGGCCAAGGGCTAATTTTCAGGACTTCTACCTCAATTCTAGCTGCCGAACATCCTGTTGCTTAATTTCTCGCAAGCCAAGGTGTAAGGCGGTCATAATTGCAAGGCATTGTTTTTGAGACCGAACAAAAGGAATTGGCAATTCAAATTGTTCTGGCACGCATCCCTAGTACAAGGGCAGTTCATGCCATCTATCTATCCCAAGCACTAGACATCTGAGTCTTTGTGCCATCATGTTTGCACCCGAGACACGATCCCGAAGGGTAAGCAGATAACCAACGATATTCTTCACCCGCCGAGAGCTTGAAACTTGCATAGCTTGGCGGCATTGAGATAGCCAAGCTATGACCGCCGCACTTGACGGCTTTTTGCTGCTCTTGTTTTGCTCCTTGCGTTATACGGTGATATACTTTTGGGGTGCTGTTGGCTCTCAATCAACAATGCCACCACAACAGGCGGGAGCAAAACTCCATTCACCGTCAAGTCATCTGCGTCCCGAATTCTTTTCCCAGGAAAATACTCTGGTTTTCATTCCATCGTGTCCTCTACTTCAGGGTCGTCCTCACTCTTGCGCAAACTCTTCACGACGAGAACCACCAGCTTGTGAGCAAGCCCGCGTCTTCGGAAGGCATATCCAATCTCCCCCTGGTCACCATGAGCTCTGAAGAAGATTTCTCGGATGAAAAAGATTCCTTGCAATATTTGAGATACCAGATCTCAGGTTGTCTTGATCGAATACATAGTGCAGGGTCTTTCGCAACATCCGACCACAACGTCGAGCACATTCACCCTGGTCTAATCGTTAAAGACGTCGGTCCTATCAGACTTCCTTTATCTCCTGAAGATGCAAAGGCTCTCATTCGGGTGAGCCGTCAGGCCCCTTTTGGCAAGGGAACAGAAACGCTGGTTGACGAGACTGTGAGGAAGACTTGGGAGATCGATGGGAAAGAGTTGTCGTTCGAAAATAACGCCAGGAATACCTGGCTTGATCGTGTTCTGGACCATGTCTCCGAGCGTCTAGGTATCCCTGGTGGTGCTGGCAGTGTACAAGCTGAGCTTTACAAGTTACTGGTTTACGAGGAGGGTGCCTTCTTTAAACCCCACAAAGAGTACGCCGGAGCCAGAGGTTTACATCCAGTACAGTTACTGACAGCTCACAGTACGGAGAAGACCAAAAACATGTTTGGAACACTGGTCGTTTGCTTACCATCTGAACATGTTGGCGGTGGAGTTCGCTTGATTCATGGAAAGGAAGCCAGAGTTCTCGAATCAGACAAGTGGTCGTCTTACGGTGTGTCGTATTTGGCTTGGTAAGCTGGCCCCTTGTTCAATATGTTCTGACACTAATTGGTTTTGAAGGTACAGTGATGTATCTCATGAGGTAGGGTCACCGCATCGGCCAGGGATCGTCTCGCAGCTCACGACGACAGGTGTTGCCGGTTCAATCCGGATATCGATTCGTTTTAACATACAACCTCATCGACACTGGTCTTAAGCGTCATCCTTCGGCTGCCGCACTAGACGCTGAACAATCTCAAATCGACCGGATGCTTGCTGAATGGTATGCCATGCAAGGCAGGTAATCCTTCATGTGTTACGTGCTTCAGCACAAATACACCGGTTCCAATCTCCAACTGCGCAGTCTAAAAGGTGACGACTACTACCGCTGTTCTCAGCTTGACAGAGCTTGCCAGTCAAGTGGTCGCTTCTGCTTTTTTCTATTCCGGCTGGAGCTGACCGTGACTCCAATCGACGACGAGGAATATGGGGAAGACGGCGAGGAAGAGCTCTGCTTAAACGGTGTTGTCACTCTGCAGGGCATCAGACTTCAAGATTCCTTAACGATATCGAAAGACAGCCTTGTCCAGAGAAACCTGTATGAGGCTCGTGAGCACGACCAACAATGGGGAGGGGAACGCTTGGGCAATCAGCATGCTGACATCCAACAAGTTTACCGCGATGCTGTACGTGTTGTGCTGAGTTGAAGCCAAATCCGTGCTTACAACCTATATAGGTCGCTGTCATTGTGTCTCGGGACCACATGACGGAATTTCTCCTGGGAAATGGTCACAAGCTTGCAGACTACTCGAACTTTCTCCAACGACTTTTCACTGACCTCAGAGACCAGAACGGCGATGAACGTCATCTCTTCCGCGAAATGATCGTCCAGACGTGCCAAAAACACCTTGAAAGCCGGTACACCAACACGCGCGTCAAAGATCGTTTTATGGGTCCAACAGCAATAGCGTCACTGCGCATCAACAATCCCGAGACAGCCCAAGCCGCCCTTCACGCCGTGGAGGATAGCTTCGACATATCTACCTTCCAGGACCTCGGCAGCCTAGGGTTCGAACAAACGAGAGAATTGTAAGCTTGCATGTGAATTGTGCCTCAGCCTCCCCTAAATTTACTATTTTAGTTGCACAGAAGCTTGTTCTCGCATTTCGAAACTGCACCTAGTTGATCGTGGTCTCCGAGCATTCCGCTCTGGTATATCCGGCGCTGTCCAACCGGACGCGAGCAAAACATCAGAAGGCGCAGTCTACCAATGGGCAGTGGATATCCTCTGCAAGGTTTTAAATTCGATTGCAGAGGTCTCGCCCAAGGATGCAGGAGCTGTGGTTCAGATCATGGATACTTATGAAGACGAAATACTCTGGGAAAGGTAACCAAGCCTGTTGAGCTATTCTTCTCTTTACTAGGATTCTGGCTGAAATTCTGCTCACATAGCATGAACGGGTTTGTAAGTCGCTTTTTGGATGATGCGACCTTCGCGAACGCCCTCTTGACCGAAGTTCTCTGCTACTCCAAAACAGTCCAGAAGCCCGACTTGGTTGTGCAACGTCTTCTCCCACCCATTTTGGGTAGGGCCGTCTCGTCTTTGCAGTTGCGACAATTTTCGTCTCGTTTGAAACATCAGTCCCTCCGTGAAGACTACCCGTTTTCTTCGTGGCCAAATGTCAGTCCACACGACGAGAAAGGCAAAAGAGACGCCTCAATTGTAGCGTCACTGTACCGTCAACTTGCGAGAGACGATTTGGACAAAGCGGGACAGCTCTTTGAAAAGATTGCAAGTGACACTACAAGCATTGACCGAGACGACCTCGACCGCTTTATTATCCCACTCCTGCGCGAAATGATCGACATCACCGAGCACCAGCCATCCGAGGCATCTCTATTCTACTCCAAAATCATCTCTACCTACATTGAGAGGATGGTTCAGAAGGAGCCTCCAAAGCCGCAGGACTGGTCCCTGCCGGACGATGCTCAAAAGTGCTATCGGCCAGATTGTACTTATTGCCCCCTTGTACGTCAATTTCTGGAGGATCCAAGCCAAGAGCACCGGGATTTCGCCATTCCTCAGAAATCGTATTACGATTTCAGGGCCCATATCCCGCATTGGTATGAGGCGACTGGGGAGGGAAGCGGAGAAGCTTACAAGGTCAAGGTTACTAAATCACTCGACATGTGGAAACAAAAACACAAGCAATGGCGAGGCAGAGTTGACCATGCTCAATCGGCTCTTCGGTCGCTGCCCGAGACGCCATTACGCCAATGCCTCGGAGACGGCGAGTATCGGGACTTGATGGACCTACGCATTGTCAAGCTACCGACTGAAGATATGATCATGGACCTGCCCAGCTCTGCCCAGGCAGAAGCTGGGAAGAGGAAGAGGAAACGGAGCGATATCTCTGACGCAGCATGAGCTGATCATGGTGGTATGGGCCCCATCACCTACCTCCGCCCAACTCCAACCCTGATCATCGCAAACTAAGCAAATGGACCGGTCCATCACTGCGCTGCCGTTGCGGCCCATCTTTGGACAGCAGCGGCAGGGCGTCGAACCCCAGTGTTGCACCGATTCGCTTGGAGCTGACACACAAGCACCACCGAATTCGGTTCCCGAGGAAGTTACACAACGTGGGATGATCTGGTGGCTGAATGCCACTAGCGATCTCAGCCATGGAGGGAGCGACAAGATCTCCCCCGGCCAAGCGACGACCGGCCGCTCTCAGAAGCATGATCTAGCTCTACCTCTGAAGGTTCATTTCAACATGCCGGGGCCGACTCAAAAGACTCTTCCTCCACCACCCATCCCCAAGCAAGTGAGAGAGAGAGAGAGAGAGAGAGAGAGAGAGAGAGGCTAACGGCACCTCCTGGCCGAGCAACAGGGGAAGTCCGAGGAGCAGTCTGACCTGCTAGCAGATTTTACTACTCTTGCAAATCCACATGGCATATAGCCCGGTATCGGTAGGGTAGGTAAGTGGGGGTTGAAGATTGCGTGAAAAATCACCGCCGTGTTCATAATTGTCCCTCAGCGGCCCAATGTCTAATCTGCGCCGCGCCGCGTCGGTCTGAAAGTGCAGCAAAATGGGAGACGGATACTTTCACTAGCCCGAATGGCGGCACTCAGAGATGGGATCGCCTCCTTCTACGTCGGGGGATCTAAGGGGGCCCCCCCAACCTTGTATTGGATGGGTGCCGGGCTTGAAAGCGATTGGGGTGCGTGGCGCCATTCGCGAGATAGTACGAGGTACATGTAGTGGTTCCCGATGATCACGAGGTAGAGGAGGTATCTTTCTGGATCCAATATCACCGCAACGAGCCTTAACAATGGTCAAGACTCAATATTTGCGCAGGGCGCCAGACAATTATCTTCTATTGAGGCTCGTCCGTTTGAACCTAAGCACGGGCACAACCTGGACCGAATCTCCCTCATCCTCATCAGCCTGCGAGCAGCAAGGACTTCCGGTCATAGGAGTGAGTGAGTGCCCGTCGTAGATTGTAATATCAGCCTCCTGGTCGCCACGACCCTCTCAGAGAGAGGCAGAAGTCGCTCGGCATTGGCTGGCACAGTGTCACAATGTCGTCTGAGAACAGTTTGACGACGGACTTGTAGGTCCCATGCGCTGGAACAACACCTGCGACAGAGCTCGTAGGCAAGCCACAAGTTGCTGGAGCAAAGTATTGGTCAATATTGATGCTCTTCCTCGGACTCCCGCAATCAGCTGGCCAGCAGTCGGCTGCTGAAGACCTTCAGGACATGATAGTCTCTCGGCAGCAAGGCAGGTCGTCTCCGACTCCGTGGACAAGCTCTGATGCTTTATGCAACCTCTGGCCCTTCGTCGCTCTCGCTCACATCCTCATCGCCGCTGACTTCCTCGTTCTCCCGCGCCCTCTTATCCATCAGCGCCTGCAGTTCGGCATCATCATGCTCGGTCACGGCTTTAGGGGCCATCTTGACCACACAAGCACCCCCTGCTTCCTTGATGTTGTCGTCGATGTCTTTGATTGCTTGTTCGAGTAGCTGAATGCCCATGCCCTTGTCCAAACACTGGCTGGTAAGGACGTAGTGTGGCGGCGACACCAGCTTGACCTTGACTTGGGTCTCAGCAGAATTTCTGGCCTCGGCTTGCCGCAGTGCTGCCTTGACAGCATCGATGCCGTCGTACTTGAAACATGTAACCTCCACATCAGCCCTTACTTTGGTCGGATGCGGCGTCAGTTTCTTGCTGATGTACGTCAACAGTTCCTCCTTGACAACCTCGTTGGGGAATGTCACGTCGTTCCACACGTCGGGGTTTGTGATGGAGAGCTTAAATGCGTCATTGGCGTGGCCAAATTTCCGGTTGAGCGGCCAGGCAATGTCCTCGTATAACTTCAGAATGGGTGTCTTGGTCTTTTCGGCAACGTGCCGCATGATCGAATGGACCGACTTGCTCTTGTTGTAGCGTTCCTCGCAGCGCACAATATCTTCGGCCGAGACTCTTCGTTTGGACAGATCGATATATCCCTTTTCCTTGTCTACTCGGAGGACCACCACGACTTCATTGCGGCCGATGCGGATGAGTTTCTGTATCGATCTGATACGTCTTCGAGAGAGTTCGGAGAGGAGGATCATGCCGTCGATATTGTCGTATTCTAGCAGCTTGACATAGGCGCCCATTTCTGCGATCTATTGCAAAAGGTTTTAGAATCGTGGCCAACTTCGGCGATGCACCAGATTGCCACCTACCTGTTTGACATTCACCATGACAAAACTCTCGATTTCGGGATATTTTTCCTCGTAGAAGCGACAATTCGTCAGCGAGTTTGGGTCCGACATTTTGACGGTATGGGTCTGGAGAAGGCTTGTGCTGCGGAGTCTGCTGGTACGTCGTAGATGGCTTGAATGGGTTTTGGAATATCCGTGGGTATCAGAAAGAAGAAAATAATGGTGGTGACTCGATGGCGTGTTTGATCGCATGTGCGGGCTGCTTCTAGGCTGATTTCACGTCTGCGGGCGGCGGGAGCCCAAACTTTTGCGCCAAGGCCGACCTGCCCTCTTCCGTTTCCAGTTTAGTGCCATGCTGCCCTAAACGTGGTGTTCACTCCATGCCAAGACTCGCCTTCCCCGCAAAGGGGCAGCCTCGTCCGGTGTCACCCACGTTCTTTTATATGAATTGTCGCCTGCCTGTCCCTGGAGGATAATGAGTGGCCGGCTGGTTCGCCGGTCTTTTCATCTCCTTTCTCCCCGGGAAACATTGCCCCATTGGCCCCCCCCCATTGCCCCGTCGCTGCACTGCCGGCGGTGCTGCTGGTGCCAGGTGATACTGCCGTCCTACCACGACTGAGACATTTGGTCCCCTCTGAAGGTTCTGATTTTCTTATCGACCGCATCGACCGACTGTTCCAACGCGGGTGGGTTTCCAAGGCATCGGCGATTCAAGAAAGGCGTCGGGTTTCGTGTTTCGTCACAGGAATACATTATGAAAAGAAGCAAGGAAGGAGAGATGAGATGGAGCACCCAGAAAGGTCCACGTAATTCATGGGATGATTCTGTTTTCATTTTGGTGGCCCGCTCATCCTCGGGGCATATCGCCGCGGAGGGTGGCTTTTCGCGCCATTGCTATACTCTATGTCTGAAAAAATAAAACAAAATTCTCTATTCTCGTACCGTGGAAAACCAAGAAAGAGGCACATATTCCGCAGAATATGCCTGGTCTGGTTTTTTTATTTGACATACATGTATGTCCCCCTTATTTTCCTTCCCGTTATCCCCATCCGTGGGAATTCCCCCGTTTTTCCGGTATCCAATAAATCCTGATTCCAAGCCAGTGGGATCCTCATGGTAAAGGAGTGATCATGAGTCTCGTGCATAGTCGAAAAGGGTGTGTATGCCTTTTCCCTTCATTAAGGTCGTCGGTCATTAAGCGGTGTGTGTGTGTTGCTGTCCAAAAGAGTAAACAAAGATTCCCGAAAGCCACGTGGAGGGAGGCGAGGGGAAGTTCTTAAAGCAGGGCGGCGACCATCAAGGCGGCGGCCGCACCAGCAACCTTGAATCCACCGGTGGCGACCGGGGCAGCGCCGCCGGTGAATTGGCTGGCAACAGGAGCCGCTGGTGTCGAACTTGACTGAACAAATGAGGTCGCCCACGATGTGGTAGGTGCGGCCGATGTTGTGGGAGCCACGGGGGTCGGAGTGGGAGTGACGACGGGTGCAGCAGAAGACCAGTCACTCCACGAGCTGCTGGAGACAGGAGCAACAGGGACGCTGGAAGAAGACCAGTCGGCCCACGAGCTGGTGGTGGCTGGCACAACAGGGACGACGGGGGTGGGAGTAGTGGTCCATTCACCCCAGGTGGTCGTGACAGAGACTGGAGCCACGGGAGAAGAGCTGGTCCAATCTTGCCAGTGAGAAGTGGTCTCTACCGGTGCCGGAGGAACGGAAGAAGTCGTCTCCACAGCAGGAGCTGGGGGTGCCGAAGAAGTCGTCCAGTCTTGCCAGTGAGACGACGATGGGGTGGTCACTACTGCCGGCGCCGGAGGAGCTGAACTGGTCGTCCACTCGGACCAAGAAGATGTGGTGACAACAGGAGCTGGAGGCGGCGCCGACGTCGTCCAATCTTGCCATGTTGAACTCTCAGGAGCTGGAGCGGGAGGTACGACGTTAGTACTCGTCCATTCTTGCCATTTGCTGGTTGTGGTCTTGATAACAGGGCTGGGCTTGGGGTGGGTGGTGGTTGTCGTGGATTTCGTCGTCGGTGCGCTCCATTCCTCCCAATGTGATGTGGTAGGGACAACAGGGACAACAGGGGAAAGGGGAGTGGTTGTGACAGGGACCGGGACAGATGAGATGGGTGATGAGGATGTCCAGTCATTCCACTGACCTCCGCTTCCGCCTTGAGTCGACCAGTCTCCCCAGCTTCCACTGTCACCGGCGCCCTGGCCGCCTTTGCCACCACTTGGACCTCCAGGGCCGGCTGGCTGACCTTCACCGCCGCCGCTGCCGCCAGAGCCCCACCCGGATCCTGGGCCACCTCCAGGCGCTGCAACAGCGAGTGTAGCAAAAGCCAGAACAACCGCTGACTTCATGATGTGTGGTGTGGGGGGTGAATGATATTAGTATATTTTGATCGAGTGATGTTGAGGGATTATACGAGGTATGTGAGTATTGTTCTGAACGATTGGACCTTTTTTCAACGAGAGACTTTCTGGTCGTGGGGAGGAGTGAATGATTTGCAAGATGGAAAGACAGAACATGCAACGGTTAGGAAGGCGATCACGATTCAAATAGTTTGCAAAAGGGGAGAGGGGAGTCACGTCATGCACGACAGGAGAGGTTGACACTTCAAGCTGTGTTACCCCCGTACGAGTGTGACTGGGTAATCCCTAATTGGCTATCCGGGCGGCTTAGCATCTCTATTCAGGAGGCAGGATCGGCACGGTTGAAGGCAAAAGGGGATTATAGCGGTCCATATGGCAGTCCATGTGGTCAGGGACAACGGCAGGTGGAGTATAGAAAAGGGAGGAATAGAGCTGGGCTGGGACGGAATGGGCGAGCGAGCGGGCTGTTGCCCCCTGCGGATTGGCCCGCCGGTGTATACCAGTATGCCCGTTCAGGGGGTTTCCCAGAGAACATGGCGGGTAAGTAAGTTGACAGAGGCATTGTGGGCGGAGGGGCGTCAAGGCATGGGCAAGGAGGAAGAGGCTGGATTCAACGTGAAACGGCACTAAGGAACAAGGAAGCCCTTGACCACGGATCGTGTTTTGGAAGGCTGGACGTGGTTAGACTGGGTGCAAGGGGTAGCCTGGATGAAGCGAGCGAACCGGGAGTGTCAGATTCTGTCGCTTAGCATATTATAACCGGACGCCGGACTCGGTTCCAACTTGGCGTGCGGTGGCAAGGCATCCAGGGGAGGCTTGGTGGCTTGATGGCTTGATGGCTTTCTCTCCAGGCCAACAAGGAGGCTGACTGGGCCGCCCCCAGCCTTCCCCTTCTGTTTTTCTTTCGGATGATGGATATCCTCAGCTCTGGCATGTTCGAGATGCAACATCTGGTTCGTCGATTGAATTTGATTGCAGGACTTGAGCAGCGATTCCCGTGGGAGCTGTCCCCACCCCCCCTTTTGTTTTGCCTACCTATTCAGCAACAACATTTCTCCGGTGCCCGATCCAGCTATAGCTCCACAATATCCCAGTCACGTGCGTTGTAGGCCCGGACCTCCGACCGCGGGGTCTGTACCTCGTACCTCGTAAAGGATCAAGGGAACAGTCGAGAGGGGGGCAGACTGGTTAGAAGAGAGCTTCCGCCTGCTCTGCCAATCCCGGTCGGGCCGCTGGCGATGCTCCAATGCCATCCCATCGTTGATCACTAATTGATTCGCATCCTTTCCTCCGCATCAGATCGATTTTCAATTCCCAGGCAGCAATCACACAGCTGCCCAAACCTGACAACGGTGCCCTCTTTGCGAACTGAGAACCTTGTATTCCGTAGAACTTGGACCATCCAACCAAGCCATCGTTACGCAAAAAGCCGTCCACACCCTCAAAAAGCATGACGTACGAAGCACAGATATCGTTTACCTTGGACACCATTTGCCCGTGGTGAGACAGCCCGTCAACCGTCATCCTGGAAATCTCCCGCGGCATCCACTAATTCATTGGGTGTTCTCGTGTTCACGTTGGTAACCGGGCTGATGTGTCTCACAGGACGTATCTGGCCAAACGACGGTACGGTTTGTTCCTCCATTGCCTTTTTGACTGCCCGGTCCATGTAACGACAAACTTCCCTGCTGGTTGAGAGACTGGGGGTGGACTGACTTGCATATGTATTGTGAGTTGGCAGGCTTGACGAAGGTCGGTTTCTCCCCCGGACGTTGCGGTGCATCGAGTCCTGGGCCCGTTTGCTCTGTGTTGCGGTACGCGTGCTGGGATCGATTCCATCTGACCTGTTGACAGCCCTCCGTCGATTCCGAGAAAGTGACGAGGCAAAGGACGTGAATTTTGTCGTAAAGTACTTTCCCTACCAGCTCAACCCCGATGCGACCAGCGAGGGCGAGGACAAGTATGATTGGTATAAGAAATCCCGCTATGGCGATTCCGAGGAGAAGATGAAGATGGTAAGAGGTGCCAGTGTTGCAGGCCCGCGCCACTCGGACCGGATTCCTTTCCCTTGCTCATCCATGTCGCGTATAGTATATGACATTGATGACCGCATATGGCGTCTCGGCGGGCATCAATTTCAAGTTCGGCGGCACGGTCGCCAACACAATGGACGCGCATCGTGTGATCCAGCACTTCCAGGAAGAAAAGGGTCCCGAAACGGCCGACAAAATCATCAACTGTAAGTGTTAGCGAAAGACACACTCGGGACACAATCCTCAAGTTTGCCCATCACAGCGCTCTATTCGCAATATTTCGAGAACGAGAAACACCCGTCTTCCGACGAGACATTGCTCCAAGCCACCGCCGACGCCGGCATTCCCGAATCCGAAGCCCGTCCGTTCATCCAAGACAAGACCGACGGCATAAGGGATGTCCAAAAGTGAGTTTTCCTTTCGCTCGTCTTTGGAAAGGTTGTTTCTACATGCTCGGAGCAAGCGGCATCGTTATCGGGGCAACTTGCAAAGCTGACATATTGGCATTGCAGTATGGTCCGTCAGCAGGCAGGCAACGGGGTGGATTCCGTTCCCACGATTATGATTGAGGGGAAACGGAGGGATATCACCCTCGTCGGTGCGAAGGAGGTCGAGGAATACGAGAAGGCGTTGAGGCAGATTGTCAAAGAGAGCAAGTAATAAGTCTACGATGAAACGAATGACGAAGAAAAGGTATCAAGAGATGTTGTTAAATTAATGTTCGCGTATCGGAATGTTGTGTCGTTGGCCTTGATACATTAGGTAAGTACAACGTTGATATCTGCGCCTTTAGTGTACAGTGTACACCCCTTTTCAATAAATCCTGACCCCGACCCTCTCTTTGTCCATGTCAAAGACCACCCCAAGTCTTCGGAAGAAAGGTTCACCAAGCACCCAAACATTATTCATACCACTTTCCAACCCCTCCTTCCTCTGGCCCATCCTCGATTCCACCACGCTGCCCACGCAGTACCCGGATCCGTCACCCAATTTTCCCAGGCTGAATCTCCCCCCAGCGGGACCGTCCAGTCCATCCGCCCATGTGCCCTGGCCCTGCATGGTCGGCAGATTCACACCAGCAATCTCAAAGGCAATGTTGACTTGGTTGAAGCAAGGAAAGGCAAAGAAGCAGTCGAAGGGCGGAGGGAGGCGTTTCGTGCCGCCCATGGAGTCGTAAAAGCGTTGGGCGGCGATTGGGGGCGCTAGGATGAAGGGGACGTTGATGTCGAAGAGGACTGGTTGGTTTCTGAGGATCTTTGGAAGCCATTTCAGAAATATGATCGTGAAATGTCCAGAAGGATTATCATACCTTTGCTCCGTTCACCCACACGCCTTTCATCAAAGCCGTCCACCAGCCCGCTGTCCCTTGCACGTCGGTCCACTTGAAAGCTCGATCCCACGGCATCCCACTCGGCATGACCGCCTGTAGCTGCTTGTTGACCTGCTCGCCCACCCATTCCGACGTGACACCAGCCTCGCCAAAGTGCTGTAACTCCACTTGGCCCCGGATTTTCGCTTCCTCGACCTCCCGCGCGATTGTGCCACCGAGGCTGAGGATCCCGGTATCGGTGTCCAGCAGTGTGACGGACCATACCTCTTCTGCGAAAGCGCCCTGTGCTTTCAACTGCGTCAGAACCGGGGCGGAGGACACTCGAGCCAGGTATCTGGTGTCGTCGTGGTGTGGCGCAAGACCGAGAAACGTGCCAGAATGCGCAAGGCTCTGTCGTGACGATTTGGACGGTGTACAGGTCGGGAATTCGAGTCGAATCGGCGGCAGCAGACTGGGAGAGAAATGGAATTCGTCGCTGGAACGGGCGCAGATCGGGTGCGCCCTGCCATGACGGGATCCTGGTTTGGTGAGGGTTGTCAGTCAGGACAAGACACACAAAAAGCACGGATTTAACTTCTTCACCCACTGTGACTTTGCGAGGCAGAAGCGTCGTACTTGGATCCCCTGTTGCTCGCCGTGGTGATGGTGTAGAAATCTGGTCTCAACATGTCCACGTCGACCTCCAATCTCTGTCGCGGTTCGCCCACTTCCAGTATCGTATACCTGTGTCCCTCGACATTGAGGTCAGTCATCTCGGTGCCTCATCATAAGCTCTGGCCTGGAGTCGAGACATTTCCGTCCTACCATCGATTGGCCCCTCCCACGACATCAATCACCTCCGGATCGTTCTCATCCCTGCAACTGCTTGCGTGCCATTTGCGCACCAGGCGATTCTTTTCGATAACACGGTAGCTGCGTCCATACTTCGCTTCGGCGCTATGGAGAATCGATGCGAGATGTGTCAGGTTCGCCGACTCGTGGTACGAGAAGCGCCCTCCCCTCCTGTGCAGGGGCAAGTGAATGACGGAATTGACGGATTGCACAAGGCAGGCGAAGAACAAAATCAAGCTGAAGATCATGAGCTTGCTAAGAGATGCCATTTCTTATTCGCTCGCGTACTGTACGAGTGGTCAGGTTCGAAGAGAAGGTATCTGCAGCAAAGTGAGGTACAGATCGAGGCTCTGTAACAAAGTGCAAGCTTCAAGCTTGCTTTTCACATGCCGGCCATGCCAGACCTTTCTAGACCACGCCATGCTTTTAGGAGTATAACAATATTGCCGTAACTGCGAGCTTTGGCCCATGCCCTCTCGCTCTAGTGATGCTGATGCTCGTCATTTTTCTTCAATCTCTGATCAAGGTGCTCCGCCAGATCCTTGGCCATACTCTAATGATGCTGATGCTCTCCGTGTCCGTTCAGTCTGTTGTCGAAATACTCCTCCAGATCCTCCGCCTCACTCAGCCTCAACGCTTCCTCGACACTGCCCACAAAGTGTCTCGTGCCGCCAACCAAGTCGACAATGCCGCTCCTCTCAAAACTCTTGTAGACTTGACTCCGTCTCTGAGGTAGCCGACAAAAGACAACACGAATGCCACGTTTGACATAATCTTCCACGATTTCAGTGAATACTTGGGTTCCGGAGCCATCGATTGTGGTGACGCCGTGCACATCAAAGATGATATTGCGGTTGTTATCCTCGTGCCGCACTCGCGGTAGAGAAGGATGGGCAGCATTGGTGCCGTACTGCTCTAGTCGCCGGAGTCGATTTTTCAATTCTCCCGTATTTGCGAAGGTGAGCGGTTCGGGGATCTTGACGATCAAACAGCCTTCGATGTATTCTATGTTCTCCGGCGTAAGTTCGGCATTTTCGAACTGGTTCGCAGTCCCAGGCACTTTGCCCAGAATTTGGATTCTGGGCTTTGTGGCATGGCGGATCAACGCCAGCAACGAGAGGCCGATGCCGAGTGCCATTCCAACTGACAATGAATAGAAGACCGTGGCCACGAAGATAATGGTCATCAGCGATAACTCCGTCCAGCCTCTGATCTTGAAGAAAAATTTGATGTCATGAGGACATTCTTCGATGAGAGAGTATGCGACAACCGAGACCATGGCCGAAAGTACGCCCTTGGGGAGGTAGTAGAAATAGGGGACGACGAAGAGTACGCATATCAAGGTGATGAGACTGAGGAGAATGCTGCTCATAGGCGTAGTGCCTCCGGTCGACGCGTTCACTTTGCTTCTACCATAACCACCGAATGCAGGCAAAGCCATGAAGAAGCCACCGGCAATGTTCGCAGTGCCCAAAGCAATCAATTCCCGGTTGGCGCTGAGCGTCATGTGCTTGACTTGGCCTCCTTCTCCGAGGCTTTTGGCCGCGACCGAAGATTCGAAGAAGCCTAGTAATGCAATCAGGAAAGCCGTGCTCAACGCCGTGTCGAAATGTTTCACGTGTCGAAACTGGAAAGGCCAGTGGAATGGAATGGCTGTTCCGCCAGACGACTTGACTTCACCAAGGACGTCAAGGCCTTGTTTGTCCCAGGAATATGCCCAAGCCAGAACCGCCGAGAGAGCGACCACAATGAAGCGGTCGGGAAAATATGCCACCCAGTGATACCTAGGCTGCAGTTGCTGTTTGAGATACCTAAATACCATGATGATGGCAAAGGCTCCGAATGAAACCGCGGCCGTCAACCTATGAGCGTCCCCCAGGTTCCTAGCCAGGAATACCAGCTTTTGAGCACTGCTTCCGTGTGAGACACCACCAATCTGGTTCGCAAGTTCGGTGAGACCCAACTCGGGAATCAACTGATCAACGAGAATGACAAATCCGATCGCGCTAATAAAGCCTCGAAGAAAAGGTCGACTGAGGACGCTGTCGAGGAAACCAAGTCTAGCCAGGCCGGCGGCGAAAAGGATGGTTCCCGCCATTGCGGTCACCAGGCCGCCAATTTCGGCGTTGAGCTTGGAATTATCATCATTGGATTCTCCTCGGTCAATGCATGTCTTGATCACCTGACCAACCAGCAAAGACCCTGCTGCTTCAGGTCCGACGACCATCCGCGGACACGAGCCCAAGAACGCATAGATCATCGGGTTGAAGACAAAGGAATAAAGCCCATTGATGGGGGGCACATGTGCCAGGTTTGCAGCGAATGAGAGGGACATGGGAATGTAAAAGGATGCCATGGTAAGGGCAGCGATCAGATCACCCCGGAACCAGCTCCATCGATACTGGCTGATCCACTTGACGAAAGGGAAGTAGTAGGAGAAGTACATGTAGCGATGGCTCTTAATCCCATGTCTGTCGGCGAGCCATCTGGTCGTGCTCAGGCTTTTACTGGGAGTGAGAGTGTCGCTGACAGCCTCGCCCAGGATGCCTCGAACCGGATCCCGTGGACCGCCGTCCTCGGCAATCTCATCGGCGTACCGACCCCCAAAAGAGAGATTGCCGCTCCCCTCACTTTCGATCGAAGGAGCTCGGGGAGAAAATGTGCCATGATCGCAGTTCTTCAGGCCACAGATACGGCTGTGGTGATAATTCCCCAGTGCGTGGTTCCGAGCATTTAACAACTGCGCCGAAGGTTCGACAAGTTCGCCTTGAACGTTGTCCCCCTCTTCATTTGCCAAAGGCTCCGGCTCAGCAATGAGAGGTGTATTTTCGTCGACCATCAAGGTAGGTGGGGGCAGGTCCGGCTCCTCTTCGTCACTTGTATTTTCATCAAAGCTGGACTTTGCCTTCTTGTCTTCTGGGGAGAGAATCGTGGTCTCACGCAGCCGGCTAGGGATATGGGGTGCGTATTGGTCGACGTCCGCAAACCTGACACTTTGCTGAGATACCCGCCGGGGAGGTGGAGTTGATGGTTCTGACGAACGCATGCAGGACGGTCTGGGATCTGTCATGGCTGGTTCAGTCAATGGGGCGTAGGGTAGCCAGAGAGACCGCCGACGTCATGTCATTTCTAAGTGAGAACGTCCCAAGATGCGCCCTTGGACTTGAAAGCAGAGGCTCTCACAGGAGAGGAGGATTCAGACGAGGTGAAGGAGTGATTCAAGAAGATTAGAGGTGGGCGTTCAAAGCGAATGGAATGTTTGGCTCAGAGCATCAGAACGCGTTGGCAGCAGAGAACTTTTGAGGGTGCAGTGAGCAGGGCCATTCTTGCCTTGCAAACCCAATCAGCTGGGACCAAACAGGCACGGAAGGAAGGAACTCAATGTGGCCTCGGTGGGTTGATTTTCAAATGACGTGAGGTTTGCACCTTCATTATTTAGCGAAGGCTTGACTGGTTGGACGAGCTGCACGTGACGTGACGGAGCAGGAATATCTTTGATCCGGAATCGCTACTCTCTGTACAGACACCCACCAGGTACGAGGGTACGTGTCGAGGTATGGAGTAGCCGCTCTCATCAGCAAAGACATGTATTGTAGAGGGAGACTGGAAACTCCAATGACATGCCCATTAGTTAGATCCTGGCAAAATATTGGACCGCTATTCCAACACATGAACCTTACCCATGGAAGGCCACATTGAGAAACCCAGACACACAATCAAGACACAAACACATACACATAATCCAGTTCCCATACCCTCGAGACTGAACGTGTCGAGACTCATGAACGCCAGGCACCACCCACAAACATCCAAAGGCTGCTCTATGGTCATACACCAACACCCAAATCGTCAAAAATAGCTGAGACCCACCCAATGTCGCTCGTACATTTCAGAACACTGACGCAATATATACAGGAGAATCGAAATGGGAAATGACAGCAAGACGCCGACTTCTGTGGCTGCAAGGGTATTCGCGAAGCAGAAACGCTCTGCTCGTCCAGCATCAAACCATGGTGCGGCAAGACGTCAGCCGCAGAAAAACAGTCCATCAAGAACAGAAAGAACAGGGTAGATAATGTGTAAGGCTCGTAAGATTCGGAAGCCGTTCTTGATAGCGTCAAGGATCCAGCAGTGGGACAAGGTGATTGTCGTCGCATCGTGGACATCGTGGTAGGAAGGTCAGGGCTATCCTTCAGCCAATTTTGAAGGAAACCTCGCCACACTTCGATCTGGCTGCGCTGAATTTTTCAACCCGGTCGATCATCCACCCGGAGGTGTACTCATCTTTGGAATCGACCGGCCGTCCCATCTTGATGGAGTGGCTCAGTTTGCAGGTTCCGGGATGCCACGCAAATTGCATACATTGCTTGTCCTTCTCACAGACGGCACGGCAGTCTTGGATTGATTCAACGGATTTCTTCTCGAACTCGCCAAGCTCATCCCACATGTTTTGCTTCTCATCGTCATTTTTCCAGTCCCAGTCGTTGTCTTCTTTCACGTGGTCCTCTTTAGGTTGTGTAAAGGTTCTGTCCCCAGAGAGGTTGTTCCAGTCTTTCTTCTCCTCGGAGATGTGGGGCCGGACAAAATCTTCAAAAACATCCTTGTATAGGTAAGGAACTGCGCCCGGGTCTTCGTCGTCCCAGGTCTTATTGATCCAGTCCTTCTCAAATTGCCAGAGCGCTTCCACCTCGTACGAATGCACATGGTGCCAAGTGATGGCCGGAGTACACCAAACGTTATCGGCCCAGACGAAGCCGGATGGAGGGTCCACTTGGAACATGGGCCAGGCACCGCTGACGCTGACTCCGGCGTGGCCCATTGCAACTCCCAGCATGACATCCCCGCAGCAGATCGTGGAAGTCTCTTTCTCCCAATCGGCGATCTTCTCAGGGGTGCGGATCTCTTCGAATTTCTGGACCGCATTGCGAGATAATAGGTAGCCTGTGCCGCCTTGTGCAAAGGCAGTAGGGCCATGCCAATAGACGCAGCCTGCATACAGCGGTTCGTCGGGGTCCATGGTGTCGAGAAGAAGCAGGAGATTCGCCCAGCTGAGATATGTGTCGGCATCGATTGTGACAAACCATTCTGCGTCGGGATACTTCAGGTAAGCCTTGTGAAGCATGGGAATATTTTTCCATTTATCCAGCGCCCAGGCTCTGTCAGATCCCAGCACGCTCACGTCGCCGTGCGCAACATGGGCGGCGTGGACGTCATTGTAGAACCGGAAGTCATCATGGTTCTCTTTGTATTCTTGTCCAATCTCGTCCAGCGCATCTTGGATACGGAACTCTCCCACCTGCTGCTCCATATCCGAGAAGACCATGAAGTTAGGTACGCACTGAGCCAGTGTGACGAGCTGTTCGGGGACACGAGCAAAGACTTCGGTAGCCCCTGTCTTGACCATGACCACGACTTTGTCCGCGCCCGGCAATTGGCGACATGGTGGGATCCGAGGGTCGGACTTCTGTGTAGGAGCCGACGGGAGGACAGTTTCGCGAGAAGTAGTTGGCTTGGTTTCAGACTCGGATTCGAACTCGGACTCGGGCGCGAACTCATAGCCGGATTCGGGTTCAGGTTCAGGCTCAGAAGCAGCATCCATACCAGGCTCCAGCTCGGGTTGAGACCCAGACTCAAGGTCTTGTTCCGTGTCCGTTGACGCATACTCTTCATACTCTTCAGTTTGAGGGACCAGATCGGAGTCTTGCTCAACCTCGTAGTAACCGTCTTCAAGCTCGACGTCAGCTACATCATCGACAGCGGCAGAGGAGGAGGAGGAGCTCGAGCTTTTCCAGAAGGATGCTGGAGAAGAAAGGCTATAGTCGGCATCTGGGCCGGGGCTGGGAAGGTAGTAGGATCGAAACAGGAACAGCGAGACCAGAGTGACGAAGACGAGGAGGAGCCTCACGGGGCTCAGTGCTCGAGGAAGGGACATTGACATGTTGTTAGGGGTGCGGGAGCGCACTCAGCCTCTAAGAGAGGAGACGAGGTTGAGGTTGAGGGTTGACGAGGACACGACGAACCACGAAAGGGAGCATGCCAGGAGACCATTTTCTTCGTCGTGTACAGGTCCTACTCGTAATTACTACTAATACTCCGTATGGCATCCCTTGATCTAGAAAGCTGAGACTCCAGGCCTCAGGCATTCAGGGGAAAGATGTTTGATAGGCGCATGGCCCTGTCGATCAGAAATTGGCTTGGTGGGTCGGTGGTTATCTGACGCTCATCCCTAGCAGACGCGCCACTGAGCTGAAACTTGCGCCGAGGTGGCCGACAGTGCCCCCCCAGCAGCCCCTAACCATGTAGGTTTGGAGCCTACCGGTGCGACTTCTTGCCCCTAGCAGTGCACTTGATGCCCATAAGCCCACCGCCCTTACCCCCTTTAGGCGTGCTGCTACCGATCCGATCCCATGCGAGGGCAACGTCGCAAAGACAACTCATTCCTCCATCGCTGCTATCGCCCACAAGCTATTTAAATCACGGCCACGCTGACACTAAGTTAGTACCTGGGCACTCGTAGGTTTGACTCGCACCTCCGCTAGAGAGGTAAGCGACATTGTTAATTGGGCCTCCTACAAGATAAGAAACGCCATCTGGAACGAAAAGTGCCATTTTACGCAAGATGATAAAATTTTACGCAAGATCACAATATCCATCAGGTTCTTATCCAGTGGCTGACCATGCCCTGGTGGGTACCTAGGTACATTAGGGGCATAGGAAACAGCACAGCACGACAGCAACAAAGATCAAAGATCAAAGATCGTGACACAAACGTCACAGCATGCAGACGCAGACGCAGAAGCGATCGTACTCGTAAGACCAACAGCATTGCCACTTCGAACATTCCATGTCGTGCAACGTCGTATTTTCCCCGTGAACAGCCACATCAGCCGCAAATTCAAGTCGGTGCTCGTCACTCACATCGTCCCATTCTTTGACACGATCAATACCGGTTCACTCACTCGCCGCTTGCCGATGCCCAGCCGTCCCTTGCAATCGGCCGGGACATTCCAAGCACCTTGTCAGCTGCTCTCACTCGGGATGTCCGCTGTTGCTCTCTTCCTCGAACATCAGATCGACGACTTTGAGCGATTGAAGTGCCCAATAGGAATGGCCTGCTCTCCAGGAATAGAGGATGCACACCGGAGTGAACCAGGGAGGTCGTTGCACTTGCTGGAGTTGATTTCCATCCCAATAATAGTGGATGGCAGCACACTCCTCCTCACGGGTGCGGAAGTCCAGTGAGATGCGGATCGAAAGCTCAATATTTTCGTTACCGTCGACGAGGAAGGCTTGCATCCATCTTGGTAGCTGAGGCCTGATTTGACGGTGTATTTCGGGTCGTTGTCGATAGATGATCTCCTCCATCTCAAACCGGTCAGTGAGGTCACACCCAGCACGGTCCAGGTTAGTGGCGGGATAGACGACGACGTCGTTCTTGCAGACAATCTCCCACAGGTTGGGAAATGCGAGGGTGTCGAGGTGTTCGACGTGGCCGTTTTCCAAGACGATTGTTTCAATGCTTTCCCGGAGTCCAGTCGGGATTTCCAGGTTGCTCGGGCGAGCCCCATTCTTACAGACTAGGGTCTTGATGCCTCCTGGAGAACGAGGCCTGTAAGAATCGAGAGCAATGGTGGCAAGATTCGGTTGCTGTTCTGGCAGGTGCCAGCAGTTCTTGCTGGGGTCTTCGGCATCAGGCTCCACGATAAGGTACTCATTCGAGGGGACATGGCTGGAGGTCACCGTCCTGTCGTCTCCCGGCAGATCGACAGAGGTTTGGGGCTTTTGATCGTCATTCATGTTTGAAGAATAAGACGTGGGCTGATATGAAGACACAACGGTAACAAGCAGGATGCAAGGTGTTTGGGGTTGGGCTGAGAACGAAAGCGAGGAAGACGGATGCTGGGCTGCCACGAGCACTGACCCTCTCTTCTAATATATCTAGTTCCTTTCCCCTCTTCTGTCAAGGAATGGGAACGAACCATTGTGCGTGCTCCGAGCGGGAGGTGACGACAGGTTTTCCTGCAAGGTGGCTCGACCGCGATCTTGGACCACTTGTGAAAACCGCATTATAGGCTCGAGTGCCCTTTCAGCAGCAAGCCATGAGCCCAGGTGGCGGACGCCAGCCCATTTCACTGGATGTGTCTACCATAGCAGACTGTGTCAAAGTGCCAGATCAAGTGACAACCCGCATTGTGTTGACACTAGTCAACTTGAGGCGAAAGATCTGGCAGAGAAAACTGTCTCAGAGCAGGAAGGGCGAGTCAACACCCCTGGTCGGCGAGCTGTGGACCAGTAACAGGCAACGGACAGCACGGCATGTGCATTCAAGATACGAGGCACTTAGGAGAGACGGAAAGGAGGAGGTGCACGGCATGGCCGATATCCCTTGCATTGACGCCTCCCCTGCACAAGAGCGGCTGGGCAGGCCTTTCCCTAGCACTCCCAGGCAACTCGCTGACCTGATGGTTCTTCGACTCGAGCAATGCAAGGACGAAAACACAAGGACGAAAACACTACGCGGTAGCAAGGCTGAACATTGCTCGCTCCAGAGCTCCAAGGGCAAGATCTGGGGAGGATGGTGTGCCAGACTGCGAGATGTCACAGTGTCTGCGTCGATTGAGTTGGCAAAGATGGTCGTTTTTACTCCATATTGCTACCTCGCTACGGCGAGACTCGCATTGGCTCCCAATCACCTGCTTGCAAGTGAACCAGGATCGATCATCTTAGGCCCACCCGTCAAACGCGGCATTCTGCGTGGTCTGCCAGCCGCGGCCCCATTGAAGGCGTTACTATTGGGCCTCCTGAGTCCTTAGGCTAGGGCTGGTTCGCGTCTCAAGCACCCGATGTGCCGTGGTTGGCTGTCCTGGCCTCCAGCAGCTTCTGGGCGTCGACCAAGCCGTTCAGCTCCATGGTTCTCCACTGAACTGCCTTGCAAAGACCGTACAGGCACTTGACGGTGGGCATTGCGATCCCTGCCCTCTCGCCCTCCCTCAGTGCCTCGCCCAGGATGTTCTCGTACTCAATAAAGCGCCCTTTTCGCCGATCCTGCAACATGCTTGGAGCGCAGAATATCTCCATGGGATCACACTCCACCATCGACTCCACCAGGGACTCTGGCAACTCGACGTTTGCTGCAGCTTGGGCTGCCGCACGGATCTCATTCATTGCCGGCCTCACCAGCAAATCGAGGGGGTTGGCCCGGTCCTGGACGTCGGATGCTAGTCGAAAGCGGGTGGTGTCCAGGTCTGTCAGTGCACAAATTGGATTCCACACGGCGTTATACATGAGCTTTCTCCACCGAACAAACAGCACGTCCGCCTGATACGAACACTGCACTTTGCCCGATGCGGAGTATACTCGTACAAACTCCTCTGCGGCAGCGACCTGCTTGTGCTGATCAATTTTACCGGACAGGAATGGGCCGATGAAAAGCCTGTCCACGTCGTTCTGGAGGATGTGCCCTGGACTTAGCTCGTCGGCACCCATCAATGACACCCCCGAGAGACAGATGTTGTCCGGGAAGGCCTGCATCAGTGGCTTCTCGATGTTCAATCCGTTCTGGATGAGCACAATGACTGAATGGCCGGGCGTGACGGCTGGACGGATCAAGTCGGCCACGGTTGGTGGGACATCCGGGATGTTCTTGGTGGTGACAATGACATAGTCGAATGGTTTGATCGATCCTGGTCCGTCGGGCGCCGTGACGTCCGGCACCTTGGACAGCACTTCGGATGGCTTCCACGCATTGAACTTGCCATGATCACACGAGTCGATGGTGAAACCTTTCTCTTTGACCACGCTGTAATTCGATCGCAGCACGGCCGCCACGGTCGCCAGCCCGCCCTTTTCCAGGTTCACGGCCGTCATGGTTCCTATGCCCCCGCTGCCCACGAGAAGGACTCGGGCCTTCTCTGCCATCTCGAGCGACCAGAAGTCTTTTCCTGCTTGAGTTCTGCTTGATCTGTCACACTGCACAACGTTGACTGAGGAAGGGCGCCGCAATCTTTTGTGCCCTGGACAATATTACTATTATTTATTTACGGCAAAATGTCCAAGATGTGCCAGGGCGTGGTGAACGCTGGCCCAATGAACGGTGACTTCCGCACTGCTGGAGATGCCCGCTTTTTGTCATCTACAGCGTACCTCGTATATACTTTCGTACTTTTCCCACAAGAGACTCGTCCAAGCTGCCAGATCTTGGTGAATTTCAGAAGTAACGTCATGCAGCATTTGGCACTGGACCGGCCTTTGGTTGTCCAGTCTTGCTGCTCAAAATGTCCCGGTACCGGCCTGCCATTAGCCAATGGCAATGTACCACCCGGGCCGGAGGGGTGCCTTCTTAGGCACCACACGGTGGCTCTCCTTTCACGTATATATTGTGCTGACCGGCTCTCGTGGATGTGCGGATTTTGCTATTGTATAGTTATTCCTAGCTGTCTAGTTTTGAGAAGGAAAAAAAAACACAAGAGATCCGGAGATCAGGAGTTCTCTTTTGCTGGTGACTCCACAACCGCGAACCTCAGGAACCTCTTAAACCCTCTACATTCGGCCAGAAGAAAAGGGAAAAGGAGACCGAGACACCAACACCAACACCAACACCAACACCATTACCAAGAACCCAAAAAAGATGGCTGCCACCGCCCTCCTAGTCTGCGACATCCAAAACGGCATCGTCGAGCGAGTTCAAGGCCCAGGGCAGGACACGGAGTTGTTCCTGCAGCGTCTATCCCAGACCATCGACGCGGCACGCCACGCGGGGCTGACCGTCATCTACGTGCGCGTGGCATTCCGGCCTGGGTATCCCGAGGCGTCGCCACGCAACGCGTCGCTGGCCCGCGTCAAAGCGCACGGCAGCGCGGCTGGATTCGGCGAGGACGACCCTTTGACGCAGATCCACGCCGCGGCGTTGCCCCTCCCGACGGACATCGTGGTCACCAAGCGGCGCGTGTCGGCGCTGCACGGGACGGACCTGGACCTGGTCCTGCGCAGTTTGGGGGTGGAGAACTTGGTCATCGCGGGCCTCAGCACCAGCGGCGTCGTCATGTCGACCGTCCGCCAGGCCGCCGACATGGATTACAGGCTGGTCGTGCTGGCGGATCTGTGCCGCGACTCGGACCAGGAGATGCATGATGCGGCGATGAAGGTCATTGCGAAGCAGGCCGAGGTGGTCACCTCAGAAGACTGGGTTGCTGGATTGTAGGTATTGACATGGTTTTCAATTCCAATCAAGAGGTGGCATCTGGGGAGCCTAAATACCCTACATTGTATGAGAGTACCATCCTATATTTTTCTTCCCTTCTTCCCCTTCCCCCCCCCCCCTCTTCCTTTCTTTCACTTCCGCAGGTCTCTACTAGACTCATCTACCACGACACTCTCAGACTTTGCGTCTACGAAGGAAAATACTGGTTAGATGCAACCCATGCCAACAAGTGATATCTCTTGCAGCGGAAATCTCGTTGCAGATGAGCAAGAAAGTTTGATCATCCTCGACCAACAGCACCTCATCATGACCACCACCGAATACATGACGATGCATTGAAGTTTTGACCACCGGCGACGGAGAGCGCCTCTGACTAATCAAGAGGGGTTGGCTCGGGGACAAGTCGTGAGGATCTCGAAGGGCTCGCGACCTGCCTTCGGTGTCGAAGGACATTGCGCAGCTGACACTACCATCAGTTCCAGGCGGATTCCACAACTCCAGTCGAACGCATCCATTGATCTTCAACATGAATTGCGATTGCGAAACAGGAGTGAAGACATTTCAAAGCTCCAGGCAGAATCCTCAACATGTGATCCGTACCGAATACATTCTATGTCGAACGGCGCGGGCACGACCAAACCGAACACCTTGTGTGCCTCCCAGCGGACGGATGAGAGTTATGCCTCTGTCTCTTGATACTCAAGACAGGAATCTCAATGGAGAATGCCCCAAATGTGCCAGGCGCACTCCGTCCGATTCATCGGATCGGTTAGGCTCGGCCAGTTGTACCCCATCTTAGTATTGAACAACGAGAGCGAGCCTCGTTAGGAGCATCAAAGGCGAGCTTCTCATACATGCTGACTTTTTGGTCAGTACAGCAGTTTCACCCTTCAAATCATGATAAAAACGTACAAGTTTTCCGTCTTTGTTACTGTATAGACCTCGTGTGATACTTGCTCGAGGTTTACAGAGTGGAACGATTTACAACAGAGATCGATGACAAGATGCATCTTTGTGGAATCATCTGGGGGACAGAGATGCGGAAAGTAGTCATCTTCGGGATCAATATTGATTGTTTCGAAAAACTTTTGGGTTATCGTCCCTGGATCACGTTCATATCGCTCATGGATTCATGGAAGCGAAGGACGATACGTTTCGGGATCACTCCCTCGAGGGAAGCATGGTGGCGATGGTGGAAGGGGGTAATTGACATGGTCCACCAAATGGTGTTGTTGCTAGCTGTGAAAGGAAGCCGGGATTCGCAATATACTGACGGGAACTTGCTTCACGACCATGGAGGGTGAGATACGGCTTCGGCTTCAAAGTTCATTTCTACCTTGGCTTGGCGAGTTTGCTCACTTTGCTCTGTCGCGGACATGGAGAATTCGAAATGCGGAAGGTTCCACGACAACGCGAGGTGGCACCCTTCGTGTTTGCTTTGCTCACAACTACAAAGCGCGCTCCAATCCACCCCATTCCTGTCGCGCAATTTGGATCAAGGAGTGGCTGACCTCGGGGTGAGGGATCCATCGGCGAAACATCCTGTCGCCCGGCCCAGACCTGTGAGAAAAGCCCACGCCCTCCGCAAGTAGACAGCACTTCTCAATTGCATGTTCACCCCCTACCAAGGCTGTTCCCAAGATGCCACATAACGTTGTTCACCTCACCCACTATTCGTGAATCAAACTGCGATGCCGTTGGGGACGCACGATACCAACTCACCGCACGAGTAGCGGCACTGGGACCTGTAAGCAGATACTTATCTGGGCAGCCTTCAGCTTGATACAACCCTCTCCGTAACAACGCAAGGCAATTTCTAGACAGGAGCTCCAGGCATATGAAGGATCTATCACACGCGCTCCAGCACAGCCTCAGACTGTTTTCTGCTTTTCTTTCTTGCAGGACAAGCTCCAAGCGTCCAATGCCGGCGCCGAATCGAGTTGTTGGGCGCGAAGCTTTTGGGTATAGGTAGGTAGTCCACCAGGCCCAACAAGTTGAAGCCCGGGTATACTCGCCAGGGGCCACACAAGGCCTGGGGCCAGGAATGACAAGATATAACAGATTCGCAGAATTCAGGAGCGTTTTCTGCGAATCTCGTCCTTTTAGAGGTTCGGGCCTACCTGGTAGGGCTGTTCCTGACAACCAAGGTTCATATTAGATAGTCACTCGGGATGGAATAAAATAATGAGGGAGATATCACAATCTTAGGTCTTCATAAGCGGAAGAGATCTGTGAGGCGAGAAGAGTGTCTGCTGACTTGAAATTCCGGAAAGGGAGAGAGAGAGAGAGAGAGAGAGAGAGATCGATCTTTTGGTTTGCGGGTGGCAAACGGCATTGGAGACCGTGTGGGACATGGATTTTGGCCCCGGTGGATGTAGACGCGGAGAATTGTCCGGGCGAGGCCGATACCCATATATAATATACTACGACATACCGTGTAAATATATCTTCCAGAGCCATCTCTTAAAGAACCCGTGGCCAAAACGAACGGGACTAAAACAAGCCCGAGATTATCCATCCATATCCATATTCATATCAAACACAAACATGGGCTCCATCCCCATCGCACCGTCGTCGACGCAGGGACCACTCGCCCCTCCCCCCTCGACCACGGCCTACAAAATCGCCTCCATCCCCGCCGACGGGATCGGGCCCGAAGTGATTTCCGCGGGGATTCGAGTCCTCGAGACCCTCTCCCAGGCGTTTTCATCACGCTTCACTTTCCAATTCACCCACTTTGACTGGTCCAGCGACACGTACCTGCAGAAGGGGCGGTACATTCCCGAGGGTGGGCTCGACGAGCTGCGCCAGTTTCACGCGATTCTGTTTGGTGCCGTCGGCGACCAACGAGTCCCCGACCATATCTCGCTTTGGGGTCTCAGGCTCGCTATATGTCAGCCCCTGCAGCAGTACGCCAATGTAAGGCCGACAAGGATCTTGAGGGGAGTCACGTCGCCGTTGTCGAGTTGTCAGGGGAGTTTGGAGAATGCGAAGAAGCTGGATTGGGTTATTGTGAGTTTTCCTTTGCCTTCTTCTTCTCCGCGGTCTGAAAACAGGCGCCTCTCCGGCATTGTTATTGTTCTAACACCAGGACTTTCTGGTGGGGATAGATCCGTGAAAACAGTGAAGGCGAGTACGCCGGGCACGGGGGCCGCTCCCACGTCAACCAACAGTGGGAGGTGGGGACCGAAGTGAGCGTCTTCACGCGGCACGGGTGCGAGCGCCTGCTCCGGTTCGCGTACGAGACGGCGCGGTCCCGACCACGCAAAAGGTTGACGTTCGTTACAAAGTCCAACGCGCAGCGCAACGGCATGGTTTTGTGGGATGAGGTCAACGAGTCCGTGGCGCGCGACTACCCGGATGTCAGTGCCGACAAGATGCTCGTGGACGCCATGACGTGCCGCATGACCCTGCAGCCCGAGACTATTGATACCGTGGTGGCAACTAACCTACACGCCGACATCCTCTCCGATCTGGCCGCCGCGCTGGCTGGGTCTATTGGGATCGCACCCACGTCTAACTTAGACCCGACCCGCAAGAACCCCAGCATGTTCGAGCCCATCCATGGCTCCGCGTGGGACATTGCCGGCAAAGGTGTCGCAAATCCGGTGGGAACCTTCTGGACCTGTGCTGAGATGGTAAGGTGGCTGGGTCAGCCTGAGGCTGCGGATATGTTGATGGCGGCCGTCGAGGCGGTCTTGGAGACGGGCGTCAAGACCAGGGATCTCGGGGGGCAGGCGGGCACCGATGAGGTGACGACCAAGGTGTGCGAGGAGATTCTGCGACTGGGCAAGGAGCGAGGATTCTTTGTCGCCGGTAAAGAATAGGTAGCGAATGAGTGATCAGCACTCTCACTACCTTGTGTATATCTATCCACCCGCTTTCGCCCAGTCCACAATGACGCCGAGAATGAAAAAGTACAAAGGCTACCTGCCAAAAGCTAGACACAATATTGCGGGTTGGTTTGCCCTACTCACACCTACCCAATACTAGCAGGACTCTAGGGTGCAACGGCGCGGCTAGTTGAGCCTGAAGAGACAGGAGCATAGCCGGGTACATCGTATGATGCAATCACAGCAAAAATAATCCATGGTCGTAAGGGGAAGCATGAAACTCCACCTCATTCCGAGGGAAGTCGATATTCGATATTCGATACTCGGACTGACTGCATAACCTTAGCGATAGGACCTGGGACATCCAGCAGCACCATTCACCCTTGCCATATAACACCGAAACCAATTAATGATACAATAGTCCATGCTCTGGCACTGACTCCTTACGCTGAGTGCAATCCCGGAATTCACAATGTCTCCTTCCTGTTCTGTGTTCGTCCTGTTTCTTTTCGCCAACTAGCGTCACACTGCCTCGATCTGTTCACTTTGCTGATTCCCATGTTCAAACACGAGGAATGCGGCGGGGAGCAGGAGAATGCGTGTCCCTCCCGCGGTGCTGCATGACCGCTCCACAAGATTCACACACAATAGCGCAGCATGGCCATAGCCCATGTGAAGAGACACCATCGTGTATTGAAAGCCGTCGATGATCACACTGCGTGGCCTCGTTTCGCGTAAGTGACCCAGAAGGTGCTGCCTCGGGTTGTTTTGATGCTCACCTTGCCAGAAGTTCCTGCTTCAGCGGGTCCTTGTCCATCATCACCCCCTCTGGTCTCAACATCGCCGTCATTCTCGTCAACTGCCACGTCGTCTCCTTCTGGACATGCAGGGTCACCACCCGCTCCGTCGAAGTAAAGCTGGGCTCGGTCTGAATTGGTGAACGTACGCCTCGCGTGTCTTTGGACAATGGCACGAGAAGATCGATTCACAGCACGTTCAGACTTTGCCCCCAAAAGGGCCTGTGCATCCGTTGGCGAATTTTCCTTGTTGAGATCATCTGTATCAAAATCATACTCACCTGTATGGGACAGGTCATCCGGAGTCGGTGGAAACGAAAGCCTGCACCAGACGAGAGTCAGCAAAATCTCCAGGGGGAAGGCCGGCAATCAAATGGGGGGATTTACGGGAGGAAACGGGCGTAGGCATCGACATCCTTCTGGACAAAGTTGCAGAAGACGACCTTTTCGATCTGAAGTCCCTTTGGCCCACCGAGGAACGCACGGACCTCGGAGATGGCGGCTCGAGCTGCGTCACGGCTAGGATAGCCATAGACACCAGTGGAAATTGCAGGAAATGCGATGGACTTGCAGCCATGTTCGACGGCGAGATTGAGGGCGGTGCGGTACGCGCCACGCAGAAGTGGTTCCGAGGTTTCGTGGTCCTCGAAAACGGGTCCGACGGCATGGATGACCTTCCTGGAAGGAAGGTTGTACGCCTCAGTTATTTTGGCAGAGCCTGTTTCGCATCCACCAAGAGTCGCGCATTCCTGTAGCAGTCTGGGTCCAGCGGCACGTTGGATGGCACCATCAACACCACTTCCTCCACGGAGACCGCGGTTGGCAGCGTTGACTATGGCATCAACCTTGAGTTTCGTGATGTCAGCCTGAATGACACAAATCTTGTTATTGAAGTCTTGGTTTGGAGATGGCAGGCCTTCCTCGACTGAGGGATTGAGCTGGTCATTGTTGTACAGAAACGAGAGAGTCGGGATGTCCTCGACCGGAATTGGGATCTTGGAAGACAGAGGACGGAATGCCATGGCTGATGTCTGCTTGTCGTGAAAATGTGCAAAACTGAAGAAGTGCTTGACAAATGAGAAGGGTGTGTGACAGAACAGGATACTTGACCGATGAAGTAAGAAGCCGGGGATGCGTATGCGTGGACGAGATGTGGAAGCGAAAGAGAGGTGTCTGACTGATGGATTGATAGAAGGGAGACGAAGTTGGGAGATGGAATAATGAAGACAAAGGGAGGAAGTGAGAGATGAGCGAGGCATGAGAATATATATAATATAAAATAAGATGAAGCAGTTGCCCCGGCTGCCCTTTCGACTGCCACTGCCTTATTACCAGCAACACGTACTAGTTACTAGCAGTGACAACGACGACGACTACGTAGAAGTCACTGGTGCGGGGGAAGCTCCCCGCTGCCTTTCCCCCCCCCAGCAGTTTCTTGCGTGGGCAGCTATGCCGACCTGATCACATTCACAACAGGAGAAACAAAGACAGAGACAGAGCAAACCTGAAACGCAGCCTACGATGACTGTGATTTGCTTCAATAGCACTTGCTCACATGTGCGGCCGTACCAAACCCCTTCTCGTGAAACCTGTGGTTCTGCATTCGCGCAGATTGCCTTGCTCTGCTGCTGCACCCAAAGACAAGTTAGCCAGGATGTGAGGTACTTCCTCTCCAAAGATTCGCTGCCAATTCCCTTGTCCCAATGTATCATAGCACGTTGAGTGATTCCGTGTCTACCACTTCGCTTCTTTGCTGGCCAAAAAGGCCTTCAAGATGGTCACTCTCTTCTCCAAAGCAGCCACCCATTTCTCCAGCGCCTGTCTTGTGGTCTCTGGATCTGTTCCCTCGCCACCCAATCGCACATAGAAGTCTTTCCGGTAGGGGGTGGCACTCATGGCGGCGCTGAAGAGGGGTTTGATCAACAGTCCATGATGCGGCGCCAGAGTATTCTTGTAGCTTGCTCGAAATCCATCCGCGAGCTCCTTGTTCGGTTTTGGTTCCACAGCTTTGACCGACGCGTTGGTGGTGAGATCGGACCGCAGTGCCTGTGCTGTGAAATCCAATCCACGAGTGAGCCACACCAGCCCTTCGGTCGCCTTGTGAGATTTTGAGGCCAGTTCTGTCTTGACCAGCTCTTGAACCGTTGTTGAGCCCGATGGGGCAGCTTGATAACGGCCACGAATTTTGGTTACGTTTCCCATCATATCGTTCTTTACGGGCGTGAAGGCTACCGAGCCCAAAAGATCAAAAAGAGTGGTGGTGGCTTCGGAGGCATCGAGGAATTCGAGGGTGGAAATGCCGCCGTCGTCAGAAATGGGGACGTCGTCGAAGTGCACTTTGTGGGTGTCAAACCAGGTTTTGCCTGGTGGGATTTGAGTACCGGACATCGCGAGAAGGTGAGATATAATTCTGCTCAAAAGAGAGTATAGAAAAAGCTGTTGAGCATGGAAAATAGAAAGGGGTATGGAAGTGACGGTGAAGGCTTGTCGAGGGGCACATGGCGCATGCCAATGGCGGCTGCAGGTGCAAACAGGGCAAACAAGGCAAACATAAACACGCCTCACTCCCGAGCGACACTGACGTCATGGAATGGTAGCGCTCAAGGTTGGGGTTTGCCTGCTGCACGCGTAGAGTCGACGTGCCAATTTGGCAGGCAGCCTGGAGGCGCAGTCCATCGCAGCTCAAGGCGGGTCAAGGGGTTGTCGATATCCTCCAATCTGCCAATGCATATACTTATCAGACTGTGATGCCATTCTCTATTGTGCTACGAAGATGTCGACCTCCCGAGTGATGCCAGTTGGCAGCACTACCAACGCCCACGACTTCAACGCCCTTGACCCAGACTCGTACACTGCCCACCGACTCAAACATGCATCCCCCGAGCACCTCCACCTCACCTCTCGCCGCTTCTTCATAGGTCCAATCCCCGAGGGCTGGCTCAACAGCCATAGAAAGGAGTGGTATAAGCGAAGAATCCAGCTGAGCGCCTATTCTTCCCGAAAAGCGAGCTTCCGCGCAGCCACGGAGCAAGACCGTCGTCATAGGACGGTGACTGGTCTCGAAGGCCCGTCGACAGCTGCTAGAGTCAACTTCAGTTTTCCCCAACCTGAAAATGTCTTCGAACAAGATTCAAGCGCCGGCGAGACCACAGATGTCGAAGAGGAGGACCAGGAGGAAGATGAAGAACCAATTGAGCCAAGTGATATAGAACCAGTCGCTACAAATGATGTGCCCCGTATTCTAGGGATTGAGGACGAAAATGAACAGGGCAACAGAGTCCCCAAGTCTCTGTCAGTCCCGGCAGATAAAGGTCTGGACGGTGCCCGCGACAACCTCAAACCCGGGCCGACCACAAAGAGTGCCTTGAAGTCCATGAAACCTGAATCTTTCAAAACTGCCCATGAGAATCCTTTCGGAGATTCGGCAGCCACTACGCCTGTAATCAAGCCTCAACGCTCCGAACACGACCACGAGCAGGCCGAGAGCATGGGGGATGACTCTAACAGAAGGTCCATGCAGCCATCGGCATCGACTCAGGACAATCTGGAAACGAACTCCAGGACTGCTCTACTATCCGCCGACAGTCCCCAGCTGGCTGCAAAATCTCTGCAGCAGCATGACCCCGCCCCCCTGGATAACGACCAGGATTACCGCCTGGGCAGGACGAGCACAGGTGTCAGATTCAAAGTCTCGGAAGGGGTGCAACGAGGCCAGCAGAAGGTGGTGAACAAAGCCATCCGCGTGCAAGGCCGTGTTGCCAACAGGAGATTGAGACGCAATACTCTCCAAGAGGGGACTGTCGTCAAAATGGAACGCATGTTGGTGAGAGTGGATATGACCATGCAGGAGGTTCCGGAAGACTTTGACGAGAATGAGAGCTTCAAGATCGAGACGAGATTGCTAGAAAAATGGCGGGAGTTCATGGTTGTGGCCAGAAAGAGCAAGAAGCACGACGTCGACGACTTCCGGCTTCAGATCTACAACACCCGAGTCATCCCAGAGATTGAGGACGAGTCAACGAAGAAGAAACCAAAGCATGAGATCAGACTTGACCCCAAGACGACGAGAGTCAATTTGTACTCTTCCCTCGACAAGACCGTAGTTATCTGGCATCCATACAGAAAAGGAACGAGAATCATGGTGATGAGGCCACGTTCGCAGGCACATTCTGTGGAGTGGTATACCTTTCTCAGAGACGCCCTCGGCTGGGAACGGCCTTCCACCCTTCAAGTCAATGTCCCAGATCTGGATGTTACGTTGCGACTGGAGCGGCCGTTTGAAGGCCTTGAAGCAGCAGGCGCAGATGCGGCAGACGAGGAGACGGCTCTGGCACGGACAGTTGCTGCCGAGAAAGCCGTTGCGGGAAAGATCATTTCTGAGTGCATCTCCATGTTGGAACGCGATCCTGAATGGTCGAACGTCTTGGAAGTGTGGAGTGAGACAGCCAAGATGGGCCTTGCATGGAAGAGGTACGACCGGCTCGAATGGGTGCATGGAGTCAACGAGAACAAGATGTATGGCTCTATGGCAATGGCCCGGTCGCATGATCTGGAACTGCGACCGAAACAACACTACCCTACGTCAACGTATGGCAAAAAGGAAAAACTTCACGAGGAACCGGCTCCCATTGAAGGATTCTTGATCCGACTGACGTCCCAGAAAGGGATACACAAGAGGATGGGGAAAGCGTTCTTCAAGCGATTATATTTCTCGACGCACAATCAGTTTTTGGTGTTCAATCGACCCGCGAAGGCCACTCCACCTCATCCCCCACGCCTCGCCACGACCGGGGCAGGTGACGTCCCATCTTCGCACGAGATTGTGGAGAAGACGCCGTTAATGTACGACATCGAACCGTACAAATTGAGCCATGGCGACATCTCGTGGCTATCCTCGGGCAACCAGGTGAATTTACAGAGTCACGACCGTGGTGCCCTCGAAGAGGCTCGGCGGAACGTGGCAAACATCTTGGAAGCGGACGGGTATATCAACATGTGCAACATCCGTCACGTGCGCACCATAAGATGGGGCGCTTCCCCTGCGGACGAAGCACTCGAGACTGGATCGGGCTCGGACGTCGATTTTCACCAGGAAGTCTCCGATAGCAGGCAGGATGACGGCTCGACGCATGAAATCGACGACGATCGAATCTTTGAACTCGTTCTCGGGAATGGACTGGTTGTGCGTCTGCAAGCCTACTCGAAACAGACACGAGACGAATGGATCCGTCGGTTGAAAGAATTGGTCAAATACTGGAAACTTCGCACGGCTGCCGAGATGGATACCTTCAAAGCCGTCAGAAAAGCCAATCTCGAACAGCTCAGCGTGGATGAAGAAATGGAAGCCATCATTGGTCAGTTTGCAAAGAAATGGGAAGTCAGCCGCAGCGAAGCCAGCCCGGAACTCTACAACATGTGCGCCATAAGCAGCTGTCGCAGCATTACAATGTCGGGCTCGTTGTATCTTAAAACGCGTCGACGAGCCACTTTTCACCGATGCCAGGTCATTCTTACTGGGGGTCGATTGCTCGTTTTCCAGTCGGCTTTGAGAAAAAGGACCGGCGAGCAAATCCGATTCATCCATCAAGAGAAGCAGCAGGATGTGGACTTGAAAGACTGCTATGTCTACAGTGGGCTGATTGTCAATGATGATCTGCTGTACCAGAACCGGACTTTCGATGCCAACCACCCTGGTCTGGCCAGTCTCCCGCGCGTGTACCTTGAGGACGGATGGACGAGCGCTGACATTGATGTCATGACATGTTTTGTGGTGTGGATGAATAGGAAAAAGGGCTGGTTCAAGGCAGCCACGACCGCAGAGACTGTAAGTGAGCCGACCAGAGATGGAAATGGAAGCCGTGGCCGCACCAGAGCGAGGCTTCGTAGGGTAGGGCAGCTGGGGGTGCCGGGGCGAGGAATGGTCTTCAAATGCCGCAGTCGCGCGGAGAGGGACCACTGGGTGCTGAACATTGCCAGCGAGATTGAGCGAGTTATTGAGCACGAAGTCGAGGAATTGGGCGAAGAGGGCGAGTTCCGCTTCGAGAATTGAGGGAGAATTGAGAGCAGCTGAGATGACGGGCGGCGAAGAATGCATCCTTAGAAGTGTATCTATAGGTTTCATTAGCAGACCATTTCTACGAAGCGATGGGCATGACGGATTACGAATACACGAGCGCTATCCACGTTGCTCTTTTCACGGTTACTCCTGAATTTAAGGAAGCATGACATCTAGCACGCATTGACGCCTCGCGGTCCTGGTCCCAATTGAAGCAGAAGCCGCCGTGTGAGTTCATGATGAGTGAAGACTACACAAAACGGCCGACGCATCTCCCAGACATACTCTATCCCACCTACAATTGAGGAAGCAACTGAGGAAGCAATTGAGGTCGTTCAACCCCATCTCATTGATCAGTGTGAAGCGCCTTGAACATCACCAGCAAAAAATCCCTACGAAAAGAAAGCGTCCCGGGAAGGAACAGTAGAAATCGCTCGCCCTGGACGCTTGGGCGATACATACGCAGAAACCCTCTCGCATTGCTGCCTTTCTCACTTGGACAAACATCCTGCAACAAAAGAAACTCATTGATCACGGCCAAGGGGTGGGTGGGCTAGAAGCCTGGATGCCCTTTGTCGAAAATCGACTGCGGAGGGGAAGGCTGGTATACAATACAACGTTTTTTGCCAATGCCCATGGGGGCTTCCCGACGTATCTAATTACCGAGTACCAACTTGGAATCCGCAATCATTTCGTTGCTTTTCCTCGGTAAGAAAAACCCCCACCCTCCCCTGAAGCAATTGGGAAAAAGAGAAGGGCAACCCAACCCAACCCACACCCAAACCATCGCGTATTTTCCTACTCATGGCTCGTCCTCGGGGTTTGATGGGCACACCTACCTACCTACCTACCTACCTGTCAATGTCCAAAAGTTGGTCGCCGGTCGCCGAGTCCCCGAATTGCCTTTTTGGGGGGAAAAAAAAATTATGTCTGGGGGCCACCTAGGTAGGCTAAGTTGGATCTCTTTTTGTTTTTAACTGTTCCATATGCACTATGCGAAAGACAAAAGGTGCAAGGGAGCGGTTTAGCTGCATATGTCAAAGTTATGGGATGGAAGTTGTTGGATTGTCATTTGAAAAAAGACAGAAAATCTCCCAGAAAGCGCGCCAAAAGGCAACGAAATGGTTCACCCCGGTCTGTAGACTGTCGGACTAGGACCCCCGTCCAGTGTTTGGACAAAGGTATTTGGACAGTTTTAGCCTTGAATTCCCCTGTCGAGGCTTTTTTTTTGGTTGCTTGTTTGCTTGCCTGCATGGCCGCATTGGGGAGATGAAGCAAGGGAGTTCGCCACAACGGGAACAGAAGGGATGCGAGTTCAAAGCTGTCAAGGCAGTTTTTGGCCATTTGCAACTAACTAGAAGACAACGCTCCACCAGTCACTTCTCCTGCTGGTGGTGATGATCGTGGTGGGCCCACCTTTCGCAATTTTGCGACAATCCCCATTCTCCTGCACTGGATGGTTTGCCTGCGGACTGGTGCTTGGTTGATTCGGTGCATCTTGCGGGTTGCTCTTATGGCGAGTCTGTCCAGAGGTGACAGGCGAGGAAGACAGCTTCTCTTCGAGTTCCGCGGTGGCGGCAGTGGCAGTGGCAGTGGCAATGGCAACAGCAATAGCGGCATCGGTGTGGGTGTCCGGGTGGTGGACGACTGGATCAGTAACAGTAGCAGGGCCTGGCCCTGGACCTGGACATGGAGCCGGGTGTGCCTGAGAGAGGGATGATGATGATGATGATGGCGACTGAATCTTCCTTGCTTTCCGTGGTGCGCGGCGGTTGACAGGAGGGGGCGCTGGAATGTGACGAGGTGCTGGTGGAGGGTGGTCGGCCACCGCTTGATCTGACTGGACCGCCCAACGAGCCGTGTTGGGGTCGAAGGTCGCCTCGATTCCCTGGGGGATGCGATCCCGACAGTGGCCATTTCGCTCAAAGAACTCGTCATCCACCACCTCGACTCCCACGGTGACGAGGTGTCTAGTCGACGACATGACAAACGAGACAGAGATACAAGGTGCTTCGGCCGGGTTGTTGGGGCTTTCGGCCTGAAACGAGCCCTCCCCCGGAAAGGTGGATCTGGTGGTGCTTCCCATGACTTTGGTTGGGTGTGATTTTGCCGGATTGAAGGGCCGGTGAGAAGTCTTGTCTGTGAGTTACAGTCGGCTGCAGTAGACCTTTGGGCAGAGCCTTTTTGGGGGGGCTCCAAAAACCCAAGTTTCAGAAGGACAAGGGTGAACTGTCACTTAGTGTAGAGAACACATCAGTGCCGGTCATGATGTTATGTAGTGATGGTGACGCGTTTGACAGGGTGAAGCGGGCGCGGGACGAGTTCAAGGGGGCCATGGAGAGAATGGACGAGGCGTTTGGACGAAAGAGAGACGCGCCATGATCATCATCTTAGTTGGGCATACACGGCGTCCGTGTTGGAATGTGGACAGTGCGTTGTGTGGTAAGTCGAGGCAGAAGGCATGTGGAAGGCGTGATGCTGGATGGTTGAATGGTTGAATGGTTGAATGGTCGTGTTTGACGTCAAGACATGATCGATGGAGGAGGAGGAGGAGGGAGGAGGGAGGGTGCTTGGGCGCACAACTGAGAACAAGCGAGTATAACTGAGCACGGCGTATCCTCATTGGCTGATCTCGACGGAAAACTGGATACCAACGGGCGCTAGTGGTTCAATGAACCCTAGATGGGATTCGATTAGAGAACGCGATAACGCTGCTCTTCTTGCTGCCCTTGTGCTCCTCCCCCCAGTGTCTTCCCTCTGTGTCTTCCCTCTGTGTCTCCTCTGTAACTCCTCTGTGTGTCTCGTCTTTAGGCCGCATCCGCTCTATGTTCCTGTCCCTCTACCATGTTTCCCCAGTATTTGCACAGGAATAGTGTAGTGGGCCACAACTACCTACCTAGGTAGTTATTGGGCAACTGACAGGCGATGGTCAACCCCCTAGGACCTCCTAGGACCCCGATCCTCCACCCAAACCCCGATGGACACTCCTCCAGATGCGCGTGAGCTGGTAGCGGGCTCTTTGAGGCTTTCAAACTCGATGCACCATGACGCACAGTTTCGTTCAATGCCTTGCAAGACTCGTCCCCTCATCGACCAAAAGGGCAATCCACGCCGACCTCTGATTCGTGCTGGCCGTGTTAGGCTGATGCGATGCCTGCCTGCATGGACAAAACTCTCCCAGAGCTCCTCATTCCACGGCCACCACCGACATGGCCACACCCGTCCAATAGTGCACATTCATTTGCACATTCATTTGCACATTCATTTCCCGTCGCTGCAACCCCCTCACTTCGCCCAGATTTTTGACAGGCGCCATGTTCCAGTTTGTCCTCCTCTCAGCCCGTCAACCGCTGCCTTCTCATCCCGCTTTTCTCCACCCTGGGCTCCGCTTCTCGCTACCAGGCCACGTTGATTGGTTTTTTTGAGGAGTCTTGCTCACCTGGGTATGCACCGGGCATTTTTAGCACATTTTGGCCTCCTCTTTTCCATCGCTAGCTATCGCCCTGCCGTCCGGCCGTGCACTGGGGTCAGTTGACACTGCCACCAATGTCAAATTTGAGCGAAGCTATCCCGTCCAGCCCCGAAGGATAATCTGCTTCCACCCTCCCTTAGACCTAGACGCCGTGTCATTCCGGCTCACGCTGGTTTCCTCATAGTGGAAGGTTGGGGCCCAGACATCCCCGCAAAACTTTCCGAGATCGCTGTTGGGCAGGACTCAAGCTCTAGCCTGAGACATTCAAGCCAAGTTGCAACGGATCATTGTGAGGGGAAGTTGGCAGATGACACGTAGCAATCGGGGCCTCTTCCGTCACATCAAGGCAGGTGACAAGGGATGTGGCAGAGGAATACACCCAGAGCGCGAAAAGAGCGGAGCAATGCTCCGTGTCGGTGTGAGGGAGGGTGGGTGGGTGAGTGGCTGGCTGGCTGTGTTGAGAGGCAGCAAAGACAAACAAAATGGTTCGAGTGTACGAGGTAAGGGAGGGAGGGAGGGAGGGCGGGCGGGGCCAGCAAGGGAGAGGAGACTGCGAGAATTTGTCAGAGCTGCCCGTGTTCGCCCAGCCCCGACCGACCATGCCCGAAGCGCGAGCCGGCAAACTGTCTGCATAGTCCGCGGGCCAGTCACAGGGCTCGATTTGGCGCAAGCTGAAAAGTGTGACAGCGAGTCTATGCAAAACCTGTGCCCGGATCTGGACAAAGCTGCGAAAGAGTTTGGCAAGGGGGCTTTGAAAAGTCCGGGGTGGAAAGCTGCTTGGTGCTGCCTGGGTGCCGCCAATCCAGCCCATGGTCTCCAATTTCCTTGACACATTGCAACTGCAACGGCCCCCCTCGGTCCAATCGCAACCCTCCGATCTCCAGGTCCTTGCGAGTCATGATGTCAATATAGGTCCAGATCGAGGAGCAGCACAGCAAGGACAGAGGGAGAATCTGGGGCGTGCTGGCCCATCGAGATGCCGCACGTGCATTTTTTTCATGTGAATGCCTCCTAGCAACGGGTCAAATCAGGCAGGTCGTTGTTGTTGGCGGCGGTGGTGGTGGTGGTTGCTCGCTTATTGCTTGCTTGCTTGTTTGCTGCATGCATACATCCTGGATCACCATCCCATCCCATCCCATCCCATTCCATCCCATCCCATCCCGTCCTGTCGTCCATTCATTGACTCTATTTTGCGTCTGGGGCCTTCCTTTTTACGACCTACGCGCTCGGAAGCTGCATGGTCAGGGTCAAAAGAAAAACCTGACTGCCAGACGCATTGATTTTATCCACGTCCTGCAGTTGGCTGTGTCGATGAACAGAGTTTCTATCGTCCTCTCCACCGCCCCCACCAGCGGGCGGCAACTGCTTCTTTTCCACGGACTCACAACACAGTTGCTCCTCCAGCCTGATTCACCCCGGGTCTGCAAGAAGAAGCAAGTGAGGGTGTACGAGGTACTGTATTGGCATTTCTGTCTGCACTGGGCTGTTCTGCGAGCTTCTTTTTCCTCCCCTCCACTGGGCCTTGGTGTGATGGCTCCCTCGGCTGCCTAAGTAGGTGTGATGTTCGGTCGTCCGGGAGGGCGGCAGGGGAATGACGGAATGTTCAGGCAACCTACCCCGCTAATCGAAGCTACGAGGGTAAGCAATGCCGACACCCGATCGAGTTATCATTCCTCTCGATTGCACCACATTTCCCATAGTGCTACACCGCTTAACCGCGAGCGGGTACAGTCAGGAACTGGAGGTGCACTAGCCATTCTGTCAATTCAACAAAACTTTTGGTATGGAAGGAGCAAGCTGCAGACTAAAAACAGGAAATTACAGCAACCAACATGATCCAGCCCTGCAAACTCCGGTCAAATTCCCGTCATCCATGGCCGTTCCTCCAATCCCCGCCCTCTGTTGCCTAGTTTTCCCCAGCAGTGCCAGCACCGTCGCTCGCCGCATTACCATACACCAACAGGTCTCTGACAAAGGGATTTCGAAACATTTCGACCACATCGGTGTTGACCGATTGGCCGTCTGACAGCTCGTGGCTGATAATGCCACGCAGCACATACTGGGTCTGCTCCCAGTTTGGCTGTGAGGCTTGCAGCAAAAGCTCTAGGTTTTGCCGCAAGTCCTCTTCCGTAGCGCGCTGTTCGACGATGTTTTCCACAGCGGTACGGATGTTCCTCTCGTCTTGCAGCATGTCTGTAAGTGTCTTCTGATGGAAGTGGTCTGTAACGCTTTGAGCAATGGTTTCCGAAGCCGCTTCCCAGTGTTTGCGGAACTCGTCGCTGATGGCGACAACGGCTCTGGCCCCACGCACTAGGTCGGGGGTCTGGGGAAGTCCAGAAGCTTTCTCCCAGAAGAGAGACAACACATTGAACGCTTCAGTGACGTCTTGAGGCTAATTGGACCTGTTAGCAACCGACCGGGATTCGTAGAGGCATTCGAACTCACATGGAAAGACTGCAAGACATTGGGATCTTGGCTTGGCCGCGGGCCGACATTCTCATGGACGATGGCGGCAATGAAAATGTCCTTTTCCGCATTGTGGTGCAATTTGAGTTGAGCGGGCCACCCTGGGCCCGTCGCTTCCGGAACGAAGTACCCGAAGGTATCATCCGTGCGGGTCAGCGTCCATCCGTGGAGGAAGCCAGGAGGCGCGCCATCACGGATCTCGACGCGAGTGCGGCCGTTGACATCGCGTCGGTATTCTTCTGCATTATAGCGGCCTTGGGCCACCACGCCAGCCCCAAGTCGCCGGTACCACGAGTGCACGATGGTCAGGTCTGACTGGTCAAGAGCCCGACCAAGATAAATGAGCTGTGGTGGCGCTCCGGGAGGCAGCCAACCCTGTGGCGAAACAGGGCCGGACACCGCGCTTGGTTGATCGGAGGCCTGTGTCTCCTGGAGAGGTGGCTGTGGTGGTGCTGGTGCTGGTGCTGATCCTAATGCTGGAACGAGGAGGCGCTGAACCAGACGACGCAGCTGCTCATATTCGGTCTTGAGCATATCAGTCGCTTGCACCGCGTTTTTCGAGAGCAGCACGGCACTCATAAAGTTGACATGATCTATCTCGCGGCCCTGTTCCAGGAACGAGACGCGGGCCTTGACAGTTGAGCCGAGAGCGAAAAGTGGCTCGAAGGCTTTTTGGAAACCTTCCACCAGCTCCCTCAACTCGCCGATATCCTCGTGGAGGATCGGATCATGGAAATTGGCAAGCTGTTGCCTCAACTCCCGGATCTCGCGGCGGAGATCTGCACCGTTTCCCCGGGCGGGTGGCATCCTGTTGAGACCTGTCAGTCATGGTCTGAGGAGGTGGATTGGAGGACCCCTCGAGGTAACCCTAGCCAGGCACCTCCTGGTGACGCAACGTCAATACCCACGTTTGGTCAATGACTTTTGTCGTGTTTGACAGCTAAGTGGGGAGAGGGAGGAAGGGCTGAGGGCAACGGAGGAACAATTTACAGGTACCTAGGTATGTCAAAGACGGGAGGGAGGCAGGCCTTTTGGAATTGTGGAGTGTGAGTCGGTGTTTTTGGGCTCTGGAACTCTGGAGAAAGGAAGCAAAGGGAGGAAAGAATGCCCAAGGGAACAGTTGCCCTCTATATACCTCAGGCTGTCCACCAGAACCCTTTCCCACCTCTTGCCCCATGGTTTGGCCAGCCAGGGTGGGAAAGGAGAGGCTGGCTGGCTGGCAATTGCAGCTGCAGTCGGGCGCACCATCCTTGCAGGCTCAGCTGGTCTTCTCTGGGGCCTCATAGCCGTATTGGGAGGGTCTTTGCGCGACCGAGGAGTGGTCTCCTGAGAGATCTACGAGGAGTTGAGGCAGCACAGTCTTAGTACGAGGTATTTGCGGCAAGGATCCACCACCCATGTCGTGCATGGACCTTGCGAGCCAGCGAATAAATGCAGCGGTCATTTGAAATGAGTTTCTGGAGGGTGGATCTCCGTATAGCCATGTCGACTATCATTCGAGAACCACGCATTGACACAGACAATCCTTGCCAAATCCATCCAAATAGATCAACTCCCCAAAGTCGCTTTCTTGCGCCGCAAGGAGAAAGGGCAGGACTCGCTCGGCTGATGCAGCTGGAAGCTCGGACCACCAGATCTGAGCGGTCGGTCTGTTTCTGGGATTGACACTGGGGAATGTGGCAGGTCAAACGCTCTGGTTCGGGCGGATTCGAGCCAAAGAGTCCGTTTTTTTCTTTCGACCACTTTGGTCCCCCCCAGAAGATATCCACCAGACCTCGCTTGCGCAGACACAGAATCTGTACCTCGTACACAGCCCTTTTTCTGTCCACACCCCAGCAAGAATGGGCGCTACGGGAATGAATGTAAGTGGTGATGTCGTATTTGACAGAAGGGGGGCGGGAAATCCATGCGTCCTGCGTTGATCGATTGCGTCGCCCTCCCGTGTGCCCTCTCATTCCTCCAAAAGTCTACAGATGACAACCTGGGGCCTACATGTGGCCTGTGCTTTGGAATGTGCAGCCCGTCCTTTCTTTGGTCTGGAGCTGAGAGATTTGGGGGGCTTGCCAATCGGCTATTGGCACGTCAAAATGCAGGCCCCGGGGGGTCTCGATCCATCCCTTGGAATGAAATCCCATCAGCTGCTTGCTCCGGAGCTGAAGTTGGGCAAGCAAGGGGTGCGAGTAGCACTTGAATTCATGCAGAGAGAGAGAGACACACAGAAAGAGATGAAGGATAGAAGACAAGAAGCCAGGATTTGGCACATCATCACATTCCAGGGTCGACCATTTTGTTTTCGCCTTCGCCCATGAGCTCATGCTCAACCCGTCACTCACGCAGTGACTGCCCATACCCATGTCCATTGCCAACCCCGACAACCAGGTTGAGCCCATATCCAGGCCCCTCCCCATCCCCATCCCCCATCCCTGCCATTATCATCGTCATCGTCATCATCGTCGGCGTCGTTCCTGATTGCCACCATCGTCGTTGTCACGTCCGTCACCATGGTCATCCTCACCACCATCACCACCACCACCACTTCCGCAGAACCTAACATCGACAAGGAGCGAAAGGTCCTGCACAAAGAGCTCCGCCGCATGCGCAGGTTCTACAAGGGCACCACCGACGAGGATGATCTGTACATCCGATTCCTGGCGGCCCACAACAAACAACTTGATCTTCTCTTGACCGGGGCCCGCCGTCGGCTCCAGGCCCGGTTTCAGGGCATGACCATCGAGCAGGCCATGCAGGGCGAGCTGCTGCGCTCGGTCGGTACCGCCCTGGGCATGCTCCACGTCATGGTCTGGTACATCATGGCCGCCAACAACGACGAGCAACACCTCCGCCGCCTGTATGTCTGGGCCTATATGCGGCGCTATCAGCTGGTCACCGAGGGCCTGGGGGTGCTCTCGGGCTTCTCCCTGCGGCTGTCACATCAGCCGCTCGAGGACAGTCAGCGACAATGGGACGAGGCTGTCGAGTTCTACACCTGGTGCGAAGCCGAGGCTCCCAAGTATCGCCACAAGGAGGGTCTTGAAGCCAAGTAAGCATCACCTTCCCCCTCTGGTACATCAGGCCCAAGAGTGCTGATACTTCCTTCCTCCGCAAACAGTGTGCCTGTGTTGGAGGTGGACGAGGCACAGGAGAAGCAGAAGAAGCGGTTCGCCGCCCGCCTTCGGGCACTCCATCTGCCCAAGCCCAAGAGTTTCTCCAAGCTGCTCATGAACCGAGCCAACAACGGGAAAAAATGACGGAAAGTACGCTCTTGCATCATTGACACCATCCAGGAGAAAAAGTCTTGCGGCGAAAAAGGGAAGGAAAAGTCACTTGCGGAAAAAAAAAAGACGGAAAAGCAGGCGTTGCAGAGGCGGCTGTCTGCTTACATGGAAGGAATCCATGTCTGCAAGTCAAGTCAAGTTTATGCCAGGTCACGGCAAGGTATTCAGGGCAGCTGTAACAACAGACTCGTTCAAAGTCGTTCTCGGTTTAGATTTGCTCGACGGGCGCGGAGCAAGGAAAAGGGGGTGGTGGGGGTTTAAGCCACTGCAAACAGTCAATCAAGTCAAAACAGAGCCAGTCCGTTCGTTGGTTACTTTATTGTATCCTAGACAGTGAGTTTGTCATTCATTTGGCTAGAATTTTGGTGAATAAACAAATATTGTGATTGTCTTGTGGAGGAGACGAGAGTTGTTGTACAATCTGGCTTGCTGCCCCGTTGGCGCCCGCGTGGGTGCGAGTTAAGCTGCGTAACAACGAGCTCGCGGGTGACCGCATGACCTCGGAGTCACTGGACTCTCTCTGTAGGCACCCCTAGGTGTTCCCTATATGCTTTGTCTGGGCGGCGGCTACAGGTGGAATGGCACTCGCATCCGGCTTTCTGGGGGCCAGTGGGGCCCCCCAATTACTATGTAGGCAGCGCCTAGGCAACTGCGACGGCTGCCTGGGGGTGCCTGGAGAGGGTGGAGACTCTTGAAAGTACCTACCTAGGTAGGTAGGTACTTGGGGCGCAGTATTACGTGGGGTAATGATCCGCAAAGAAGAGCAATACCTAAGGTACCTAGGTACCTATTATCAAACATCAACCCATCCCCCCTCGTAGGTAGTTATGTAGCACCCCTGCAAACCGAAAAATCCCAAGATTGACCAATTCGTCGCTTTCAGATCAGGGACTTCCCCCTTCCAAGAACCTGCTCTCGTCTCACAAGATGGCAGCAACGGAGACAGCGCCAAAGAGACAAGGATGCCGCGGATCCTGTCACTGCGGATTGACACAGTACATCGTCTTCCTCACCCTCCCACATCCATTCTCGTCGTCTCATCCACCACAACCGATCGAACAAGAAATCTACCGCTGCAACTGCAGCACGTGTCACAAGATGAACTTCTTCCACGTCCACCCCGCGAATCCGCGAGACGATTTCATGCTCCTTTCACCACTCGACCCGGATCGCGAACTGAGCACCTACCAATGTCACGACAGGAAACGGAAATACTACTTCTGTCCCAAATGCGGAGTGCGATGCTTGACGTTTGGGGGCGTGGGCGAGACCCATGTCGTGGATTTCACGGAGCTAGCCCTAGGTGACGATAACAGAGACGAAGAAGAAGAAGAAGAAGGGAAGAGAGAAGTTTGGCGCGCCAAGTGGGATGGAGAGGATGATACCAGACCGTACGTTTCGGTCAACGGGACTACGATTGATTACAGAGAGGACTTGGATCTGCGCGTGCTCACGGAGGAGAAGAGGGTGCAGTATTTTGATGGTCGGAGTGAGCCGGACGAGGAGAAGGAGCCGAGATGGGACAGACCACATGATGGTGGAAGTTATTGACCGACTGCCAAGGGTAGGGGTCTGCCCTGCCGACCTCAGGATTGCTCGGCCATGGCTCAGAAGGGTTGAAGCCATAAGGTCAGATAAAATGGTCGAGTTGCATCAGGTCTGGAAACGGAAATGGAAGTTTTAGAGAGGCCAAAGACTCCCGCCGAGGATAGTGGTACTTAGGTAGCGAGGTAGGTATTCAGCGGCGAATCTGCACATGGCCTTGGCAGCCGTTTAGGACCGTGGCCTGCCGCTTAACTTAGGAATCTAGGCCAGCGCCCACTCTCCTTATCCTTCTCATCACCGGTGATCAGTCCCGCTTGTTATTAGGTCCTCAGGTTATACTCTGTATATGTCTCTCTTCGTGGACATAGAAAGTTTACACGACCGCCTACGAGGGTACAGTTTTAGGACCCAAGGTTCGAAACCGGGACTCCTTGTGAGCGATGATGGATACAATCTCTCTGCACCCCTATACCGTTCGCGTAAGATAGATTGCGCATCCTATTTTATATTCGCCCAGAACATCCCTTTTCTCCCGATAGCGACTCGTATAACTACACACATCCCGCCTTTCCTCTCGTTCCGTTTTATTCTTCCTCTCGAAAAGGCGCGTTTCTCGTCTGGCCCCGGCCCCTGCTCCTCCCTGTTCGTTTCCACTTCACTTCAGCCCGTAGACTCTTCCCACTTTTGCCCAAGTCTCCACTTCCCTAGATCGCGTCCGAGCATTCCAGTCTACTTCTACACCATTGGGAAAAGCCCCGGACTCCCCAAAAACCTCTTCGCAGAGCCCAAAGAGGAAGGGCGCCTAGACGAGATACCGGTATTGTGGATGGGCAAACCCGCATTTTCGAGCAGGAACGTAGAGAGCGACTATTGACGCTGGGTGCCACCAACCAAACCCGGGAACCGAACCGTCCGTCAAAATGGTATGATTGCTTCGGCGTTCCTAATGCTTGTCCGCTTACTTGCCGCTTTGGAGCTACGTTGGCTCGTCCCTTCTCCTTCGGAGAAACCGTGGCATCGTCATTTCTCCTCGACTTTCTGGCCAGACTTCAACGGCTGAACCTGCCCGGAAGACGGCCCACGTAACTTCTCGAGTTCCTCCGACCCCGGCTTTCTGCGTGACGGAGTGGGACAATTAGTACCAATCGGTTGCCTCAACAAGAGACCTCTAGCTTTTGTATCCATGGAATGTCTTCGTTGTGGCAGAAGAGAATTAAGCAGAAATACATAGGGCCTGATAAGCAGTAGAAGGACTATGTAGGTATCCCGGTACGAGGCAAGGTTCAGGATGATGTCTTTACCGCTTTGTCAAGGGCCAATCAAGTAGATCCTCCTGCTGCCCTTCCCAACGACCTGATTGGTCTTCCCAAAGCGGTAAAGACATGATTCTGAACTTTGCCTCGTATATACCTTCCAACGACCTTCACGGAAAAAGAGTGGGCTCTGAGTGCCGAAACGGACTTGCTCTATTGCATGGGTAAGAATGCACATGTCGCCGGTCCAGGGTCCACACTTTAAGTGACGCTATATATGCACTAAGCTATTTCGAACGGAGGGTCTTTTTCACTCTCGGTTATCTTGCGTCCCCGACCATTTGCTCGCCACGTGTGGGGTGCACACAAAGAGAATCTCGAAATGCTTGTCTACCACTACCTAGCGAGCGGCCAGCGCTCGTCTATCTAAAAAGCCACCGAGGGGCCAAGGCGCTCAGGTCTGACCAGGCAGTGGCCCCGGCAGGCAGGTGCCTGGCACACCATATCAAAATATCACGCTCAGAAGCTGTCCACAACCGCGGCGGCACCGGTGAACGAAGAGTCGCTGGTGGTTGGGGAAAGGCACTGCTGATTGTGAACGAGAAAGGCGAAGAAGAGGAACGACCACATTCAAGAAGGGATTGAAGGGCGGTTGTGATGAAGAAGGGGGGGGGGGTGCAGAGTTGGTCCAAGGGTGCCTTTGTTCAGCACAGAGATGTATCCGGCTTCCGGTCTGAAGCTTCTTTTTTCACACAGAATTCATGGCATAGATCTTCGGCGCAGTTGCGATAGTTCCATAGTGTGTTGCGCTGTCGTCGGTTGTCGGTGGCTTTTTGACCGATATATTTAAACCGGAACAAGTGGCGGCATTTAATGCACGGGTTGTGGATTTTGAGGATGCTGCCTGCTCCACCCAGGACATGAAATGCGCCTGCTTGTCTTCGCCGGTGCTTGAAGGGTTTGAACCGTTCGTCTTTCAGCTGGCGGCTCATAGTCTGGCCACCCTGCTGCCATCTGTGGTTCGCTGCCTTCACTTGTGTGAACTTCGCTTCTTCCTCCTCTGTCGGGGCCGATCGGAAGCGCTTCATCCGCATCTCTCGCAGCTTAGCATTCACTCTCTTATACTGTAAGCCTTTCGTGTTTCCCAAGGGTATCTCCCATCTGACTGCGGAAGCTGTGACTATCACGCCACCGGGCTTATAGCATATGAAAACTACCTTGGGCAACCCGCAAGAGTTTGTTTCTGTGAAGTATCTGCCGAATCTGGCTTCGAATGCCAGCAAGAATTCATCTATGGTCAATCAGTCTCCAAGACATACCAATGACAATGTTGCCGATCACGTACAGATATTTCTAGGCACCTTGGCGATACCTTTGTAGAACAGTTCAAGAAGAAGCTCGATTGCCGACGAGTTGGGTATTTTGTTTGTGTCCTCCACGATATCTTCTTGAGGGAGGTTGCGCTTGAGCTCGTCCAAAACTTCCCCAAAGCCCTTGAGGGTGCCTGGCAGGCCATTTGGCTGTTTTTTTGAAAGATCCGACTCCAAGACATTATTTTGGAATGACTGTGCACTCTTCCAAACGAAATCGAGAAGTTTGACCAGTCGCTGGTATGTCAAGTATGCTTTGAGGCCACCATTTTGAGCAATCAGATTTCTCACACATTTGGCAATGCTGTACATGTTGTTCACGCCCGCGGTAAGGATTTTGATATTCTCGTCCTTGGAGAGGTCGCCGATGTCTTTCGAAAATTCTTCCACCAAGTCAATGCTGCTCTCCGAGCGGGAACCATCCATGATGATGAGAAGGGGTGCAGAACACTCGCATCTCGACGTCGAAGCACTTCTCTTGTATACCACTTGCCGTCCATAGATCAAGTATGAGCATTATTCCATGGTGAAACAGCTCGCGATTATTATCTGAGCACTCACTTTGTTAGAATGGGGGCGCTGTTGAGACATCTCTCTGTCTCACAGCTTCCATATGCAGAGCTTGAGTCAGGGTCTTTAATCTCTATCGAAAATTTTGATTCAGCAGGCTTTGTCCCAGAGGAAATTGGTCTCGAAAGTCTCTAAAAAATGTTTCAACTTCTGCCGTCGCTCTCAGCTTTGGGTTGAGAAGCACTCCCTGAATCGCAGGCTAGCCCGTCGGGTACACACCTTTTATCCATAGCAGATATGGGAAACTGTCGCACCCGTGATCTGGTCAAGTGAAATGTTTTGAGAGCATTGATTTCCGTCTCAAAATATGAAAGACAACCTGAAGGGTACTGGTGGTGGGGACTTGAAATTTCCAATTGATCTGTTTTGATTGCACAAAGAACATTTCTTCTTTTTCAAATTGACATTAAAGTACTTGCCATCGATTTACTGGGATTGACTAACTAACCTGACTCCTTTGCGCCATTGTGGAACCGACTTGTCTAGAGACACTCTTCTCATCAATCAAGACCTAGATTTTGATTTGCAGCCTCGTGCGGCTTGCACTTCAACAAAGCTGTCACCATGCTGCAGAAGCATAGAATCTCAATTATCCACTGGTGACACACTCAGCCATGAGCGTCCTTTCACCACCCCGTTTTCTGCAAGATAGCTCTGGAAGCGGGTGTGCGCTGCGAACTGAACTTGTGGGGGATCTGTGTCTCGAAACAGCGATACCTTTGGAAGGCTGGAGAAATCAATAGTCGGCGGCGAATCTCCGCAATCGAATCGAGAAACTAGTTCTTCAGACTCGTTGCCATCGAAGCCTACGCCGCCGTCGAGCTGACGCGCCTGCTTTTCCTCTTCAAGGAACCAAATATCCTTTGTCCCCAGGCGGAATGCCTCGGCCACCATAATATCCTTCCGCGTCCCAAAATGGTTGCCCAGGGTTTGGGCTACTAGCTCGTTGGTCTGAAATTCAGGCTCGACGTCATCGGGAGGATCCCAGGCTTGATAGTCGAGGTAGCGATCCACCACCATCCAAAAGCTCTTGTCAATTGGATGGAAGACAAGATGAAACGGAGTATATCCAACCGCAGCAAGTTTCTCGTCCCACGGTCGTCTTTCCCCCTTTTTCCAGCATGCCACTGGTCCCACTGGGAGGCCGAACCGCAGAGGGAGAACACGTTCTTCGGTATCAGAATCGCGCTCTACTTGAAGAGCTGGGTTGAACTCATGAAGAACCTTCATTAACTTCTCATTCTTGACATCTGCAATGCCGGATTTATTTTCGAGGGCAGCAGTCATTGGTGTGAGTTCAGTATACCATAAAAGGAAAAATTTGTGAGTTTGAGTCTGAAGGATAGGTGTTCTAGTAATATCACACTCTTCTCCCCCTTCCCCCATAATCTCTGTAATAAATTTGCCGAAAAACACCTCGTCGTCTTGAGCGAAGTCGAACCGATTTAGCCATTGAAGAAGTTCTTTGAAACAACCACTCTTGTAGGATGGTAACCGTGCGTACACATTCCCCATCGCCTTCAGTATCCTTTCGTGCTCAAGCTCTGCCTTGTACACCATCACCCGGTGGCTGGGCGGAGGTATATGGAGATAACTATCGAAGGAATTGGAAGCCTTCCAGCGATTGAAAAGTTCGGGCCGGACACGTTTGATGGAATTGATATATTCGAAGGCATCGGGAGGTAAGAACGCTTGTTCCTCTGCTTTCTCTGTGGAAGCCATCGTGGTTTGACTCTCTCAGGACACGAGAAGATTGGGAGGGACGATGATAATTTCGTCTTGTAGGGTTGGATACGGATTGGATTGAAGTGACCAAGGTACTTTGATGTCAAGAGGAGGTAAGAGCCGAAGAGATCACAAATTTATAGAAGTACAAGAGTAAAGATTCACTCAGAATGGGTTCGGCAGACGAGCACGAGAATACAGTAAACATAGGCAACAAAACAAAGAGCTCGAATTCCTGGAGTGCCGGATGCGTATTTGCATTCCTCGAGAACAAACCCCAGATGGCCGGATTGGGAAATGTTGTTCTTAGAGCACCGCATTCGGCGTACCCGTTCTTCGACCGACCATTTCGATTTGTGATTCAGTCAGCAGACAGGGAGATCTTTGTATTGTATAGCGCCGGATCCGGCCGAATCAGGTAGAGAATTGTGCGCTATGCCGCCACCAAATTCCACAAATTCCATTCAACCTTTGACACTCAAGCCATTCTTTTTGTTCGGTGACCCGTAATCATGTCATACCTCCATACCTCGCATGCTTTCATAACATTCCCGAGGGGGTTGGTGTGGCCGGAAAAGTGTGTCCATCGATCGCCCCAGTAGGAAAGTCGTTCTGTGACCACCGACTCGGGCGCCTTTGTCACGATCGCAGGCCTTTGTCACCTGCGTAGGCATGTGACCATGCTAGCCACTGCCGGCGCCGCCGCAGTCATGTTATTGTTGTTCCTGCAAACATTCCAGATAGTCCTTCGTACTACAATTCATCAGTTCCATCGCTCAAACCGCGATAGACCTAGCCGACCTTGGCGACGGAGGACAAAGATTCATCCTCCCAAGATTGGCCACACCATGCGGTCGTCAGAGCCTGAGGCCATCTGTGACCCGTCGGGCGAGAGCACGACATGGATGACGACAAGGGAGTGTCCTTCACGCCCCAGTAGCCCAAGATACTAGGCGCCCGTAGCCCGGGACATTTGTGTCCCTCTTCTTCAACACGAAACATCTTACCACCCGCTCTGGTTCTCCCGCTAAACCCAGAACCAGCCTTCTTTCAGCAAACCAGCTTTGCGAATTCTGGTCTTCATCATTCCGCCGTTTACGCTGCCTGCACACCCTCGCATGAAGTGTTTCTGTCGTTGGTGGGCTCCGCCATGCGCATGCATAGTCTGACGTTCCACGCACACAGCTCTGCATGGCCTCGGGCTTCATTATGTATTTTGGGCTCCAGTGATGTAATCATAGTCTCTCCAGGTCATTCATGGTCAAACCACCTCGGGTTTCGATGTTGCATTCATACAGGAGAGGGCTCAAAGTAGCCATAGCGTTGAATGCAGGGGAGCATAGTCTCTCGTGAAGACGCAGACTCCAATGTTGCATTTTTCAAGAGAGCACATCGCTGCTGGCCGCGCATGTTCTCGCGATTGCGGCTCCAATTTCCCTACCGATTTCTCAGAGCGTAGCGGTCAACAGAGGCTGTCCACACGGCTTTAGACTCCAGTACGACAAGGATGTAGGTGAGGAGATTACGGGGATCGTCGACGGAAGAGCTTGTAATCCCTCATCCAGCAGGCATCATCTTGTGGCCGTAAATCGTCACAGCCAACACCAATAGAGTGGAGCTTGAATTGTTGGTTGGTGTTTTATGCTTTATGATTGTGGCTAAGTGCGTCGCAAATTTTTCCGATAGATCGTCACCAGGGGTAACTCAAAGCCGAGAGCATTTCCTCGGGCTTCAGGGTGGTCCGTCGTGGACTGTGAGGCTTGAACGAGGTTGGGCTCAGAGAAGGGGGTCTTAGAAAGGGGGAATGGCTTCGGGCGCTCGTCTTCGGGCGCTCAACTTGGCACTCAACTTGGCTCGGAATCACTTCAGCAATAGCTGTCTTGGTACCTAGGGATGATTTGCAGAGCCCATCACACAATCCTCCTTATCCTGACGAGAGGTCACTTCTTCCTTTCCCCGCACTTCTGCCTCGCCCATCCGCCTGGGGAGGCACGGCAACATGCGCCAGGCCCCTCTTTGGGTGGCGGGTCCCGCCCATGTGCTATACTTGGCTCATGCCGGTCCGGAGGCGCCCCTCTCCCAGCCTGAGGCGCCGGACATTTGAAGGCCCGGGGTGCAGTGGATCCATCGTTGGAGAAATTCAAAAGCAGCCCATCGGAGCATCTCACGCAGTGTCTTCTAGTCAATCCACAAACGACAAGGCCCAGACAAAGAGAAGCAAAGAAGATGGCTAACGATTACAATTCCGCATGCTGTAATACCCCGGCTGCGGAGGTCGGCGAATACACGCTCAAAGGCTCATGGACCGAGATCAATGGGATCAAATCGTGTCTGTACCATCTCTTTACCTCTCTCTGGTTCTGTACAACAAAGTTCATCCCATAATCTTCCACTCAACAAGAGCGCTTTGCAAGCAGTCCCTAATATGAATGCCGAAATTAACTCTACCTAGCTCAAGGTCTACCACTGAACTTTACTAACAGCTTTACGTACCAGATATAACCGGACCCCCCAGTGCCAGTAAAGCCATTGCCCTGGTCTATGATATCTTTGGTTATTGTCCCCAGACCTGTCAAGGTGCAGACATACTCGCTACGCAAGGGATCGAGCCGTACCTTGTTTTCGTCCCCGACTTTATTGGCTCTGATCGGGCAGCGAGGCACGAATGGTTCTTACCCGGCGCCGACCAAAAGCCCTTCCGTGACCTGTTGGCGATCATCACATCGAAGCAGATGATGGCAGACATTCACGCGACAGTCCATGCGTTAAGGTCCGACGAGCAATACAGACATGTGCAGAGATGGGCCGGAGTCGGCCTTTGCTGGGGTTCCAAGGGTGTCAGTCTCATTGCGACCGAGGGAGAGCAGTCATTGCTGGACGTGACGGCTCACACGTCGCCGTCGAGACTCGATCCGGAAGAAGCCAAGACAGTCACGGTCCCGACTTTAATGCTGGCGTCGAAATCGGAGGACGAGGCCCTTGTGAAGAGCTATTGCGACAATCTGAAAGGCCCCAAATATCTCGAGAGATTTAACGAGGTCCATGGATGGATGTCGGCGAGGTATGATCGGCCTTTCTTTTCACGCAGCCCTCTTGTGATCCATGTCCCTTCTTGCTGACTGGAGGACTTGGGTAGGGCGAAACTTGACCAAGAGCCCAGGAGAAAGGAGTACGAGAGAGGATATAAACTTGTTCTCGAGTGGTTGGCAAAGTATCTCTAGGCCAAGAAGCTAGGGAGGGTATCAGGACCTACGCCACACGGTAGGGATTTGTTTCATAGTATAGCTTCACGGCCTGTGCTGTCACGTCGCGCAAGCACTAGGCGACTTAGTCTAAATAAGTCCGCTAGCCTTGTGCCTCAGCCTTTGTCCCTTGATGCCTTACGTGCACCACCTAATTCTCCCGCCATATATACCCCACCCAGTTCAGGTGTGGTATGTATAGGCGCTGAGGGTAACTATTCGTGACAGGGTTTCCATGGGTATGGACCCTTGCAATGTCCCGTTCGTGTGTAAGTCAGCATTGCGGGAGACAAGGTTATATGGATTCAACGTCAGTCCGAAGACTCTCTTACGGCTCTACCAAGCATTGCAACTTCCCCCCTGACACTAGGTATCATCCCTCCACACGCCCGCCTGTATCTGGCAGTTGGGGAGCTTACGTCTGAATGGCCTCGAGACCCGCTGTCTATGCTGGAAGATGCTGTGGTTGTCCGTATCCCCAACTCGATTTTGGTCGCGAGAAATACTGGCTCGACCCACGTTTCACAGGTTGAGGATCCGATCGATTCCCGGAGATCCAGAAGGCATCAAGTGGACCATTTCTGCAATTGCGACCCCGCCTCCCCCCGAGGACTTTCTCGCCGCCATTTCTGGCTCGTGGACGGTGCAAGATCGAACTGCTGGATATTTGCTCGTCATTCCAGACCCTCTTCCGGCTGCCTGGCCACCGGGCGAGCGGCTGCCCAAACAACTGAGCCCAAGGCTACGGCAGATACGGGATCGTTTCGAATCCGAAGCCAGTTCTCCGTGCCGAAGTGCTTTGGCTGGTATGCCCGGCAACAACATCAGCGGCCGTATATCACGGAATATATGCGGCGTAGCTTTGATTTACTGTGTTGGGCTTTTCCCGGCGCAGAGTCTCGATGCAGATGGCTATGAAGCCCAGCGGACAGCGCGAAGTATTACAATTAGTGCAGAGGCGTCGATCCCCAGTTCCAAATGGTTTCGATTTCTAGGCCGGCACTTCTACTACTCTTCTGCGATGGTCTCGACGTCCACAAAAGTGGTGGTGAACCCGCTGGTTTGGACCCCTTTGTTCAATGTTTACTTTTTCGCCTTTCACGCGATTCTTTCCGGGATGGTCATGACTGGAGTCGTTGAAAGAGTCAAAATGAACGTACCGACAAGTCTACAACGAAGCTTCCTGTACTGGCCTTTCGTCACAGCCTTCAACCTCTCCCATGTCATACCGCAATCCCGGTCGGTCGTCACAGCCACCTGCGCGGCGCTTTGGTAGTCCTATATGAGCTGGTTGAATGCCCAAGCCCCAAGGCATGAGGAGGGTTACGCGTCAACTTTCAACTTGCCGGAGCTATAACACTATGGTCGCCAGCTGATCCTCTCACCACTACCTGTACACAGAACCTCCACTTCAAGTTCATTAGGTTAAGAACAGCCAGGATCACACGGCATGATTCCCTCGGAGTCGCTCGTTAACGAGCACGTACAAGACGATGGCCGAGTAGGCATAAAATCCGGAAGGCGAACAGCGGCCCTCATTTTCTTTTGCAGGCCGAATCATCGCAACTCGAGATCGTACGACTGTTCGTTGATTGCTTTTATCATGACCGGTCGCAACGGGTCGAGGCAACAAGTAGTAGTGTGCCTCCACGTCGCGGGAGGGTGGGCAGAGTTGAGCTGGAGGGTGGAGCGGTGTTAAAAAGCGGTGCAGTCTGGGCAATCACCCACATTAGCTCGGAGCAGATTTCTCCTCTATTTGAGTCGCGAAGCATAGATCGATCCCCTGGTCAAGTACCGAAGATTTGAGTAACGATATCCCAGTGGCCATTGATATTGATGTAGATGCCACCATAAACAAGGCACGCTTCCCGAAATTGCAGGAGTCTTTTGCTTGGGTCGTCAATTATGCATACTTGCTAGGCCTCGGGAGTAACGCCTTCGCCGGATCGAGATTCGCAAACTCAGAACTCCGCGCCCGCGGAATCAGAGGAAAAGCGAACGGCAGGCCTCGCCGAAACGAATTCTGAAGAAGCACTCTGGAGACCTTGGAAATCGAGGTGAACAAAGTTTCCCAAAGGGCCATCGCCCTGTGAAGGAGTAGACAGTCATCGAAGCCTTTTCTTATTTTCCATTTGCATATACTGCTGGTTGTTCTTTCCCCTATTCTTATCGCTCGACCCTCGCCTTTTCCATCCCTCCTCGAAACCCCCTTTTTCCTATCAGAGACGACCTCGACATCTTGATTGTCATAATGGTCTCCGTTATCAACAAGGCAAGCAGGCTGCGCATGGCGTTGGGCACCGGCTCTGGAGCGACGGTTGGCGCGTGGCAGATGCTCCCCGGGTCGCATCTGTCGAGGACTATAGTCCAGGTCTGGGTTTGATTGGATTTGCATCGGTTGCGAGCACGGGAATATTGCCGGTAGGTAAGTGCTGCACTTTTTCTTTTGGCTCTATTTGTCGTAGTTTGTGGTAAACACCACGAAAAGCAATCTGGAGCACTATGCTGATGACTTGCTGTCTGGACGACGCAATGCACGAGTCAGTCCACGCCATGGCCGCGTGTAACGTCAGCCCAATCGTCCGCATCCGGGCCAACGAAGGGTGGATGGTCAAGCGTGCATTGGACGCGGGTGCCCATGGGATCATCGTGCCATTGTTGCGCAGCGGCCAGGACGCCGAGATGTTGGTTCAGGCGGCCAAATCCCCTCCGTACGGTAAGCGAGGCTTTGGCAGTCCGTTTTCCATGGGCTCCTTCGACGGGAACGGCGACCTGTCCGGTTTCGACTATAAAAAAACGCCAACGGCAACCTCTTACATATTGTCCAGATCGAGACCAAGGAAGCTTTGGAATGCGTGGAGTTTCCCCACTCTCTCTCTCGGGCCATAGGGACTGTAAGCTGATTTGACCGGTGGAATAGGTCGAGGAAATTGCCAAGATCGAGGGAATCGACGTCCACTTCATCGGACCTTATGATTTGGGCAACAACATCGGGAACCAGTCATGGGTGATTTCTCGCAGCCGTTGAAAGACACCATTGCGAGGATATTGAAAGCTGCCCAGGCCGCCGGAAAGTGGTCGGGCATCTACTGCCCCGACGGCGAATTCGCCAAACGTTACTCGGACATGGGTTTCCGGATGGTGAGTTTTCTGCCTATTCGAGACGCCCACCTTTCTGCCCTGTCATGCTGACCACTTTTCCAGGTCTGCGTGACAAATGACATGACAGCCATCCCCGTGTATCTGGCCGAATCTCTCGCAAAGGCCACCCGGTCAGCGCCTGGAGCGGTCAAAGGCGCGGCGGACAGAGCGGGCAAGTGAATGTCTGAGCAGGGAGGAAACAAGATAGACCAAGATTGGAAAGATACTAGGTAGTGATTAGTTCATGGTCTCTCTGATTCGTCTTCGACGGATCCCGCGGCAGTCGCCGCTTCCTCCTCCGTGAAGCCGTGCATGAGTTTCTTGGTCGCATCGAGAGTCGTTTCGTGAGATTGTTGGGTGAGGTGGGAGGAGGGTTGGGACGGAGGTACGCTTTTCGTCGTGTGCTGGAATGTCGAGATCTCGAGCCGCGACGAGGCGAGCTTCAAGAGGGTCAGCATGCTCAGGTCTGGAAACGGAAATGGACCTTGGAGAGGTCAAGATTCGCCGCTGAGTATTGTGGTATACCCTGGATTGTCGGATTGACCGGCTCACTTTGCGCATGTAGTCGCTATATCAACCCATGTCTCTTCGGCAAAACAGTAAGATATCATAATATCGCTACAAAGACACGCCAGTTGATTCAAGTTCAAGATTTTCTAGCACGCAAGAAAGATAGGGTCTGTATCTGCCAAAGCCACAACCATGGAAATCATCTCGGTCATCAAACTCGGCACGTCATCAAGAAAACAGCAGAGACAAAGGCCGAAGTCATCTAGGAAACACAGATACACGTGGCCACCGCTAAATTTCAATATCCAGCGCATGTGACCTCTCGGAGGTACGAGTCATCATCGTCATCATCATGATCATTGTTCATGCCACCTTGTGGCGGCCGTCTTGGGCCGAGAGTCGTGAATTCGAGTGGTGTTATTGCTCTTTCCTTACCTTTGCCTTTATCTTTTGCCCTGCCTTTTCCCTTTCCTTTACCCTTATCATTTTCATTTTCAGGATCCGTGTCTATCTCCATTTGTTCGGGTAGCGTGAGACGTCGTGGTGGTGGTAGTGGTGGAGGAGAAGGTGATGCTTGGGGTGAGGGCGAGGGCGAGGGCGAGGGGGATGGTGATATGGATGTAACCATCCTTGCACCATAGAATGTTTGTGGAATCGTCACCGTGCCGTAATCATCTAATTCCGAGAGTATTGCCGTACTCGAGTACGTATGTAACTCTGGTGGCGTCGTCGTTGCTGTATGAGGATGTGGCTCCGACGAAATCGCCATTGCTGTACACGGTGATAGCTGTGACAAGATTCCCGAGGGCCTGTAGGGGTGTATCTGTGGTGGAATTGTCGATGCTCTGTGAGGATGTGGTTCCGCTGGGATTGTCGATGCTCCATAATATTCTGGGCCCGGCACCGCCATTACTCTGTGAGGATGTGGTTGCGGTGGCGTAGCTATTTCTGTATAGGTCTGGAGCTGTGGTAAGATTCCCGATGGCCTGTAGGGATGTACTTGTGGTGGTGTCGTTGATCTCCTGTTAGGCTCGGAATCCGGGGGTATCACCATTGCTGAATGGGCATGGAGCTGCTGTGGATTTTGCGAAACTCTAGAACAGTTTGACTCCGGCACCGGCATTGCGCTGGGAGGAGGTAAATCCGGGGATGTCATCCTTAGTCTGAGATTGGCTGGCAGCTCTGGCATCCTCACAGCCCTGTGAGGAAATCGTGATGGCGGCGCCACCGTCACCAGACTAGGTTGTCGTGGTGTTGGTAGTGCCCTTGTTCTATTAGGATGTGGCAATGACGGCCTTGGGCCTCCTATACTAGCGAGCACTGGTGGTGGCGTCGTTGTTGCCCTGGAAGGAGGAGACGGTGGCATTCCCGTTATTATGTTCGGACGGAGCGGCGGTAGCAATGTGCTTGCTGGGTCTGGAGGTGGCGATGGTGGCAATGCAATGTTCGGAAGCGGCGGGGGCGATACTATCGCAGGCCTTCTAGGGCGCTGCGGCAGCAGCATTGTTGTCGGTGTATTAGAAGGGCGTGGCGGTGGGGCCATCGCCGTTGCTGTAGGAGAAGGACGCGGTGGCCCTGGCATTCCCGTTCTCGGAGGAGAACGCTGCGGCAGCTGGGGCATTGGGTATGCTAGTGGTGGTACTTTCGATGCTGTGCCAGTAGGGTACGCTGATGGTTGTGGCATGGCGGGTGCTGCATTCGGAGGATACGCTAATGATACATTGGAAGGATAGGGGGCTGGTGTTGATGAGCGAGGGGAATAGGGCATTGTCGATTCTGTATTCGTATGGCGCGGTGGCGGTGGTGGTGGCATTGCCGATGCTGTATCCGAAGGGTATGTTGGCGACGACACTGTCAATCCTGTGCTACGAGTGTCTGTTGTTGATACCCTGCTCGGACCAGGTGGCGGTGGCTGAGCTGCCGGCGGCTGTAAGGGCTGGGACATCGCTGCTTGACTCCCAGATTTCGAGCCCAGCTGTTGAACCGCTGAGTCCAGATGACGGACAAATTGCGCAAGCTGTGGACGCACCTGGTCTCGAGCGTTGCCATTGACCCAGGTATCCCAGATTCTGTCTAGCTCAGCATAGGATGACCGCCAGATCCTATCCTCGTGCTGGACAATCTCTCTCCATTGTCGCTCATTCGTCCGCAATTCCTCCTTCCAATACCTGCGTTGTCTTTCGTGATCGTATGTGACGGAATCAAACGCGCACTGGTACTCGCCTCTCATCGATGGCTCGCGCCTCCTAAACTCCAATTCGCGATCCAAGAGTTCCCATTTGTCGCGGTCTCGCTTGTCAGTGTAGCCTTGGTGCAAGTCTTTAACTTTCTTCTCGAACGACCGGAATGCCCGCCAGCACGACTTCGCCAGACGACTATTTGAGCGAGGAGCCCGCTGGGACTCTCTCGGCCACGTGCCTTGGTGTTGCATCTTGGCAGAAGGAGGACCCCCGCTTCCTCCTGGGATGGGATCCTCGGCGGGCCGTTTTCTCTGCGGCGGTGTGCTTGCTGAAGGACCGGCCATTGTTTCACTTCCAGGGGATCGAATGTGATTGTTCGGCGAAGACGTCCAGGGAGAACTCGAGGCAAGCGGCGCCGACACAAAAGATGGCTGAGGCTGGCTTCCTGGTATAGGGGTCCATTGTGCCCTATGAGTCGGTGTCGTCGGAAAGGGCTGCAGGGCTACATGACCGAGGTTTCCTTGAGTTGCGATATAAGATTCAGCCTGGCTGGAGGGTCCTGGTGACCAGCTGTACAACTGCTGGGCATAACCGGGACTTCCTGGTGGTAAGGTATGTGACTGCTGTGCTTGGGCAGAATAACTGGGTGCCACGGCATGTAACTGCGGGACCTGGTCAGTATACCCAGTTTGCACGGTGTGCGAGTGCTGAGCTTGGTCGGTATACCTGGATGCCATTGCATATGACGGTTGAGGCCGAGCAGGATGTCCGGACGGCATGCTGTATGGCTGCTGACCCTGACCAGTATAGCTGGGAGCCAGTGGATGTGACTGATGGGCCTGATCAACATCTCCGCGTGGTGTGGCATACAACTGCTGGGGCTGGCCTGCATATCCCTGAGGCCTGTCGTATGGATGCTGGGGCTGAGAAGGATATCGGGATGCCGTTGTGTACGATTGTTGAGTGTGGGCGGCATATCCAAGTTGCATGGTATCGGGCTGTTGAGGCTGGCTAGCATGTCTGGGGTCCATGGAACACGATGCATGGCCCGGATGTCCATATGCGACAGTATATGACTGCTGAGGCTGGCCAGGATATCCGGCGGTCATGGCATATGGCGGTTGTGTCTGGTCAGCATAGCTAGGTGCAACAGAGTACAGTTGTCGAGCATTGCCCGTGCTTCCGGGTGACACAATCGCAGACTCTGGAGCATAGCGGACTTTCTGCATACGGGGATCCGAGGGTCCTGGTAGTGCGGTCGATGGGTACGCATTCTGAGTGTAACGGGGCTGATCCCACGGTAGATTTGACGCTTCTGGCTCCGCGCTCGCCGACGACCGTGTGGACTGTCCTCCATTGAATGCAGCAGTCCCTGCCTCTCGAGGCTCGAGGGAGAACCGTACCCTGCTCTTTCTTGGTTTCCTGGCCGGTCTTGAAGGGGACACAAGGGTCGAAGGGAGTTTTTGGTGAGACGGGGGAGTTCGACGAGCATTGTCGTCCATCAGTTGAGAAGGAGGGTGAGTTTGGCAGTGGTGCAACCGCAGACAGATCAGCAAAGCCGAGTTAGGGGAGCCTGAAGGGGCCGCTCAGCAGCAGTCGGGGCTCGCTCGAGCAGATGCCAATATTTCATCGGGCATAGGGAACCGGAAAGTCTGGAGGCTTTTAGTCCCGAGTTAATTGGAGTTTTCTGTCCTGTGGTGCAACTTGACAATGTGAAAGTCTGAGTTCTGAGGTCGAAGGGCTGGAGGAGGAGGGGCAGAGAGCTGAGAACGTCAAATGGAAGATAGGGCACGGCTGATCGGTCCGGGGCTCCGGAAGAGGCATAGCCCGGCCCACTTAGGGCCGAGAGTGCGCCTGGTACCGCCAATCATGCTGGGTTCCATGAGGTGAGTGTCTTAGTCTAATTATCAAGCAAACTATCACATCCACCTTACTCGCCAGCAATGTTTGCTCCGGCCCCATCTCCCGGACTAGTGCCCAACCTCAAGGAATTCGCGGGGTACGACTAGCACCTCATGTGGTCACCGCCTTTAATCTCCAACGAGTGACTCGCTTGTCTCGAGTACTCTTTAAATTCGGCCTCTCGTTGCTCCTCTCTCTCGCCTTCTGCCCTTCCGCCCTTCTGCCCTTCTGCCCTTCTGTCTTTCTGTCCTCCCGACCAATTTCGATCCTCGCGTGCCACAATCAACAAATGCGTTGTGCCACGCTTGGTGAAGTCTACATTCAGCCTTGGCCTTGTCTTGTGGGAAGTCAGCATAGGCTTTCCTCGAAGCTTCTTACTCACACCCCTCGTTGCTGGTCCAATTAGAAATCTGTCTTGAAGCTTTGTCAACAGGCGCACCTTCGCTTCTCGAGACCCATCCATCGGGTTCACCACACATCTCCACATCTCCAGATCTCCTTCTAGGTTGGCTTAGACATCATCCTGTTTGCGTGGAAGTTTGGCCACGCCGACAACCGCTAGTGGAGACCTTGTGCACGGATAAGCACTTTAACGCTTCTAGCGTATCGAATCATGCCTTCCCCGCAAACCTCCTCCACTCAGCCGGACCTCGATCCGGACGACCCTTGTTATAGGGTCAAGACCCATCCACGCGAGGGCTCTGAAAAATTCCACGTCGTCGGCACACGACGGGGTCTTCCCGCTTGGGCGAACTTGCCCTCGCTGACGAAATCGACTACTTCGATGCGTGTCCGAGTCAATGACCAAGTCGTGGCCTATTGGCTCGACGACCGGGACAAGACCCAAGAGGCCCTGGCTCTAGTCCTCAGTATCAGAGTGCTGAATCCGAAAGGGATCAAAGCGGTGGAAGGGAACAAAGACATGACGCTCTTGCTGGTGGCATGGTTCTTGGATCCGCCTCTGGCTCCGCCCCGTAATTCGCACCCCGCCTACCCGACTCTTTCTTCTCATTTAGATATCATCTCCATCCAGGCCGTCAAATCGGTTGTGAGTAGTGACAACCGAATCCCTATCAAAGAAGTCCACATAATCCATTGCGCGAAGAAAGTGCCTGCCGCGGATGTAAGTTGGCTCCCTCAAGAAGAGAAAGACCGTATCAAGAAGGAGAAAGACAAAGGGAAAGACAAGGGGAAAGACAAGGGGAAAGACAAGGGG